TGCGGCGGGGACCTAGGGTATGTTCTCGAGTTACGGCAGGGATGGCCCTTCAAAACACGTGTTTATTCGGTGACGTCAGGACTCCTGTCTAGTAACGAGGGACACCTCAGGAATCTCTTTTAGGCTTGGCAGGGCAAAAGGGACGCTTCTCGAGGTTAGGCAGGGCACCCAAGGACCCTTTCCAGTAGCCACAGAGATTTTCGGATTCCTATCAGTATTCAAGATGGGTCAGGCATCATCACCTTTTGAAGCAGTGAACTCCGTGTGCCTCTCGAGGTGTCAACGGGATGTGAGGCATTCCGTCAAAATGAGGCAGGGACCTACGGCTTTCTCTAAGGTCTCCACAGGGGATTCAGACATCCCTTCCTGTTATGAGATGAAAGACGAGCCTGTATTCAAGCCACTGCAAGGAAATCCGGCCACCTTTCAAGTTAGGGCTTATCGCTGTATATTCTACTAGAGGCAGCAAACTCAGGGTCCCTCCCACATACCTATTGCTGAGAGAAGCCTCCTCCTGAGGTGCTTCTGGAAAGTTGGCATACGTCTTGAGCCTAAGCCAGGGAATCAGCTCTCATCTCGAGACTATTTGGGGTATACGGAGCATTCCTCGAGTTGCTGTGCTGAAGTTGGTGTTCCTCTAGACTTGGGACAGTGTTCCCAGGGTATCTCTGGAGTTGCCTGAAGGAAGTCAAGCCACTGGTGGTTTTGAATGTGGAAAGGGGGATTGCTCTGGAGTAAATGAACGGGAATCGGGCCTCACCTCGAGTTGATTTGGCGCACCTGCAGCTGCTGTGCGTTGCTGGAATGACCTCAGGGTCCGTCTAGACTTGTGACAGTGTTCTTGGGGACTGTCTCGTGATCCATTAAGCATGTCAAAACTCCTGACTTGTTTGCTGGGGAACACGGAATAGCTCTGCATGCACTGAGTGGAATGGGGCTTCATCTCGCCTCTAGGGGGAAGTCTCATTGTTTTTCTCGAGTGGCGACGGGGACCTGGGGTATGTTCTCGAGTTACGGCGGGGATGGCACTTCAAAACACGTGTTTATTCAGTGACGTCAGGCCTCCGGTGTAGTAACGAGGGACACCTCAGGAATCTCTGGGCGTTTTGGCAGGGCAAAAAGGATGCTTCTCGAGGTGAGGCAGGGCACACACGGACGCTTTCCAGTAGCCACAGAGATTTTGGGATTCCTATTAGTATTCCAGAGGAGTCAGGCATCGTCACCTTTTGAAGCAGTGACTCCGCGTGCCTCTCGAGGTGTCAACGGGATGTGAGGCATTCCGTCAAAATGATGCAGGGACCTAGGGCTTTCTCTAAGGTCTCCACAGGGGATTCAGAGATGCCTTCCTGTTGTGAGATGAAAGACGAGACTGTATTCAAACCACTGCAAGGAAATCTGGCCTCATTGCAAGTTAGGGCTTTTCGCTGTATATTCCACTTGAGGCAGCACACGCGGGGTCCCTCCCACATACCTATTGCTGAGAGAAGCCTCCTCCTGAGGTGCTTCTGGAAAGTTGGCACAGGTCTTGAGCTTAAGCCAGGGAATCAGCTCTCATGTCGAGACGACTTGGGGTACAAGGAGCATTCCTCGATTTGCTGTGCCGAAGTTGGTGTTCCTCTAGACTTGTGACAGTGTTCCTCTAGACTTTTGACAGTGTTCTTGAGGCATCTCTGGAGTTGCCTGAAGGAAGTCAAGCCACTGTTCGTGCTTAATGGGGAATGGGTGATGGCTCTGAAGTCAATGCAGGGGAATCGTGCCTCATCTCGATTTGATTTGAGGCACATGGAGCTGCTTTGCGTTGCTGATGTGACCTCAGTGTCCATCTAGACTTGTGACTGTGTTCTTGGGGACTCTCCCAAAATCCATTAAGCAAGTCGAAGCTCCTGACTTGTTTGATGGGGATCAGGGAATAGTTCTGCATGCACTGCAGGGGAATTGGGCCTCATCTCGCATCTAGGGGAAAGTCTCATTGATTTTCTTGAGTTCCGGCGGGGACCTGGGATATGTTTTCGAGTTATAGCGGGGATGGCCCTTCAAAACACATGTTTATTCAGTGACGTCAGGACTCCTGTCTAGTAACGAGGACACCTCAGGATTCTCTCCGAGACTTGGCAGGGCAAAAGGGACGCTTCTTGAGATGAGGCAGGGCAAGAAGGACACTTTCCAGTAGCCAGATGGGTTTTGGGATTCCTATCAATATTCAAGAGGGGTCAGGCATCGTCACCTTTTGAAGCAGTGAACTCCGCGTGCCTCTCGAGGTGTCACCGGGATGTGAGGCATTCCGTCAAAATGAGGCAGGGACCTGGGCTTTGTCTAAAGTTTCCAAGGGAATTCAGATATCGCTTTATGTTGTTAGACGAAAGGCGAGCCTGTTTTCAAAGCACTGCAAGGAAATCAGGTTCATTTCAAGTTAGGGCTTCTCGCTGTATATTCCACTTGAGGCAGCAAACTCGGGGTCCCTCCCACATACCTATTGCTGAGAGAAGCCTCCTCATGAGGTGCTACTGGAAAATTGGCACAGGCCTTGAGCTTAAGCCAGGGAATCAGCTCTCTTCTCGAGACGATTTGGGGTACACGGAGCATTCCTGGAGGTGCTGTGCTGAAGTTGGTGTTCCTCTAGACTTGGGAGAGTGTTCTCAGGGGCATCTCTGGAGTTGCCTGAAGGAAGTCAAGCCACTGGTCGTGTTGAATGGGGAACTGGGGACAGCCCTGGAGTCAATGCAGGGGAATCGGGCCTCATCTCGTGTTGATTTGGGGCACATGGAGCTGCTTTGCCTTGCTGGGATGACCTCAGGGTCCGTCTAGACTTGTGACAGTGTACTTGGGGACTGTCTCGAGATGCATTAAGCAAGTCGAAACTCCTGACTTGTTTGATGGGGATCAAGGAATAGCTCTGCATGCACTGCAGGGGAATGGGTCCTCATCTCGCCTCTAGGGGGAAGTCTCATGTTTTTTCTCGAGTTGCAGCGGGGACCTGGGGTATGTTCTCGAGTTACGGCGGGGATGGCCCTTCAAAACACGTGTTTATTCGGTGACGTCAGGACTCCTGTCTAGTAACGAGGGACACCTCAGGAATCTCTTCGAGGCTTGGCAAGGCAAAAGGGACGCTTCTCGAGGTTGGGCAGGGCACCCAAGCACCCTTTCCAGTAGCCACAGGTATTTTGGGATTCCAATTAGTATTCAAGAGGGGTCAGGGACCATCACCTTTTGAAGCAGTGAACTCCGTGTGCCTCTCGAGGTGTCCATGGGATGTGAGGCATTCCGTCAAAATGAGGCAGTTACCTAGGGCTTTCTCTAAGGTCTCAACAGGGGATTCAGACATCGCTTCCTGTTGTGAGATGAAAGACGAGCCTGTATTCAAGCCACTGCAAGGAAATCCGGCCTCCTTTCAAGTTAGGGCTTCTCGCTGAATATTCCACTTGAGTCAGCAAACTCGGGGTCCCTCCCACATACCTATTGGTGAGAGAAGCCTCCTCTTGAGGTGATTCCTGAAAGTTGGCATACGTCTTGAGCCGAACACAGAGAATCAGCTCTCATCTCGAGACTTTTTGGGGTACACGGAGCTTTCCTCGAGATTCTTTGCTGAAATTGGTGTTCCGCTAGACTTGGGAAATTGTTGTCGTGGCATCTCTGGAGTTGCCTGAAGGAAGTCAAGCCACTGGTGGTGTGGAATGGGGAACGGGGGATGGCTCTGGAGTCAATGCACGGGAATTGGGCCTCATTTCGAGGTGATTTGGGGCACATGGAGCTGCTGTGCGTTGCTGGGGTGACCCCAGGGTCCGTCTAGACTTGTGACAGTGTTCTTCGGGACTGTCTCGAGATCATTTAAGCAAGTCGAAGCTCCTGACTTGTTTGATGGGGATCACGGAATAGCTCTGCATGCACTGCAGGGGAATGGGGCCGCATCTTGCCTATAGGGGGAAGTCTCATGGTTTTTCTCGAGTTGCGGTGGTGTCCTGGGTTATGTACTCGAGTTACGGGGGGATGGCCATTCAAAACATCTGTTTATTCAGTGACGTCAGGATTCCTGTCTAGTAACGAGGGACACCTCAAGAAACTCTTCGAGGCTTGGCAGGGCAAAAGGGACGCTACTCGAGGTGAGGCGGGGCACACAAGACACTTTCCAATAGCCACAGGGATTTTCGGATTCCTATCAGTATTCAAGACGGGTCAGGCATCATCACCTTTTGAAGCAGTGAACTCCGTTTGCCTCTCGAGGTGTCACCGGGATGTGAGGCAGTTCCGTCAAAATGAGGCAGGGACCTAGGGCTTTCTCTAAGGTCTCCACAGGGGATTCAGACATCCCTTCCTGTTATGAGATGAAAGACGAGCCTGTATTCAAGCCACTGCAAGGAAATCCGGGCTCCTTTCAAGTTAGGGCTTCTTGCTGTATATTCCCCTAGAGGCAGCAAACTCAGGGTCCCTCCCATATACCTATTGCTGTGAGAAGCCTCCTCCTGAGGTGCTTCTGGAAAGTTGGCATACGTCTTGAGCCTAAGCCAGGGAATCAGCTCTCATCTCGAGACGATTTGGGGTATACGGAGCATTCCTCGAGTTGCTGTGCTGAAGTTGGTGTTCCTCTAGACTTGGGACAGTCTTCCCAGGGCATCTCTGGAGTTGCCTGAAGGAAGTCAAGCCACTGGTGGTTTTGAATGTGGAAAGGGGGATTGCTCTGGAGTCAATGAACGGGAATCGGGCCTCACCTCGAGTTGATTTGGGGCACCTGCAGCTGCTGTGCGTTGCTGGACTGACCTCAGGGTCCGTCTAGACTTGTGACAGTGTTCTTGGGGACTGTCTAGAGATCCATTAAGCAAGTCGAAGCTCCTGACTTGTATGATGGGGATCACGGAATAGCTCTGCATGCACTGCAGGGGAATGGGGCCTCATCTCGCCTCTAGTGGGAAGTCTCATGGTTTTTCTCGAGTTGAGGCCTGGACCTGGGATATGTCCTCGAGTTACGGCGGGGATGGCCCTTCAAAACACGTGTTTATTCAGTGACGTCAGGACTCCTGTCTAGTAACGAGGGACACCTCAGGAATCTCTTCGAGGCTTGGGAGGGCAAAAGGGACGCTTCTCGAGGTGAGGCAGGGCACCCAAGGACCCTTTCCAGTAGCCACAGCGATTTTGGGATTCCTGTCAGTATTCAAGAGGAGTCAAGCATCGTCACCTTTTGAAGCAGTGAACTCCGCATGACTCTCGAGGTGTCAACGGGATGTGAGGCATTCCGTCAAAATGATGCAGGGACCTAGGGCTTTCTCTAAGGTCTCCACAGGGGATTCAGACATGCCTTCCTGTTGTGAGAAGAAAGACGAGCCTGTATTCAAGCCACTGCAAGGAAATCCGGCCTCCTTTCAAGTTAGGGCTTCTCGCTGTATATTCCACTTGAGGCAGCAAACTCGGGGTCCCTCCCACATACCTATTGCTGAGAGAAGCCTCCTCCTGAGGTGCTTCTGGAAAGTTGGCATACGACTTGAGCCTAAGCCAGGGAATCAGCTCTCATCTTGAGACGATTTGGGGTACACGGAGCATTCCTCGAGTTGCTGTGCTGAAGTTGGTGTTCCTCTAGACTTGGGACAGTGTTGTCGGGGCATCTCTGGAGTTGCCTGAAGGAAGTCAAGCCAGTGGTCGTGTTGAATGGGGAACTGGGGATGGCTCTGGAGTCAATGCAGGGGAATCGGGCCTCATCTCGAGTTGATTTGGGGCACATGGTGCTGCTTTGCATTGCTGGGATGACCTCAGGGTCCGTCTAGACTTGTGACAGTGTACTTGGGGACTGTCTCGAGATGCATTAAGCAAGTCGAAACTCCTGACGTGTTTGATGGGGATCAAGGAATAGCTCTGCATGCACTGCAGGGGAATGGGGCCTCATCTCGCCTCTAGGGGGAAGTCTCATGGTTTTTCTCGAGTTGCGGCGGGGACCTGGGGTATGTTCTCGAGTTACGGCGGGGATGGCCCTTCAAAACACGTGTTTATTCGGTGACGTCAGGACTCCTGTCTAGTAACGAGGGACACCTCAGGAATCTCTTCGAGGCTTGGCAAGGCAAAAGGGACGCTTCTCGAGGTTAGGCAGGGCACCCAAGGACCCTTTCCAGTAGCCACAGAGATTTTGGGATTCCTATCAGTATTCAAGAGGAGTCAGGCATCGTCACCTTTTGAAGCAGTGACTCCGTGTGCCTCTCGAGGTGTCAACGGGATGTGAGGCATTCCGTCAAAATGATGCAGGGACCTAGGGCTTTCTCTAAGGTCTCCACAGGGGATTCAGACATGCCTTCCTGTTGTGAGGTGAAAGACGAGACTGTATTCAAACCACTGCAAGGAAATGTGGCCTCATTGCAAGTTAGGGCTTCTCGCTGTATATTCCACTTGAGGCAGCACACGCGGGGTCCCTCCCACATACCTATTGCTGAGAGAAGCCTCCTCATGAGGTGCTTCTGGAAATTTGGCATACGACTTGAGCTTAAGCCAGGGAATCAGCTCTCATGTCGAGACGATTTGGGGTACACGGAGCATTCCTCGAGTTGCTGTGCCGAAGTTGGTGTTCCTCTAGACTTGTGACAGTGTTCTTTGGGCATCTCTGGAGTTGTCTGAAGGAAGTCAAGCCACTGGTCGTGCTTAATGGGGAATGGGTGATGGCTCTGAAGTCAATGCAGGGGAATCGGGCCTCATCTCGTTTTGATTTGAGGCACATGGAGCTGCTTTGAGTTGCTGATGTGACCTCAGTGTCCGTCTAGACTTGTGACAGTGTTCTTGGGGACTCTCCCAAGATCCATTAAGCAAGTCGAAGCTCCTGACTTGTTTGATGGGGATCAGGGAATAGTTCTGCAAGCACTGCAGGGGAATGGGGCCTCATCTCGCCTCTAGGGGAAAGTCTCATGGTTTTTCTCGAGTTGCGGCGGGGACCTGGGGTATGTTCTCGAGTTACGGCGGGGATGGCCCTTCAAAACACGTGTTTATTCGGTGACGTCAGGACTCCTGTCTAGTAACGAGGGACACCTCAGGAATCTCTTCGAGGCTTGGCAAGGCAAAAGGGACGCTTCTCGAGGTTAGGCAGGGCACCCAAGGACCCTTTCCAGTAGCCACAGAGATTTTGGGATTCCTATCAGTATTCAAGAGGAGTCAGGCATCGTCACCTTTTGAAGCAGTGACTCCGTGTGCCTCTCGAGGTGTCAACGGGATGTGAGGCATTCCGTCAAAATGATGCAGGGACCTAGGGCTTTCTCTAAGGTCTCCACAGGGGATTCAGACATGCCTTCCTGTTGTGAGGTGAAAGACGAGACTGTATTCAAACCACTGCAAGGAAATGTGGCCTCATTGCAAGTTAGGGCTTCTCGCTGTATATTCCACTTGAGGCAGCACACGCGGGGTCCCTCCCACATACCTATTGCTGAGAGAAGCCTCCTCATGAGGTGCTTCTGGAAATTTGGCATACGACTTGAGCTTAAGCCAGGGAATCAGCTCTCATGTCGAGACGATTTGGGGTACACGGAGCATTCCTCGAGTTGCTGTGCCGAAGTTGGTGTTCCTCTAGACTTGTGACAGTGTTCTTTGGGCATCTCTGGAGTTGTCTGAAGGAAGTCAAGCCACTGGTCGTGCTTAATGGGGAATGGGTGATGGCTCTGAAGTCAATGCAGGGGAATCGGGCCTCATCTCATTTTGATTTGAGGCACATGGAGCTGCTTTGAGTTGCTGATGTGACCTCAGTGTCCGTCTAGACTTGTGACAGTGTTCTTGGGGACTCTCCCAAGATCCATTAAGCAAGTCGAAGCTCCTGACTTGTTTGATGGGGATCAGGGAATAGTTCTGCAAGCACTGCAGGGGAATTGAGCCTCATCTCGCATCTAGGGGAAAGTCTCTTTGATTTTTTGAGTTTCGGTGGGGACCTGGGATATGTTTTCGAGTTACAGGGGGGATGGCCCTTCAAAACACGTGTTTATTCAGTGACGTCAGGACTCCTTTCTAGTAACGAGGACACCTCAGGATTCTCTCCGAGACTTGGCAGGGCAAAAGGGACGCTTCTTGAGATGAGGCAGGGCACGAAGGACACTTTCCAGTAGCCAGATGGGTTTTGGGATTCCTATCAATATTCAAGACGGGTCAGGCATCGTCACCTTTTGAAGCAGTGAACTCCGTGTGCCTCTCGAGGTGTCACCAGGATGTGAGGCATTCCGTCAAAATGAGGCAGGGACCTAGGCTTTGTCTAAAGTTTCCAAGGGAATTCAGATATCGCTTTATGTTGTTAGACGAAAGGCGAGGCTGTATTCAAAGCACTGCAAAGAAATCAGGTTCATTTCAAGTTAGGGCTTCTCACTGTATATTCCACTTGAGGCACCAAACTCGGGGTCCCTCCCACATACCTATTGCTGAGAGAAGCCTCCTCATGAGGTGCTACTGGAAAATTGGCACAGGCCTTGAGCTTAAGCCAGGGAATCAGCTCTCTTCTCGAGACGATTTGGGGTACACGGAGCATTCCTCGAGGTGCTGTGCTGAAGTTGGTGTTTCTCTAGACTTGGGACAGTGTTGTCGGGCAACTCTGGAGTTGCCTGAAGGAAGTCAAGCCACTGGTCGTGTTAAATGGGGAACTGGGGATAGCTCTGGAGTCAATGCAGGGGAATCGGGCCTCATCTCGTGTTGATTTGGGGCACATGGAGCTGCTTTGCATTGCTGGGATGACCTCAGGGTCCGTCTAGACTTGTGACAGTGTACTTGGGGACTGTCTCGAGATGCATTAAGCAAGTCGAAACTCCTGACTTGTTTGATGGGGATCAAGGAATAGCTCTGCATGCACTGCAGGGGAATGAGGCCTCCTCTCGCCTCTAGGGGGAAGTATCATGGTTTTTCTCGAGTTGCGGCGGGGACCTGGGGTATGTTCTCGAGTTACGGCGGGGATGGCCCTTCAAAACACGTGTTTATTCGGTGACGTCAGGACTCCTGTCTAGTAACGAGGGACACCTCAGGAATCTCTTCGAGGCTTGGCAGGGCAAAAGGGACGCTTCTCGAGGTTAGGCAGGGAACCCAAGGACCCTTTCCAGTAGCCACAGGGATTTTGGGATTCCAATTAGTATTCAAGAGGGGTCAGGGATCATCACCTTTTGAAGCAGTGAAGTCCGTGTGCCTCTCGAGGTGTCAATGGGATGTGAGGCATTCCGTCAAAATGAGGCAGTTACCTAGGGCTTTCTCTAAGGTCTCCACAGGGGATTCAGACATCCCTTCCTGTTGTGAGATGAAAGACGAGCCTGTATTCAAGCCACTGCAAGGAAATCCGGCCTCCTTTCTAGTTAGGGCTTCTCGCTGTATATTCCACTTGAGGCAGCAAACTCGGGGTCCCTCCCACATACCTATTGGTGAGAGAAGCCTCCTCTTGAGGTGATTCCTGAAAGTTGGCATACGTCTTGAGCCGAAGACAGAGAATCAGCTCTCATCTCGAGACTTTTTGGGGTACACGGAGCTTTCCTCGAGATTCTTTGCTGAAATTGGTGTTCCTCTAGACTTGGGAAATTGTTGTCGTGGCATCTCTGTAGTTGCCTGAAGGAAGTCAAGCCACTGGTGGTGTGGAATGGGGAACGGGGGATGTCTCTGGATTCAATGCACGGGAATCGGGCCTCATTTCGAGCTGATTTGGGGCACATGGAGCTGCTGTGCGTTGCTGGGGTGACCCCAGGGTCCGTCTAGACTTGTGACAGTGTTCTTCGGGACTGTCTCGAGATCATTTAAGCAAGTCGAAGCTCCTGACTTGTTTGATGGGAATCACGGAATAGCTCTGCATGCACTGCAGGGGAATGGGGCCGCATCTCGCCTATAGGGGGAAGTCTCATGGTTTTTCTCGAGTTGCGGTGGTGACCTGGGGTATGTACTCGAGTTAACGGGGGATGGCCCTTCAAAACACCTGTTTATTCAGTGACGTCAGGATTCCTGTCTAGTAACGAGGGACACCTCAAGAAACTCTTCGAGGCTTGGCAGGGCAAAAGGGACGCTACTCGAGGTGAGGCGGGGCACACAAGGACACTTTCCAATAGCCTAGGGATTTTCGGATTCCTATCAGTATTCAAGACGGGTCAGGCATCATCACCTTTTGAAGCAGTGAACTCCGTGTGCCTCTCGAGGTGTCAATGGGATGTGAGGCAGTTCCGTCAAAATGAGGCAGGGACCTAGGGCTTTCTCTAAGGTCTCCACAGGGGATTCAGACATCCCTTCCTGTTATGAGATGAAAGACGAGCCTGTATTCAAGCCACTGCAAGGAAATCCGGCCACCTTTCAAGTTAGGGCTTCTCGCTGTATATTCCCCTAGAGGCAGCAAACTCAGGGTCCCTCCCACATACCTATTGCTGAGAGAAGCCTCCTCCTGAGGTGCTTCTGGAAAGTTGGCATACGTCTTGAGCCTAAGCCAGGGAATCAGCTCTCATCTCGAGACGATTTGGGGTATACCGAGCATTCCTCGAGTTGCTGTGCTGAAGTTGGTGTTCCTCTAGACTTGGGACAGTCTTCCCAGGGCATCTCTGGAGTTGCCTGAAGGAAGTCAAGCCACTGGTGGTTTTGAATGTGGAAAGGGGGATTGCTCTGGAGTCAATGAACGGGAATCGCGCCTCACCTCGAGTTGATTTGGGGTACCTGCAGCTGCTGTGCGTTGCTGGACTGACCTCAGGGTCCGTCTAGACTTGTGACAGTGTTCTTGGGGACTGTCTAGAGATCCATTAAGCAAGTCGAAGCTCCTGACTTGTTTGATGGGGATCACGGAATAGCTCTGCGTGCACTGCAGGGGAAGGGGGCCTCATCTCGCCTCTAGGGGGAAGTCTCATGGTTTTTCTCAAGTTGCGGCGGGGACCTGGGGTATGTTCTCGACTTACGGCGGGGATTGCCCTTCAAAACACGTGTTTATTCAGTGACGTCAGGACTCCTGTCTAGTAACGAGGGACACCTCAGGAATCTCTTCCAGGCTTTGCAGGGCACAAGGGACGCTTCTCGAGGTGAGGCAGGGCACTCAAGCACCCTTTCCAGTAGCCACAGGGATTTTGGGATTCCTATCTGTAGTCAAGAGGAGTCAGGCTTCGTCACCTTTTGAAGCAGTGAACTCCGCATGACTCTCGAGGTGTCAACGGGATGTGAGGCATTCCGTCAAAATGATGCAGGGACGTAGGGCTTTCTCTAAGGTCTCCACAGTCGATTCAGACATGCCTTCCTGTTGTGAGATGAAAGACGAGCCTGTATTCAAGCCACTGCAAGGAAATCCGGCCTCCTTTCAAGTTAGGGCTTCTCGCTGTATATTACACTTGAGGCAGCAAACTCGGGGACCCTCCCACATACCTATTGCTGAGAGAAGCCTCCTCCTGAGGTGCTTCTGGAAAGTTGGCATACGAGTTGAGCCTAAGCCAGGGAATTAGCTCTCATCTCGACACGATTTGGGGTACACGTAGCATTCCTCGAGTTGCTGTGCTAAAGTTGGTGTTCCTCTAGACTTGGGACAGTGTTCCTGGGGCATCTCTGGAGCTGCCTGAAGGAAGTCAAGACACTGGTCGTGTTGAATGGGGAACGGGGGATGGCTCTGGAGTCAATGAAGGGGAATCGGGCTTCATCTCGTGTTGATATGGGGCACATGGAGCTGCTTTGCGTTGCTGCAGTGACCTCAGGGTCCGTCTAGACTTGTGACAGTGTTCTTGGGGACTGTCTCGTGATCCATTAAGCAAGTCAAAACTCCTGACTTGTTTGCTGGGGAACACGGAATAGCTCTGCATGCACTGCAGGGGAATGGGGCTTCATCTCGCCTCTAGGGGGAAGTCTCATGGCTTTTCTGGAGTGGCGGCAGGGACCTGGGGTATGTTCTAGAGTTACGGCGGGGATGGCCCTTCAAAACACTTGTTTATTCAGTGACGTCAGGACTCCGGTGTAGTAACGAGGGACACCTCAGGAATGTCTGGGTGGTTTGGCAGGGCAAAAAGGACGCTTCTCGAGGTGAGGCAGGGCACCCAAGGACGCTTTCCAGTAGCCACAGAGATTTTGGGATTCCTATTAGTATTCCAGAGGAGTCAGGCATCGTCACCTTTTGAAGCAGTGACTCCGCGTGCCTCTCGAGGTGTCAACGGGATGTGAGGCATTCCGTCAAAATGATGCAGGGACCTAGGGCTTTCTCTAAGGTCTCCACAGGGGATTCAGACAACCCTTCAGGTTGTGAGATGAAAGACGAGACTGTATTCAAACCACTGCAAAGAAATCTGGCCTCATTGCAAGTTAGGGCTTCTCGCTGTATATTCCACTTGAGGTAGCACACGCGGGGTCCCTCCCACATAACTATTGCTGAGAGAAGCCTCCTCCTGAGGTGCTTCTGGAAAGTTGGCACAGGTCTTGAGCTTAAGCCAGGGAATCAGCTCTCATGTCGAGACGATTTGGGGTACACGGAGCATTCCTCGAGTTGCTGTGCCGAAGTTGGTGTTCCTCTAGACTTGTGACGGTGTTTCTCTAGACTTTTGACAGTGTTCTTGGGGCATCTCTGGAGTTGCCTGAAGGAAGTCAAGCCACTGGTCGTGCTTAGTGGGGAATGGGTGATGGCTCTGAAGTCAATGCAGGGGAATCGGGCCTAATCTCGATTTGATTTGAGGCACATGGAGCTGCTTTGCGTTGCTGATATGACCTCAGTGTCCGTCTAGACTTGTGACTGTGTTCTTGGGGACTCTCCCAAAATCCATTAAGCAAGTCGAAGCTCCTGACTTGTTTGATGGGGATCAGGGAATAGTTCTGCATGCACTGCAGGGGAATTGGGCCTCATCTCGCATCTAGGGGAAAGTCTCATTGATTTTCTTGAGTTTCGGCGGGGACCTGGGATATGTTTTCGAGTTATAGCGGGGATGGCCCTTCAAAACACATGTTTATTCAGTGACGTCAGGACTCCTGTCTAGTAACGAGGACACCTCAGGATTCTCTCCGAGACTTGGGAGGGAAAAAGGGACGCTTCTTGAGATGAGGCAGGGCACGAAGGACACTTTCCAGTAGCCAGACGGATTTTGGGATTCCTATCAATATTCAAGAGGGGTCAGGCATCGTCACCTTTTGAAGCAGTGAACTCCGCGTGCCTCTCGAGGTGTCACCGGGATGTGAGGCATTCCGTCAAAATGAGGCAGGGACCTAGGCTTTGTCTAAAGTTTCCAAGGGGAATTCAGATATCGCTTTATGTTGTTAGACGGAAGGCGAGCCTGTATTCAAAGCACTGCAAGGAAATCAGGTTCATTTCAAGTTAGGGCTTCTCGCTGTATATTCCACTTGAGGCAGCAAACTCTGGGTCCCTCCCACATACCTATTGCTGAGAGAAGCCTCCTCATGAGGTGCTACTGGAAAATTGGCACAGGCCTTGAGCTTAAGCCAGGGAATCAGCTCCCTTCTCGAGACTATTTGGGGTACACGGAGCATTCCTCGAGGTGCTGTGCTGAAGTTGGTGTTCCTCTAGACTTGGGAGAGTGTTCTCAGGGGCATCTCTGGAGTTGCCTGAAGGAAGTCAACCCACTGGTCGTGTTGAATGGGGAACTGGGGATAGCTCTGGAGTCAATGCAGGAGAATCGGGCCTCATCTCGAGTTGATTTGGGGCACATGGAGCTGCTTTACGTTGCTGGGATGACCTCAGGGTCCATCTAGACTTGTGACAGTGTACTTGGGGACTGTCTCGAGATGTATTAAGCAAGTCGAAACTCCTGACTTGTTTGATGGGGAACAAGGAATAGCTCTGCATGCACTGCAGGGGAATGGGGCCTCATCTCGCCTCTAGTGGGAAGTCTCATGGTTTTTCTCGAGTTGCAGCGGGGACCTGGGGTATGTTCTCGAGTTACGGCGGGGATGGCCCTTCAAAACACGTGTTTATTCGGTGACGTCAGGACTCCTGTCTAGTAACGAGGGACACCTCAGGAATCTCTTCGAGGCTTGGCAAGGCAAAATGGACGCTTCTCGAGGTTAGGCAGGGCACCCAAGCACCCTTTCCAGTAGCCACAGGGATTTTCGGATTCCTATTAGTATTCAAGAGGGGTCAGGCATCATCACCTTTTGAAGCAGTGAACGCCGCTTGACTCTCGAGGTGTCACCGGGATGTGAGGCATTCCGTCACAATGAGGTAGTTACCTAGGGCTTTCTCTAAGGTCTCCACAGGGGATTCAGACATCCCTTCCTGTTGTGAGATGTAAGTCGAGCCTCTATTCAAGCCACTGCAAGGAAATCTGGCCTCCTTTCAAGTTATGGCTTCTCTCTGTATATTCCACTTGAGGCATGAAACTCGGAGTCCCTCCCACATACCTATAGCTGAGAGAAGCCTCCTCTTGAGGTGCTTCTGGAAAGTTGGCATACGTCTTGAGTCTAAGTCAGGGAATCAGCTCTCATCTCGAGACGATATGGGGTACACGGAGCATTCCTCGAGTTGCTGTGCTGAAGTTGGTGTTCCTCTAGACTTGGGACAGTGTTCTCGGGGCATCTCTGGAGTTGCCTGAAGGACGTCAAGCCACTGGTGGTGTTGAAAGGGGAACGGGGGATGGCTCTGGAGTCAATGCAGGGGAATCGGGCCTCATCTCGAGTTGATTTGGGGCACATGGAGCTGCTGTGCGTTGCTGGGGTGACCTCAGGGTCCGTCTATACTTGTGACAGTGTTCTTGGGGACTGTCTCGTGATCCATTAAGCAAGTCAAAACTCCTGACTTGTTTGCTGGGGAACACAGAATAGCTTTGCATGCACTGCAGGGGAATGGGGCTTCATCTCGCCTCTAGGGGGAAGTCTCATGGTTTTTCTCGAGTTGCGGCGGGGACCTGGGGTATGTTCTCGAGTTACGGCGGGGATGGCCCTTCAAAACACGTGTTTATTCAGTGGCGTCAGGACTCCGGTGTAGTAACGAGGGACACCTCAGGAATCTCTTCGAGGCTTGGCAGGGCAAAAGGGACGCTTCTCGAGGTGAGGCAGGGCACCCACGGACGCTTTCCAGTAGCCACAGAGATTTTGGGATTCCTATTAGTATTCAAGAGGGGTCAGGTATAATCACCTTTTGAAGCAGTGAACTCCGTGTGCCTCTCGAGGTGTCAATGGGATGTGAGGCATTCCGTCAAAATGAGGCAGGGACCTAGGGCTTTCTCTAAGGTCTCCACAGGGGATTCAGACATCCCTTCCTGTTGTGAAATGAAAGACGAGCCTGTATTCAAGCCACTGCAAGGAAATCCGGCCTCATTGCAACTTAGGGCTTCTCGCTGTTTATTCCACTTGAGGCAGGAAACTCGGGGTCCCTCCCACATACCTATTGCTGAGAGAAGCCTCCTCTTGAGGTGCTTCTGGAAAGTTGGCATACGTCTTGAGCCTAAGTCAGGGAATCAGCTCTCATCTCGAGACTATATGGGGTACACGGAGCATTCCTCGAGTTTCTGTGCTAAAGTTGGTGTTCCTCTAGACTTGGGACAGTGTTCTCGGGGCATCTCTGGAGTCGCCTGAAGGACGTCAAGCCACTGGTGGTGTTGAAAGGGGAACGGGGGATGGCTCTGGAGTCAATGCAGGGGAATCGGGCCTCATCTCAAGTTGATTTGGGGCACATGGAGCTGCTGTGCGTTGCTGGGGTGACCTCAGGGTCCGTCTATACTTGTGACAGTGTTCTTGGGGACTGTCTCGAGATCCATTAAGCAAGTCGAACCTCCTGACTTCTTTGATGGGGATTACGGAATATCTCTGCATCCACTGCAGGGGAAGGGGGCCTCATCTCGCCTCTAGGGGGAAGTCTCATGGTTTTTCTCGAGTGGCGGCGGGGACCTGGGGTATGTTCTCGACTTACAGCGGGGATGGCCCTTCAAAACACGAGTTTCTTCAGTGACGTCAGGACTCCTATCTAGTAACGAGGGACACCTCAGGAATATCTTCGAGGCTTGGCAGGGCACAAGGGACGCTTCTCGAGGAGAGCCAGTGCACTTAAGCACCCTTTCCAGTAGCCACAGTGATTTTGGGATTCCTATCAGTTGTCAAGAGGAGTCAGGCATCGTCACCTTTTGAAGCAGTGAACTCTGCTTGACTCTCGAGGTGTCAACGGGATGTGAGGCATTCCGTCAAAATGATGCAGGGACCTAGGGCTTTCTCTAAGGTCTCCACAGGGGATTCAGACATGCCTTCCTGTTGTGAGAAGAAAGGCGAGCCTGTATTAAAAGCACTGAAAGGAAATCAGGTTCATTTCAAGTTAGGGCTTCTCGCTGTATATTCCACTTGAGGCAGCAAACTCGGGGTCCCTCCCACATACCTATTGCTGAGAGAAGCCTCCTCATGAGGTGCTTCTGGAAAATTGGCACAGGCCTTGAGCTTAAGCCAGGGAATCAGCTCTCTTCTCGAGACGATTTGGGGTACACGGAGCATTCCTCGAGGTGCTGTGCTGAAGTTGGTGTTCCTCTGGACTTGGGAGAGTGTTCTCAGGGCATCTCTGGAGTTGCCTGAAGGAAGTCAAGCCACTGGTCGTGTTGAATGGGGAACTGGAGATAGCTCTGGAGTCAATGCAGGGGAATCGGGCCTCATCTCGAGTTGATTTTGGGCACATGGAGCTGCTTTGCGTTGCTGGGATGACCTCAGAGTCCGTCTAGACTTGTGACAGTGTACTCGGGGACTGTCTCGAGATGCATTAAGCAAGTCGAAACTCCTGACTTGTTTGATGGGGATCAAGGAATAGCTCTGCATGCACTGCAGGGGAATGGGGCCTCATCTCGCCTCTAGGGGGAAGTCTCATGGTTTTTCTCGAGTTGCGGCGGGGACCTGGGGTATGTTCTCGAGTTATGGCGGGGATGGCCCTTCAAAACACGTGTTTATTCGGTGACGTCAGGACTCCTGTCTAGTAACGAGGGACACCTCATGAATCTCTTCGAGGCTTGGCAAGGCAAAATGGACGCTTCTCGAGGTTAGGCAGGGCACCCAAGAACCCCTTCCAGTAGCCACAGGGATTTTCGGATTCCTATTAGTATTCAAGAGGGGTCAGGCATCATCACCTTTTGAAGCAATGAACTCCGTTTGCCTCTCGAGGTGTCAATGGGATGTGAGGCATTCCGTCAAAATGAGGCAGTTACCTAGGGCTTTCTCTAAGGTCTCCATAGGGGATTCAGACATCCCTTCCTGTTGTGAGATGAAAGACGAGCCTGTATTCAAGCCACTGCAAGGAAATCCGGCCTCCTTTCAAGTTATGGCTTCTCGCTGTATATTCCACTTGAGGCAGCAAACTCGGGGTCCCTCCCACATACCTATTGCTGAGAGAAGCCTCCTCCTGAGGTGCTTCTGGAAAGTTGGCATACGTCTTGAGCCTAAGCCAGGGAATCAGCTCTCATCTCGAGACGATTTGGGGTACACGGAGGATTCCTCGAGTTGCTGTGCTGAAGTTGGTGTTCCTCTAGACTTGGGACAGTGTTCTCGGGGCATCTCTGGAGTTGCCTGAAGGAAGTCGAGCCACCGGTCGTGTTGAATGGGGAACGGGGAATGGCTCTGGAGTCAACGCATGGGAATCGGGCCTCATCTCGAGTTGATTTGGGGCACATGGAGCTGCTTTGCGTTGCTGGGGTGACCTCAGGGTCCGTCTAGAATGGTGACAGTGTTCTTGGGGACTGTCTCGAGACCCATTAAGCAAGTCAAAGCTCCTGACTTGTTTGAATGGGATCACGGAATAGCTCTGCATGCACTGCAGGGGAATGGGGCCTCATCTCGCCTCTAGGGGGAAGTCTCATGGTTTTTCTCGAGTTGCGGCGGGGACCTGGGATATGTTCTCGACTTACGGCGGGGATGGCCCTTCAAAACACTAGTTTCTTCAGTGACGTCAGGACTCCTGTCTAGTAACGAGGGACACCTCAGGAATCTCTTCCAGGCTTGGCAGGGCAAAAGGGACGCATCTCGAGGTGAGGCAGGGCACCCAAGGACCCTTTCCAGTAGCCACAGGGATTTTGGGATTCCTATCAGTATTCAAGAGGAGTCAGGCATCATCACCTTTTGAAGCAATGAACTCTGCGTGCCTCTCGAGGTTTCAGCGGGATGTGAGGCATTCCGTCAAAATGAGGCAGGGACCTAGGGCTTTCTCTAAGGTCTCCACAGGGGATTCAGACAACCCTTCAGGTTTTGAGATCAAAAACGAGCCTGTATTCTAGCCACTGCAAGGAAATCCGGCCTCCTTTCAAGTTAGGGCTTCTCGCTGTATATTCCCCTGGAGGCAGCAAATTCGGGGTCCCTCCCACATAGCTATTACTGAGAGAAGCCTCCTCCTGAGGTGCTTCTGGAAAGTTGGCATACGACTTGAGCTTAAGCCAGGGAATCAGCTCTCATCTCGAGATGATTTGGGGTACACGGAGCATTCCTCGAGTTGCTGTGCTGAAGTTGGTGTTCCTCTAGACTTCGGACAGTGTTCCCGGGGCATCTCTGGAGTTGCCTGAAGGAAGTCGAGCCACCGGTCGTGTTGAATGGGGAACGGGGAATGGCTCTGGAGTTAATGCAGGGGAATCGGGCCTCATCTCGAGTTGATTTGGGGCACATGGAGCTGCTTTTCGTTGCTGGGGTTACCACAGGGTCCGTCTAGACTGGTGACAGTGTTCTTGGGGACTGTCTCGAGATCCATTAAGCAAGTCGAAGCTCCTGACTTGTTTGAATGGGATCACGGAATAGCTCTGCATGCACTGCAGGGGAATGGGGCCTCATCTCGCCTCTAGGGGGAAGTCTCATGGTTTTTCTCGAGTTGCGGCGGGGACCTGGGGTATGTTCTCAACTTACGGCGGGGATGGCCCTTCAAAACACGAGTTTCTTCAGTGACGTCAGGACTCCTGTCTAGTAACGAGGGACACCTCAGGAATCTCTTCGCGGCTTGGAAGGGCAAAAGGGACGCTTCTCGAGGTGAGGCAGGGCACCCAAGGACCCTTTCCAGTAGCCACAGGGATTTTGGTATTCCTATCAGTATTCAAGAGGAGTCAGGCATCGTCACCTTTTGAAGCAATGAACTCTGCATGCCTCTCGAGGTGTCAGCGGGATGTGAGGCATTCCGTCAAAATGAGGCTGGGACCTAGGGCTTTCTCTAAGGTCTCCACAGGGGATTCAGACATCCCTTCATGTTGTGAGATGAAACACGACCCTGTATTCAAGCCACTGTAAGGAAATCCGGCCTCCTTTCAAGTTAGGGCTTCTCGCTGTATATTCCCCTTGAGGCAGCAAACTCGGGGTCCCTCCCACATACCTATTGCTGAGAGAAGCCTCCTCCTGAGGTGCTTCTGGAAAGTTGGCATTCGTCTTGAGCCTAAGCCAGGGAATCAGCTCTCATCTCGAGACGATTTGGGGTACACGGAGCATTCCTCGAGTTGCTGTGCTGAAGTTGGTGTTCCTCTAGACTGGGACAGTGTTCCCGGGGCATCTCTGGAGTTGCCTGAAGGAAGTCGAGCCACCGATCGTGTTGAATGGGGAACGGGGAATGGCTCTGGAGTCAATGCAGGGGAATCGGGCCTCATCTCGAGTTAATTTGGGGCACATGAGCTGCTTTGCGTTGCTGGGGTGACCTCAGGGTCCGTCTAGACTGGTGAAAGTGTTCTTGGGGACTGTCTCGAGATCCATTATACAAGTCGATGCTCCTGACTTGTTTGAATGGCATCACAGAATAGCTCTGCATGCACTGCAGGGGAATGGGGCCTCATCTCGCCTCTAGGGGGAAGTATCATGGTTTTCCTCCAGTTGCTGCGGGGACTTGGGGTACGTTCTCGACTTACAGCGGGGATGGCCTTTCAAAACACGAGTTTCTTCAGTGACGTCAGGACTCCTGTCTAGTAACGAGGGACACCTCAGGAATCTCTTCGAGGCTTGGCAGGGCAAAAGGGACGCTTCTCGAGGTGAGGCAGGGCACCCAAGGACCCTTTCCAGTAGCCACAGGGATTTTGGGATTCCTATCAGTATTCAAGAGGAGTCAGGCATCGTCACCTTTTGAAGCAATGAACTCCGCGTGCCTCTCGAGGTGTCAACTGGAGGTGAGGCATTCCGTCAAAATGAGGCAGGGACCTAGGGCTTTCTCTAAGGTCTCCACAGGGGATTCAGACAACCCTTCAGGTTTTGAGATCAAAGACGAGCCTGTATTCTAGCCACTGGAAGGAAATCCGGCCTCCTTTCAAGTTAGGGCTTCTCGCTGTATATTCCCCTTGAGGCAGCAAACTCGGGGTCCCTCCCACATACCTATTACTGAGAGAAGCCTCCTCCTGAGGTGCTTCTGGAAAGTTGGCATACGACTTGAGCTTAAGCCAGGGAATCAGCTCTCATCTCGAGATGATTTGGGGTACACGGAGCATTCCTCGAGTTGCTGTGCTGAAGGTGGTGTTCCTCTAGCCTTGGACAGTGTTCTCGGGGCATCTCTGGAGTTGCCTGAAGGAAATCGAGCCACCGGTCGTGTTGAATGGGGAACTGGGAATGGCTCTGGAGTCAATGCAGGGGAATCGGGCCTCATCTCGAGTTGATTTGGGGCACATGGAGCTGCTTTGCGTTGCTGGGGTTACCACAGGGTCCGTCTAGACTGGTGACAGTGTTCTTGGGGACTGTCTCGAGATCCATTAAGCAAGTCGAAGCTCCTGACTTGTTTCAATGGGATCACGGAATAGCTCTGCATGCACTGCAGGGGAATGGGGCCTCATCTCGCCTCTAGGGGGAAGTCTCATGGTTTTTCCCGAGTTGTGGCGGGGACCTGGGGTATGTTCTCAACTTACGGCGGGGATGGCCCTTCAAAACACGAGTTTCTTCAGTGACGTCAGGACTCCAGTCTAGTAACGAGGGACACCTCAGGAATCTCTTCGCGGCTTGGAAGGGCAAAAGGGACGCTTCTCGAGGTGAGGCAGTGCACCCAAGGATCCTTTCCAGTAGCCACAGGGATTTTGGGATTCCTATGAGTATTCAGGAGGAGTCAGGCATCGTCACCTTTTGAAGCAATGAACTCTGCGTGCCTCTCGAGGTGTCAGCGGGATGTGAGGCATTCCGTCAAAATGAGGCAGGGACCTAGGGCTTTCTCTAAGGTCTCCACAGGGGATTCAGACATCCCTTCATGTTGTGAGATGAAAGACGAGCCTGTATTCAAGCCACTGCAAGGAAATCCGTCCTCCTTTCAAGTTAGGGCTTCTCGCTGTATATTCCCCTTGAGGCAGCAAACTCGGGGTCCCTCCCACATACCTATTGCTGAGAGAAGCCTCCTCCTGAGGTGCTTCTGGAAAGTTGGCATACGTCTTGAGCCTAAGCCAGGGAATCAGCTCTCATCTCGAGACGTTTTGGGGTACACGGAGCATTCCTCGAGTTGCTGTGCTGAAGTTGGTGTTCCTCAAGACTTGGGACACTGTTCTCGGGGCATCTCTGGAGTTGCCTGAAGGAAGTCGAGCCACTGGTCGTGTTGAATGGGGAACGGGGAATGGCTCTGGAGTCAATGCAGGGGAATCGGGCCTCATCTCGAGTTGATTTGGGGCACATGGAGCTGCTTTGCGTTGCTGGGGTGACCTCAGGGTCCGTCTAGACTGGTGAAAGTGTTCTAGGGGACTGTCTCGAGATCCATTATACAAGTCGATGCTCCTGACTTTTTTGAATGGCATCACAGAATAGCTCTGCATGCACTGCAGGGGAATGGGGCCTCATCTCGCCTCTAGGGGGAAGTCTCATGGTTTTTCCCGAGTTGTGGCGGGGACCTGGGGTATGTTCTCAACTTACGGCGGGGATGGCCCTTCAAAACACGAGTTTCTTCAGTGACGTCAGAACTCCAGTCTAGTAACGAGGGACACCTCAGGAATCTCTTCGCGGCTTGGAAGGGCAAAAGGGACGCTTCTCGAGGTGAGGCAGTGCACCCAAGGATCCTTTCCAGTAGCCACAGGGATTTTGGGATTCCTATCAGTATTCAAGAGGAGTCAGGCATCGTCACCTTTTGAAGCAATGAACTCTGCGTGCCTCTCGAGGTGTCAGCGGGATGTGAGGCATTCCGTCAAAATGAGGCAGGGACCTAGGGCTTTCTCTAAGGTCTCCACAGGGGATTCAGACATCCCTTCATGTTGTGAGATGAAAGACGAGCCTGTATTCAAGCCACTGCAAGGAAATCCGTCCCTCTTTCAAGTTAGGGCTTCTCGCTGTATATTCCCCTTGAGGCAGCAAACTCGGGGTCCCTCCCACATACCTATTGTTGAGAGAAGCCTCCTCCTGAGGTGCTTCTGGAAAGTTGGCATACGTCTTGAGCCTAAGCCAGGGAATCAGCTCTCATCTCGAGACGTTTTGGGGTACACGGAGCATTCCTCGAGTTGCTGTGCTGAAGTTGGTGTTCCTCAAGACTTGGGACACTGTTCTCGGGCATCTCTGGAGTTGCCTGAAGGAAGTCGAGCCACCGGTCGTGTTGAATGGGGAACGGGGAATGGCTCTGGAGTCAATGCAGGGGAATCGGGCCTCATCTCGAGTTGATTTGGGGCACATGGAGCTGCTTTGCGTTGCTGGGGTGACCTCAGGGTCCGTCTAGACTGGTGAAAGTGTTCTTGGGGACTGTCTCGAGATCCATTATACAAGTCGATGCTCCTGACTTGTTTGAATGGCATCACAGAATAGCTCTGCATGCACTGCAGGGGAATGGGGCCTCATCTCGCCTCTAGGGGGAAGTCTCATGGTTTTTCTCCAGTTGCGGCGGGGACTTGGGGTACGTTCTCGACTTACAGCGGGGATGGCCTTTCAAAACACGAGTTTCTTCAGTGACGTCAGGACTCCTGTCTAGTAACGAGGGACACCTCAGGAATCTCTTCGAGGCTTGGCAGGGCAAAAGGGACGCTTCTCGAGGTGAGGCAGGGCACCCAAGGACCCTTTCCAGTAGCCACAGGGATTTTGGGATTCCTATCAGTATTCAAGAGGAGTCAGGCATCGTCACCGTTTGAAGCAATGAACTCCGCGTGCCTCTCGAGGTGTCAACTGGAGGTGAGGCATTCCGTCAAAATGAGGCAGGGACCTAGGGCTTTCTCTAAGGTCTCCAAAGGGGATTCATACAACCCTTCAGGTTTTGAGATCAAAGACGAGCCTGTATTCTAGCCACTCCAAGGAAATCCGGCCTCCTTTCAAGTTAGGGCTTCTCGCTGTATATTCCCCTGGAGGCAGCAAACTCGGGGTCCCTCCCACATACCTATTACTGAGAGAAGCCTCCTCCTGAGGTGCTTCTGGAAAGTTGGCATACGACTTGAGCTTAAGCCAGGGAATCAGTTCTCATCTCGAGATGATTTGGGGTACACGGAGCATTCCTCGAGTTGCTGTGCTGAAGGTGGTGTTCCTCTAGCCTTGGACAGTGTTCTCGGGGCATCTCTGGACTTGCCTGAAGGAAGTCGAGCCACCGGTCGTGTTGAATGGGGAACTGGGAATGGCTCTGGAGTCAATGCAGGGGAATCGGGCCTCATCTCGAGTTGATTTGGGGCACATGGAGCTGCTTTGCGTTGCTGGGGTTACCACAGGGTCCGTCTAGACTGGTGACAGTGTTCTTGGGGACTGTCTCGAGATCCATTAAGCAAGTCGAAGCTCCTGACTTGTTTCAATGGGATCACGGAATAGCTCTGCATGCACTGCAGGGGAATGGGGCCTCATCTCGCCTCTAGGGGGAAGTCTCATGGTTTTTCCCGAGTTGTGGCGGGGACCTGGGGTATGTTCTCAACTTACGGCGGGGATGGCCCTTCAAGACACGAGTTTCTTCAGTGACGTCAGGACTCCAGTCTAGTAACGAGGGACACCTCAGGAATCTCTTCGCGGCTTGGAAGGGCAAAAGGGACGCTTCTCGAGGTGAGGCAGGGCACCCAAGGATCCTTTCCAGTAGCCACAGGGATTTTGGGATTCCTATGAGTATTCAGGAGGAGTCAGGCATCGTCACCTTTTGAAGCAATGAACTCTGCGTGCCTCTCGAGGTGTCAGCGGGATGTGAGGCATTCCGTCAAAATGAGGCAGGGACCTAGGGCTTTCTCTAAGGTCTCCACAGGGGATTCAGACATCCCTTCATGTTGTGAGATGAAACACGAGCCTGTATTCAAGCCACTGCAAGGAAATCCGTCCTCCTTTCAAGTTAGGGCTTCTCGCTGTATATTCCCCTTGAGGCATCAAACTCGGGGTCCCTCCCACATACCTATTGCTGAGAGAAGCCTCCTCCTGAGGTGCTTCTGGAAAGTTGGCATACGTCTTGAGCCTACGCCAGGGAATCAGCTCTCATCTCGAGACGTTTTGGGGTACACGGAGCATTCCTCGAGTTGCTGTGCTGAAGTTGGTGTTCCTCAAGACTTGGGACACTGTTCTCGGGGCATCTCTGGAGTTGCCTGAAGGAAGTCGAGCCACCGGTCGTGTTGAATGGGGAACGGGGAATGGCTCTGGAGTCAATGCAGGGGAATCGGGCCTCATCTCGAGTTGATTTGGGGCACATGGAGCTGCTTTGCGTTGCTGGGGTGACCTCAGGGTCCATCTAGACGGGTGACAGTGTTCTTGGAGACTGTCTCGAGATCCATTAAGCAAGTCGAAGCTCCTGACTTGTTTGAATGGGATCACGGAATAGCTCTGCATGCTCTGCAGGGGAATGGGCCCTCATCTCGCCTCTAGGGGGAAGTCCTTTGGTTTTTGTCGAGTTGCGGCGGGGACCTGGGATATGTTCTCGACTTAAGGCGGGGATGGCCCTTCAAAACACGAGTTTCTTCAGTGACGTCAGGACTCCTGTCTAGTAACGAGGGACACCTCAGGAATCTCTTCGAGGCTTGGCAGTGCAAAAGGGACGCTTCTCGAGGTAAGGCAGGGCACCCAAGGACCCTTTCCAGAAGCCACAGGGATTTTGGGATTCCTATCAGTATTCAAGAGGAGTCAGGCATCGTCACCTTTTGAAGCAATGAACTCTGCGTGCCTCGCGAGGTGTCAACGGGAGGTGAGGCATTCCGTCGAAATGAGGCAGGGACCTAGGGCTTTCTCTAAGTTCTCCACAGGGGATTCAGACAACCTTCAGGTTTTGAGATCAAAGACCAGCCTGTATTCTAGCCACTGCAAGGAAATCCGGCCTCCTTTCAAGTTAGGGCTTCTCGCTGTATATTCCCCTGGAGGCAGCAAACTCGGGGTCCCTCCCACATACCTATTACTGAGAGAAGCCTCTTCCTGAGGTGCTTCTGGAAAGTTGGCATACGACTTGAGCTTAAGCCAGGGAATCAGCTCTCATCTCGAGATGATTTGGGGTACACGGAGCATTCCTCGAGTTGCTGTGCTGAAGGTGGTGTTCCTCTAGCCTTGGACAGTGTTCTCGGGGCATCTCTGGAGTTGCCTGAAGGAAGTCGAGCCACCGGTCGTGTTGAATGGGGAACTGGGAATGGCTCTGGAGTCAATGCAGGGGAATCGGGCCTCATCTCGAGTTGATTTGGGGCACATGGAGCTGCTTTGCGTTGCTGGGGTTACCACAGGGTCCGTCTAGACTGGTGACAGTGTTCTTGGGGACTGTCTCGAGATCCATTAAGCAAGTTGAAGCTCCTGACTTGTTTCAATGGGATCACGGAATAGCTCTGCATGCACTGCAGGGGAATGGGGCCTCATCTCGCCTCTAGGGGGAAGTCTCATGGTTTTTCCCGAGTTGTGGCGGGGACCTGGGGTATGTACTCAACTTATGGCGGGGATGGCCCTTCAAAGCACGAGTTTCTTCAGTGACGTCAGGACTCCAGTCTAGTAACGAGAGACACCTCAGGAATCTCTTCGCGGCTTGGAAGGGCAAAAGGGACGCTTCTCGAGGTGAGGCAGGGCACCCAAGGATCCTTTCCAGTAGCCACAGGGATTTTGGGATTCCTATGAGTATTCAGGAGGAGTCAGGCATCGTCACCTTTTGAAGCAATGAACTCTGCGTGCCTCTCGAGGTGTCAGCGGGATGTGAGGCATTCCGTCAAAATGAGGCAGGGACCTAGGGCTTTCTCTAAGGTCTCCACAGGGGATTCAGACATCCCTTCATGTTGTGAGATGAAACACGAGCCTGTATTCAAGCCACTGCAAGGAAATCCGTCCTCCTTTCAAGTTAGGGCTTCTCGCTGTATATTCCCCTTGAGGCAGCAAACTCGGGGTCCCTCCCACATACCTATTGCTGAGAGAAGCCTCCTCCTGAGGTGCTTCTGGAAAGTTGGCATACGTCTTGAGCCTAAGCCAGGGAATCAGCTCTCATCTCGAGACGTTTTGGGGTACACGGAGCATTCCTCGAGTTGCTGTGCTGAAGTTGGTGTTCCTCAAGACTTGGGACACTGTTCTCGGGGCATCTCTGGAGTTGCCTGAAGGAAGTCGAGCCACCGGTCGTGTTTAATGGGGAACGGAGAATGGCTCTGGAGTCAATGCAGGGGAATCGGGCCTCATCTCGAGTTGATTTGGGGCACATGGAGCTGCTTTGCGTTGCTGGGGTGACCTCAGGGTCCATCTAGACGGGTGACAGTGTTCTTGGAGACTGTCTCGAGATCCATTAAGCAAGTCGAAGCTCCTGACTTGTTTGAATGGGATCACGGAATAGCTCTGCATGCTCTGCAGGGGAATGGGGCCTCATCTCGCCTCTAGGTTGAAGTCTCATGGTTTTTGTCGAGTTGCGGCGGGGACCTGGGATATGTTCTCGACTTAAGGCGGGGATGGCCCTTCAAAACACGAGTTTCTTCAGTGACGTCAGGACTCCTGTCTAGTAACGAGGGACACCTCAGGAATCTCTTCGAGGCTTGGCAGTGCAAAAGGGACGCTTCTCGAGGTAAGGCAGGGCACCCAAGGACCCTTTCCAGAAGCCACAGGGATTTTGGGATTCCTATCAGTATTCAAGAGGAGTCAGGCATCGTCACCTTTTGAAGCAATGAACTCTGCGTGCCTCGCGAGGTGTCAACGAGAGGTGAGGCATTCCGTCAAAATGAGGCAGGGACCTAGGGCTTTCTCTAAGTTGTCCACAGGGGATTCAGACAACCTTCAGGTTTTGAGATCAAAGACGAGCCTGTATTCTAGATACTGCAAGGAAATCCGGCCTCCTTTCAAGTTAGGGCTTCTCGCTGTATATTCCACTGGAGGCAGCAAATTCGGAGTCCCTCCCACATACCTATTGCTGAGAGAAGCCTCCTCCTGAGGTGCTTCTGGAAAGTTGGCATACGTCTTGAGCCTAAGCCAGGGAATCAGCTCTCATCTCGAGACGGTTTGGGGTACACGGAGCATTCCTCGAGTTGCTGTGCTTAAGTTGGTGATCCTCTAGACTTGGGACAGTGTTCTCGGGGCATGTCTGGAGTTACTTGAAGGAAGTCGAGCCACCGGTCGTGTTGAATGGGGAACGGGGAATGGCTCTGGAGTCAATGCCGGGGAATCGGGCCTCATCTCGAGTTGATTTGGGGCACATGGTGCTGCTTTGCGTTGCTGGGGTGACCTCAGGGTCCGTCTAGACTGGTGACAGTGTTCTTGGGGACTGTCTCGAGATCCATTAAGCAAGTCGAAGCTCCTGACTTGTTTGAATGGGATCAAGGAATAGCTCTGCATGCACTGCAGGGGAATGGGGCTTCATCTCGCCTCTAGGGGGAAGTCTCATGGTTTTTCTCGAGTTGCGGCGGGGACCTGGGGTATGTTCTCGACTTACGGCGGGGATGGCCCTTCAAAACACGAGTTTCTTCAGTGACGTCAGGACTCCTGTCTAGTAATGAGGGACACCTCAGGAATCTCTTCGAGGCTTGGCAGGGCAAAAGGGACGCTCCTCGAGGTGAGGCAGGGCACCCAACGACACTTTCCAGTAGCCACAGGGATTTGGGGATTCCTATCAGTATTCAAGAGGAGTCAGGCATCGTCACCTTTTGAAGCAATGAACTCTGCTTGCCTCTCGAGGTGTCAACGGGATGTGAGGCATTCCGTCAAAATGAGGCAGGGACCTAGGGCTTTCTCTAAGGTCTCCACAGGGGATTCAGACATCCCTTCATGTTGTGAGATGAAAGACGAGCCTGTATTCAAGCCACTGCAAGGAAATCCGGCCTCCTTTCAAGTTAGGGCTTCTCGCTGTATATTCCCCTTGAGGCAGCAAACTCGAGGTCCCCCCACATGCCTATTGCTGAGAGAAGCCTCCTCCTGAGGTGCTTCTGGAAAGTTGGCATACGAGTTGAGCCTAAGCCAGGGAATCAGCTCTCATCTCGAGACGATTTGGGGTACACAGAGCATTCCTCGAGTTGCTGTGCTGAAGTTGGTGTTCCTCTAGACTGGGACAGTGTTCTCGGGGCATCTCTGGAGTTGCCTGAAGGAAGTCGAGGCACCGGTCGTGTTGAATGGGGAACGGGGAATGGCTCTGGAGTCAATGCAGGGGAATCGGGCCTCATCTCGAGTTGATTTGGGGCACATGGAGCTGCTTTGCGTTGCTGGGGTGACCTCAGGGTCCGTCTAGACTGGTGACAGTGTTCTTGGGGACTGTCTCGAGATCCATTGAACAAGTCGATGCTCCTGACTTGTTTGAATGGCATCACAGAATAGTTCTGCATGCACTGCAGGGGAATGGGGCCTCATCTCGCCTCTAGGGGGAAGTCTCATGGTTTTTCTCGAGTTGCGGCGGGGACCTGGGGTATGTTCTCGACTTACGGCGGGGATGGCCCTTCAAAACACTAGTTTCTTCAGTGACGTCAGGACTCCTGTCTAGTAACGAGGGACACCTCAGGAATCTCTTCGAGGCTTGGCAGGGCAAAAGGGACGCTTCTCGAGGTGAGGCAGGGCACCCAAGGACCCTTTCCAGTAGCCACAGGGATTTTGGGATTCCTATCAGTATTCAAGAGGGGTCAGGCATCGTCACCTTTTGAAGCAATGAACTCCGCGTGCCTCTCGAGGTGTCAACTGGAGGTGAGGCATTCCGTCAAAATGAGGCAGGGACCTAGGGCTTTCTCTAAGGTCTCCACAGGGGATTCAGACAACCCTTCAGGTTTTGAGATCAAAGACGAGCCTGTATTCTAGCCACTGGAAGGACATCCGGCCTCCTTTCAAGTTAGGGCTTCTCGCTGTATATTCCCCTTGAGGCAGCAAACTCGGGGTCCCTCCCACATACCTATTACTGAGAGAAGCCTCCTCCTGAGGTGCTTCTGGAAAGTTGGCATACGACTTGAGCTTAAGCCAGGGAATCAGCTCTCATCTCGAGATGATTTGGGGTACACGGAGCATTCCTCGAGTTGCTGTGCTGAAGGTGGTGTTCCTCTAGCCTTGGAGAGTGTTCTCGGGGCATCTCTGGAGTTGCCTGAAGGAAGTCGAGCCACCGGTCGTGTTGAATGGGGAACTGGGAATGGCTCTGGAGTCAATGCAGGGGAATCGGGCCTCATCTCGAGTTGATTTGGGGCACATGGAGCTGCTTTGCGTTGCTGGGGTTACCACAGGGTCCGTCTAGACTGGTGACAGTGTTCTTGGGGACTGTCTCGAGATCCATTAAGCAAGTCGAAGCTCCTGACTTGTTTCAATGGGATCACGGAATAGCTCTGCATGCACTGCAGGGGAATGGGGCCTCATCTCGCCTCTAGGGGGAAGTCTCATGGTTTTTCCCGAGTTGTGGCGGGGACCTGGGGTATGTTCTCAACTTACGGCGGGGATGGCCCTTCAAAACACGAGTTTCTTCAGTGACGTCAGGACTCCTGTCTAGTAACGAGGGACACCTCAGGAATCTCTTCGCGGATTGGAAGGGCAAAAGGGACGCTTCTCGAGGTGAGGCAGTGCACCCAAGGATCCTTTCCAGTAGCCACAGGGATTTTGGGATTCCTATGAGTATTCAGGAGGAGTCAGGCATCGTCACCTTTTGAAGCAATGAACTCCGCGTGCCTCTCGAGGTGTCAACTGGAGGTGAGGCATTCCGTCAAAATGAGGCAGGGACCTAGGGCTTTCTCTAAGGTCTCCACAGGGGATTCAGACAACCCTTCAGGTTTTGAGATCAAAGACGAGCCTGTATTCTAGCCACTGGAAGGAAATCCGGCCTCCTTTCAAGTTAGGGCTTCTCGCTGTATATTCCCCTTGAGGCAGCAAACTCGGGGTCCCTCCCACATACCTATTACTGAGAGAAGCCTCCTCCTGAGGTGCTTCTGGAAAGTTGGCATACGACTTGAGCTTAAGCCAGGGAATCAGCTCTCATCTCGAGATGATTTGGGGTACACGGAGCATTCCTCGAGTTGCTGTGCTGAAGGTGGTGTTCCTCTAGCCTTGGAGAGTGTTCTCGGGGCATCTCTGGAGTTGCCTGAAGGAAGTCGAGCCACCGGTCGTGTTGAATGGGGAACTGGGAATGGCTCTGGAGTCAATGCAGGGGAATCGGGCCTCATCTCGAGTTGATTTGGGGCACATGGAGCTGCTTTGCGTTGCTGGGGTTACCACAGGGTCCGTCTAGACTGGTGACAGTGTTCTTGGGGACTGTCTCGAGATCCATTAAGCAAGTCGAAGCTCCTGACTTGTTTCAATGGGATCACGGAATAGCTCTGCATGCACTGCAGGGGAATGGGGCCTCATCTCGCCTCTAGGGGGAAGTCTCATGGTTTTTCCCGAGTTGTGGCGGGGACCTGGGGTATGTTCTCAACTTACGGCGGGGATGGCCCTTCAAAACACGAGTTTCTTCAGTGACGTCAGGACTCCAGTCTAGTAACGAGGGACACCTCAGGAATCTCTTCGCGGCTTGGAAGGGCAAAAGGGACGTTTCTCGAGGTGAGGCAGTGCACCCAAGGATCCTTTCCACTAGCCACAGGGATTTTGGGATTCCTATGAGTATTCAGGAGGAGTCAGGCATCGTCACCTTTTGAAGCAATGAACTCTGCGTGCCTCTCGAGGTGTCAGCGGGATGTGAGGCATTCCGTGAAAATGAGGCAGGGACCTAGGGCTTTCTCTAAGGTCTCCACAGGGGATTCAGACATCCCTTCATGTTGTGAGATGAAAGACGAGCCTGTATTCAAGCCACTGCAAGGAAATCCGTCCTCCTTTCAAGTTAGGGCTTCTCGCTGTATATTCCCCTTGAGGCAGCAAACTCGGGGTCCCTCCCACATACCTATTGCTGAGAGAAGCCTCCTCCTGAGGTGCTTCTGGAAAGTTGGCATACGTCTTGAGCCTAAGCCAGGGAATCAGCTCTCATCTCGAGACGTTTTGGGGTACACGGAGCATTCCTCGAGTTGCTGTGCTGAAGTTGGTGTTCCTCAAGACTTGGGACACTGTTCTCGGGGCATCTCTGTAGTTGCCTGAAGGAAGTCGAGCCACCGGTCGTGTTGAATGGGGAACGGGGAATGGCTCTGGAGTCAATGCAGGGGAATCGGGCCTCATCTCGAGTTGATTTGGGGCACATGGAGCTGCTTTGCGTTGCTGGGGTGACCTCAGGGTCCGTCTAGACTGGTGAAAGTGTTCTTGGGGACTGTCTCGAGATCCATTATACAAGTCGATGCTCCTGACTTGTTTCAATGGGATCACGGAATAGCTCTGCATGCACTGCAGGGGAATGGGGCCTCATCTCGCCTCTAGGGGAAAGTCTCATGGTTTTTCCCGAGTTGTGGCGGGGACCTGGGGTATGTTCTCAACTTACGGCGGGGATGGCCCTTCAAGACACGAGTTTCTTCAGTGACGTCAGGACTCCAGTCTAGTAACGAGGGACACCTCAGGAATCTCTTCGCGGCTTGGAAGGGCAAAAGGGACGCTTCTCGAGGTGAGGCAGGGCACCCAAGGATCCTTTCCAGTAGCCACAGGGATTTTGGGATTCCTATGAGTATTCAGGAGGAGTCAGGCATCGTCACCTTTTGAAGCAATGAACTCTGCGTGCCTCTCGAGGTGTCAGCGGGATGTGAGGCATTCCGTCAAAATGAGGCAGGGACCTAGGGCTTTCTCTAAGGTCTCCACAGGGGATTCAGACATCCCTTCATGTTGTGAGATGAAAGACGAGCCTGTATTCAAGCCACTGCAAGGAAATCCGTCCTCCTTTCAAGTTAGGGCTTCTCGCTGTATATTCCCCTTGAGGCATCAAACTCGGGGTCCCTCCCACATACCTATTGCTGAGAGAAGCCTCCTCCTGAGGTGCTTCTGGAAAGTTGGCATACGTCTTGAGCCTACGCCAGGGAATCAGCTCTCATCTCGAGACGTTTTGGGGTACACGGAGCATTCCTCGAGTTGCTGTGCTGAAGTTGGTGTTCCTCAAGACTTGGGACACTGTTCTCGGGGCATCTCTGGAGTTGCCTGAAGGAAGTCGAGCCACCGGTCGTGTTGAATGGGGAACGGGGAATGGCTCTGGAGTCAATGCAGGGGAATCGGGCCTCATCTCGAGTTGATTTGGGGCACATGGTGCTGCTTTGCGTTGCTGGGGTGACCTCAGGGTCCATCTAGACGGGTGACAGTGTTCTTGGAGACTGTCTCGAGATCCATTAAGCAAGTCGAAGCTCCTGACTTGTTTGAATGGGATCACGGAATAGCTCTGCATGCTCTGCAGGGGAATGGGGCCTCATCTCGCCTCTAGGGGGAAGTCTCATGGTTTTTGTCGAGTTGCGGCGGGGACCTGGGATATGTTCTCGACTTAAGGCGGGGATGGCCCTTCAAAACACGAGTTTCTTCAGTGACGTCAGGACTCCTGTCTAGTAACGAGGGACACCTCAGGAATCTCTTCGAGGCTTGGCAGTGCAAAAGGGACGCTTCTCGAGGTAAGGCAGGGCACCCAAGGACCCTTTCCAGAAGCCACAGGGATTTTGGGATTCCTATCAGTATTCAAGAGGAGTCAGGCATCGTCACCTTTTGAAGCAATGAACTCTGCGTGCCTCGCGAGGTGTCAACGGGAGGTGAGGCATTCCGTCAAAATGAGGCAGGGACCTAGGGCTTTCTCTAAGTTCTCCACAGGGGATTCAGACAACCTTCAGGTTTTGAGATCAAAGACGAGCCTGTATTCTAGCCACTGCAAGGAAATCCGGCCTCCTTTCAAGTTAGGGCTTCTCGCTGTATATTCCCCTTGAGGCAGCAAACTCGGGGTCCCTCCCACATACCTATTACTGAGAGAAGCCTCCTCCTGAGGTGCTTCTGGAAAGTTGGCATACGACTTGAGCTTAAGCCAGGGAATCAGCTCTCATCTCGAGATGATTTGGGGTACACGGAGCATTCCTCGAGTTGCTGTGCTGAAGGTGGTGTTCCTCTAGCCTTGGACAATGTTCTCGGGGCATCTCTGGAGTTGCCTGAAGGAAGTCGAGCCACCGGTCGTGTTGAATGGGGAACTGGGAATGGCTCTGGAGTCAATGCAGGGGAATCGGGCCTCATCTCGAGTTGATTTGGGGCACATGGAGCTGCTTTGCGTTGCTGGGGTTACCACAGGGTCCGTCTAGACTGGTGACAGTGTTCTTGGGGACTGTCTCGAGATCCATTAAGCAAGTTGAAGCTCCTGACTTGTTTCAATGGGATCACGGAATAGCTCTGCATGCACTGCAGGGGAATGGGGCCTCATCTCGCCTCTAGGGGGAAGTCTCATGGTTTTTCCCGAGTTGTGGCGGGGACCTGGGGTATGTACTCAACTTACGGCGGGGATGGCCCTTCAAAACACGAGTTTCTTCAGTGACGTCAGGACTCCAGTCTAGTAACGAGGGACACCTCAGGAATCTCTTCGCGGCTTGGAAGGGCAAAAGGGACGCTTCTCGAGGTGAGGCAGGGCACCCAAGGATCCTTTCCAGTAGCCACAGGGATTTTGGGATTCCTATGAGTATTCAGGAGGAGTCAGGCATCGTCACCTTTTGAAGCAATGAACTCTGCGTGCCTCTCGAGGTGTCAGCGGGATGTGAGGCATTCCGTCAAAATGAGGCAGGGACCTAGGGCTTTCTCTAAGGTCTCCACAGGGGATTCAGACATCCCTTCATGTTGTGAGATGAAACACGAGCCTGTATTCAAGCCACTGCAAGGAAATCCGGCCTCCTTTCAAGTTAGGGCTTCTCGCTGTATATTCCCCTTGAGGCAGCAAACTCGGGGTCCCTCCCACATACCTATTGCTGAGAGAAGCCTCCTCCTGAGGTGCTTCTGGAAAGTTGGCATACGTCTTGAGCCTAAGCCAGGGAATCAGCTCTCATCTCGAGACGTTTTGGGGTACACGGAGCATTCCTCGAGTTGCTGTGCTGAAGTTGGTGTTCCTCAAGACTTGGGACACTGTTCTCGGGGCATCTCTGGAGTTGCCTGAAGGAAGTCGAGCCACCGGTCGTGTTTAATGGGGAACGGAGAATGGCTCTGGAGTCAATGCAGGGGAATCGGGCCTCATCTCGAGTTGATTTGGGGCACATGGAGCTGCTTTGCGTTGCTGGGGTGACCTCAGGGTCCATCTAGACGGGTGACAGTGTTCTTGGAGACTGTCTCGAGATCCATTAAGCAAGTCGAAGCTCCTGACTTGTTTGAATGGGATCACGGAATAGCTCTGCATGCTCTGCAGGGGAATGGGGCCTCATCTCGCCTCTAGGGGGAAGTCTCATGGTTTTTGTCGAGTTGCGGCGGGGACCTGGGATATGTTCTCGACTTAAGGCGGGGATGGCCCTTCAAAACACGAGTTTCTTCAGTGACGTCAGGACTCCTGTCTAGTAACGAGGGACACCTCAGGAATCTCTTCGAGGCTTGGCAGTGCAAAAGGGACGCTTCTCGAGGTAAGGCAGGGCACCCAAGGACCCTTTCCAGAAGCCACAGGGATTTTGGGATTCCTATCAGTATTCAAGAGGAGTCAGGCATCGTCACCTTTTGAAGCAATGAACTCTGCGTGCCTCGCGAGGTGTCAACGGGAGGTGAGGCATTCCGTCAAAATGAGGCAGGGACCTAGGGCTTTCTCTAAGTTGTCCACAGGGGATTCAGACAACCTTCAGGTTTTGAGATCAAAGACGAGCCTGTATTCTAGATACTGCAAGGAAATCCGGCCTCCTTTCAAGTTAGGGCTTCTCGCTGTATATTCCACTGGAGGCAGCAAATTCGGAGTCCCTCCCACATACCTATTGCTGAGAGAAGCCTCCTCCTGAGGGGCTTCTGGAAAGTTGGCATACGTCTTGAGCCTAAGCCAGGGAATCAGCTCTCATCTCGAGACGGTTTGGGGTACACGGAGCATTCCTCGAGTTGCTGTGCTTAAGTTGGTGATCCTCTAGACTTGGGACAGTGTTCTCGGGGCATGTCTGGAGTTACTTGAAGGAAGTCGAGCCACCGGTCGTGTTGAATGGGGAACGGGGAATGGCTCTGGAGTCAATGCCGGGGAATCGGGCCTCATCTCGAGTTGATTTGGGGCACATGGTGCTGCTTTGCGTTGCTGGGGTGACCTCAGGGTCCGTCTAGACTGGTGACAGTGTTCTTGGGGACTGTCTCGAGATCCATTAAGCAAGTCGAAGCTCCTGACTTGTTTGAATGGGATCAAGGAATAGCTCTGCATGCACTGCAGGGGAATGGGGCTTCATCTCGCCTCTAGGGGGAAGTCTCATGGTTTTTCTCGAGTTGAGGCGGGGACCTGGGGTATGTTCTCGACTTACGGCGGGGATGGCCCTTCAAAACACGAGTTTCTTCAGTGACGTCAGGACTCCTGTCTAGTAACGAGGGACACCTCAGGAATCTCTTCGAGGCTTGGCAGGGCAAAAGGGACGCTTCTCGAGGTGAGGCAGGGCACCCAACGACACTTTCCAGTAGCCACAGGGATTTGGGGATTCCTATCAGTATTCAAGAGGAGTCAGGCATCGTCACCTTTTGAAGCAATGAACTCCGCGTGCCTCTCGAGGTGTCAACTGGAGGTGAGGCATTCCGTCAAAATGAGGCAGGGACCTAGGGCTTTCTCTAAGGTCTCCACAGGGGATTCAGACAACCCTTCAGGTTTTGAGATCAAAGACGAGCCTGTATTCTAGCCACTGGAAGGAAATCCGGCCTCCTTTCAAGTTAGGGCTTCTCGCTGTATATTCCCCTTGAGGCAGCAAACTCGGGGTCCCTCCCACATACCTATTACTGAGAGAAGCCTCCTCCTGAGGTGCTTCTGGAAAGTTGGCATACGACTTGAGCTTAAGCCAGGGAATCAGCTCTCATCTCGAGATGATTTGGGGTACACGGAGCATTCCTCGAGTTGCTGTGCTGAAGGTGGTGTTCCTCTAGCCTTGGACAGTGTTCTCGGGGCATCTCTGGAGTTGCCTGAAGGAAGTCGAGCCACCGGTCGTGTTGAATGGGGAACTGGGAATGGCTCTGGAGTCAATGCAGGGGAATCGGGCCTCATCTCGAGTTGATTTGGGGCACATGGAGCTGCTTTGCGTTGCTGGGGTTACCACAGGGTCCGTCTAGACTGGTGACAGTGTTCTTGGGGACTGTCTCGAGATCCATTAAGCAAGTCGAAGCTCCTGACTTGTTTCAATGGGATCACGGAATAGCTCTGCATGCACTGCAGGGGAATGGGGCCTCATCTCGCCTCTAGGGGGAAGTCTCATGGTTTTTCCCGAGTTGTGGCGGGGACCTGGGGTATGTTCTCAACTTACGGCGGGGATGGCCCTTCAAAACACGAGTTTCTTCAGTGACGTCAGGACTCCAGTCTAGTAACGAGGGACACCTCAGGAATCTCTTCGCGGCTTGGAAGGGCAAAAGGGACGCTTCTCGAGGTGAGGCAGTGCACCCAAGGATCCTTTCCAGTAGCCACAGGGATTTTGGGATTCCTATGAGTATTCAGGAGGAGTCAGGCATCGTCACCTTTTGAAGCAATGAACTCTGCGTGCCTCTCGAGGTGTCAGCGGGATGTGAGGCATTCCGTCAAAATGAGGCAGGGACCTAGGGCTTTCTCTAAGGTCTCCACAGGGGATTCAGACATCCCTTCATGTTGTGAGATGAAAGACGAGCCTGTATTCAAGCCACTGCAAGGAAATCCGTCCTCCTTTCAAGTTAGGGCTTCTCGCTGTATATTCCCCTTGAGGCAGCAAACTCGGGGTCCCTCCCACATACCTATTGCTGAGAGAAGCCTCCTCCTGAGGTGCTTCTGGAAAGTTGGCATACGTCTTGAGCCTAAGCCAGGGAATCAGCTCTCATCTCGAGACGTTTTGGGGTACACGGAGCATTCCTCGAGTTGCTGTGCTGAAGTTGGTGTTCCTCAAGACTTGGGACACTGTTCTCGGGGCATCTCTGGAGTTGCCTGAAGGAAGTCGAGCCACCGGTCGTGTTGAATGGGGAACGGGGAATGGCTCTGGAGTCAATGCAGGGGAATCGGGCCTCATCTCGAGTTGATTTGGTGCACATGGAGCTGCTTTGCGTTGCTGGGGTGACCTCAGGGTCCGTCTAGACTGGTGAAAGTGTTCTTGGGGACTGTCTCGAGATCCATTATACAAGTCGATGCTCCTGACTTGTTTGAATGGCATCACAGAATAGCTCTGCATGCACTGCAGGGGAATGGGGCCTCATCTCGCCTCTAGGGGGAAGTCTCATGGTTTTTCCCGAGTTGTGGCGGGGACCTGGGGTATGTTCTCAACTTACGGCGGGGATGGCCCTTCAAAACACGAGTTTCTTCAGTGACGTCAGAACTCCAGTCTAGTAACGAGGGACACCTCAGGAATCTCTTCGCGGCTTGGAAGGGCAAAAGGGACGCTTCTCGAGGTGAGGCAGGGCACCCAAGGATCCTTTCCAGTAGCCACAGGGATTTTGGGATTCCTATGAGTATTCAGGAGGAGTCAGGCATCGTCACCTTTTGAAGCAATGAACTCTGCGTGCCTCTCGAGGTGTCAGCGGGATGTGAGGCATTCCGTCAAAATGAGGCAGGGACCTAGGGCTTTCTCTAAGGTCTCCACAGGGGATTCAGACATCCCTTCATGTTGTGAGATGAAACACGAGCCTGTATTCAAGCCACTGCAAGGAAATCCGTCCTCCTTTCAAGTTAGGGCTTCTCGCTGTATATTCCCCTTGAGGCAGCAAACTCGGGGTCCCTCCCACATACCTATTGCTGAGAGAAGCCTCCTCCTGAGGTGCTTCTGGAAAGTTGGCATACGTCTTGAGCCTAAGCCAGGGAATCAGCTCTCATCTCGAGACGTTTTGGGGTACACGGAGCATTCCTCGAGTTGCTGTGCTGAAGTTGGTGTTCCTCAAGACTTGGGACACTGTTCTCGGGGCATCTCTGGAGTTGCCTGAAGGAAGTCGAGCCACCGGTCGTGTTTAATGGGGAACGGAGAATGGCTCTGGAGTCAATGCAGGGGAATCGGGCCTCATCTCGAGTTGATTTGGGGCACATGGAGCTGCTTTGCGTTGCTGGGGTGACCTCAGGGTCCATCTAGACGGGTGACAGTGTTCTTGGAGACTGTCTCGAGATCCATTAAGCAAGTCGAAGCTCCTGACTTGTTTGAATGGGATCACGGAATAGCTCTGCATGCTCTGCAGGGGAATGGGGCCTCATCTCGACTCTAGGGGGAAGTCTCATGGTTTTTGTCGAGTTGCGGCGGGGACCTGGGATATGTTCTCGACTTAACGCGGGGATGGCCCTTCAAAACACGAGTTTCTTCAGTGACGTCAGGACTCCTGTCTAGTAACGAGGGACACCTCAGGAATCTCTTCGAGGCTTGGCAGTGCAAAAGGGACGCTTCTCGAGGTAAGGCAGGGCACCCAAGGACCCTTTCCAGAAGCCACAGGGATTTTGGGATTCCTATCAGTATTCAAGAGGAGTCAGGCATCGTCACCTTTTGAAGCAATGAACTCTGCGTGCCTCGCGAGGTGTCAACGAGAGGTGAGGCATTCCGTCAAAATGAGGCAGGGACCTAGGGCTTTCTCTAAGTTGTCCACAGGGGATTCAGACAACCTTCAGGTTTTGAGATCAAAGACGAGCCTGTATTCTAGATACTGCAAGGAAATCCGGCCTCCTTTCAAGTTAGGGCTTCTCGCTGTATATTCCACTGGAGGCAGCAAATTCGGAGTCCCTTCCACATACCTATTGCTGAGAGAAGCCTCCTCCTGAGGTGCTTCTGGAAAGTTGGCATACGTCTTGAGCCTAAGCCAGGGAATCAGCTCTCATCTCGAGACGGTTTGGGGTACACGGAGCATTCCTCGAGTTGCTGTGCTTAAGTTGGTGATCCTCTAGACTTGGGACAGTGTTCTCGGGGCATGTCTGGAGTTACTTGAAGGAAGTCGAGCCACCGGTCGTGTTGAATGTGGAACGGGGAATGGCTCTGGAGTCAATGCCGGGGAATCGGGCCTCATCTCGAGTTGATTTGGGGCACATGGTGCTGCTTTGCGTTGCTGGGGTGACCTCAGGCTCCGTCTAGACTGGTGACAGTGTTCTTGGGGACTGTCTCGAGATCCATTAAGCAAGTCGAAGCTCCTGACTTGTTTGAATGGGATCAAGGAATAGCTCTGCATGCACTGCAGGGGAATGGGGCTTCATCTCGCCTCTAGGGGGAAGTCTCATGGTTTTTCTCGAGTTGCGGCGGGGACCTGGGGTATGTTCTCGACTTACGGCGGGGATGGCCCTTCAAAACACGAGTTTCTTCAGTGACGTCAGGACTCCTGTCTAGTAACGAGGGACACCTCAGGAATCTCTTCGAGGCTTGGCAGGGCAAAAGGGACGCTTCTCGAGGTGAGGCAGGGCACCCAACGACACTTTCCAGTAGCCACAGGGATTTGGGGATTCCTATCAGTATTCAAGAGGAGTCAGGCATCGTCACCTTTTGAAGCAATGAACTCCGCGTGCCTCTCGAGGTGTCAACGGGATGTGAGGCATTCCGTCAAAATGAGGCAGGGACCTAGGGCTTTCTCTAAGGTCTCCACAGGGGATTCAGACATCCCTTCATGTTGTGAGATGAAAGACGAGCCTGTATTCAAGCCACTGCAAGGAAATCCGTCCTCCTTTCAAGTTAGGGCTTCTCGCTGTATATTCCCCTTGAGGCAGCAAACTCGAGGTCCCCCCACATGCCTATTGCTGAGAGAAGCCTCCTCCTCAGGTGCTTCTGGAAAGTTGGCATATGAGTTGAGCCTAAGCCAGGGAATCAGCTCTCATCTCGAGACGATTTGGGGTACACGGAGCATTCCTCGAGTTGCTGTGCTGAAGTTGGTGTTCCTCTAGACTGGGACAGTGTTCTCGGGGCATCTCTGGAGCTGCCTGAAGGAAGTCGAGGCACCGGTCGTGTTGAATGGGGAACGGGGAATGGCTCTGGAGTCAATGCAGGGGAATCGGGCCTCATCTCGAGTTGATTTGGGGCACATGGAGCTGCTTTGCGTTGCTGGGGTGACCTCAGGGTCCGTCTAGACTGGTGACAGTGTTCTTGGGGACTGTCTCGAGATCCATTGAACAAGTCGATGCTCCTGACTTGTTTGAATGGCATCACAGAATAGTTCTGCATGCACTGCAGGGGAATGGGGCCTCATCTCGCCTCTAGGGGGAAGTCTCATGGTTTTTCTCGAGTTGCGGCGGGGACCTGGGGTATGTTCTCGACTTACGGCGGGGATGGCCCTTCAAAACACTAGTTTCTTCAGTGACGTCAGGACTCCTGTCTAGTAACGAGGGACACCTCAGGAATCTCTTCGAGGCTTGGCAGGGCAAAAGGGACGCTTCTCGAGGTGAGGCAGGGCACCCAAGGACCCTTTCCAGTAGCCACAGGGATTTTGGGATTCCTATCAGTATTCAAGAGGGGTCAGGCATCGTCACCTTTTGAAGCAATGAACTCCGCGTGCCTCTCGAGGTGTCAACTGGAGGTGAGGCATTCCGTCAAAATGAGGCAGGGACCTAGGGCTTTCTCTAAGGTCTCCACAGGGGATTCAGACAACCCTTCAGGTTTTGAGATCAAAGACGAGCCTGTATTCTAGCCACTGGAAGGAAATCCGGCCTCCTTTCAAGTTAGGGCTTCTCGCTGTATATTCCCCTTGAGGCAGCAAACTCGGGGTCCCTCCCACATACCTATTACTGAGAGAAGCCTCCTCCTGAGGTGCTTCTGGAAAGTTGGCATACGACTTGAGCTTAAGCCAGGAATCAGCTCTCATCTCGAGATGATTTGGGGTACACGGAGCATTCCTCGAGTTGCTGTGCTGAAGGTGGTGTTCCTCTAGCCTTGGACAGTGTTCTCGGGGCATCTCTGGAGTTGCCTGAAGGAAGTCGAGCCACCGGTCGTGTTGAATGGGGAACTGGGAATGGCTCTGGAGTCAATGCAGGGGAATCGGGCCTCATCTCGAGTTGATTTGGGGCACATGGAGCTGCTTTGCGTTGCTGGGGTTACCACAGGGTCCGTCTAGACTGGTGACAGTGTTCTTGGGGACTGTCTCGAGATCCATTAAGCAAGTCGAAGCTCCTGACTTGTTTCAATGGGATCACGGAATAGCTCTGCATGCACTGCAGGGGAATGGGGCCTCATCTCGCCTCTAGGGGGAAGTCTCATGGTTTTTCCCGAGTTGTGGCGGGGACCTGGGGTATGTTCTCAACTTACGGCGGGGATGGCCCTTCAAAACACGAGTTTCTTCAGTGACGTCAGGACTCCAGTCTAGTAACGAGGGACACCTCAGGAATCTCTTCGCGGCTTGGAAGGGCAAAAGGGACGCTTCTCGAGGTGAGGCAGTGCACCCAAGGATCCTTTCCAGTAGCCACAGGGATTTTGGGATTCCTATGAGTATTCAGGAGGAGTCAGGCATCGTCACCTTTTGAAGCAATGAACTCTGCGTGCCTCTCGAGGTGTCAGCGGGATGTGAGGCATTCCGTCAAAATGAGGCAGGGACCTAGGGCTTTCTCTAAGGTCTCCACAGGGGATTCAGACATCCCTTCATGTTGTGAGATGAAAGACGAGCCTGTATTCAAGCCACTGCAAGGAAATCCGTCCTCCTTTCAAGTTAGGGCTTCTCGCTGTATATTCCCCTTGAGGCAGCAAACTCGGGGTCCCTCCCACATACCTATTGCTGAGAGAAGCCTCCTCCTGAGGTGCTTCTGGAAAGTTGGCATACGTCTTGAGCCTAAGCCAGGGAATCAGCTCTCATCTCGAGACGTTTTGGGGTACACGGAGCATTCCTCGAGTTGCTGTGCTGAAGTTGGTGTTCCTCAAGACTTGGGACACTGTTCTCGGGGCATCTCTGTAGTTGCCTGAAGGAAGTCGAGCCACCGGTCGTGTTGAATGGGGAACGGGGAATGGCTCTGGAGTCAATGCAGGGGAATCGGGCCTCATCTCGAGTTGATTTGGGGCACATGGAGCTGCTTTGCGTTGCTGGGGTGACCTCAGGGTCCGTCTAGACTGGTGAAAGTGTTCTTGGGGACTGTCTCGAGATCCATTATACAAGTCGATGCTCCTGACTTGTTTGAATGGCATCACAGAATAGCTCTGCATGCACTGCAGGGGAATGGGGCCTCATCTCGCCTCTAGGGGGAAGTCTCATGGTTTTTCCCGAGTTGTGGCGGGGACCTGGGGTATGTTCTCAACTTACGGCGGGGATGGCCCTTCAAAACACGAGTTTCTTCAGTGACGTCAGAACTCCAGTCTAGTAACGAGGGACACCTCAGGAATCTCTTCGCGGCTTGGAAGGGCAAAAGGGACGCTTCTCGAGGTGAGGCAGTGCACCCAAGGATCCTTTCCAGTAGCCACAGGGATTTTGGGATTCCTATCAGTATTCAAGAGGAGTCAGGCATCGTCACCTTTTGAAGCAATGAACTCTGCGTGCCTCTCGAGGTGTCAGCGGGATGTGAGGCATTCCGTCAAAATGAGGCAGGGACCTAGGGCTTTCTCTAAGGTCTCCACAGGGGATTCAGACATCCCTTCATGTTGTGAGATGAAACACGAGCCTGTATTCAAGCCACTGCAAGGAAATCCGTCCTCCTTTCAAGTTAGGGCTTCTCGCTGTATATTCCCCTTGAGGCAGCAAACTCGGGGTCCCTCCCACATACCTATTGCTGAGAGAAGCCTCCTCCTGAGGTGCTTCTGGAAAGTTGGCATACGTCTGGAGCCTAAGCCAGGGAATCAGCTCTCATCTCGAGACGTTTTGGGGTACACGGAGCATTCCTCGAGTTGCTGTGCTGAAGTTGGTGTTCCTCAAGACTTGGGACACTGTTCTCGGGCATCTCTGGAGTTGCCTGAAGGAAGTCGAGCCACCGGTCGTGTTGAATGGGGAACGGGGAATGGCTAAGGAGTCAATGCAGGGGAATCGGGCCTCATCTCGAGTTGATTTGGGGCACATGGAGCTGCTTTGCGTTGCTGGGGTGACCTCAGGGTCCGTCTAGACTGGTGAAAGTGTTCTTGGGGACTGTCTCGAGATCCATTATACAAGTCGATGCTCCTGACTTGTTTGAATGGCATCACAGAATAGCTCTGCATGCACTGCAGGGGAATGGGGCCTCATCTCGCCTCTAGGGGGAAGTCTCATGGTTTTTCTCCAGTTGCGGCGGGGACCTGGGGTATGTTCTCGACTTACAGCGGGGATGGCCTTTCAAAACACGAGTTTCTTCAGTGACGTCAGGACTCCTGTCTAGTAACGAGGGACACCTCAGGAATCTCTTCGAGGCTTGGCAGGGCAAAAGGGACGCTTCTCGAGGTGAGGCAGGGCACCCAAGGACCCTTTCCAGTAGCCACAGGGATTTTGGGATTCCTATCAGTATTCAAGAGGAGTCAGGCATCGTCACCTTTTGAAGCAATGAACTCCGCGTGCCTCTCGAGGTGTCAACGGGATGTGAGGCATTCCGTCAAAATGAGGCAGGGACCTAGGGCTTTCTCTAAGGTCTCCACAGGGGATTCATACAACCCTTCAGGTTTTGAGATCAAAGACGAGCCTGTATTCTAGCCACTCCAAGGAAATCCGGCCTCCTTTCAAGTTAGGGCTTCTCGCTGTATATTCCCCTTGAGGCAGCAAACTCGGGGTCCCTCCCACATACCTATTACTGAGAGAAGCCTCCTCCTGAGGTGCTTCTGGAAAGTTGGCATACGACTTGAGCTTAAGCCAGGGAATCAGTTCTCATCTCGAGATGATTTGGGGTACATGGAGCATTCCTCGAGTTGCTGTGCTGAAGGTGGTGTTCCTCTAGCCTTGGACAGTGTTCTCGGGGCATCTCTGGAGTTGCCTAAAGGAAGTCGAGCCACCGGTCGTGTTGAATGGGGAACTGGGAATGGCTCTGGAGTCAATGCAGGGGAATCGGGCCTCATCTCGAGTTGATTTGGGGCACATGGAGCTGCTTTGCGTTGCTGGGGTTACCACAGGGTCCGTCTAGACTGGTGACAGTGTTCTTGGGGACTGTCTCGAGATCCATTAAGCAAGTCGAAGCTCCTGACTTGTTTCAATGGGATCACGGAATAGCTCTGCATGCACTGCAGGGGAATGGGGCCTCATCTCGCCTCTAGGGGGAAGTCTCATGGTTTTTCCCGAGTTGTGGCGGGGACCTGGGGTATGTTCTCAACTTACGGCGGGGATGGCCCTTCAAGACACGAGTTTCTTCAGTGACGTCAGGACTCCAGTCTAGTAACGAGGGACACCTCAGGAATCTCTTCGCGGCTTGGAAGGGCAAAAGGGACGCTTCTCGAGGTGAGGCAGGGCACCCAAGGATCCTTTCCAGTATCCACAGGGATTTTGGGATTCCTATGAGTATTCAGGAGCAGTCAGGCATCGTCACCTTTTGAAGCAATGAACTCTGCGTGCCTCTCGAGGTGTCAGCGGGATGTGAGGCATTCCGTCAAAATGAGGCAGGGACCTAGGGCTTTCTCTAAGGTCTCCACAGGGGATTCAGACATCCCTTCATGTTGTGAGATGAAACACGAGCCTGTATTCAAGCCACTGCAAGGAAATCCGTCCTCCTTTCAAGTTAGGGCTTCTCGCTGTATATTCCCCTTGAGGCAGCAAACTCGGGGTCCCTCCCACATACCTATTGCTGAGAGAAGCCTCCTCCTGAGGTGCTTCTGGAAAGTTGGCATACGACTTGAGCCTACGCCAGGGAATCAGCTCTCATCTCGAGACGTTTTGGGGTACACGGAGCATTCCTCGAGTTGCTGTGCTGAAGTTGGTGTTCCTCAAGACTTGGGACACTGTTCTCGGGGCATCTCTGGAGTTGCCTGAAGGAAGTCGAGCCACCGGTCGTGTTGAATGGGGAACGGGGAATGGCTCTGGAGTCAATGCAGGGGAATCGGGCCTCATCTCGAGTTGATTTGGGGCACATGGAGCTGCTTTGCGTTGCTGGGGTGACCTCAGGGTCCATCTAGACGGGTGACAGTGTTCTTGGAGACTGTCTCGAGATCCATTAAGCAAGTCGAAGCTCCTGACTTGTTTGAATGGGATCACGGAATAGCTCTGCATGCTCTGCAGGGGAATGGGGCCTCATCTCGCCTCTAGGGGGAAGTCTCATGGTTTTTGTCGAGTTGCGGCGGGGACCTGGGATATGTTCTCGACTTAAGGCGGGGATGGCCCTTCAAAACACGAGTTTCTTCAGTGACGTCAGGACTCCTGTCTAGTAACGAGGGACACCTCAGGAATCTCTTCGAGGCTTGGCAGTGCAAAAGGGACGCTTCTCGAGGTAAGGCAGGGCACCCAAGGACCCTTTCCAGAAGCCACAGGGATTTTGGGATTCCTATCAGTATTCAAGAGGAGTCAGGCATCGTCACCTTTTGAAGCAATGAACTCTGCTTGCCTCGCGAGGTGTCAACGGGAGGTGAGGCATTCCGTCAAAATGAGGCAGGGACCTAGGGCTTTCTCTAAGTTGTCCACAGGGGATTCAGACAACCTTCAGGTTTTGAGATCAAAGACGAGCCTGTATTCTAGCCACTGCAAGGAAATCCGGCCTCCTTTCAAGTTAGGGCTTCTCGCTGTATATTCCCCTGGAGGCAGCAAACTCGGGGTCCCTCCCACATACCTATTACTGAGAGAAGCCTCCTCCTGAGGTGCTTCTGGAAAGTTGGCATACGACTTGAGCTTAAGCCAGGGAATCAGCTCTCATCTCGAGATGATTTGGGGTACACGGAGCATTCCTCGAGTTGCTGTGCTGAAGGTGGTGTTCCTCTAGCCTTGGACAGTGTTCTCGGGGCATCTCTGGAGTTGCCTGAAGGAAGTCGAGCCACCGGTCGTGTTGAATGGGGAACTGGGAATGGCTCTGGAGTCAATGCAGGGGAATTGGGCCTCATCTCGAGTTGATTTGGGGCACATGGAGCTGCTTTGCGTTGCTGGGGTTACCACAGGGTCTGTCTAGACTGGTGACAGTGTTCTTGGGGACTGTCTCGAGATCCATTAAGCAAGTCGAAGCTCCTGACTTGTTTGAATGGGATCACGGAATAGCTCTGCATGCACTGCAGGGGAATGGGGCCTCATCTCGCCTCTAGGGGGAAGTCTCATGGTTTTTCCCGAGTTGTGGCGGGGACCTGGGATATGTACTCAACTTACGGCGGGGATGGCCCTTCAAAACACGAGTTTCTTCAGTGACGTCAGGACTCCAGTCTAGTAACGAGGGACACCTCAGGAATCTCTTCGCGGCTTGGAAGGGCAAAAGGGACGCTTCTCGAGGTGAGGCAGGGCACCCAAGGATCCTTTCCAATAGCCACAGGGATTTTGGGATTCCTATGAGTATTCAGGAGGAGTCAGGCATCGTCACCTTTTGAAGCAATGAACTCTGCGTGCCTCTCGAGGTGTCAGCGGGATGTGAGGCATTCCGTCAAAATGAGGCAGGGACCTAGGGCTTTCTCTAAGGTCTCCACAGGGGATTCAGACATCCCTTCATGTTGTGAGATGAAACACGAGCCTGTATTCAAGCCACTGCAAGGAAATCCGTCCTCCTTTCAAGTTAGGGCTTCTCGCTGTATATTCCCCTTGAGGCAGCAAACTCGGGGTCCCTCCCACATACCTATTGCTGAGAGAAGCCTCCTCCTGAGGTGCTTCTGGAAAGTTGGCATACGTCTTGAGCCTAAGCCAGGGAATCAGCTCTCATCTCGAGACGTTTTGGGGTACACGGAGCATTCCTCGAGTTGCTGTGCTGAAGTTGGTGTTCCTCAAGACTTGGGACACTGTTCTCGGGGCATCTCTGGAGTTGCCTGAAGGAAGTCGAGCCACCGGTCGTGTTTAATGGGGAACGGAGAATGGCTCTGGAGTCAATGCAGGGGAATCGGGCCTCATCTCGAGTTGATTTGGGGCACATGGAGCTGCTTTGCGTTGCTGGGGTGACCTCAGGGTCCATCTAGACGGGTGACAGTGTTCTTGGAGACTGTCTCGAGATCCATTAAGCAAGTCGAAGCTCCTGACTTGTTTGAATGGGATCACGGAATAGCTCTGCATGCTCTGCAGGGGAATGGGGCCTCATCTCGCCTCTAGGGGGAAGTCTCATGGTTTTTGTCGAGTTGCGGCGGGGACCTGGGATATGTTCTCGACTTAAGGCGGGGATGGCCCTTCAAAACACGAGTTTCTTCAGTGACGTCAGGACTCCTGTCTAGTAACGAGGGACACCTCAGGAATCTCTTCGAGGCTTGGCAGTGCAAAAGGGACGCTTCTCGAGGTAAGGCAGGGCACCCAAGGACCCTTTCCAGAAGCCACAGGGATTTTGGGATTCCTATCAGTATTCAAGAGGAGTCAGGCATCGTCACCTTTTGAAGCAATGAACTCTGCGTGCCTCGCGAGGTGTCAACGGGAGGTGAGGCATTCCGTCAAAATGAGGCAGGGACCTAGGGCTTTCTCTAAGTTGTCCACAGGGGATTCAGACAACCTTCAGGTTTTGAGATCAAAGACGAGCCTGTATTCTAGATACTGCAAGGAAATCCGGCCTCCTTTCAAGTTAGGGCTTCTCGCTGTATATTCCACTGGAGGCAGCAAATTCGGAGTCCCTCCCACATACCTATTGCTGAGAGAAGCCTCCTCCTGAGGTGCTTCTGGAAAGTTGGCATACGTCTTGAGCCTAAGCCAGGGAATCAGCTCTCATCTCGAGACGGTTTGGGGTACACGGAGCATTCCTCGAGTTGCTGTGCTTAAGTTGGTGATCCTCTAGACTTGGGAAAGTGTTCTCGGGGCATGTCTGGAGTTACTTGAAGGAAGTCGAGCCACCGGTCGTGTTGAATGGGGAACGGGGAATGGCTCTGGAGTCAATGCCGGGGAATCGGGCCTCATCTCGAGTTGATTTGGGGCACATGGTGCTGCTTTGCGTTGCTGGGGTGACCTCAGGGTCCGTCTAGACTGGTGACAGTGTTCTTGGGGACTGTCTCGAGATCCATTAAGCAAGTCGAAGCTCCTGACTTGTTTGAATGGGATCAAGGAATAGCTCTGCATGCACTGCAGGGGAATGGGGCTTCATCTCGCCTCTAGGGGGAAGTCTCATGGTTTTTCTCGAGTTGCGGCGGGGACCTGGGGTATGTTCTCGACTTACGGCGGGGATGGCCCTTCAAAACACGAGTTTCTTCAGTGACGTCAGGACTCCTGTCTAGTAACGAGGGACACCTCAGGAATCTCTTCGAGGCTTGGCAGGGCAAAAGGGACGCTTCTCGAGGTGAGGCAGGGCACCCAACGACACTTTCCAGTAGCCACAGGGATTTGGGGATTCCTATCAGTATTCAAGAGGAGTCAGGCATCGTCACCTTTTGAAGCAATGAACTCCGCGTGCCTCTCGAGGTGTCAACGGGATGTGAGGCATTCCGTCAAAATGAGGCAGGGACCTAGGGCTTTCTCTAAGGTCTCCACAGGGGATTCAGACATCCCTTCATGTTGTGAGATGAAAGACGAGCCTGTATTCAAGCCACTGCAAGGAAATCCGGCCTCCTTTCAAGTTAGGGCTTCTCGCTGTATATTCCCCTTGAGGCAGCAAACTCGAGGTCCCCCCACATGCCTATTGCTGAGAGAAGCCTCCTCCTGAGGTGCTTCTGGAAAGTTGGCATACGAGTTGAGCCTAAGCCAGGGAATCAGCTCTCATCTCGAGACGATTTGGGGTACACGGAGCATTCCTCGAGTTGCTGTGCTGAAGTTGGTGTTCCTCTAGACTGGGACAGTGTTCTCGGGGCATCTCTGGAGTTGCCTGAAGGAAGTCGAGGCACCGGTCGTGTTGAATGGGGAACGGGGAATGGCTCTGGAGTCAATGCAGGGGAATCGGGCCTCATCTCGAGTTGATTTGGGGCACATGGAGCTGCTTTGCGTTGCTGGGGTTACCACAGGGTCCGTCTAGACTGGTGACAGTGTTCTTGGGGACTGTCTCGAGATCCATGAAGCAAGTCGAAGCTCCTGACTTGTTTGAATGGGATCACGGAATAGCTCTGCATGCACTGCAGGGGAATGGGGCCTCATCTCGCCTCTAGGGGGAAGTCTCATGGTTTTTCTCGAGTTGCGGCGGGGACCTGGGGTATGTTCTCAACTTACGGCGGGGATGGCCCTTCAAAACACGAGTTTCTTCAGTGACGTCAGGACTCCTGTCTAGTAACGGGGGACACCTCAGGAATCTCTTCGCGGCTTGGAAGGGCAAAAGGGACGCTTCTCGAGGTGAGGCAGGGCACCCAAGGACCCTTTCTAGTAGCCACAGGGATTTTGGGATTCCTATCAGTATTCAAGAGGAGTCAGGCATCGTCACTTTTTGAAGCAATGAACTGTGCGTGCCTCTCGAGGTGTCAGCGGGATGTGAGGAATTCCGTCAAAATGAGGCTGGGACCTAGGGCTTTCTCTAAGGTCTCCACAGGGGATTCAGACATCCCTTCATGTTTTGAGATGAAACACGAGCCTGTATTCAAGCCACTGTAAGGAAATCCGGCCTCCTTTCAAGTTAGGGCTTCTCGCTGTATATTCCCCTTGAGGCAGCAAACCCGGGTCCCTCCCACAAACTATTGCTGAGAGAAGCCTCCACCTGAGGTGCTTCTGGAAAGTTGGCATACGTCTTGAGCCTAAGCCAGGGAATCAGCTCTCATCTCCAGACGATTTGGGGTACACGGAGCATTCCTCGAGTTGCTGTGCTGAAGTTGGTGTTCCTCTAGACTGGGACAGTATTCTCGGGGCATCTGTGGAGTTGCCTGAAGGAAGTCGAGCCACCGGTCGTGTTGAATGGGGAACGGGGAATGGCTCTGGAGTCAATGCAGGGGAATCGGGCCTCATCTCGAGTTGATTTGGGGCACATGGAGCTGCTTTGCGTTGCTGGGTTGACCTCAGGCTCCGTCTAGACTGGTGAAAGTGTTCTTGGGGACTGTCTCGAGATCCATTAAACAAGTCGATGCTCCTGACTTGTTTGAATGGCATCACAGAATAGCTCTGCATGCACTGCAGGGGAATAGGGCCTCATCTCGCCTCTAGGGGGAAGTCTCATGGTTTTTCTCGAGTTGCGGCGGGGACTTGGGGTACGTTCTCGACTTACAGCGGGGATGGCCTTTCAAAACACGAGTTTCTTCAGTGACGTCAGGACTCTTGTCTAGTAACGAGGGACACCTCAGGAATCTCTTCGAGGCTTGGCAGGGCAAAAGGGACGCTTCTCGAGGTGAGGCAGGGCACCCAAGGACCCTTTCCAGTAGCCACAGGGATTTTCGGATTCCTATCAGTATTCAGGAGGAGTCAGGCATCGTCACATTTTGAAGCAATGAACTCCGCGTGCCTCTCGAGGTGTCAACTGGAGGTGAGGCATTCTGTCAAAATGAGGCAGGGACCTAGGGCTTTCTCTAAGGTCTCCACAGGGGATTCAGTCATCCCTTCAGGTTGTGAGATGAAACACGAGCCTGTATTCAAGCCACTGCAAGGAAATCCGGCCTCCTTTCAAGTTAGGGCTTCTTGCTGTGTATTCCCCTTGAGGCAGCAAACTCGGGGTCCCTCCCACATACCTATTGCTGAGAGAAGCATCCTCCTGAGGTGCTTCTGGAAAGTTGGCATACGTCTTGAGCCTAAGCCAGGGAATCAGCTCTCATCTCGAGACGTTTTGGGGTACACGGAGCATTCCTCGAGTTGCTGTGCTGAAGTAGGTGTTCCTCTAGACTTGGGAAAGTGTTCTCGGGGCATCTCTGGAGCTGCCTGAAGGAAGTCCAGCCACCGGTCGTGTTGAATGGGGAACGGGGAATGGCTCTGGAGTCAATGCAGGAGAATCGGGCCTCATCTCGAGTTGATTTGGGGCACATAGAGCTGCTTTGCGTTGCTGGGGTGACCTCAGGGTCCATCTAGACTGGTGACAGTGTTCTTGGGGACTGTCTCGAGATCCATTAAGCAAGTCGAAGCTCCTGACTTGTTTGAATGGGATCACGGAATAGCTCTGCATGCTCTGCAGGGGAATGGGGCCTCATCTCGCCTCTAGGGGGAAGTCTCATGGTTTTTGTCGAGTTGCGGCGGGGACCTGGGATATGTTCTCGACTTACGGCGGGGATGGCCCTTCAGAACACGAGTTTCTTCAGTGACGTCAGGACTCCTGTCTAGTAACGAGGGACACCTCAGGAATCTCTTCGAGGCTTGGCAGTGCAAAAGGGACGCTTCTCGAGGTGAGGCAGGGCACCCAAGGACCCTTTCCAGTAGCCACAGGGATTTTGGGATTGCTATCAGTATACAAGAGGAGTCAGGCATCGTCACCTTTTGAAGCAATGAACTCTGCGTGCCTCGCGAGGTGTCAACGGGAGGTGAGGCATTCCGTCAAAATGAGGCAGGGACCTAGGGCTTTCTCTAAGTTCTCCACAGGGGATTCAGACAACCTTCAGGTTTTGAGATCAAAGACGAGCCTGTATTCTAGCCACTGCAAGGAATTCCGGCCTCCTTTCAAGTTAGGGCTTCTCGCTGGATATTCCACTGGAGGCAGCAAATTCGGAGTCCCTCCCACATACCTATTACTGAGAGTAGCCGCCTCCTGAGGTGATTCTGGAAAGTTGGCATACGACTTGAGCTTAAGCCAGGGAATCAGCTCTCATGTCGAGATGATTTGGGGTACACGGAGCATTCCTCGAGTTGCTGTGCTGAAGTTGGTGTTCCTCTAGACTTGGGACAGTGTTCTCGGGGCATCTCTGGAGTTGCCTGAAGGAAGTTGAGCCACCGATCGTGTTGAATCGGGAACGGGGAATGGCTCTGGAGTCAATGCAGGGGAATCGACCCTCATCTCGAGTTGATTTGGGGCACATGGAGCTGCTTTGCGTTGCTGGGGTGACCTCAGGGTCCGTCTAGACTGGTGACAGTGTTCTTGGGGACTGTCTCGAGATCCATTAAGCAAGTCAAAGATCCTGACTTGTTTGAATGGGATCACGGAATAGCTCTGCATGCACTGCAGGGGAATGGGGCCTCATCTCGCCTCTAGGGGGAAGTCTCATGGTTTTTCTCGAGTTGTGGCGGGGACCTGGGTATATTCTCGACTTACGGCGGGGATGGCCCTTCAAAACACGAGTTTCTTCAGTGACGTCAGGACTCCTGTCTAGTAACGGGGGATACCTCTGGAATCTCTTCGAAGCTTGGCAGGGCAAAAGGGACGCATCTCGAGGTGAGGCAGGGCACCCAAGGACCCTTTCCAGTAGCCACAGGGATTTTGGGATTCCTATCAGTATTCAAGAGGAGTCAGGCATCGTCACCTTTTGAAGCAATGAACTCCGCGTGCCTCTCGAGGTGTCAGCGCGATGTGAGGCATTCCGTCAAAATGAGGCAGGGACCTAGGGCTATCTCTCAGGTCTCCACAGGGGATTCAGACATCCCTTCATGTTGTGAGATGAAAGACGAGCCTGTATTCAAGCCACTGCAAGGAAATCCGGCCTCCTTTCAAGTTAGGGCTTCTCGCTGTATATTCCCCTTGAGGCAGCAAACTCGGGGTCCCTCCCACATACCTATTGCTGAGAGAAACCTCCTCCTGAGGTGCTTCTGGAAAGTTGGCATACGTCTTGAGCCTAAGCCAGGGAATCAGCTCTCATCTCGAGACGGTTTGGGTACACGGAGCATTCCTCGAGTTGCTGTGCTGAAGTTGGTGATCCTCTAGACTTGGGACAGTGTTCTCGGGGCATGTCTGGAGTTGCCTGAAGGAAGTCGAGCCACCGGTCGTGTTGAATGGGGAACGGGGAATGGCTCTGGAGTCAATGCAGGGGAATCGGGCCTCATCTCGAGTTGATTTGGGGCACATGGTGCTGCTTTGCGTTGCTGGGGTGACCTCAGGGTCCGTCTAGACTGGTGACAGTGTTCTTGCGGACTGTCTCGAGATCCATTAAGCAAGTCGAAACTCCTGACTTGTTTGAATGGGATCACGGAATAGCTCTGCATGCACTGCAGGGGAATGGGGCTTCATCTCGCCTCTAGGGGGAAGTCTCATGGTTTTTCTCGAGTTGCGGCGGGGACCTGGGGTATGTTCTCCACTTACGGCGGGGATGGCCCTTCAAAACACGAGTTTCTTCAGTGACGTCAGGACTCCTGTCTAGTAACGAGGGACACCTCAGGAATCTCTTCGAGGCTTGGCAGGGCAAAAGGGACGCTTCTCGAGGTGAGGCAGGGCACCCAAGGACCCTTTCCAGTAGCCACAGGGATTTGGGGATTCCTATCAGTATTCAAGAGGAGTCAGGCATCGTCACCTTTTGAAGCAATGAACTCCGCGTGCCTCTCGAGGTGTCAACGGGATGTGAGGCATTCCGTCAAAATGAGGCAGGGACCTCGGGCTTTCTCTAAGGTCTCCACAGGGGATTCAGACATCCCTTCATGTTGTGAGATGAAAGACGAGCCTGTATTCAAGCCACTGCAAGGAAATCCGGCCTCCTTTCAAGTTAGGGCTTCTCGCTGTATATTCCCCTTGAGGCAGCAAACTCGAGGTCCCCCCACATGCCTATTGCTGAGAGAAGCCTCCTCCTGAGGTGCTTCTGGAAAGTTGGCATACGTCTTGAGCCTAAGCCAGGGAATCAGCTCTCATCTCGAGACGATTTGGGGTACACGGAGCATTCCTCGAGTTGCTGTGCTGAAGTTGGTGTTCCTCTAGACTGGGACAGTGTTCTTGGGGCATCTCTGGAGTTGCCTGAAGGAAGTCGAGCCACCGGTCGTGTCGAATGGGGAACGGGGAATGGCTCTGGAGTCAATGCAGGGGAATCGGGCCTCATCTCGAGTTGATTTGGGGCACATGGAGCTGCTTTGCGTTGCTGGGGTGACCTCAGGGTCCGTCTAGACTGGTGAAAGTGTTCTTGGGGACTGTCTCGAGATCCATTAAACAAGTCGATGCTCCTGACTTGTTTGAATGGCATCACAGAATAGCTCTGCATGCACTGCAGGGGAATGGGGCCTCATCTCGCCTCTAGGGGGAAGTCTCATGGTTTTTCTCGAGTTGCGGCGGGGACCTGGGGTATGTTCTCGACTTACGGCGGGGATGGCCTTTCAAAACACGAGTTTCTTCAGTGACGTCAGGACTCCTGTCTAGTAACGAGGGACACCTCAGGAATCTCTTCGAGGCTTGGCAGGGCAAAAGGGACGCTTCTCGAGGTGAGGCAGGGCACCCAAGGACCCTTTCCAGTAGCCACAGGGATTTTCGGATTCCTATCAGTATTCAAGAGGAGTCAGGCATCGTCACCTTTTGAAGCAATGAACTCCGCGTGCCTCTCGAGGTGTCAACTGGAGGTGAGGCATTCCGTCAAAATGAGGCAGGGACCTAGGGCTTTCTCTAAGGTCTCCACAGGGGATTCAGTCATCCCTTCAGGATGTGAGATGAAACACGAGCCTGTATTCAAGCCACTGCAAGGAAATCCGGCCTCCTTTCAAGTTAGGGCTTCTTGCTGTGTATTCCCCTTGAGGCAGCAATCTCAGGGTCCCTCCCACATACCTATTGCTGAGAGAAGCCTCCTCCTGAGGTGCTTCTGGAAAGTTGGCATACGTCTTGAGCCTAAGCCAGGGAATCAGCTCTAATCTCGAGACGATTTGGGGTACACGGAGCATTCCTCGAGTTGCTGTGCTGAAGTTGGTGTTCCTCTAGACTTGGGACAGTGTTCTCGGGGCATCTCTGGAGTTGCCTGAAGGAAGTCGAGCCACCGGTCGTGTTGAATGGGGAACGGGGAATGGCTCTGGATTCAATGCATGGGAATCGGGCCTCATTTCGAGTTGATTTGGGGCACATGGAGCTGCTTTGCGTTGCTGGGGTGACCTCAGGGTCCGTCTAGACTGGTGACAGTGTTCTTGGGGACTGTGTCGAGATCCATTAAGCAAGTCAAAGCTCCTGACTTGTTTGAATGGGATCACGGAATAGCTCTGCATGCACTGCAGGGGAATGGGGCCTCATCTCGCCTCTAGGGGGAAGTCTCATGGTTTTTCTCGAGTTGTGGCGGGGACCTGGGATATGTTCTCGACTTATGGCGGGGATGGCCCTTCAAAACACTAGTTTCTTCAGTGACGTCAGGACTCCTGTCTAGTAACGAGGGACACCTCAGGAATCTCTTCGAGGCTTGGCAGTGCAAAAGGGACGCTTCTCGAGGTGAGGCAGGGCACCCAAGGACCCTTTCCAGTAGCCACAGGGATTTTGGGATTGCTATCAGTATACAAGAGGAGTCAGGCATCGTCACCTTTTGAAGCAATGAACTCTGCGTGCCTCGCGAGGTGTCAACGGGAGGTGAGGCATTCCGTCAAAATGAGGCAGGGACCTAGGGCTTTCTCTAAGTTCTCCACAGGGGATTCAGACAACCTTCAGGTTTTGAGATCAAAGACGAGCCTGTATTCTAGCCACTGCAAGGAATTCCGGCCTCCTTTCAAGTTAGGGCTTCTCGCTGGATATTCCACTGGAGGCAGCAAATTCGGAGTCCCTCCCACATACCTATTACTGAGAGTAGCCGCCTCCTGAGGTGATTCTGGAAAGTTGGCATACGACTTGAGCTTAAGCCAGGGAATCAGCTCTCATGTCGAGATGATTTGGGGTACACGGAGCATTCCTCGAGTTGCTGTGCTGAAGTTGGTGTTCCTCTAGACTTGGGACAGTGTTCTCGGGGCATCTCTGGAGTTGCCTGAAGGAAGTTGAGCCACCGATCGTGTTGAATCGGGAACGGGGAATGGCTCTGGAGTCAATGCAGGGGAATCGACCCTCATCTCGAGTTGATTTGGGGCACATGGAGCTGCTTTGCGTTGCTGGGGTGACCTCAGGGTCCGTCTAGACTGGTGACAGTGTTCTTGGGGACTGTCTCGAGATCCATTAAGCAAGTCAAAGATCCTGACTTGTTTGAATGGGATCACGGAATAGCTCTGCATGCACTGCAGGGGAATGGGGCCTCATCTCGCCTCTAGGGGGAAGTCTCATGGTTTTTCTCGAGTTGTGGCGGGGACCTGGGTATATTCTCGACTTACGGCGGGGATGGCCCTTCAAAACACGAGTTTCTTCAGTGACGTCAGGACTCCTGTCTAGTAACGGGGGATACCTCTGGAATCTCTTCGAAGCTTGGCAGGGCAAAAGGGACGCATCTCGAGGTGAGGCAGGGCACCCAAGGACCCTTTCCAGTAGCCACAGGGATTTTGGGATTCCTATCAGTATTCAAGAGGAGTCAGGCATCGTCACCTTTTGAAGCAATGAACTCCGCGTGCCTCTCGAGGTGTCAGCGCGATGTGAGGCATTCCGTCAAAATGAGGCAGGGACCTAGGGCTATCTCTCAGGTCTCCACAGGGGATTCAGACATCCCTTCATGTTGTGAGATGAAAGACGAGCCTGTATTCAAGCCACTGCAAGGAAATCCGGCCTCCTTTCAAGTTAGGGCTTCTCGCTGTATATTCCCCTTGAGGCAGCAAACTCGGGGTCCCTCCCACATACCTATTGCTGAGAGAAACCTCCTCCTGAGGTGCTTCTGGAAAGTTGGCATACGTCTTGAGCCTAAGCCAGGGAATCAGCTCTCATCTCGAGACGGTTTGGGTACACGGAGCATTCCTCGAGTTGCTGTGCTGAAGTTGGTGATCCTCTAGACTTGGGACAGTGTTCTCGGGGCATGTCTGGAGTTGCCTGAAGGAAGTCGAGCCACCGGTCGTGTTGAATGGGGAACGGGGAATGGCTCTGGAGTCAATGCAGGGGAATCGGGCCTCATCTCGAGTTGATTTGGGGCACATGGTGCTGCTTTGCGTTGCTGGGGTGACCTCAGGGTCCGTCTAGACTGGTGACAGTGTTCTTGCGGACTGTCTCGAGATCCATTAAGCAAGTCGAAACTCCTGACTTGTTTGAATGGGATCACGGAATAGCTCTGCATGCACTGCAGGGGAATGGGGCTTCATCTCGCCTCTAGGGGGAAGTCTCATGGTTTTTCTCGAGTTGCGGCGGGGACCTGGGGTATGTTCTCCACTTACGGCGGGGATGGCCCTTCAAAACACGAGTTTCTTCAGTGACGTCAGGACTCCTGTCTAGTAACGAGGGACACCTCAGGAATCTCTTCGAGGCTTGGCAGGGCAAAAGGGACGCTTCTCGAGGTGAGGCAGGGCACCCAAGGACCCTTTCCAGTAGCCACAGGGATTTGGGGATTCCTATCAGTATTCAAGAGGAGTCAGGCATCGTCACCTTTTGAAGCAATGAACTCCGCGTGCCTCTCGAGGTGTCAACGGGATGTGAGGCATTCCGTCAAAATGAGGCAGGGACCTCGGGCTTTCTCTAAGGTCTCCACAGGGGATTCAGACATCCCTTCATGTTGTGAGATGAAAGACGAGCCTGTATTCAAGCCACTGCAAGGAAATCCGGCCTCCTTTCAAGTTAGGGCTTCTCGCTGTATATTCCCCTTGAGGCAGCAAACTCGAGGTCCCCCCACATGCCTATTGCTGAGAGAAGCCTCCTCCTGAGGTGCTTCTGGAAAGTTGGCATACGTCTTGAGCCTAAGCCAGGGAATCAGCTCTCATCTCGAGACGATTTGGGGTACAGGGAGCATTCCTCGAGTTGCTGTGCTGAAGTTGGTGTTCCTCTAGACTGGGACAGTGTTCTTGGGGCATCTCTGGAGTTGCCTGAAGGAAGTCGAGCCACCGGTCGTGTCGAATGGGGAACGGGGAATGGCTCTGGAGTCAATGCAGGGGAATCGGGCCTCATCTCGAGTTGATTTGGGGCACATGGAGCTGCTTTGCGTTGCTGGGGTGACCTCAGGGTCCGTCTAGACTGGTTAAAGTGTTCTTGGGGACTGTCTCGAGATCCATTAAACAAGTCGATGCTCCTGACTTGTTTGAATGGCATCACAGAATAGCTCTGCATGCACTGCAGGGGAATGGGGCCTCATCTCGCCTCTAGGGGGAAGTCTCATGGTTTTTCTCGAGTTGCGGCGGGGACCTGGGGTATGTTCTCGACTTACGGCGGGGATGGCCTTTCAAAACACGAGTTTCTTCAGTGACGTCAGGACTCCTGTCTAGTAACGAGGGACACCTCAGGAATCTCTTCGAGGCTTGGCAGGGCAAAAGGGACGCTTCTCGAGGTGAGGCAGGGCACCCAAGGACCCTTTCCAGTAGCCACAGGGATTTTCGGATTCCTATCAGTATTCAAGAGGAGTCAGGCATCGTCACCTTTTGAAGCAATGAACTCCGCGTGCCTCTCGAGGTGTCAACTGGAGGTGAGGCATTCCGTCAAAATGAGGCAGGGACCTAGGGCTTTCTCTAAGGTCTCCAAAGGGGATTCAGTCATCCCTTCAGGATGTGAGATGAAACACGAGCCTGTATTCAAGCCACTGCAAGGAAATCCGGCCTCCTTTCAAGTTAGGGCTTCTTGCTGTGTATTCCCCTTGAGGCAGCAATCTCAGGGTCCCTCCCACATACCTATTGCTGAGAGAAGCATCCTCCTGAGGTGCTTCTGGAAAGTTGGCATACGTCTTGAGCCTAAGCCAGGGAATCAGCTCTAATCTCGAGACGATTTGGGGTACACGGAGCATTCCTCGAGTTGCTGTGCTGAAGTTGGTGTTCCTCTAGACTTGGGACAGTGTTCTCGGGGCATCTCTGGAGTTGCCTGAAGGAAGTCGAGCCACCGGTCGTGTTGAATGGGGAACGGGGAATGGCTCTGGATTCAATGCATGGGAATCGGGCCTCATTTCGAGTTGATTTGGGGCACATGGAGCTGCTTTGCGTTGCTGGGGTGACCTCAGGGTCCGTCTAGACTGGTGACAGTGTTCTTGGGGACTGTGTCGAGATCCATTAAGCAAGTCAAAGCTCCTGACTTGTTTGAATGGGATCACGGAATAGCTCTGCATGCACTGCAGGGGAATGGGGCCTCATCTCGCCTCTAGGGGGAAGTCTCATGGTTTTTCTCGAGTTGCGGCGGGGACCTGGGATATGTTCTCGACTTATGGCGGGGATGGCCCTTCAAAACACTAGTTTCTTCAGTGACGTCAGGACTCCTGTCTAGTAACGAGGGACACCTGAGGAATCTCTTCCAGGCTTGGCAGGGAAAAAGGGACGCATCTCGAGGTGAGGCAGGGCACCCAAGGACCCTTTCCAGTAGCCACAGGGATTTTGGGATTCCTATCAGTATTCAAGAGGAGTCAGGCATCATCACCTTTTGAAGCAATGAACTCTGCGTGCCTCTCGAGGTTTCAGCGGGATGTGAGGCATTCCGTCAAAATGAGGCAGGGACCTAGGGCTTTCTCTAAGGTCTCCACAGGGGATTCAGACATCCCTTCATGTTGTGAGATGAAACACGAGCCTGTATTCAAGCCACTGCAAGGAAATCCGTCCTCCTTTCAAGTTAGGGCTTCTCGCTGTATATTCCCCTTGAGGCAGCAATCTCGGGGTCCCTCCCACATACCTATTGCTGAGAGAAGCCTCCTCCTGAGGTGCTTCTGGAAAGTTGGTATACGTCTTGAGCCTACGCCAGGGAATCAGCTCTCATCTCGAGACGTTTTGGGGTACACGAAGCATTCCTCGAGTTGCTGTGCTGAAGTTGGTGTTCCTCAAGACTTGGGACACTGTTCTCGGGGCATCTCTGGAGTTGCCTGAAGGAAGTCGAGCCACCGGTCGTGTTGAATGGGGAACGGGGAATGGCTCTGGAGTCAATGCAGGGGAATCGGGCCTCATCTCGAGTTGATTTGGGGCACATGGAGCTGCTTTGCGTTGCTGGGGTGACCTCAGGGTCCATCTAGACGGGTGACAGTGTTCTTGGAGACTGTCTCGAGATCCATTAAGCAAGTCGAAGCTCCTGACTTGTTTGAATGGGATCACGGAATAGCTCTGCATGCTCTGCAGGGGAATGGGGCCTCATCTCGCCTCTAGGGGGAAGTCTCATGGTTTTTGTCGAGTTGCGGCGGGGACCTGGGATATGTTCTCGACTTAAGGCGGGGATGGCCCTTCAAAACACGAGTTTCTTCAGTGACGTCAGGACTCCTGTCTAGTAACGAGGGACACCTCAGGAATCTCTTCGAGGCTTGGCAGTGCAAAAGGGACGCTTCTCGAGGTAAGGCAGGGCACCCAAGGACCCTTTCCAGAAGCCACAGGGATTTTGGGATTCCTATCAGTATTCAAGAGGAGTCAGGCATCGTCACCTTTTGAAGCAATGAACTCTGCGTGCCTCGCGAGGTGTCAACGGGAGGTGAGGCATTCCGTCAAAATGAGGCAGGGACCTAGGGCTTTCTCTAAGTTCTTCACAGGGGATTCAGACAACCTTCAGGTTTTGAGATCAAAGACGAGCCTGTATTCTAGCCACTGCAAGGAAATCCGGCCTCCTTTCAAGTTAGGGCTTCTCGCTGTATATTCCCCTGGAGGCAGCAAACTCGGGGTCCCTCCCACATACCTATTACTGAGAGAAGCCTCCTCCTGAGGTGCTTCTGGAAAGTTGGCATACGACTTGAGCTTAAGCCAGGGAATCAGCTCTCATCTCGAGATGATTTGGGGTACACGGAGCATTCCTCGAGTTGCTGTGCTGAAGGTGGTGTTCCTCTAGCCTTGGACAGTGTTCTCGGGGCATCTCTGGAGTTGCCTGAAGGAAGTCGAGCCACCGGTCGTGTTGAATCGGGAACGGGGAATGGCTCTGGAGTCAATGCAGGGGAATCGGGCCTCATCTCGAGTTGATTTGGGGCACATGGAGCTGCTTTGCGTTGCTGGGGTGACCTCAGGGTCCGTCTAGACTGGTGACAGTGTTCTTGGGGACTGTCTCGAGATCCATTAAGCAAGTCGAAGCTCCTGACTTGTTTGAATGGGATCACGGAATAGCTCTGCATGCACTGCAGGGGAATGGGGCCTCATCTCGCCTCTAGGGGGAAGTCTCATGGTTTTTCTCGAGTTGTGGCGGGGACCTGGGGTATGTTCTCGACTTACGGCGGGGATGGCCCTTCAAAACACGAGTTTCTTCAGTGACGTCAGGACTCCTGTGTAGTAACGGGGGACACCTCTGGAATCTCTTCGAAGCTTGGCAGGGCAAAAGGGACGCTTCTCGAGGTGAGGCAGGGCACCCAAGGACCCTTTCCAGTAGCCACAGGGATTTTGGGATTCCTATCAGTATTCCAGAGGAGTCAGGCATCGTCACCTTTTGAAGCAATGAACTCTGCGTGCCTCTCGAGGTGTCAACGGGATGTGAGGCATTCCGTCAAAATGAGGCAGGGACCTAGGGCTTTCTCTAAGGTCTCCACAGGGGATTCAGACAACCCTTCAGGTTTTGAGATCAAAGACGAGCCTGTATTCTAGCCACTGCAAGGAAATCCGGCCTCCTTTCAAGTTAGGGCTTCTCGCTGTATATTCCCCTTGAGGCAGCAAACTCGGGGTCCCTCCCACATACCTATTGCTGAGAGAAGCCTCCTCCTGAGGTGCTTCTGGAAAGTTGGCATACGTCTTGAGCCTAAGCCAGGGAATCAGCTCTCATCTCGAGACGGTTTGGGGTACACGGAGCATTCCTCGAGTTGCTGTGCTTAAGTTGGTGATCCTCTAGACTTGGGACAGTGTTCTCGGGGCATGTCTGGAGTTACTTGAAGGAAGTCGAGCCACCGGTCGTGTTGAATGGGGAACGGGGAATGGCTCTGGAGTCAATGCCGGGGAATCGGGCCTCATCTCGAGTTGATTTGGGGCACATGGTGCTGCTTTGCGTTGCTGGGGTGACCTCAGGGTCCGTCTAGACTGGTGACAGTGTTCTTGGGGACTGTCTCGAGATCCATTAAGCAAGTCGAAGCTCCTGACTTGTTTGAATGGGATCAAGGAATAGCTCTGCATGCACTGCAGGGGAATGGGGCTTCATCTCGCCTCTAGGGGGAAGTCTCATGGTTTTTCTCGAGTTGCGGCGGGGACCTGGGGTATGTTCTCGACTTACGGCGGGGATGGCCCTTCAAAACACGAGTTTCTTCAGTGACGTCAGGACTCCTCTCTAGTAACGAGGGACACCTCAGGAATCTCTTCGAGGCTTGGCAGGGCAAAAGGGACGCTTCTCGATGTGAGGCAGGGCACCCAACGACACTTTCCAGTAGCCACAGGGATTTGGGGATTCCTATCAGTATTCAAGAGGAGTCAGGCATCGTCACCTTTTGAAGCAATGAACTCCGCGTGCCTCTCGAGGTGTCAACGGGATGTGAGGCATTCCGTCAAAATGAGGCAGGACCTAGGGCTTTCTCTAAGGTCTCCACAGGGGATTCAGACATCCCTTCATGTTGTGAGATGAAAGACGAGCCTGTATTCAAGCCACTGCAAGGAAATCCGGCCTCCTTTCAAGTTAGGGCTTCTCGCTGTATATTCCCCTTGAGGCAGCAAACTCGAGGTCCCCCCACATGCCTATTGCTGAGAGAAGCCTCCTCCTGAGGTGCTTCTGGAAAGTTGGCATACGAGTTGAGCCTAAGCCAGGGAATCAGCTCTCATCTCGAGACGATTTGGGGTACACGGAGCATTCCTCGAGTTGCTGTGCTGAAGTTGGTGTTCCTCTAGACTGGGACAGTGTTCTCGGGGCATCTCTGGAGTTGCCTGAAGGAACTCGAGGCACCGGTCGTGTTGAATGGGGAACGGGGAATGGCTCTGGAGTCAATGCAGGGGAATCGGGCCTCATCTCGAGTTGATTTGGGGCACATGGAGCTGCTTTGCGTTGCTGGGGTGACCTCAGGGTCCGTCTAGACTGGTGACAGTGTTCTTGGGGACTGTCTCGAGATCCATTGAACAAGTCGATGCTCCTGACTTGTTTGAATGGCATCACAGAATAGCTCTGCATGCACTGCAGGGGAATGGGGCCTCATCTCGCCTCTAGGGGGAAGTCTCATGGTTTTTCTCGAGTTGCGGCGGGGACCTGGGGTATGTTCTCGACTTACGGCGGGGATGGCCCTTCAAAACACTAGTTTCTTCAGTGACGTCAGGACTCCTGTCTAGTAACGAGGGACACCTCAGGAATCTCTTCCAGGCTTGGCAGGGCAAAAGGGACGCATCTCGAGGTGAGGCAGGGCACCCAAGGACCCTTTCCAGTAGCCACAGGGATTTTGGGATTCCTATCAGTATTCAAGAGGAGTCAGGCATCATCACCTTTTGAAGCAATGAACTCTGCGTGCCTCTCGAGGTGTCAGCGGGATGTGAGGCATTCCGTCAAAATGAGGCAGGGACCTAGGGCTTTCTCTAAGGTCTCCACAGGGGATTCAGACAACCCTTCAGGTTTTGCGATCAAAGACGAACCTGTATTCTAGCCACTGCAAGGAAATCCAGCCTCCATTCAAGTTAGGGCTTCTCGCTGTATATTCCGCTGGAGGCAGCAAATTCGGGGTCCCTCCCACATAGCTATTACTGAGAGAAGCCTCCTCCTGAGGTGCTTCTGGAAAGTTGGCATACGACTTGAGCTTAAGCCAGGGAATCAGCTCTCATCTCGAGATGATTTGGGGTACACGGAGCATTCCTCGAGTTGCTGGGCTGAAGTTGGTGTTCCTCTAGACTTGGGACAGTGTTCCCGGGGCATCTCTGGAGTTGCCTGAAGGAAGTCGAGCCACCGGTCGTGTTGAATGGGGAACGGGGAATGGCTCTGGAGTCAATGCAGGGGAATCGGGCCTCATCTCGAGTTGATTTGGGGCACATGGAGCTGCTTTGCGTTGCTGGGGTTACCACAGGGTCCGTCTAGACTGGTGACAGTGTTCTTGGGGACTGTCTCGAGATCCATGAAGCAAGTCGAAGCTCCTGACTTGTTTGAATGGGATCACGGAATAGCTCTGCATGCACTGCAGGGGAATGGGGCCTCATCTCGCCTCTAGGGGGAAGTCTCATGGTTTTTCTCGAGTTGCGGCGGGGACCTGGGGTATGTTCTCAACTTACGGCGGGGATGGCCCTTCAAAACACGAGTTTCTTCAGTGACGTCAGGACTCCTGTCTAGTAACGAGGGACACCTCAGGAATCTCTTCGCGCCTTGGAAGGGCAAAAGGGACGCTTCTCGAGGTGAGGCAGGGCACCCAAGGTCCCTTTCTAGTAGCCACAGGGATTTTGGGATTCCTATCAGTATTCAAGAGGAGTCAGGCATCGTCACTTTTTGAAGCAATGAACTCTGCGTGCCTCTCGAGGTGTCAGCGGGATGTGAGGAATTCCGTCAAAATGAGGCTGGGATCTAGGGCTTTCTCTAAGGTCTCCACAGGGGATTCAGACATCCCTTCATGTTTTGAGATGAAACACGAGCCTGTATTCAAGCCACTGTAAGGAAATCCGGCCTCCTTTCAAGTTAGGGCTTCTCGCTGTATATTCCCCTTGAGGCAGCAAACCCGGGTCCCTCCCACAAACTATTGCTGAGAGAAGCCTCCTCCTGAGGTGCTTCTGGAAAGTTGGCATACGTCTTGAGCCTAAGCCAGGGAATCAGCTCTCATCTCGAGACGATTTGGGGTACACGGAGCATTCCTCGAGTTGCTGTGCTGAAGTTGGTGTTCCTCTAGACTGGGACAGTGTTCTCGGGGCATCTCTGGAGTTGCCTGAAGGAAGTCGAGCCACCGGTCGTGTTGAATGGGGAACGGGGAATGGCTCTGGAGTCAATGCAGGGGAATCGGGCCTCATCTCGAGTTGATTTGGGGCACATGGAGCTGCTTTGCGTTGCTGGGTTGACCTCAGGGTCCGTCTAGACTGGTGACAGTGTTCTTGGGGACTGTCTCGAGATCCATTGAACAAGTCGATGCTCCTGACTTGTTTGAATGGCATCACAGAATAGCTCTGCATGCACTGCAGGGGAATGGGGCCTCATCCCGCCTCTAGGGGGAAGTCTCATGGTTTTTCTCGAGTTGCGGCGGGGACCTGGGGTATGTTCTCGACTTACGGCGGGGATGGCCCTTCAAAACACTAGTTTCTTCAGTGACGTCAGGACTCCTGTCTAGTAACGAGGGACACCTCAGGAATCTCTTCCAGGCTTGGCAGGGCAAAAGGGACGCATCTCGAGGTGTGGCAGGGCACTCAAGGACCCTTTCCAGTAGCCACAGGGATTTTGGGATTCCTATCAGTATTCAAGAGGAGTCAGGCATCATCACCTTTTGAAGCAATGAACTCTGCGTGCCTCTCGAGGTGTCAGCGGGATGTGAGGCATTCCGTCAAAATGAGGCAGGGACCTAGGGCTTTCTCTAAGGTCTCCACAGGGGATTCAGACAACCCTTCAGGTTTTGCGATCAAAGACGAGCCTGTATTCTAGCCACTGCAAGGAAATCCGGCCTCCTTTCAAGTTAGGGCTTCTCGCTGTATATTCCCCTTGAGGCAGCAAACTCGGGGTCCCTCCCACATACCTATTGCTGAGAGAAGCCTCCTCCTGAGGTGCTTCTGGAAAGTTGGCATACGAGTTGAGCCTAAGCCAGGGAATCAGCTCTCATCTCGAGACGATTTGGGGTACACGGAGCATTCCTCGAGTTGCTGTGCTGAAGTTGGTGTTCCTCTAGACTGGGACAGTGTTCTCGGGGCATCTCTGGAGTTGCCTGAAGGAACTCGAGGCACCGGTCGTGTTGAATGGGGAACGGGGAATGGCTCTGGAGTCAATGCAGGGGAATCGGGCCTCATCTCGAGTTGATTTGGGGCACATGGAGCTGCTTTGCATTGCTGGGGTGACCTCAGGGTCCGTCTAGACTGGTGACAGTGTTCTTGGGGACTGTCTCGAGATCCATTGAACAAGTCGATGCTCCTGACTTGTTTGAATGGCATCACAGAATAGCTCTGCATGCACTGCAGGGGAATGGGGCCTCATCTCGCCTCTAGGGGGAAGTCTCATGGTTTTTCTCGAGTTGCGGCGGGGACCTGGGGTATGTTCTCGACTTACGGCGGGGATGGCCCTTCAAAACACTAGTTTCTTCAGTGACGTCAGGACTCCTGTCTAGTAACGAGGGACACCTCAGGAATCTCTTCCAGGCTTGGCAGGGCAAAAGGGACGCATCTCGAGGTGAGGCAGGGCACCCAAGGACCCTTTCCAGTAGCCACAGGGATTTTGGGATTCCTATCAGTATTCAAGAGGAGTCAGGCATCATCACCTTTTGAAGCAATGAACTCTGCGTGCCTCTCGAGGTGTCAGCGGGATGTGAGGCATTCCGTCAAAATGAGGCAGGGACCTAGGGCTTTCTCTAAGGTCTCCACAGGGGATTCAGACAACCCTTCAGGTTTTGCGATCAAAGACGAGCCTGTATTCTAGCCACTGCAAGGAAATCCAGCCTCCATTCAAGTTAGGGCTTCTCGCTGTATATTCCGCTGGAGGCAGCAAATTCGGGGTCCCTCCCACATAGCTATTACTGAGAGAAGCCTCCTCCTGAGGTGCTTCTGGAAAGTTGGCATACGACTTGAGCTTAAGCCAGGGAATCAGCTCTCATCTCGAGATGATTTGGGGTACACGGAGCATTCCTCGAGTTGCTGTGCTGAAGTTGGTGTTCCTCTAGACTTGGGACAGTGTTCCCGGGGCATCTCTGGAGTTGCCTGAAGGAAGTCGAGCCACCGGTCGTGTTGAATGGGGAACGGGGAATGGCTCTGGAGTCAATGCCGGGGAATCGGGCCTCATCTCGAGTTGATTTGGGGCACATGGTGCTGCTTTGCGTTGCTGGGGTTACCACAGAGTCCGTCTAGACTGGTGACAGTGTTCTTGGGGACTGTCTCGAGATCCATGAAGCAAGTCGAAGCTCCTGACTTGTTTGAATGGGATCACGGAATAGCTCTGCATGCACTGCAGGGGAATGGGGCCTCATCTCGCCTCTAGGGGGAAGTCTCATGGTTTTTCTCGAGTTGCGGCGGGGACCTGGGGTATGTTCTCAACTTACGGCGGGGATGGCCCTTCAAAACACGAGTTTCTTCAGTGACGTCAGGACTCCTGTCTAGTAACGAGGGACACCTCAGGAATCTCTTCGCGCCTTGGAAGGGCAAAAGGGACGCTTCTCGAGGTGAGGCAGGGCACCCAAGGTCCCTTTCTAGTAGCCACAGGGATTTTGGGATTCCTATCAGTATTCAAGAGGAGTCAGGCATCGTCACTTTTTGAAGCAATGAACTCTGCGTGCCTCTCGAGGTGTCAGCGGGATGTGAGGAATTCCGTCAAAATGAGGCTGGGATCTAGGGCTTTCTCTAAGGTCTCCACAGGGGATTCAGACATCCCTTCATGTTTTGAGATGAAACACGAGCCTGTATTCAAGCCACTGTAAGGAAATCCGGCCTCCTTTCAAGTTAGGGCTTCTCGCTGTATATTCCCCTTGAGGCAGCAAACCCGGGTCCCTCCCACAAACTATTGCTGAGAGAAGCCTCCTCCTGAGGTGCTTCTGGAAAGTTGGCATACGTCTTGAGCCTAAGCCAGGGAATCAGCTCTCATCTCGAGACGATTTGGGGTACACGGAGCATTCCTCGAGTTGCTGTGCTGAAGTTGGTGTTCCTCTAGACTGGGACAGTGTTCTCGGGGCATCTCTGGAGTTGCCTGAAGGAAGTCGAGCCACCGGTCGTGTTGAATGGGGAACGGGGAATGGCTCTGGAGTCAATGCAGGGGAATCGGGCCTCATCTCGAGTTGATTTGGGGCACATGGAGCTGCTTTGCGTTGCTGGGTTGACCTCAGGGTCCGTCTAGACTGGTGACAGTGTTCTTGGGGACTGTCTCGAGATCCATTGAACAAGTCGATGCTCCTGACTTGTTTGAATGGCATCACAGAATAGCTCTGCATGCACTGCAGGGGAATGGGGCCTCATCTCGCCTCTAGGGGGAAGTCTCATGGTTTTTCTCGAGTTGCGGCGGGGACCTGGGGTATGTTCTCAACTTACGGCGGGGATGGCCCTTCAAAACACTAGTTTCTTCAGTGACGTCAGGACTCCTGTCTAGTAACGAGGGACACCTCAGGAATCTCTTCCAGGCTTGGCAGGGCAAAAGGGACGCATCTCGAGGTGAGGCAGGGCACCCAAGGACCCTTTCCAGTAGCCACAGGGATTTTGGGATTCCTATCAGTATTCAAGAGGAGTCAGGCATCATCACCTTTTGAAGCAATGAACTCTGCGTGCCTCTCGAGGTGTCAGCGGGATGTGAGGCATTCCGTCAAAATGAGGCAGGGACCTAGGGCTTTCTCTAAGGTCTCCACAGGGGATTCAGACAACCCTTCAGGTTTTGCGATCAAAGACGAGCCTGTATTCTAGCCACTGCAAGGAAATCCAGCCTCCATTCAAGTTAGGGCTTCTCGCTGTATATTCCGCTGGAGGCAGCAAATTCGGGGTCCCTCCCACATAGCTATTACTGAGAGAAGCCTCCTCCTGAGGTGCTTCTGGAAAGTTGGCATACGACTTGAGCTTAAGCCAGGGAATCAGCTCTCATCTCGAGATGATTTGGGGTACACGGAGCATTCCTCGAGTTGCTGTGCTGAAGTTGGTGTTCCTCTAGACTTGGGACAGTGTTCCCGGGGCATCTCTGGAGTTGCCTGAAGGAAGTCGAGCCACCGGTCGTGTTGAATGGGGAACGGGGAATGGCTCTGGAGTCAATGCAGGGGAATCGGGCCTCATCTCGAGTTGATTTGGGGCACATGGAGCTGCTTTGCGTTGCTGGGGTTACCACAGGGTCCGTCTAGACTGGTGACAGTGTTCTTGGGGACTGTCTCGAGATCCATGAAGCAAGTCGAAGCTCCTGACTTGTTTGAATGGGATCACGGAATAGCTCTGCATGCACTGCAGGGGAATGGGGCCTCATCTCGCCTCTAGGGGGAAGTCTCATGGTTTTTCTCGAGTTGCGGCGGGGACCTGGGGTATGTTCTCAACTTACGGCGGGGATGGCCCTTCAAAACACGAGTTTCTTCAGTGACGTCAGGACTCCTGTCTAGTAACGAGGGACACCTCAGGAATCTCTTCGAGGCTTGGAAGGTCAAAAGGGACGCTTCTCGAGGTGAGGCAGGGCACCCAAGGTCCCTTTCTAGTAGCCACAGGGATTTTGGGATTCCTATCAGTATTCAAGAGGAGTCAGGCATCGTCACTTTTTGAAGCAATGAACTCTGCGTGCCTCTCGAGGTGTCAGCGGGATGTGAGGAATTCCGTCAAAATGAGGCTGGGATCTAGGGCTTTCTCTAAGGTCTCCACAGGGGATTCAGACATCCCTTCATGTTTTGAGATGAAACACGAGCCTGTATTCAAGCCACTGTAAGGAAATCCGGCCTCCTTTCAAGTTAGGGCTTCTCGCTGTATATTCCCCTTGAGGCAGCAAACCCGGGTCCCTCCCACAAACTATTGCTGAGAGAAGCCTCCTCCTGAGGTGCTTCTGGAAAGTTGGCATACGTCTTGAGCCTAAGCCAGGGAATCAGCTCTCATCTCGAGACGATTTGGGGTACACGGAGCATTCCTCGAGTTGCTGTGCTGAAGTTGGTGTTCCTCTAGACTGGGACAGTGTTCTCGGGGCATCTCTGGAGTTGCCTGAAGGAAGTCGAGCCACCGGTCGTGTTGAATGGGGAACGGGGAATGGCTCTGGAGTCAATGCAGGGGAATCGGGCCTCATCTCGAGTTGATTTGGGGCACATGGAGCTGCTTTGCGTTGCTGGGTTGACCTCAGGGTCCGTCTAGACTGGTGAAAGTGTTCTTGGGGACTGTCTCGAGATCCATTAAACAAGTCGATGCTCCTGACTTGTTTGAATGGCATCACAGAATAGCTCTGCATGCACTGCAGGGGAATAGGGCCTCATCTCGCCTCTAGGGGGAAGTCTCATGGTTTTTCTCGAGTTGCGGCGGGGACTTGGGGTACGTTCTCGACTTACAGCGGGGATGGCCTTTCAAAACACGAGTTTCTTCAGTGACGTCAGGACTCTTGTCTAGTAACGAGGGACACCTCAGGAATCTCTTCGAAGCTTGGCAGGGCAAAAGGGACGCTTCTCGAGGTGAGGCAGGGCACCCAAGGACCCTTTCCAGTAGCCACAGGGATTTTCGGATTCCTATCAGCATTCAGGAGGAGTCAGGCATCGTCACCTTTTGAAGCAATGAACTCCGCGTGCCTCTCGAGGTGTCAACTGGAGGTGAGGCATTCTGTCAAAATGAGGCAGGGACCTAGGGCTTTCTCTAAGGTCTCCACAGGGGATTCAGTCATCCCTTCAGGTTGTGAGATGAAACACGAGCCTGTATTCAAGCCACTGCAAGGAAATCCGGCCTCCTTTCAAGTTAGGGCTTCTTGCTGTGTATTCCCCTTGAGGCAGCAAACTCGGGGTCCCTCCCACATACCTATTGCTGAGAGAAGCATCCTCCTGAGGTGCTTCTGGAAAGTTGGCATACGACTTGAGCCTAAGCCAGGCAATCAGCTCTAATCTCGAGACGATTTGGGGTACACGGAGCATTCCTCGAGTTGCTGTGCTGAAGTTGGTGTTCCTCTAGACTTGGGACAGTGTTCTCGGGGCATCTCTGGAGTTGCCTGAAGGAAGTCGAGACACCGGTCGTGTTGAATGGGGAACGGGGAATGGCTCTGGAGTCAATGCATGGGAATCGGGCCTCATCTCGAGTTGATTTGTGGCACATGGAGCTGCTTTGCGTTGCTGGGGTGACCTCAGGGTCCGTCTAGACTGGTGACAGTGTTCTTGGGGACTGTCTCGAGATCCATTAAGCAAGTCGAAGCTCCTGACTTGTTTGAATGGGATCACGGAATAGCTCTGCATGCACTGCAGGGGAATGGGGCCTCATCTCGCCTCTAGGGGGAAGTCTCATGGTTTTTTTCGAGTTGCGGCGGGGACCTGGGATATGTTCTCGACTTACGGCGGGGATGGCCCTTCAGAACACGAGTTTCTTCAGTGACGTCAGGACTCCTGTCTAGTAACGAGGGACACCTCAGGAATCTCTTCGAGGCTTGGCAGTGCAAAAGGGACGCTTCTCGAGGGGAGCCAGGGCACCCAAGGACCCTTTCCAGTAGCCACAGGGATTTTGGGATTCCTATCAGTATTCACGAGGAGTCAGGCATCGTCACCTTTTGAAGCAATGAACTCCGCGTGCCTCTCGAGGTGTCAGCGCGATGTGAGGCATTCCGTCAAAATGAGGCAGGGACCTAGGGCTTTCTCTAAGGTCTCCACAGGGGATTCAGACATCCCTTCATGTTGTGAGATGAAAGACGAGCCTGTATTCAAGCCACTGCAAGGAAATCCGGCCTCCTTTCAAGTTAGGGCTTCTTGCTGTGTATTCCCCTTGAGGCAGCAATCTCAGGGTCCCTCCCACATACCTTTTGCTGAGAGAAGCATCCTCCTGAGGTGCTTCTGGAAAGTTGGCATACGTCTTGAGCCTAAGCCAGGGAATCAGCTCTAATCTCGAGACGATTTGTGGTACACGGAGCATTCCTCGAGTTGCTGTGCTGAAGTTGGTGTTCCTCTAGACTTGGGACAGTGTTCTCGGGGCATCTCTTGAGTTGCCTGAAGGAAGTCGAGCCACCGGTCGTGTTGAATGGGGAACGGGGAATGGCTCTGGAGTCAATGCATGGGAATCGGGCCTCATCTCGAGTTGATTTGGGGCACATGGAGCTGCTTTGCGTTGCTGGGGTGACCTCAGGGTCCGTCTAGACTGGTGACAGTGTTCTTGGGGACTGTGTCGAGATCCATTAAGCAAGTCAAAGCTCCTGACTTGTTTGAATGGGATCACGGAATAGCTCTGCATGCACTGCAGGGGAATGGGGCTTCATCTCGCCTCTAGGGGGAAGTCTCATGGTTTCTCTCGAGTTGCGGCGGGGACCTGGGATATGTTCTCGACTTATGGCGGGGATGGCCCTTCAAAACACTAGTTTCTTCAGTGACGTCAGGACTCCTGTCTAGTAACGAGGGACACCTCAGGAATCTCTTCCAGGCTTGGCAGGGCAAAAGGAACGCATCTCCAGGTGAGGCAGGGCACCCAAGGACCCTTTCCAGTAGCCACAGGGATTTTGGGATTCCTATCAGTATTCAAGAGGAGTCAGGCATCATCACCTTTTGAAGCAATGAACTCTGTGTGCCTCTCGAGGTTTCAGCGGGATGTGAGGCATTCCGTCAAAATGAGGCAGGGACCTAGGGCTTTCTCTAAGGTCTCCACAGGGGATTCAGTCAACCCTTCAGGTTTTGAGATCAAAGACGAGCCTGTATTCTAGCCACTGCAAGGAAATCCGGCCTCCTTTCAAGTTAGGGCTTCTTGCTGTGTATTCCCCTTGAGGCAGCAATCTCAGGGTCCCTCCCACATACCTTTTGCTGAGAGAAGCATCCTCCTGAGGTGCTTCTGGAAAGTTGGCATACGTCTTGAGCCTAAGCCAGGGAATCAGCTCTAATCTCGAGACGATTTGGGGTACACGGAGCATTCCTCGAGTTGCTGTGCTGAAGTTGGTGTTCCTCTAGACTTGGGACAGTGTTCTCGGGGCATCTCTTGAGTTGCCTGAAGGAAGTCGAGCCACCGGTCGTGTTGAATGGGGAACGGGGAATGGCTCTGGAGTCAATGCATGGGAATCGGGCCTCATCTCGAGTTGATTTGGGGCACATGGAGCTGCTTTGCGTTGCTGGGGTGACCTCAGGGTCCGTCTAGACTGGTGACAGTGTTCTTGGGGACTGTGTCGAGATCCATTAAGCAAGTCAAAGCTCCTGACTTGTTTGAATGGGATCACGGAATAGCTCTGCATGCACTGCAGGGGAATGGGGCTTCATCTCGCCTCTAGGGGGAAGTCTCATGGTTTCTCTCGAGTTGCGGCGGGGACCTGGGATATGTTCTCGACTTATGGCGGGGATGGCCCTTCAAAACACTAGTTTCTTCAGTGACGTCAGGACTCCTGTCTAGTAACGAGGGACACCTCAGGAATCTCTTCCAGGCTTGGCAGGGCAAAAGGAACGCATCTCCAGGTGAGGCAGGGCACCCAAGGACCCTTTCCAGTAGCCACAGGGATTTTGGGATTCCTATCAGTATTCAAGAGGAGTCAGGCATCATCACCTTTTGAAGCAATGAACTCTGTGTGCCTCTCGAGGTTTCAGCGGGATGTGAGGCATTCCGTCAAAATGAGGCAGGGACCTAGGGCTTTCTCTAAGGTCTCCACAGGGGATTCAGTCAACCCTTCAGGTTTTGAGATCAAAGACGAGCCTGTATTCTAGCCACTGCAAGGAAATCCGGCCTCCTTTCAAGTTAGGGCTTCTCGATGTATATTCCCCTGGAGGCAGCAAATTCGGGGTCCCTCCCACATAGCTATTACTGAGAGAAGCCTCCTCCTGAGGTGCTTCTGGAAAGTTGGCATACGACTTGAGCTTAAGCCAGGGAATCTGCTCTCATCTCGAGACGATTTGGGGTACACGGAGCATTCCTCGAGTTGCTGTGCTGAAGTTGGTGTTCCTCTAGACTTGGGACAGTGTTCTCGGGGCATCTCTGGAGTTGCCTGAAGGAAGTCGAGCCACCGGTCGTGTTGAATGGGGAACGGGGAATGGCTCTGGAGTCAATGCATGGGAATCGGGCCTCATCTCGAGTTGATTTGGGGCACATGGAGCTGCTTTGCGTTGCTGGGGTGACCTCAGGGTCCGTCTAGACTGGTGACAGTGTTCTTGGGGACTGTGTCGAGATCCATTAAGCAAGTCAAAGCTCCTGACTTGTTTGAATGGGATCACGGAATAGCTCTGCATGCACTGCAGGGGAATGGGGCCTCATCTCGCCTCTAGGGGGAAGTCTCATGGTTTTTCTCGAGTTGCGGCGGGGACAAGGGATATGTTCTCGACTTACGGCGGGGCTGGCCCTTCAAAACACTAGTTTCTTTAGTGACGTCAGGACTCCTGTCTAGTAACGAGGGACACCTCAGGAATCTCTTCCAGGCTTGGCAGGGCAAAAGGGACGCATCTCGAGGTGAGGCAGGGCACCCAAAGACCCTTTCCAGTAGCCACAGGGATTTTGGGATTCCTATCAGTATTCAAGAGGAGTCAGGCATCGTCACCTTTTGAAGCAATGAACTCTGCGAGCCTCTCGAGGTTTCAGCGGGATGTGAGGCATTCTGTCAAAATGAGGCAGGGACCTAGGGCTTTCTCTCAGGTCTCCACAGGGGATTCAGACAACCCTTCAGGTTTTGAGATCAAAGACGAGCCTGTATTCTAGCCACTGCAAGGAAATCCGGCCTCCTTTCAAGTTAGGGCTTCTCGCTGTATATTCCCCTGGAGGCAGCAAATTCGGGGTCCCTCCCACATAGCTATTACTGAGAGAAGCCTCCTCCTGAGGTGCTTCTGGAAAGTTGGCATACGACTTGAGCTTAAGCCAGGGAATCAGCTCTCATCTCGAGATGATTTGGGGTACACGGAGCATTCCTCGAGTTGCTGTGCTGAAGTTGGTGTTCCTCTACACTTGGGACAGTGTTCCCGGGGCATCTCTGGAGTTGCCTGAAGGATGTCGAGCCACCGGTCGTGTTGAATGGGGAACGGGGAATGGCTCTGGAGTTAATGCAGGGGAATCGGGCCTCATCTCGAGTTGATTTGGGACACATGGAGCTGCTTTTCGTTGCTGGGGTTACCACAGGGTCCGTCTAGACTGGTGACAGTGTTCTTGGGGACTGTCTCGAGATCCATTAAGCAAGTCGAAGCTCCTGACTTGTTTGAATGGGATCACGGAATAGCTCTGCATGCACTGCAGGGGAATGGGGCCTCATCTCGCCTCTAGGGGGAAGTCTCATGGTTTTTCTCGAGTTGCGGCGGGGACCTGGGTTATGTTCTCGACTTACGGCGGGGATGGCCCTTCAAAACACGAGTTTTTCAGTGACGACAGGACTCCTGTCTAGTAACGAGGGACACCTCAGGAATCTCTTCGCGGCTTGGAAGGGCAAAAGGGACGCTTCTCGAGGTGAGGCAGGGCACCCAAGGACCCTTTCCAGTAGCCACAGGGATTTTGGGATTCCTATCAGTATTCAACAGGAGTCAGGCATCGTCACCTTTTGAAGCAATGAACTCCGCGTGCCTCTCGAGGTGTCAGCGGGATGTGAGGCATTCCGTCAAAATGAGGCTGTGACCTAGGGCTTTCTCTAAGGTCTCCACAGGGGATTCAGACATCCCTTCATGTTGTGAGATGAAACACGAGCCTGTATTCAAGCCACTGCAAGGAAATCCGGCCTCCTTTCAAGTTAGGGCTTCTCGCTGTATATTCCCCTTGAGGCAGCAAACTCGGTGTCCCTCCCACATACCTATTGCTGAGAGAAGCCTCCTCCTGAGGTGCTTCTGGAAAGTTGGCATACGTCTTGAGCCTAAGCCAGGGAATCAGCTCTCATCTCGAGACGATTTGGGGTACACGGAGCATTCCTCGAGTTGCTGTGCTGAAGGTGGTGTTCCTCTAGCCTTGGACAGTGTTCTCGGGGCATCTCTGGAGTTGCCTGAAGGAAGTCGAGCCACCGGTCGTGTTGAATGGGGAACTGGGAATGGCTCTGGAGTCAATGCAGGGGAATCGGGCCTCATCTCGAGTTGATTTGGGGCACATGGAGCTGCTTTGCGTTGCTGGGGTTACCACAGGGTCCGTCTAGACTGGTGACAGTGTTCTTGGGGACTGTCTCGAGATCCATTAAGCAAGTCGAAGCTCCTGACTTGTTTGAATGGGATCACGGAATAGCTCTGCATGCACTGCAGGGGAATGGGGCCTCATCTCGCCTCTAGGGGGAAGTCTCATGGTTTTTCCCGAGTTGTGGCGGGGACCTGGGGTATGTTCTCGACTTACGGCGGGGATGGCCCTTCAAAACACGAGTTTCTTCAGTGACGTCAGGACTCCAGTCTAGTAACGAGGGACACCTCAGGAATCTCTTCGCGGCTTGGAAGGGCAAAAGGGACGCTTCTCGAGGTGAGGCAGGGCACCCAAGGATCCTTTCCAGTAGCCACAGGGATTTTGGGATTCCTATGAGTATTCAGGAGGAGTCAGGCATCGTCACCTTTTGAAGCAATGAACTCTGCGTGCCTCTCGAGGTGTCAGCGGGATGTGAGGCATTCCGTCAAAATGAGGCAGGGACCTAGGGCTTTCTCTAAGGTCTCCACAGGGGATTCAGACATCCCTTCATGTTGTGAGATGAAACACGAGCCTGTATTCAAGCCACTGCAAGGAAATCCGTCCTCCTTTCAAGTTAGGGCTTCTCGCTGTATATTCCCCTTGAGGCAGCAAACTCGGGGTCCCTCCCACATACCTATTGCTGAGAGAAGCCTCCTCCTGAGGTGCTTCTGGAAAGTTGGCATACGTCTTGAGCCTAAGCCAGGGAATCAGCTCTTATCTCGAGACATTTTGGGGTACACGGAGCATTCCTCGAGTTGCTGTGCTGAAGTTGGTGTTCCTCAAGACTTGGGACACTGTTCTCGGGGCATCTCTGGAGTTGCCTGAAGGAAGTCGAGCCACCGGTCGTGTTGAATGGGGAACGGGGAATGGCTCTGGAGTCAATGCAGGGGAATCGGGCCTCATCTCGAGTTGATTTGGGGCACATGGAGCTGCTTTGCGTTGCTGGGGTGACCTCAGGGTCCGTCTAGACTGGTGAAAGTGTTCTTGGGGACTGTCTCGAGATCCATTATACAAGTCGATGCTCCTGACTTGTTTGAATGGCATCACAGAATAGCTCTGCATGCACTGCAGGGGAATGGGGCCTCATCTCGCCTCTAGGGGGAAGTCTCATGGTTTTTCTCCAGTTGCGGCGGGGACTTGGGGTACATTCTCGACTTAAGGCGGGGATGGCCCTTCAAAACACGAGTTTCTTCAGTGACGTCAGGACTCCTGTCTAGTAACGAGGGACACCTCAGGAATCTCTTCGAGGCTTGGCAGTGCAAAAGGGACGCTTCTCGAGGTAAGGCAGGGCACCCAAGGACCCATTCCAGAAGCCACAGGGATTTTGGGATTCCTATCAGTATTCAAGAGGAGTCAGGCATCGTCACCTTTTGAAGCAATGAACTCTGCGTGCCTCGCGAGGTGTCAACGGGAGGTGAGGCATTCCGTCAAAATGAGGCAGGGACCTAGGGCTTTCTCTAAGTTCTCCACAGGGGATTCAGACAACCTTCAGGTTTTGAGATCAAAGACGAGCCTGTGTTCTAGATACTGCAAGGAAATCCGGCCTCCTTTCAAGTTAGGGCTTCTCGCTGTATATTCCACTGGAGGCAGCAAATTCAGAGTCCCTCCCACATACCTATTACTGAGAGAAGCCTCCTCCTGAGGTGCTTCTGGAAAGTTGGCATACGACTTGAGCTTAAGCCAGGGAATCAGCTCTCATCTCGAGATGATTTGGGGTACACGGAGCATTCCTCGAGTTGCTGTGCTGAAGTTGGTGTTCCTCTAGACTTGGGACAGTGTTCTCGGGGCATCTCTGGAGTTGCCTGAAGGAAGTCGAGCCACCGGTCGTGTTGAATCGGGAACGGGGAATGGCTCTGGAGTCAATGCAGGGGAATCAACCCTCATCTCGAGTTGATTTGGGGCACATGGAGCTGCTTTGCGTTGCTGGGGTGACCTCAGGGTCCGTCTAGACTGGTGACAGTGTTCTTGGGGACTGTCTCGAGATCCATTAAGCAAGTCGAAGCTCCTGACTTGTTTCAATGGGATCACGGAATAGCTCTGCATGCACTGCAGGGGAATGGGGCCTCATCTCGCCTCTAGGGGGGAGTCTCATGGTTTTTCCCGAGTTGTGGCGGGGACCTGGGGTATGTTCTCGACTTACGGCGGGGATGGCCCTTCAAAACACGAGTTTCTTCAGTGACGTCAGGACTCCTGTCTAGTAACGAGGGACACCTCAGGAATCTCTTCGCGGCTTGGAAGGGCAAAAGGGACGCTTCTCGAGGTGAGGCAGGGCACCCAAGGATCCTTTCCAGTAGCCACAGGGATTTTGGGATTCCTATGAGTATTCAGGAGGAGTCAGGCATCGTCACCTTTTGAAGCAATGAACTCTGCGTGCCTCTCGAGGTGTCAGCGGGATGTGAGGCATTCCGTCAAAATGAGGCAGGGACCTAGGGCTTTCTCTAAGGTCTCCACAGGGGATTCAGACATCCCTTCATGTTGTGAGATGAAAGACGAGCCTGTATTCAAGCCACTGCAAGGAAATCCGTCCTCCTTTCAAGTTAGGGCTTCTCGCTGTATATTCCCCTTGAGGCAGCAAACTCGGGGTCCCTCCCACATACCTATTGCTGAGAGAAGCCTCCTCCTGAGGTGCTTCTGGAAAGTTGGCATACGTCTTGAGCCTAAGCCAGGGAATCAGCTCTCATCTCGAGACATTTTGGGGTACACGGAGCATTCCTCGAGTTGCTGTGCTGAAGTTGGTGTTCCTCAAGACTTGGGACACTGTTCTCGGGGCATCTCTGGAGTTGCCTGAAGGAAGTCGAGCCACCGGTCGTGTTGAATGGGGAACGGGGAATGGCTCTGGAGTCAATGCAGGGGAATCGGGCCTCATCTCGAGTTGATTTGGGGCACATGGAGCTGCTTTGCGTTGCTGGGGTGACCTCAGGGTCCGTCTAGACTGGTGAAAGTGTTCTTGGGGACTGTCTCGAGATCCATTATACAAGTCGATGCTCCTGACTTGTTTGAATGGCATCACAGAATAGCTCTGCATGCACTGCAGGGGAATGGGGCCTCATCTCGCCTCTAGGGGGAAGTCTCATGGTTTTTCTCCAGTTGCGGCGGGGACTTGGGGTACATTCTCGACTTAAGGCGGGGATGGCCCTTCAAAACACGAGTTTCTTCAGTGACGTCAGGACTCCTGTCTAGTAACGAGGGACACCTCAGGAATCTCTTCGAGGCTTGGCAGTGCAAAAGGGACGCTTCTCGAGGTAAGGCAGGGCACCCAAGGACCCATTCCAGAAGCCACAGGGATTTTGGGATTCCTATCAGTAATCAAGAGGAGTCAGGCATCGTCACCTTTTGAAGCAATGAACTCTGCGTGCCTCGCGAGGTGTCAACGGGAGGTGAGGCATTCCGTCAAAATGAGGCAGGGACCTAGGGCTTTCTCTAAGTTCTCCACAGGGGATTCAGACAACCTTCAGGTTTTGAGATCAAAGACGAGCCTGTGTTCTAGATACTGCAAGGAAATCCGGCCTCCTTTCAAGTTAGGGCTTCTCGCTGTATATTCCACTGGAGGCAGCAAATTCAGAGTCCCTCCGACATACCTATTACTGAGAGAAGCCTCCTCCTGAGGTGCTTCTGGAAAGTTGGCATACGACTTGAGCTTAAGCCAGGGAATCAGCTCTCATCTCGAGATGATTTGGGGTACACGGAGCATTCCTCGAGTTGCTGTGCTGAAGTTGGTGTTCCTCTAGACTTGGGACAGTGTTCTCGGGGCATCTCTGGAGTTGCCTGAAGGAAGTCGAGCCACCGGTCGTGTTGAATCGGGAACGGGGAATGGCTCTGGAGTCAATGCAGGGGAATCAACCCTCATCTCGAGTTGATTTGGGGCACATGGAGCTGCTTTGCGTTGCTGGGGTGACCTCAGGGTCCGTCTAGACTGGTGACAGTGTTCTTGGGGACTGTCTCGAGATCCATTAAGCAAGTCGAAGCTCCTGACTTGTTTGAATGGGATCACGGAATAGCTCTGCATGCACTGCAGGGGAATGGGGCCTCATCTCGCCTCTAGGGGGAAGTCTCATGGTTTTTCTCGAGTTGTGGCGGGGACCTGGGGTATGTTCTCGACTTACGGCGGGGATGGCCCTTCAAAACACGAGTTTCTTCAGTGACGTCAGGACTCCTGTCTAGTAACGGGGGACACCTCTGGAATCTCTTCGAAGCTTGGCAGGGCAAAAGGGACGCTTCTCGAGGTGAGGCAGGGCACCCAAGGACCCTTTCCAGTAGCCACAGGAATTTTGGGATTCCTATCAGTATTCCAGAGGAGTCAGGCATCGTCACCTTTTGAAGCAATGAACTCTGCGTGCCTCTCGAGGTGTCAACGGTATGTGAGGCATTCCGTCAAAATGAGGCAGGGACCTAGGGCTTTCTCTAAGGTCTCCACAGGGGATTCAGACAACCCTTCAGGTTTTGAGATCAAAGACGAGCCTGTATTCTAGCCACTGCAAGGAAATCCGGCCTCCTTTCAAGTTAGGGCTTCTCGCTGTATATTCCCCTTGAGGCAGCAAACTCGAGGTCCCCCCACATGCCTATTGCTGAGAGAAGCCTCCTCCTGAGGTGCTTCTGGAAAGTTGGCATACGAGTTGAGCCTAAGCCAGGGAATCAGCTCTCATCTCGAGACGATTTGGGGTACACGGAGCATTCCTCGAGTTGCTGTGCTGAAGTTGGTGTTCCTCTAGACTGGGACAGTGTTCTCGGGGCATCTCTGGAGTTGCCTGAAGGAAGTCGAGCCACCGGTCGTGTTGAATGGGGAACGGGGAGTGGCTCTGGAGTCAATGCAGGGGAATCGGGCCTCATCTCGAGTTGATTTGGGGCACATGGAGCTGCTTTGCGTTGCTGGGGTGACCTCAGGGTCCGTCTAGACTGGTGACAGTGTTCTTGGGGACTGTCTCGAGATCCATTGAACAAGTCGATGCTCCTGACTTGTTTGAATGGCATCACAGAATAGCTCTGCATGCACTGCAGGGGAATGGGGCCTCATCTCGCCTCTAGGGGGAAGTCTCATGGTTTTTCTCGAGTTGCGGCGGGGACCTGGGGTATGTTCTCGACTTACGGCGGGGATGGCCCTTCAAAACACTAGTTTCTTCAGTGACGTCAGGACTCCTGTCTAGTAACGAGGGACACCTCAGGAATCTGTTCCAGGCTTGGCAGGGCAAAAGGGACGCATCTCGAGGTGAGGCAGGGCACCCAAGGACCCTTTCCAGTAGCCACAGGGATTTTGGGATTCCTATCAGTATTCAAGAGGAGTCAGGCATCATCACCTTTTGAAGCAATGAACTCTGCGTGCCTCTCGAGGTGTCAGCGGGATGTGAGGCATTCCGTCAAAATGAGGCAGGGACCTAGGACTTTCTCTAAGGTCTCCACAGGGGATTCAGACAACCCTTCAGGTTTTGCGATCAAAGACGAGCCTGTATTCTAGCCACTGCACGGAAATCCAGCCTCCTTTCAAGTTAGGGCTTCTCGCTGTATATTCCGCTGGAGGCAGCAAATTCGGGGTCCCTCCCACATAGCTATTACTGAGAGAAGCCTCCTCCTGAGGTGCTTCTGGAAAGTTGGCATACGACTTGAGCTTAAGCCAGGGAATCAGCTCTCATCTCGAGATGATTTGGGGTACACGGAGCATTCCTCGAGTTGCTGTGCTGAAGTTGATGTTCCTCTAGACTTGGGACAGTGTTCCCGGGGCATCTCTGGAGTTGCCTGAAGGAAGTCGAGCCACCGGTCGTGTTGAATGGGGAACGGGGAATGGCTCTGGAGTCAATGCAGGGGAATCGGGCCTCATCTCGAGTTGATTTGGGGCACATGGAGCTGCTTTGCATTGCTGGGTTGACCTCAGGGTCCGTCTAGACTGGTGAAAGTGTTCTTGGGGACTGTCTCGAGATCCATTAAACAAGTCGATGCTCCTGACTTGTTTGAATGGCATCACAGAATAGCTCTGCATGCACTGCAGGGGAATGGGGCCTCATCTCGCCTCTAGGGGGAAGTCTCATGGTTTTTCTCGAGTTGCGGCGGGGACTTGGGGTACGTTCTCGACTTACAGCGGGGATGGCCTTTCAAAACACGAGTTTCTTCAGTGACGTCAGGACTCTTGTCTAGTAACGAGGGACACCTCAGGAATCTCTTCGAAGCTTGGCAGGGCAAAAGGGACGCTTCTCGAGGTGAGGCAGGGCACCCAAGGACCCTTTCCAGTAGCCACAGGGATTTTCGGATTCCTATCAATATTCAGGAGGAGTCAGGCATCGTCACCTTTTGAAGCAATGAACTCCGCGTGCCTCTCGAGGTGTCAACTGGAGGTGAGGCATTCTGTCAAAATGAGGCAGGGACCTAGGGCTTTCTCTAAGGTCTCCACAGGGGATTCAGTCATCCCTTCAGGTTGTGAGATGAAACACGAGCCTGTATTCAAGCCACTGCAAGGAAATCCGGCCTCCTTTCAAGTTAGGGCTTCTTGCTGTGTATTCCCCTTGAGGCAGCAAACTCGGGGTCCCTCCCACATACCTATTGCTGAGAGAAGCATCCTCCTGAGGTGCTTCTGGAAAGTTGGCATACGTCTTGAGCCTAAGCCAGGCAATCAGCTCTAATCTCGAGACGATTTGGGGTACACGGAGCATTCCTCGAGTTGCTGTGCTGAAGTTGGTGTTCCTCTAGACTTGGGACAGTGTTCTCGGGGCATCTCTGGAGTTGCCTGAAGGAAGTCGAGACACCGGTCGTGTTGAATGGGGAACGGGGAATGGCTCTGGAGTCAATGCATGGGAATCGGGCCTCATCTCGAGTTGATTTGGGGCACATGGAGCTGCTTTGCGTTGCTGGGGTGACCTCAGGGTCCGTCTAGACTGGTGACAGTGTTCTTGGGGACTGTCTCGAGATCCATTAAGCAAGTCGAAGCTCCTGACTTGTTTGAATGGGATCACGGAATAGCTCTGCATGCACTGCAGGGGAATGGGGCCTCATCTCGCCTCTAGGGGGAAGTCTCATGGTTTTTCTCGAGTTGCGGCGGGGACCTGGGATATGTTCTCGACTTACGGCGGGGATGGCCCTTCAAAAGACGAGTTTCTTCAGTGACGTCAGGACTCCTGTCTAGTAACGAGGGACACCTCAGGAATCTCTTCGCGGCTTGGCAGGGCAAAAGGGACGCTTCTCGAGGTGAGGCAGGGCACCCAAGGACCCTTTCCAGTAGCCACAGGGATTTGGGGATTCCTATCAGTATTCAAGAGGAGTCAGGCATCGTCACCTTTTGAAGCAATGAACTCCGCGTGCCTCTCGAGGTGTCAACGGGATGTGAGGCATTCCGTCAAAATGAGGCAGGGACCTCGGGCTTTCTCTAAGGTCTCCACAGGGGATTCAGACATCCCTTCATGTTGTGAGATGAAAGACGAGCCTGTATTCAAGCCACTGCAAGGAAATCCGGCCTCCTTTCAAGTTAGGGCTTCTCGCTGGATATTCCACTGGAGGCAGCAAATTCGGAGTCCCTCCCACATACCTATTACTGAGAGTAGCCGCCTCCTGAGGTGATTCTGGAAAGTTGGCATACGACTTGAGCTTAAGCCAGGGAATCAGCTCTCATCTCGAGATGATTTGGGGTGCACGGAGCATTCCTCGAGTTGCTGTGCTGAAGTTGGTGTTCCTCTAGACTTGGGACAGTGTTCTCGGGGCATCTCTGGAGTTGCCTGAAGGAAGTCGAGCCACCGGTCGTGTTGAATGGGGAACGGGGAATGGCTCTGGAGTCAATGCATGGGAATCGGGCCTCATCTCGAGTTGATTTGGGGCACATGGAGCTGCTTTGCGTTGCTGGGGTGACCTCAGGGTCCGTCTAGACTGGTGACAGTGTTCTTGGGGACTGTGTCGAGATCCATTAAGCAAGTCAAAGCTCCTGACTTGTTTGAATGGGATCACGGAATAGCTCTGCATGCACTGCAGGGGAATGGGGCCTCATCTCGCCTCTAGGGGGAAGTCTCATGGTTTTTCTCGAGTTGCGGCGGGGACAAGGGATATGTTCTCGACTTACGGCGGGGCTGGCCCTTCAAAACACTAGTTTCTTTAGTGACGTCAGGACTCCTGTCTAGTAACGAGGGACACCTCAGGAATCTCTTCCAGGCTTGGCAGGGCAAAAGGGACGCATCTCGAGGTGAGGCAGGGCACCCAAAGACCTTTCCAGTAGCCACAGGGATTTTGGGATTCCTATCAGTATTCAAGAGGAGTCAGGCATCGTCACCTTTTGAAGCAATGAACTCTGCGAGCCTCTCGAGGTTTCAGCGGGATGTGAGGCATTCTGTCAAAATGAGGCAGGGACCTAGGGCTTTCTCTAAGGTCTCCACAGGGGATTCAGACAACCCTTCAGGTTTTGAGATCAAAGACGAGCCTGTATTCTAGCCACTGCAAGGAAATCCGGCCTCCTTTCAAGTTAGGGCTTCTCGCTGTATATTCCCCTGGAGGCAGCAAATTCGGGGTCCCTCCCACATAGCTATTACTGAGAGAAGCCTCCTCCTGAGGTGCTTCTGGAAAGTTGGCATACGACTTGAGCTTAAGCCAGGGAATCAGCTCTCATCTCGAGATGATTTGGGGTACACGGAGCATTCCTCGAGTTGCTGTGCTGAAGTTGGTGTTCCTCTACACTTGGGACAGTGTTCCCGGGGCATCTCTGGAGTTGCCTGAAGGATGTCGAGCCACCGGTCGTGTTGAATGGGGAACGGGGAATGGCTCTGGAGTTAATGCAGGGGAATCGGGCCTCATCTCGAGTTGATTTGGGACACATGGAGCTGCTTTTCATTGCTGGGGTTACCACAGGGTCCGTCTAGACTGGTGACAGTGTTCTTGGGGACTGTCTCGAGATCCATTAAGCAAGTCGAAGCTCCTGACTTGTTTGAATGGGATCACGGAATAGCTCTGCATGCACTGCAGGGGAATGGGGCCTCATCTCGCCTCTAGGGGGAAGTCTCATGGTTTTTCTCGAGTTGCGGCGGGGACCTGGGTTATGTTCTCGACTTACGGCGGGGATGGCCCTTCAAAACACGAGTTTTTCAGTGACGACAGGACTCCTGTCTAGTAACGAGGGACACCTCAGGAATCTCTTCGCGGCTTGGAAGGGCAAAAGGGACGCTTCTCGAGGTGAGGCAGGGCACCCAAGGACCCTTTCCAGTAGCCACAGGGATTTTGGGATTCCTATCAGTATTCAACAGGAGTCAGGCATCGTCACCTTTTGAAGCAATGAACTCCGCGTGCCTCTCGAGGTGTCAGCGGGATGTGAGGCATTCCGTCAAAATGAGGCTGTGACCTAGGGCTTTCTCTAAGGTCTCCACAGGGGATTCAGACATCCCTTCATGTTGTGAGATGAAACACGAGCCTGTATTCAAGCCACTGCAAGGAAATCCGGCCTCCTTTCAAGTTAGGGCTTCTCGCTGTATATTCCCCTTGAGGCAGCAAACTCGGTGTCCCTCCGACATAACTATTGCTGAGAGAAGCCTCCTCCTGAGGTGCTTCTGGAAAGTTGGCATACGTCTTGAGCCTAAGCCAGGGAATCAGCTCTCATCTCGAGACGATTTGGTGTACACGGAGCATTCCTCGAGTTGCTGTGCTGAAGTTGGTGTTCCTCAAGACTTGGGACACTGTTCTCGGGGCATCTCTGGAGTTGCCTGAAGGAAGTCGAGCCACCGGTCGTGTTGAATGGGGAACGGGGAATGGCTCTGGAGTCAATGCAGGGGAATCGGGCCTCATCTCGAGTTGATTTGGGGCACATGGAGCTGCTTTGCGTTGCTGGGGTGACCTCAGGGTCCGTCTAGACTGGTGACAGTGTTCTTGGGGACTGTCTCGAGATCCATTATACAAGTCGATGCTCCTGACTTGTTTGAATGGCATCACAGAATAGCTCTGCATGCACTGCAGGGGAATGGGGCCTCATCTCGCCTCTAGGGGGAAGTCTCATGGTTTTTCTCCAGTTGCGGCGGGGACTTGGGGTACATTCTCGACTTACAGCGGGGATGGCCTTTCAAAACACGAGTTTCTTCAGTGACGTCAGGACTCCTGTCTAGTAACGAGGGACACCTCAGGAATCTCTTCGAGGCTTGGCAGGGCAAAAGGGACGCTTCTCGAGGTGAGGCAGGGCACCCAAGGACCCTTTCCAGTAGCCACAGGGATTTTGGGATTCCTATCAGTATTCAAGAGGAGTCAGGCATCGTCACCTTTTGAAGCAATGAACTCCGCGTGCCTCTCGAGGTCTCAACTGGAGGTGAGGCATTCCGTCAAAATGAGGCAGGGACCTAGGGCTTTCTCTAAGGTCTCCACAGGGGATTCAGACAACCCTTCAGGTTGTGAGATCAAAGACGAGCCTGTATTCTAGCCACTGCAAGGAAATCCGGCCTCCTTTCAAGTTAGGGCTTCTCGCTGTATATTCCCCTGGAGGCAGCAAACTCGGGGTCCCTCCCACATACCTATTACTGAGAGAAGCCTCCTCCTGAGGTGCTTCTGGAAAGTTGGCATACGACTTGAGCTTAAGCCAGGGAATCAGCTCTCATCTCGAGATGATTTGGGGTACACGGAGCATTCCTCGAGTTGCTGTGCTGAAGGTGGTGTTCCTCTAGCCTTGGACAGTGTTCTCGGGGCATCTCTGGAGTTGCCTGAAGGAAGTCGAGCCACCGGTCGTGTTGAATGGGGAACTGGGAATGGCTCTGGAGTCAATGCAGGGGAATCGGGCCTCATCTCGAGTTGATTTGGGGCACATGGAGCTGCTTTGCGTTGCTGGGGTTACCACAGGGTCCGTCTAGACTGGTGACAGTTTTCTTGGGGACTGTCTCGAGATCCATTAAGGAAGTCGAAGCTCCTGACTTGTTTCAATGGGATCACGGAATAGCTCTGCATGCACTGCAGGGGAATGGGGCCTCATCTCGCCTCTAGGGGGAAGTCTCATGGTTTTTCCCGAGTTGTGGCGGGGACCTGGGGTATGTTCTCAACTTACGGCGGGGATGGCCCTTCAAAACACGAGTTTCTTCAGTGACGTCAGGACTCCAGTCTAGTAACGAGGGACACCTCAGGAATCTCTTCGCGGCTTGGAAGGGCAAAAGGGACGCTTCTCGAGGTGAGGCAGGGCACCCAAGGATCCTTTCCAGTAGCCACAGGGATTTTGGGATTCCTATGAGTATTCAGGAGGAGTCAGGCATCGTCACCTTTTGAAGCAATGAACTCTGCGTGCCTCTCGAGGTGTCAGCGGGATGTGAGGCATTCCGTCAAAATGAGGGAGGGACCTAGGGCTTTCTCTAAGGTCTCCACAGGGGATTCAGACATCCCTTCATGTTGTGAGATGAAACACGAGCCTGTATTCAAGCCACTGCAAGGAAATCCGTCCTCCTTTCAAGTTAGGGCTTCTCGCTGTATATTCCCCTTGAGGCAGCAAACTCGGGGTCCCTCCCACATACCTATTGCTGAGAGAAGCCTCCTCCTGAGGTGCTTCTGGAAAGTTGGCATACGTCTTGAGCCTAAGCCAGGGAATCAGCTCTCATCTCGAGACGTTTTGGGGTACACGGAGCATTCCTCGAGTTGCTGTGCTGAAGTTGGTGTTCCTCAAGACTTGGGACACTGTTCTCGGGGCATCTCTGGAGTTGCCTGAAGGAAGTCGAGCCACCGGTCGTGTTGAATGGGGAACGGGGAATGGCTCTGGAGTCAATGCAGGGGAATCGGGCCTCATCTCGAGTTGATTTGGGGCACATGGAGCTGCTTTGCGTTGCTGGGGTGACCTCAGGGTCCGTCTAGACTGGTGAAAGTGTTCTTGGGGACTGTCTCGAGATCCATTATACAAGTCGATGCTCCTGACTTGTTTGAATGGCATCACAGAATAGCTCTGCATGCACTGCAGGGGAATGGGGCCTCATCTCGCCTGTAGGGGGAAGTCTCATGGTTTTTCTCCAGTTGCGGCGGGGACTTGGGGTACATTCTCGACTTACAGCGGGGATGGCCTTTCAAAACACGAGTTTCTTCAGTGACGTAAGGACTCCTGTCTAGTAACGAGGGACACCTCAGGAATCTCTTCGAGGCTTGGCAGGGCAAAAGGGACGCTTCTCGAGGTGAGGCAGGGCACCCAAGGACCCTTTCCAGTAGCCACAGGGATTTTGGGATTCCTATCAGTATTCAAGAGGAGTCAGGCATCGTCACCTTTTGAAGCAATGAACTCTGCGTGCCTCGCGAGGTGTCAACGGGAGGTGAGGCATTCCGTCAAAATGAGGCAGGGACCTAGGGCTTTCTCTAAGTTCTCCACAGGGGATTCAGACAACCTTCAGGTTTTGAGATCAAAGACGAGCCTGTGTTCTAGATACTGCAAGGAAATCCGGCCTCCTTTCAAGTTAGGGCTTCTCGCTGTATATTCCACTGGAGGCAGCAAATTCAGAGTCCCTCCCACATACCTATTACTGAGAGAAGCCTCCTCCTGAGGTGCTTCTGGAAAGTTGGCATACGACTTGAGCTTAAGCCAGGGAATCAGCTCTCATCTCGAGATGATTTGGGGTACACGGAGCATTCCTCGAGTTGCTGTGCTGAAGTTGGTGTTCCTCTAGACTTGGGACAGTGTTCTCGGGGCATCTCTGGAGTTGCCTGAAGGAAGTCGAGCCACCGGTCGTGTTGAATCGGGAACGGGGAATGGCTCTGGAGTCAATGCAGGGGAATCAACCCTCATCTCGAGTTGATTTGGGGCACATGGAGCTGCTTTGCGTTGCTGGGGTGACCTCAGGGTCCGTCTAGACTGGTGACAGTGTTCTTGGGGACTGTCTCGAGATCCATTAAGCAAGTCGAAGCTCCTGACTTGTTTGAATGGGATCACGGAATAGCTCTGCATGCACTGCAGGGGAATGGGGCCTCATCTCGCCTCTAGGGGGAAGTCTCATGGTTTTTCTCGAGTTGTGGCGGGGACCTGGGGTATGTTCTCGACTTACGGCGGGGATGGCCCTTCAAAACACGAGTTTCTTCAGTGACGTCAGGACTCCTGTCTAGTAACGGGGGACACCTCTGGAATCTCTTCGAAGCTTGGCAGGGCAAAAGGGACGCTTCTCGAGGTGAGGCAGGGCACCCAAGGACCCTTTCCAGTAGGCACAGGAATTTTGGGATTCCTATCAGTATTCCAGAGGAGTCAGGCATCGTCACCTTTTGAAGCAATGAACTCTGCGTGCCTCTCGAGGTGTCAACGGTATGTGAGGCATTCCGTCAAAATGAGGCAGGGACCTAGGGCTTTCTCTAAGGTCTCCACAGGGGATTCAGACAACCCTTCAGGTTTTGAGATCAAAGACGAGCCTGTATTCTAGCCACTGCAAGGAAATCCGGCCTCCTTTCAAGTTAGGGCTTCTCGCTGTATATTCCCCTTGAGGCAGCAAACTCGAGGTCCCCCCACATGCCTATTGCTGAGAGAAGCCTCCTCCTGAGGTGCTTCTGGAAAGTTGGCATACGAGTTGAGCCTAAGCCAGGGAATCAGCTCTCATCTCGAGACGATTTGGGGTACACGGAGCATTCCTCGAGTTGCTGTGCTGAAGTTGGTGTTCCTCTAGACTGGGACAGTGTTCTCGGGGCATCTCTGGAGTTGCCTGAAGGAAGTCGAGCCACCGGTCGTGTTGAATGGGGAACGGGGAGTGGCTCTGGAGTCAATGCAGGGGAATCGGGCCTCATCTCGAGTTGATTTGGGGCACATGGAGCTGCTTTGCGTTGCTGGGGTGACCTCAGGGTCCGTCTAGACTGGTGACAGTGTTCTTGGGGACTGTCTCGAGATCCATTGAACAAGTCGATGCTCCTGACTTGTTTGAATGGCATCACAGAATAGCTCTGCATGCACTGCAGGGGAATGGGGCCTCATCTCGCCTCTAGGGGGAAGTCTCATGGTTTTTCTCGAGTTGCGGCGGGGACCTGGGGTATGTTCTCGACTTACGGCGGGGATGGCCCTTCAAAACACTAGTTTCTTCAGTGACGTCAGGACTCCTGTCTAGTAACGAGGGACACCTCAGGAATCTCTTCCAGGCTTGGCAGGGCAAAAGGGACGCATCTCGAGGTGAGGCAGGGCACCCAAGGACCCTTTCCAGTAGCCACAGGGATTTTGGGATTCCTATCAGTATTCAAGAGGAGTCAGGCATCATCACCTTTTGAAGCAATGAACTCTGCGTGCCTCTCGAGGTGTCAGCGGGATGTGAGGCATTCCGTCAAAATGAGGCAGGGACCTAGGACTTTCTCTAAGGTCTCCACAGGGGATTCAGACAACCCTTCAGGTTTTGCGATCAAAGACGAGCCTGTATTCTAGCCACTGCAAGGAAATCCAGCCTCCTTTCAAGTTAGGGCTTCTCGCTGTATATTCCGCTGGAGGCAGCAAATTCGGGGTCCCTCCCACATAGCTATTACTGAGAGAAGCCTCCTCCTGAGGTGCTTCTGGAAAGTTGGCATACGACTTGAGCTTAAGCCAGGGAATCAGCTCTCATCTCGAGATGATTTGGGGTACACGGAGCATTCCTCGAGTTGCTGTGCTGAAGTTGATGTTCCTCTAGACTTGGGACAGTGTTCCCGGGGCATCTCTGGAGTTGCCTGAAGGAAGTCGAGCCACCGGTCGTGTTGAATGGGGAACGGGGAATGGCTCTGGAGTCAATGCAGGGGAATCGGGCCTCATCTCGAGTTGATTTGGGGCACATGGACCTGCTTTGCCTTGCTGGGGTTACCACAGGGTCCGTCTAGACTGGTGACAGTGTTCTTGGGGACTGTCTCGAGATCCATGAAGCAAGTCGAAGCTCCTGACTTGTTTTAATGGGATCACGGAATAGCTCTGCATGCACTGCAGGGGAATGGGGCCTCATCTCGCCTCTAGGGGGAAGTCTCATGGTTTTTCTCGAGTTGCGGCGGGGACCTGGGGTATGTTCTCAACTTACGGCGGGGATGGCCCTTCAAAACACGAGTTTCTTCAGTGACGTCAGGACTCCTGTCTAGTAACGAGGGACACCTCAGGAATCTCTTCGCGGCTTGGAAGGGCAAAAGGGACGCTTCTCGAGCTGAGGCAGGGCACCCAAGGACCCTTTCCAGTAGCCACAGGGATTTTGGGATTCCTATCAGTATTCAAGAGGAGTCAGGCATCGTCACTTTTTGAAGCAATCAACTCTGCGTGCCTCTCGAGGTGTCAGCGGGATGTGAGGAATTCCGTCAAAATGAGGCTGGGACCTAGGGCGTTCTCTAAGGTCTCCACAGGGGATTCAGACATCCCTTCATGTTTTGAGATGAAACACGAGCCTGTATTCAAGCCACTGTAAGGAAATCCGGCCTCCTTTCAAGTTAGGGCTTCTCGCTGTATATTCCCCTTGAGGCAGCAAACCCGGGTCCCTCCCACAAACTATTGCTGAGAGAAGCCTCCTCCTGAGGTGCTTCTGGAAAGTTGGCATACGTCTTGAGCCTAAGCCAGGGAATCAGCTCTCATCTCGAGATGATTTGGGGTACACGGAGCATTCCTCGAGTTGCTGTGCTGAAGTTGGTGTTCCTTAGACTGGGACAGTGTTCTCGGGGCATCTCTGGAGTTGCCTGAAGGAAGTCGAGCCACCGGTCGTGTTGAATGGGGAACGGGGAATGGCTCTGGAGTCAATGCAGGGGAATCGGGCCTCATCTCGAGTTGATTTGGGGCACATGGAGCTGCTTTGCATTGCTGGGTTGACCTCAGGGTCCGTCTAGACTGGTGAAAGTGTTCTTGGGGACTGTCTCGAGATCCATTAAACAAGTCGATGCTCCTGACTTGTTTGAATGGCATCACAGAATAGCTCTGCATGCACTGCAGGGGAATGGGGCCTCATCTCGCCTCTAGGGGGAAGTCTCATGGTTTTTCTCGAGTTGCGGCGGGGACTTGGGGTACGTTCTCGACTTACAGCGGGGATGGCCTTTCAAAACACGAGTTTCTTCAGTGACGTCAGGACTCTTGTCTAGTAACGAGGGACACCTCAGGAATCTCTTCGAAGCTTGGCAGGGCAAAAGGGACGCTTCTCGAGGTGAGCCAGGGCACCCAAGGACCCTTTCCAGTAGCCACAGGGATTTTCGGATTCCTATCAGTATTCAGGAGGAGTCAGGCATCGTCACCTTTTGAAGCATTGAACTCTGCGTGCCTCTCGAGGTGTCAACTGGAGGTGAGGCATTCTGTCAAAATGAGGCAGGGACCTAGGGCTTTCTCTAAGTTCTCCACAGGGGATTCAGTCATCCCTTCAGGTTGTGAGATGAAACACGAGCCTATATTCAAGCCACTGCAAGGAAATCCGGCCTCCTTTCAAGTTAGGGCTTCTTGCTGTGTATTCCCCTTGAGGCAGCAAACTCGGGGTCCCTCCCACATACCTATTGCTGAGAGAAGCATCCTCCTGAGGTGCTTCTGGAAAGTTGGCATACGTCTTGAGCCTAAGCCAGGCAATCAGCTCTAATCTCGAGACGATTTGGGGTACACGGAGCATTCCTCGAGTTGCTGTGCTGAAGTTGGTGTTCCTCTAGACTTGGGACAGTGTTCTCGGGGCATCTCTGGAGTTGCCTGAAGGAAGTCGAGACACCGGTCGTGTTGAATGGGGAACGGGGAATGGCTCTGGAGTCAATGCATGGGAATCGGGCCTCATCTCGAGTTGATTTGGGGCACATGGAGCTGCTTTGCGTTGCTGGGGTGACCTCAGGGTCCGTCTAGACTGGTGACAGTGTTCTTGGGGACTGTCTCGAGATCCATTAAGCAAGTCGAAGCTCCTGACTTGTTTGAATGGGATCACGGAATAGCTCTGCATGCACTGCAGGGGAATGGGGCCTCATCTCGCCTCTAGGGGGAAGTCTCATGGTTTTTCTCGAGTTGCGGCGGGGACCTGGGATATGTTCTCGACTTACGGCGGGGATGGCCCTTCAAAAGACGAGTTTCTTCAGTGACGTCAGGACTCCTGTCTAGTAACGAGGGACACCTCAGGAATCTCTTTGCGGCTTGGCAGGGCAAAAGGGACGCTTCTCGAGGTGAGGCAGGGCACCCAAGGACCCTTTCCAGTAGCCACAGGGATTTGGGGATTCCTATCAGTATTCAAGAGGAGTCAGGCATCGTCACCTTTTGAAGCAATGAACTCCGCGTGCCTCTCGAGGTGTCAACGGGATGTGAGGCATTCCGTCAAAATGAGGCAGGGACCTCGGGCTTTCTCTAAGGTCTCCACAGGGGATTCAGACATCCCTTCATGTTGTGAGATGAAAGACGAGCCTGTATTCAAGCCACTGCAAGGAAATCCGGCCTCCTTTCAAGTTAGGGCTTCTCGCTGGATATTCCACTGGAGGCAGCAAATTCGGAGTCCCTCCCACATACCTATTACTGAGAGTAGCCGCCTCCTGAGGTGATTCTGGAAAGTTGGCATACGACTTGAGCTTAAGCCAGGGAATCAGCTCTCATCTCGAGATGATTTGGGGTACACGGAGCATTCCTCGAGTTGCTGTGCTGAAGTTGGTGTTCCTCTAGACTTGGGACAGTGTTCTCGGGGCATCTCTGGAGTTGCCTGAAGGAAGTTGAGCCACCGATCGTGTTGAATCGGGAACGGGGAATGGCTCTGGAGTCAATGCAGGGGTTCGACCCTCATCTCGAGTTGATTTGGGGCACATGGAGCTGCTTTGCGTTGCTGGGGTGACCTCAGGGTCCGTCTAGACTGGTGACAGTGTTCTTGGGGACTGTCTCGAGATCCATTAAGCAAGTCAAAGATCCTGACTTGTTTGAATGGGATCACGGAATAGCTCTGCATGCACTGCAGGGGAATGGGGCCTCATCTCGCCTCTAGGGGGAAGTCTCATGATTTTTCTCGAGTTGTGGCGGGGACCTGGGGTATATTCTCGACTTACGGCGGGGCTGGCCCTTCAAAACACTAGTTTCTTCAGTGACGTCAGGACTCCTGTCTAGTAACGGGGTACACCTCTGGAATCTATTCGAAGCTTGGCAGGGCAAAAGGGACGCTTCTCGAGGTGAGGCAGGGCACCCAAGGACCCTTTCCAGTAGCCACAGGAATTTTGGGATTCCTATCAGTATTCCAGAGGAGTCAGGCATCGTCACCTTTTGAAGCAATGAACTCTGCGTGCCTCTCGAGGTGTCAACGGTATGTGAGGCATTCCGTCAAAATGAGGCAGGGACCTAGGGCTTTCTCTAAGGTCTCCTCAGGGGATTCAGACAACCCTTCAGGTTTTGAGATCAAAGACGAGCCTGTATTCTAGCCACTGCAAGGAAATCCGGCCTCCTTTCAAGTTAGGGCTTCTCGCTGTATATTCCCCTTGAGGCAGCAAACTCGAGGTCCCCCCACATGCCTATTGCTGAGAGAAGCCTCCTCCTGAGGTGCTTCTGGAAAGTTGGCATACGAGTTGAGCCTAAGCCAGGGAATCAGCTCTCATCTCGAGACGATTTGGGGTACACGGAACATTCCTCGAGTTGCTGTGCTGAAGTTGGTGTTCCTCTAGACTGGGACAGTGTTCTCGGGGCATCTCTGGAGTTGCCTGAAGGAAGTCGAGCCACCGGTCGTGTTGAATGGGGAACGGGGAATGGCTCTGGAGTCAATGCAGGGGAATCGGGCCTCATCTCGAGTTGATTTGGGGCACATGGAGCTGCTTTGCGTTGCTGGGGTGACCTCAGGGTCCGTCTAGACTGGTGACAGTGTTCTTGGGGACTGTCTCGAGATCCATTGAACAAGTCGATGCTCCTGACTTGTTTGAATGGCATCACAGAATAGCTCTGCATGCACTGCAGGGGAATGGGGCCTCATCTCGCCTCTAGGGGGAAGTCTCATGGTTTTTCTCGAGTTGCGGCGGGGACCTGGGGTATGTTCTCGACTTACGGCGGGGATGGCCCTTCAAAACACTAGTTTCTTCAGTGACGTCAGGACTCCTGTCTAGTAACGAGGGACACCTCAGGAATCTCTTCCAGGCTTGGCAGGGCAAAAGGGACGCATCTCGAGGTGAGGCAGGGCACCCAAGGACCCTTTCCAGTAGCCACAGGGATTTTGGGATTCCTATCAGTATTCAAGAGGAGTCAGGCATCATCACCTTTTGAAGCAATGAACTCTGCGTGCCTCTCGAGGTGTCAGCGGGATGTGAGGCATTCCGTCAAAATGAGGCAGGGACCTAGGACTTTCTCTAAGGTCTCCACAGGGGATTCAGACAACCCTTCTGGTTTTGTGATCAAAGACGAGCCTGTATTCTAGCCACTGCAAGGAAATCCAGCCTCCTTTCAAGTTAGGGCTTCTCGCTGTATATTCCGCTGGAGGCAGCAAATTCGGGGTCCCTCCCACATAGCTATTACTGAGAGAAGCCTCCTCCTGAGGTGCTTCTGGAAAGTTGGCATACGACTTGAGCTTAAGCCAGGGAATCAGCTCTCATCTCGAGATGATTTGGGGTACACGGAGCATTCCTCGAGTTGCTGTGCTGAAGTTGATGTTCCTCTAGACTTGGGACAGTGTTCCCGGGGCATCTCTGGAGTTGCCTGAAGGAAGTCGAGCCACCGGTCGTGTTGAATGGGGAACGGGGAATGGCTCTGGAGTCAATGCAGGGGAATCGGGCCTCATCTCGAGTTGATTTGGGGCACATGGAGCTGCTTTGCCTTGCTGGGGTTACCACAGGGTCCGTCTAGACTGGTGACAGTGTTCTTGGGGACTGTCTCGAGATCCATGAAGCAAGTCGAAGCTCCTGACTTGTTTTAATGGGATCACGGAATAGCTCTGCATGCACTGCAGGGGAATGGGGCCTCATCTCGCCTCTAGGGGGAAGTCTCATGGTTTTTCTCGAGTTGCGGCGGGGACCTGGGGTATGTTCTCAACTTACGGCGGGGATGGCCCTTCAAAACACGAGTTTCTTCAGTGACGTCAGGACTCCTGTCTAGTAACGAGGGACACCTCAGGAATCTCTTCGCGGCTTGGAAGGGCAAAAGGGACGCTTCTCGAGCTGAGGCAGGGCACCCAAGGACCCTTTCCAGTAGCCACAGGGATTTTGGGATTCCTATCAGTATTCAAGAGGAGTCAGGCATCGTCACTTTTTGAAGCAATCAACTCTGCGTGCCTCTCGAGGTGTCAGCGGGATGTGAGGAATTCCGTCAAAATGAGGCTGGGACCTAGGGCGTTCTCTAAGGTCTCCACAGGGGATTCAGACATCCCTTCATGTTTTGAGATGAAACACGAGCCTGTATTCAAGCCACTGTAAGGAAATCCGGCCTCCTTTCAAGTTAGGGCTTCTCGCTGTATATTCCCCTTGAGGCAGCAAACCCGGGTCCCTCCCACAAACTATTGCTGAGAGAAGCCTCCTCCTGAGGTGCTTCTGGAAAGTTGGCATACGTCTTGAGCCTAAGCCAGGGAATCAGCTCTCATCTTGAGACGATTTGGGGTACACGGAGCATTCCTCGAGTTGCTGTGCTGAAGTTGGTGTTCCTTAGACTGGGACAGTGTTCTCGGGGCATCTCTGGAGTTGCCTGAAGGAAGTCGAGCCACCGGTCGTGTTGAATGGGGAACGGGGAATGGCTCTGGAGTCAATGCAGGGGAATCGGGCCTCATCTCGAGTTGATTTGGGGCACATGGAGCTGCTTTGCGTTGCTGGGGTGACCTCAGGGTCCGTCTAGACTGGTGAAAGTGTTCTTGGGGACTGTCTCGAGATCCATTAAACAAGTCGATGCTCCTGACTTGTTTGAATGGCATCACAGAATAGCTCTGCATGCACTGCAGGGGAATGGGGCCTCATCTCGCCTCTAGGGGGAAGTCTCATGGTTTTTCTCGAGTTGCGGCGGGGACTTGGGGTACGTTCTCGACTTACAGCGGGGATGGCCTTTCAAAACACGAGTTTCTTCAGTGACGTCAGGACTCTTGTCTAGTAACGAGGGACACCTCAGGAATCTCTTCGAAGCTTGGCAGGGCAAAAGGGACGCTTCTCGAGGTGAGGCAGGGCACCCAAGGACCCTTTCCAGTAGCCACAGGGATTTTCGGATTCCTATCAGTATTCAGGAGGAGTCAGGCATCGTCACCTTTTGAAGCAATGAACTCCGCGTGCCTCTCGAGGTGTCAACTGGAGGTGAGGCATTCTGTCAAAATGAGGCAGGGACCTAGGGCTTTCTCTAAGGTCTCCACAGGGGATTCAGTCATCCCTTCAGGTTGTGAGATGAAACACGAGCCTGTATTCAAGCCACTGCAAGGAAATCCGGCCTCCTTTCAAGTTAGGGCTTCTTGCTGTGTATTCCCCTTGAGGCAGCAAACTCGGGGTCCCTCCCACATACCTATTGCTGAGAGAAGCATCCTCCTGAGGTGCTTCTGGAAAGTTGGCATACGTCTTGAGCCTAAGCCAGGCAATCAGCTCTAATCTCGAGACGATTTGGGGTACACGGAGCATTCCTCGAGTTGCTGTGCTGAAGTTGGTGTTCCTCTAGACTTGGGACAGTGTTCTCGGGGCATCTCTGGAGTTGCCTGAAGGAAGTCGAGACACCGGTCGTGTTGAATGGGGAACGGGGAATGGCTCTGGAGTCAATGCATGGGAATCGGGCCTCATCTCGAGTTGATTTGGGGCACATGGAGCTGCTTTGCGTTGCTGGGGTGACCTCAGGGTCCGTCTAGACTGGTGACAGTGTTCTTGGGGACTGTCTCGAGATCCATTAAGCAAGTCGAAGCTCCTGACTTGTTTGAATGGGATCACGGAATAGCTCTGCATGCACTGCAGGGGAATCGGTCCTCATCTCGCCTCTAGGGGGAAGTCTCATGGTTTTTCTCGAGTTGCGGCGGGGACCTGGGATATGTTCTCGACTTACGGCGGGGATGGCCCTTCAAAAGACGAGTTTCTTCAGTGACGTCAGGACTCCTGTCTAGTAACGAGGGACACCTCAGGAATCTCTTCGCGGCTTGGAAGGGCAAAAGGGACGCTTCTCGAGCTGAGGCAGGGCACCCAAGGACCCTTTCCAGTAGCCACAGGGATTTGGGGATTCCTATCAGTATTCAAGAGGAGTCAGGCATCGTCACCTTTTGAAGCAATGAACTCTGCGTGCCTCTCGAGTTGTCAGCGGGATGTGAGGCATTCCGTCAAAATGAGGCAGGGACCTAGGGCTTTCTCTAAGGTCTCCACAGGGGATTCAGACATCCCTTCATGTTGTGAGATGAAACACGAGCCTGTATTCAAGCCACTGCAAGGAAATCCGGCCTCCTTTCAAGTTAGGGCTTCTCGCTGTATATTCCCCTTGAGGCAGCAAACTCGGGGTCCCTCCCACATACCTATTGCTGAGAGAAACCTCCTCCTGAGGTGCTTCTGGGAAGTTGGCATACGTCTTGAGCCTAAGCCAGGGAATCAGCTCTCATCTCGAGACGGTTTGGGTACACGGAGCATTCCTCGAGTTGCTGTGCTGAAGTTGGTGATCCTCTAGACTTGGGACAGTGTTCTCGGGGCATGTCTGGAGTTGCCTGAAGGAAGTCGAGCCACCGGTCGTGTTGAATGGGGAACGGGGAATGGCTCTGGAGTCAATGCAGGGGAATCGGGCCTCATCTCGAGTTGATTTGGGGCACATGGTGCTGCTTTGCGTTACTGGGGTGACCTCAGGGTCCGTCTAGACTGGTGACAGTGTTCTTGGGGACTGTCTCGAGATCCATTAAGCAAGTCGAAACTCCTGACTTGTTTGAATGGGATCACGGAATAGCTCTGCATGCACTGCAGGGGAATGGGGCCTCATCACGCCTCTAGGGATAAGTCTCATGGTTTTTCTCGAGTTGCGGCGGGGACCTGGGGTATGTTCTCCACTTACGGCGGGGATGGCCCTTCAAAACACGAGTTTCTTCAGTGACGTCAGGACTCCTGTCTAGTAACGAGGGACACCTCAGGAATCTCTTCGAGGCTTGGCAGGGCAAAAGGGACGCTTCTCGAGGTGAGGCAGGGCACCCAAGGACCCTTTCCAGTAGCCACAGGGATTTGGGGATTCCTATCAGTATTCAAGAGGAGTCAGGCATCGTCACCTTTTGAAGCAATGAACTCCGCGTGCCTCTCGAGGTGTCAACGGGATGTGAGGCATTCCGTCAAAATGAGGCAGGGACCTCGGGCTTTCTCTAAGGTCTCCACAGGGGATTCAGACATCCCTTCATGTTGTGAGATGAAAGACGAGCCTGTATTCAAGCCACTGCAAGGAAATCCGGCCTCCTTTCAAGTTAGGGCTTCTCGCTGGATATTCCACTGGAGGCAGCAAATTCGGAGTCCCTCCCACATACCTATTACTGAGAGTAGCCGCCTCCTGAGGTGATTCTGGAAAGTTGGCATACGACTTGAGCTTAAGCCAGGGAATCAGCTCTCATCTCGAGATGATTTGGGGTACACGGACCATTCCTCGAGTTGCTGTGCTGAAGTTGGTGTTCCTCTAGACTTGGGACAGTGTTCTCGGGGCATCTCTGGAGTTGCCTGAAGGAAGTTGAGCCACCGATCGTGTTGAATCGGGAACGGGGAATGGCTCTGGAGTCAATGCAGGGGAATCGACCCTCATCTCGAGTTGATTTGGGGCACATGGAGCTGCTTTGCGTTGCTGGGGTGACCTCAGGGTCCGTCTAGACTGGTGACAGTGATCTTGGGGACTGTCTCGAGATCCATTAAGCAAGTCAAAGATCCTGACTTGTTTGAATGGGATCACGGAATAGCTCTGCATGCACTGCAGGGGAATGGGGCCTCATCTCGCCTCTAGGGGGAAGTCTCATGGTTTTTCTCGAGTTGTGGCGGGGACCTGGGGTATATTCTCGACTTACGGCGGGGATGGCCCTTCAAAACACGAGTTTCTTCAGTGACGTCAGGACTCCTGTCTAGTAACGGGGGACACCTCTGGAATCTCATCGAAGCTTGGCAGGGCAAAAGGGACGCATCTCGAGGTGAGGCAGGGCACCCAAGGACCCTTTCCAGTAGCCACAGGGATTTTGGGATTCCTATCAGTATTCAAGAGGAGTCAGGCATCGTCACCTTTTGAAGCAATGAACTCCGCGTGCCTCTCGAGGTGTCAGCGCGATGTGAGGCATTCCGTCAAAATGAGGCAGGGACCTAGGGCTTTCTCTAAGGTCTCCACAGGGGATTCAGACATCCCTTCATGTTGTGAGATGAAAGACGAGCCTGTATTCAAGCCACTGCAAGGAAATCCGGCCTCCTTTCAAGTTAGGGCTTCTCGCTGTATATTCCCCTTGAGGCAGCAAACTCGGGGTCCCTCCCACATACCTATTGCTGAGAGAAACCTCCTCCTGAGGTGCTTCTGGAAAGTTGGCATACGTCTTGAGCCTAAGCCAGGGAATCAGCTCTCATCTCGAGACGGTTTGGGTACACGGAGCATTCCTCGAGTTGCTGTGCTGAAGTTGGTGATCCTCTAGACTTGGGACAGTATTCTCGGGGCATGTCTGGAGTTGCCTGAAGGAAGTCGAGCCACCGGTCGTGTTGAATGGGGAACGGGGAATGGCTCTGGAGTCAATGCAGGGGAATCGGGCCTCATCTCGAGTTGATTTGGGGCACATGGTGCTGCTTTGCGTTGCTGGGGTGACCTCAGGGTCCGTCTAGACTGGTGACAGTGTTCTTGGGGACTGTCTCGAGATCCATTAAGCAAGTCGAAACTCCTGACTTGTTTGAATGGGATCACGGAATAGCTCTGCATGCACTGCAGGGGAATGGGGCTTCATCTCGCCTCTAGGGGGAAGTCTCATGGTTTTTCTCGAGTTGCGGCGGGGACCTGGGGTATGTTCTCCACTTACGGCGGGGATGGCCCTTCAAAACACGAGTTTCTTCAGTGACGTCAGGACTCCTGTCTAGTAACGAGGGACACCTCAGGAATCTCTTTGAGGCTTGGCAGGGCAAAAGGGACGCTTCTCGAGATGAGGCAGGGCACCCAAGGACCCTTTCCAGTAGCCACAGGGATTTGGGGATTCCTATCAGTATTCAAGAGGAGTCAGGCATCGTCACCTTTTGAAGCAATGAACTCCGCGTGCCTCTCGAGGTGTCAACGGGATGTGAGGCATTCCGTCAAAATGAGGCAGGGACCTCGGGCTTTCTCTAAGGTCTCCACAGGGGATTCAGACATCCCTTCATGTTGTGAGATGAAAGACGAGCCTGTATTCAAGCCACTGCAAGGAAATCCGGCCTCCTTTCAAGTTAGGGCTTCTCGCTGTATATTCCCCTTGAGGCAGCAAACTCGAGGTCCCCCCACATGCCTATTGCTGAGAGAAGCCTCCTCCTGAGGTGCTTCTGGAAAGTTGGCATACGTCTTGAGCCTAAGCCAGGGAATCAGCTCTCATCTCGAGACGATTTGGGGTACACGGAGCATTCCTCGAGTTGCTGTGCTGAAGTTGGTGTTCCTCTAGACTGGGACAGTGTTCTTGGGGCATCTCTGGAGTTGCCTGAAGGAAGTCGAGCCACCGGTCGTGTCGAATGGGGAAAGGGAATGGCTCTGGAGTCAATGCAGGGGAATCGGGCCTCATCTCGAGTTGATTTGGGGCACATGGAGCTGCTTTGCGTTGCTGGGGTGACCTCAGGGTCCGTCTAGACTGGTGAAAGTGTTCTTGGGGACTGTCTCGAGATCCATTAAACAAGTCGATGCTCCTGACTTGTTTGAATGGCATCACAGAATAGCTCTGCATGCACTGCAGGGGAATGGGGCCTCATCTCGCCTCTAGGGGGAAGTCTCATGGTTTTTCTCGAGTTGCGGCGGGGACTTGGGGTACGTTCTCGACTTACAGCGGGGATGGCCTTTCAAAACACGAGTTTCTTCAGTGACGTCAGGACTCTTGTCTAGTAACGAGGGACACCTCAGGAATCTCTTCGAAGCTTGGCAGGGCAAAAGGGACGCTTCTCGAGGTGAGGCAGGGCACCCAAGGACCCTTTCCAGTAGCCACAGGGATTTTCGGATTCCTATCAGTATTCAGGAGGAGTCAGGCATCGTCACCTTTTGAAGCAATGAACTCCGCGTGCCTCTCGAGGTGTCAACTGGAGGTGAGGCATTCTGTCAAAATGAGGCAGGGACCTAGGGCTTTCTCTAAGGTCTCCACAGGGGATTCAGTCATCCCTTCAGGTTGTGAGATGAAACACGAGCCTGTATTCAAGCCACTGCAAGGAAATCCGGCCTCCTTTCAAGTTAGGGCTTCTTGCTGTGTATTCCCCTTGAGGCAGCAAACTCGGGGTCCCTCCCACATACCTATTGCTGAGAGAAGCATCCTCCTGAGGTGCTTCTGGAAAGTTGGCATACGTCTTGAGCCTAAGCCAGGCAATCAGCTCTAATCTCGAGACGATTTGGGGTACACGGAGCATTCCTCGAGTTGCTGTGCTGAAGTTGGTGTTCCTCTAGACTTGGGACAGTGTTCTCGGGGCATGTCTGGAGTTGCCTGAAGGAAGTCGAGACACCGGTCGTGTTGAATGGGGAACGGGGAATGGCTCTGGAGTCAATGCATGGGAATCGGGCCTCATCTCGAGTTGATTTGGGGCACATGGAGCTGCTTTGCGTTGCTGGGGTGACCTCAGGGTCCGTCTAGACTGGTGACAGTGTTCTTGGGGACTGTCTCGAGATCCATTAAGCAAGTCGAAGCTCCTGACTTGTTTGAATGGGATCACGGAATAGCTCTGCATGCACTGCAGGGGAATGGGTCCTCATCTCGCCTCTAGGGGGAAGTCTCATGGTTTTTCTCGAGTTGCGGCGGGGACCTGGGATATGTTCTCGACTTACGGCGGGGATGGCCCTTCAAAAGACGAGTTTCTTCAGTGACGTCAGGACTCCTGTCTAGTAACGAGGGACACCTCAGGAATCTCTTCGCGGCTTGGAAGGGCAAAAGGGACGCTTCTCGAGCTGAGGCAGGGCACCCAAGGACCCTTTCCAGTAGCCACAGGGATTTTGGGATTCCTATCAGTATTCAAGAGGAGTCAGGCATCGTCACCTTTTGAAGCAATGAACTCTGCGTGCCTCTCGAGTTGTCAGCGGGATGTGAGGCATTCCGTCAAAATGAGGCAGGGACCTAGGGCTTTCTCTAAGGTCTCCACAGGGGATTCAGACATCCCTTCATGTTGTGAGATGAAACACGAGCCTGTATTCAAGCCACTGCAAGGAAATCCGGCCTCCTTTCAAGTTAGGGCTTCTCGCTGTATATTCCCCTTGAGGCAGCAAACTCGGGGTCCCTCCCACATACCTATTGCTGAGAGAAACCTCCTCCTGAGGTGCTTCTGGGAAGTTGGCATACGTCTTGAGCCTAAGCCAGGGAATCAGCTCTCATCTCGAGACGGTTTGGGTACACGGAGCATTCCTCGAGTTGCTGTGCTGAAGTTGGTGATCCTCTAGACTTGGGACAGTGTTCTCGGGGCATGTCTGGAGTTGCCTGAAGGAAGTCGAGCCACCGGTCGTGTTGAATGGGGAACGGGGAATGGCTCTGGAGTCAATGCAGGGGAATCGGGCCTCATCTCGAGTTGATTTGGGGCACATGGTGCTGCTTTGCGTTACTGGGGTGACCTCAGGGTCCGTCTAGACTGGTGACAGTGTTCTTGGGGACTGTCTCGAGATCCATTAAGCAAGTCGAAACTCCTGACTTGTTTGAATGGGATCACGGAATAGCTCTGCATGCACTGCAGGGGAATGGGGCTTCATCTCGCCTCTAGGGATAAGTCTCATGGTTTTTCTCGAGTTGCGGCGGGGACCTGGGGTATGTTCTCGACTTACGGCGGGGATGGCCCTTCAAAACACGAGTTTCTTCAGTGACGTCAGGACTCCTGTCTAGTAACGAGGGACACCTCAGGAATCTCTTCGAGGCTTGGCAGGGCAAAAGGGACGCTTCTCGAGGTGAGGCAGGGCACCCAAGGACCCTTTCCAGTAGCCACAGGGATTTGGGGATTCCTATCAGTATTCAAGAGGAGTCAGGCATCGTCACCTTTTGAAGCAATGAACTCCGCGTGCCTCTCGAGGTGTCAACGGGATGTGAGGCATTCCGTCAAAATGAGGCAGGGACCTCGGGCTTTCTCTAAGGTCTCCACAGGGGATTCAGACATCCCTTCATGTTGTGAGATGAAAGACGAGCCTGTATTCAAGCCACTGCAAGGAAATCCGGCCTCCTTTCAAGTTAGGGCTTCTCGCTGGATATTCCACTGGAGGCAGCAAATTCGGAGTCCCTCCCACATACCTATTACTGAGAGTAGCCGCCTCCTGAGGTGCTTCTGGAAAGTTGGCATACGACTTGAGCTTAAGCCAGGGAATCAGCTCTCATCTCGAGATGATTTGGGGTACACGGAGCATTCCTCGAGTTGCTGTGCTGAAGTTGGTGTTCCTCTAGACTTGGGACAGTGTTCTCGGGGCATCTCTGGAGTTGCCTGAAGGAAGTTGAGCCACCGATCGTGTTGAATCGGGAACGGGGAATGGCTCTGGAGTCAATGCAGGGGAATCGACCCTCATCTCGAGTTGATTTGGGGCACATGGAGCTGCTTTGCGTTGCTGGGGTGACCTCAGGGTCCGTCTAGACTGGTGACAGTGTTCTTGGGGACTGTCTCGAGATCCATTAAGCAAGTCAAAGATCCTGACTTGTTTGAATGGGATCACGGAATAGCTCTGCATGCACTGCAGGGGAATGGGGCCTCATCTCGCCTCTAGGGGGAAGTCTCATGGTTTTTCTCGAGTTGTGGCGGGGACCTGGGGTATATGCTCGACTTACGGCGGGGATGGCCCTTCAAAACACGAGTTTCTTCAGTGACGTCAGGACTCCTGTCTAGTAACGGGGGACACCTCTGGAATCTCTTCGAAGCTTGGCAGGGCAAAAGGGACGCATCTCGAGGTGAGGCAGGGCACCCAAGGACCCTTTCCAGTAGCCACAGGGATTTTGGGATTCCTATCAGTATTCAAGAGGAGTCAGGCATCGTCACCTTTTGAAGCAATGAACTCCGCGTGCCTCTCGAGGTGTCAGCGCGATGTGAGGCATTCCGTCAAAATGAGGCAGGGACCTAGGGCTTTCTCTAAGGTCTCCACAGGGGATTCAGACATCCCTTCATGTTGTGAGATGAAAGACGAGCCTGTATTCAAGCCACTGCAAGGAAATCCGGCCTCCTTTCAAGTTAGGGCTTCTCGCTGTATATTCCCCTTGAGGCAGCAAACTCGGGGTCCCTCCCACATACCTATTGCTGAGAGAAACCTCCTCCTGAGGTGCTTCTGGAAAGTTGGCATACGTCTTGAGCCTAAGCCAGGGAATCAGCTCTCATCTCGAGACGGTTTGGGTACACGGAGCATTCCTCGAGTTGCTGTGCTGAAGTTGGTGATCCTCTAGACTTGGGACAGTATTCTCGGGGCATGTCTGGAGTTGCCTGAAGGAAGTCGAGCCACCGGTCGTGTTGAATGGGGAACGGGGAATGGCTCTGGAGTCAATGCACGGGAATCGGGCCTCATCTCGAGTTGATTTGGGGCACATGGTGCTGCTTTGCATTGCTGGGGTGACCTCAGGGTCCGTCTAGACTGGTGACAGTGTTCTTGGGGACTGTCTCGAGATCCATTAAGCAAGTCGAAACTCCTGACTTGTTTGAATGGGATCACGGAATAGCTCTGCATGCACTGCAGGGGAATGGGGCTTCATCTCGCCTCTAGGGGGAAGTCTCATGGTTTTTCTCGAGTTGCGGCGGGGACCTGGGGTATGTTCTCCACTTACGGCGGGGATGGCCCTTCAAAACACGAGTTTCTTCAGTGACGTCAGGACTCCTGTCTAGTAACGAGGGACACCTCAGGAATCTCTTCGAGGCTTGGCAGGGCAAAAGGGACGCTTCTCGAGGTGAGGCAGGGCACCCAAGGACCCTTTCCAGTAGCCACAGGGATTTGGGGATTCCTATCAGTATTCAAGAGGAGTCAGGCATCGTCACCTTTTGAAGCAATGAACTCCGCGTGCCTCTCGAGGTGTCAACGGGATGTGAGGCATTCCGTCAAAATGAGGCAGGGACCTCGGGCTTTCTCTAAGGTCTCCACAGGGGATTCAGACATCCCTTCATGTTGTGAGATGAAAGACGAGCCTGTATTCAAGCCACTGCAAGGAAATCCGGCCTCCTTTCAAGTTAGGGCTTCTCGCTGTATATTCCCCTTGAGGCAGCAAACTCGAGGTCCCCCCACATGCCTATTGCTGAGAGAAGCCTCCTCCTGAGGTGCTTCTGGAAAGTTGGCATACGTCTTGAGCCTAAGCCAGGGAATCAGCTCTCATCTCGAGACGATTTGGGGTACACGGAGCATTCCTCGAGTTGCTGTGCTGAAGTTGGTGTTCCTCTAGACTGGGACAGTGTTCTTGGGGCATCTCTGGAGTTGCCTGAAGGAAGTCGAGCCACCGGTCGTGTCGAATGGGGAACGGGTAATGGCTCTGGAGTCAATGCAGGGGAATCGGGCCTCATCTCGAGTTGATTTGGGGCACATGGAGCTGCTTTGCGTTGCTGGGGTGACCTCAGGGTCCGTCTAGACTGGTGAAAGTGTTCTTGGGGACTGTCTCGAGATCCATTAAACAAGTCGATGCTCCTGACTTGTTTGAATGGCATCACAGAATAGCTCTGCATGCACTGCACGGGAATGGGGCCTCATCTCGCCTCTAGGGGGAAGTCTCATGGTTTTTCTCGAGTTGCGGCGGGGACCTGGGGTATGTTCTCGACTTACGGCGGGGATGGCCTTTCAAAACACGAGTTTCTTCAGTGACGTCAGGACTCCTGTCTAGTAACGAGGGACACCTCAGGAATCTCTTCGAGGCTTGGCAGGGCAAAAGGGACGCTTCTCGAGGTGAGGCAGGGCACCCAAGGACCCTTTCCAGTAGCCACAGGGATTTTCGGATTCCTATCAGTATTCAAGAGGAGTCAGGCATCGTCACCTTTTGAAGCAATGAACTCCGCGTGCCTCTCGAGGTGTCAACTGGAGGTGAGGCATTCCGTCAAAATGAGGCAGGGACCTAGGGCTTTCTCTAAGGTCTCCACAGGGGATTCAGTCATCCCTTCAGGATGTGAGATGAAACACGAGCCTGTATTCAAGCCACTGCAAGGAAATCCGGCCTCCTTTCAAGTTAGGGCTTCTTGCTGTGTATTCCCCTTGAGGCAGCAATCTCAGGGTCCCTCCCACATACCTATTGCTGAGAGAAGCATCCTCCTGAGGTGCTTCCGGAAAGTTGGCATACGTCTTGAGCCTAAGCCAGGGAATCAGCTCTAATCTCGAGACGATTTGGGGTACACGGAGCATTCCTCGAGTTGCTGTGCTGAAGTTGGTGTTCCTCTAGACTTGGGACAGTGTTCTCGGGGCATCTCTGGAGTTGCCTGAAGGAAGTCGAGCCACCGGTCGTGTTGAATGGGGAACGGGGAATGGCTCTGGAGTCAATGCATGGGAATCGGGCCTCATCTCGAGTTGATTTGGGGCACATGGAGCTGCTTTGCGTTGCTGGGGTGACCTCAGGGTCCGTCTAGACTGGTGACAGTGTTCTTGGGGACTGTGTCGAGATCCATTAAGCAAGTCAAAACTCCTGACTTGTTTGAATGGGATCACGGAATAGCTCTGCATGCACTGCAGGGGAATGGGGCCTCATCTCGCCTCTAGGGGGAAGTCTCATGGTTTTTCTCGAGTTGCGGCGGGGACCTGGGATATGTTCTCGACTTATGGCGGGGATGGCCCTTCAAAACACTAGTTTCTTCAGTGACGTCAGGACTCCTGTCTAGTAACGAGGGACACCTGAGGAATCTCTTCCAGGCTTGGCAGGGCAAAAGGGACGCATCTCGAGGTGAGGCAGGGCACCCAAGGACCCTTTCCAGTAGCCACAGGGATTTTGGGATTCCTATCAGTATTCAAGAGGAGTCAGGCATCATCACCTTTTGAAGCAATGAACTCTGCGTGCCTCTCGAGGTTTCAGCGGGATGTGAGGCATTCCGTCAAAATGAGGCAGGGACCTAGGGCTTTCTCTAAGGTCTCCACAGGGGATTCAGACATCCCTTCATGTTGTGAGATGAAACACGAGCCTGTATTCAAGCCACTGCAAGGAAATCCGTCCTCCTTTCAAGTTAGGGCTTCTCGCTGTATATTCCCTTTGAGGCAGCAAACTCGGGGTCCCTCCCACATACCTATTGCTGAGAGAAGCCTCCTCCTGAGGTGCTTCTGGAAAGTTGGCATACGTCTTGAGCCTACGCCAGGGAATCAGCTCTCATCTCGAGACGTTTTGGGGTACACGGAGCATTCCTCGAGTTGCTGTGCTGAAGTTGGTGTTCCTCAAGACTTGGGACACTGTTCTCGGGGCATCTCTGGAGTTGCCTGAAGGAAGTCGAGCCACCGGTCGTGTTGAATGGGGAACGGGGAATGGCTCTGGAGTCAATGCAGGGGAATCGGGCCTCATCTCGAGTTGATTTGGGGCACATGGAGCTGCTTTGCGTTGCTGGGGTGACCTCAGGGTCCATCTAGACGGGTGACAGTGTTCTTGGAGACTGTCTCGAGATCCATTAAGCAAGTCGAAGCTCCTGACTTGTTTGAATGGGATCACGGAATAGCTCTGCATGCTCTGCAGGGGAATGGGGCCTCATCTCGCCTCTAGGGGGAAGTCTCATGGTTTTTGTCGAGTTGCGGCGGGGACCTGGGATATGTTCTCGACTTAAGGCGGGGATGGCCCTTCAAAACACGAGTTTCTTCAGTGACGTCAGGACTCCTGTCTAGTAACGAGGGACACCTCAGGAATCTCTTCGAGGCTTGGCAGTGCAAAAGGGACGCTTCTCGAGGTAAGGCAGGGCACCCAAGGACCCTTTCCAGAAGCCACAGGGATTTTGGGATTCCTATCAGTATTCAAGAGGAGTCAGGCATCGTCACCTTTTGAAGCAATGAACTCTGCGTGCCTCGCGAGGTGTCAACGGGAGGTGAGGCATTCCGTCAAAATGAGGCAGGGACCTAGGGCTTTCTCTAAGTTCTCCACAGGGGATTCAGACAACCTTCAGGTTTTGAGATCAAAGACGAGCCTGTATTCTAGCCACTGCAAGGAAATCCGGCCTCCTTTCAAGTTAGGGCTTCTCGCTGTATATTCCCCTGGAGGCAGCAAACTCGGGGTCCCTCCCACATACCTATTACTGAGAGAAGCCTCCTCCTGAGGTGCTTCTGGAAAGTTGGCATACGACTTGAGCTTAAGCCAGGGAATCAGCTCTCATCTCGAGATGATTTGGGGTACACGGAGCATTCCTCGAGTTGCTGTGCTGAAGGTGGTGTTCCTCTAGCCTTGGACAGTGTTCTCGGGGCATCTCTCGAGTTGCCTGAAGGAAGTCGAGCCACCGGTCGTGTTGAATCGGGAACGGGGAATGGCTCTGGAGTCAATGCAGGGGAATCGACCCTCATCTCGAGTTGATTTGGGGCACATGGAGCTGCTTTGCGTTGCTGGGGTGACCTCAGGGTCCGTCTAGACTGGTGACAGTGTTCTTGGGGACTGTCTCGAGATCCATTAAGCAAGTCGAAGCTCCTGACTTGTTTGAATGGGATCACGGAATAGCTCTGCATGCACTGCAGGGGAATGGGGCCTCATCTCGCCTCTAGGGGGAAGTCTCATGGTTTTTCTCGAGTTGTGGCGGGGACCTGGGGTATGTTCTCGACTTACGGCGGGGATGGCCCTTCAAAACACGAGTTTCTTCAGTGACGTCAGGACTCCTGTCTAGTAATGTGGGACACCTCTGGAATCTCTTCGAAGCTTGGCAGGGCAAAAGGGACGCTTCTCGAGGTGAGGCAGGGCACCCAAGGACCCTTTCCAGTAGCCACAGGGATTTTGGGATTCCTATCAGTATTCCAGAGGAGTCAGGCATCGTCACCTTTTGAAGCAATGAACTCTGCGTGCCTCTCGAGGTGTCAACGGGATGTGAGGCATTCCGTCAAAATGAGGCAGGGACCTAGGGCTTTCTCTAAGGTCTCCACAGGGGATTCAGACAACCCTTCAGGTTTTGAGATCAAAGACGAGCCTGTATTCTAGCCACTGCAAGGAAATCCGGCCTCCTTTCAAGTTAGGGCTTCTCGCTGTATATTCCCCTTGAGGCAGCAAACTCGGGGTCCCTCCCACATACCTATTGCTGAGAGAAGCCTCCTCCTGAGGTGCTTCTGGAAAGTTGGCATACGTCTTGAGCCTAAGCCAGGGAATCAGCTCTCATCTCGAGACGGTTTGGGGTACACGGAGCATTCCTCGAGTTGCTGTGCTTAAGTTGGTGATCCTCTAGACTTGGGACAGTGTTCTCGGGGCATGTCTGGAGTTACTTGAAGGAAGTCGAGCCACCGGTCGTGTTGAATGGGGAACGGGGAATGGCTCTGGAGTCAATGCTGGGGAATCGGGCCTCATCTCGAGTTGATTTGGGGCACATGGTGCTGCTTTGCGTTGCTGGGGTGACCTCAGGGTCCGTCTAGACTGGTGACAGTGTTCTTGGGGACTGTCTCGAGATCCATTAAGCAAGTCGAAGCTCCTGACTTGTTTGAATGGGATCAAGGAATAGCTCTGCATGCACTGCAGGGGAATGGGGCTTCATCTCGCCTCTAGGGGGAAGTCTCATGGTTTTTCTCGAGTTGCGGCGGGGACCTGGGGTATGTTCTCGACTTACGGCGGGGATGGCCCTTCAAAACACGAGTTTCTTCAGTGACGTCAGGACTCCTCTCTAGTAACGAGGGACACCTCAGGAATCTCTTCGAGGCTTGGCAGGGCAAAAGGGACGCTTCTCGAGGTGAGGCAGGGCACCCAACGACACTTTCCAGTAGCCACAGGGATTTGGGGATTCCTATCAGTATTCAAGAGGAGTCAGGCATCGTCACCTTTTGAAGCAATGAACTCCGCGTGCCTCTCGAGGTGTCAACGGGATGTGAGGCATTCCCTCAAAATGAGGCAGGGACCTAGGGCTTTCTCTAAGGTCTCCACAGGGGATTCAGACATCCCTTCATGTTGTGAGATGAAAGACGAGCCTGTATTCAAGCCACTGCAAGGAAATCCGGCCTCCTTTCAAGTTTGGGCTTCTGGCTGTATATTCCCCTTGAGGCAGCAAACTCGAGGTCCCCCCACATGCCTATTGCTGAGAGAAGCCTCCTCCTGAGGTGCTTCTGGAAAGTTGGCATACGAGTTGAGCCTAAGCCTGGGAATCAGCTCTCATCTCGAGACGATTTGGGGTACACGGAGCATTCCTCGAGTTGCTGTGCTGAAGTTGGTGTTCCTCTAGACTGGGACAGTGTTCTCGGGGCATCTCTGGAGTTGCCTGAAGGAAGTCGAGGCACCGGTCGTGTTGAATGGGGAACGGGGAATGGCTCTGGAGTCAATGCAGGGGAATCGGGCCTCATCTCGAGTTGATTTGGGGCACATGGAGCTGCTTTGCGTTGCTGGGGTGACCTCAGGGTCCGTCTAGACTGGTGACAGTGTTCTTGGGGACTGTCTCGAGATCCATTGAACAAGTCGATGCTCCTGACTTGTTTGAATGGCATCACAGAATAGCTCTGCATGCACTGCAGGGGAATGGGGCCTCATCTCGCCTCTAGGGGGAAGTCTCATGGTTTTTCTCGAGTTGCGGCGGGGACCTGGGGTATGTTCTCGACTTACGGCGGGGATGGCCCTTCAAAACACTAGTTTCTTCAGTGACGTCAGGACTCCTGTCTAGTAACGAGGGGCACCTCAGGAATCTCTTCGAGGCTTGGCAGTGCAAAAGGGACGCTTCTCGAGGTGAGGCAGGGCACCCAAGGACCCTTTCCAGTAGCCACAGGGATTTTGGGATTGCTATCAGTATTCAAGAGGAGTCAGGCATCGTCACCTTTTGAAGCAATGAACTCTGCGTGCCTCGGGAGGTGTCAACGGGAGGTGAGGCATTCCGTCAAAATGAGGCAGGGACCTAGGGCTTTCTCTAAGTTCTCCACAGGGGATTCAGACAACCTTCAGGTTTTGAGATCAAAGACGAGCCTGTATTCTAGCCACTGCAAGGAATTCCGGCCTCCTTTCAAGTTAGGGCTTCTCGCTGTATATTCCACTGGAGGCAGCAAATTCGGAGTCCCTCCCACATACCTATTACTGAGAGTAGCCGCCTCCTGAGGTGATTCTGGAAAGTTGGCATACGACTTGAGCTTAAGCCAGGGAATCAGCTCTCATCTCGAGATGATTTGGGGTACACGGAGCATTCCTCGAGTTGCTGTGCTGAAGTTGGTGTTCCTCTAGACTTGGGACAGTGTTCTCGGGGCATCTCTGGAGTTGCCTGAAGGAAGTTGAGCCACCGATCGTGTTGAATCGGGAACGGGGAATGGCTCTGGAGTCAATGCAGGGGAATCGACCCTCATCTCGAGTTGATTTGGGGCACATGGAGCTGCTTTGCGTTGCTGGGGTGACCTCAGGGTCCGTCTAGACTGGTGACAGTGATCTTGGGGACTGTCTCGAGATCCATTAAGCAAGTCAAAGATCCTGACTTGTTTGAATGGGATCACGGAATAGCTCTGCATGCACTGCAGGGGAATGGGGCCTCATCTCGCCTCTAGGGGGAAGTCTCATGGTTTTTCTCGAGTTGTGGCGGGGACCTGGGGTATATTCTCGACTTACGGCGGGGATGGCCCTTCAAAACACGAGTTTCTTCAGTGACGTCAGGACTCCTGTCTAGTAACGGGGGACACCTCTGGAATCTCATCGAAGCTTGGCAGGGCAAAAGGGACGCATCTCGAGGTGAGGCAGGGCACCCAAGGACCCTTTCCAGTAGCCACAGGGATTTTGGGATTCCTATCAGTATTCAAGAGGAGTCAGGCATCGTCACCTTTTGAAGCAATGAACTCCGCGTGCCTCTCGAGGTGTCAGCGCGATGTGAGGCATTCCGTCAAAATGAGGCAGGGACCTAGGGCTTTCTCTAAGGTCTCCACAGGGGATTCAGACATCCCTTCATGTTGTGAGATGAAAGACGAGCCTGTATTCAAGCCACTGCAAGGAAATCCGGCCTCCTTTCAAGTTAGGGCTTCTCGCTGTATATTCCCCTTGAGGCAGCAAACTCGGGGTCCCTCCCACATACCTATTGCTGAGAGAAACCTCCTCCTGAGGTGCTTCTGGAAAGTTGGCATACGTCTTGAGCCTAAGCCAGGGAATCAGCTCTCATCTCGAGACGGTTTGGGTACACGGAGCATTCCTCGAGTTGCTGTGCTGAAGTTGGTGATCCTCTAGACTTGGGACAGTATTCTCGGGGCATGTCTGGAGTTGCCTGAAGGAAGTCGAGCCACCGGTCGTGTTGAATGGGGAACGGGGAATGGCTCTGGAGTCAATGCATGGGAATCGGGCCTCATCTCGAGTTGATTTGGGGCACATGGAGCTGCTTTGCGTTGCTGGGGTGACCTCAGGGTCCGTCTAGACTGGTGAAAGTGTTCTTGGGGACTGTCTCGAGATCCATTAAACAAGTCGATGCTCCTGACTTGTTTGAATGGCATCACAGAATAGCTCTGCATGCACTGCAGGGGAATGGGGCCTCATCTCGCCTCTAGGGGGAAGTCTCATGGTTTTTCTCGAGTTGCGGCGGGGACTTGGGGTACGTTCTCGACTTACAGCGGGGATGGCCTTTCAAAACACGAGTTTCTTCAGTGACGTCAGGACTCTTGTCTAGTAACGAGGGACACCTCAGGAATCTCTTCGAAGCTTGGCAGGGCAAAAGGGACGCTTCTCGAGGTGAGGCAGGGCACCCAAGGACCCTTTCCAGTAGCCACAGGGATTTTCGGATTCCTATCAGTATTCAGGAGGAGTCAGGCATCGTCACCTTTTGAAGCAATGAACTCCGCGTGCCTCTCGATGTGTCAACTGGAGGTGAGGCATTCTGTCAAAATGAGGCAGGGACCTAGGGCTTTCTCTAAGGTCTCCACAGGGGATTCAGTCATCCCTTCAGGTTGTGAGATGAAACACGAGCCTGTATTCAAGCCACTGCAAGGAAATCCGGCCTCCTTTCAAGTTAGGGCTTCTTGCTGTGTATTCCCCTTGAGGCAGCAAACTCGGGGTCCCTCCCACATACCTATTGCTGAGAGAAGCATCCTCCTGAGGTGCTTCTGGAAAGTTGGCATACGTCTTGAGCCTAAGCCAGGCAATCAGCTCTAATCTCGAGACGATTTGGGGTACACGGAGCATTCCTCGAGTTGCTGTGCTGAAGTTGGTGTTCCTCTAGACTTGGGACAGTGTTCTCGGGGCATGTCTGGAGTTGCCTGAAGGAAGTCGAGACACCGGTCGTGTTGAATGGGGAACGGGGAATGGCTCTGGAGTCAATGCATGGGAATCGGGCCTCATCTCGAGTTGATTTGGGGCACATGGAGCTGCTTTGCGTTGCTGGGGTGACCTCAGGGTCCGTCTAGACTGGTGACAGTGTTCTTGGGGACTGTCTCGAGATCCATTAAGCAAGTCGAAGCTCCTGACTTGTTTGAATGGGATCACGGAATAGCTCTGCATGCACTGCAGGGGAATGGGTCCTCATCTCGCCTCTAGGGGGAAGTCTCATGGTTTTTCTCGAGTTGCGGCGGGGACCTGGGATATGTTCTCGACTTACGGCGGGGATGGCCCTTCAAAAGACGAGTTTCTTCAGTGACGTCAGGACTCCTGTCTAGTAACGAGGGACACCTCAGGAATCTCTTCGCGGCTTGGAAGGGCAAAAGGGACGCTTCTCGAGCTGAGGCAGGGCACCCAAGGACCCTTTCCAGTAGCCACAGGGATTTTGGGATTCCTATCAGTATTCAAGAGGAGTCAGGCATCGTCACCTTTTGAAGCAATGAACTCTGCGTGCCTCTCGAGTTGTCAGCGGGATGTGAGGCATTCCGTCAAAATGAGGCAGGGACCTAGGGCTTTCTCTAAGGTCTCCACAGGGGATTCAGACATCCCTTCATATTGTGAGATGAAACACGAGCCTGTATTCAAGCCACTGCAAGGAAATCCGGCCTCCTTTCAAGTTAGGGCTTCTCGCTGTATATTCCCCTTGAGGCAGCAAACTCGGGGTCCCTCCCACATACCTATTGCTGAGAGAAACCTCCTCCTGAGGTGCTTCTGGGAAGTTGGCATACGTCTTGAGCCTAAGCCAGGGAATCAGCTCTCATCTCGAGACGGTTTGGGTACACGGAGCATTCCTCGAGTTGCTGTGCTGAAGTTGGTGATCCTCTAGACTTGGGACAGTGTTCTCGGGGCATGTCTGGAGTTGCCTGAAGGAAGTCGAGCCACCGGTCGTGTTGAATGGGGAACGGGGAATGGCTCTGGAGTCAATGCAGGGGAATCGGGCCTCATCTCGAGTTGATTTGGGGCACATGGTGCTGCTTTGCGTTACTGGGGTGACCTCAGGGTCCGTCTAGACTGGTGACAGTGTTCTTGGGGACTGTCTCGAGATCCATTAAGCAAGTCGAAACTCCTGACTTGTTTGAATGGGATCACGGAATAGCTCTGCATGCACTGCAGGGGAATGGGGCTTCATCTCGCCTCTAGGGATAAGTCTCATGGTTTTTCTCGAGTTGCGGCGGGGACCTGGGGTATGTTCTCGACTTACGGCGGGGATGGCCCTTCAAAACACGAGTTTCTTCAGTGACGTCAGGACTCCTGTCTAGTAACGAGGGACACCTCAGGAATCTCTTCGAGGCTTGGCAGGGCAAAAGGGACGCTTCTCGAGGTGAGGCAGGGCACCCAAGGACCCTTTCCAGTAGCCACAGGGATTTGGGGATTCCTATCAGTATTCAAGAGGAGTCAGGCATCGTCACCTTTTGAAGCAATGAACTCCGCGTGCCTCTCGAGGTGTCAACGGGATGTGAGGCATTCCGTCAAAATGAGGCAGGGACCTCGGGCTTTCTCTAAGGTCTCCACAGGGGATTCAGACATCCCTTCATGTTGTGAGATGAAAGACGAGCCTGTATTCAAGCCACTGCAAGGAAATCCGGCCTCCTTTCAAGTTAGGGCTTCTCGCTGGATATTCCACTGGAGGCAGCAAATTCGGAGTCCCTCCCACATACCTATTACTGAGAGTAGCCGCCTCCTGAGGTGCTTCTGGAAAGTTGGCATACGACTTGAGCTTAAGCCAGGGAATCAGCTCTCATCTCGAGATGATTTGGGGTACACGGAGCATTCCTCGAGTTGCTGTGCTGAAGTTGGTGTTCCTCTAGACTTGGGACAGTGTTCTCGGGGCATCTCTGGAGTTGCCTGAAGGAAGTTGAGCCACCGATCGTGTTGAATCGGGAACGGGGAATGGCTCTGGAGTCAATGCAGGGGAATCGACCCTCATCTCGAGTTGATTTGGGGCACATGGAGCTGCTTTGCGTTGCTGGGGTGACCTCAGGGTCCGTCTAGACTGGTGACAGTGTTCTTGGGGACTGTCTCGAGATCCATTAAGCAAGTCAAAGATCCTGACTTGTTTGAATGGGATCACGGAATAGCTCTGCATGCACTGCAGGGGAATGGGGCCTCATCTCGCCTCTAGGGGGAAGTCTCATGGTTTTTCTCGAGTTGTGGCGGGGACCTGGGGTATATTCTCGACTTACGGCGGGGATGGCCCTTCAAAACACGAGTTTCTTCAGTGACGTCAGGACTCCTGTCTAGTAACGGGGGACACCTCTGGAATCTCTTCGAAGCTTGGCAGGGCAAAAGGGACGCATCTCGAGGTGAGGCAGGGCACCCAAGGACCCTTTCCAGTAGCCACAGGGATTTTGGGATTCCTATCAGTATTCAAGAGGAGTCAGGCATCGTCACCTTTTGAAGCAATGAACTCCGCGTGCCTCTCGAGGTGTCAGCGCGATGTGAGGCATTCCGTCAAAATGAGGCAGGGACCTAGGGCTTTCTCTAAGGTCTCCACAGGGGATTCAGACATCCCTTCATGTTGTGAGATGAAAGACGAGCCTGTATTCAAGCCACTGCAAGGAAATCCGGCCTCCTTTCAAGTTAGGGCTTCTCGCTGTATATTCCCCTTGAGGCAGCAAACTCGGGGTCCCTCCCACATACCTATTGCTGAGAGAAACCTCCTCCTGAGGTGCTTCTGGAAAGTTGGCATACGTCTTGAGCCTAAGCCAGGGAATCAGCTCTCATCTCGAGACGGTTTGGGTACACGGAGCATTCCTCGAGTTGCTGTGCTGAAGTTGGTGATCCTCTAGACTTGGGACAGTATTCTCGGGGCATGTCTGGAGTTGCCTGAAGGAAGTCGAGCCACCGGTCGTGTTGAATGGGGAACGGGGAATGGCTCTGGAGTCAATGCAGGGGAATCGGGCCTCATCTCGAGTTGATTTGGGGCACATGGTGCTGCTTTGCGTTGCTGGGGTGACCTCAGGGTCCGTCTAGACTGGTGACAGTGTTCTTGGGGACTGTCTCGAGATCCATTAAGCAAGTCGAAACTCCTGACTTGTTTGAATGGGATCACGGAATAGCTCTGCATGCACTGCAGGGGAATGGGGCTTCATCTCGCCTCTAGGGGGAAGTCTCATGGTTTTTCTCGAGTTGCGGCGGGGACCTGGGGTATGTTCTCGACTTACGGCGGGGATGGCCTTTCAAAACACGAGTTTCTTCAGTGACGTCAGGACTCCTGTCTAGTAACGAGGGACACCTCAGGAATCTCTTCGAGGCTTGGCAGGGCAAAAGGGACGCTTCTCGAGGTGAGGCAGGGCACCCAAGGACCCTTTCCAGTAGCCACAGGGATTTTCGGATTCCTATCAGTATTCAAGAGGAGTCAGGCATCGTCACCTTTTGAAGCAATGAACTCCGCGTGCCTTTCGAGGTGTCAACTGGAGGTGAGGCATTCCGTCAAAATGAGGCAGGGACCTAGGGCTTTCTCTAAGGTCTCCACAGGGGATTCAGTCATCCCTTCAGGATGTGAGATGAAACACGAGCCTGTATTCAAGCCACTGCAAGGAAATCCGGCCTCCTTTCAAGTTAGGGCTTCTTGCTGTGTATTCCCCTTGAGGCAGCAATCTCAGGGTCCCTCCCACATACCTATTGCTGAGAGAAGCATCCTCCTGAGGTGCTTCCGGAAAGTTGGCATACGTCTTGAGCCTAAGCTAGGGAATCAGCTCTAATCTCGAGACGATTTGGGGTACACGGAGCATTCCTCGAGTTGCTGTGCTGAAGTTGGTGTTCCTCTAGACTTGGGACAGTGTTCTCGGGGCATCTCTGGAGTTGCCTGAAGGAAGTCGAGCCACCGGTCGTGTTGAATGGGGAACGGGGAATGGCTCTGGAGTCAATGCATGGGAATCGGGCCTCATCTCGAGTTGATTTGGGGCACATGGAGCTGCTTTGCGTTGCTGGGGTGACCTCAGGGTCCGTCTAGACTGGTGACAGTGTTCTTGGGGACTGTGTCGAGATCCATTAAGCAAGTCAAAACTCCTGACTTGTTTGAATGGGATCACGGAATAGCTCTGCATGCACTGCAGGGGAATGGGGCCTCATCTCGCCTCTAGGGGGAAGTCTCATGGTTTTTCTCGAGTTGCGGCGGGGACCTGGGATATGTTCTCGACTTATGGCGGGGATGGCCCTTCAAAACACTAGTTTCTTCAGTGACGTCAGGACTCCTGTCTAGTAACGAGGGACACCTGAGGAATCTCTTCCAGGCTTGGCAGGGCAAAAGGGACGCATCTCGAGGTGAGGCAGGGCACCCAAGGACCCTTTCCAGTAGCCACAGGGATTTTGGGATTCCTATCAGTATTCAAGAGGAGTCAGGCATCATCACCTTTTGAAGCAATGAACTCTGCGTGCCTCTCGAGGTTTCAGCGGGATGTGAGGCATTCCGTCAAAATGAGGCAGGGACCTAGGGCTTTCTCTAAGGTCTCCACAGGGGATTCAGTCATCCCTTCATGTTGTGAGATGAAACACGAGCCTGTATTCAAGCCACTGCAAGGAAATCCGTCCTCCTTTCAAGTTAGGGCTTCTCGCTGTATATTCCCTTTGAGGCAGCAAACTCGGGGTCCCTCCCACATACCTATTGCTGAGAGAAGCCTCCTCCTGAGGTGCTTCTGGAAAGTTGGCATACGTCTTGAGCCTACGCCAGGGAATCAGCTCTCATCTCGAGACGTTTTGGGGTACACGGAGCATTCCTCGAGTTGCTGTGCTGAAGTTGGTGTTCCTCAAGACTTGGGACACTGTTCTCGGGGCATCTCTGGAGTTGCCTGAAGGAAGTCGAGCCACCGGTCGTGTTGAATGGGGAACGGGGAATGGCTCTGGAGTCAATGGAGGGGAATCGGGCCTCATCTCGAGTTGATTTGGGGCACATGGAGCTGCTTTGCGTTGCTGGGGTGACCTCAGGGTCCATCTAGACGGGTGACAGTGTTCTTGGAGACTGTCTCGAGATCCATTAAGCAAGTCGAAGCTCCTGACTTGTTTGAATGGGATCACGGAATAGCTCTGCATGCTCTGCAGGGGAATGGGTCCTCATCTCGCCTCTAGGGGGAAGTCTCATGGTTTTTGTCGAGTTGCGGCGGGGACCTGGGATATGTTCTCGACTTAAGGCGGGGATGGCCCTTCAAAACACGAGTTTCTTCAGTGACGTCAGGACTCCTGTCTAGTAACGAGGGACACCTCAGGAATCTCTTCGAGGCTTGGCAGTGCAAAAGGGACGCTTCTCGAGGTAAGGCAGGGCACCCAAGGACCCTTTCCAGAAGCCACAGGGATTTTGGGATTCCTATCAGTATTCAAGAGGAGTCAGGCATCGTCACCTTTTGAAGCAATGAACTCTGCGTGCCTCGCGAGGTGTCAACGGGAGGTGAGGCATTCCGTCAAAATGAGGCAGGGACCTAGGGCTTTCTCTAAGTTCTCCACAGGGGATTCAGACAACCTTCAGGTTTTGAGATCAAAGACGAGCCTGTATTCTAGCCACTGCAAGGAAATCCGGCCTCCTTTCAAGTTAGGGCTTCTCGCTGTATATTCCCCTGGAGGCAGCAAACTCGGGGTCCCTCCCACATACCTATTACTGAGAGAAGCCTCCTCCTGAGGTGCTTCTGGAAAGTTGGCATACGACTTGAGCTTAAGCCAGGGAATCAGCTCTCATCTCGAGATGATTTGGGGTACACGGAGCATTCCTCGAGTTGCTGTGCTGAAGGTGGTGTTCCTCTAGCCTTGGACAGTGTTCTCGGGGCATCTCTCGAGTTGCCTGAAGGAAGTCGAGCCACCGGTCGTGTTGAATCGGGAACGGGGAATGGCTCTGGAGTCAATGCAGGGGAATCGACCCTCATCTCGAGTTGATTTGGGGCACATGGAGCTGCTTTGCGTTGCTGGGGTGACCTCAGGGTCCGTCTAGACTGGTGACAGTGTTCTTGGGGACTGTCTCGAGATCCATTAAGCAAGTCGAAGCTCCTGACTTGTTTGAATGGGATCACGGAATAGCTCTGCATGCACTGCAGGGGAATGGGGCCTCATCTCGCCTCTAGGGGGAAGTCTCATGGTTTTTCTCGAGTTGTGGCGGGGACCTGGGGTATGTTCTCGACTTACGGCGGGGATGGCCCTTCAAAACACGAGTTTCTTCAGTGACGTCAGGACTCCTGTCTAGTAATGGGGGACACCTCTGGAATCTCTTCGAAGCTTGGCAGGGCAAAAGGGACGCTTCTCGAGGTGAGGCAGGGCACCCAAGGACCCTTTCCAGTAGCCACAGGGATTTTGGGATTCCTATCAGTATTCCAGAGGAGTCAGGCATCGTCACCTTTTGAAGCAATGAACTCTGCGTGCCTCTCGAGGTGTCAACGGGATGTGAGGCATTCCATCAAAATGAGGCAGGGACCTAGGGCTTTCTCTAAGGTCTCCACAGGGGATTCAGACAACCCTTCAGGTTTTGAGATCAAAGACGAGCCTGTATTCTAGCCACTGCAAGGAAATCCGGCCTCCTTTCAAGTTAGGGCTTCTCGCTGTATATTCCCCTTGAGGCAGCAAACTCGGGGTCCCTCCCACATACCTATTGCTGAGAGAAGCCTCCTCCTGAGGTGCTTCTGGAAAGTTGGCATACGTCTTGAGCCTAAGCCAGGGAATCAGCTCTCATCTCGAGACGGTTTGGGGTACACGGAGCATTCCTCGAGTTGCTGTGCTTAAGTTGGTGATCCTCTAGACTTGGGACAGTGTTCTCGGGGCATGTCTGGAGTTACTTGAAGGAAGTCGAGCCACCGGTCGTGTTGAATGGGGAACGGGGAATGGCTCTGGAGTCAATGCTGGGGAATCGGGCCTCATCTCGAGTTGATTTGGGGCACATGGTGCTGCTTTGCGTTGCTGGGGTGACCTCAGGGTCCGTCTAGACTGGTGACAGTGTTCTTGGGGACTGTCTCGAGATCCATTAAGCAAGTCGAAGCTCCTGACTTGTTTGAATGGGATCAAGGAATAGCTCTGCATGCACTGCAGGGGAATGGGGCTTCATCTCGCCTCTAGGGGGAAGTCTCATGGTTTTTCTCGAGTTGCGGCGGGGACCTGGGGTATGTTCTCGACTTACGGCGGGGATGGCCCTTCAAAACACGAGTTTCTTCAGTGACGTCAGGACTCCTCTCTAGTAACGAGGGACACCTCAGGAATCTCTTCGAGGCTTGGCAGGGCAAAAGGGACGCTTCTCGAGGTGAGGCAGGGCACCCAACGACACTTTCCAGTAGCCACAGGGATTTGGGGATTCCTATCAGTATTCAAGAGGAGTCAGGCATCGTCACCTTTTGAAGCAATGAACTCCGCGTGCCTCTCGAGGTGTCAACGGGATGTGAGGCATTCCCTCAAAATGAGGCAGGGACCTAGGGCTTTCTCTAAGGTCTCCACAGGGGATTCAGACATCCCTTCATGTTGTGAGATGAAAGACGAGCCTGTATTCAAGCCACTGCAAGGAAATCCGGCCTCCTTTCAAGTTTGGGCTTCTGGCTGTATATTCCCCTTGAGGCAGCAAACTCGAGGTCCCCCCACATGCCTATTGCTGAGAGAAGCCTCCTCCTGAGGTGCTTCTGGAAAGTTGGCATACGAGTTGAGCCTAAGCCTGGGAATCAGCTCTCATCTCGAGACGATTTGGGGTACACGGAGCATTCCTCGAGTTGCTGTGCTGAAGTTGGTGTTCCTCTAGACTGGGACAGTGTTCTCGGGGCATCTCTGGAGTTGCCTGAAGGAAGTCGAGGCACCGGTCGTGTTGAATGGGGAACGGGGAATGGCTCTGGAGTCAATGCAGGGGAATCGGGCCTCATCTCGAGTTGATTTGGGGCACATGGAGCTGCTTTGCGTTGCTGGGGTGACCTCAGGGTCCGTCTAGACTGGTGACAGTGTTCTTGGGGACTGTCTCGAGATCCATTGAACAAGTCGATGCTCCTGACTTGTTTGAATGGCATCACAGAATAGCTCTGCATGCACTGCAGGGGAATGGGGCCTCATCTCGCCTCTAGGGGGAAGTCTCATGGTTTTTCTCGAGTTGCGGCGGGGACCTGGGGTATGTTCTCGACTTACGGCGGGGATGGCCCTTCAAAACACTAGTTTCTTCAGTGACGTCAGGACTCCTGTCTAGTAACGAGGGGCACCTCAGGAATCTCTTCGAGGCTTGGCAGTGCAAAAGGGACGCTTCTCGAGGTGAGGCAGGGCACCCAAGGACCCTTTCCAGTAGCCACAGGGATTTTGGGATTGCTATCAGTATTCAAGAGGAGTCAGGCATCGTCACCTTTTGAAGCAATGAACTCTGCGTGCCTCGGGAGGTGTCAACGGGAGGTGAGGCATTCCGTCAAAATGAGGCAGGGACCTAGGGCTTTCTCTAAGTTCTCCACAGGGGATTCAGACAACCTTCAGGTTTTGAGATCAAAGACGAGCCTGTATTCTAGCCACTGCAAGGAATTCCGGCCTCCTTTCAAGTTAGGGCTTCTCGCTGTATATTCCACTGGAGGCAGCAAATTCGGAGTCCCTCCCACATACCTATTACTGAGAGTAGCCGCCTCCTGAGGTGATTCTGGAAAGTTGGCATACGACTTGAGCTTAAGCCAGGGAATCAGCTCTCATCTCGAGATGATTTGGGGTACACGGAGCATTCCTCGAGTTACTGTGCTGAAGTTGGTGTTCCTCTAGACTTGGGACAGTGTTCTCGGGGCATCTCTGGAGTTGCCTGAAGGAAGTTGAGCCACCGATCGTGTTGAATCGGGAACGGGGAATGGCTCTGGAGTCAATGCAGGGGAATCGACCCTCATCTCGAGTTGATTTGGGGCACATGGAGCTGCTTTGCGTTGCTGGGGTGACCTCAGGGTCCGTCTAGACTGGTGACAGTGTTCTTGGGGACTGTCTCGAGATCCATTAAGCAAGTCAAAGATCCTGACTTGTTTGAATGGGATCACGGAATAGCTCTGCATGCACTGCAGGGGAATGGGGCCTCATCTCGCCTCTAGGGGGAAGTCTCATGGTTTTTCTCGAGTTGTGGCGGGGACCTGGGGTATGTTCTCCACTTACGGCGGGGATGGCCCTTCAAAACACGAGTTTCTTCAGTGACGTCAGGACTCCTGTCTAGTAACGGGGGACACCTCTGGAATCTCTTCGAAGCTTGGCAGGGCAAAAGGGACGCATCTCGAGGTGAGGCAGGGCACCCAAGGACCCTTTCCAGTAGCCACAGGGATTTTGGGATTCCTATCAGTATTCAAGAGGAGTCAGGCATCGTCACCTTTTGAAGCAATGAACTCTGCGTGCCTCGCGAGGTGTCAACGGGAGGTGAGGCATTCCGTCAAAATGAGGCAGGGACCTAGGGCTTTCTCTAAGTTCTCCACAGGGGATTCAGACAACCTTCAGGTTTTGAGATCAAAGACGAGTCTGTATTCTAGCCACTGCAAGGAATTCCGGCCTCCTTTCAAGTTAGGGCTTCTCGCTGTATATTCCACTGGAGGCAGCAAATTCGGAGTCCCTCCCACATACCTATTACTGAGAGTAGCCGCCTCCTGAGGTGATTCTGGAAAGTTGGCATACGACTTGAGCTTAAGCCAGGGAATCAGCTCTCATCTCGAGATGATTTGGGGTACACGGAGCATTCCTCGAGTTGCTGTGCTGAAGTTGGTGTTCCTCTAGACTTGGGACAGTGTTCTCGGGGCATCTCTGGAGTTGCCTGAAGGAAGTTGAGCCACCGATCGTGTTGAATCGGGAACGGGGAATGGCTCTGGAGTCAATGCAGGGGAATCGGGCCTCATCTCGAGTTGATTTGGGGCACATGGAGCTGCTTTTCGTTGCTGGGGTTACCACAGGGTCCGTCTAGACTGGTGACAGTGTTCTTGGGGACTGTCTCGAGATCCATTAAGCAAGTCGAAGCTCCTGACTTGTTTGAATGGGATCACGGAATAGCTCTGCATGCACTGCAGGGGAATGGGGCCTCATCTCGCCTCTAGGGGGAAGTCTCATGGTTTTTCTCGAGTTGCGGCGGGGACCTGGGGTATGTTCTCGACTTACGGCGGGGATGGCCCTTCAAAACACGAGTTTCTTCAGTGACGTCAGGACTCCTGTCTAGTAACGAGGGACACCTCAGGAATCTCTTCGCGGCTTGGAAGGGCAAAAGGGACGCTTCTCGAGGTGAGGCAGGGCACCCAAGGACCCTTTCCAGTAGCCACAGGGATTTTGGGATTCCTATCAGTATTCAAGAGGAGTCAGGCATCGTCACCTTTTGAAGCAATGAACTCTGCCTGCCTCTCGAGGTGTCAGCGGGATGTGAGGCATTCCGACAAAATGAGGCTGTGACCTAGGGCTTTCTCTAAGGTCTCCACAGGGGATTCAGACATCCCTTCATGTTGTGAGATGAAACACGAGCCTGTATTCAAGCCACTGCAAGGAAATCCGGCCTCCTTTCAAGTTAGGGCTTCTCGCTGTATATTCCCCTTGAGGCAGCAAACTCGGGGTCCCTCCCACATACCTATTGCTGAGAGAAGCCTCCTCCTGAGGTGCTTCTGGAAAGTTGGCATACGTCTTGAGCCTAAGCCAGGGAATCAGCTCTCATCTCGAGACGATTTGGGGTACACGGAGCATTCCTCGAGTTGCTGTGCTGAAGTTGGTGTTCCTCAAGACTTGGGACACTGTTCTCGGGGCATCTCTGGAGTTGCCTGAAGGAAGTCGAGCCACCGGTCGTGTTGAATGGGGAACGGGGAATGGCTCTGGAGTCAATGCAGGGGAATCGGGCCTCATCTCGAGTTGATTTGGGGCATATGGAGCTGCTTTGCGTTGCTGGGGTGACCTCAGGGTCCGTCTAGACTGGTGAAAGTGTTCTTGGGGACTGTCTCGAGATCCATTATACAAGTCGATGCTCCTGACTTGTTTGAATGGCATCACAGAATAGCTCTGCATGCACTGCAGGGGAATGGGGCCTCATCTCGCCTCTAGGGGGAAGTCTCATGGTTTTTCTCCAGTTGCGGCGGGGACTTGGGGTACATTCTCGACTTACAGCGGGGATGGCCTTTCAAAACACGAGTTTCTTCAGTGACGTCAGGACTCCTGTCTAGTAACGAGGGACACCTCAGGAATCTCTTCGAAGCTTGGCAGGGCAAAAGGGACGCTTCTCGAGGTGAGGCAGGGCACCCAAGGACCCTTTCCAGTAGCCACAGGGATTTTGGGATTCCTATCAGTATTCAAGAGGAGTCAGGCATCATCACCTTTTGAAGCAATGAACTCTGCGTGCCTCTCGAGGTGTCAGCGGGATGTGAGGCATTCCGTCAAAATGAGGCAGGGACCTAGGACTTTCTCTAAGGTCTCCACAGGGGATTCAGACAACCCTTCAGGTTTTGCGATCAAAGACGATCCTGTATTCTAGCCACTGCAAGGAAATCCAGCCTCCTTTCAAGTTAGGGCTTCTCGCTGTATATTCCGCTGGAGGCAGCAAATTCGGGGTCCCTCCCACATAGCTATTACTGAGAGAAGCCTCCTCCTGAGGTGCTTCTGGAAAGTTGGCATACGACTTGAGCTTAAGCCAGGGAATCAACTCTCATCTCGAGATGATTTGGGGTACACGGAGCATTCCTCGAGTTACTGTGCTGAAGTTGGTGTTCCTTAGACTGGGACAGTGTTCTCGGGGCATCTCTGGAGTTGCCTGAAGGAAGTCGAGCCACCGGTCGTGTTGAATGGGGAACGGGGAATGGCTCTGGAGTCAATGCAGGGGAATCGGGCCTCATCTCGAGTTGATTTGGGGCACATGGAGCTGCTTTGCATTGCTGGGTTGACCTCAGGGTCCGTCTAGACTGGTGAAAGTGTTCTTGGGGACTGTCTCGAGATCCATTAAACAAGTCGATGCTCCTGACTTGTTTGAATGGCATCACAGAATAGCTCTGCATGCACTGCAGGGGAATGGGGCCTCATCTCGCCTCTAGGGGGAAGTCTCATGGTTTTTCTCGAGTTGCGGCGGGGACTTGGGGTACGTTCTCGACTTACAGCGGGGATGGCCTTTCAAAACACGAGTTTCTTCAGTGACGTCAGGACTCTTGTCTAGTAACGAGGGACACCTCAGGAATCTCTTCGAAGCTTGGCAGGGCAAAAGGGACGCTTCTCGAGGTGAGGCAGGGCACCCAAGGACCCTTTCCAGTAGCCACAGGGATTTTCGGATTCCTATCAGTATTCAGGAGGAGTCAGGCATCGTCACCTTTTGAAGCAATGAACTCCGCGTGCCTCTCGAGGTGTCAACTGGAGGTGAGGCATTCTGTCAAAATGAGGAAGGGACCTAGGGCTTTCTCTAAGGTCTCCACAGGGGATTCAGTCATCCCTTCAGGTTGTGAGATGAAACACGAGCCTGTATTCAAGCCACTGCAAGGAAATCCGGCCTCCTTTCAAGTTAGGGCTTCTTGCTGTGTATTCCCCTTGAGGCAACAAACTCGGGGTCCCTCCCACATACCTATTGCTGAGAGAAGCCTCCTCCTGAGGTGCTTCTGGAAAGTTGGCATACGTCTTGAGCCTAAGCCAGGCAATCAGCTCTAATCTCGAGACGATTTGGGGTACACGGAGCATTCCTCGAGTTGCTGTGCTGAAGTTGGTGTTCCTCTAGACTTGGGACAGTGTTCTCGGGGCATCTCTGGAGTTGCCTGAAGGAAGTCGAGACACCGGTCGTGTTGAATGGGGAACGGGGAATGGCTCTGGAGTCAATGCATGGGAATCGGGCCTCATCTCGAGTTGATTTGGGGCACATGGAGCTGCTTTGCGTTGCTGGGGTGACCTCAGGGTCCGTCTAGACTGGTGACAGTGTTCTTGGGGACTGTCTCGAGATCCATTAAGCAAGTCGAAGCTCCTGACTTGTTTGAATGGGATCACGGAATAGCTCTGCATGCACTGCAGGGGAATGGGGCCTCATCTCGCCTCTAGGGGGAAGTCTCATGGTTTTTCTCGAGTTGCGGCGGGGACTTGGGGTACGTTCTCGACTTACAGCGGGGATGGCCTTTCAAAACACGAGTTTCTTCAGTGACGTCAGGACTCTTGTCTAGTAACGAGGGACACCTCAGGAATCTCTTCGAAGCTTGGCAGGGCAAAAGGGACGCTTCTCGAGGTGAGGCAGGGCACCCAAGGACCCTTTCCAGTAGCCACAGGGATTTTCGGATTCCTATCAGTATTCAGGAGGAGTTAGGCATCGTCACCTTTTGAAGCAATGAACTCCGCGTGCCTCTCGAGGTGTCAACTGGAGGTGAGGCATTCTGTCAAAATGAGGCAGGGACCTAGGGCTTTCTCTAAGGTCTCCACAGGGGATTCAGTCATCCCTTCAGGTTGTGAGATGAAACACGAGCCTGTATTCAAGCCACTGCAAGGAAATCCGGCCTCCTTTCAAGTTAGGGCTTCTTGCTGTGTATTCCCCTTGAGGCAGCAAACTCGGGGTCCCTCCCACATACCTATTGCTGAGAGAAGCATCCTCCTGAGGTGCTTCTGGAAAGTTGGCATACGTCTTGAGCCTAAGCCAGGGAATCAGCTCTAATCTCGAGACGATTTGGGGTACACGGAGCATTCCTCGAGTTGCTGTGCTGAAGTTGGTGTTCCTCTAGACTTGAGACAGTGTTCTCGGGGCATCTCTGGAGTTGCCTGAAGGAAGTCGAGACACCGGTCGTGTTGAATGGGGAACGGGGAATGGCTCTGGAGTCAATGCATGGGAATCGGGCCTCATCTCGAGTTGATTTGGGGCACATGGAGCTGCTTTGCGTTGCTGGGGTGACCTCAGGGTCCGTCTAGACTGGTGACAGTGTTCTTGGGGACTGTCTCGAGATCCATTAAGCAAGTCGAAGCTCCTGACTTGTTTGAATGGGATCACGGAATAGCTCTGCATGCACTGCAGGGGAATGGGGCCTCATCTCGCCTCTAGGGGGAAGTCTCATGGTTTTTCTCGAGTTGCGGCGGGGACCTGGGATATGTTCTCGACTTACGACGGGGATGGCCCTTCAAAAGACGAGTTTCTTCAGTGACGTCAGGACTCCTGTCTAGTAACGAGGGACACCTCAGGAATCTCTTCGCGGCTTGGAAGGGCAAAAGGGACGCTTCTCGAGGTGAGGCAGGGCACCCAAGGACCCTTTCCAGTAGCCACAGGGATTTTGGGATTCCTATCAGTATTCAAGAGGAGTCAGGCATCGTCACCTTTTGAAGCAATGAACTCTGCGTGACTCTCGAGTTGTCAGCGGGATGTGAGGCATTTCGTCAAAATGAGGCAGGGACCTAGGGCTTTCTCTAAGGTCTCCACAGGGGATTCAGACATCCCTTCATGTTGTGAGATGAAACACGAGCCTGTATTCAAGCCACTGCAAGGAAATCCGGCCTCCTTTCAAGTTAGGGCTTCTCTCTGTATATTCCCCTTGAGGCAGCAAACTCGGGGTCCCTCCCACATACCTATTGCTGAGAGAAACCTCCTCCTGAGGTGCTTCTGGAAAGTTGGCATACGTCTTGAGCCTAAGCCAGGGAATCAGCTCTCATCTCGAGACGGTTTGGGTACACGGAGCATTCCTCGAGTTGCTGTGCTGAAGTTGGTGATCCTCTAGACTTGGGACAGTGTTCTCGGGGCATGTCTGGAGTTGCCTGAAGGAAGTCGAGCCACCGGTCGTGTTGAATGGGGAACGGGGAATGGCTCTGGAGTCAATGCAGGGGAATCGGGCCTCATCTCGAGTTGATTTGGGGCACATGGTGCTGCTTTGCGTTGCTGGGGTGACCTCAGGGTCCGTCTAGACTGGTGACAGTGTTCTTGGGGACTGTCTCGAGATCCATTAAGCAAGTCGAAACTCCTGACTTGTTTGAATGGGATCACGGAATAGCTCTGCATGCACTGCAGGGGAATGGGGCTTCATCTCGCCTCTAGGGGGAAGTCTCATGGTTTTTCTCGAGTTGCGGCGGGGACCTGGGGTATGTTCTCCACTTACGGCGGGGATGGCCCTTCAAAACACGAGTTTCTTCAGTGACGTCAAGACTCCTGTCTAGTAACGAGGGACACCTCAGGAATCTCTTCGAGGCTTGGCAGGGCAAAAGGGACGCTTCTCGAGGTGAGGCAGGGCACCCAAGGACCCTTTCCAGTAGCCACAGGGATTTGGGGATTCCTATCAGTATTCAAGAGGAGTCAGGCATCGTCACCTTTTGAAGCAATGAACTCCGCGTGCCTCTCGAGGTGTCAACGGGATGTGAGGCATTCCGTCAAAATGAGGCAGGGACCTCGGGCTTTCTCTAAGGTCTCCACAGGGGATTCAGACATCCCTTCATGTTGTGAGATGAAAGACGAGCCTGTATTCAAGCCACTGCAAGGAAATCCGGCCTCCTTTCAAGTTTGGGCTTCTCGCTGTATATTCCCCTTGAGGCAGCAAACTCGAGGTCCCCCCACATGCCTATTGCTGAGAGAAGCCTCCTCCTGAGGTGCTTCTGGAAAGTTGGCATACGTCTTGAGCCTAAGCCAGGGAATCAGCTCTCATCTCGAGACGATCTGTGGTACACGGAGCATTCCTCGAGTTGCTGTGCTGAAGTTGGTGTTCCTCTAGACTGGGACAGTGTTCTTGGGGCATCTCTGGAGTTGCCTGAAGGAAGTCGAGCCACCGGTCGTGTCGAATGGGGAACGGGGAATGGCTCTGGAGTCAATGCAGGGGAATCGGGCCTCATCTCGAGTTGATTTGGGGCACATGGAGCTGCTTTGCGTTGCTGGGGTGACCTCAGGTTCCGTCTAGACTGGTGAAAGTGTTCTTGGGGACTGTCTCGAGATCCATTAAACAAGTCGATGCTCCTGACTTGTTTGAATGGCATCACAGAATAGCTCTGCATGCACTGCAGGGGAATGGGGCCTCATCTCGCCTCTAGGGGGAAGTCTCATGGTTTTTCTCGAGTTGCGGCGGGGACCTGGGGTATGTTCTCGACTTACGGCGGGGATGGCCTTTCAAAACACGAGTTTCTTCAGTGACGTCAGGACTCCTGTCTAGTAACGAGGGACACCTCAGGAATCTCTTCGAGGCTTGGCAGGGCAAAAGGGACGCTTCTCGAGGTGAGGCAGGGCACCCAAGGACCCTTTCCAGTAGCCACAGGGATTTTCGGATTCCTATCAGTATTCAAGAGGAGTCAGGCATCGTCACCTTTTGAAGCAATGAACTCCGCGTGCCTCTCGAGGTGTCAACTGGAGGTGAGGCATTCCGTCAAAATGAGGCAGGGACCTAGGGCTTTCTCTAAGGTCCCCACAGGGGATTCAGTCATCCCTTCAGGATGTGAGATGAAACACGAGCCTGTATTCAAGCCACTGCAAGGAAATCCGGCCTCCTTTCAAGTTAGGGCTTCTTGCTGTGTATTCCCCTTGAGGCAGCAATCTCAGGGTCCCTCCCACATACCTATTGCTGAGAGAAGCATCCTCCTGAGGTGCTTCTGGAAAGTTGGCATACGTCTTGAGCCTAAGCCAGGGAATCAGCTCTAATCTCGAGACGATTTGGGGTACACGGAGCATTCCTCGAGTTGCTGTGCTGAAGTTGGTGTTCCTCTAGACTTGGGACAGTGTTCTCGGGGCATCTCTGGAGTTGCCTGAAGGAAGTCGAGCCACCGGTCGTGTTGAATGGGGAACGGGGAATGGCTCTGGAGTCAATGCATGGGAATCGGGCCTCATCTCGAGTTGATTTGGGGCACATGGAGCTGCTTTGCGTTTCTGGGGTGACCTCAGGGTCCGTCTAGACTGGTGACAGTGTTCTTGGGGACTGTGTCGAGATCCATTAAGCAAGTCAAAGCTCCTGACTTGTTTGAATGGGATCACGGAATAGCTCTGCATGCACTGCAGGGGAATGGGGCCTCATCTCGCCTCTAGGGGGAAGTCTCATGGTTTTTCTCGAGTTGCGGCGGGGACATGGGATATGTTCTCGACTTATGGCGGGGATGGCCCTTCAAAACACTAGTTTCTTCAGTGACGTCAGGACTCCTGTCTAGTAACGAGGGACACCTCAGGAATCTCTTCCAGGCTTGGCAGGGCAAAAGGGACGCATCTCGAGGTGAGGCAGGGCACCCAAGGACCCTTTCCAGTAGCCACAGGGATTTTGTTATTCCTATCAGTATTCAAGAGGAGTCAGGCATCATCACCTTTTGAAGCAATGAACTCTGCGTGCCTCTCGAGGTTTCAGCGGGATGTGAGGCATTCCGTCAAAATGAGGCAGGGACCTAGGGCTTTCTCTAAGGTCTCCACAGGGGATTCAGTCAACCCTTCAGGTTTTGAAATCAAAGACGAGCCTGTATTCTAGCCACTGCAAGGAAATCCGGCCTCCTTTCAAGTTAGGGCTTCTCGATGTATATTCCCCTGGAGGCAGCAAATTCGGGGTCCCTCCCACATAGCTATTACTGAGAGAAGCCTCCTCCTGAGGTGCTTCTGGAAAGTTGGCATACGACTTGAGCTTAAGCCAGGGAATCAGCTCTCATCTCGAGACGATTTGGGGTACACGGAGCATTCCTCGAGTTGCTGTGCTGAAGTTGGTGTTCCTCTAGACTTGGGACAGTGTTCCCGGGGCATCTCTGGAGTTGCCTGAAGGAAGTCGAGCCACCGGTCGTGTTGAATGGGGAACGGGGAATGGCTCTGGAGTCAATGCAGGGGAATCGGGCCTCATCTCGAGTTGATTTTGGGCACATGGATCTGCTTTGCGTTGCTGGGGTTACCACAGGGTCCGTCTAGACTGGTGACAGTGTTCTTGGGGACTGTCTCGAGATCCATTAAGCAAGTCGAAGCTCCTGACTTGTTTGAATGGGATCACGGAATAGCTCTGCATGCTCTGCAGGGGAATGGAGCCTCATCTCGCCTCTAGGGGGAAGTCTCATGGTTTTTCTCGAGTTGCGGCGGGGACCTGGGATATGTTCTCGACTTACGGCGGGGCTGGCCCTTCAAAACACTAGTTTCTTTAGTGACGTCAGGACTCCTGTCTAGTAACGAGGGACACCTCAGGAATCTCTTCCAGGCTTGGCAGGGCAAAAGGGACGCATCTCGAGGTGAGGCAGGGCACCCAAAGATCCTTTCCAGTAGCCACAGGGATTTTGGGATTCCTATCAGTATTCAAGAGGAGTCAGGCATCGTCACCTTTTGAAGCAATGAACTCTGCGAGCCTCTCGAGGTTTCAGCGGGATGTGAGGCATTCCGTCAAAATGAGGCAGGGACCTAGGGCTTTCTCTAAGGTCTCCACAGGGGATTCAGACAACCCTTCAGGTTTTGAGATCAAAGACGAGCCTGTATTCTAGCCACTGCAAGGAAATCCAGCCTCCTTTCAAGTTAGGGCTTCTCGCTGTATATTCCGCTGGAGGCAGCAAATTCGGGGTCCCTCCCACATAGCTATTACTGAGAGAAGCCTCCTCCTGAGGTGCTTCTGGAAAGTTGGCATACGACTTGAGCTTAAGCCAGGGAATCAGCTCTCATCTCGAGATGATTTGGGGTTCACGGAGCATTCCTCGAGTTGCTGTGCTGAAGTTGGTGTTCCTTAGACTGGGACAGTGTTCTCGGGGCATCTCTGGAGTTGCCTGAAGGAAGTCGAGCCACCGGTCGTGTTGAATGGGGAACGGGGAATGGCTCTGGAGTCAATGCAGGGGAATCGGGCCTCATCTCGAGTTGATTTGGGGCACATGGAGCTGCTTTGCGTTGCTGGGGTGACCTCAGGGTCCGTCTAGACTGGTGAAAGTGTTCTTGGGGACTGTCTCGAGATCCATTAAACAAGTCGATGCTCCTGACTTGTTTGAATGGCATCACATAATAGCTCTGCATGCACTGCAGTGGAATGGGGCCTCATCTCGCCTCTAGGGGGAAGTCTCATGGTTTTTCTCGAGTTGCGGCGGAGACTTGGGGTACGTTCTCGACTTACAGCGGGGATGGCCTTTCAAAACACGAGTTTCTTCAGTGACGTCAGGACTCTTGTCTAGTAACGAGGGACACCTCAGGAATCTCTTCGAAGCTTGGCAGGGCAAAAGGGACGCTTCTCGAGGTGAGGCAGGGCACCCAAGGACCCTTTCCAGTAGCCACAGGGATTTTCGGATTCCTATCAGTATTCAGGAGGAGTCAGGCATCGTCACCTTTTGAAGCAATGAACTCCGCGTGCCTCTCGAGGTGTCAACTGGAGGTGAGGCATTCTGTCAAAATGAGGCAGGGACCTAGGGCTTTCTCTAAGGTCTCCACAGGGGATTCAGTCATCCCTTCAGGTTGTGAGATGAAACACGAGCCTGTATTCAAGCCACTGCAAGGAAATCCGGCCTCCTTTCAAGTTAGGGCTTCTTGCTGTGTATTCCCCTTGAGGCAGCAAACTCGGGGTCCCTCCCACATACCTATTGCTGAGAGAAGCCTCCTCCTGAGGTGCTTCTGGAAAGTTGGCATACGTCTTGAGCCTAAGCCAGGCAATCAGCTCTAATCTCGAGACGATTTGGGGTACACGGAGCATTCCTCGAGTTGCTGTGCTGAAGTTGGTGTTCCTCTAGACTTGGGACAGTGTTCTCGGGGCATCTCTGGAGTTGCCTGAAGGAAGTCGAGACACCGGTCGTGTTGAATGGGGAACGGGGAATGGCTCTGGAGTCAATGCATGGGAATCGGGCCTCATCTCGAGTTGATTTGGGGCACATGGAGCTGCTTTGCGTTGCTGGGGTGACCTCAGGGTCCGTCTAGACTGGTGACAGTGTTCTTGGGGACTGTCTCGAGATCCATTAAGCAAGTCGAAGCTCCTGACTTGTTTGAATGGGATCACGGAATAGCTCTGCATGCACTGCAGGGGAATGGGGCCTCATCTCGCCTCTAGGGGGAAGTCTCATGGTTTTTCTCGAGTTGCGGCGGGGACTTGGGGTACGTTCTCGACTTACAGCGGGGATGGCCTTTCAAAACACGAGTTTCTTCAGTGACGTCAGGACTCTTGTCTAGTAACGAGGGACACCTCAGGAATCTCTTCGAAGCTTGGCAGGGCAAAAGGGACGCTTCTCGAGGTGAGGCAGGGCACCCAAGGACCATTTCCAGTAGCCACAGGGATTTTCGGATTCCTATCAGTATTCAGGAGGAGTTAGGCATCGTCACCTTTTGAAGCAATGAACTCCGCGTGCCTCTCGAGGTGTCAACTGGAGGTGAGGCATTCTGTCAAAATGAGGCAGGGACCTAGGGCTTTCTCTAAGGTCTCCACAGGGGATTCAGTCATCCCTTCAGGTTGTGAGATGAAACACGAGCCTGTATTCAAGCCACTGAAAGGAAATCCGGCCTCCTTTCAAGTTAGGGCTTCTTGCTGTGTATTCCCCTTGAGGCAGCAAACTCGGGGTCCCTCCCACATACCTATTGCTGAGAGAAGCATCCTCCTGAGGTGCTTCTGGAAAGTTGGCATACGTCTTGAGCCTAAGCCAGGCAATCAGCTCTAATCTCGAGACGATTTGGGGTACACGGAGCATTCCTCGAGTTGCTGTGCTGAAGTTGGTGTTCCTCTAGACTTGGGACAGTGTTCTCGGGGCATCTCTGGAGTTGCCTGAAGGAAGTCGAGACACCGGTCGTGTTGAATGGGGAACGGGGAATGGCTCTGGAGTCAATGCATGGGAATCGGGCCTCATCTCGAGTTGATTTGGGGCACATGGAGCTGCTTTGCGTTGCTGGGGTGACCTCAGGGTCCGTCTAGACTGGTGACAGTGTTCTTGGGGACTGTCTCGAGATCCATTAAGCAAGTCGAAGCTCCTGACTTGTTTGAATGGGATCACGGAATAGCTCTGCATGCACTGCAGGGGAATGGGGCCTCATCTCGCCTCTAGGGGGAAGTCTCATGGTTTTTCTCGAGTTGTGGCGGGGACCTGGGATATGTTCTCGACTTACGACGGGGATGGCCCTTCAAAAGACGAGTTTCTTCAGTGACGTCAGGACTCCTGTCTAGTAACGAGGGACACCTCAGGAATCTCTTCGCGGCTTGGAAGGGCAAAAGGGACGCTTCTCGAGGTGAGGCAGGGCACCCAAGGACCCTTTCCAGTAGCCACAGGGATTTTGGGATTCCTATCAGTATTCAAGAGGAGTCAGGCATCGTCACCTTTTGAAGCAATGAACTCTGCGTGACTCTCGAGTTGTCAGCGGGATGTGAGGCATTTCGTCAAAATGAGGCAGGGACCTAGGGCTTTCTCTAAGGTCTCCACAGGGGATTCAGACATCCCTTCATGTTGTGAGATGAAACACGAGCCTGTATTCAAGCCACTGCAAGGAAATCCGGCCTCCTTTCAAGTTAGGGCTTCTCTCTGTATATTCCCCTTGAGGCAGCAAACTCGGGGTCCCTCCCACATACCTATTGCTGAGAGAAACCTCCTCCTGAGGTGCTTCTGGAAAGTTGGCATACGTCTTGAGCCTAAGCCAGGGAATCAGCTCTCATCTCGAGACGGTTTGGGTACACGGAGCATTCCTCGAGTTGCTGTGCTGAAGTTGGTGATCCTCTAGACTTGGGACAGTGTTCTCGGGGCATGTCTGGAGTTGCCTGAAGGAAGTCGAGCCACCGGTCGTGTTGAATGGGGAACGGGGAATGGCTCTGGAGTCAATGCAGGGGAATCGGGCCTCATCTCGAGTTGATTTGGGGCACATGGTGCTGCTTTGCGTTGCTGGGGTGACCTCAGGGTCCGTCTAGACTGGTGACAGTGTTCTTGGGGACTGTCTCGAGATCCATTAAGCAAGTCGAAACTCCTGACTTCTTTGAATGGGATCACGGAATAGCTCTGCATGCACTGCAGGGGAATGGGGCTTCATCTCGCCTCTAGGGGGAAGTCTCATGGTTTTTCTCGAGTTGCGGCGGGGACCTGGGGTATGTTCTCCACTTACGGCGGGGATGGCCCTTCAAAACACGAGTTTCTTCAGTGACGTCAAGACTCCTGTCTAGTAACGAGGGACACCTCAGGAATCTCTTCGAGGCTTGGCAGGGCAAAAGGGACGCTTCTCGAGGTGAGGCAGGGCACCCAAGGACCCTTTCCAGTAGCCACAGGGATTTGGGGATTCCTATCAGTATTCAAGAGGAGTCAGGCATCGTCACCTTTTGAAGCAATGAACTCCGCGTGCCTTTCGAGGTGTCAACGGGATGTGAGGCATTCCGTCAAAATGAGGCAGGGACCTCGGGCTTTCTCTAAGGTCTCCACAGGGGATTCAGACATCCCTTCATGTTGTGAGATGAAAGACGAGCCTGTATTCAAGCCACTGCAAGGAAATCCGGCCTCCTTTCAAGTTAGGGCTTCTCGCTGTATATTCCCCTTGAGGCAGCAAACTCGAGGTCCCCCCACATGCCTATTGCTGAGAGAAGCCTCCTCCTGAGGTGCTTCTGGAAAGTTGGCATACGTCTTGAGCCTAAGCCAGGGAATCAGCTCTCATCTCGAGACGATCTGTGGTACACGGAGCATTCCTCGAGTTGCTGTGCTGAAGTTGGTGTTCCTCTAGACTGGGACAGTGTTCTTGGGGCATCTCTGGAGTTGCCTGAAGGAAGTCGAGCCACCGGTCGTGTCGAATGGGGAACGGGGAATGGCTCTGGAGTCAATGCAGGGGAATCGGGCCTCATCTCGAGTTGATTTGGGGCACATGGAGCTGCTTTGCGTTGCTGGGGTGACCTCAGGTTCCGTCTAGACTGGTGAAAGTGTTCTTGGGGACTGTCTCGAGATCCATTAAACAAGTCGATGCTCCTGACTTGTTTGAATGGCATCACAGAATAGCTCTGCATGCACTGCAGGGGAATGGGGCCTCATCTCGCCTCTAGGGGGAAGTCTCATGGTTTTTCTCGAGTTGCGGCGGGGACCTGGGGTATGTTCTCGACTTACGGCGGGGATGGCCTTTCAAAACACGAGTTTCTTCAGTGACGTCAGGACTCCTGTCTAGTAACGAGGGACACCTCAGGAATCTCTTCGAGGCTTGGCAGGGCAAAAGGGACGCTTCTCGAGGTGAGGCAGGGCACCCAAGGACCCTTTCCAGTAGCCACAGGGATTTTCGGATTCCTATCAGTATTCAAGAGGAGTCAGGCATCGTCACCTTTTGAAGCAATGAACTCCGCGTGCCTCTCGAGGTGTCAACTGGAGGTGAGGCATTCCGTCAAAATGAGGCAGGGACCTAGGGCTTTCTCTAAGGTCCCCACAGGGGATTCAGTCATCCCTTCAGGATGTGAGATGAAACACGAGCCTGTATTCAAGCCACTGCAAGGAAATCCGGCCTCCTTTCAAGTTAGGGCTTCTTGCTGTGTATTCCCCTTGAGGCAGCAATCTCAGGGTCCCTCCCACATACCTATTGCTGAGAGAAGCATCCTCCTGAGGTGCTTCTGGAAAGTTGGCATACGTCTTGAGCCTAAGCCAGGGAATCAGCTCTAATCTCGAGACGATTTGGGGTACACGGAGCATTCCTCGAGTTGCTGTGCTGAAGTTGGTGTTCCTCTAGACTTGGGACAGTGTTCTCGGGGCATCTCTGGAGTTGCCTGAAGGAAGTCGAGCCACCGGTCGTGTTGAATCGGGAACGGGGAATGGCTCTGGAGTCAATGCATGGGAATCGGGCCTCATCTCGAGTTGATTTGGGGCACATGGAGCTGCTTTGCGTTGCTGGGGTGACCTCAGGGTCCGTCTAGACTGGTGACAGTGTTCTTGGGGACTGTGTCGAGATCCATTAAGCAAGTCAAAGCTCCTGACTTGTTTGAATGGGATCACGGAATAGCTCTGCATGCACTGCAGGGGAATGGGGCCTCATCTCGCCTCTAGGGGGAAGTCTCATGGTTTTTCTCGAGTTGCGGCGGGGACATGGGATATGTTCTCGACTTATGGCGGGGATGGCCCTTCAAAACACTAGTTTCTTCAGTGACGTCAGGACTCCTGTCTAGTAACGAGGGACACCTCAGGAATCTCTTCCAGGCTTGGCAGGGCAAAAGGGACGCATCTCGAGGTGAGGCAGGGCACCCAAGGACCCTTTCCAGTAGCCACAGGGATTTTGTTATTCCTATCAGTATTCAAGAGGAGTCAGGCATCATCACCTTTTGAAGCAATGAACTCTGCGTGCCTCTCGAGGTTTCAGCGGGATGTGAGGCATTCCGTCAAAATGAGGAAGGGACCTAGGGCTTTCTCTAAGGTCTCCACAGGGGATTCAGTCAACCCTTCAGGTTTTTAAATCAAAGACGAGCCTGTATTCTAGCCACTGCAAGGAAATCCGGCCTCCTTTCAAGTTAGGGCTTCTCGATGTATATTCCCCTGGAGGCAGCAAATTCGGGGTCCCTCCCACATAGCTATTACTGAGAGAAGCCTCCTCCTGAGGTGCTTCTGGAAAGTTGGCATACGACTTGAGCTTAAGCCAGGGAATCAGCTCTCATCTCGAGACGATTTGGGGTACACGGAGCATTCCTCGAGTTGCTGTGCTGAAGTTGGTGTTCCTCTAGACTTGGGACAGTGTTCCCGGGGCATCTCTGGAGTTGCCTGAAGGAAGTCGAGCCACCGGTCGTGTTGAATGGGGAACGGGGAATGGCTCTGGAGTCAATGCAGGGGAATCGGGCCTCATCTCGAGTTGATTTTGGGCACATGGATCTGCTTTGCGTTGCTGGGGTTACCACAGGGTCCATCTAGACTGGTGACAGTGTTCTTGGGGACTGTCTCGAGATCCATTAAGGAAGTCGAAGCTCCTGACTTGTTTGAATGGGATCACGGAATAGCTCTGCATGCTCTGCAGGGGAATGGAGCCTCATCTCGCCTCTAGGGGGAAGTCTCATGGTTTTTCTCGAGTTGCGGCGGGGACCTGGGATATGTTCTCGACTTACGGCGGGGCTGGCCCTTCAAAACACTAGTTTCTTTAGTGACGTCAGGACTCCTGTCTAGTAACGAGGGACACCTCAGGAATCTCTTCCAGGCTTGGCAGGGCAAAAGGGACGCATCTCGAGGTGAGGCAGGGCACCCAAAGATCCTTTCCAGTAGCCACAGGGATTTTGGGATTCCTATCAGTATTCAAGAGGAGTCAGGCATCGTCACCTTTTGAAGCAATGAACTCTGCGAGCCTCTCGAGGTTTCAGCGGGATGTGAGGCATTCCGTCAAAATGAGGCAGGGACCTAGGGCTTTCTCTAAGGTCTCCACAGGGGATTCAGACAACCCTTCAGGTTTTGAGATCAAAGACGAGCCTGTATTCTAGCCACTGCAAGGAAATCCAGCCTCCTTTCAAGTTAGGGCTTCTCGCTGTATATTCCGCTGGAGGCAGCAAATTCGGGGTCCCTCCCACATAGCTATTACTGAGAGAAGCCTCCTCCTGAGGTGCTTCTGGAAAGTTGGCATACGACTTGAGCTTAAGCCAGGGAATCAGCTCTCATCTCGAGATGATTTGGGGTACACGGAGCATTCCTCGAGTTGCTGTGCTGAAGTTGGTGTTCCTTAGACTGGGACAGTGTTCTCGGGGCATCTCTGGAGTTGCCTGAAGGAAGTCGAGCCACCGGTCGTGTTGAATGGGGAACGGGGAATGGCTCTGGAGTCAATGCAGGGGAATCTGGCCTCATCTCGAGTTGATTTGGGGCACATGGAGCTGCTTTGCGTTGCTGGGGTGACCTCAGGGTCCGTCTCGACTGGTGACAGTGTTCTTGGGGACTGTCTCGAGATCCATTAAGCAAGACGAAGCTCCTGACTTGTTTGAATGGGATCACGGAATAGCTCTGCATGCACTGCAGGGGAATGGGGCCTCATCTCGCCTCTAGGGGGAAGTCTCATGGTTTTTCTCGAGTTGCGGCGGGGACTTGGGGTACGTTCTCGACTTACAGCGGGGATGGCCTTTCAAAACACGAGTTTCTTCAGTGACGTCAGGACTCTTGTCTAGTAACGAGGGACACCTCAGGAATCTCTTCGAAGCTTGGCAGGGCAAAAGGGACGCTTCTCGAGGTGAGGCAGGGCACCCAAGGACCCTTTCCAGTAGCCACAGGGATTTTCGGATTCCTATCAGTATTCAGGAGGAGTCAGGCATCGTCACCTTTTGAAGCAATGAACTCCGCGTGCCTCTCGAGGTGTCAACTGGAGGTGAGGCATTCTGTCAAAATGAGGCAGGGACCTAGGGCTTTCTCTAAGGTCTCCACAGGGGATTCAGTCATCCCTTCAGGTTGTGAGATGAAACACGAGCCTGTATTCAAGCCACTGCAAGGAAATCCGGCCTCCTTTCAAGTTAGGGCTTCTTGCTGTGTATTCCCCTTGAGGCAGCAAACTCGGGGTCCCTCCCATATACCTATTGCTGAGAGAAGCCTCCTCCTGAGGTGCTTCTGGAAAGTTGGCATACGTCTTGAGCCTAAGCCAGGCAATCAGCTCTAATCTCGAGACGATTTGGGGTACACGGAGCATTCCTCGAGTTGCTGTGCTGAAGTTGGTGTTCCTCTAGACTTGGGACAGTGTTCTCGGGGCATCTCTGGAGTTGCCTGAAGGAAGTCGAGACACCGGTCGTGTTGAATGGGGAACGGGGAATGGCTCTGGAGTCAATGCATGGGAATCGGGCCTCATCTCGAGTTGATTTGGGGCACATGGAGCTGCTTTGCGTTGCTGGGGTGACCTCAGGGTCCGTCTAGACTGGTGACAGTGTTCTTGGGGACTGTCTCGAGATCCATTAAGCAAGTCGAAGCTCCTGACTTGTTTGAATGGGATCACGGAATAGCTCTGCATGCACTGCAGGGGAATGGGGCCTCATCTCGCCTCTAGGGGGAAGTCTCATGGTTTTTCTCGAGTTGCGGCGGGGACTTGGGGTACGTTCTCGACTTACAGCGGGGATGGCCTTTCAAAACACGAGTTTCTTCAGTGACGTCAGGACTCTTGTCTAGTAACGAGGGACACCTCAGGAATCTCTTCGGAGCTTGGCAGGGCAAAAGGGACGCTTCTCGAGGTGAGGCAGGGCACCCAAGGACCCTTTCCAGTAGCCACAGGGATTTTCGGATTCCTATCAGTATTCAGGAGGAGTCAGGCATCGTCACCTTTTGAAGCAATGAACTCCGCGTGCCTCTCGAGGTGTCAACTGGAGGTGAGGCATTCTGTCAAAATGAGGCAGGGACCTAGGGCTTTCTCTAAGGTCTCCACAGGGGATTCAGTCATCCCTTCAGGTTGTGAGATGAAACACGAGCCTGTATTCAAGCCACTGCAAGGAAATCCGGCCTCCTTTCAAGTTAGGGCTTCTTGCTGTGTATTCCCCTTGAGGCAGCAAACTCGGGGTCCCTTCCACATACCTATTGCTGAGAGAAGCATCCTCCTGAGGTGCTTCTGGAAAGTTGCCATACGTCTTGAGCCTAAGCCAGGCAATCAGCTCTAATCTCGAGACGATTTGGGGTACACGGAGCATTCCTCGAGTTGCTGTGCTGAAGTTGGTGTTCCTCTAGACTTGGGACAGTGTTCTCGGGGCATCTCTGGAGTTGCCTGAAGGAAGTCGAGACACCGGTCGTGTTGAATGGGGAACGGGGAATGGCTCTGGAGTCAATGCATGGGAATCGGGCCTCATCTCGAGTTGATTTGGGGCACATGGAGCTGCTTTGCGTTGCTGGGGTGACCTCAGGGTCCGTCTAGACTGGTGACAGTGTTCTTGGGGACTGTCTCGAGATCCATTAAGCAAGTCGAAGCTCCTGACTTGTTTGAATGGGATCACGGAATAGCTCTGCATGCACTGCAGGGGAATGGGGCCTCATCTCGCCTCTAGGGGGAAGTCTCATGGTTTTTCTCGAGTTGCGGCGGGGACCTGGGATATGTTCTCGACTTACGGCGGGGATGGCCCTTCAAAAGAAGAGTTTCTTCAGTGACGTCAGGACTCCTGTCTAGTAACGAGGGACACCTCAGGAATCTCTTCGCGGCTTGGAAGGGCAAAAGGGACGCTTCTCGAGGTGAGGCAGGGCACCCAAGGACCCTTTCCAGTAGCCACAGGGATTTTGGGATTCCTATCAGTATTCAAGAGGAGTCAGGCATCGTCACCTTTTGAAGCAATGAACTCTGCGTGACTCTCGAGTTGTCAGCGGGATGTGAGGCATTCCGTCAAAATGAGGCAGGGACCTAGGGCTTTCTCTAAGGTCTCCACAGGGGATTCAGACATCCCTTCATGTTGTGAGATGAAACACGAGCCTGTATTCAAGCCACTGCAAGGAAATCCGGCCTCCTTTCAAGTTAGGGCTTCTCGCTGTATATTCCCCTTGAGGCAGCAAACTCGGGGTCCCTCCCACATACCTATTGCTGAGAGAAACCTCCTCCTGAGGTGCTTCTGGAAAGTTGGCATACGTCTTGAGCCTAAGCCAGGGAATCAGCTCTCATCTCGAGACGGTTTGGGTACACGGAGCATTCCTCGAGTTGCTGTGCTGAAGTTGGTGATCCTCTAGACTTGGGACAGTGTTCTCGGGGCATGTCTGGAGTTGCCTGAAGGAAGTCGAGCCACCGGTCGTGTTGAATGGGGAACGGGGAATGGCTCTGGAGTCAATGCAGGGGAATCGGGCCTCATCTCGAGTTGATTTGGGGCACATGGTGCTGCTTTGCGTTGCTGGGGTGACCTCAGGGTCCGTCTAGACTGGTGACAGTGTTCTTGGGGACTGTCTCGAGATCCATTAAGCAAGTCGAAACTCCTGACTTGTTTGAATGGGATCACGGAATAGCTCTGCATGCACTGCAGGGTAATGGGGCTTCATCTCGCCTCTAGGGGGAAGTCTCATGGTTTTTCTCGAGTTGCGGCGGGGACCTGGGGTATGTTCTCCACTTACGGCGGGGATGGCCCTTCAAAACACGAGTTTCTTCAGTGACGTCAGGACTCCTGTCTAGTAACGAGGGACACCTCAGGAATCTCTTCGAGGCTTGGCAGGGCAAAAGGGACGCTTCTCGAGGTGAGGCAGGGCACCCAAGGACCCTTTCCAGTAGCCACAGGGATTTGGGGATTCCTATCAGTATTCAAGAGGAGTCAGGCATCGTCACCTTTTGAAGCAATGAACTCCGCGTGCCTCTCGAGGTGTCAACGGGATGTGAGGCATTCCGTCAAAATGAGGCAGGGACCTCGGGCTTTCTCTAAGGTCTCCACAGGGGATTCAGACATCCCTTCATGTTGTGAGATGAAAGACGAGCCTGTATTCAAGCCACTGCAAGGAAATCCGGCCTCCTTTCAAGTTAGGGCTTCTCGCTGTATATTCCCCTTGAGGCAGCAAACTCGAGGTCCCCCCACATGCCTATTGCTGAGAGAAGCCTCCTCCTGAGGTGCTTCTGGAAAGTTGGCATACGTCTTGAGCCTAAGCCAGGGAATCAGCTCTCATCTCGAGACGATTTGGGGTACACGGAGCATTCCTCGAGTTGCTGTGCTGAAGTTGGTGTTCCTCTAGACTGGGACAGTGTTCTTGGGGCATCTCTGGAGTTGCCTGAAGGAAGTCGAGCCACCGGTCGTGTCGAATGGGGAACGGGGAATGGCTCTGGAGTCAATGCAGGGGAATCGGGCCTCATCTCGAGTTGATTTGGGGCACATGGAGCTGCTTTGCGTTGCTGGGGTGACCTCAGGTTCCGTCTAGACTGGTGAAAGTGTTCTTGGGGACTGTCTCGAGATCCATTAAACAAGTCGATGCTCCTGACTTGTTTGAATGGCATCACAGAATAGCTCTGCATGCACTGCAGGGGAATGGGGCCTCATCTCGCCTCTAGGGGGAAGTCTCATGGTTTTTCTCGAGTTGCGGCGGGGACCTGGGGTATGTTCTCGACTTACGGCGGGGATGGCCTTTCAAAACACGAGTTTCTTCAGTGACGTCAGGACTCCTGTCTAGTAACGAGGGACACCTCAGGAATCTCTTCGAGGCTTGGCAGGGCAAAAGGGACGCTTCTCGAGGTGAGGCAGGGCACCCAAGGACCCTTTCCAGAAGCCACAGGGATTTTGGGATTCCTATCAGTATTCAAGAGGAGTCAGGCATCGTCACCTTTTGAAGCAATGAACTCCGCGTGCCTCTCGAGGTGTCAACTGGAGGTGAGGCATTCCGTCAAAATGAGGCAGGGACCTAGGGCTTTCTCTAAGGTCCCCACAGGGGATTCAGTCATCCCTTCAGGATGTGAGATGAAACACGAGCCTGTATTCAAGCCACTGCAAGGAAATCCGGCCTCCTTTCAAGTTAGGGCTTCTTGCTGTGTATTCCCCTTGAGGCAGCAATCTCAGGGTCCCTCCCACATACCTATTGCTGAGAGAAGCATCCTCCTGAGGTGCTTCTGGAAAGTTGGCATACGTCTTGAGCCTAAGCCAGGGAATCAGCTCTAATCTCGAGACGATTTGGGGTACACGGAGCATTCCTCGAGTTGCTGTGCTGAAGTTGGTGTTCCTCTAGACTTGGGACAGTGTTCTCGGGGCATCTCTGGAGTTGCCTGAAGGAAGTCGAGCCACCGGTCGTGTTGAATGGGGAACGGGGAATGGCTCTGGAGTCAATGCATGGGAATCGGGCCTCATCTCGAGTTGATTTGGGGCACATGGAGCTGCTTTGCGTTGCTGGGGTGACCTCAGGGTCCGTCTAGACTGGTGACAGTGTTCTTGGGGACTGTGTCGAGATCCATTAAGCAAGTCAAAGCTCCTGACTTGTTTGAATGGGATCACGGAATAGCTCTGCATGCACTGCAGGGGAATGGGGCCTCATCTCGCCTCTAGGGGGAAGTCTCATGGTTTTTCTCGAGTTGCGGCGGGGACCTGGGATATGTTCTCGACTTATGGCGGGGATGGCCCTTCAAAACACTAGTTTCTTCAGTGACGTCAGGACTCCTGTATAGTAACGAGGGACACCTCAGGAATCTCTTCCAGGCTTGGCAGGGCAAAAGGGACGCATCTCGAGGTGAGGCAGGGCACCCAAGGACCCTTTCCAGTAGCCACAGGGATTTTGGGATTCCTATCAGTATTCAAGAGGAGTCAGGCATCATCACCTTTTGAAGCAATGAACTCTGCGTGCCTCTCGAGGTTTCAGCGGGATGTGAGGCATTCCGTCAAAATGAGGCAGGGACCTAGGGCTTTCTCTAAGGTCTCCACAGGGGATTCAGTCAACCCTTCAGGTTTTTAAATCAAAGACGAGCCTGTATTCTAGCCACTGCAAGGAAATCCGGCCTCCTTTCAAGTTAGGGCTTCTCGATGTATATTCCCCTGGAGGCAGCAAATTCGGGGTCCCTCCCACATAGCTATTACTGAGAGAAGCCTCCTCCTGAGGTGCTTCTGGAAAGTTGGCATACGACTTGAGCTTAAGCCAGGGAATCAGCTCTCATCTCGAGACGATTTGGGGTACACGGAGCATTCCTCGAGTTGCTGTGCTGAAGTTGGTGTTCCTCTAGACTTGGGACAGTGTTCCCGGGGCATCTTTGGAGTTGCCTGAAGGAAGTCGAGCCACCGGTCGTGTTGAATGGGGAACGGGGAATGGCTCTGGAGTCAATGCAGGGGAATCGGGCCTCATCTCGAGTTGATTTTGGGCACATGGATCTGCTTTGCGTTGCTGGGGTTACCACAGGGTCCGTCTAGACTGGTGACAGTGTTCTTGGGGACTGTCTCGAGATCCATTAAGCAAGTCGAAGCTCCTGACTTGTTTGAATGGGATCACGGAATAGCTCTGCATGCTCTGCAGGGGAATGGAGCCTCATCTCGCCTCTAGGGGGAAGTCTCATGGTTTTTCTCGAGTTGCGGCGGGGACCTGGGGTATGTTCTCGACTTACGGCGGGGATGGCCTTTCAAAACACGAGTTTCTTCAGTGACGTCAGGACTCCTGTCTAGTAACGAGGGACACCTCAGGAATCTCTTCGAGGCTTGGCAGGGCAAAAGGGACGCTTCTCGAGGTGAGGCAGGGCACCCAAGGACCCTTTCCAGTAGCCACAGTGATTTTCGGATTCCTATCAGTATTCAAGAGGAGTCAGGCATCGTCACCTTTTGAAGCAATGAACTCCGCGTGCCTCTCGAGGTGTCAGTGGGATGTGAGGCATTCCGTCAAAATGAGGCAGGGATCAGGGCTTTCTCTAAGGTCTCCACAGGGGATTCAGTCATCCTTTCAGGATGTGAGATGAAACACGAGCCTGTATTCAAGCCACTGCAAGGAAATCCGGCCTCCTTTCAAGTTATGGCTTCTTGCTGTGTATTCCCCTTGAGGCAGCAATCTCAGGGTCACTCCCACATACCTATTGCTGAGAGAAGCATCCTCCTGAGGTGCTTCTGGAAAGTTGGCATACGTCTTGAGCCTAAGCCAGGGAATCAGCTCTCATCTCGAGACGATTTGGGGTACACGGAGCATTCCTCGAGTTGCTGTGCTGAAGTTGGTGTTCCTCTAGACTTGGGACAGTGTTCTCGGGGCATCTCTGGAGTTGCCTGAAGGAAGTCGAGCCACCGGTCGTGTTGAATGGGGAACGGGGAATGGCTCTGGAGTTAATGCATGGGAATCGGGCCTCATCTCGAGTTGATTTGGGGCACATGGAGCTGCTTTGCGTTGCTGGGGTGACCTCAGGGTCCGTCTAGACTGCTGACAGTGTTCTTGGGGACTGTGTCGAGATCCATTAAGCAAGTCAAAGCTCCTGACTTGTTTGAATGGGATCACGGAATAGCTCTGCATGCACTGCAGGGGAATGGGGCCTCATCTCGCCTCTAGGGGGAAGTCTCATGGTTTTTCTCGAGTTGCGGCGGGGACCTGGGATATGTTCTCGACTTACGGCGGGGATGGCCCTTCAAAACACTAGTTTCTTCAGTGACGTCAGGACTCCTGTCTAGTAACGAGGGACACCTCAGGAATCTCTTCCAGGCTTGGCAGGGCAAAAGGGACGCATCTCGAGGTGAGGCAGGGCACCCAAAGATCCTTTCCAGTAGCCACAGGGATTTTGGGATTCCTATCAGTATTCAAGAGGAGTCAGGCATCGTCACCTTTTGAAGCAATGAACTCTGCGAGCCTCTCGAGGTTTCAGCGGGATGTGAGGCATTCCGTCAAAATGAGGCAGGGACCTAGGGCTTTCTCTAAGGTCTCCACAGGGGATTCAGACAACCCTTCAGTTTTTGAGATCAAAGACGAGCCTGTATTCTAGCCACTGCAAGGAAATCCGGCCTCCTTTCAAGTTAGGGCTTCTCGCTGTATATTCCCCTGGAGGCAGCAAATTCGGGGTCCCTCCCACATAGCTATTACTGAGAGAAGCCTCCTCCTGAGGTGCTTCTGGAAAGTTGGCATACGACTTGAGCTTAAGCCAGGGAATCAGCTCTCATCTCGAGACGATTTGGGGTACACGGAGCATTCCTCGAGTTGCTGTGCTGAAGTTGGTGTTCCTCTACACTTGGGACAGTGTTCCCGGGGCATCTCTGGAGTTGCCTGAAGGAAGTCGAGCCACCGGTCGTGTTGAATGGGGAACGGGGAATGGCTCTGGAGTTAATGCAGGGGAATCGGGCCTCATCTCGAGTTGATTTGGGGCACATGGAGCTGCTTTTCGTTGCTGGGGTTACCACAGGGTCCGTCTAGACTGGTGACAGTGTTCTTGGGGACTGTCTCGAGATCCATTAAGCAAGTCGAAGCTCCTGACTTGTTTGAATGGGATCACGGAATAGCTCTGCATGCACTGCAGGGGAATGGGGCCTCATCTCGCCTCTAGGGGGAAGTCTCATGGTTTTTCTCGAGTTGCGGCGGGGACCTGGGGTATGTTCTCGACTTACGGCGGGGATGGCCCTTCAAAACACGAGTTTCTTCAGTGACGTCAGGACTCCTGTCTAGTAACGAGGGACACCTCAGGAATCTCTTCGCGGCTTGGAAGGGCAAAAGGGACGCTTCTCGAGGTGAGGCAGGGCACCCAAGGACCCTTTCCAGTAGCCACAGGGATTTTGGGATTCCTATCAGTATTCAAGAGGAGTCAGGCATTGTCACCTTTTGAAGCAATGAACTCTGCCTGCCTCTCGAGGTGTCAGCGGGATGTGAGGCATTCCGTCAAAATGAGGCTGTGACCTAGGGCTTTCTCTAAGGTCTCCACAGGGGATTCAGACATCCCTTCATGTTGTGAGATGAAACACGAGCCTGTATTCAAGCCACTGCAAGGAAATCCGGCCTCCTTTCAAGTTAGGGCTTCTCGCTGTATATTCCCCTTGAGGCAGCAAACTCGGTGTCCCTCCCACATACCTATTGCTGAGAGAAGCCTCCTACTGAGGTGCTTCTGGAAAGTTGGCATACGTCTTGAGCCTAAGCCAGGGAATCAGCTCTCATCTCGAGACGATTTGGGGTACACGGAGCATTCCTCGAGTTGCTGTGCTGAAGTTGGTGTTCCTCAAGACTTGGGACACTGTTCTCGGGGCATCTCTGGAGTTGCCTGAAGGAAGTCGAGCCACCGGTCGTGTTGAATGGGGAACGGGGAATGGCTCTGGAGTCAGTGCAGGGGAATCGGGCCTCATCTCGAGTTGATTTGGGGCACATGGAGCTGCTTTGCGTTGCTGGGGTGACCTCAGGGTCCGTCTAGACTGGTGAAAGTGTTCTTGGGGACTGTCTCGAGATCCATTATACAAGTCGATGCTCCTGACTTGTTTGAATGGCATCACAGAATTGCTCTGCATGCACTGCAGGGGAATGGGGCCTCATCTCGCCTCTAGGGGGAAGTCTCATGGTTTTTCTCCAGTTGCGGCGGGGACTTGGGGTACATTCTCGACTTACAGCGGGGATGGCCTTTCAAAACACGAGTTTCTTTAGTGACGTCAGGACTCCTGTCTAATAACGAGGGACACCTCAGGAATCTCTTCGAGGCTTGGCAGGGCAAAAGGGACGCTTCTCGAGGTGAGGCAGGGCACCCAAGGACCCTTTCCAGTAGCCACAGGGATTTTGGGATTCCTATCAGTATTCAAGAGGAGTCAGGCATCGTCACCTTTTGAAGCAATGAACTCCGCGTGCCTCTCGAGGTGTCAACTGGAGGTGAGGCATTCCGTCAAAATGAGGCAGGGACCTAGGGCTTTCTCTAAGGTCTCCACAGGGGATTCAGACAACCCTTCAGGTTTTGAGATCAAAGACGACCCTGTGTTCTAGGTACTGCAAGGAAATCCGGCCTCCTTTCAAGTTAGGGCTTCTCGCTGTATATTCCACTGGAGGCAGCAAATTCAGAGTCCCTCCCACATACCTATTACTGAGAGAAGCCTCCTCCTGAGGTGCTTCTGGAAAGTTGGCATACGACTTGAGCTTAAGCCAGGGAATCAGCTCTCATCTCGAGATGATTTGGGGTACACGGAGCATTCCTCAAGTTGCTGTGCTGAAGTTGGTGTTCCTCTAGACTTGGGACAGTGTTCTCGGGGCATCTCTGGAGTTGCCTGAAGGAAGTCGAGCCACCGGTCGTGTTGAATCGGGAACGGGGAATGGCTCTGGAGTCAATGCAGGGGAATCAACCCTCATCTCGAGTTGATTTGGGGCACATGGAGCTGCTTTGCGTTGCTGGGGTGACCTCAGGGTCCGTCTAGACTGGTGACAGTGTTCTTGGGGACTGTCTCGAGATCCATTAAGCAAGTCGAAGCTCCTGACTTGTTTGAATGGGATCACGGAATAGCTCTGCATGCACTGCAGGGGAATGGGGCCTCATCTCGCCTCTAGGGGGAAGTCTCATGGTTTTTCTCGAGTTGTGGTGGGGACCTGGGGTATGTTCTCGACTTACGGCGGGGATGGCCCTTCAAAACACGAGTTTCTTCAGTGACGTCAGGACTCCTGTCTAGTAACGGGGGACACCTCTGGAATCTCTTCGAAGCTTGGCAGGGCAAAAGGGACGCTTCTCGAGGTGAGGCAGGGCACCCAAGGACCCTTTCCAGTAGCCACAGGAATTTTGGGATTCCTATCAGTATTCCAGAGGGGTCAGGCATCGTCACCTTTTGAAGCAATGAACTCTGCGTGCCTCTCGAGGTGTCAACGGTATGTGAGGCATTCCGTCAAAATGAGGCAGGGACCTAGGGCTTTCTCTAAGGTCTCCACAGGGGATTCAGACAACCCTTCAGGTTTTGAGATCAAAGACGAGCCTGTATTCTAGCCACTGCAAGGAAATCCGGCCTCCTTTCAAGTTAGGGCTTCTCGCTGTATATTCCCCTTGAGGCAGCAAACTCGAGGTCCCCCCACATGCCTATTGCTGAGAGAAGCCTCCTCCTGAGGTGCTTCTGGAAAGTTGGCATACGAGTTGAGCCTAAGCCAGGGAATCAGCTCTCATCTCGAGACGATTTGGGGTACACGGAGCATTCCTCGAGTTGCTGTGCTGAAGTTGGTGTTCCTCTAGACTGGGACAGTGTTCTCGGGGCATCTCTGGAGTTGCCTGAAGGAAGTCGAGCCACCGGTCGTGTTGAATGGGGAACGGGGAATGGCTCTGGAGTCAATGCAGGGGAATTGGGCCTCATCTCGAGTTGATTTGGGGCACATGGAGCTGCTTTGCGTTGCTGGGGTGACCTCAGGGTCCGTCTAGACTGGTGACAGTGTTCTTGGGGACTGTCTCGAGATCCATTGAACAAGTCGATGCTCCTGACTTGTTTGAATGGCATCACAGAATAGCTCTGCATGCACTTCAGCGGAATGGGGCCTCATCTCGCCTCTAGGGGGAAGTCTCATGGTTTTTCTCGAGTTGCGGCGGGGACCTGGGGTATGTTCTCGACTTACGGCGGGGATGGCCCTTCAAAACACTAGTTTCTTCAGTGACGTCAGGACTCCTGTCTAGTAACGAGGGACACCTCAGGAATCTCTTCCAGGCTTGGCAGGGCAAAAGGGACGCATCTCGAGGTGAGGCAGGGCACCCAAGGACCCTTTCCAGTAGCCACAGGGATTTTGGGATTCCTATCAGTATTCAAGAGGAGTCAGGCATCATCACCTTTTGAAGCAATGAACTCTGCGTGCCTCTCGAGGTGTCAGCGGGATGTGAGGCATTCCGTCAAAATGAGGCAGGGACCTAGGGCTTTCTCTAAGGTCTCCACAGGGGATTCAGACAACCCTTCAGGTTTTGCGATCAAAGACGAGCCTGTATTCTAGCCACTGCAAGGAAATCCAGCCTCCTTTCAAGTTAGGGCTTCTCGCTGTATATTCCGCTGGAGGCAGCAAATTCGGGGTCCCTCCCACATAGCTATTACTGAGAGAAGCCTCCTCCTGAGGTGCTTCTGGAAAGTTGGCATACGACTTGAGCTTAAGCCAGGGAATCAGCTCTCATCTCGAGATGATTTGGGGTACACGGAGCATTCCTCGAGTTGCTGTGCTGAAGTTGGTGTTCCTTAGACTGGGACAGTGTTCTCGGGGCATCTCTGGAGTTGCCTGAAGGAAGTCGAGCCACCGGTCGTGTTGAATGGGGAACGGGGAATGGCTCTGGAGTCAATGCAGGGGAATCGGGCCTCATCTCGAGTTGATTTGGGGCACATGGAGCTGCTTTGCGTTGCTGGGGTGACCTCAGGGTCCGTCTCGACTGGTGACAGTGTTCTTGGGGACTGTCTCGAGATCCATTAAGCACGTCGAAGCTCCTGACTTGTTTGAATGGGATCACGGAATAGCTCTGCATGCACTGCAGGGGAATGGGGCCTCATCTCGCCTCTAGGGGGAAGTCTCATGGTTTTTCTCGAGTTGCGGCGGGGACTTGGGGTACGTTCTCGACTTACAGCGGGGATGGCCTTTCAAAACACGAGTTTCTTCAGTGACGTCAGGACTCTTGTCTAGTAACGAGGGACACCTCAGGAATCTCTTCGAAGCTTGGCAGGGCAAAAGGGACGCTTCTCGAGGTGAGGCAGGGCACCCAAGGACCCTTTCCAGTAGCCACAGGGATTTTCGGATTCCTATCAGTATTCAGGAGGAGTCAGGCATCGTCACCTTTTGAAGCAATGAACTCCGCGTGCCTCTCGAGGTGTCAACTGGAGGTGAGGCATTCTGTCAAAATGAGGCAGGGACCTAGGGCTTTCTCTAAGGTCTCCACAGGGGATTCAGTCATCCCTTCAGGTTGTGAGATGAAACACGAGCCTGTATTCAAGCCACTGCAAGGAAATTAGGCCTCCTTTCAAGTTAGGGCTTCTTGCTGTGTATTCCCCTTGAGGCAGCAAACTCGGGGTCCCTCCCATATACCTATTGCTGAGAGAAGCCTCCTCCTGAGGTGCTTCTGGAAAGTTGGCATACGTCTTGAGCCTAAGCCAGGCAATCAGCTCTAATCTCGAGACGATTTGGGGTACACGGAGCATTCCTCGAGTTGCTGTGCTGAAGTTGGTGTTCCTCTAGACTTGGGACAGTGTTCTCGGGGCATCTCTGGAGTTGCCTGAAGGAAGTCGAGACACCGGTCGTGTTGAATGGGGAACGGGGAATGGCTCTGGAGTCAATGCATGGGAATCGGGCCTCATCTCGAGTTGATTTGGGGCACATGGAGCTGCTTTGCGTTGCTGGGGTGACCTCAGGGTCCGTCTAGACTGGTGACAGTGTTCTTGGGGACTGTCTCGAGATCCATTAAGCAAGTCGAAGCTCCTGACTTGTTTGAATGGGATCACGGAATAGCTCTGCATGCACTGCAGGGGAATGGGGCCTCATCTCGCCTCTAGGGGGAAGTCTCATGGTTTTTCTCGAGTTGCGGCGGGACTTGGGGTACGTTCTCGACTTACAGCGGGGATGGCCTTTCAAAACACGAGTTTCTTCAGTGACGTCAGGACTCTTGTCTAGTAACGAGGGACACCTCAGGAATCTCTTCGAAGCTTGGCAGGGCAAAAGGGACGCTTCTCGAGGTGAGGCAGGGCACCCAAGGACCCTTTCCAGTAGCCACAGGGATTTTCGGATTCCTATCAGTATTCAGGAGGAGTCAGGCATCGTCACCTTTTGAAGCAATGAACTCCGCGTGCCTCTCGAGGTGTCAACTGGAGGTGAGGCATTCTGTCAAAATGAGGCAGGGACCTAGGGCTTTCTCTAAGGTCTCCACAGGGGATTCAGTCATCCCTTCAGGTTGTGAGATGAAACACGAGCCTGTATTCAAGCCACTGAAAGGAAATCCGGCCTCCTTTCAAGTTAGGGCTTCTTGCTGTGTATTCCCCTTGAGGCAGCAAACTCGGGGTCCCTCCCACATACCTATTGCTGAGAGAAGCATCCTCCTGAGGTGCTTCTGGAAAGTTGCCATACGTCTTGAGCCTAAGCCAGGCAATCAGCTCTAATCTCGAGACGATTTGGGGTACACGGAGCATTCCTCGAGTTGCTGTGCTGAAGTTGGTGTTCCTCTAGACTTGGGACAGTGTTCTCGGGGCATCTCTGGAGTTGCCTGAAGGAAGTCGAGACACCGGTCGTGTTGAATGGGGAACGGGGAATGGCTCTGGAGTCAATGCATGGGAATCGGGCCTAATCTCGAGTTGATTTGGGGCACATGGAGCTGCTTTGCGTTGCTGGGGTGACCTCAGGGTCCGTCTAGACTGGTGACAGTATTCTTGGGGACTGTCTCGAGATCCATTAAGCAAGTCGAAGCTCCTGACTTGTTTGAATGGGATCACGGAATAGCTCTGCATGCACTGCAGGGGAATGGGGCCTCATCTCGCCTCTAGGGGGAAGTCTCATGGTTTTTCTCGAGTTGCGGCGGGGACCTGGGATATGTTCTCGACTTACGGCGGGGATGGCCCTTCAAAAGACGAGTTTCTTCAGTGACGTCAGGACTCCTGTCTAGTAACGAGGGACACCTCAGGAATCTCTTCGCGGCTTGGAAGGGCAAAAGGGACGCTTCTCGAGGTGAGGCAGGGCACCCAAGGACCCTTTCCAGTAGCCACAGGGATTTTGGGATTCCTATCAGTATTCAAGAGGAGTCAGGCATCGTCACCTTTTGAAGCAATGAACTCTGCGTGACTCTCGAGTTGTCAGCGGGATGTGAGGCATTCCGTCAAAATGAGGCAGGGACCTAGGGCTTTCTCTAAGGTCTCCACAGGGGATTCAGACATCCCTTCATGTTGTGAGATGAAACACGAGCCTGTATTCAAGCCACTGCAAGGAAATCCGGCCTCCTTTCAAGTTAGGGCTTCTCGCTGTATATTCCCCTTGAGGCAGCAAACTCGGGGTCCCTCCCACATACCTATTGCTGAGAGAAACCTCCTCCTGAGGTGCTTCTGGAAAGTTGGCATACGTCTTGAGCCTAAGCCAGGGAATCAGCTCTCATCTCGAGACGGTTTGGGTACACGGAGCATTCCTCGAGTTGCTGTGCTGAAGTTGGTGATCCTCTAGACTTGGGACAGTGTTCTCGGGGCATGTCTGGAGTTGCCTGAAGGAAGTCGAGCCACCGGTCGTGTTGAATGGGGAACGGGGAATGGCTCTGGAGTCAATGCAGGGGAATCGGGCCTCATCTCGAGTTGATTTGGGGCACATGGTGCTGCTTTGCGTTGCTGGGGTGACCTCAGGGTCCGTCTAGACTGGTGACAGTGTTCTTGGGGACTGTCTCGAGATCCATTAAGCAAGTCGAAACTCCTGACTTGTTTGAATGGGATCACGGAATAGCTCTGCATGCACTGCAGGGGAATGGGGCTTCATCTCGCCTCTAGGGGGAAGTCTCATGGTTTTTCTCGAGTTGCGGCGGGGACCTGGGGTATGTTCTCCACTTACGGCGGGGATGGCCCTTCAAAACACGAGTTTCTTCAGTGACGTCAGGACTCCTGTCTAGTAACGAGGGACACCTCAGGAATCTCTTCGAGGCTTGGCAGGGCAAAAGGGACGCTTCTCGAGGTGAGGCAGGGCACCCAAGGACCCTTTCCAGTAGCCACAGGGATTTGGGGATTCCTATCAGTATTCAAGAGGAGTCAGGCATCGTCACCTTTTGAAGCAATGAACTCCGCGTGCCTCTCGAGGTGTCAACGGGATGTGAGGCATTCCGTCAAAATGAGGCAGGGACCTCGGGCTTTCTCTAAGGTCTCCACAGGGGATTCAGACATCCCTTCATGTTGTGAGATGAAAGACGAGCCTGTATTCAAGCCACTGCAAGGAAATCCGGCCTCCTTTCAAGTTAGGGCTTCTCGCTGTATATTCCCCTTGAGGCAGCAAACTCGAGGTCCCCCCACATGCCTATTGCTGAGAGAAGCCTCCTCCTGAGGTGCTTCTGGAAAGTTGGCATACGTCTTGAGCCTAAGCCAGGGAATCAGCTCTCATCTCGAGACGATTTGGGGTACACGGAGCATTCCTCGAGTTGCTGTGCTGAAGTTGGTGTTCCTCTAGACTGGGACAGTGTTCTTGGGGCATCTCTGGAGTTGCCTGAAGGAAGTCGAGCCACCGGTCGTGTCGAATGGGGAACGGGGAATGGCTCTGGAGTCAATGCAGGGGAATCGGGCCTCATCTCGAGTTGATTTGGGGCACATGGAGCTGCTTTGCGTTGCTGGGGTGACCTCAGGTTCCGTCTAGACTGGTGAAAGTGTTCTTGGGGACTGTCTCGAGATCCATTAAACAAGTCGATGCTCCTGACTTGTTTGAATGGCATCACAGAATAGCTCTGCATGCACTGCAGGGGAATGGGGCCTCATCTCGCCTCTAGGGGGAAGTCTCATGGTTTTTCTCGAGTTGCGGCGGGGACCTGGGGTATGTTCTCGACTTACGGCGGGGATGGCCTTTCAAAACACGAGTTTCTTCAGTGACGTCAGGACTCCTGTCTAGTAACGAGGGACACCTCAGGAATCTCTTCGAGGCTTGGCAGGGCAAAAGGGACGCTTCTCGAGGTGAGGCAGGGCACCCAAGGACCCTTTCCAGAAGCCACAGGGATTTTGGGATTCCTATCAGTATTCAAGAGGAGTCAGGCATCGTCACCTTTTGAAGCAATGAACTCCGCGTGCCTCTCGAGGTGTCAACTGGAGGTGAGGCATTCCGTCAAAATGAGGCAGGGACCTAGGGCTTTCTCTAAGGTCCCCACAGGGGATTCAGTCATCCCTTCAGGATGTGAGATGAAACACGAGCCTGTATTCAAGCCACTGCAAGGAAATCCGGCCTCCTTTCAAGTTAGGGCTTCTTGCTGTGTATTCCCCTTGAGGCAGCAATCTCAGGGTCCCTCCCACATACCTATTGCTGAGAGAAGCATCCTCCTGAGGTGCTTCTGGAAAGTTGGCATACGTCTTGAGCCTAAGCCAGGGAATCAGCTCTAATCTCGAGACGATTTGGGGTACACGGAGCATTCCTCGAGTTGCTGTGCTGAAGTTGGTGTTCCTCTAGACTTGGGACAGTGTTCTCGGGGCATCTCTGGAGTTGCCTGAAGGAAGTCGAGCCACCGGTCGTGTTGAATGGGGAACGGGGAATGGCTCTGGAGTCAATGCATGGGAATCGGGCCTCATCTCGAGTTGATTTGGGGCACATGGAGCTGCTTTGCGTTGCTGGGGTGACCTCAGGGTCCGTCTAGACTGGTGACAGTGTTCTTGGGGACTGTGTCGAGATCCATTAAGCAAGTCAAAGCTCCTGACTTGTTTGAATGGGATCACGGAATAGCTCTGCATGCACTGCAGGGGAATGGGGCCTCATCTCGCCTCTAGGGGGAAGTCTCATGGTTTTTCTCGAGTTGCGGCGGGGACCTGGGATATGTTCTCGACTTATGGCGGGGATGGCCCTTCAAAACACTAGTTTCTTCAGTGACGTCAGGACTCCTGTATAGTAACGAGGGACACCTCAGGAATCTCTTCCAGGCTTGGCAGGGCAAAAGGGACGCATCTCGAGGTGAGGCAGGGCACCCAAGGACCCTTTCCAGTAGCCACAGGGATTTTAGGATTCCTATCAGTATTCAAGAGGAGTCAGGCATCATCACCTTTTGAAGCAATGAACTCTGCGTGCCTCTCGAGGTTTCAGCGGGATGTGAGGCATTCCGTCAAAATGAGGCAGGGACCTAGGGCTTTCTCTAAGGTCTCCACAGGGGATTCAGTCAACCCTTCAGGTTTTGAAATCAAAGACGAGCCTGTATTCTAGCCACTGCAAGGAAATCCGGCCTCCTTTCAAGTTAGGGCTTCTCGATGTATATTCCCCTGGAGGCAGCAAATTCGGGGTCCCTCCCACATAGCTATTACTGAGAGAAGCCTCCTCCTGAGGTGCTTCTGGAAAGTTGGCATACGACTTGAGCTTAAGCCAGGGAATCAGCTCTCATCTCGAGACGATTTGGGGTACACGGAGCATTCCTCGAGTTGCTGTGCTGAAGTTGGTGTTCCTCTAGACTTGGGACAGTGTTCCCGGGGCATCTTTGGAGTTGCCTGAAGGAAGTCGAGCCACCGGTCGTGTTGAATGGGGAACGGGGAATGGCTCTGGAGTCAATGCAGGGGAATCGGGCCTCATCTCGAGTTGATTTTGGGCACATGGATCTGCTTTGCGTTGCTGGGGTTACCACAGGGTCCGTCTAGACTGGTGACAGTGTTCTTGGGGACTGTCTCGAGATCCATTAAGCAAGTCGAAGCTCCTGACTTGTTTGAATGGGATCACGGAATAGCTCTGCATGCTCTGCAGGGGAATGGAGCCTCATCTCGCCTCTAGGGGGAAGTCTCATGGTTTTTCTCGAGTTGCGGCGGGGACCTGGGGTATGTTCTCGACTTACGGCGGGGATGGCCTTTCAAAACACGAGTTTCTTCAGTGACGTCAGGACTCCTGTCTAGTAACGAGGGACACCTCAGGAATCTCTTCGAGGCTTGGCAGGGCAAAAGGGACGCTTCTCGAGGTGAGGCAGGGCACCCAAGGACCCTTTCCAGTAGCCACAGTGATTTTCGGATTCCTATCAGTATTCAAGAGGAGTCAGGCATCGTCACCTTTTGAAGCAATGAACTCCGCGTGCCTCTCGAGGTGTCAGTGGGATGTGAGGCATTCCGTCAAAATGAGGCAGGGATCAGGGCTTTCTCTAAGGTCTCCACAGGGGATTCAGTCATCCTTTCAGGATGTGAGATGAAACACGAGCCTGTATTCAAGCCACTGCAAGGAAATCCGGCCTCCTTTCAAGTTATGGCTTCTTGCTGTGTATTCCCCTTGAGGCAGCAATCTCAGGGTCACTCCCACATACCTATTGCTGAGAGAAGCATCCTCCTGAGGTGCTTCTGGAAAGTTGGCATACGTCTTGAGCCTAAGCCAGGGAATCAGCTCTCATCTCGAGACGATTTGGGGTACACGGAGCATTCCTCGAGTTGCTGTGCTGAAGTTGGTGTTCCTCTAGACTTGGGACAGTGTTCTCGGGGCATCTCTGGAGTTGCCTGAAGGAAGTCGAGCCACCGGTCGTGTTGAATGGGGAACGGGGAATGGCTCTGGAGTTAATGCATGGGAATCGGGCCTCATCTCGAGTTGATTTGGGGCACATGGAGCTGCTTTGCGTTGCTGGGGTGACCTCAGGGTCCGTCTAGACTGCTGACAGTGTTCTTGGGGACTGTGTCGAGATCCATTAAGCAAGTCAAAGCTCCTGACTTGTTTGAATGGGATCACGGAATAGCTCTGCATGCACTGCAGGGGAATGGGGCCTCATCTCGCCTCTAGGGGGAAGTCTCATGGTTTTTCTCGAGTTGCGGCGGGGACCTGGGATATGTTCTCGACTTACGGCGGGGATGGCCCTTCAAAACACTAGTTTCTTCAGTGACGTCAGGACTCCTGTCTAGTAACGAGGGACACCTCAGGAATCTCTTCCAGGCTTGGCAGGGCAAAAGGGACGCATCTCGAGGTGAGGCAGGGCACCCAAAGATCCTTTCCAGTAGCCACAGGGATTTTGGGATTCCTATCAGTATTCAAGAGGAGTCAGGCATCGTCACCTTTTGAAGCAATGAACTCTGCGAGCCTCTCGAGGTTTCAGCGGGATGTGAGGCATTCCGTCAAAATGAGGCAGGGACCTAGGGCTTTCTCTAAGGTCTCCACAGGGGATTCAGACAACCCTTCAGTTTTTGAGATCAAAGACGAGCCTGTATTCTAGCCACTGCAAGGAAATCCGGCCTCCTTTCAAGTTAGGGCTTCTCGCTGTATATTCCCCTGGAGGCAGCAAATTCGGGGTCCCTCCCACATAGCTATTACTGAGAGAAGCCTCCTCCTGAGGTGCTTCTGGAAAGTTGGCATACGACTTGAGCTTAAGCCAGGGAATCAGCTCTCATCTCGAGACGATTTGGGGTACACGGAGCATTCCTCGAGTTGCTGTGCTGAAGTTGGTGTTCCTCTACACTTGGGACAGTGTTCCCGGGGCATCTCTGGAGTTGCCTGAAGGAAGTCGAGCCACCGGTCGTGTTGAATGGGGAACGGGGAATGGCTCTGGAGTTAATGCAGGGGAATCGGGCCTCATCTCGAGTTGATTTGGGGCACATGGAGCTGCTTTTCGTTGCTGGGGTTACCACAGGGTCCGTCTAGACTGGTGACAGTGTTCTTGGGGACTGTCTCGAGATCCATTAAGCAAGTCGAAGCTCCTGACTTGTTTGAATGGGATCACGGAATAGCTCTGCATGCACTGCAGGGGAATGGGGCCTCATCTCGCCTCTAGGGGGAAGTCTCATGGTTTTTCTCGAGTTGCGGCGGGGACCTGGGGTATGTTCTCGACTTACGGCGGGGATGGCCCTTCAAAACACGAGTTTCTTCAGTGACGTCAGGACTCCTGTCTAGTAACGAGGGACACCTCAGGAATCTCTTCGCGGCTTGGAAGGGCAAAAGGGACGCTTCTCGAGGTGAGGCAGGGCACCCAAGGACCCTTTCCAGTAGCCACAGGGATTTTGGGATTCCTATCAGTATTCAAGAGGAGTCAGGCATTGTCACCTTTTGAAGCAATGAACTCTGCCTGCCTCTCGAGGTGTCAGCGGGATGTGAGGCATTCCGTCAAAATGAGGCTGTGACCTAGGGCTTTCTCTAAGGTCTCCACAGGGGATTCAGACATCCCTTCATGTTGTGAGATGAAACACGAGCCTGTATTCAAGCCACTGCAAGGAAATCCGGCCTCCTTTCAAGTTAGGGCTTCTCGCTGTATATTCCCCTTGAGGCAGCAAACTCGGTGTCCCTCCCACATACCTATTGCTGAGAGAAGCCTCCTACTGAGGTGCTTCTGGAAAGTTGGCATACGTCTTGAGCCTAAGCCAGGGAATCAGCTCTCATCTCGAGACGATTTGGGGTACACGGAGCATTCCTCGAGTTGCTGTGCTGAAGTTGGTGTTCCTCAAGACTTGGGACACTGTTCTCGGGGCATCTCTGGAGTTGCCTGAAGGAAGTCGAGCCACCGGTCGTGTTGAATGGGGAACGGGGAATGGCTCTGGAGTCAGTGCAGGGGAATCGGGCCTCATCTCGAGTTGATTTGGGGCACATGGAGCTGCTTTGCGTTGCTGGGGTGACCTCAGGGTCCGTCTAGACTGGTGAAAGTGTTCTTGGGGACTGTCTCGAGATCCATTATACAAGTCGATGCTCCTGACTTGTTTGAATGGCATCACAGAATTGCTCTGCATGCACTGCAGGGGAATGGGGCCTCATCTCGCCTCTAGGGGGAAGTCTCATGGTTTTTCTCCAGTTGCGGCGGGGACTTGGGGTACATTCTCGACTTACAGCGGGGATGGCCTTTCAAAACACGAGTTTCTTTAGTGACGTCAGGACTCCTGTCTAATAACGAGGGACACCTCAGGAATCTCTTCGAGGCTTGGCAGGGCAAAAGGGACGCTTCTCGAGGTGAGGCAGGGCACCCAAGGACCCTTTCCAGTAGCCACAGGGATTTTTGGATTCCTATCAGTATTCAAGAGGAGTCAGGCATCGTCACCTTTTGAAGCAATGAACTCCGCGTGCCTCTCGAGGTGTCAACTGGAGGTGAGGCATTCCGTCAAAATGAGGCAGGGACCTAGGGCTTTCTCTAAGGTCTCCACAGGGGATTCAGACAACCCTTCAGGTTTTGAGATCAAAGACGAGCCTGTATTCTAGCCACTGCAAGGAAATCCGGCCTCCTTTCAAGTTAGGGCTTCTCGCTGTATATTCCCCTGGAGGCAGCAAACTCGGGGTCCCTCCCACATACCTATTACTGAGAGAAGCCTCCTCCTGAGGTGCTTCTGGAAAGTTGGCATACGACTTGAGCTTAAGCCAGGGAATCAGCTCTCATCTCGAGATGATTTGGGGTACACGGAGCATTCCTCGAGTTGCTGTGCTGAAGGTGGTGTTCCTCTAGCCTTGGACAGTGTTCTCGGGGCATCTCTGGAGTTGCCTGAAGGAAGTCGAGCCACCGGTCGTGTTGAATGGGGAACTGGGAATGGCTCTGGAGTCAATGCAGGGGAATCGGGCCTCATCTCGAGTTGATTTGGGGCACATGGAGCTGCTTTGCGTTGCTGGGGTTACCACAGGGTCCGTCTAGACTGGTGACAGTGTTCTTGGGGACTGTCTCGAGATCCATTAAGCAAGTCGAAGCTCCTGACTTGTTTCAATGGGATCACGGAATAGCTCTGCATGCACTGCAGGGGAATGGGGCCTCATCTCGCCTCTAGTGGGAAGTCTCATGGTTTTTCCCGAGTTGTGGCGGGGACCTCGGGTATGTTCTCAACTTACGGCGGGGATGGCCCTTCAAAACACGAGTTTCTTCAGTGACGTCAGGACTCCAGTCTAGTAACGAGGGACACCTCAGGAATCTCTTCGCGGCTTGGAAGGGCAAAAGGGACGCTTCTCGAGGTGAGGCAGGGCACCCAAGGATCCTTTCCAGTAGCCACAGGGATTTTGGGATTCCTATGAGTATTCAGGAGGAGTCAGGCATCGTCACCTTTTGAAGCAATGAACTCTGCGTGCCTCTCGAGGTGTCAGCGGGATGTGAGGCATTCCGTCAAAATGAGGCAGGGACCTAGGGCTTTCTCTAAGGTCTCCACAGGGGATTCAGACATCCCTTCATGTTGTGAGATGAAACAAGAGCCTGTATTCAAGCCACTGCAAGGAAATCCGTCCTCCTTTCAAGTTAGGGCTTCTCGCTGTATATTCCCCTTGAGGCAGCAAACTCGGGGTCCCTCCCACATACCTATTGCTGAGAGAAGCCTCCTCCTGAGGTGCTTCTGGAAAGTTGGCATACGTCTTGAGCCTAAGCCAGGGAATCAGCTCTCATCTCGAGACATTTTGGGGTACACGGAGCATTCCTCGAGTTGCTGTGCTGAAGTTTGTGTTCCTCAAGACTTGGGACACTGTTCTCGGGGCATCTCTGGAGTTGCCTGAAGGAAGTCGAGCCACCGGTCGTGTTGAATGGGGAACGGGGAATGGCTCTGGAGTCAATGCAGGGGAATCGGGCCTCATCTCGAGTTGATTTGGGGCACATGGAGCTGCTTTGCGTTGCTGGGGTGACCTCAGGGTCCGTCTAGACTGGTGAAAGTGTTCTTGGGGACTGTCTCGAGATCCATTATACAAGTCGATGCTCCTGACTTGTTTGAATGGCATCACAGAATAGCTCTGCATGCACTGCAGGGGAATGGGGCCTCATCTCGCCTCTAGGGGGAAGTCTCATGGTTTTTCTCCAGTTGCGGCGGGGACTTGGGGTACATTCTCGACTTGAGGCGGGGATGGCCCTTCAAAACACGAGTTTCTTCAGTGACGTCAGGACTCCTGTCTAGTAACGAGGGACACCTCAGGAATCTCTTCGAGGCTTGGCAGTGCAAAAGGGACGCTTCTCGAGGTAAGGCAGGGCACCCAAGGACCCTTTCCAGAAGCCACAGGGATTTTGGGATTCCTATCAGTATTCAAGAGGAGTCAGGCATCGTCACCTTTTGAAGCAATGAACTCTGCGTGCCTCGCGAGGTGTCAACGGGAGGTGAGGCATTCCGTCAAAATGAGGCAGGGACCTAGGGCTTTCTCTAAGTTCTCCACAGGGGATTCAGACAACCTTCAGGTTTTGAGATCAAAGACGACCCTGTGTTCTAGGTACTGCAAGGAAATCCGGCCTCCTTTCAAGTTAGGGCTTCTCGCTGTATATTCCACTGGAGGCAGCAAATTCAGAGTCCCTCCCACATACCTATTACTGAGAGAAGCCTCCTCCTGAGGTGCTTCTGGAAAGTTGGCATACGACTTGAGCTTAAGCCAGGGAATCAGCTCTCATCTCGAGATGATTTGGGGTACACGGAGCATTCCTCAAGTTGCTGTGCTGAAGTTGGTGTTCCTCTAGACTTGGGACAGTGTTCTCGGGGCATCTCTGGAGTTGCCTGAAGGAAGTCGAGCCACCGGTCGTGTTGAATGGGGAACGGGGAATGGCTCTGGAGTCAATGCAGGGGAATCAACCCTCATCTCGAGTTGATTTGGGGCACATGGAGCTGCTTTGCGTTGCTGGGGTGACCTCAGGGTCCGTCTAGACTGGTGACAGTGTTCTTGGGGACTGTCTCGAGATCCATTAAGCAAGTCGAAGCTCCTGACTTGTTTGAATGGGATCACGGAATAGCTCTGCATGCACTGCAGGGGAATGGGGCCTCATCTCGCCTCTAGGGGGAAGTCTCATGGTTTTTCTCGAGTTGTGGCGGGGAACTGGGGTATGTTCTCGACTTACGGCGGGGATGGCCCTTCAAAACACGAGTTTCTTCAGTGACGTCAGGACTCCTGTCTAGTAACGGGGGACACCTCTGGAATCTCTTCGAAGCTTGGCAGGGCAAAAGGGACGCTTCTCGAGGTGAGGCAGGGCACCCAAGGACCCTTTCCAGTAGCCACAGGAATTTTGGGATTCCTATCAGTATTCCAGAGGAGTCAGGCATCGTCACCTTTTGAAGCAATGAACTCTGCGTGCCTCTCGAGGTGTCAACGGTATGTGCGGCATTCCGTCAAAATGAGGCAGGGACCTAGGGCTTTCTCTAAGGTCTCCACAGGGGATTCAGACAACCCTTCAGGTTTTGAGATCAAAGACGAGCCTGTATTCTAGCCACTGCAAGGAAATCCGGCCTCCTTTCAAGTTAGGGCTTCTCGCTGTATATTCCCCTTGAGGCAGCAAACTCGAGGTCCCCCCACATGCCTATTGCTGAGAGAAGCCTCCTCCTGAGGTGCTTCTGGAAAGTTGGCATACGAGTTGAGCCTAAGCCAGGGAATCAGCTCTCATCTCGAGACGATTTGGGGTACACGGAGCATTCCTCGAGTTGCTGTGCTGAAGTTGGTGTTCCTCTAGACTGGGACAGTGTTCTCGGGGCATCTCTGGAGTTGCCTGAAGGAAGTCGAGCCACCGGTCGTGTTGAATGGGGAACGGGGAATGGCTCTGGAGTCAATGCAGGGGAATTGGGCCTCATCTCGAGTTGATTTGGGGCACATGGAGCTGCTTTGCGTTGCTGGGGTGACCTCAGGGTCCGTCTAGACTGGTGACAGTGTTCTTGGGGACTGTCTCGAGATCCATTGTACAAGTCGATGCTCCTGACTTGTTTGAATGGCATCACAGAATAGCTCTGCATGCACTGCAGCGGAATGGGGCCTCATCTCGCCTCTAGGGGGAAGTCTCATGGTTTTTCTCGAGTTGCGGCGGGGACCTGGGGTATGTTCTCGACTTACGGCGGGGATGGCCCTTCAAAACACTAGTTTCTTCAGTGACGTCAGGACTCCTGTCTAGTAACGAGGGACACCTCAGGAATCTCTTCCAGGCTTGGCAGGGCAAAAGGGACGCTTCTCGAGGTGAGGCAGGGCACCCAAGGACCCTTTCCAGTAGCCACAGGGATTTTGGGATTCCTATCAGTATTCAAGAGGAGTCAGGCATCATCACCTTTTGAAGCAATGAACTCTGCGTGCCTCTCGAGGTGTCAGCGGGATGTGAGGCATTCCGTCAAAATGAGGCAGGGACCTAGGGCTTTCTCTAAGGTCTCCACAGGGGATTCAGACAACCCTTCAGGTTTTGCGATCAAAGACGAGCCTGTATTCTAGCCACTGCAAGGAAATCCAGCCTCCTTTCAAATTAGGGCTTCTCGCTGTATATTCCCCTGGAGACAGCAAATTCGGGGTCCCTCCCACATAGCTATTACTGAGAGAAGCCTCCTCCTGAGGTGCTTCTGGAAAGTTGGCATACGACTTGAGCTTAAGCCAGGGAATCAGCTCTCATCTCGAGATGATTTGGGGTACACGGAGCATTCCTCGAGTTGCTGTGCTGAAGTTGGTGTTCCTCTAGACTTGGGACAGTGTTCCCGGGGCATCTCTGGAGTTGCCTGTAGGAAGTCGAGCCACCGGTCGTGTTGAATGGGGAACGGGGAATGGCTCTGGAGTCAATGCAGGGGAATCGGGCCTCATCTCGAGTTGATTTGGGGCACATGGAGCTGCTTTGCGTTGCTGGGGTTACCACAGGGTCCGTCTAGACTGGTGACAGTGTTCTTGGGGACTGTCTCGAGATCCATGAAGCAAGTCGAAGCTCCTGACTTGTTTTAATGGGATCACGGAATAGCTCTGCATGCACTGCAGGGGAATGAGGCCTCATCTCGCCTCTAGGGGGAAGTCTCATGGTTTTTCTCGAGTTGCGGCGGGGACCTGGGGTATGTTCTCAACTTACGGCGGGGATGGCCCTTCAAAACACGAGTTTCTTCAGTGACGTCAGGACTCCTGTCTAGTAACGAGGGACACCTCAGGAATCTCTTCGCGGCTTGGAAGGGCAAAAGGGACGCTTCTCGAGCTGAGGCAGGGCACCCAAGGACCCTTTCCAGTAGCCACAGGGATTTTGGGATTCCTATCAGTATTCAAGAGGAGTCAGGCATCGTCACTTTTTGAAGCAATGAACTCTGCGTGCCTCTCGAGGTGTCAGCGGGATGTGAGGAATTCCGTCAAAATGAGGCTGGGACCTAGGGCTTTCTCTAAGGTCTCCAAAGGGGATTCAGACATCCCTTCATGTTTTGAGATGAAACACGAGCCTGTATTCAAGCCACTGTAAGGAAATCCGGCCTCCTTTCAAGTTAGGGCTTCTCGATGTATATTCCCCTTGAGGCAGCAAACCCGGGTCCCTCCCACAAACTATTGCTGAGAGAAGCCTCCTCCTGAGGTGCTTCTGGAAAGTTGGCATACGTCTTGAGCCTAAGCCAGGGAATCAGCTCTCATCTCGAGACGATTTGGGGTACACGGAGCATTCCTCGAGTTGCTGTGCTGAAGTTGGTGTTCCTTAGACTGGGACAGTGTTCTCGGGGCATCTCTGGAGTTGCCTGAAGGAAGTCGAGCCACCGGTCGTGTTGAATGGGGAACGGGGAATGGCTCTGGAGTCAATGCAGGGGAATCGGGCCTCATCTCGAGTTGATTTGGGGCACATGGAGCTGCTTTGCGTTGCTGGGTTGACCTCAGGGTCCGTCTAGACTGGTGAAAGTGTTCTTGGGGACTGTCTAGAGATCCATTAAACAAGTCGATGCTCCTGACTTGTTTGAATGGCATCACAGAATAGCTCTGCATAAACTGCAGGGGAATGGGGCCTCATCTCGCCTCTAGGGGGAAGTCTCATGGTTTTTCTCGAGTTGCGGCGGGGACTTGGGGTACGTTCTCGACTTACAGCGGGGATGGCCTTTCAAAACACGAGTTTCTTCAGTGACGTCAGGACTCTTGTCTAGTAACGAGGGACACCTCAGGAATCTCTTCGAAGCTTGGCAGGGCAAAAGGGACGCTTCTCGAGGTGAGGCAGGGCACCCAAGGACCCTTTCCAGTAGCCACAGGGATTTTCGGATTCCTATCAGTATTCAGGAGGAGTCAGGCATCGTCACCTTTTGAAGCAATGTACTCCGCGTGCCTCTCGAGCTGTCAACTGGAGGTGAGGCATTCTGTCAAAATGAGGCAGGGACCTAGGGCTTTCTCTAAGGTCTCCACAGGGGATTCAGTCATCCCTTCAGGTTGTGAGATGAAACACGAGCCTGTATTCAAGCCACTGCAATTAAATCCGGCCTCCTTTCAAGTTAGGGCTTCTTGCTGTGTATTCCCCTTGAGGCAGCAAACTCGGGGTCCCTCCCACATACCTATTGCTGAGAGAAGCATCCTCCTGAGGTGCTTCTGGAAAGTTGGCATACGTCTTGAGCCTAAGCCAGGCAAAGAGCTCTAATCTCGAGACGATTTGGGGTACACGGAGCATTCCTCGAGTTGCTGTGCTGAAGTTGGTGTTCCTCTAGACTTGGGACAGTGTTCTCGGGGCATCTCTGGAGTTGCCTGAAGGAAGTCGAGACACCGGTCGTGTTGAATGGGGAACGGGGAATGGCTCTGGAGTCAATGCATGGGAATCGGGCCTCATCTCGAGTTGATTTGGGGCACATGGAGCTGCTTTGCGTTGCTGGGGTGACCTCAGGGTCCGTCTAGACTGGTGACAGTGATCTTGGGGACTGTCTCGAGATCCATTAAGCAAGTCGAAGCTCCTGACTTGTTTGAATGGGATCACGGAATAGCTCTGCATGCACTGCAGGGGAATGGGGCCTCATCTCGCCTCTAGGGGGAAGTCTCATGGTTTTTCTCGAGTTGCGGCGGGGACCTGGGATATGTTCTCGACTTACGGCGGGGATTGCCCTTCAAAAGACGAGTTTCTTCAGTGACGTCAGGACACCTGTCTAGTAACGAGGGACACCTCAGGAATCTCTTCGCGGCTTGGAAGGGCAAAAGGGACGCTTCTCGAGGTGAGGCAGGGCACCCAAGGACCCTTTCCAGTAGCCACAGGGATTTTGGGATTCCTATCAGTATTCAAGAGGAGTCAGGCATCGTCACCTTTTGAAGCAATGAACTCTGCGTGCCTCTCGAGTTGTCAGCGGGATGTGAGGCATTCCGTCAAAATGGGGCAGGGACCTAGGGCTTTCTCTAAAGTCTCCACAGGGGATTCAGACATCCCTTCATGTTGTGAGATGAAACACGAGCCTGTATTCAAGCCACTGCAAGGAAATCCGGCCTCCTTTCAAGTTAGGGCTTCTCGCTGTATATTCCCCTTGAGGCAGCAAACTCGGGGTCCCTCCCACATACCTATTGCTGAGAGAAGCCTCCTCCTGAGGTGCTTCTGGAAAGTTGGCATACGTCTTGAGCCTAAGCCAGGGAATCAGCTCTAACCTCGAGACGATTTGGGGTACACGGAGCATTCCTCGAGTTGCTGTGCTGAAGTTGGTGTTCCTCTAGACTTGGGACAGTGTTCTCGGGGCATCTCTGGAGTTGCCTGAAGGAAGTCGAGCCACCGGTCGTGTTGAATGGGGAACGGGGAATGGCTCTGGAGTCAATGCATGGGAATCGGGCCTCATCTCGAGTTGATTTGGGGCACATGGAGCTGCTTTGCGTTGCTGGGGTGACCTCAGGGTCCGTCTAGACTGGTGACAGTGTTCTTGGGGACTGTGTCGAGATCCATTAAGCAAGTCAAAGCTCCTGACTTGTTTGAATAGGATCACGGAATAGCTCTGCATGCACTGCAGGGGAATGGGGCCTCATCTCGCCTCTAGGGGGAAGTCTCATGGTTTTTCTCGAGTTGCGGCGGGGACCTGGGATATGTTCTCGACTTACGGCGGGGATGGCCCTTCAAAACACTAGTTTCTTCAGTGACGTCAGGACTCCTGTCTAGTAACGAGGGACACCTCAGGAATCTCTTCCAGGCTTGGCAGGGCAAAAGGGACGCTTCTCGAGGTGAGGCAGGGCACCCAAGGACCCTTTCCAGTAGCCACAGGGATTTTGGGATTCCTATCAGTATTCAAGAGGAGTCAGGCATCATCACCTTTTGAAGCAATGAACTCTGCGTGCCTCTCGAGGTTTCAGCGGGATGTGAGGCATTCCGTCAAAATGAGGCAGGGACCTAGGGCTTTCTCTAAGGTCTCCACAGGGGATTCAGACAACCCTTCAGGTTTTGAGATCAAAGACGAGCCTGTATTCTAGCCACTGCAAGGAAATCCGGCCTCCTTTCAAGTTAGGGCTTCTCGATGTATATTCCCCTGGAGGCAGCAAATTCGGGGTCCCTCCCACATAGCTATTACTGAGAGAAGCCTCCTCCTGAGGTGCTTCTGGAAAGTTGGCATACGACTTGAGCTTAAGCCAGGGAATCAGCTCTCATCTCGAGATGATTTGGGGTACACGGAGCATTCCTCGAGTTGCTGTGCTGAAGTTGGTGTTCCTCTAGACTTGGGACAGTGTTCCCGGGGCATCTCTGGAGTTGCCTGAAGGAAGTCGAGCCACCGGTCGTGTTGAATGGGGAACGGGGAATGGCTCTGGAGTCAATGCAGGGGAATCGGGCCTCATCTCGAGTTGATTTGGGGCACATGGAGCTGCTTTGCGTTGCTGGGGTAACCACAGGGTCCGTCTAGACTGGTGACAGTGTTCTTGGGGACTGTCTCGAGATCCATTAAGCAAGTCGAAGCTCCTGACTTGTTTGAATGGGATCACGGAATAGCTCTGCATGCTCTGCAGGGGAATGGAGCCTCATCTCGCCTCTAGGGGGAAGTCTCATGGTTTTTCTCGAGTTGCGGCGGGGACCTGGGGTATGTTCTCGACTTACGGCGGGGATGGCCTTTCAAAACACGAGTTTCTTCAGTGACGTCAGGACTCCTGTCTAGTAACGAGGGACACCTCAGGAATCTCTTCGAGGCTTGGCAGGGCAAAAGGGACGCTTCTCGAGGTGAGGCAGGGCACCCAAGGACCCTTTCCAGTAGCCACAGGGATTTTCGGATTCCTATCAGTATTCAAGAGGAGTCAGGCATCGTCACCTTTTGAAGCAATGAACTCCGCGTGCCTCTCGAGGTGTCAACTGGAGGTGAGGCATTCCGTCAAAATGAGGCAGGGATCTAGGGCTTTCTCTAAGGTCTCCACAGGGGATTCAGTCATCCCTTCAGGATGTGAGATGAAACACGAGCCTGTATTCAAGCCACTGCAAGGAAATCCGGCCTCCTTTCAAGTTATGGCTTCTTGCTGTGTATTCCCCTTGAGGCAGCAATCTCAGGGTCCCTCCCACATACCTATTGCTGAGAGAAGCATCCTCCTGAGGTGCTTCTGGAAAGTTGGCATACGTCTTGAGCCAAAACCAGGGAATCAGCTCTAATCTCGAGACGATTTGGGGTACACGGAGCATTCCTCGAGTTGCTGTGCTGAAGTTGGTGTTCCTCTAGACTTGGGACAGTGTTCTCGGGGCATCTCTGGAGTTGCCTGAAGGAAGTCGAGCCACCGGTCGTGTTGAATGGGGAACGGGGAATGGCTCTGGAGTCAATGCATGGGAATCGGGCCTCATCTCGAGTTGATTTGGGGCACATGGAGCTGCTTTGCGTTGCTGGGGTGACCTCAGGGTCCGTCTAGACTGGTGACAGTGTTCTTGGGGACTGTGTCGAGATCCATTAAGCAAGTCAAAGCTCCTGACTTGTTTGAATGGGATCACGGAATAGCTCTGCATGCACTGCAGGGGAATGGGGCCTCATCTCGCCTCTAGGGGGAAGTCTCATGGTTTTTCTCGAGTTGCGGCGGGGACATGGGATATGTTCTCGACTTACGGCGGGGATGGCCCTTCAAAACACTAGTTTCTTTAGTGACGTCAGGACGCCTGTCTAGTAACGAGGGACACCTCAGGAATCTCTTCCAGGCTTGGCAGGGCAAAAGGGAAGCATCTCGAGGTGAGGCAGGGCACCCAAAGACCCTTTCCAGTAGCCACAGGGATTTTGGGATTCCTATCAGTATTCAAGAGGAGTCAGGCATCATCACCTTTTGAAGCAATGAACTCTGCGTGCCTCTCGAGGTTTCAGCGGGATGTGAGGCGTTCCGTCAAAATGAGGCAGGGACCTAGGGCTTTCTCTAAGGTCTCCCCAGGGGATTCAGACAACCCTTCAGGTTTTGAGATCAAAGACGAGCCTGTATTCTAGCCACTGCAAGGAAATCCGGCCTCCTTTCAAGTTAGGGCTTCTCGCTGTATATTCCCCTGGAGGCAGCAAATTCGGGGTCCCTCCCACATAGCTATTACTGAGAGAAGCCTCCTCCTGAGGTGCTTCTGGAAAGTTGGCATACGACTTGAGCTTAAGCCAGGGAATCAGCTCTCATCTCGAGATGATTTGGGGTACACGGAGCATTCCTCGAGTTGCTGTGCTGAAGTTGGTGTTCCTCTAGACTTGGGACAGTGTTCCCGGGGCATCTCTGGAGTTACCTGAAGGAAGTCAAGCCACCGGTCGTGTTGAATGGGGAACGGGGAATGGCTCTGGAGTCAATGCAGGGGAATCGGGCCTCATCTCGAGTTGATTTGGGGCACATGGAGCTGCTTTGCGTTGCTGGGGTTACCACAGGGTCCGTCTAGACTGGTGACAGTGTTCTTGGGGACTGTCTCGAGATCCATTAAGCAAGTCGAAGCTCCTGACTTGTTTGAATGGGACCACGGAATAGCTCTGCATGCTCTGCAGGGGAATGGAGCCTCATCTCGCCTCTAGGGGGAAGTCTCATGGTTTTACTCGAGTTGCGGCGGGGACCTGGGGTATGTTCTCGACTTACGGCAGGGATGGCCTTTCAAAACACGAGTTTCTTCAGTGACGTCAGGACTCCTGTCTAGTAACGAGGGACACCTCAGGAATCTCTTCGAGGCTTGGCAGGGCAAAAGGGACGCTTCTCGAGGTGAGGCAGGGCACCCAAGGACCATTTCCAGTAGCCACAGGGATTTTGGGATTCCTATCAGTATTCAAGAGGAGTCAGGCATCGTCACCTTTTGAAGCAATGAACTCCGCGTGCCTCTCGAGGTGTCAGCGGGATGTGAGGCATTCCGTCAAAATGAGGCAGGGACCTAGGGCTTTCTCTAAGGTCTCCACAGGGGATTCAGACATCCCTTCATGTTGTGAGATGAAAGACGAACCTGTATTCAAGCCACTGCAAGGAAATCCGGCCTCCTTTCAAGTTAGGGCTTCTCGCTGTATATTCCCCTTGAGGCAGCAAACTCGGGGTCCCTCCCACATACCTATTGCTGAGAGAAGCCTCCTCCTGAGGTGCTTCTGGGAAGTTGGCATACGTCTTGAGCCTAAGCCAGGGAATCAGCTCTCATCTCGAGACGATTTGGGGTACACGGAGCATTCCTCGAGTTGCTGTGCTGAAGTTGGTGTTCCTCTAGACTTGGGACAGTGTTCTCGGGGCATCTCTGGAGTTGCCTGAAGGAAGTCGAGCCACCGGTCGTGTTGAATGGGGAACGGGGAATGGCTCTGGAGTCAATGCAGGGGAATCGGGCCTCATCTCGAGTTGATTTGTGGCACATGCAGCTGCTTTGCGTTGCAGGGGTGACCTCAGGGTCCGTCTAGACTGGTGACAGTGTTCTTGGGGACTGTCTCGAGATCCATTAAGCAAGTCGAAGCTCCTGCCTTGTTTGAATGGGATCACGGAATAGCTCTGCATGCACTGCAGGGGAATGGGGCCTCATCTCGCCTCTAGGGGGAAGTCTCATGGTTTTTCTCGAGTTGCGGCGGGGACCTGGGGTATGTTCTCGACTTACGGCGGGGATGGCCCTTCAAAACACGAGTTTCTTCAGTGACGTCAGGACTCCTGTCTAGTAACGAGGGACACCTCAGGAATCTCTTCGAGGCTTGGCAGGGCAAAAGGGACGCTTCTCGAGGTGAGGCAGGGCACCCAAGGACCCTTTCCAGTAGCCACAGGGATTTTGGGATTCCTATCAGTATTCAAGAGGAGTCAGGCATCGTCACCTTTTGAAGCAATGAACTCCGCGTGCCTCTCGAGGTGTCAGTGGGATGTGAGGCATTCCGTCAAAATGAGGCAGGGACCTAGGGCTTTCTCTAAGGTCTCCACAGGGGATTCAGACATCCCTTCATGTTGTGAGATGAAAGACGAGCCTGTATTCAAGCCACTGCAAGGAAATCCGGCCTCCTTTCAAGTTAGGGCTTCTCGCTGTATATTCCCCTTGAGGCAGCAAACTCGGGGTCCCTCCCACATACCTATTGCTGAGAGAAGCCTCCTCCTGAGGTGCTTCTGGGAAGTTGGCATACGTCTTGAGCCTAAGCCAGGGAATCAGCTCTCATCTCGAGACGATTTGGGGTAGACGGAGCATTCCTCGAGTTGCTGTGCTGAAGTTGGTGTTCCTCTAGACTTGGGACAGTGTTCTCGGGGCATCTCTGGAGTTGCCTGAAGGAAGTCGAGCCACCGGTCGTGTTGAATGGGGAACGGGGAATGGCTCTGGAGTCAATGCAGGGGAATCGGGCCTCATCTCGAGTTGATTTGGGGCACATGGAGCTGGTTTGCGTTGCTGGGGTGACCTCAGGGTCCGTCTAGACTGGTGACAGTGTTCTTGGGGACTGTCTCGAGATCCATTAAGCAAGTCGAAGCTCCTGACTTGTTTGAATGGGATCACGGAATAGCTCTGCATGCACTGCAGGGGAATGGGGCCTCATCTCGCCTCTAGGGGGAAGTCTCATGGTTTTTCACGAGGTGCGGCGGGGACCTGGGGTATGTTCTCGACTTACGGCGGGGATGGCCCTTCAAAACACGAGTTTCTTCAGTGACGTCAGGACTCCTGTCTAGTAACGAGGGACACCTCAGGAATCTCTTCGAGGCTTGGCAGGGCAAAAGGGACGCTTCTCGAGGTGAGGCAGGGCACCCAAGGACCCTTTCCAGTAGCCACAGGGATTTTGGGATTCCTATCAGTATTCAAGAGGAGTCAGGCATCGTCACCTTTTGAAGCAATGAACTCCGCGTGCCTCTCGAGGTGTCAGCGGGATGTGAGGCATTCCGTCAAAATGAGGCAGGGACCTAGGGCTTTCTCTAAGGTCTCCACAGGGGAGTCAGACATCCCTTCATGTTGTGAGATGAAAGACGAGCCTGTATTAAAGCCACTGCAAGGAAATCCGGCCTCCTTTCAAGTTAGGGCTTCTCGCTGTATATTCCCCTTGAGGCAGCAAACTCGGGGTCCCTCGCACATACCTATTGCTGAGAGAAGCCTCCTCCTGAGGTGCTTCTGGGAAGTTGGCATACGTCTTGAGCTTAAGCCAGGGAATCAGCTCTCATCTCGAGACGATTTGGGGTACACGGAGCATTCCTCGAGTTGCTGTGCTGAAGTTGGTGTTCCTCTAGACTTGGGACAGTGTTCTCAGGGCATCTCTGGAGTTGCCTGAAGGAAGTCGAGCCACCGGACGTGTTGAATGGGGAACGGGGAATGGCTCTGGAGTCAATGCAGGGGAATCGGGCCTCATCTCGAGTTGATTTGGGGCACATGGAGCTGCTTTGCGTTGCTGGGGTGACCTCAGGGTCCGTCTAGACTGGTGACAGTGTTCTTGGGGACTGTCTCGAGATCCATTAAGCAAGCTGAAGCTCCTGACGTGTTTGAATGGGATCACGGAATAGCTCTGCATGCACTGCAGGGGAATGGGGCCTCATCTCGCCTCTAGGGGGAAGTCTCATGGTTTTTCTCGAGTTGCGGCGGGGACCTGGGATATGTTCTCGACTTACGGCGGGGATGGCCCTTCAAAACACTAGTTTCTTCAGTGACGTCAGGACTCCTGTCTAGTAACGAGGGACACCTCAGGAATCTCTTCCAGGCTTGGCAGGGCAAAAGGGACGCATCTCGAGGTGAGGCAGGGCACCCAAGGACCCTTTCCAGTAGCCACAGGGATTTTGGGATTCCTATCAGTATTCAAGAGGAGTCAGGCATCATCACCTTTTGAAGCAATGAACTCTGCGTGCCTCTCGAGGTTTCAGCGGGATGTGAGGCATTCCGTCAAAATGAGGCAGGGACCTAGGGCTTTCTCTAAGGTCTCCACAGGGGATTCAGACAACCCTTCAGGTTTTGAGATCAAAGACGAGCCTGTATTCTAGCCACTGCAAGGAAATCCGGCCTCCTTTCAAGTTAGGGCTTCTCGATGTATATTCCCCTGGAGGCAGCAAATTCGGGGTCCCTCCCACATAGCTATTACTGAGAGAAGCCTCCTCCTGAGGTGCTTCTGGAAAGTTGGCATACGACTTGAGCTTAAGCCAGGGAATCAGCTCTCATCTCGAGATGATTTGGGGTACACGGAGCATTCCTCGAGTTGCTGTGCTGAAGTTGGTGTTCCTCTAGACTTGGGACAGTGTTCCCGGGGCATCTCTGGAGTTGCCTGAAGGAAGTCGAGCCACCGGTCGTGTTGAATGGGGAACGGGGAATGGCTCTGGAGTCAATGCAGGGGAATCGGGCCTCATCTCGAGTTGATTTGGGGCACATGGAGCTGCTTTGCGTTGCTGGGGTTACCACAGGGTCCGTCTAGACTGGTGACAGTGTTCTTGGGGACTGTCTCGAGATCCATTAAGCAAGTCGAAGCTCCTGACTTGTTTGAATGGGATCACGGAATAGCTCTGCATGCTCTGCAGGGGAATGGAGCCTAATCTCGCCTCTAGGGGGAAGTCTCATGGTTTTTCTCGAGTTGCGGCGGGGACCTGGGGTATGTTCTCGACTTACGGCGGGGATGGCCTTTCAAAACACGAGTTTCTTCAGTGACGTCAGGACTCCTGTCTAGTAACGAGGGACACCTCAGGAATCTCTTCGAGGCTTGGCAGGGCAAAAGGGACGCTTCTCGAGGTGAGGCAGGGCACCCAAGGACACTTTCCAGTAGCCACAGGGATTTTCGGATTCCTATCAGTATTCAAGAGGAGTCAGGCATCGTCACCTTTTGAAGCAATGAACTCCGCGTGCCTCTCGAGGTGTCAACTGGAGGTGAGGCATTCCGTCAAAATGAGGCAGGGATCTAGGGCTTTCTCTAAGGTCTCCACAGGGGATTCAGTCATCCCTTCAGGATGTGAGATGAAACACGAGCCTGTATTCAAGCCACTGCAAGAAAATCCGGCCTCCTTTCAAGTTATGGCTTCTTGCTGTGTATTCCCCTTGAGGCAGCAATCTCAGGGTCCCTCCCACATACCTATTGCTGAGAGAAGCATCCTCCTGAGGTGCTTCTGGAAAGTTGGCATACGTCTTGAGCCTAAACCAGGGAATCAGCTCTAATCTCGAGACGATTTGGGGTACACGGAGCATTCCTCGAGTTGCTGTGCTGAAGTTGGTGTTCCTCTAGACTTGGGACAGTGTTCTCGGGGCATCTCTGGAGTTGCCTGAAGGAAGTCGAGCCACCGGTCGTGTTGAATGGGGAACGGGGAATGGCTCTGGAGTCAATGCATGGGAATCGGGCCTCATCTCGAGTTGATTTGGGGCACATGGAGCTGCTTTGCGTTGCTGGGGTGACCTCAGGGTCCGTCTAGACTGGTGACAGTGTTCTTGGGGACTGAGTCGAGATCCATTAAGCAAGCTGAAGCTCCTGACGTGTTTGAATGGGATCACGGAATAGCTCTGCATGCACTGCAGGGGAATGGGGCCTCATCTCGCCTCTAGGGGGAAGTCTCATGGTTTTTCTCGAGTTGCGGCGGGGACCTGGGATATGTTCTCGACTTACGGCGGGGATGGCCCTTCAAAACACTAGTTTCTTCAGTGACGTCAGGACTCCTGTCTAGTAACGAGGGACACCTCAGGAATCTCTTCCAGGCTTGGCAGGGCAAAAGGGACGCATCTCGAGGTGAGGCAGGGCACCCAAGGACCCTTTCCAGTAGCCACAGGGATTTTGGGATTCCTATCAGTATTCAAGAGGAGTCAGGCATCATCACCTTTTGAAGCAATGAACTCTGCGTGCCTCTCGAGGTTTCAGCGGGATGTGAGGCATTCCGTCAAAATGAGGCAGGGACCTAGGGCTTTCTCTAAGGTCTCCACAGGGGATTCAGACAACCCTTCAGGTTTTGAGATCAAAGACGAGCCTGTATTCTAGCCACTGCAAGGAAATCCGGCCTCCTTTCAAGTTAGGGCTTCTCGATGTATATTCCCCTGGAGGCAGCAAATTCGGGGTCCCTCCCACATAGCTATTACTGAGAGAAGCCTCCTCCTGAGGTGCTTCTGGAAAGTTGGCATACGACTTGAGCTTAAGGAAGGGAATCAGCTCTCATCTCGAGATGATTTGGGGTACACGGAGCATTCCTCGAGTTGCTGTGCTGAAGTTGGTGTTCCTCTAGACTTGGGACAGTGTTCCCGGGGCATCTCTGGAGTTGCCTGAAGGAAGTCGAGCCACCGGTCGTGTTGAATGGGGAACGGGGAATGGCTCTGGAGTCAATGCAGGGGAATCGGGCCTCATCTCGAGTTGATTTGGGGCACATGGAGCTGCTTTGCGTTGCTGGGGTTACCACAGGGTCCGTCTAGACTGGTGACAGTGTTCTTGGGGACTGTCTCGAGATCCATTAAGCAAGTCGAAGCTCCTGACTTGTTTGAATGGGATCACGGAATAGCTCTGCATGCTCTGCAGGGGAATGGAGCCTAATCTCGCCTCTAGGGGGAAGTCTCATGGTTTTTCTCGAGTTGCGGCGGGGACCTGGGGTATGTTCTCGACTTACGGCGGGGATGGCCTTTCAAAACACGAGTTTCTTCAGTGACGTCAGGACTCCTGTCTAGTAACGAGGGACACCTCAGGAATCTCTTCGAGGCTTGGCAGGGCAAAAGGGACGCTTCTCGAGGTGAGGCAGGGCACCCAAGGACACTTTCCAGTAGCCACAGGGATTTTCGGATTCCTATCAGTATTCAAGAGGAGTCAGGCATCGTCACCTTTTGAAGCAATGAACTCCGCGTGCCTCTCGAGGTGTCAACTGGAGGTGAGGCATTCCGTCAAAATGAGGCAGGGATCTAGGGCTTTCTCTAAGGTCTCCACAGGGGATTCAGTCATCCCTTCAGGATGTGAGATGAAACACGAGCCTGTATTCAAGCCACTGCAAGAAAATCCGGCCTCCTTTCAAGTTATGGCTTCTTGCTGTGTATTCCCCTTGAGGCAGCAATCTCAGGGTCCCTCCCACATACCTATTGCTGAGAGAAGCATCCTCCTGAGGTGCTTCTGGAAAGTTGGCATACGTCTTGAGCCTAAACCAGGGAATCAGCTCTAATCTCGAGACGATTTGGGGTACACGGAGCATTCCTCGAGTTGCTGTGCTGAAGTTGGTGTTCCTCTAGACTTGGGACAGTGTTCTCGGGGCATCTCTGGAGTTGCCTGAAGGAAGTCGAGCCACCGGTCGTGTTGAATGGGGAACGGGGAATGGCTCTGGAGTCAATGCATGGGAATCGGGCCTCATCTCGAGTTGATTTGGGGCACATGGAGCTGCTTTGCGTTGCTGGGGTGACCTCAGGGTCCGTCTAGACTGGTGACAGTGTTCTTGGGGACTGAGTCGAGATCCATTAAGCAAGCTGAAGCTCCTGACGTGTTTGAATGGGATCACGGAATAGCTCTGCATGCACTGCAGGGGAATGGGGCCTCATCTCGCCTCTAGGGGGAAGTCTCATGGTTTTTCTCGAGTTGCGGCGGGGACATGGGATATGTTCTCGACTTACGGCGGGGATGGCCCTTCAAAACACTAGTTTCTTTAGTGACGTAAGGACGCCTGTCTAGTAACGAGGGACACCTCAGGAATCTCTTCCAGGCTTGGCAGGGCAAAAGGGACGCATCTCGAGGTGAGGCAGGGCACCCAAAGACCCTTTCCAGTAGCCACAGGGATTTTGGGATTCCTATCAGTATTCAAGAGGAGTCAGGCATCATCACCTTTTGAAGCAATGAACTCTGCGTGCCTCTCGAGGTTTCAGCGGGATGTGAGGCATTCCGTCAAAATGAGGCAGGGACCTAGGGCTTTCTCTAAGGTCTCCCCAGGGGATTCAGACAACCCTTCAGGTTTTGAGATCAAAGACGAGCCTGTATTCTAGCCACGGCAAGGAAATCCGGCCTCCTTTCAAGTTAGGGCTTCTCGCTGTATATTCCCCTGGAGGCAGCAAATTCGGGGTCCCTCCCACATAGCTATTACTGAGAGAAGCCTCCTCCTGAGGTGCTTCTGGAAAGTTGGCATACGACTTGAGCTTAAGCCAGGGAATCAGCTCTCATCTCGAGATGATTTGGGGTACACGGAGCATTCCTCGAGTTGCTGTGCTGAAGTTGGTGTTCCTCTAGACTTGCGACAGTGTTCCCGGGGCATCTCTGGAGTTACCTGAAGGAAGTCAAGCCACCGGTCGTGTTGAATGGGGAACGGGGAATGGCTCTGGAGTCAATGCAGGGGAATCGGGCCTCATCTCGAGTTGATTTGGGGCACATGGAGCTGCTTTGCGTTGCTGGGGTTACCACAGGGTCCGTCTAGACTGGTGACAGTGTTCTTGGGGACTGTCTCGAGATCCATTAAGCAAGTCGAAGCTCCTGACTTGTTTGAATGGGACCACGGAAAAGCTCTGCATGCTCTGCAGGGGAATGGAGCCTCATCTCGCCTCTAGGGGGAAGTCTCATGGTTTTACTCGAGTTGCGGCGGGGACCTGGGGTATGTTCTCGACTTACGGCAGGGATGGCCTTTCAAAACACGAGTTTCTTCAGTGACGTCAGGACTCCTGTCTAGTAACGAGGGACACCTCAGGAATCTCTTCGAGGCTTGGCAGGGCAAAAGGGACGCTTCTCGAGGTGAGGCAGTGCACCCAAGGACCCTTTCCAGTAGCCACAGGGATTTTGGGATTCCTATCAGTATTCAAGAGGAGTCAGGCATCGTCACCTTTTGAAGCAATGAACTCCGCGTGCCTCTCGAGGTGTCAGCAGGATGTGAGGCATTCCGTCAAAATGAGGCAGGGACCTAGGGCTTTCTCTAAGGTCTCCACAGGGGATTCAGACATCCCTTCATGTTGTGAGATGAAAGAAGAGCCTGTATTCAAGCCACTGCAAGGAAATCCGGCCTCCTTTCAAGTTAGGGCTTCTCGCTGTATATTCCCCTTGAGGCAGCAAACTCGGGGTCCCTCGCACATACCTATTGCTGAGAGAAGCCTCCTCCTGAGGTGCTTCTGGGAAGTTGGCATACGTCTTGAGCCTAAGCCAGGGAATCAGCTCTCATCTCGAGACGATTTGGGGTACACGGAGCATTCCTCGAGTTGCTGTGCTGAAGTTGGTGTTCCTCTAGACTTGGGACAGTGTTCTCAGGGCATCTCTGGAGTTGCCTGAAGGAAGTCGAGCCACCGGACGTGTTGAATGGGGAACGGGGAATGGCTCTGGAGTCAATGCAGGGGAATCGGGCCTCATCTCGAGTTGATTTGGGGCACATGGAGCTGCTTTGCGTTGCTGGGGTGACCTCAGGGTCCGTCTAGACTGGTGACAGTGTTCTTGGGGACTGTCTCGAGATCCATTAAGCAAGCCGAAGCTCCTGACTTGTTTGAATGGGATCACGGAATAGCTCTGCATGCACTGCAGGGGAATGGGGCCTCATCTCGCCTCTAGGGGGAAGTCTCATGGTTTTTCTCGAGTTGCGGCGGGGACCTGGGGTATGTTCTCGACTTACGGCGGGGATGGCCTTTCAAAACACGAGTTTCTTCAGTGACGTCAGGACTCCTGTCTAGTAACGAGGGACACCTCAGGAATCTCTTCGAGGCTTCGCAGGGCAAAAGGGACGCTTCTCGAGGTGAGGCAGTGCACCCAAGGACCCTTTCCAGTAGCCACAGGGATTTTGGGATTCCTATCAGTATTCAAGAGGAGTCAGGCATCGTCACCTTTTGAAGCAATGAACTCCGCGTGCCTCTCGAGGTGTCAGCGGGATGTGAGGCATTCCGTCAAAATGAGGCAGGGACCTAGGGCTTTCTCTAAGGTCTCCACAGGGGATTCAGACATCCCTTAATGTTGTGAGATGAAAGACGAACCTGTATTCAAGCCACTGCAAGGAAATCCGGCCTCCTTTCAAGTTAGGGCTTCTCGCTGTATATTCCCCTTGAGGCAGCAAACTCGGGGTCCCTCGCACATACCTATTGCTGAGAGAAGCCTCCTCCTGAGGTGCTTCTGGGAAGTTGGCATACGTCTTGAGCCTAAGCCAGGGAATCAGCTCTCATCTCGAGACGATTTGGGGTACACGGAGCATTCCTCGAGTTGCTGTGGTGAAGTTGGTGTTCCTCTAGACTTGGGACAGTGTTCTCAGGGCATCTCTGGAGTTGCCTGAAGGAAGTCGAGCCACCGGACGTGTTGAATGGGGAACGGGGAATGGCTCTGGAGTCAATGCAGGGGAATCGGGCCTCATCTCGAGTTGATTTGGGGCACATGGAGCTGCTTTGCGTTGCTGGGGTGACCTCAGGGTCCGTCTAGACTGGTGACAGTGTTCTTGGGGACTGTCTCGAGATCCATTAAGCAAGCTGAAGCTCCTGACGTGTTTGAATGGGATCACGGAATAGCTCTGCATGCACTGCAGGGGAATGGGGCCTCATCTCGCCTCTAGGGGGAAGTCTCATGGTTTTTCTCGAGTTGCGGCGGGGACCTGGGGTATGTTCTCGACTTACGGCGGGGATGGCCCTTCAAAACACGAGTTTCTTCAGTGACGTCAGGACTCCTGTCTAGTAACGAGGGACACCTCAGGAATCTCTTCGAGGCTTGGCAGGGCAAAAGGGACGCTTCTCGAGGTGAGGCAGGGCACCCAAGGACCCTTTCCAGTAGCCACAGGGATTTTGGGATTCCTATCAGTATTCAAGAGGAGTCAGGCATCGTCACCTTTTGAAGCAATGAACTCCGCGTGCCTCTCGAGGTGTCAGCGGGATGTGAGGCATTCCGTCAAAATGAGGCAGGGACCTAGGGCTTTCTCTAAGTTCTCCACAGGGGAGTCAGACATCCCTTCATGTTGTGAGATGAAAGACGATCCTGTATTCAAGCCACTGCAAGGAAATCCGGCCTCCTTTCAAGTTAGGGCTTCTCGCTGTATATTCCCCTTGAGGCAGCAAACTCGGGGTCCCTCCCACATACCTATTGCTGAGAGAAGCCTCCTCCTGAGGTGCTTCTGGGAAGTTGGCATACGTCTTGAGCCTAAGCCAGGAAATCAGCTCTCATCTCGAGACGATTTGAGGTACACGGAGCATTCCTCGAGGTGCTGTGCTGAAGTAGGTGTTCCTCTAGACTTGGGACAGTGTTCTCGGGACATCTCTGGAGTTGCCTGAAGGAAGTCGAGCCACCGGTCGTGTTGAATGGGGAACGGGGAATGGCTCTGGAGTCAATGCAGGGGAATCGGGCCTCATTTCGAGTTGATTTGGGGCACATGGAGCTGCTTTGCGTTGCTGGGGTGACCTCAGGGTCCGTCTAGACTGGTGACAGTGTTCTTGGGGACTGTCTCGAGATCCATTAAGCAAGTCGAAGCTCCTGACTTGTTTGAATGGGATCACGGAATAGCTCTGCATGCACTGCAGGGCAATGGGGCCTCATCTCGCCTCTAGGGGGAAGTCTCATGGTTTTTCTCGAGTTGCGGCGGGGACCTGGGGTATGTTCTCGACTTACGGCGGGGATGGCCTTTCAAAACACGAGTTTCTTCAGTGACGTCAGGACTCCTGTCTAGTAACGAGGGACACCTCAGGAATCTCTTCGAGGCTTCGCAGGGCAAAAGGGACGCTTCTCGAGGTGAGGCAGTGCACCCAAGGACCCTTTCCAGTAGCCACAGGGATTTTGGGATTCCTATCAGTATTCAAGAGGAGTCAGGCATCGTCACCTTTTGAAGCAATGAACTCCGCGTGCCTCTCGAGGTGTCAGCGGGATGTGAGGCATTCCGTCAAAATGAGGCAGGGACCTAGGGCTTTCTCTAAGGTCTCCACAGGGGATTCAGACATCCCTTCATGTTGTGAGATGAAAGACGAGCCTGTATTCAAGCCACTGCAAGGAAATCCGGCCTCCTTTCAAGTTAGGGCTTCTCGCTGTATATTCCCCTTGAGGCAGCAAACTCGGGGTCCCTCGCACATACCTATTGCTGAGAGAAGCCTCCTCCTGAGGTGCTTCTGGGAAGTTGGCATACGTCTTGAGCCTAAGCCAGGGAATCAGCTCTCATCTCGAGACGATTTGGGGTACACGGAGCATTCCTCGAGTTGCTGTGCTGAAGTTGGTGTTCCTCTAGACTTGGGACAGTGTTCTCAGGGCATCTCTGGAGATGCCTGAAGGAAGTCGAGCCACCGGACGTGTTGAATGGGGAACGGGGAATGGCTCTGGAGTCAATGCAGGGGAATCGGGCCTCATCTCGAGTTGATTTGGGGCACATGGAGCTGCTTTGCGTTGCTGGGGTGACCTCAGGGTCCGTCTAGACTGGTGACAGTGTTCTTGGGACTGTCTCGAGATCCATTAAGCAAGCTGAAGCTACTGACGTGTTTGAATGGGATCACGGAATAGCTCTGCATGCACTGCAGGGGAATGGGGCCTCATCTCGCCTCTAGGGGGAAGTCTCATGGTTTTTCTCGAGTTGCGGCGGGGACCTGGGGTATGTTCTCGACTTACGGCGGGGATGGCCCTTCAAAACACGAGTTTCTTCAGTGACGTCAGGACTCCTGTCTAGTAACGAGGGACACCTCAGGAATCTCTTCGAGGCTTGGCAGGGCAAAAGGGACGCTTCTCGAGGTGAGGCAGGGCACCCAAGGACCCTTTCCAGTAGCCACAGGGATTTTGGGATTCCTATCAGTATTCAAGAGGAGTCAGGCATCGTCACCTTTTGAAGCAATGAACTCCGCGTGCCTCTCGAGGTGTCAGCGGGATGTGAGGCATTCCGTCAAAATGAGGCAGGGACCTAGGGCTTTCTCTAAGGTCTCCACAGGGGAGTCAGACATCCCTTCATGTTGTGAGATGAAAGACGAGCCTGTATTCAAGCCACTGCAAGGAAATCCGGCCTCCTTTCAAGTTAGGGCTTCTCGCTGTATATTCCCCTTGAGGCAGCAAACTCGGGGTCCCTCCCACATACCTATTGCTGAGAGAAGCCTCCTCCTGAGGTGCTTCTGGGAAGTTGGCATACGTCTTGAGCCTAAGCCAGGAAATCAGCTCTCATCTCGAGACGATTTGAGGTACACGGAGCATTCCTCGAGGTGCTATGCTGAAGTAGGTGTTCCTCTAGACTTGGGACAGTGTTCTCGGGACATCTCTGGAGTTGCCTGAAGGAAGTCGAGCCACCGGTCGTGTTGAATGGGGAACGGGGAATGGCTCTGGAGTCAATGCAGGGGAATCGGGCCTCATTTCGAGTTGATTTGGGGCACATGGAGCTGCTTTGCGTTGCTGGGGTGACCTCAGGGTCCGTCTAGACTGTGACAGTGTTCTTGGGGACTGTCTCGAGATCCATTAAGCAAGTCGAAGCTCCTGACTTGTTTGAATGGGATCACGGAATAGCTCTGCATGCACTGCAGGGGAATGTGGCCTCATCTCGCCTCTAGGGGAAGTCTCATGGTTTTTCTCGAGTTGTGGCGGTGACCTGGGGTATGTTCTCGACTTACGGCGGGGATGGCCCTTCAAAACACGAGTTTCTTCAGTGACGTCAGGACTCCTGTCTAGTAACGAGGGACACCTCAGGAATCTCTTCGAGGCTTGGCAGGGCAAAAGGGACGCTTCTCGAAGTGAGGCAGGGCACCTAAGGACCCTTTCCAGTAGCCACAGGGATTTTGGGATTCCTATCAGTATTCAAGAGGAGTCAGGCATCGTCACCTTTTGAAGCAATGAACTCCGCGTGCCTCTCGAGGTGTCAGCGCGATGTGAGGCATTCCGTCAAAATGAGGCAGGGACCTAGGGCTTTCTCTAAGGTCTCCTCAGGGGATTCAGACATCCCTTCATGTTGTGAGATGAAACACGAGCCTGTATTCAAGCCACTGCAAGGAAATCCGGCCTCCTTTCAAGTTAGGGCTTCTCGCTGTATATTCCCCTTGAGGCAGCAAACTCGGGGTCCCTCCCACATACCTATTGCTGAGAGAAGCCTCCTCTTGAGGTGCTTCTGGGAAGTTGGCATACGTCTTGAGCCTAAGCCAGGGAATCAGCTCGCATCTCGAGACGGTTTGGGGTACACGGAGCATTCCTCGAGTTGCTGTGCTGAAGTTGGTGTTCCTCTAGACTTGGGACAGTGTTCTTGGGGCATCTCTGGAGTTGCCTGAAGGAAGTCGAGCCACCGGTCGTGTCGAATGGGGAACGGGGAATGGCTCTGGAGTCAATGCAGGGGAATCGGGCCTCATCTCGAGTTGATTTGGGGCACATGGAGCTGCTTTGCGTTGCTGGGGTGACCTCAGGGTCCGTCTAGACTGGTGAAAGTGTTCTTGGGGACTGTCTCGAGATCCATTAAACAAGTCGATGCTCCTGACTTGTTTGAATGGCATCACAGAATAGCTCTGCATGCACTGCAGGGGAATGGGGCCTCATCTCGCCTCTAGGGGGAAGTCTCATGGTTTTTCTCGAGTTGCGGCGGGGACCTGGGGTATGTTCTCGACTTACGGCGGGGATGGCCTTTCAAAACACGAGTTTCTTCAGTGACGTCAGGACTCCTGTCTAGTAACGAGGGACACCTCAGGAATCTCTTCGAGGCTTGGCAGGGCAAAAGGGACGCTTCTCGAGGTGAGGCAGGGCACCCAAGGACCCTTTCCAGTAGCCACAGGGATTTTCGGATTCCTATCAGTATTCAAGAGGAGTCAGGCATCGTCACCTTTTGAAGCAATGAACTCCGCGTGCCTCTCGAGGTGTCAACTGGAGGTGAGGCATTCCGTCAAAATGAGGCAGGGATCTAGGGCTTTCTCTAAGGTCTCCACAGGGGATTCAGTCTTCCCTTCAGGATGTGAGATGAAACACGAGCCTGTATTCAAGCCACTGCAAGGAAATCCGGCCTCCTTTCAAGTTATGGCTTCTTGCTGTGTATTCCCCTTGAGGCAGCAATCTCAGGGTCCCTCCCACATACCTATTGCTGAGAGAAGCATCCTCCTGAGGTGCTTCTGGAAAGTTGGCATACGTCTTGAGCCTAAACCAGGGAATCAGCTCTAATCTCGAGACGATTTGGGGTACACGGAGCATTCCTCGAGTTGCTGTGCTGAAGTTGGTGTTCCTCTAGACTTGGGACAGTGTTCTCGGGGCATCTCTGGAGTTGCCTGAAGGAAGTCGAGCCACCGGTCGTGTTGAATGGGGAACGGGGAATGGCTCTGGAGTCAATGCATGGGAATCGGGCCTCATCTCGAGTTGATTTGGGGCACAAGGAGCTGCTTTGCGTTGCTGGGGTGACCTCAGGGTCCGTCTAGACTGGTGACAGTGTTCTTGGGGACTGTGTCGAGATCCATTAAGCAAGTCAAAGCTCCTGACTTGTTTGAATGGGATCACGGAATAGCTCTGCATGCACTGCAGGGGAATGGGGCCTCATCTCGCCTCTAGGGGGAAGTCTCATGGTTTTTCTCGAGTTGCGGCGGGGACATGGGATATGTTCTCGACTTACGGCGGGGATGGCCCTTCAAAACACTAGTTTCTTTAGTGACGTCAGGACGCCTGTCTAGTAACGAGGGACACCTCAGGAATCTCTTCCAGGCTTGGCAGGGCAAAAGGGACGCATCTCGAGGTGAGGCAGGGCACCCAAAGACCCTTTCCAGTAGCCACAGGGATTTTGGGATTCCTATCAGTATTCAAGAGGAGTCAGGCATCATCACCTTTTGAAGCAATGAACTCTGCGTGCCTCTCGAGGTTTCAGCGGGATGTGAGGCGTTCCGTCAAAATGAGGCAGGGACCTAGGGCTTTCTCTAAGGTCTCCCCAGGGGATTCAGACAACCCTTCAGGTTTTGAGATCAAAGACGAGCCTGTATTCTAGCCACTGCAAGGAAATCCGGCCTCCTTTCAAGTTAGGGCTTCTCGCTGTATATTCCCCTGGAGGCAGCAAATTCGGGGTCCCTCCCACATAGCTATTACTGAGAGAAGCCTCCTCCTGAGGTGCTTCTGGAAAGTTGGCATACGACTTGAGCTTAAGCCAGGGAATCAGCTCTCATCTCGAGATGATTTGGGGTACACGGAGCATTCCTCGAGTTGCTGTGCTGAAGTTGGTGTTCCTCTAGACTTGGGACAGTGTTCCCGGGGCATCTCTGGAGTTACCTGAAGGAAGTCAAGCCACCGGTCGTGTTGAATGGGGAACGGGGAATGGCTCTGGAGTCAATGCAGGGGAATCGGGCCTCATCTCGAGTTGATTTGGGGCACATGGAGCTGCTTTGCGTTGCTGGGGTTACCACAGGGTCCGTCTAGACTGGTGACAGTGTTCTTGGGGACTGTCTCGAGATCCATTAAGCAAGTCGAAGCTCCTGACTTGTTTGAATGGGACCACGGAATAGCTCTGCATGCTCTGCAGGGGAATGGAGCCTCATCTCGCCTCTAGGGGGAAGTCTCATGGTTTTACTCGAGTTGCGGCGGGGACCTGGGGTATGTTCTCGACTTACGGCAGGGATGGCCTTTCAAAACACGAGTTTCTTCAGTGACGTCAGGACTCCTGTCTAGTAACGAGGGACACCTCAGGAATCTCTTCGAGGCTTGGCAGGGCAAAAGGGACGCTTCTCGAGGTGAGGCAGGGCACCCAAGGACCATTTCCAGTAGCCACAGGGATTTTGGGATTCCTATCAGTATTCAAGAGGAGTCAGGCATCGTCACCTTTTGAAGCAATGAACTCCGCGTGCCTCTCGAGGTGTCAGCGGGATGTGAGGCATTCCGTCAAAATGAGGCAGGGACCTAGGGCTTTCTCTAAGGTCTCCACAGGGGATTCAGACATCCCTTCATGTTGTGAGATGAAAGACGAACCTGTATTCAAGCCACTGCAAGGAAATCCGGCCTCCTTTCAAGTTAGGGCTTCTCGCTGTATATTCCCCTTGAGGCAGCAAACTCGGGGTCCCTCCCACATACCTATTGCTGAGAGAAGCCTCCTCCTGAGGTGCTTCTGGGAAGTTGGCATACGTCTTGAGCCTAAGCCAGGGAATCAGCTCTCATCTCGAGACGATTTGGGGTACACGGAGCATTCCTCGAGTTGCTGTGCTGAAGTTGGTGTTCCTCTAGACTTGGGACAGTGTTCTCGGGGCATCTCTGGAGTTGCCTGAAGGAAGTCGAGCCACCGGTCGTGTTGAATGGGGAACGGGGAATGGCTCTGGAGTCAATGCAGGGGAATCGGGCCTCATCTCGAGTTGATTTGTGGCACATGCAGCTGCTTTGCGTTGCAGGGGTGACCTCAGGGTCCGTCTAGACTGGTGACAGTGTTCTTGGGGACTGTCTCGAGATCCATTAAGCAAGTCGAAGCTCCTGCCTTGTTTGAATGGGATCACGGAATAGCTCTGCATGCACTGCAGGGGAATGGGGCCTCATCTCGCCTCTAGGGGGAAGTCTCATGGTTTTTCTCGAGTTGCGGCGGGGACCTGGGGTATGTTCTCGACTTACGGCGGGGATGGCCCTTCAAAACACGAGTTTCTTCAGTGACGTCAGGACTCCTGTCTAGTAACGAGGGACACCTCAGGAATCTCTTCGAGGCTTGGCAGGGCAAAAGGGACGCTTCTCGAGGTGAGGCAGGGCACCCAAGGACCCTTTCCAGTAGCCACAGGGATTTTGGGATTCCTATCAGTATTCAAGAGGAGTCAGGCATCGTCACCTTTTGAAGCAATGAACTCCGCGTGCCTCTCGAGGTGTCAGTGGGATGTGAGGCATTCCGTCAAAATGAGGCAGGGACCTAGGGCTTTCTCTAAGGTCTCCACAGGGGATTCAGACATCCCTTCATGTTGTGAGATGAAAGACGAGCCTGTATTCAAGCCACTGCAAGGAAATCCGGCCTCCTTTCAAGTTAGGGCTTCTCGCTGTATATTCCCCTTGAGGCAGCAAACTCGGGGTCCCTCCCACATACCTATTGCTGAGAGAAGCCTCCTCCTGAGGTGCTTCTGGGAAGTTGGCATACGTCTTGAGCCTAAGCCAGGGAATCAGCTCTCATCTCGAGACGATTTGGGGTAGACGGAGCATTCCTCGAGTTGCTGTGCTGAAGTTGGTGTTCCTCTAGACTTGGGACAGTGTTCTCGGGGCATCTCTGGAGTTGCCTGAAGGAAGTCGAGCCACCGGTCGTGTTGAATGGGGAACGGGGAACGGCTCTGGAGTCAATGCAGGGGAATCGGGCCTCATCTCGAGTTGATTTGGGGCACATGGAGCTGGTTTGCGTTGCTGGGGTGACCTCAGGGTCCGTCTAGACTGGTGACAGTGTTCTTGGGGACTGTCTCGAGATCCATTAAGCAAGTCGAAGCTCCTGACTTGTTTGAATGGGATCACGGAATAGCTCTGCATGCACTGCAGGGGAATGGGGCCTCATCTCGCCTCTAGGGGGAAGTCTCATGGTTTTTCACGAGGTGCGGCGGGGACCTGGGGTATGTTCTCGACTTACGGCGGGGATGGCCCTTCAAAACACGAGTTTCTTCAGTGACGTCAGGACTCCTGTCTAGTAACGAGGGACACCTCAGGAATCTCTTCGAGGCTTGGCAGGGCAAAAGGGACGCTTCTCGAGGTGAGGCAGGGCACCCAAGGACCCTTTCCAGTAGCCACAGGGATTTTGGGATTCCTATCAGTATTCAAGAGGAGTCAGGCATCGTCACCTTTTGAAGCAATGAACTCCGCGTGCCTCTCGAGGTGTCAGCGGGATGTGAGGCATTCCGTCAAAATGAGGCAGGGACCTAGGGCTTTCTCTAAGGTCTCCACAGGGGAGTCAGACATCCCTTCATGTTGTGAGATGAAAGACGAGCCTGTATTCAAGCCACTGCAAGGAAATCCGGCCTCCTTTCAAGTTAGGGCTTCTCGCTGTATATTCCCCTTGAGGCAGCAAACTCGGGGTCCCTCGCACATACCTATTGCTGAGAGAAGCCTCCTCCTGAGGTGCTTCTGGGAAGTTGGCATACGTCTTGAGCTTAAGCCAGGGAATCAGCTCTCATCTCGAGACGATTTGGGGTACACGGAGCATTCCTCGAGTTGCTGTGCTGAAGTTGGTGTTCCTCTAGACTTGGGACAGTGTTCTCAGGGCATCTCTGGAGTTGCCTGAAGGAAGTCGAGCCACCGGACGTGTTGAATGGGGAACGGGGAATGGCTCTGGAGTCAATGCAGGGGAATCGGGCCTCATCTCGAGTTGATTTGGGGCACATGGAGCTGCTTTGCGTTGCTGGGGTGACCTCAGGGTCCGTCTAGACTGGTGACAGTGTTCTTGGGGACTGTCTCGAGATCCATTAAGCAAGCTGAAGCTCCTGACGTGTTTGAATGGGATCACGGAATAGCTCTGCATGCACTGCAGGGGAATGGGGCCTCATCTCGCCTCTAGGGGGAAGTCTCATGGTTTTTCTCGAGTTGCGGCGGGGACCTGGGATATGTTCTCGACTTACGGCGGGGATGGCCCTTCAAAACACTAGTTTCTTCAGTGACGTCAGGACTCCTGTCTAGTAACGAGGGACACCTCAGGAATCTCTTCCAGGCTTGGCAGGGCAAAAGGGACGCATCTCGAGGTGAGGCAGGGCACCCAAGGACCCTTTCCAGTAGCCACAGGGATTTTGGGATTCCTATCAGTATTCAAGAGGAGTCAGGCATCATCACCTTTTGAAGCAATGAACTCTGCGTGCCTCTCGAGGTTTCAGCGGGATGTGAGGCATTCCGTCAAAATGAGGCAGGGACCTAGGGCTTTCTCTAAGGTCTCCACAGGGGATTCAGACAACCCTTCAGGTTTTGAGATCAAAGACGAGCCTGTATTCTAGCCACTGCAAGGAAATCCGGCCTCCTTTCAAGTTAGGGCTTCTCGATGTATATTCCCCTGGAGGCAGCAAATTCGGGGTCCCTCCCACATAGCTATTACTGAGAGAAGCCTCCTCCTGAGGTGCTTCTGGAAAGTTGGCATACGACTTGAGCTTAAGCCAGGGAATCAGCTCTCATCTCGAGATGATTTGGGGTACACGGAGCATTCCTCGAGTTGCTGTGCTGAAGTTGGTGTTCCTCTAGACTTGGGACAGTGTTCCCGGGGCATCTCTGGAGTTGCCTGAAGGAAGTCGAGCCACCGGTCGTGTTGAATGGGGAACGGGGAATGGCTCTGGAGTCAATGCAGGGGAATCGGGCCTCATCTCGAGTTGATTTGGGGCACATGGAGCTGCTTTGCGTTGCTGGGGTTACCACAGGGTCCGTCTAGACTGGTGACAGTGTTCTTGGGGACTGTCTCGAGATCCATTAAGCAAGTCGAAGCTCCTGACTTGTTTGAATGGGATCACGGAATAGCTCTGCATGCTCTGCAGGGGAATGGAGCCTAATCTCGCCTCTAGGGGGAAGTCTCATGGTTTTTCTAGAGTTGCGGCGGGGACCTGGGGTATGTTCTCGACTTACGGCGGGGATGGCCTTTCAAAACACGAGTTTCTTCAGTGACGTCAGGACTCCTGTCTAGTAACGAGGGACACCTCAGGAATCTCTTCGAGGCTTGGCAGGGCAAAAGGGACGCTTCTCGAGGTGAGGCAGGGCACCCAAGGACCCTTTCCAGTAGCCACAGGGATTTTGGGATTCCTATCAGTATTCAAGAGGAGTCAGGCATCGTCACCTTTTGAAGCAATGAACTCCGCGTGCCTCTCGAGGTGTCAGCGGGATGTGAGGCATTCCGTCAAAATGAGGCAGGGACCTAGGGCTTTCTCTAAGGTCTCCACAGGGGAGTCAGACATCCCTTCATGTTGTGAGATGAAAGACGAGCCTGTATTCAAGCCACTGCAAGGAAATCCGGCCTCCTTTCAAGTTAGGGCTTCTCGCTGTATATTCCCCTTGAGGCAGCAAACTCGGGGTCCCTCGCACATACCTATTGCTGAGAGAAGCCTCCTCCTGAGGTGCTTCTGGGAAGTTGGCATACGTCTTGAGCTTAAGCCAGGGAATCAGCTCTCATCTCGAGACGATTTGGGGTACACGGAGCATTCCTCGAGTTGCTGTGCTGAAGTTGGTGTTCCTCTAGACTTGGGACAGTGTTCTCAGGGCATCTCTGGAGTTGCCTGAAGGAAGTCGAGCCACCGGACGTGTTGAATGGGGAACGGGGAATGGCTCTGGAGTCAATGCAGGGGAATCGGGCCTCATCTCGAGTTGATTTGGGGCACATGGAGCTGCTTTGCGTTGCTGGGGTGACCTCAGGGTCCGTCTAGACTGGTGACAGTGTTCTTGGGGACTGTCTCGAGATCCATTAAGCAAGCTGAAGCTCCTGACGTGTTTGAATGGGATCACGGAATAGCTCTGCATGCACTGCAGGGGAATGGGGCCTCATCTCGCCTCTAGGGGGAAGTCTCATGGTTTTTCTCGAGTTGCGGCGGGGACCTGGGATATGTTCTCGACTTACGGCGGGGATGGCCCTTCAAAACACTAGTTTCTTCAGTGACGTCAGGACTCCTGTCTAGTAACGAGGGACACCTCAGGAATCTCTTCCAGGCTTGGCAGGGCAAAAGGGACGCATCTCGAGGTGAGGCAGGGCACCCAAGGACCCTTTCCAGTAGCCACAGGGATTTTGGGATTCCTATCAGTATTCAAGAGGAGTCAGGCATCATCACCTTTTGAAGCAATGAACTCTGCGTGCCTCTCGAGGTTTCAGCGGGATGTGAGGCATTCCGTCAAAATGAGGCAGGGACCTAGGGCTTTCTCTAAGGTCTCCACAGGGGATTCAGACAACCCTTCAGGTTTTGAGATCAAAGACGAGCCTGTATTCTAGCCACTGCAAGGAAATCCGGCCTCCTTTCAAGTTAGGGCTTCTCGATGTATATTCCCCTGGAGGCAGCAAATTCGGGGTCCCTCCCACATAGCTATTACTGAGAGAAGCCTCCTCCTGAGGTGCTTCTGGAAAGTTGGCATACGACTTGAGCTTAAGCCAGGGAATCAGCTCTCATCTCGAGATGATTTGGGGTACACGGAGCATTCCTCGAGTTGCTGTGCTGAAGTTGGTGTTCCTCTAGACTTGGGACAGTGTTCCCGGGGCATCTCTGGAGTTGCCTGAAGGAAGTCGAGCCACCGGTCGTGTTGAATGGGGAACGGGGAATGGCTCTGGAGTCAATGCAGGGGAATCGGGCCTCATCTCGAGTTGATTTGGGGCACATGGAGCTGCTTTGCGTTGCTGGGGTTACCACAGGGTCCGTCTAGACTGGTGACAGTGTTCTTGGGGACTGTCTCGAGATCCATTAAGCAAGTCGAAGCTCCTGACTTGTTTGAATGGGATCACGGAATAGCTCTGCATGCTCTGCAGGGGAATGGAGCCTAATCTCGCCTCTAGGGGGAAGTCTCATGGTTTTTCTAGAGTTGCGGCGGGGACCTGGGGTATGTTCTCGACTTACGGCGGGGATGGCCTTTCAAAACACGAGTTTCTTCAGTGACGTCAGGACTCCTGTCTAGTAACGAGGGACACCTCAGGAATCTCTTCGAGGCTTGGCAGGGCAAAAGGGACGCTTCTCGAGGTGAGGCAGGGCACCCAAGGACACTTTCCAGTAGCCACAGGGATTTTCGGATTCCTATCAGTATTCAAGAGGAGTCAGGCATCGTCACCTTTTGAAGCAATGAACTCCGCGTGCCTCTCGAGGTGTCAACTGGAGGTGAGGCATTCCGTCAAAATGAGGCAGGGATCTAGGGCTTTCTCTAAGGTCTCCACAGGGGATTCAGTCATCCCTTCAGGATGTGAGATGAAACACGAGCCTGTATTCAAGCCACTGCAAGAAAATCCGGCCTCCTTTCAAGTTATGGCTTCTTGCTGTGTATTCCCCTTGAGGCAGCAATCTCAGGGTCCCTCCCACATACCTATTGCTGAGAGAAGCATCCTCCTGAGGTGCTTCTGGAAAGTTGGCATACGTCTTGAGCCTAAACCAGGGAATCAGCTCTAATCTCGAGACGATTTGGGGTACACGGAGCATTCCTCGAGTTGCTGTGCTGAAGTTGGTGTTCCTCTAGACTTGGGACAGTGTTCTCGGGGCATCTCTGGAGTTGCCTGAAGGAAGTCGAGCCACCGGTCGTGTTGAATGGGGAACGGGGAATGGCTCTGGAGTCAATGCATGGGAATCGGGCCTCATCTCGAGTTGATTTGGGGCACATGGAGCTGCTTTGCGTTGCTGGGGTGACCTCAGGGTCCGTCTAGACTGGTGACAGTGTTCTTGGGGACTGAGTCGAGATCCATTAAGCAAGTCAAAGCTCCTGACTTGTTTGAATGGGATCACGGAATAGCTCTGCATGCACTGCAGGGGAATGGGGCCTCATCTCGCCTCTAGGGGGAAGTCTCATGGTTTTTCTCGAGTTGCGGCGGGGACATGGGATATGTTCTCGACTTACGGCGGGGATGGCCCTTCAAAACACTAGTTTCTTTAGTGACGTAAGGACGCCTGTCTAGTAACGAGGGACACCTCAGGAATCTCTTCCAGGCTTGGCAGGGCAAAAGGGACGCATCTCGAGGTGAGGCAGGGCACCCAAAGACCCTTTCCAGTAGCCACAGGGATTTTGGGATTCCTATCAGTATTCAAGAGGAGTCAGGCATCATCACCTTTTGAAGCAATGAACTCTGCGTGCCTCTCGAGGTTTCAGCGGGATGTGAGGCGTTCCGTCAAAATGAGGCAGGGACCTAGGGCTTTCTCTAAGGTCTCCCCAGGGGATTCAGACAACCCTTCAGGTTTTGAGATCAAAGACGAGCCTGTATTCTAGCCACGGCAAGGAAATCCGGCCTCCTTTCAAGTTAGGGCTTCTCGCTGTATATTCCCCTGGAGGCAGCAAATTCGGGGTCCCTCCCACATAGCTATTACTGAGAGAAGCCTCCTCCTGAGGTGCTTCTGGAAAGTTGGCATACGACTTGAGCTTAAGCCAGGGAATCAGCTCTCATCTCGAGATGATTTGGGGTACACGGAGCATTCCTCGAGTTGCTGTGCTGAAGTTGGTGTTCCTCTAGACTTGCGACAGTGTTCCCGGGGCATCTCTGGAGTTACCTGAAGGAAGTCAAGCCACCGGTCGTGTTGAATGGGGAACGGGGAATGGCTCTGGAGTCAATGCAGGGGAATCGGGCCTCATCTCGAGTTGATTTGGGGCACATGGAGCTGCTTTGCGTTGCTGGGGTTACCACAGGGTCCGTCTAGACTGGTGACAGTGTTCTTGGGGACTGTCTCGAGATCCATTAAGCAAGTCGAAGCTCCTGACTTGTTTGAATGGGACCACGGAAAAGCTCTGCATGCTCTGCAGGGGAATGGAGCCTCATCTCGCCTCTAGGGGGAAGTCTCATGGTTTTACTCGAGTTGCGGCGGGGACCTGGGGTATGTTCTCGACTTACGGCAGGGATGGCCTTTCAAAACACGAGTTTCTTCAGTGACGTCAGGACTCCTGTCTAGTAACGAGGGACACCTCAGGAATCTCTTCGAGGCTTGGCAGGGCAAAAGGGACGCTTCTCGAGGTGAGGCAGTGCACCCAAGGACCCTTTCCAGTAGCCACAGGGATTTTGGGATTCCTATCAGTATTCAAGAGGAGTCAGGCATCGTCACCTTTTGAAGCAATGAACTCCGCGTGCCTCTCGAGGTGTCAGCGGGATGTGAGGCATTCCGTCAAAATGAGGCAGGGACCTAGGGCTTTCTCTAAGGTCTCCACAGGGGATTCAGACATCCCTTCATGTTGTGAGATGAAAGAAGAGCCTGTATTCAAGCCACTGCAAGGAAATCCAGCCTCCTTTCAAGTTAGGGCTTCTCGCTGTATATTCCCCTTGAGGCAGCAAACTCGGGGTCCCTCGCACATACCTATTGCTGAGAGAAGCCTCCTCCTGAGGTGCTTCTGGGAAGTTGGCATACGTCTTGAGCCTAAGCCAGGGAATCAGCTCTCATCTCGAGACGATTTGGGGTACACGGAGCATTCCTCGAGTTGCTGTGCTGAAGTTGGTGTTCCTCTAGACTTGGGACAGTGTTCTCAGGGCATCTCTGGAGTTGCCTGAAGGAAGTCGAGCCACCGGACGTGTTGAATGGGGAACGGGGAATGGCTCTGGAGTCAATGCAGGGGAATCGGGCCTCATCTCGAGTTGATTTGGGGCACATGGAGCTGCTTTGCGTTGCTGGGGTGACCTCAGGGTCCGTCTAGACTGGTGACAGTGTTCTTGGGGACTGTCTCGAGATCCATTAAGCAAGCCGAAGCTCCTGACTTGTTTGAATGGGATCACGGAATAGCTCTGCATGCACTGCAGGGGAATGGGGCCTCATCTCGCCTCTAGGGGGAAGTCTCATGGTTTTTCTCGAGTTGCGGCGGGGACCTGGGGTATGTTCTCGATTTACGGCGGGGATGGCCTTTCAAAACACGAGTTTCTTCAGTGACGTCAGGACTCCTGTCTAGTAACGAGGGACACCTCAGGAATCTCTTCGAGGCTTCGCAGGGCAAAAGGGACGCTTCTCGAGGTGAGGCAGTGCACCCAAGGACCCTTTCCAGTAGCCACAGGGATTTTGGGATTCCTATCAGTATTCAAGAGGAGTCAGGCATCGTCACCTTTTGAAGCAATGAACTCCGCGTGCCTCTCGAGGTGTCAGCGGGATGTGAGGCATTCCGTCAAAATGAGGCAGGGACCTAGGGCTTTCTCTAAGGTCTCCACAGGGGATTCAGACATCCCTTAATGTTGTGAGATGAAAGACGAACCTGTATTCAAGCCACTGCAAGGAAATCCGGCCTCCTTTCAAGTTAGGGCTTCTCGCTGTATATTCCCCTTGAGGCAGCAAACTCGGGGTCCCTCGCACATACCTATTGCTGAGAGAAGCCTCCTCCTGAGGTGCTTCTGGGAAGTTGGCATACGTCTTGAGCCTAAGCCAGGGAATCAGCTCTCATCTCGAGACGATTTGGGGTACACGGAGCATTCCTCGAGTTGCTGTGGTGAAGTTGGTGTTCCTCTAGACTTGGGACAGTGTTCTCAGGGCATCTCTGGAGTTGCCTGAAGGAAGTCGAGCCACCGGACGTGTTGAATGGGGAACGGGGAATGGCTCTGGAGTCAATGCAGGGGAATCGGGCCTCATCTCGAGTTGATTTGGGGCACATGGAGCTGCTTTGCGTTGCTGGGGTGACCTCAGGGTCCGTCTAGACTGGTGACAGTGTTCTTGGGGACTGTCTCGAGATCCATTAAGCAAGCTGAAGCTCCTGACGTGTTTGAATGGGATCACGGAATAGCTCTGCATGCACTGCAGGGGAATGGGGCCTCATCTCGCCTCTAGGGGGAAGTCTCATGGTTTTTCTCGAGTTGCGGCGGGGACCTGGGGTATGTTCTCGACTTACGGCGGGGATGGCCCTTCAAAACACGAGTTTCTTCAGTGACGTCAGGACTCCTGTCTAGTAACGAGGGACACCTCAGGAATCTCTTCGAGGCTTGGCAGGGCAAAAGGGACGCTTCTCGAGGTGAGGCAGGGCACCCAAGGACCCTTTCCAGTAGCCACAGGGATTTTGGGATTCCTATCAGTATTCAAGAGGAGTCAGGCATCGTCACCTTTTGAAGCAATGAACTCCGCGTGCCTCTCGAGGTGTCAGCGGGATGTGAGGCATTCCGTCAAAATGAGGCAGGGACCTAGGGCTTTCTCTAAGTTCTCCACAGGGGAGTCAGACATCCCTTCATGTTGTGAGATGAAAGACGATCCTGTATTCAAGCCACTGCAAGGAAATCCGGCCTCCTTTCAAGTTAGGGCTTCTCGCTGTATATTCCCCTTGAGGCAGCAAACTCGGGGTCCCTCCCACATACCTATTGCTGAGAGAAGCCTCCTCCTGAGGTGCTTCTGGGAAGTTGGCATACGTCTTGAGCCTAAGCCAGGAAATCAGCTCTCATCTCGAGACGATTTGAGGTACACGGAGCATTCCTCGAGGTGCTGTGCTGAAGTAGGTGTTCCTCTAGACTTGGGACAGTGTTCTCGGGACATCTCTGGAGTTGCCTGAAGGAAGTCGAGCCACCGGTCGTGTTGAATGGGGAACGGGGAATGGCTCTGGAGTCAATGCAGGGGAATCGGGCCTCATTTCGAGTTGATTTGGGGCACATGGAGCTGCTTTGCGTTGCTGGGGTGACCTCAGGGTCCGTCTAGACTGGTGACAGTGTTCTTGGGGACTGTCTCGAGATCCATTAAGCAAGTCGAAGCTCCTGACTTGTTTGAATGGGATCACGGAATAGCTCTGCATGCACTGCAGGGCAATGGGGCCTCATCTCGCCTCTAGGGGGAAGTCTCATGGTTTTTCTCGAGTTGCGGCGGGGACCTGGGGTATGTTCTCGACTTACGGCGGGGATGGCCTTTCAAAACACGAGTTTCTTCAATGACGTCAGGACTCCTGTCTAGTAACGAGGGACACCTCAGGAATCTCTTCGAGGCTTCGCAGGGCAAAAGGGACGCTTCTCGAGGTGAGGCAGTGCACCCAAGGACCCTTTCCAGTAGCCACAGGGATTTTGGGATTCCTATCAGTATTCAAGAGGAGTCAGGCATCGTCACCTTTTGAAGCAATGAACTCCGCGTGCCTCTCGAGGTGTCAGCGGGATGTGAGGCATTCCGTCAAAATGAGGCAGGGACCTAGGGCTTTCTCTAAGGTCTCCACAGGGGATTCAGACATCCCTTCATGTTGTGAGATGAAAGACGAGCCTGTATTCAAGCCACTGCAAGGAAATCCGGCCTCCTTTCAAGTTAGGGCTTCTCGCTGTATATTCCCCTTGAGGCAGCAAACTCGGGGTCCCTCGCACATACCTATTGCTGAGAGAAGCCTCCTCCTGAGGTGCTTCTGGGAAGTTGGCATACGTCTTGAGCCTAAGCCAGGGAATCAGCTCTCATCTCGAGACGATTTGGGGTACACGGAGCATTCCTCGAGTTGCTGTGCTGAAGTTGGTGTTCCTCTAGACTTGGGACAGTGTTCTCAGGGCATCTCTGGAGATGCCTGAAGGAAGTCGAGCCACCGGACGTGTTGAATGGGGAACGGGGAATGGCTCTGGAGTCAATGCAGGGGAATCGGGCCTCATCTCGAGTTGATTTGGGGCACATGGAGCTGCTTTGCGTTGCTGGGGTGACCTCAGGGTCCGTCTAGACTGGTGACAGTGTTCTTGGGACTGTCTCGAGATCCATTAAGCAAGCTGAAGCTACTGACGTGTTTGAATGGGATCACGGAATAGCTCTGCATGCACTGCAGGGGAATGGGGCCTCATCTCGCCTCTAGGGGGAAGTCTCATGGTTTTTCTCGAGTTGCGGCGGGGACCTGGGGTATGTTCTCGACTTACGGCGGGGATGGCCCTTCAAAACACGAGTTTCTTCAGTGACGTCAGGACTCCTGTCTAGTAACGAGGGACACCTCAGGAATCTCTTCGAGGCTTGGCAGGGCAAAAGGGACGCTTCTCGAGGTGAGGCAGGGCACCCAAGGACCCTTTCCAGTAGCCACAGGGATTTTGGGATTCCTATCAGTATTCAAGAGGAGTCAGGCATCGTCACCTTTTGAAGCAATGAACTCCGCGTGCCTCTCGAGGTGTCAGCGGGATGTGAGGCATTCCGTCAAAATGAGGCAGGGACCTAGGGCTTTCTCTAAGGTCTCCACAGGGGAGTCAGACATCCCTTCATGTTGTGAGATGAAAGACGAGCCTGTATTCAAGCCACTGCAAGGAAATCCGGCCTCCTTTCAAGTTAGGGCTTCTCGCTGTATATTCCCCTTGAGGCAGCAAACTCGGGGTCCCTCCCACATACCTATTGCTGAGAGAAGCCTCCTCCTGAGGTGCTTCTGGGAAGTTGGCATACGTCTTGAGCCTAAGCCAGGAAATCAGCTCTCATCTCGAGACGATTTGAGGTACACGGAGCATTCCTCGAGGTGCTATGCTGAAGTAGGTGTTCCTCTAGACTTGGGACAGTGTTCTCGGGACATCTCTGGAGTTGCCTGAAGGAAGTCGAGCCACCGGTCGTGTTGAATGGGGAACGGGGAATGGCTCTGGAGTCAATGCAGGGGAATCGGGCCTCATTTCGAGTTGATTTGGGGCACATGGAGCTGCTTTGCGTTGCTGGGGTGACCTCAGGGTCCGTCTAGACTGTGACAGTGTTCTTGGGGACTGTCTCGAGATCCATTAAGCAAGTCGAAGCTCCTGACTTGTTTGAATGGGATCACGGAATAGCTCTGCATGCACTGCAGGGGAATGTGGCCTCATCTCGCCTCTAGGGGAAGTCTCATGGTTTTTCTCGAGTTGTGGCGGTGACCTGGGGTATGTTCTCGACTTACGGCGGGGATGGCCCTTCAAAACACGAGTTTCTTCAGTGACGTCAGGACTCCTGTCTAGTAACGAGGGACACCTCAGGAATCTCTTCGAGGCTTGGCAGGGCAAAAGGGACGCTTCTCGAAGTGAGGCAGGGCACCTAAGGACCCTTTCCAGTAGCCACAGGGATTTTGGGATTCCTATCAGTATTCAAGAGGAGTCAGGCATCGTCACCTTTTGAAGCAATGAACTCCGCGTGCCTCTCGAGGTGTCAGCGCGATGTGAGGCATTCCGTCAAAATGAGGCAGGGACCTAGGGCTTTCTCTAAGGTCTCCTCAGGGGATTCAGACATCCCTTCATGTTGTGAGATGAAACACGAGCCTGTATTCAAGCCACTGCAAGGAAATCCGGCCTCCTTTCAAGTTAGGGCTTCTCGCTGTATATTCCCCTTGAGGCAGCAAACTCGGGGTCCCTCCCACATACCTATTGCTGAGAGAAGCCTCCTCTTGAGGTGCTTCTGGGAAGTTGGCATACGTCTTGAGCCTAAGCCAGGGAATCAGCTCGCATCTCGAGACGGTTTGGGGTACACGGAGCATTCCTCGAGTTGCTGTGCTGAAGTTGGTGTTCCTCTAGACTTGGGACAGTGTTCTTGGGGCATCTCTGGAGTTGCCTGAAGGAAGTCGAGCCACCGGTCGTGTCGAATGGGGAACGGGGAATGGCTCTGGAGTCAATGCAGGGGAATCGGGCCTCATCTCGAGTTGATTTGGGGCACATGGAGCTGCTTTGCGTTGCTGGGGTGACCTCAGGGTCCGTCTAGACTGGTGAAAGTGTTCTTGGGGACTGTCTCGAGATCCATTAAACAAGTCGATGCTCCTGACTTGTTTGAATGGCATCACAGAATAGCTCTGCATGCACTGCAGGGGAATGGGGCCTCATCTCGCCTCTAGGGGGAAGTCTCATGGTTTTTCTCGAGTTGCGGCGGGGACCTGGGGTATGTTCTCGACTTACGGCGGGGATGGCCTTTCAAAACACGAGTTTCTTCAGTGACGTCAGGACTCCTGTCTAGTAACGAGGGACACCTCAGGAATCTCTTCGAGGCTTGGCAGGGCAAAAGGGACGCTTCTCGAGGTGAGGCAGGGCACCCAAGGACCCTTTCCAGTAGCCACAGGGATTTTCGGATTCCTATCAGTATTCAAGAGGAGTCAGGCATCGTCACCTTTTGAAGCAATGAACTCCGCGTGCCTCTCGAGGTGTCAGTGGGATGTGAGGCATTCCGTCAAAATGAGGCAGGGACCTAGGGCTTTCTCTAAGGTCTCCACAGGGGATTCAGACATCCCTTCATGTTGTGAGATGAAAGACGAGCCTGTATTCAAGCCACTGCAAGGAAATCCGGCCTCCTTTCAAGTTAGGGCTTCTCGCTGTATATTCCCCTTGAGGCAGCAAACTCGGGGTCCCTCCCACATACCTATTGCTGAGAGAAGCCTCCTCCTGAGGTGCTTCTGGGAAGTTGGCATACGTCTTGAGCCTAAGCCAGGGAATCAGCTCTCATCTCGAGACGATTTGGGGTACACGGAGCATTCCTCGAGTTGCTGTGCTGAAGTTGGTGTTCCTCTAGACTTGGGACAGTGTTCTCGGGGCATCTCTGGAGTTGCCTGAAGGAAGTCGAGCCACCGGTCGTGTTGAATGGGGAACGGGGAATGGCTCTGGAGTCAATGCAGGGGAATCGGGCCTCATCTCGAGTTGATTTGGGGCACATGGAGCTGCTTTGCGTTGCTGGGGTGACCTCAGGGTCCGTCTAGACTGGTGACAGTGTTCTTGGGGACTGTCTCGAGATCCATTAAGCAAGTCGAAGCTCCTGACTTGTTTGAATGGGATCACGGAATAGCTCTGCATGCACTGCAGGGGAATGGGGCCTCATCTCGCCTCTAGGGGGAAGTCTCATGGTTTTTCTCGAGTTGCGGCGGGGACCTGGGGTATGTTCTCGACTTACGGCGGGGATGGCCCTTCAAAACACGAGTTTCTTCAGTGACGTCAGGACTCCTGTCTAGTAACGAGGGACACCTCAGGAATCTCTTCGAGGCTTGGCAGGGCAAAAGGGACGCTTCTCGAGGTGAGGCAGGGCACCCAAGGACCCTTTCCAGTAGCCACAGGGATTTTGGGATTCCTATCAGTATTCAAGAGGAGTCAGGCATCGTCACCTTTTGAAGCAATGAACTCCGCGTGCCTCTCGAGGTGTCAGCGGGATGTGAGGCATTCCGTCAAAATGAGGCAGGGACCTAGGGCTTTCTCTAAGGTCTCCACAGGGGAGTCAGACATCCCTTCATGTTGTGAGATGAAAGACGTGCCTGTATTCAAGCCACTGCAAGGAAATCCGGCCTCCTTTCAACTTAGGGCTTCTCGCTGTATATTCCCCTTGAGGCAGCAAACTCGGGGTCCCTCCCACATACCTATTACTGAGAGAAGCCTCCTCCTGAGGTGCTTCTGGGAAGTTGGCATACGTCTTGAGCCTAAGCCAGGAAATCAGCTCTCATCTCGGGACGATTTGAGGTACACGGAGCATTCCTCGAGGTGCTATGCTGAAGTAGGTGTTCCTCTAGACTTGGGACAGTGTTCTCGGGACATCTCTGGAGTTGCCTGAAGGAAGTCGAGCCACCGGTCGTGTTGAATGGGGAACGGGGAATGGCTCTGGAGTCAATGCAGGGGAATCGGGCCTCATTTCGAGTTGATTTGGGGCACATGGAGCTGCTTTGCGTTGCTGGGGTGACCTCAGGGTCCGTCTAGACTGTGACAGTGTTCTTGGGGACTGTCTCGAGATCCATTAAGCAAGTCGAAGCTCCTGACTTGTTTGAATGGGATCACGGAATAGCTCTGCATGCACTGCAGGGGAATGGGGCCTCATCTCGCCTCTAGGGGGAAGTCTCATGGTTTTTCTCGAGTTGCGGCGGGGACCTGGGGTATGTTCTCGACTTACGGCGGGGATGGCCTTTCAAAACACGAGTTTCTTCAGTGACGTCAGGACTCCTGTCTAGTAACGAGGGACACCTCAGGAATCTCTTCGAGGCTTGGCAGGGCAAAAGGGACGCTTCTCGAGGTGAGGCAGTGCACCCAAGGACCCTTTCCAGTAGCCACAGGGATTTTGGGATTCCTATCAGTATTCAAGAGGAGTCAGGCATCGTCACCTTTTGAAGCAATGAACTCCGCGTGCCTCTCGAGGTGTCAGCGGGATGTGAGGCATTCCGTCAAAATGAGGCAGGGACCTAGGGCTTTCTCTAAGGTCTCCACAGGGGATTCAGACATCCCTTCATGTTGTGAGATGAAAGACGAGCCTGTATTCAAGCCACTGCAAGGAAATCCGGCCTCCTTTCAAGTTAGGGCTTCTCGCTGTATATTCCCCTTGAGGCAGCAAACTCGGGGTCCCTCGCACATACCTATTGCTGAGAGAAGCCTCCTCCTGAGGTGCTTCTGGGAAGTTGGCATACGTCTTGAGCCTAAGCCAGGGAATCAGCTCTCATCTCGAGACGATTTGGGGTACACGGAGCATTCCTCGAGTTGCTGTGCTGAAGTTGGTGTTCCTCTAGACTTGGGACAGTGTTCTCAGGGCATCTCTGGTGTTGCCTGAAGGAAGTCGAGCCACCGGTCGTGTTGAATGGGGAACGGGGAATGGCTCTGGAGTCAATGCAGGGGAATCGGGCCTCATCTCGAGTTGATTTGGGGCACATGGAGCTGCTTTGCGTTGCTGGGGTGACCTCAGGGTCCGTCTAGACTGGTGACAGTGTTCTTGGGGACTGTGTCGAGATCCATTAAGCAAGCCGAAGCTCCTGACTTGTTTGAATGGGATCACGGAATAGCTCTGCATGCACTGCAGGGGAATGGGGCCTCATCTCGCCTCTAGGGGGAAGTCTCATGGTTTTTCTCGAGTTGCGGCGGGGACCTGGGGTATGTTCTCGACTTACGGCGGGGATGGCCCTTCAAAACACGACTTTCTTCAGTGACGTCAGGACTCCTGTCTAGTAACGAGGGACACCTCAGGAATCTCTTCGAGGCTTGGCAGGGCAAAAGGGACGCTTCTCGAGGTGAGGCAGGGCACCCAAGGACCATTTCCAGTAGCCACAGGGATTTTGGGATTCCTATCAGTATTCAAGAGGAGTCAGGCATCGTCACCTTTTGAAGCAATGAACTCCGCGTGCCTCTCGAGGTGTCAGCGGGATGTGAGGCATTCCGTCAAAATGAGGCAGGGACCTAGGGCTTTCTCTAAGGTCTCCACAGGGGATTCAGACATCCCTTCATGTTGTGAGATGAAAGACGAGCCTGTATTCAAGCCACTGCAAGGAAATCCGGCCTCCTTTCAAGTTAGGGCTTCTCGCTGTATATTCCCCTTGAGGCAGCAAACTCGGGGTCCCTCCCACATACCTATTGCTGAGAGAAGCCTCCTCCTGAGGTGCTTCTGGGAAGTTGGCATACGTCTTGAGCCTACGCCAGGGAATCAGCTCTCATCTCGAGACGATTTGGGGTACACGGAGCATTCCTCGAGTTGCTGTGCTGAAGTTGGTGTTCCTCTAGACTTGGGACAGTGTTCTCGGGGCATCTCTGGAGTTGCCTGAAGGAAGTCGAGCCACCGGTCGTGTTGAATGGGGAACGGGGAATGGCTCTGGAGTCAATGCAGGGGAATCGGGCCTCATCTCGAGTTGATTTGTGGCACATGCAGCTGCTTTGCGTTGCTGGGGTGACCTCAGGGTCCGTCTAGACTGGTGACAGTGTTCTTGGGGACTGTCTCGAGATCCATTAAGCAAGTCGAAGCTCCTGCCTTGTTTGAATGGGATCACGGAATAGCTCTGCATGCACTGCAGGGGAATGGGGCCTCATCTCGCCTCTAGGGGGAAGTCTCATGGTTTTTCTCGAGTTGCGGCGGGGACCTGGGGTATGTTCTCGACTTACGGCGGGTATGGCCCTTCAAAACACGAGTTTCTTCAGTGACGTCAGGACTCCTGTCTAGTAACGAGGGACACCTCAGGAATCTCTTCGAGGCTTGGCAGGGCAAAAGGGACGCTTCTCGAGGTGAGGCAGGGCACCCAAGGACCCTTTCCAGTAGCCACAGGGATTTTGGGATTCCTATCAGTATTCAAGAGGAGTCAGGCATCGTCACCTTTTGAAGCAATGAACTCCGCGTGCCTCTCGAGGTGTCAGCGGGATGTGAGGCATTCCGTCAAAATGAGGCAGGGACCTAGGGCTTTCTCTAAGGTCTCCACAGGGGAGTCAGACATCCCTTCATGTTGTGAGATGAAAGACGTGCCTGTATTCAAGCCACTGCAAGGAAATCCGGCCTCCTTTCAACTTAGGGCTTCTCGCTGTATATTCCCCTTGAGGCAGCAAACTCGGGGTCCCTCCCACATACCTATTGCTGAGAGAAGCCTCCTCCTGAGGTGCTTCTGGGAAGTTGGCATACGTCTTGAGCCTAAGCCAGGAAATCAGCTCTCATCTCGAGACGATTTGAGGTACACGGAGCATTCCTCGAGGTGCTATGCTGAAGTAGGTGTTCCTCTAGACTTGGGACAGTGTTCTCGGGACATCTCTGGAGTTGCCTGAAGGAAGTCGAGCCACCGGTCGTGTTGAATGGGGAACGGGGAATGGCTCTGGAGTCAATGCAGGGGAATCGGGCCTCATTTCGAGTTGATTTGGGGCACATGGAGCTGCTTTGCGTTGCTGGGGTGACCTCAGGGTCCGTCTAGACTGTGACAGTGTTCTTGGGGACTGTCTCGAGATCCATTAAGCAAGTCGAAGCTCCTGACTTGTTTGAATGGGATCACGGAATAGCTCTGCATGCACTGCAGGGGAATGGGGCCTCATCTCGCCTCTAGGGGGAAGTCTCATGGTTTTTCTCGAGTTGCGGCGGGGACCTGGGGTATGTTCTCGACTTACGGCGGGGATGGCCTTTCAAAACACGAGTTTCTTCAGTGACGTCAGGACTCCTGTCTAGTAACGAGGGACACCTCAGGAATCTCTTCGAGGCTTGGCAGGGCAAAAGGGACGCTTCTCGAGGTGAGGCAGTGCACCCAAGGACCCTTTCCAGTAGCCACAGGGATTTTGGGATTCCTATCAGTATTCAAGAGGAGTCAGGCATCGTCACCTTTTGAAGCAATGAACTCCGCGTGCCTCTCGAGGTGTCAGCGGGATGTGAGGCATTCCGTCAAAATGAGGCAGGGACCTAGGGCTTTCTCTAAGGTCTCCACAGGGGATTCAGACATCCCTTCATGTTGTGAGATGAAAGACGAGCCTGTATTCAAGCCACTGCAAGGAAATCCGGCCTCCTTTCAAGTTAGGGCTTCTCGCTGTATATTCCCCTTGAGGCAGCAAACTCGGGGTCCCTCGCACATACCTATTGCTGAGAGAAGCCTCCTCCTGAGGTGCTTCTGGGAAGTTGGCATACGTCTTGAGCCTAAGCCAGGGAATCAGCTCTCATCTCGAGACGATTTGGGGTACACGGAGCATTCCTCGAGTTGCTGTGCTGAAGTTGGTGTTCCTCTAGACTTGGGACAGTGTTCTCAGGGCATCTCTGGTGTTGCCTGAAGGAAGTCGAGCCACCGGACGTGTTGAATGGGGAACGGGGAATGGCTCTGGAGTCAATGCAGGGGAATCGGGCCTCATCTCGAGTTGATTTGGGGCACATGGAGCTGCTTTGCGTTGCTGGGGTGACCTCAGGGTCCGTCTAGACTGGTGACAGTGTTCTTGGGGACTGTCTCGAGATCCATTAAGCAAGCCGAAGCTCCTGACTTGTTTGAATGGGATCACGGAATAGCTCTGCATGCACTGCAGGGGAATGGGGCCTCATCTCGCCTCTAGGGGGAAGTCTCATGGTTTTTCTCGAGTTGCGGCGGGGACCTGGGGTATGTTCTCGACTTACGGCGGGGATGGCCCTTCAAAACACGAGTTTCTTCAGTGACGTCAGGACTCCTGTCTAGTAACGAGGGACACCTCAGGAATCTCTTCGAGGCTTGGCAGGGCAAAAGGGACGCTTCTCGAGGTGAGGCAGGGCACCCAAGGACCATTTCCAGTAGCCACAGGGATTTTGGGATTCCTATCAGTATTCAAGAGGAGTCAGGCATCGTCACCTTTTGAAGCAATGAACTCCGCGTGCCTCTCGAGGTGTCAGCGGGATGTGAGGCATTCCGTCAAAATGAGGCAGGGACCTAGGGCTTTCTCTAAGGTCTCCACAGGGTATTCAGACATCCCTTCATGTTGTGAGATGAAAGACGAGCCTGTATTCAAGCCACTGCATGGAAATCCGGCCTCCTTTCAAGTTAGGGCTTCTCGCTGTATATTCCCCTTGAGGCAGCAAACTCGGGGTCCCTCCCACATACCTATTGCTGAGAGAAGCCTCCTCCTGAGGTGCTTCTGGGAAGTTGGCATACGTCTTGAGCCTACGCCAGGGAATCAGCTCTCATCTCGAGACGATTTGGGGTACACGGAGCATTCCTCGAGTTGCTGTGCTGAAGTTGGTGTTCCTCTAGACTTGGGACAGTGTTCTCGGGGCATCTCTGGAGTTGCCTGAAGGAAGTCGAGCCACCGGTCGTGTTGAATGGGGAACGGGGAATGGCTCTGGAGTCAATGCAGGGGAATCGGGCCTCATCTCGAGTTGATTTGTGGCACATGCAGCTGCTTTGCGTTGCTGGGGTGACCTCAGGGTCCGTCTAGACTGGTGACAGTGTTCTTGGGGACTGTCTCGAGATCCATTAAGCAAGTCGAAGCTCCTGACTTGTTTGAATGGGATCACGGAATAGCTCTGCATGCACTGCAGGGGAATGGGGCCTCATCTCGCCTCTAGGGGGAAGTCTCATGGTTTTTCTCGAGTTGCGGCGGGGACCTGGGGTATGTTCTCGACTTACGGCGGGGATGGCCCTTCAAAACACGAGTTTCTTCAGTGACGTCAGGACTCCTGTCTAGTAACGAGGGACACCTCAGGAATCTCTTCGAGGCTTGGCAGGGCAAAAGGGACGCTTCTCGAGGTGAGGCAGGGCACCCAAGGACCCTTTCCAGTAGCCACAGGGATTTTGGGATTCCTATCAGTATTCAAGAGGAGTCAGGCATCGTCACCTTTTGAAGCAATGAACTCCGCGTGCCTCTCGAGGTGTCAGTGGGATGTGAGGCATTCCGTCAAAATGAGGCAGGGACCTAGGGCTTTCTCTAAGGTCTCCACAGGGTATTCAGACATCCCTTCATGTTGTGAGATGAAACACGAGCCTGTATTCAAGCCACTGCAAGGAAATCCGGCCTCCTTTCAAGTTAGGGCTTCTCGCTGTATATTCCCCTTGAGGCAGCAAACTCGGGGTCCCTCCCACATACCTATTGCTGAGAGAAGCCTCCTCCTGAGGTGCTTCTGGGAAGTTGGCATACGTCTTGAGCCTAAGCCAGGGAATCAGCTCTCATCTCGAGACGATTTGGGGTAGACGGAGCATTCCTCGAGTTGCTGTGCTGAAGTTGGTGTTCCTCTAGACTTGGGACAGTGTTCTCGGGGCATCTCTGGAGTTGCCTGAAGGAAGTCGAGCCACCGGTCGTGTTGAATGGGGAACGGGGAATGGCTCTGGAGTCAATGCAGGGGAATCGGGCCTCATCTCGAGTTGATTTGGGGCACATGGAGCTGCTTTGCGTTGCTGGGGTGACCTCAGGGTCCGTCTAGACTGGTGACAGTGTTCTTGGGGACTGTCTCGAGATCCATTAAGCAAGTCGAAGCTCCTGACTTGTTTGAATGGGATCACGGAATAGCTCTGCATGCACTGCAGGGGAATGGGGCCTCATCTCGCCTCTAGGGGGAAGTCTCATGGTTTTTCTCGAGTTGCGGCGGGGACCTGGGGTATGTTCTCGACTTACGGCGGGGATGGCCCTTCAAAACACGAGTTTCTTCAGTGACGTCAGGACTCCTGTCTAGTAACGAGGGACACCTCAGGAATCTCTTCGAGGCTTGGCAGGGCAAAAGGGACGCTTCTCGAGGTGAGGCAGGGCACCCAAGGACCCTTTCCAGTAGCCACAGGGATTTTGGGATTCCTATCAGTATTCAAGAGGAGTCAGGCATCGTCACCTTTTGAAGCAATGAACTCCGCGTGCCTCTCGAGTTGTCAGCGGGATGTGAGGCATTCCGTCAAAATGAGGCAGGGACCTAGGGCTTTCTCTAAGGTCTCCACAGGGGAGTCAGACATCCCTTCATGTTGTGAGATGAAAGACGAGCCTGTATTCAAGCCACTGCAAGGAAATCCGGCCTCCTTTCAAGTTAGGGCTTCTCGCTGTATATTCCCCTTGAGGCAGCAAACTCGGGGTCCCTCCCACATACCTATTGCTGAGAGAAGCGTCCTCCTGAGGTGCTTCCGGGAAGTTGGCATACGTCTTGAGCCTAAGCCAGGAAATCAGCTCTCATCTCGAGACGATTTGAGGTACACGGAGCATTCCTCGAGGTGCTGTGCTGAAGTTGGTGTTCCTCTAGACTTGGGACAGTGTTCTCGGGGCATCTCTGGAGTTGCCTGAAGGAAGTCGAGCCACCGGTCGTGTTGAATGGGGAACGGGGAATGGCTCTGGAGTCAATGCAGGGGAATCGGGCCTCATTTCGAGTTGATTTGGGGCACATGGAGCTGCTTTGCGTTGCTGGGGTGACCTCAGGGTCCGTCTAGACTGTGACAGTGTTCTTGGGGACTGTCTCGAGATCCATTAAGCAAGTCGAAGCTCCTGACTTGTTTGAATGGAATCACGGAATAGCTCTGCATGCACTGCAGGGGAATGGGGCCTCATCTCGCCTCTAGGGGGAAGTCTCATGGTTTTTCTCGAGTTGCAGCGGGGACCTGGGGTATGTTCTCGACTTACGGCGGGGATGGCCCTTCAAAACACGAGTTTCTTCAGTGACGTCAGGACTCCTGTCTAGTAACGAGGGACACCTCAGGAATCTCTTCGAGGCTTGGCAGGGCAAAAGGGACGCTTCTCGAAGTGAGGCAGGGCACCTAAGGACCCTTTCCAGTAGCCACAGGGATTTTGGGATTCCTATCAGTATTCAAGAGGAGTCAGGCATCGTCACCTTTTGAAGCAATGAACTCCGCGTGCCTCTCGAGGTGTCAGCGCGATGTGAGGCATTCCGTCAAAATGAGGCAGGGACCTAGGGCTTTCTCTAAGGTCTCCTCAGGGGATTCAGACATCCCTTCATGTTGTGAGATGAAACACGAGCCTGTGTTCAAGCCACTGCAAGGAAATCCGGCCTCCTTTCAAGTTAGGGCTTCTCGCTGTATATTCCCCTTGAGGCAGCAAACTCGGGGTCCCTCCCACATACCTATTACTGAGAGAAGCCTCCTCTTGAGGTGCTTCTGGGAAGTTGGCATACGTCTTGAGCCTAAGCCAGGGAATCAGCTCGCATCTCGAGACGGTTTGGGGTACACGGAGCATTCCTCGAGTTGCTGTGCTGAAGTTGGTGTTCCTCTAGACTTGGGACAGTGTTCTCGGGGCATCTCTGGAGTTGCCTGAAGGAAGTCGAGCCACCGGTCGTGTTGAATGGGGAACGGGGAATGGCTCTGGAGTCAATGCAGGGGAATCGGGCCTCATCTCGAGTTGATTTGGGGCACATGGAGCTGCTTTGCGTTGCTGGGGTGACCTCAGGGTCCGTCTAGACTGGTGACAGTGTTCTTGGGGACTGTCTCGAGATCCATTAAGCAAGTCGAAGCTCCTGACTTGTTTGAATGGGATCACGGAATAGCTCTGCATGCACTGCAGGGGAGTGGGGCCTCATCTCGCCTCTAGGGGGAAGTCTCATGGTTTTTCTCGAGTTGCGGCGGGGACCTGGGGTATGTTCTCGACTTACGGCGGGGATGTCCCTTCAAAACACGAGTTTCTTCAGTGACGTCAGGACTCCTGTCTAGTAACGAGGGACACCTCAGGAATCTCTTCGAGGCTTGGCAGGGCAAAAGGGACGCTTCTCGAGGTGAGGCAGGGCACCCAAGGACCCTTTCCAGTAGCCACAGGGATTTTGGGATTCCTATCAGTATTCAAGAGGAGTCAGGCATCGTCACCTTTTGAAGCAAGGAACTCCGTGTGCCTCTCGAGGTGTCAGCGCGATGTGAGGCATTCCGTCAAAATGAGGCAGGGACCTAGGGCTTTCTCTAAGGTCTCCACAGGGGATTCAGACATCCCTTCATGTTGTGAGATGAAAGACGTGCCTGTATTCAAGCCACTGCAAGGAAATCCGGCCTCCTTTCAAGTTAGGGCTTCTCGCTGTATATTCCCCTTGAGGCAGCAAACTCGGGGTCCCTCCCACATACCTATTGCTGAGAGAAGCCTCCTCCGGAGGTGCTTCTGGGAAGTTGGCATACGTCTTGAGCCTAAGCCAGGGAATCAGCTCGCATCTCGAGACAATTTGGGGTACACGGAGCATTCCTCGAGTTGCTGTGCTGAAGTTGGTGTTCCTCTAGACTTGGGACAGTGTTCTCGGGGCATCTCTGGAGTTGCCTGAAGGAAGTCGAGCCACCGGTCGTGTTGAATGGGGAACGGGGAATGGCTCTGGAGTCAATGCAGGGGAATCGGGCCTCATCTCGAGTTGATTTGGGGCACATGGAGCTGCTTTGCGTTGCTGGGGTGACCTCAGGGTCCGTCTAGACTGGTGACAGTGTTCTTGGGGACTGTCTCGAGATCCATTAAGCAAGTCGAAGCTCCTGACTTGTTTGAATGGGATCACGGAATAGCTCTGCATGCACTGCAGGGGAATGGGGCCTCATCTCGCCTCTAGGGGGAAGTCTCATGGTTTTTCTCGAGTTGCGGCGGGGACCTGGGGTATGTTCTCGACTTACGGCGGGGATGACCCTTCAAAACACGAGTTTCTTCAGTGACGTCAGGACTCCTGTCTAGTAACGAGGGACACCTCAGGAATCTCTTCGAGGCTTGGCAGGGCAAAAGGGACGCTTCTCGAGGTGAGGCAGGGCACCCAAGGACCCTTTCCAGTAGCCACAGGGATTTTGGGATTCCTATCAGTATTCAAGAGGAGTCAGGCATCATCACCTTTTGAAGCAATGAACTCCGCGTGCCTCTCGAGGTGTCAGCGGGATGTGAGGCATTCCGTCAAAATGAGGCAGGGACCTAGGGCTTTCTCTAAGGTCTCCACAGGGGACTCAGACATCCCTTCATGTTGTGAGATGAAAGACGAGCCTGTATTCAAGCCACTGCAAGGAAATCCGGCCTCCTTTCAAGTTAGTGCTTCTCGCTGTATATTCCCCTTGAGGCAGCAAACTCGGGGTCCCTCCCACATACCTATTGCTGAGAGAAGCCTCCGCCTGAGGTGCTTCTGGGAAGTTGGCATACGCCTTGAGCCTAAGCCAGGGAATCAGCTCTCATCTCGAGACGATTTGGGGTACACGGAGCATTCCTCGAGTTGCTGTGCTGAAGTTGGTGTTCCTCTAGACTTGGGACAGTGTTCGCGGGGCATCTCTGGAGTTGCCTGAAGGAAGTCGAGCCACCGGTCGTGTTGAATGGGGAAAGGGGAATGGCTCTGGAGTCAATGCAGGGGAATCGGGCCTCATCTCGAGTTGATTTGGGGCACATGGAGCTGCTTTGCGTTGCTGGGGTGACCTCAGGGTCCGTCTAGACTGGTGACAGTGTTCTTGGGGACTGTCTCGAAATCCATTAAGCAAGTCGAAGCTCCTGACTTGTTTTATTGGATCACGGAATGGCTCTGCATGCACTGCAGGGGAATGGGGCCTCATCTCGCCTCTAGGGGGAAGTCTCATGGTTTTTCTCGAGTTGCGGCGGGGACCTGGGGTATGTTCTCGACTTTTGGCGGGGATGGCCCTTCAAAACACGAGTTTCTTCAGTGACGTCAGGACTCCTGTCTAGTAACGAGGGACACCTCAGGAATCTCTTCGAGGCTTGGCAGGGCAAAAGGGACGCTTCTCGAGGTGAGGCAGGGCACCCAAGGACCCTTTCCAGTAGCCACAGGGATTTGGGGATTCCTATCAGTATTCAAGAGGAGTCAGGCATCGTCACCTTTTGAAGCAATGAACTCCGCGTGCCTCTCGAGGTGTCAACGGGATGTGAGGCATTCCGTCAAAATGAGGCAGGGACCTCGGGCTTTCTCTAAGGTCTCCACAGGGGATTCAGACATCCCTTCATGTTGTGAGATGAAAGACGAGCCTGTATTCAAGCCACTGCAAGGAAATCCGGCCTCCTTTCAAGTTAGGGCTTCTCGCTGTATATTCCCCTTGAGGCAGCAAACTCGAGGTCCCCCGAAATGCCTATTGCTGAGAGAAGCCTCCTCCTGAGGTGCTTCTGGAAAGTTGGCATACGTCTTGAGCCTAAGCCAGGGAATCAGCTCTCATCTCGAGACGATTTGGGGTACACGGAGCATTCCTCGAGTTGCTGTGCTGAAGTTGGTGTTCCTCTAGACTGGGACAGTGTTCTTGGGGCATCTCTGGAGTTGCCTGAAGGAAGTCGAACCACCGGTCGTGTCGAATGGGGAACGGGGAATGGCTCTGGAGTCAATGCAGGGGAATCGGGCCTCATCTCGAGTTGATTTGGGGCACATGGAGCTGCTTTGCATTGCTGGGGTGACCTCAGGGTCCGTCTAGACTGGTGAAAGTGTTCTTGGGGACTGTCTCGAGATCCATTAAACAAGTCGATGCTCCTGACTTGTTTGAATGGCATCACAGAATAGCTCTGCATGCACTGCAGGGGAATGGGGCCTCATCTCGCCTCTAGGGGGAAGTCTCATGGTTTTTCTCGAGTTGCGGCGGGGACCTGGGGTATGTTCTCGACTTACGGCGGGGATGGCCTTTCAAACACGAGTTTCTTCAGTGACCTCAGGACTCCTGTCTAGTAACGAGGGACACCTCAGGAATCTCTTCGAGGCTTGGCAGGGCAAAAGGGACGCTTCTCGAGGTGAGGCAGGGCACCCAAGGACCCTTTCCAGTAGCCACAGTGATTTTCGGATTCCTATCAGTATTCAAGAGGAGTCAGGCATCGTCACCTTTTGAAGCAATGAACTCCGCGTGCCTCTCGAGGTGTCAACTGGAGGTGAGGCATTCCGTCAAAATGAGGCAGGGACCTAGGGCTTTCTCTAAGGTCTCCACAGGGGATTCAGTCATCCCTTCAGGATGTGAGATGAAACACGAGCCTGTATTCAAGCGACTGCAAGGAAATCCGGCCTCCTTTCAAGTTAGGGCTTCTTGCTGTGTATTCCCCTTGAGGCAGCAATCTCAGGGTCCCTCCCACATACTTATTGCTTAGAGAAGCATCCTCCTGAGGTGCTTCTGGAAAGTTGGCATACGTCTTGAGCCTAAGCCAGGGAATCAGCTCTAATCTCGAGACGATTTGGGGTACACGGAGCATTCCTCGAGTTGCTGTGCTGAAGTTGGTGTTCCTCTAGACTTGGGACAGTGTTCTCGGGGCATCTCTGGAGTTGCCTGAAGGAAGTCGAGCCACCGGTCGTGTTGAATGGGGAACGGGGAATGGCTCTGGAGTCAATGCATGGGAATCGGGCCTCATCTCGAGTTGATTTGGGGCACATGGAGCTGCTTTGCGTTGCTGGGGTGACCTCAGGGTCCGTCTAGACTGGTGACAGTGTTCTTGGGGACTGTGTCGAGATCCATTAAGCAAGTCAAAGCTCCTGACTTGTTTGAATGGGATCACGGAATAGCTCTGCATGCACTGCAGGGGAATGGGGCCTCATCTCGCCTCTAGGGGGAAGTCTCATGGTTTTTCTCGAGTTGCGGCGGGGACCTGGGATATGTTCTCGACTTACGGTGGGGATGGCCCTTCAAAACACTAGTTTCTTCAGTGACGTCAGGACTCCTGTCTAGTAACGAGGGACACCTCAGGAATCTCTTCCAGGCTTGGCAGGGCAAAAGGGACGCATCTCGAGGTGAGGCAGGGCACCCAAGGACCCTTTCCAGTAGCCACAGGGATTTTGGGATTCCTATCAGTATTCAAGAGGAGTCAGGCATCATCACCTTTTGAAGCAATGAACTCTGCGTGCCTCTCGAGGTTTCAGCGGGATGTGAGGCATTCCGTCAAAATGAGGCAGGGACCTAGGGCTTTCTCTAAGGTCTCCACAGGGGATTCAGACAACCCTTCAGGTTTTGAGATCAAAGACGAGCCTGTATTCTAGCCACTGCAAGGAAATCCGGCCTCCTTTCAAGTTAGGGCTTCTCGATGTATATTCCCCTGGAGGCAGCAAATTCGGGGTCCCTCCCACATAGCTATTACTGAGAGAAGACTCCTCCTGAGATGCTTCTGGAAAGTTGGCATACGACTTGAGCTTAAGCCAGGGAATCAGCTCTCATCTCGAGATGATTTGGGGTACACGGAGCATTCCTCGAGTTGCTGTGCTGAAGTTGGTGTTCCTCTAGACTTGGGACAGTCTTCCCGGGGCATCTCTGGAGTTGCCTGAAGGAAGTCGAGCCACCGGTCGTGTTGAATGGGGAACGGGGAATGGCTCTGGAGTCAATGCAGGGGAATCGGGCCTCATCTCGAGTTGATTTGGGGCACATGGAGCTGCTTTGCGTTGCTGGGGTTACCACAGGGTCCGTCTAGACTGGTGACAGTGTTCTTGGGGACTGTCTCGAGATCCATTAAGCAAGTCGAAGCTCCTGACTTGTTTGAATGGGATCACGGAATAGCTCTGCATGCTCTGCAGGGGAATGGAGCCTCATCTCGCCTCTAGGGGGAAGTCTCATGGTTTTTCTCGAGTTGCGGCGGGGACCTGGGGTATGTTCTCGACTTACGGCGGGGATGGCCTTTCAAAACACGAGTTTCTTCAGTGACGTCAGGACTCCTGTCTAGTAACGAGGGACACCTCAGGAATCTCTTCGAGGCTTGGCAGGGCAAAAGGGACGCTTCTCGAGGTGAGGCAGGGCACCCAAGGACCCTTTCCAGTAGCCACAGGGATTTTCGGATTCCTATCAGTATTCAAGAGGAGTCAGGCATCGTCACCTTTTGAAGCAATGAACTCCGCGTGCCTCTCGAGGTGTCAACTGGAGGTTAGGCATTCCGTCAAAATGAGGCAGGGATCTAGGGCTTTCTCTAAGGTCTCCACAGGGGATTCAGTCATCCCTTCAGGATGTGAGATGAAACACGAGCCTGTATTCAAGCCACTGCAAGGAAATCCGGCCTCCTTTCAAGTTATGGCTTCTTGCTGTGTATTCCCCTTGAGGCAGCAATCTCAGGGTCCCTCCCACATACCTATTGCTGAGAGAAGCATCCTCCTGAGGTGCTTCTGGAAAGTTGGCATACGTCTTGAGCCTAAACCAGGGAATCAGCTCTAATCTCGAGACGATTTGGGGTACACGGAGCATTCCTCGAGTTGCTGTGCTGAAGTTGGTGGTCCTCTAGACTTGGGACAGTGTTCTCGGGGCATCTCTGGAGTTGCCTGAAGGAAGTCGCGCCACCGGTCGTGTTGAATGGGGAACGGGGAATGGCTCTGGAGTCAATGCATGGGAATCGGGCCTCATCTCGAGTTGATTTGGGGCACATGGAGCTGCTTTGCGTTGCTGGGGTGACCTCAGGGTCCGTCTAGACTGGTGACAGTGTTCTTGGGGACTGTGTCGAGATCCATTAAGCAAGTCAAAGCTCCTGACTTGTTTGAATGGGATCACGGAATAGCTCTGCATGCACTGCAGGGGAATGGGGCCTCATCTCTCCTCTAGGGGGAAGTCTCATGGTTTTTCTCAAGTTGCGGCGGGGACCTGGGATATGTTCTCGACTTACGGCGGGGATGGCCCTTCAAAACACTAGTTTCTTTAGTGACGTCAGGACTCCTGTCTAGTAACGAGGGACACCTCAGGAATCTCTTCCAGGCTTGGCAGGGCAAAAGGGACGCATCTCGAGGTGAGGCAGGGCACCCAAAGACCCTTTCCAGTAGCCACAGGGATTTTGGGATTCCTATCAGTATTCAAGAGGAGTCAGGCATCATCACCTTTTGAAGCAATGAACTCTGCGTGCCTCTCGAGTTTTCAGCGGGATGTGAGGCATTCCGTCAAAATGAGGCAGGGACCTAGGGCTTTCTCTAAGGTCTCCACAGGGGATTCAGACACCCCTTCAGGTTTTGAGATCAAAGACGAGCCTGTATTCTAGCCACTGCAAGGAAATCCGGCCTCCTTTCAAGTTAGGGCTTCTCGCTGTATATTCCCTTGGAGGCAGCAAACTCGGGGTCCCTCCCACATAGCTATTACTGAGAGAAGCCTCCTCCTGAGGTGCTTCTGGAAAGTTGGCATACGACTTGAGCTTAAGCCAGGGAATCAGCTCTCATCTCGAGATGATTTGGGGTACACGGAGCATTCCTCGAGTTGCTGTGCTGAAGTTGGTGTTCCTCTAGACTTGGGACAGTGTTCCCGGGGCATCTCTGGAGTTGCCTGAAGGAAGTCAAGCCACCGGTCGTGTTGAATGGGGAACGGGGAATGGCTCTGGAGTCAATGCAGGGGAATCGGGCCTCATCTCGAGTTGATTTGGGGCACATGGAGCTGCTTTGCGTTGCTGGGGTGACCTCAGGGTCCGTCTAGACTGGTGACAGTGTTCTTGGGGACTGTCTCGAGATCCATTAAGCAAGTCGAAGCTCCTGACTTGTTTGAATGGGATCACGGAATAGCTCTGCATGCTCTGCAGGGGAATGGGGCCTCATCTCGCCTCTAGGGGGAAGTCTCATGGTTTTTCTCGAGTTGCGGCGGGGACCTGGGGTATGTTCTCGACTTACGGCGGGGATGGCCTTTCAAAACACGAGTTTCTTCAGTGATGTCAGGACTCCTGTCTAGTAACGAGGGACACCTCAGGAATCTCTTCGAGGCTTGGCAGGGCAAAAGGGACGCTTCTCGAGGTGAGGCAGGGCACCCAAGGACCCTTTCCAGTAGCCACTGGGATTTTCGGATTCCTATCAGTATTCAAGAGGAGTCAGGCATCGTCACCTTTTGAAGCAATGAACTCCGCGTGCCTCTCGAGGTGTCAACTGGAGGTGAGGCATTCCGTCAAAATGAGGCAGGGATCTAGGGCTTTCTCTAAGGTCTCCACAGGGGATTCAGTCATCCCTTCAGGATATGAGATGAAACACGAGCCTGTATTCAAGCCACTGCAAGGAAATCCGGCCTCCTTTCAAGTTAGGGCTTCTTGCTGTGTATTCCCCTTGAGGCAGTAATCTCAGGGTCCCTCCCACATACCTATTGCTGAGAGAAGCCTCCTCCTGAGGTGCTTCTGGAAAGTTGGCATACGTCTTGAGCCTAAGCCAGGGAATCAGCTCTAATCTCGAGACGATTTGGGGTACACGGAGCATTCCTCGAGTTGCTGTGCTGAAGTTGGTGTTCCTCTAGACTTGGGACAGTGTTCTCGGGGCATCTCTGGAGTTGCCTGAAGGAAGTCGAGCCAACGGTCGTGTTGAATGGGGAACGGGGAATGGCTCTGGAGTCAATGCATGGGAATCGGGCCTCATCTCGAGTTGATTTGGGGCACATGGAGCTGCTTTGCGTTGCTGGGGTGACCTCAGGGTCCGTCTAGACTGGTGACAGTGTTCTTGGGGACTGTGTCGAGATCCATTAAGCAAATCAAAGCTCCTGACTTGTTTGAATGGGATCACGGAATAGCTCTGTATGCACTGCAGGGGAATGGGGCCTCATCTCGCCTCTAGGGGGAAGTCTCATGGTTTTTCTCGAGTTGCGGCGGGGACCTGGGATATGTTCTCGACTTACGGCGCGGATGGCCCTTCAAAACTCTAGTTTCTTCAGTGACGTCAGGACTCCTGTCTAGTAACGAGGGACACCTCAGGAATCTCTTCCAGGCTTGGCAGGGCAAAAGGGACGCATCTCGAGGTGAGGCAGGGCACCCAAAGACCCTTTCCAGTAGCCACAGGGATTTTGGGATTCCTATCAGTATTCAAGAGGAGTCAGGCATCATCACCTTTTGAAGCAATGAACTCCGCGTGCCTCTCGAGGTTTCAGCGGGATGTGAGGCATTCCGTCAAAATGAGGCAGGGACCTAGGGCTTTCTCTAAGGTCTCCACAGGGGATTCAGACAACCCTTCAGGTTTTGAGATCAAAGACGAGCCTGTATTCTAGCCACTGCAAGGAAATCCGGCCTCCTTTCAAGTTAGGGCTTCTCGCTGTATATTCCCCTTGAGGCAGCAAACTCGGGGTCCCTCCCACATAGCTATTACTGAGAGAAGCCTCCTCCTGAGGTGCTTCTGGAAAGTTGGCATACGACTTGAGCTTAAGCCAGGGAATCAGCACTCATCTCGAGATGATTTGGGGTACACGGAGCATTCCTCGAGTTGCTGTGCTGAAGTTGGTGTTCCTCTAGACTTGGGACAGTGTTCCCGGGGCATCTCTGGAGTTGCCTGAAGGAAGTCGAGCCACCGGTCGTGTTGAATGGGGAACGGGGAATGGCTCTGGAGTCAATGCAGGGGAATCGGGCCTCATCTCGAGTTGATTTGGGGCACATGGAGCTGCTTTGCGTTGCTGGGGTTACCACAGGGTCCGTCGAGACTGGTGACAGTGTTCTTGGGGACTGTCTCGAGATCCATTAAGCAAGTCGAAGCTCCTGACTTGTTTGAATGGGACCACGGAATAGCTCTGCATGCTCTGCAGGGGAATGGAGCCTCATCTCGCCTCTAGGGGGAAGTCTCATGGTTTTACTCGAGTTGCGGCGGGGACCTGGGGTATGTTCTCGACTTACGGCGGGGATGGCCTTTCAAAACACGAGTTTCTTCAGTGACGTCAGGACTCCTGTCTAGTAACGAGGGACACCTCAGGAATCTCTTCGAGGCTTGGCAGGGCAAAAGGGACGCTTCTCGAGGTGAGGCAGTGCACCCAAGGACCCTTTCCAGTAGCCACAGGGATTTTGGGATTCCTATCAGTATTCAAGAGGAGTCAGGCATCGTCACCTTTTGAAGCAATGAACTCCGCGTGCCTCTCGAGGTGTCAGCGGGATGTGAGGCATTCCGTCAAAATGAGGCAGGGACCTAGGGCTTTCTCTAAGGTCTCCACAGGGGATTCAGACATCCCTTCATGTTGTGAGATGAAAGACGAGCCTTTATTCAAGCCACTGCAAGGAAATCCGGCCTCCTTTCAAGTTAGGGCTTCTCGCTGTATATTCCCCTTGAGGCAGCAAACTCGGGGTCCCTCCCACATACCTATTGCTGAGAGAAGCCTCCTCCTGAGGTGCTTCTGGGAAGTTGGCATACGTCTTGAGCCTAAGCCAGGGAATCAGCTCTCATCTCGAGACGATTTGGGGTACACGGAGCATTCCTCGAGTTGCTGTGCTGAAGTTGGTGTTCCTCTAGACTTGGGACAGTGTTCTCAGGGCATCTCTGGAGTTGCCTGAAGGAAGTCGAGCCACCGGACGTGTTGAATGGGGAACGGGGAATGGCTCTGGAGTCAATGCAGGGGAATCGGGCCTCATCTCGAGTTGATTTGGGGCACATGGAGCTGCTTTGCGTTGCTGGGGTGACCTCAGGGTCCGTCTAGACTGGTGACAGTGTTCTTGGGGACTGTCTCGAGATCCATTAAGCAAGCCGAAGCTCCTGACTTGTTTGAATGGGATCACGGAATAGCTCTGCATGCACTGCAGGGGAATGGGGCCTCATCTCGCCTCTAGGGGGAAGTCTCATGGTTTTTCTCGAGTTGCGGCGGGGACCTGGGGTATGTTCTCGACTTACGGCGGGGATGGCCCTTCAAAACACGAGTTTCTTCAGTGACGTCAGGACTCCTGTCTAGTAACGAGGGACACCTCAGGAATCTCTTCGAGGCTTGGCAGGGCAAAAGGGACGCTTCTCGAGGTGAGGCAGGGCACCCAAGGACCATTTCCAGTAGCCACAGTGATTTTGGGATTCCTATCAGTATTCAAGAGGAGTCAGGCATCGTCACCTTTTGAAGCAATGAACTCCGCGTGCCTCTCGAGGTGTCAGCGGGATGTGAGGCATTCCGTCAAAATGAGGCAGGGACCTAGGGCTTTCTCTAAGGTCTCCACAGGGTATTCAGACATCCCTTCATGTTGTGAGATGAAAGACGAGCCTGTATTCAAGCCACTGCAAGGAAATCCGGCCTCCTTTCAAGTTAGGGCTTCTCGCTGTATATTCCCCTTGAGGCAGCAAACTCGGGGTCCCTCCCACATACCTATTGCTGAGAGAAGCCTCCTCCTGAGGTGCTTCTGGGAAGTTGGCATACGTCTTGAGCCTAAGCCAGGGAATCAGCTCTCATCTCGAGACGATTTGGGGTACACGGAGCATTCCTCGAGTTGCTGTGCTGAAGTTGGTGTTCCTCTAGACTTGGGACAGTGTTCTCGGGGCATCTCTGGAGTTGCCTGAAGGAAGTCGAGCCACCGGTCATGTTGAATGGGGAACGGGGAATGGCTCTGGAGTCAATGCAGGGGAATCGGGCCTCATCTCGAGTTGATTTGTGGCACATGCAGCTGCTTTGCGTTGCTGGGGTGACCTCAGGGTCCGTCTAGACTGGTGACAGTGTTCTTGGGGACTGTCTCGAGATCCATTAAGCAAGCCGAAGCTCCTGACTTGTTTGAATGGGATCACGGAATAGCTCTGCATGCACTGCAGGGGAATGGGGCCTCATCTCGCCTCTAGGGGGAAGTCTCATGGTTTTTCTCGAGTTGCGGCGGGGACCTGGGGTATGTTCTCGACTTACGGCCGGGATGGCCCTTCAAAACACGAGTTTCTTCAGTGACGTCAGGACTCCTGTCTAGTAACGAGGGACACCTCAGGAATCTCTTCGAGGCTTGGCAGGGCAAAAGGGACGCTTCTCGAGGTGAGGCAGGGCACCCAAGGACCCTTTCCAGTAGCCACAGGGATTTTGGGATTCCTATCAGTATTCAAGAGGAGTCAGGCATCGTCACCTTTTGAAGCAATGAACTCCGCGTGCCTCTCGAGGTGTCAGTGGGATGTGAGGCATTCCGTCAAAATGAGGCAGGGACCTGGGGCTTTCTCTAAGGTCTCCACAGGGGATTCAGACATCCCTTCATGTTGTGAGATGAAAGACGAGCCTGTATTCAAGCCACTGCAAGGAAATCCGGCCTCCTTTCAAGTTAGGGCTTCTCGCTGTATATTCCCCTTGAGGCAGCAAACTCGGGGTCCCTCCCACATACCTATTGCTGAGAGAAGCCTCCTCCTGAGGTGCTTCTGGGAAGTTGGCATACGCCTTGAGCCTAAGCCAGGGAATCAGCTCTCATCTCGAGACGATTTGGGGTACACGGAGCATTCTTCGAGTTGCTATGCTGAAGTTGGTGTTCCTCTAGACTTGGGACAGTGTTCTCGGGGAATCTCTGGAGTTGCCTGAAGGAAGTCGAGCTACCGGTCGTGTTGAATGGGGAACGAGGAATGGCTCTGGAGTCAATGCAGGGGAATCGGGCCTCATCTCGAGTTGATTTGGGGCACATGGAGCTGCTTTGCGTTGCTGGGGTGACCTCAGGGTCCGTCTAGACTGGTGACAGTGTTCTTGGGGACTGTCTCGAGATCCATTAAGCAAGTCGAAGCTCCTGACTTGTTTGAATGGGATCACGGAATAGCTCTGCATGCACTGCAGGGGAATGGGGCCTCATCTCGCCTCTAGGGGGAAGTCTCATGGTTTTTCTCGAGTTGCGGCGGGGACCTGGGGTATGTTCTCGACTTACGGCGGGGATGGCCCTTCAAACCACGAGTTTCTTCAGTGACGTCAGGACTCCTGTCTAGTAACGAGGGACACCTCAGGAATCTCTTCGAGGCTTGGCAGGGCAAAAGGGACGCTTCTCGAGGTGAGGCAGGGCACCCAAGGACCCTTTCCAGTAGCCACAGGGATTTTGGGATTCCTATCAGTATTCAAGAGGAGTCAGGCATCGTCACCTTTTGAAGCAATGAACTCCGCGTGCCTCTCGAAGTGTCAGCGCGATGTGAGGCATTCCGTCAAAATGAGGCAGGGACCTAGGGCTTTCTCTAAGGTCTCCACAGGGGATTCAGACATCCCTTCATGTTGTGAGATGAAAGACGAGCCTGTATTCAAGCCACTGCAAGGAAATCCGGCCTCCTTTCAAGTTAGGGCTTCTCGCTGTATATTCCCCTTGAGGCAGCAAACTCGGGGTCCCTCCCACATACCTATTGCTGAGAGAAGCCTCCTCTTGAGGTGCTTCTGGGAAGTTTGCATACGTCTTGAGCCTAAGCCAGGGAATCAGCTCTCATCTCGAGACGGTTTGGGGTACACGGAGCATTCCTCGAGTTGCTGTGCTGAATTTGGTGTTCCTCTAGACTTGGGACAGTGTTCTCGGGGCATCTCTGTAGTTGCCTGAAGGAAGTCGAGCCACCGGTCGTGTTGAATGGGGAAAGGGAATGCCTCTGGAGTCAATGCAGGGGAATCGGGCCTCATCTCGAGTTGATTTGGGGCACATGGAGCTGCTTTGCGTTGCTGGGGTGACCTCAGGGTCCGTCTAGACTGGTTACAGTGTTCTTGGGGACTGTCTCGAGATCCATTAAGCAAGTCGAAGCTCCTGACTTGTTTGAATGGGATCACGGAATAGCTCTGCATGCACTGCAGGGGAATGGGGCCTCATCTCGCCTCTAGGGGGGAAGTCTCATGGTTTTTCTCGAGTTGCGGCGGGGACCTGGGGTATGTTCTCGACTTACGGCGGGGATGGCCCTTCAAAACACGAGTTTCTTCAGTGACGTCAGGACTCCTGTCTAGTAACGAGGGACACCTCAGGAATCTCTTCGAGGCTTGGCAGGGCAAAAGGGACGCTTCTCGAGGTGAGGCAGGGCACCCAAGGACCCTTTCCAGTAGCCACAGGGATTTTGGGATTCCTATCAGTATTCAAGAGGAGTCAGGCATCGTCACCTTTTGAAGCAATGAACTCCGTGTGCCTCTCGAGGTGTCAGCGCGATATGAGGCATTCCGTCAAAATGAGGCAGGGACCTAGGGCTTTCTCTAAGGTCTCCACAGGGGATTCAGACATCCCTTCATGTTGTGAGATGAAAGACGTGCCTGTATTCAAGCCACTGCAAGGAAATCCGGCCTCCTTTCAAGTTAGGGCTTCTCGCTGTATATTCCCCTTGAGGCAGCAAACTCGGGGTCCCTCCCACATACCTATTGCTGAGAGAAGCCTCCTCCTGAGGTGCTTCTGGGAAGTTGGCATACGCCTTGAGCCTAAGCCAGGGAATCAGCTCTCATCTCGAGACGATTTGGGGTACACGGAGCATTCCTCGAGTTGCTATGCTGAAGTTGGTGTTCCTCTAGACTTGGGACAGTGTTCTCGGGGCATCTCTGGAGTTGCCTGAAGGAAGTCGAGCCACCGGTCGTGTTGAATGGGGAACGGGGAATGGCTCTGGAGTCAATGCAGGGGAATCGGGCCTCATCTCGAGTTGATTTGGGGCACATGGAGCTGCTTTGCGTTGCTGGGGTGACCTCAGGGTCCGTCTAGACTGGTGACAGTGTTCTTGGGGACTGTCTCGAGATCCATTAAGCAAGTCGAAGCTCCTGACTTGTTTGAATGGGATCACGGAATAGCTCTGCATGCACTGCAGGGGAATGGGGCCTCATCTCGCCTCTAGGGGGAAGTCTCATGGTTTTTCTCGAGTTGCGGCGGGGACCTGGGGTATGTTCTCGACTTACGGCGGGGATGGCCCTTCAAAACACGAGTTTCTTCAGTGACGTCAGGACTCCTGTCTAGTAACGAGGGACACCTCAGGAATCTCTTCGAGGCTTGGCAGGGCAAAAGGGACGCTTCTCGAGGTGAGGCAGGGCACCCAAGGACCCTTTCCAGTAGCCACAGGGATTTTGGGATTCCTATCAGTATTCAAGAGGAGTCAGGCATCGTCACCTTTTGAAGCAATGAACTCCGCGTGCCTCTCGAAGTGTCAGCACGATGTGAGGCATTCCGTCAAAATGAGGCAGGGACCTAGGGATTTCTCTAAGGTCTCCACAGGGGATTCAGACATCCCTTCATGTTGTGAGATGAAAGACGAGCCTGTATTCAAGCCACTGCAAGGAAATCCGGCCTCCTTTCAAATTAGATTTTCTCACTGTATATTCCCCTTGAGGCAGCAAACTCGGGGTCCCTCCCTCATACCTATTGCTGAGAGAAGCCTCCTCCTGAGGTGCTTCTGGGAAGTTGGCATACGTCTTGAACCTAAGCCAGGGAATCAGCTCTCATCTCGAGACGATTTGGGGTACACGGAGCATTCCTCGAGTTGCTGTGCTGAAGTTGGTGTTCCTCTAGACTTGGGACAGTGTTCTCGGGGCATCTCTGGAGTTGCCTGAAGGAAGTCGAGCCACCGGTCGTGTTGAATGGGGAACGGGGAATGGCTCTGGAGTCAATGCAGGGGAATCGGGCCTCATCTCGAGTTGATTTGGGGCACATGGAGCTGCTTTGCGTTGCTGGGGTGACCTCAGGGTCCGTCTAGACTGGTGACAGTGTTCTTGGGGACTGTCTCGAGATCCATTAAGCAAGTCGAAGCTCCTGACTTGTTTGAATGGGATCACGGAATAGCTCTGCATGCACTGCAGGGGAATGGGGCCTCATCTCGCCTCTAGGGGGAAGTCTCATGGTTTTTCTCGAGTTGCGGCGGGGACCTGGGGTATGTTCTCGACTTACGGCGGGGATGGCCCTTCAAAACACGAGTTTCTTCAGTGACGTCAGGACTCCTGTCTAGTAACGAGGGACACCTCAGGAATCTCTTCGAGGCTTGGCAGGGCAAAAGGGACGCTTCTCGAAGTGAGGCAGGGCACCTAAGGACCCTTTCCAGTAGCCACAGGGATTTTGGGATTCCTATCAGTATTCAAGAGGAGTCAGGCATCGTCACCTTTTGAAGCAATGAACTCCGCGTGCCTCTCGAGGTGTCAGCGCGATGTGAGGCATTCCGTCAAAATGAGGCAGGGACCAAGGGCTTTCTCTAAGGTCTCCTCAGGGGATTCAGACATCCCTTCATGTTGTGAGATGAAACACGAGCCTGTATTCAAGCCACTGCAAGGAAATCCGGCCTCCTTTCAAGTTAGGGCTTCTCGCTGTATATTCCCCTTGAGGCAGCAAACTCGGGGTCCCTCCCACATACCTATTGCTGAGAGAAGCCTCCTCTTGAGGTGCTTCTGGGAAGTTGGCATACGTCTTGAGCCAAAGCTAGGGAATCAGCTCTCATCTCGAGACGGTTTGGGGTACACGGAGCATTCCTCGAGTTGCTGTGCTGAAGTTGGTGTTCCTCTAGACTTGGGACAGTGTTCTCGGGGCATCTCTGGAGTTGCCTGAAGGAAGTCGAGCCACCGGTCGTGTTGAATGGGGAACGGGGAATGGCTCTGGAGTCAATGCAGGGGAATCGGGCCTCATCTCGAGTTGATTTGGGGCACATGGAGCTGCTTTGCGTTGCTGGGGTGACCTCAGGGTCCGTCTAGACTGGTGACAGTGTTCTTGGGGACTGTCTCGAGATCCATTAAGCAAGTCGAAGCTCCTGACTTGTTTGAATGGGATCACGGAATAGCTCTGCATGCACTGCAGGGGAATGGGGCCTCATCTCGCCTCTAGGGGGAAGTCTCATGGTTTTTCTCGAGTTGCGGCGGGGACCTGGGGTATGTTCTCGACTTACGGCGGGGATGGCCCTTCAAAACACGAGTTTCTTCAGTGACGTCAGGACTCCTGTCTAGTAACGAGGGACACCTCAGGAATCTCTTCGAGGCTTGGCAGGGCAAAAGGGACGCTTCTAGAGGTGAGGCAGGGCACCCAAGGACCCTTTCCAGTAGCCACAGGGATTTTGGGATTCCTATCAGTATTCAAGAGGAGTCAGGCATCGTCACCTTTTGAAGCAATGAACTCCGTGTGCCTCTCGAGGTGTCAGCGCGATGTGAGGCATTCCGTCAAAATGAGGCAGGGACCTAGGGCTTTCTCTAAGGTCTCCACAGGGGATTCAGACATCCCTTCATGTTGTGAGATGAAAGACGTGCCTGTATTCAAGCCACTGCAAGGAAATCCGGCCTCCTTTCAAGTTAGGGCTTCTCGCTGTATATTCCCCTTGAGGCAGCAAACTCGGGGTCCCTCCCACATACCTATTGCTGAGAGAAGCCTCCTCCTGAGGTGCTTCTGGGAAGTTGGCATACGTCTTGAGCCTAAGCCAGGGAATCAGCTCGCATCTCGAGACGATTTGAGGTACACGGAGCATTCCTCGAGTTGCTGTGCTGAAGTTGGTGTTCCTCTAGACTTGGGACAGTGTTCTCGGGGCATCTCTGGAGTTGCCTGAAGGAAGTCGAGCCACCGGTCGTGTTGAATGGGGAACGGGGAATGGCTCTGGAGTCAATGCAGGGGAATCGGGCCTCATCTCGAGTTGATTTGGGGCACATGGAGCTGCTTTGCGTTGCTGGGGTAACCTCAGGGTCCGTCTAGACTGGTGACAGTGTTCTTGGGGACTGTCTCGAGATCCATTAAGCAAGTCGAAGCTCCTGACTTGTTTGAATGGGATCACGGAATAGCTCTGCATGCACTGCAGGGGAATGGGGCCTCATCTCGCCTCTAGGGGGAAGTATCATGGTTTTCCTCGAGTTGCGGCGGGGACCTGGGGTATGTTCTCGACTTACGGCGGGGATGGCCCTTCAAAACACGAGTTTCTTCAGTGACGTCATGACTCCTGTCTAGTAACGAGGGACACCTCAGGAATCTCTTCGAGGCTTGGCAGGGCAAAAGGGACGCTTCTCGAGGTGAGGCAGGGCACCCAAGGACCCTTTCCAGTAGCCACAGGGATTTTGGGATTCCTATCAGTATTCAAGAGGAGTCAGGCATCGTCACCTTTTGAAGCAATGAACTCCGCGTGCCTCTCGAGGTGTCAGCGGGATGTGAGGCATTCCGTCAAAATGAGACAGGGACCTAGGGCTTTCTCTAAGGTCTCCACAGGGGACTCAGACATCCCTTCATGTTGTGAGATGAAAGACGAGCCTGTATTCAAGCCACTGCAAGGAAATCCGGCCTCCTTTCAAGTTAGGGCTTCTCGCTGTATATTCCCCTTGAGGCAGCAAACTCGGGGTCCCTCCCACATACCTATTGCTGAGAGAAGCCTCCGCCTGAGGTGCTTCTGGGAAGTTGGCATACGTCTTGAGCCTAAGCCAGGGAATCAGCTCTCATCTCGAGACGATTTGGGGTACACGGAGCATTCCTCGAGTTGCTGTGCTGAAGTTGGTGTTCCTCTAGACTTGGGACAGTGTTCTCGGGGCATCTCTGGAGTTGCCTGAAGGAAGTCGAGCCACCGGTCGTGTTGAATGGGGAAAGGGGAATGGCTCTGGAGTCAATGCAGGGGAATCGGGCCTCATCTCGAGTTGATTTGGGGCACATGGAGCTGCTTTGCGTTGCTGGGGTGACCTCAGGGTCCGTCTAGACTGGTGACAGTGTTCTTGGGGACTGTCTCGAGATCCATTAAGCAAGTCGAAGCTCCTGACTTGTTTTATTGGATCACGGAATAGCGCTGCATGCACTGCAGGGGAATGGGGCCTCATCTCGCCTCTAGGGGGAAGTCTCATGGTTTTTCTCGAGTTGCGGCGGGGACCTGGGGTATGTTCTCGACTTATGGCGGGGATGGCCCTTCAAAACACGAGTTTCTTCAGTGACGTCAGGACTCCTGTCTAGTAATGAGGGACACCTCCGGAATCTCTTCGAGGCTTGGCAGGGCAAAAGGGACGCTTCTCGAGGTGAGGCAGGGCACCTAAGGACCCTTTCCAGTAGCCAAAGGGATTTTGGGATTCCTATCAGTATTCAAGAGGAGTCAGGCATCGTCACCTTTTGAAGCAATGAACTCCGCGTGCCTCTCGAAGTGTCAGCGCGATGTGAGGCATTCCGTCAAAATGAGGCAGGGACCTAGGGATTTCTCTAAGGTCTCCACAGGGGATTCAGACATCCCTTCATGTTGTGAGATGAAAGACGAGCCTGTATTCAAGCCACTGCAAGGAAATCCGGCCTCCTTTCAAATTAGGTTTTCTCACTGTATATTCCCCTTGAGGCAGCAAACTCGGTGTCCCTCCCTCATACCTATTGCTGAGAGAAGCCTCCTCCTGAGGTGCTTCTGGGAAGTTGGCATACGTCTTGAGCCTAAGCCAGGGAATCAGCTCTCATCTCGAGACGATTTGGGGTACACGGAGCATTCCTCGAGTGGCTGTGCTGAAGTTGGTGTTCCTCTAGACTTGGGACAGTGTTCTCGGGGCATCTCTGGAGTTGCCTGAAGGAAGTCGAGCCACCGGTCGTGTTGAATGGGGAACGGGGAATGGCTCTGGAGTCAATGCAGGGGAATCGGGCCTCATCTCGAGTTGATTTGGGGCACATGGAGCTGCTTTGCGTTGCTGGGGTGACCTCAGGGTCCGTCTAGACTGGTGACAGTGTTCTTGGGGACTGTCTCGAGATCCATTAAGCAAGTCGAAGCTCCTGACTTGTTTGAATGGGATCATGGAATAGCTCTGCATGCACTGCAGGGGAATGGGGCCTCATCTCGCCTCTAGGGGGAAGTCTCATGGTTTTTCTCGAGTTGCGGCGGTGACCTGGGTATGTTCTCGACTTACAGCGGGGATGGCCCTTCAAAACACGAGTTTCTTCAGTGACGTCAGGTCTCCTGTCTAGTAACGAGGGACACCTCAGGAATCTCTTCGAGGCTTGGCAGGGCAAAAGGGACGCTTCTCGAGGTGAGGCAGGGCACCCAAGGACCCTTTCCAGTAGCCACAGGGATTTTGGGATTCCTATCAGTATTCAAGAGGAGTCAGGCATCGTCACCTTTTGAAGCAATGAACTCCGCGTGCCTCTCGAGGTGTCAGCGGGATGTGAGGCATTCCGTCAAAATGAGGCAGGGAACTAGGGCTTTCTCTAAGGTCTCCACAGGGGATTCAGACATCCCTTCATGTTGTGAGATGAAAGACGAGCCTGTATTCAAGCCACTGCAAGGAAATCCGGCCTCCTTTCAAGTTAGGGCTTCTCGCTGTATATTCCCCTTGAGGCAGCAAACTCGGGGTCCCTCCCACATACCTATTGCTGAGAGAAGCCTCCTCCTGAGGTGCTTCTGGGAAGTTGGCATACGTCTTGAGCCTAAGCCAGGGAATCAGCTCGCATCTCGAGACGATTTGGGGTACACGGAGCATTCCTCGAGTTGCTGTGCTGAAGTTGGTGTTCCTCTAGACTTGGGACAGTGTTCTCGGGGCATCTCTGGAGTTGCCTGAAGGAAGTCGAGCCACCGGTCGTGTTGAATGGGGAACGGGGAATGGCTCTGGAGTCAATGCAGGGGAATCGGGCCTCATCTCGAGTTGATTTGGGGCACATGGAGCTGCTTTGCGTTGCTGGGGTGACCTCAGGGTCCGTCTAGACTGGTGACAGTGTTCTTGGGGACTGTCTCGAGATCCATTAAGCAAGTCGAAGCTCCTGACTTGTTTGAATGGGATCACGGAATAGCTCTGCATGCACTGCAGGGGAATGGGGCCTCATCTCGCCTCTAGGGGGAAGTATCATGGTTTTCCTCGAGTTGCGGCGGGGACCTGGGGTATGTTCTCGACTTACGGCGGGGATGGCCCTTCAAAACACGAGTTTCTTCAGTGACGTCAGGACTCCTGTCTAGTAACGAGGGACACCTCAGGAATCTCTTCGAGGCTTGGCAGGGCAAAAGGGACGCTTCTCGAGGTGAGGCAGGGCACCCAAGGACCCTTTCCAGTAGCCACAGGGATTTTGGGATTCCTATCAGTATTCAAGAGGAGTCAGGCATCGTCACCTTTTGAAGCAATGAACTCCGCGTGCCTCTCGAGGTGTCAGCGGGATGTGAGGCATTCCGTCAAAATGAGACAGGGACCTAGGGCTTTCTCTAAGGTCTCCACAGGGGACTCAGACATCCCTTCATGTTGTGAGATGAAAGACGAGCCTGTATTCAAGCCACTGCAAGGAAATCCGGCCTCCTTTCAAGTTAGGGCTTCTCGCTGTATATTCCCCTTGAGGCAGCAAACTCGGGGTCCCTCCCACATACCTATTGCTGAGAGAAGCCTCCGCCTGAGGTGCTTCTGGGAAGTTGGCATACGTCTTGAGCCTAAGCCAGGGAATCAGCTCTCATCTCGAGACGATTTGGGGTACACGGAGCATTCCTCGAGTTGCTGTGCTGAAGTTGGTGTTCCTCTAGACTTGGGACAGTGTTCTCGGGGCATCTCTGGAGTTGCCTGAAGGAAGTCGAGCCACCGGTCGTGTTGAATGGGGAAAGGGGAATGGCTCTGGAGTCAATGCAGGGGAATCGGGCCTCATCTCGAGTTGATTTGGGGCACATGGAGCTGCTTTGCGTTGCTGGGGTGACCTCAGGGTCCGTCTAGACTGGTGACAGTGTTCTTGGGGACTGTCTCGAGATCCATTAAGCAAGTCGAAGCTCCTGACTTGTTTTATTGGATCACGGAATAGCGCTGCATGCACTGCAGGGGAATGGGGCCTCATCTCGCCTCTAGGGGGAAGTCTCATGGTTTTTCTCGAGTTGCGGCGGGGACCTGGGGTATGTTCTCGACTTATGGCGGGGATGGCCCTTCAAAACACGAGTTTCTTCAGTGACGTCAGGACTCCTGTCTAGTAATGAGGGACACCTCCGGAATCTCTTCGAGGCTTGGCAGGGCAAAAGGGACGCTTCTCGAGGTGAGGCAGGGCACCTAAGGACCCTTTCCAGTAGCCAAAGGGATTTTGGGATTCCTATCAGTATTCAAGAGGAGTCAGGCATCGTCACCTTTTGAAGCAATGAACTCCGCGTGCCTCTCGAAGTGTCAGCGCGATGTGAGGCATTCCGTCAAAATGAGGCAGGGACCTAGGGATTTCTCTAAGGTCTCCACAGGGGATTCAGACATCCCTTCATGTTGTGAGATGAAAGACGAGCCTGTATTCAAGCCACTGCAAGGAAATCCGGCCTCCTTTCAAATTAGGTTTTCTCACTGTATATTCCCCTTGAGGCAGCAAACTCGGTGTCCCTCCCTCATACCTATTGCTGAGAGAAGCCTCCTCCTGAGGTGCTTCTGGGAAGTTGGCATACGTCTTGAGCCTAAGCCAGGGAATCAGCTCTCATCTCGAGACGATTTGGGGTACATGGAGCATTCCTCGAGTGGCTGTACTGAAGTTGGTGTTCCTCTAGACTTGGGACAGTGTTCTCGGGGCATCTCTGGAGTTGCCTGAAGGAAGTCGAGCCACCGGTCGTGTTGAATGGGGAACGGGGAATGGCTCTGGAGTCAATGCAGGGGAATCGGGCCTCATCTCGAGTTGATTTGGGGCACATGGAGCTGCTTTGCGTTGCTGGGGTGACCTCAGGGTCCGTCTAGACTGGTGACAGTGTTCTTGGGGACTGTCTCGAGATCCATTAAGCAAGTCGAAGCTCCTGACTTGTTTGAATGGGATCATGGAATAGCTCTGCATGCACTGCAGGGGAATGGGGCCTCATCTCGCCTCTAGGGGGAAGTCTCATGGTTTTTCTCGAGTTGCGGCGGGGACCTGGGGTATGTTCTCGACTTACGGCGGGGATGGCCCTTCAAAACACGAGTTTCTTCAGTGACGTCAGGACTCCTGTCTAGTAACGAGGGACACCTCAGGAATCTCTTCGAGGCTTGGCAGGGCAAAAGGGACGCTTCTCGAGGTGAGGCAGGGCACCCAAGGACCCTTTCCAGTAGCCACAGGGATTTTGGGATTCCTATCAGTATTCAAGAGGAGTCAGGCATCGTCACCTTTTGAAGCAATGAACTCCGCGTGCCTCTCGAGGTGTCAGCGGGATGTGAGGCATTCCGTCAAAATGAGGCAGGGACCTAGGGCTTTCTCTAAGGTCTCCACAGGGGATTCAGACATCCCTTCATGTTGTGAGATGAAAGACGAGCCTGTATTCAAGCCACTGCAAGGAAATCCGTCCTCCTTTCAAGTTAGGGCTTCTCGCTGTATATTCTCCTTGAGGCAGCAAACTCGGTGTCCCTCCCACATACCTATTGCTGAGAGAAGCCTCCTCCTGAGGTGCTTCTGGGAAGTTGGCATATGTCTTGAGCCTAAGCCAGGGAATCAGCTCTCATCTCGAGACGGTTTGGGGTACACGGAGCATTCCTCGAGTTGCTGTGCTGAAGTTGGTGTTCCTCTAGACTTGGGACAGTGTTCTCGGGGCATCTCTGGAGTTGCCTGAAGGAAGTCGAGCCACCGGTCGTGTTGAATGGGGAACGGGGAATGGCTCTGGAGTCAATGCATGGGAATCGGGCCTCATCTCGAGTTGATTTGGGGCACATGGAACTGCTTTGCGTTGCTGGGGTGACCTCAGGGTCCGTCTAGACTGGTGACAGTGTTCTTGGGGACTGTCTCGAGATCCATTAAGCAAGTCGAAGCTCCTGACTTGTTTGAATTGGATCACAGAATAGCTCTGCATGCACTGCAGGGGAATGGGGCCTCATCTCGCCTCTAGGGGGAAGTCTCTTGGTTTTTCTCGAGTTGCGGTGGGGACCTGGGGTATGTTCTCGACTTACGGCGGGGATGGCCCTTCAAAACACGAGTTTCTTCAGTGACGTCAGGACTCCTGTCTAGTAACGAGGGACACCTCAGGAATCTCTTCGAGGCTTGGCAGGGCAAAAGGGACGCTTCTCGAGGTGAGGCAGGGCACCCAAGGACCCTTTCCAGTAGCCACAGGGATTTTGGGATTCCTATCAGTATTCAAGAGGAGTCAGGCATCGTCACCTTTTGAAGCAATGAACTCCGCGTGCCTCTCGAGGTGTCAGCGGGATGTGAGGCATTCCATCAAAATGAGACAGGGACCTAGGGCTTTCTCTAAGGTCTCCACAGGGGACTCAGACATCCCTTCATGTTGTGAGATGAAAGACGAGCCTGTATTCAAGCCACTGCAAGGAAATCCGGCCTCCTTTCAAGTTAGGGCTTCTCGCTGTATATTCCCCTTGAGGCAGCAAACTCGGGGTCCCTCCCACATACCTATTGCTGAGAGAAGCCTCCGCCTGAGGTGCTTCTGGGAAGTTGGCATACGTCTTGAGCCTAAGCCAGGGAATCAGCTCTCATCTCGAGACGATTTGGGGTACACGGAGCATTCCTCGAGTTGCTGTGCTGAAGTTGGTGTTCCTCTAGACTTGGGACAGTGTTCTCGGGGCATCTCTGGAGTTGCCTGAAGGAAGTCGAGCCACCGGTCGTGTTGAATGGGGAAAGGGGAATGGCTCTGGAGTCAATGCAGGGGAATCGGGCCTCATCTCGAGTTGATTTGGGGCACATGGAGCTGCTTTGCGTTGCTGGGGTGACCTCAGGGTCCGTCTAGACTGGTGACAGTGTTCTTGGGGACTGTCTCGAGATCCATTAAGCAAGTCGAAGCTCCTGACTTGTTTTATTGGATCACGGAATAGCTCTGCATGCACTGCAGGGGAATGGGGCCTCATCTCGCCTCTAGGGGGAAGTCTCATGGTTTTTCTCGAGTTGCGGCGGGGACCTGGGGTATGTTCTCGACTTATGGCGGGGATGGCCCTTCAAAACACGAGTTTCTTCAGTGACGTCAGGACTCCTGTCTAGTAATGAGGGACACCTCCGGAATCTCTTCGAGGCTTGGCAGGGCAAAAGGGACGCTTCTCGAGGTGAGGCAGGGCACCTAAGGACCCTTTCCAGTAGCCAAAGGGATTTTGGGATTCCTATCAGTATTCAAGAGGAGTCAGGCATCGTCACCTTTTGAAGCAATGAACTCCGCGTGCCTCTCGAAGTGTCAGCGCGATGTGAGGCATTCCGTCAAAATGAGGCAGGGACCTAGGGATTTCTCTAAGGTCTCCACAGGGGATTCAGACATCCCTTCATGTTGTGAGATGAAAGACGAGCCTGTATTCAAGCCACTGCAAGGAAATCCGGCCTCCTTTCAAATTAGGTTTTCTCACTGTATATTCCCCTTGAGGCAGCAAACTCGGTGTCCCTCCCTCATACCTATTGCTGAGAGAAGCCTCCTCCTGAGGTGCTTCTGGGAAGTTGGCATACGTCTTGAGCCTAAGCCAGGGAATCAGCTCTCATCTCGAGACGATTTGGGGTACACGGAGCATTCCTCGAGTGGCTGTACTGAAGTTGGTGTTCCTCTAGACTTGGGACAGTGTTCTCGGGGCATCTCTGGAGTTGCCTGAAGGAAGTCGAGCCACCGGTCGTGTTGAATGGGGAACGGGGAATGGCTCTGGAGTCAATGCAGGGGAATCGGGCCTCATCTCGAGTTGATTTGGGGCACATGGAGCTGCTTTGCGTTGCTGGGGTGACCTCAGGGTCCGTCTAGACTGGTGACAGTGTTCTTGGGGACTGTCTCGAGATCCATTAAGCAAGTCGAAGCTCCTGACTTGTTTGAATGGGATCATGGAATAGCTCTGCATGCACTGCAGGGGAATGGGGCCTCATCTCGCCTCTAGGGGGAAGTCTCATGGTTTTTCTCGAGTTGCGGCGGGGACCTGGGGTATGTTCTCGACTTACGGCGGGGATGGCCCTTCAAAACACGAGTTTCTTCAGTGACGTCAGGACTCCTGTCTAGTAACGAGGGACACCTCAGGAATCTCTTCGAGGCTTGGCAGGGCAAAAAGGGACGCTTCTCGAGGTGAGTCAGGGCACCCAAGGACCCTTTCCAGTAGCCACAGGGATTTTGGGATTCCTATCAGTATTCAAGAGGAGTCAGGCATCGTCACCTTTTGAAGCAATGAACTCCGCGTGCCTCTCGAGGTGTCAGCGGGATGTGAGGCATTCCGTCAAAATGAGGCAGGGACCTAGGGCTTTCTCTAAGGTCTCCACAGGGGATTCAGACATCCCTTCATGTTGTGAGATGAAAGACGAGCCTGTATTCAAGCCACTGCAAGGAAATCCGGCCTCCTTTCAAGTTAGGGCTTCTCGCTGTATATTCCCCTTGAGGCAGCAAACTCGGTGTCCCTCCCACATACCTATTGCTGAGAGAAGCCTCCTCCTGAGGTGCTTCTGGGAAGTTGGCATATGTCTTGAGCCTAAGCCAGGGAATCAGCTCTCATCTCGAGACGGTTTGGGGTACACGGAGCATTCCTCGAGTTGCTGTGCTGAAGTTGGTGTTCCTCTAGACTTGGGACAGTGTTCTCGGGGCATCTCTGGAGTTGCCTGAAGGAAGTCGAGCCACCGGTCGTGTTGAATGGGGAACGGGGAATGGCTCTGGAGTCAATGCAGGGGAATCGGGCCTCATCTCGAGTTGATTTGGGGCACATGGAGCTGGTTTGCGTTGCTGGGGTGACCTCAGGGTCCGTCTAGACTGGTGACAGTGTTCTTGGGGACTGTCTCGAGATCCATTAAGCAAGTCGAAGCTCCTGCCTTGTTTGAATGGGATCACGGAATAGCTCTGCATGCACTGCAGGGGAATGGGGCCTCATCTCGCCTCTAGGGGGAAGTCTCATGGTTTTTCTCGAGTTGCGGCAGGGACCTGGGGTATGTTCTCGACTTACGGCGGGGATGGCCCTTCAAAACACGAGTTTCTTCAGTGACGTCAGGACTCCTGTCTAGTAACGAGGGACACCTCAGGAATCTCTTCGAGGCTTGGCAGGGCAAAAGGGAGGCTTCTCGAGGTGAGGCAGGGCACCCAAGGACCCTTTCCAGTAGCCACAGGGATTTTGGGATTCCTGTCAGTATTCAAGAGGAGTAAGGCATCGTCACCTTTTGAAGCAATGAACTCCGCGTGCCTCTCGAGGTGTCAGCGCGATGTGAGGCATTCCGTCAAAATGAGGCAGGGACCTAGGGCTTTCTCTAAGGTCTCCACAGGGGATTCAGACATCCCTTCATGTTGTGAGATGAAAGACGAGCCTGTATTCAAGCGACTGCAAGGAAATCCGGCCTCCTTTCAAGTTAGGGCTTCTCGCTGTATATTCCCCTTGAGGCAGCAAACTCGGGGTCCCTCCCACATACCTATTGCTGAGAGAAGCCTCCGCCTGAGGTGCTTCTGGGAAGTTGGCATACGTCTTGAGCCTAAGCCAGGGAATCAGCTCTCATCTCGAGACGATTTGGGGTACACGGAGCATTCCTCGAGTTGCTGTGCTGAAGTTGGTGTTCCTCTAGACTTGGGACAGTGTTCTCGGGGCATCTCTGGAGTTGCCTGAAGGAAGTCGAGCCACCGGTCGTGTTGAATGGGGAAAGGGGAATGGCTCTGGAGTCAATGCAGGGGAATCGGGCCTCATCTCGAGTTGATTTGGGGCACATGGAGCTGCTTTGCGTTGCTGGGGTGACCTCAGGGTCCGTCTAGACTGGTGACAGTGTTCTTGGGGACTGTCTCGAGATCCATTAAGCAAGTCGAAGCTCCTGACTTGTTTTATTGGATCACGGAATAGCGCTGCATGCACTGCAGGGGAATGGGGCCTCATCTCGCCTCTAGGGGGAAGTCTCATGGTTTTTCTCGAGTTGCGGCGGGGACCTGGGGTATGTTCTCGACTTATGGCGGGGATGGCCCTTCAAAACACGAGTTTCTTCAGTGACGTCAGGACTCCTGTCTAGTAATGAGGGACACCTCCGGAATCTCTTCGAGGCTTGGCAGGGCAAAAGGGACGCTTCTCGAGGTGAGGCAGGGCACCTAAGGACCCTTTCCAGTAGCCAAAGGGATTTTGGGATTCCTATCAGTATTCAAGAGGAGTCAGGCATCGTCACCTTTTGAAGCAATGAACTCCGCGTGCCTCTCGAAGTGTCAGCGCGATGTGAGGCATTCCGTCAAAATGAGGCAGGGACCTAGGGATTTCTCTAAGGTCTCCACAGGGGATTCAGACATCCCTTCATGTTGTGAGATGAAAGACGAGCCTGTATTCAAGCCACTGCAAGGAAATCCGGCCTCCTTTCAAATTAGGTTTTCTCACTGTATATTCCCCTTGAGGCAGCAAACTCGGTGTCCCTCCCTCATACCTATTGCTGAGAGAAGCCTCCTCCTGAGGTGCTTCTGGGAAGTTGGCATACGTCTTGAGCCTAAGCCAGGGAATCAGCTCTCATCTCGAGACGATTTGGGGTACACGGAGCATTCCTCGAGTGGCTGTGCTGAAGTTGGTGTTCCTCTAGACTTGGGACAGTGTTCTCGGGGCATCTCTGGAGTTGCCTGAAGGAAGTCGAGCCACCGGTCGTGTTGAATGGGGAACGGGGAATGGCTCTGGAGTCAATGCAGGGGAATCGGGCCTCATCTCGAGTTGATTTGGGGCACATGGAGCTGCTTTGCGTTGCTGGGGTGACCTCAGGGTCCGTCTAGACTGGTGACAGTGTTCTTGGGGACTGTCTCGAGATCCATTAAGCAAGTCGAAGCTCCTGACTTGTTTGAATGGGATCATGGAATAGCTCTGCATGCACTGCAGGGGAATGGGGCCTCATCTCGCCTCTAGGGGGAAGTCTCATGGTTTTTCTCGAGTTGCGGCGGTGACCTGGGTATGTTCTCGACTTACAGCGGGGATGGCCCTTCAAAACACGAGTTTCTTCAGTGACGTCAGGACTCCTGTCTAGTAACGAGGGACACCTCAGGAATCTCTTCGAGGCTTGGCAGGGCAAAAGGGACGCTTCTCGAGGTGAGGCAGGGCACCCAAGGACCCTTTCCAGTAGCCACAGGGATTTTGGGATTCCTATCAGTATTCAAGAGGAGTCAGGCATCGTCACCTTTTGAAGCAATGAACTCCGCGTGCCTCTCGAGGTGTCAGCGGGATGTGAGGCATTCCGTCAAAATGAGGCAGGGAACTAGGGCTTTCTCTAAGGTCTCCACAGGGGATTCAGACATCCCTTCATGTTGTGAGATGAAAGACGAGCCTGTATTCAAGCCACTGCAAGGAAATCCGGCCTCCTTTCAAGTTAGGGCTTCTCGCTGTATATTCCCCTTGAGGCAGCAAACTCGGGGTCCCTCCCACATACCTATTGCTGAGAGAAGCCTCCTCCTGAGGTGCTTCTGGGAAGTTGGCATACGTCTTGAGCCTAAGCCAGGGAATCAGCTCGCATCTCGAGACGATTTGGGGTACACGGAGCATTCCTCGAGTTGCTGTGCTGAAGTTGGTGTTCCTCTAGACTTGGGACAGTGTTCTCGGGGCATCTCTGGAGTTGCCTGAAGGAAGTCGAGCCACCGGTCGTGTTGAATGGGGAACGGGGAATGGCTCTGGAGTCAATGCAGGGGAATCGGGCCTCATCTCGAGTTGATTTGGGGCACATGGAGCTGCTTTGCGTTGCTGGGGTGACCTCAGGGTCCGTCTAGACTGGTGACAGTGTTCTTGGGGACTGTCTCGAGATCCATTAAGCAAGTCGAAGCTCCTGACTTGTTTGAATGGGATCACGGAATAGCTCTGCATGCACTGCAGGGGAATGGGGCCTCATCTCGCCTCTAGGGGGAAGTATCATGGTTTTCCTCGAGTTGCGGCGGGGACCTGGGGTATGTTCTCGACTTACGGCGGGGATGGCCCTTCAAAACACGAGTTTCTTCAGTGACGTCAGGACTCCTGTCTAGTAACGAGGGACACCTCAGGAATCTCTTCGAGGCTTGGCAGGGCAAAAGGGACGCTTCTCGAGGTGAGGCAGGGCACCCAAGGACCCTTTCCAGTAGCCACAGGGATTTTGGGATTCCTATCAGTATTCAAGAGGAGTCAGGCATCGTCACCTTTTGAAGCAATGAACTCCGCGTGCCTCTCGAGGTGTCAGCGGGATGTGAGGCATTCCGTCAAAATGAGACAGGGACCTAGGGCTTTCTCTAAGGTCTCCACAGGGGACTCAGACATCCCTTCATGTTGTGAGATGAAAGACGAGCCTGTATTCAAGCCACTGCAAGGAAATCCGGCCTCCTTTCAAGTTAGGGCTTCTCGCTGTATATTCCCCTTGAGGCAGCAAACTCGGGGTCCCTCCCACATACCTATTGCTGAGAGAAGCCTCCGCCTGAGGTGCTTCTGGGAAGTTGGCATACGTCTTGAGCCTAAGCCAGGGAATCAGCTCTCATCTCGAGACGATTTGGGGTACACGGAGCATTCCTCGAGTTGCTGTGCTGAAGTTGGTGTTCCTCTAGACTTGGGACAGTGTTCTCGGGGCATCTCTGGAGTTGCCTGAAGGAAGTCGAGCCACCGGTCGTGTTGAATGGGGAACGGGGAATTGCTCTGGAGTCAATGCAGGGGAATCGGGCCTCATCTCGAGTTGATTTGGGGCACATGGAGCTGCTTTGCGTTGCTGGGGTGACCTCAGGGTCCGTCTAGACTGGTGACAGTGTTCTTGGGGACTGTCTCGAGATCCATTAAGCAAGTCGAAGCTCCTGACTTGTTTTATTGGATCACGGAATAGCGCTGCATGCACTGCAGGGGAATGGGGCCTCATCTCGCCTCTAGGGGGAAGTCTCATGGTTTTTCTCGAGTTGCGGCGGGGACCTGGGGTATGTTCTCGACTTATGGCGGGGATGGCCCTTCAAAACACGAGTTTCTTCAGTGACGTCAGGACTCCTGTCTAGTAATGAGGGACACCTCCGGAATCTCTTCGAGGCTTGGCAGGGCAAAAGGGACGCTTCTCGAGGTGAGGCAGGGCACCTAAGGACCCTTTCCAGTAGCCAAAGGGATTTTGGGATTCCTATCAGTATTCAAGAGGAGTCAGGCATCGTCACCTTTTGAAGCAATGAACTCCGCGTGCCTCTCGAAGTGTCAGCGCGATGTGAGGCATTCCGTCAAAATGAGGCAGGGACCTAGGGATTTCTCTAAGGTCTCCACAGGGGATTCAGACATCCCTTCATGTTGTGAGATGAAAGACGAGCCTGTATTCAAGCCACTGCAAGGAAATCCGGCCTCCTTTCAAATTAGGTTTTCTCACTGTATATTCCCCTTGAGGCAGCAAACTCGGTGTCCCTCCCTCATACCTATTGCTGAGAGAAGCCTCCTCCTGAGGTGCTTCTGGGAAGTTGGCATACGTCTTGAGCCTAAGCCAGGGAATCAGCTCTCATCTCGAGACGATTTGGGGTACACGGAGCATTCCTCGAGTGGCTGTACTGAAGTTGGTGTTCCTCTAGACTTGGGACAGTGTTCTCGGGGCATCTCTGGAGTTGCCTGAAGGAAGTCGAGCCACCGGTCGTGTTGAATGGGGAACGGGGAATGGCTCTGGAGTCAATGCAGGGGAATCGGGCCTCATCTCGAGTTGATTTGGGGCACATGGAGCTGCTTTGCGTTGCTGGGGTGACCTCAGGGTCCGTCTAGACTGGTGACAGTGTTCTTGGGGACTGTCTCGAGATCCATTAAGCAAGTCGAAGCTCCTGACTTGTTTGAATGGGATCATGGAATAGCTCTGCATGCACTGCAGGGGAATGGGGCCTCATCTCGCCTCTAGGGGGAATTCTCATGGTTTTTCTCGAGTTGCGGCGGGGACCTGGGGTATGTTCTCGACTTACGGCGGGGATGGCCCTTAAAAACACGAGTTTCTTCAGTGACGTCAGGACTCCTGTCTAGTAACGAGGGACACCTCAGGAATCTCTTCGAGGCTTGGCAGGGCAAAAGGGACGCTTCTCGAGGTGAGGCAGGGCACCCAAGGACCCTTTCCAGTAGCCACAGGGATTTTGGGATTCCTATCAGTATTCAAGAGGAGTCAGGCATCGTCACCTTTTGAAGCAATGAACTCCGCGTGCCTCTCGAGGTGTCAGCGGGATGTGAGGCATTCCGTCAAAATGAGGCAGGGACCTAGGGCTTTCTCTAAGGTCTCCACAGGGGATTCAGACATCCCTTCATGTTGTGAGATGAAAGACGAGCCTGTATTCAAGCCACTGCAAGGAAATCCGTCCTCCTTTCAAGTTAGGGCTTCTCGCTGTATATTCTCCTTGAGGCAGCAAACTCGGTGTCCCTCCCACATACCTATTGCTGAGAGAAGCCTCCTCCTGAGGTGCTTCTGGGAAGTTGGCATATGTCTTGAGCCTAAGCCAGGGAATCAGCTCTCATCTCGAGACGGTTTGGGGTACACGGAGCATTCCTCGAGTTGCTGTGCTGAAGTTGGTGTTCCTCTAGACTTGGGACAGTGTTCTCGGGGCATCTCTGGAGTTGCCTGAAGGAAGTCGAGCCACCGGTCGTGTTGAATGGGGAACGGGGAATGGCTCTGGAGTCAATGCATGGGAATCGGGCCTCATCTCGAGTTGATTTGGGGCACATGGAGCTGCTTTGCGTTGCTGGGGTGACCTCAGGGTCCGTCTAGACTGGTGACAGTGTTCTTGGGGACTGTCTCGAGATCCATTAAGCAAGTCGAAGCTCCTGACTTGTTTGAATTGGATCACAGAATAGCTCTGCATGCACTGCAGGGGAATGGGGCCTCATCTCGCCTCTAGGGGGAAGTCTCATGGTTTTTCTCGAGTTGCGGTGGGGACCTGGGGTATGTTCTCGACTTACGGCGGGGATGGCCCTTCAAAACACGAGTTTCTTCAGTGACGTCAGGACTCCTGTCTAGTAACGAGGGACACCTCAGGAATCTCTTCGAGGCTTGGCAGGGCAAAAGGGACGCTTCTCGAGGTGAGGCAGGGCACCCAAGGACCCTTTCCAGTAGCCACAGGGATTTTGGGATTCCTATCAGTATTCAAGAGGAGTCAGGCATCGTCACCTTTTGAAGCAATGAACTCCGCGTGCCTCTCGAGGTGTCAGCGGGATGTGAGGCATTCCGTCAAAATGAGACAGGGACCTAGGGCTTTCTCTAAGGTCTCCACAGGGGACTCAGACATCCCTTCATGTTGTGAGATGAAAGACGAGCCTGTATTCAAGCCACTGCAAGGAAATCCGGCCTCCTTTCAAGTTAGGGCTTCTCGCTGTATATTCCCCTTGAGGCAGCAAACTCGGGGTCCCTCCCACATACCTATTGCTGAGAGAAGCCTCCGCCTGAGGTGCTTCTGGGAAGTTGGCATACGTCTTGAGCCTAAGCCAGGGAATCAGCTCTCATCTCGAGACGATTTGGGGTACACGGAGCATTCCTCGAGTTGCTGTGCTGAAGTTGGTGTTCCTCTAGACTTGGGACAGTGTTCTCGGGGCATCTCTGGAGTTGCCTGAAGGAAGTCGAGCCACCGGTCGTGTTGAATGGGGAAAGGGGAATGGCTCTGGAGTCAATGCAGGGGAATCGGGCCTCATCTCGAGTTGATTTGGGGCACATGGAGCTGCTTTGCGTTGCTGGGGTGACCTCAGGGTCCGTCTAGACTGGTGACAGTGTTCTTGGGGACTGTCTCGAGATCCATTAAGCAAGTCGAAGCTCCTGACTTGTTTTATTGGATCACGGAATAGCTCTGCATGCACTGCAGGGGAATGGGGCCTCATCTCGCCTCTAGGGGGAAGTCTCATGGTTTTTCTCGAGTTGCGGCGGGGACCTGGGGTATGTTCTCGACTTATGGCGGGGATGGCCCTTCAAAACACGAGTTTCTTCAGTGACGTCAGGACTCCTGTCTAGTAATGAGGGACACCTCCGGAATCTCTTCGAGGCTTGGCAGGGCAAAAGGGACGCTTCTCGAGGTGAGGCAGGGCACCTAAGGACCCTTTCCAGTAGCCAAAGGGATTTTGGGATTCCTATCAGTATTCAAGAGGAGTCAGGCATCGTCACCTTTTGAAGCAATGAACTCCGCGTGCCTCTCGAAGTGTCAGCGCGATGTGAGGCATTCCGTCAAAATGAGGCAGGGACCTAGGGATTTCTCTAAGGTCTCCACAGGGGATTCAGACATCCCTTCATGTTGTGAGATGAAAGACGAGCCTGTATTCAAGCCACTGCAAGGAAATCCGGCCTCCTTTCAAATTAGGTTTTCTCACTGTATATTCCCCTTGAGGCAGCAAACTCGGTGTCCCTCCCTCATACCTATTGCTGAGAGAAGCCTCCTCCTGAGGTGCTTCTGGGAAGTTGGCATACGTCTTGAGCCTAAGCCAGGGAATCAGCTCTCATCTCGAGACGATTTGGGGTACACGGAGCATTCCTCGAGTGGCTGTACTGAAGTTGGTGTTCCTCTAGACTTGGGACAGTGTTCTCGGGGCATCTCTGGAGTTGCCTGAAGGAAGTCGAGCCACTGGTCGTGTTGAATGGGGAACGGGGAATGGCTCTGGAGTCAATGCAGGGGAATCGGGCCTCATCTCGAGTTGATTTGGGGCACATGGAGCTGCTTTGCGTTGCTGGGGTGACCTCAGGGTCCGTCTAGACTGGTGACAGTGTTCTTGGGGACTGTCTCGAGATCCATTAAGCAAGTCGAAGCTCCTGACTTGTTTGAATGGGATCATGGAATAGCTCTGCATGCACTGCAGGGGAATGGGGCCTCATCTCGCCTCTAGGGGGAAGTCTCATGGTTTTTCTCGAGTTGCGGCGGGGACCTGGGGTATGTTCTCGACTTACGGCGGGGATGGCCCTTCAAAACACGAGTTTCTTCAGTGACGTCAGGACTCCTGTCTAGTAACGAGGGACACCTCAGGAATCTCTTCGAGGCTTGGCAGGGCAAAAAGGGACGCTTCTCGAGGTGAGGCAGGGCACCCAAGGACCCTTTCCAGTAGCCACAGGGATTTTGGGATTCCTATCAGTATTCAAGAGGAGTCAGGCATCGTCACCTTTTGAAGCAATGAACTCCGCGTGCCTCTCGAGGTGTCAGCGGGATGTGAGGCATTCCGTCAAAATGAGGCAGGGACCTAGGGCTTTCTCTAAGGTCTCCACAGGGGATTCAGACATCCCTTCATGTTGTGAGATGAAAGACGAGCCTGTATTCAAGCCACTGCAAGGAAATCCGGCCTCCTTTCAAGTTAGGGCTTCTCGCTGTATATTCCCCTTGAGGCAGCAAACTCGGTGTCCCTCCCACATACCTATTGCTGAGAGAAGCCTCCTCCTGAGGTGCTTCTGGGAAGTTGGCATATGTCTTGAGCCTAAGCCAGGGAATCAGCTCTCATCTCGAGACGGTTTGGGGTACACGGAGCATTCCTCGAGTTGCTGTGCTGAAGTTGGTGTTCCTCTAGACTTGGGACAGTGTTCTCGGGGCATCTCTGGAGTTGCCTGAAGGAAGTCGAGCCACCGGTCGTGTTGAATGGGGAACGGGGAATGGCTCTGGAGTCAATGCAGGGGAATCGGGCCTCATCTCGAGTTGATTTGGGGCACATGGAGCTGGTTTGCGTTGCTGGGGTGACCTCAGGGTCCGTCTAGACTGGTGACAGTGTTCTTGGGGACTGTCTCGAGATCCATTAAGCAAGTCGAAGCTCCTGCCTTGTTTGAATGGGATCACGGAATAGCTCTGCATGCACTGCAGGGGAATGGGGCCTCATCTCGCCTCTAGGGGGAAGTCTCATGGTTTTTCTCGAGTTGCGGCAGGGACCTGGGGTATGTTCTCGACTTACGGCGGGGATGGCCCTTCAAAACACGAGTTTCTTCAGTGACGTCAGGACTCCTGTCTAGTAACGAGGGACACCTCAGGAATCTCTTCGAGGCTTGGCAGGGCAAAAGGGAGGCTTCTCGAGGTGAGGCAGGGCACCCAAGGACCCTTTCCAGTAGCCACAGGGATTTTGGGATTCCTGTCAGTATTCAAGAGGAGTAAGGCATCGTCACCTTTTGAAGCAATGAACTCCGCGTGCCTCTCGAGGTGTCAGCGCGATGTGAGGCATTCCGTCAAAATGAGGCAGGGACCTAGGGCTTTCTCTAAGGTCTCCACAGGGGATTCAGACATCCCTTCATTTTGTGAGATGAAAGACGAGCCTGTATTCAAGCGACTGCAAGGAAATCCGGCCTCCTTTCAAGTTAGGGCTTCTCGCTGTATATTCCCCTTGAGGCAGCAAACTCGGGGTCCCTCCCACATATCTATTGCTGAGAGAAGCCTCCTCCTGAGGTGCTTCTGGGAAGTTGGCATACGTCTTGAGCCTAAGCCAGGGAATCAGCTCGCATCTCGAGACGATTTGGGGTACACGGAGCATTCCTCGAGTTGCTGTGCTGAAGTTGGTGTTCCTCTAGACTTGGGACAGTGTTCTCGGGGCATCTCTGGTGTTGCCTGAAGGAAGTCGAGCCACCGGTCGTGTTGAATGGGGAACGGGGAATGGCTCTGGAGTCAATGCATGGGAATCGGGCCTCATCTCGAGTTGATTTGGGGCACATGGAGCTGCTTTGCGTTGCTGGGGTGACCTCAGGGTCCGTCTAGACTGGTGACAGTGTTCTTGGGGACTGTCTCGAGATCCATTAAGCAAGTCGAAGCTCCTGACTTGTTTGAATGGGATCACGGAATAGCTCTGCATGCACTGCAGGCAAATGGGGCCTCATCTCGCCTCTAGGGGGAAGTCTCATGGTTTTTCTCGAGTTGCGGTGGGGACCTGGGGTATGTTCTCGACTTACGGCGGGGATGGCCCTTCAAAACACGAGTTTCTTCAGTGACGTCAGGACTCCTGTCTAGTAACGAGGGACACCTCAGGAATCTCTTCGAGGCTTGGCAGGGCAAAAGGGAGGCTTCTCGAGGTGAGGCAGGGCACCTAAGGACCCTTTCCAGTAGCCACAGGGATTTTGGGATTCCTATCAGTATTCAAGAGGAGTAAGGCATCGTCACCTTTTGAAGCAATGAACTCCGCGTGCCTCTCGAGGTGTCAGCGCGATGTGAGGCATTCCGTCAAAATGAGGCAGGGACCGAGGGCTTTCTCTAAGGTCTCCACAGGGGATTCAGACATCCCTTCATGTTGTGAGATGAAAGACGAGCCTGTATTCAAGCCACTGCAAGGAAATCCGGCCTCCTTTCAAGTTAGGGCTTCTCGCTGTATATTCCCCTTGAGGCAGCAAACTCGGGGTCCCTCCCACATATCTATTGCTGAGAGAAGCCTCCTCCTGAGGTGCTTCTGGGAAGTTGGCATACGTCTTGAGCCTAAGCCAGGGAATCAGCTCGCATCTCGAGACGATTTGGGGTACAGGGAGCATTCCTCGAGTTGCTGTGCTGAAGTTGGTGTTCCTCTAGACTTGGGACAGTGTTCTCGGGGCATCTCTGGTGTTGCCTGAAGGAAGTCGAGCCACCGGTCGTGTTGAATGGGGAACGGGGAATGGCTCTGGAGTCAATGCAGGGGAATCGGGCCTCATCTCGAGTTGATTTGGGGCACATGGAGCTGCTTTGCGTTGCTGGGGTGACCTCAGGGTCCGTCTAGACTGGTGACAGTGTTCTTGGGGACTGTCTCGAGATCCATTAAGCAAGTCGAAGCTCCTGACTTGTTTGAATGGGATCACGGAATAGCTCTGCATGCACTGCAGGCAAATGGGGCCTCATCTCGCCTCTAGGGGGAAGTCTCATGGTTTTTCTCGAGTTGCGGTGGGGACCTGGGGTATGTTCTCGACTTACGGCGGGGATGGCCCTTCAAAACACGAGTTTCTTCAGTGACGTCAGGACTCCTGTCTAGTAACGAGGGACACCTCAGGAATCTCTTCGAGGCTTGGCAGGGCAAAAGGGAGGCTTCTCGAGGTGAGGCAGGGCACCTAAGGACCCTTTCCAGTAGCCACAGGGATTTTGGGATTCCTATCAGTATTCAAGAGGAGTCAGGCATCGTCACCTTTTGAAGCAATGAACTCCACGTGCCTCTCGAGGTGTCAGCGCGATGTGAGGCATTCCGTAAAAATGAGGCAGGGACCTAGGGCTTTCTCTAAGGTCTCCACAGGGGATTCAGACATCCCTTCATGTTGTGAGATGAAAGACGAGCCTGTATTCAAGCGACTGCAAGGAAATCCGGCCTCCTTTCAAGTTAGGGCTTCTCACTGTATATTCCCCTTGAGGCAGCAAACTCGGGGTCCCTCCCACATACCTATTGCTGAGAGAAGCCTCTTCCTGAGGTGCTTCTGGGAAGTTGGCATACGTCTTGAGCCTAAGCCAGGGAATCAGCTCGCATCTCGAGACGGTTTGGGGTAGACGGAGCATTCCTCGAGTTGCTGTGCTGAAGTTGGTGTTCCTCTAGACTTGGGACAGTGTTCTCGGGGCATCTCTGGAGTTGCCTGAAGGAAGTCGAGCCACCGGTCGTGTTGAATGGGGAACGGGGAATGGCTCTGGAGTCAATGCATGGGAATCGGGCCTCATCTCGAGTTGATTTGGGGCACATGGAGCTGCTTTGCGTTGCTGGGGTGACCTCAGGGTCCGTCTAGACTGGTGACAGTGTTCTTGGGGACTGTCTCGAGATCCATTAAGCAAGTCGAAGCTCCTGACTTGTTTGAATGGGATCACGGAATAGCTCTGCATGCACTGCAGGGGAATGGGGCCTCATCTCGCCTCTAGGGGGAAGTCTCATGGTTTTTCTCGAGTTGCGGTGGGGACCTGGGGTATGTTCTCGACTTACGGCGGGGATGGCCCTTCAAAACACGAGTTTCTTCAGTGACGTCAGGACTCCTGTCTAGTAACGAGGGACACCTCAGGAATCTCTTCGAGGCTTGGCAGGGCAAAAGGGAGGCTTCTCGAGGTGAGGCAGGGCACCTAAGGACCCTTTCCAGTAGCCACAGGGATTTTGGGATTCCTATCAGTATTCAAGAGGAGTAAGGCATCGTCACCTTTTGAAGCAATGAACTCCGCGTGCCTCTCGAGGTGTCAGCGCGATGTGAGGCATTCCGTCAAAATGAGGCAGGGACCGAGGGCTTTCTCTAAGGTCTCCACAGGGGATTCAGACATCCCTTCATGTTGTGAGATGAAAGACGAGCCTGTATTCAAGCCACTGCAAGGAAATCCGGCCTCCTTTCAAGTTAGGGCTTCTCGCTGTATATTCCCCTTGAGGCAGCAAACTCGGGGTTCCTCCCACATATCTATTGCTGAGAGAAGCCTCCTCCTGAGGTGCTTCTGGGAAGTTGGCATACGTCTTGAGCCTAAGCCAGGGAATCAGCTCGCATCTCGAGACGATTTGGGGTACACGGAGCATTCCTCGAGTTGCTGTGCTGAAGTTGGTGTTCCTCTAGACTTGGGACAGTGTTCTCGGGGCATCTCTGGTGTTGCCTGAAGGAAGTCGAGCCACCGGTCGTGTTGAATGGGGAACGGGGAATGGCTCTGGAGTCAATGCATGGGAATCGGGCCTCATCTCGAGTTGATTTGGGGCACATGGAGCTGCTTTGCGTTGCTGGGGTGACCTCAGGGTCCGTCTAGACTGGTGACAGTGTTCTTGGGGACTGTCTCGAGATCCATTAAGCAAGTCGAAGCTCCTGACTTGTTTGAATGGGATCACGGAAGAGCTCTGCATGCACTGCAGGCAAATGGGGCCTCATCTCGCCTCTAGGGGGAAGTCTCATGGTTTTTCTCGAGTTGCGGTGGGGACCTGGGGTATGTTCTCGACTTACGGCGGGGATGGCCCTTCAAAACACGAGTTTCTTCAGTGACGTCAGGACTCCTGTCTAGTAACGAGGGACACCTCAGGAATCTCTTCGAGGCTTGGCAGGTCAAAAGGGAGGCTTCTCGAGGTGAGGCAGGGCACCTAAGGACCCTTTCCAGTAGCCACAGGGATTTTGGGATTCCTATCAGTATTCAAGAGGAGTCAGGCATCGTCACCTTTTGAAGCAATGAACTCCGCGTGCCTCTCGAGGTGTCAGCGGGATGTGAGGCATTCCGTAAAAATGAGTCAGGGACCTAGGGCTTTCTCTAAGGTCTCCACAGGGGATTCAGACATCCCTTCATGTTGTGAGATGAAAGACGAGCCTGTATTCAAGCCACTGCAAGGAAATCCGGCCTCCTTTCAAGTTAGGGCTTCTCGCTGTATATTCCCCTTGAGGCAGCAAACTCGGGGTCCCTCGCACATACCTATTGCTGAGAGAAGCCTCCTCCTGAGGTGCTTCTGGGAAGTTGGCATACGTCTTGAGCCTAAGCCAGGGAATCAGCTCGCATCTCGAGACGAATTGGTGTAGACGGAGCATTCCTCGAGTTGCTGTGCTGAAGTTGGTGTTCCTCTAGACTTGGGACAGTGTTCTCGGGGCATCTCGGGAGTTGCCTGAAGGAAGTCGAGCCACCGGTCGTGTTGAATGGGGAACGGGGAATGGCTCTGGAGTCAATGCAGGGGAATCGGGCCTCATCTCTAGTTGATTTGGGGCACATGGAGCTGCTTTGCGTTGCTGGGGTGACCTCAGGGTCCGTCTAGACTGGTGACAGTGTTCTTGGGGACTGTCTCGAGATCCATTAAGCAAGTCGAAGCTCCTGACTTGTTTGAATGGGATCACGGAATAGCTCTGCATGCACTGCAGGGGAATGGGGCCTCATCTCGCCTCTAGGGGGAAGTCTCATGGTTTTTCTCGAGTTGCGGCGGGGACCTGGGGTATGTTCTCGACTTACGGCGGGGATGGCCCTTCAAAACACGAGTTTCTTCAGTGAGGTCAGGACTCCTGTCTAGTAATGAGGGACACCTCAGGAATCTCTTCGAGGCTTGGCAGGGCAAAAGGGACGCGTCTCGAGGTGAGGCAGGGCACCCAAGGACCCTTTCCAGTAGCAACAGGGATTTTGGGATTCCTATCAGTATTCAAGAGGAGTCAGGCATCGTCACCTTTTGAAGCAATGAACTCCGCGTGCCTCTCGAGGTGTCAGCGCGATGTGAGGCATTCCGTCAAAATGAGGCAGGGACCTAGGGCTTTCTCTAAGGTCTCCACAGGGGATTCAGACATCCCTTCATGTTGTGAGATGAAAGACGAGCCTGTATTCAAGCCACTGCAAGGAAATCCGGCCTCCTTTCAAGTTAGGGCTTCTCGCTGTATATTCCCCTTGAGGCAGCAAACTCGGGGTCCCTCCCACATACCTATTGCTGAGAGAAGCCTCCTCCTGAGGTGCTTCTGGGAAGTTGGCATACGTCTTGAGCCTAAGCCAGGGAATCAGCTCGCATCTCGAAACGATTTGGGGTAGACGGAGCATTCCTCGAGTTGCTGTGCTGAAGTTGGTGTTCCTCTAGACTTGGGACAGTGTTCTCGGGCATCTCTGGAGTTGCCTGAAGGAAGTCCAGCCACCGGTCGTGTTGAATGGGGAACGGGGAATGGCTCTGGTGTCAATGCAGGGGAATCGGGCCTCATCTCGAGTTGATTTGGGGCACATGGAGCTGCTTTGCGTTGCTGGGGTGACCTCAGTGTCCGTCTAGACTGGTGACAGTGTTCTTGGGGACTGTCTCGAGATCCATTAAGCAAGTCGAAGCTCCTGACTTGTTTGAATGGGATCACGGAATAGCTCTGCATGCACTGCAGGGGAATGGGGCCTCATCTCGCCTCTAGGGGGAAGTCTCATGGTTTTTCTCGAGTTGCGGCGGGGACCTGGGGTATGTTCTCGACTTACGGCGGGGATGGCCCTTCAAAACACGAGTTTCTTCAGTGACGTCAGGACTTCTGTCTAGTAACGAGGGACACCTCAGGAATCTCTTCGAGGCTTGGCAGGGCAAAACGGACGCTTCTCGAGGTGAGGCAGGGCACCCAAGGACCCTTTCCAGTAGCCACAGGGATTTTGGGATTCCTATCAGTATTCAAGAGGAGTCAGGCATCGTCACCTTTTGAAGCAATGAACTCCGCGTGCCTCTCGAGGTGTCAGCGGGATGTGAGGCATTCCGTCAAAATGAGGCAGGGACCTAGGGCTTTCTCTAAGGTCTCCACAGGGGATTCAGACATCCCTTCATGTTGTGAGATGAAAGACAAGCCTGTATTCAAGCCACTGCAAGGAAATCCGGCCTCCTTTCAAGTTAGGGCTTCTCGCTGTATATTCCCCTTGAGGCAGCAAACTCGGGGTCCCTCCCACTTACCTATTGCTGAGAGAAGCCTCCTCCTGAGGTGCTTCTGGGAAGTTGGCATACGTCTTGAGCCTAAGCCAGGGAATCAGCTCTCATCTCGAGACGATTTGGGGTAGACGGAGCATTCCTCGAGTTGCTGTGCTGTAGTTGGTGTTCCTCTAGACTTGGGACAGTGTTCTCGGGGCATCTCTGGAGTTGCCTGAAGGAAGTCGAGCCACCGGTCTTGTTGAATGGGGAACGGGGAATGGCTCTGGAGTCAATGCAGGGGAATCGGGCCTCATCTCGAGTTGATTTGGGGCACATGGAGCTGCTTTGCGTTGCTGGGGTGACCTCAGGGTCCGTCTAGACTGGTGACAGTGTTCTTGGGGACTGTCTCGAGATCCATTAAGCAAGTCGAAGCTCCTGACTTGTTTGAATGGGATCACGGAATAGCTCTGCATGCACTGCAGGGGAATGGGGCCTCATCTCGCCTCTAGGGGGAAGTCTCATGGTTTTTCTCGAGTTGCGGCGGGGACCTGGGGTATGTTCTCGACTTACGGCGGGGATGGCCCTTCAAAACACGAGTTTCTTCAGTGACGTCAGGACTCCTGTCTAGTAACGAGGGACACCTCAGGAATCTCTTCGAGGCTTGGCAGGGCAAAAGGGACGCTTCTCGAGGTGAGGCAGGGCACCCAAGGACCCTTTCCAGTAGCCACAGGAATTTTGGGATTCCTATCAGTATTCAAGAGGAGTCAGGCATCGTCACCTTTTGAAGCAATGAACTCCGCGTGCCTCTCGAGGTGTCAGCGGGATGTGAGGCATTCCGTCAAAATGAGGCAGGGACCTAGGGCTTTCTCTAAGGTCTCCACAGGGGATTCAGACATCCCTTCATGTTGTGAGATGAAAGACGAGCCTGTATTCAAGCCACTGCAAGGAAATCCGGCCTCCTTTCAAGTTAGGGCTTCTCGCTGTATATTCCCCTTGAGGCAGCAAACTCGGGGTCCCTCCCACATACCTATTGCTGAGAGAAGCCTCCTCCTGAGGTGCTTCTGGGAAGTTGGCATACGTCTTGAGCCTAAGCCAGGGAATCAGCTCTCATCTCGAGACGATATGGGGTACACGGAGCATTCCTCGAGTTGCTGTGCTGTAGTTGGTGTTCCTCTAGACGTGGGACAGTGTTCTCGGGGCATCTCTGGAGTTGCCTGAAGGAAGTCGAGCCACCGGTCTTGTTGAATGGGGAACGGGGAATGGCTCTGGAGTCAATGCAGGGGAATCGGGCCTCATCTCGAGTTGATTTGGGGCACATGGAGCTGCTTTGCGTTGCTGGGGTGACCTCAGGGTCCGTCTAGACTGGTGACAGTGTTCTTGGGGTCTGTCTCGAGATCCATTAAGCAAGTCGAAGCTCCTGACTTGTTTGAATGGGATCACGGAATAGCTCTGCATGCACTGCAGGGGAATGGGGCCTCATCTCGCCTCTAGGGGGAAGTCTCATGGTTTTTCTCGAGTTGCGGCGGGGACCTGGGGTATGTTCTCGACTTACGGCGGGGATGGCCCTTCAAAACACGAGTTTCTTCAGTGACGTCAGGACTCCTGTCTAGTAACGAGGGACACCTCAGGAATCTCTTCGAGGCTTGGCAGGGCAAAAGGGACGCTTCTCGAGGTGAGGCAGGGCACCCAAGGACCCTTTCCAGTAGCCACAGGGATTTTGGGATTCCTATCAGTATTCAAGAGGAGTCAGGCATCGTCACCTTTTGAAGCAATGAACTCCGCGTGCCTCTCGAAGTGTCAGCACGATGTGAGGCATTCCGTCAAAATGAGGCAGGGACCTAGGGATTTCTCTAAGGTCTCCACAGGGGATTCAGACATCCCTTCATGTTGTGAGATGAAAGACGAGCCTGTATTCAAGCCACTGCAAGGAAATCCGGCCTCCTTTCAAATTAGATTTTCTCACTGTATATTCCCCTTGAGGCAGCAAACTCGGGGTCCCTCCCTCATACCTATTGCTGAGAGAAGCCTCCTCCTGAGGTGCTTCTGGGAAGTTGGCATACGTCTTGAACCTAAGCCAGGGAATCAGCTCTCATCTCGAGACGATTTGGGGTACACGGAGCATTCCTCGAGTTGCTGTGCTGAAGTTGGTGTTCCTCTAGACTTGGGACAGTGTTCTCGGGGCATCTCTGGAGTTGCCTGAAGGAAGTCGAGCCACCGGTCGTGTTGAATGGGGAACGGGGAATGGCTCTGGAGTCAATGCAGGGGAATCGGGCCTCATCTCGAGTTGATTTGGGGCACATGGAGCTGCTTTGCGTTGCTGGGGTGACCTCAGGGTCCGTCTAGACTGGTGACAGTGTTCTTGGGGACTGTCTCGAGATCCATTAAGCAAGTCGAAGCTCCTGACTTGTTTGAATGGGATCACGGAATAGCTCTGCATGCACTGCAGGGGAATGGGGCCTCATCTCGCCTCTAGGGGGAAGTATCATGGTTTTCCTCGAGTTGCGGCGGGGACCTGGGGTATGTTCTCGACTTACGGCGGGGATGGCCCTTCAAAACACGAGTTTCTTCAGTGACGTCATGACTCCTGTCTAGTAACGAGGGACACCTCAGGAATCTCTTCGAGGCTTGGCAGGGCAAAAGGGACGCTTCTCGAGGTGAGGCAGGGCACCCAAGGACCCTTTCCAGTAGCCACAGGGATTTTGGGATTCCTATCAGTATTCAAGAGGAGTCAGGCATCGTCACCTTTTGAAGCAATGAACTCCGCGTGCCTCTCGAGGTGTCAGCGGGATGTGAGGCATTCCGTCAAAATGAGACAGGGACCTAGGGCTTTCTCTAAGGTCTCCACAGGGGACTCAGACATCCCTTCATGTTGTGAGATGAAAGACGAGCCTGTATTCAAGCCACTGCAAGGAAATCCGGCCTCCTTTCAAGTTAGGGCTTCTCGCTGTATATTCCCCTTGAGGCAGCAAACTCGGGGTCCCTCCCACATACCTATTGCTGAGAGAAGCCTCCGCCTGAGGTGCTTCTGGGAAGTTGGCATACGTCTTGAGCCTAAGCCAGGGAATCAGCTCTCATCTCGAGACGATTTGGGGTACACGGAGCATTCCTCGAGTTGCTGTGCTGAAGTTGGTGTTCCTCTAGACTTGGGACAGTGTTCTCGGGGCATCTCTGGAGTTGCCTGAAGGAAGTCGAGCCACCGGTCGTGTTGAATGGGGAAAGGGGAATGGCTCTGGAGTCAATGCAGGGGAATCGGGCCTCATCTCGAGTTGATTTGGGGCACATGGAGCTGCTTTGCGTTGCTGGGGTGACCTCAGGGTCCGTCTAGACTGGTGACAGTGTTCTTGGGGACTGTCTCGAGATCCATTAAGCAAGTCGAAGCTCCTGACTTGTTTTATTGGATCACGGAATAGCTCTGCATGCACTGCAGGGGAATGGGGCCTCATCTCGCCTCTAGGGGGAAGTCTCATGGTTTTTCTCGAGTTGCGGCGGGGACCTGGGGTATGTTCTCGACTTATGGCGGGGATGGCCCTTCAAAACACGAGTTTCTTCAGTGACGTCAGGACTCCTGTCTAGTAATGAGGGACACCTCCGGAATCTCTTCGAGGCTTGGCAGGGCAAAAGGGACGCTTCTCGAGGTGAGGCAGGGCACCTAAGGACCCTTTCCAGTAGCCAAAGGGATTTTGGGATTCCTATCAGTATTCAAGAGGAGTCAGGCATCGTCACCTTTTGAAGCAATGAACTCCGCGTGCCTCTCGAAGTGTCAGCGCGATGTGAGGCATTCCGTCAAAATGAGGCAGGGACCTAGGGATTTCTCTAAGGTCTCCACAGGGGATTCAGACATCCCTTCATGTTGTGAGATGAAAGACGAGCCTGTATTCAAGCCACTGCAAGGAAATCCGGCCTCCTTTCAAATTAGGTTTTCTCACTGTATATTCCCCTTGAGGCAGCAAACTCGGTGTCCCTCCCTCATACCTATTGCTGAGAGAAGCCTCCTCCTGAGGTGCTTCTGGGAAGTTGGCATACGTCTTGAGCCTAAGCCAGGGAATCAGCTCTCATCTCGAGACGATTTGGGGTACACGGAGCATTCCTCGAGTGGCTGTGCTGAAGTTGGTGTTCCTCTAGACTTGGGACAGTGTTCTCGGGGCATCTCTGGAGTTGCCTGAAGGAAGTCGAGCCACCGGTCGTGTTGAATGGGGAACGGGGAATGGCTCTGGAGTCAATGCAGGGGAATCGGGCCTCATCTCGAGTTGATTTGGGGCACATGGAGCTGCTTTGCGTTGCTGGGGTGACCTCAGGGTCCGTCTAGACTGGTGACAGTGTTCTTGGGGACTGTCTCGAGATCCATTAAGCAAGTCGAAGCTCCTGACTTGTTTGAATGGGATCATGGAATAGCTCTGCATGCACTGCAGGGGAATGGGGCCTCATCTCGCCTCTAGGGGGAAGTCTCATGGTTTTTCTCGAGTTGCGGCGGTGACCTGGGTATGTTCTCGACTTACAGCGGGGATGGCCCTTCAAAACACGAGTTTCTTCAGTGACGTCAGGACTCCTGTCTAGTAACGAGGGACACCTCAGGAATCTCTTCGAGGCTTGGCAGGGCAAAAGGGACGCTTCTCGAGGTGAGGCAGGGCACCCAAGGACCCTTTCCAGTAGCCACAGGGATTTTGGGATTCCTATCAGTATTCAAGAGGAGTCAGGCATCGTCACCTTTTGAAGCAATGAACTCCGCGTGCCTCTCGAGGTGTCAGCGGGATGTGAGGCATTCCGTCAAAATGAGGCAGGGAACTAGGGCTTTCTCTAAGGTCTCCACAGGGGATTCAGACATCCCTTCATGTTGTGAGATGAAAGACGAGCCTGTATTCAAGCCACTGCAAGGAAATCCGGCCTCCTTTCAAGTTAGGGCTTCTCGCTGTATATTCCCCTTGAGGCAGCAAACTCGGGGTCCCTCCCACATACCTATTGCTGAGAGAAGCCTCCTCCTGAGGTGCTTCTGGGAAGTTGGCATACGTCTTGAGCCTAAGCCAGGGAATCAGCTCGCATCTCGAGACGATTTGGGGTACACGGAGCATTCCTCGAGTTGCTGTGCTGAAGTTGGTGTTCCTCTAGACTTGGGACAGTGTTCTCGGGGCATCTCTGGAGTTGCCTGAAGGAAGTCGAGCCACCGGTCGTGTTGAATGGGGAACGGGGAATGGCTCTGGAGTCAATGCAGGGGAATCGGGCCTCATCTCGAGTTGATTTGGGGCACATGGAGCTGCTTTGCGTTGCTGGGGTGACCTCAGGGTCCGTCTAGACTGGTGACAGTGTTCTTGGGGACTGTCTCGAGATCCATTAAGCAAGTCGAAGCTCCTGACTTGTTTGAATGGGATCACGGAATAGCTCTGCATGCACTGCAGGGGAATGGGGCCTCATCTCGCCTCTAGGGGGAAGTATCATGGTTTTCCTCGAGTTGCGGCGGGGACCTGGGGTATGTTCTCGACTTACGGCGGGGATGGCCCTTCAAAACACGAGTTTCTTCAGTGACGTCAGGACTCCTGTCTAGTAACGAGGGACACCTCAGGAATCTCTTCGAGGCTTGGCAGGGCAAAAGGGACGGTTCTCGAGGTGAGGCAGGGCACCCAAGGACCCTTTCCAGTAGCCACAGGGATTTTGGGATTCCTATCAGTATTCAAGAGGAGTCAGGCATCGTCACCTTTTGAAGCAATGAACTCCGCGTGCCTCTCGAGGTGTCAGCGGGATGTGAGGCATTCCGTCAAAATGAGACAGGGACCTAGGGCTTTCTCTAAGGTCTCCACAGGGGACTCAGACATCCCTTCATGTTGTGAGATGAAAGACGAGCCTGTATTCAAGCCACTGCAAGGAAATCCGGCCTCCTTTCAAGTTAGGGCTTCTCGCTGTATATTCCCCTTGAGGCAGCAAACTCGGGGTCCCTCCCACATACCTATTGCTGAGAGAAGCCTCCGCCTGAGGTGCTTCTGGGAAGTTGGCATACGTCTTGAGCCTAAGCCAGGGAATCAGCTCTCATCTCGAGACGATTTGGGGTACACGGAGCATTCCTCGAGTTGCTGTGCTGAAGTTGGTGTTCCTCTAGACTTGGGACAGTGTTCTCGGGGCATCTCTGGAGTTGCCTGAAGGAAGTCGAGCCACCGGTCGTGTTGAATGGGGAAAGGGGAATGGCTCTGGAGTCAATGCAGGGGAATCGGGCCTCATCTCGAGTTGATTTGGGGCACATGGAGCTGCTTTGCGTTGCTGGGGTGACCTCAGGGTCCGTCTAGACTGGTGACAGTGTTCTTGGGGACTGTCTCGAGATCCATTAAGCAAGTCGAAGCTCCTGACTTGTTTTATTGGATCACGGAATAGCTCTGCATGCACTGCAGGGGAATGGGGCCTCATCTCGCCTCTAGGGGGAAGTCTCATGGTTTTTCTCGAGTTGCGGCGGGGACCTGGGGTATGTTCTCGACTTATGGCGGGGATGGCCCTTCAAAACACGAGTTTCTTCAGTGACGTCAGGACTCCTGTCTAGTAATGAGGGACACCTCCGGAATCTCTTCGAGGCTTGGCAGGGCAAAAGGGACGCTTCTCGAGGTGAGGCAGGGCACCTAAGGACCCTTTCCAGTAGCCAAAGGGATTTTGGGATTCCTATCAGTATTCAAGAGGAGTCAGGCATCGTCACCTTTTGAAGCAATGAACTCCGCGTGCCTCTCGAAGTGTCAGCGCGATGTGAGGCATTCCGTCAAAATGAGGCAGGGACCTAGGGATTTCTCTAAGGTCTCCACAGGGGATTCAGACATCCCTTCATGTTGTGAGATGAAAGACGAGCCTGTATTCAAGCCAATGCAAGGAAATCCGGCCTCCTTTCAAATTAGGTTTTCTCACTGTATATTCCCCTTGAGGCAGCAAACTCGGTGTCCCTTCCTCATAACTATTGCTAAGAGAAGCCTCCTCCTGAGGTGCTTCTGGGAAGTTGGCATACGTCTTGAGCCTAAGCCAGGGAATCAGCTCTCATCTCGAGACGATTTGGGGTACACGGAGCATTCCTCGAGTGGCTGTACTGAAGTTGGTGTTCCTCTAGACTTGGGACAGTGTTCTCGGGGCATCTCTGGAGTTGCCTGAAGGAAGTCGAGCCACCGGTCGTGTTGAATGGGGAACGGGGAATGGCTCTGGAGTCAATGCAGGGGAATCGGGCCTCATCTCGAGTTGATTTGGGGCACATGGAGCTGCTTTGCGTTGCTGGGGTGACCTCAGGGTCCGTCTAGACTGGTGACAGTGTTCTTGGGGACTGTCTCGAGATCCATTAAGCAAGTCGAAGCTCCTGACTTGTTTGAATGGGATCATGGAATAGCTCTGCATGCACTGCAGGGGAATGGGGCCTCATCTCGCCTCTAGGGGGAAGTCTCATGGTTTTTCTCGAGTTGCGGCGGGGACCTGGGGTATGTTCTCGACTTACGGCGGGGATGGCCCTTCAAAACACGAGTTTCTTCAGTGACGTCAGGACTCCTGTCTAGTAACGAGGGACACCTCAGGAATCTCTTCGAGGCTTGGCAGGGCAAAAGGGACGCTTCTCGAGGTGAGGCAGGGCACCCAAGGACCCTTTCCAGTAGCCACAGGGATTTTGGGATTCCTATCAGTATTCAAGAGGAGTCAGGCATCGTCACCTTTTGAAGCAATGAACTCCGCGGGCCTCTCGAGGTGTCAGCGGGATGTGAGGCATTCCGTCAAAATGAGGCAGGGAACTAGGGCTTTCTCTAAGGTCTCCACAGGGGATTCAGACATCCCTTCATGTTGTGAGATGAAAGACGAGCCTGTATTCAAGCCACTGCAAGGAAATCCGGCCTCCTTTCAAGTTAGGGCTTCTCGCTGTATATTCCCCTTGAGGCAGCAAACTCGGGGTCACTCCCACATACCTATTGCTGAGAGAAGCCTCCTCCTGAGGTGCTTCTGGGAAGTTGGCATACGTCTTGAGCCTAAGCCAGGGAATCAGCTCGCATCTCGAGACGATTTGGGGTACACGGAGCATTCCTCGAGTTGCTGTGCTGAAGTTGGTGTTCCTCTAGACTTGGGACAGTGTTCTCGGGGCATCTCTGGAGTTGCCTGAAGGAAGTCGAGCCACCGGTCGTGTTGAATGGGGAACGGGGAATGGCTCTGGAGTCAATGCAGGGGAATCGGGCCTCATCTCGAGTTGATTTGGGGCACATGGAGCTGCTTTGCGTTGCTGGGGTGACCTCAGGGTCCGTCTAGACTGGTGACAGTGTTCTTGGGGACTGTCTCGAGATCCATTAAGCAAGTCGAAGCTCCTGACTTGTTTGAATGGGATCACGGAATAGCTCTGCATGCACTGCAGGGGAATGGGGCCTCATCTCGCCTCTAGGGGGAAGTATCATGGTTTTCCTCGAGTTGCGACGGGGACCTGGGGTATGTTCTCGACTTACGGCGGGGATGGCCCTTCAAAACACGAGTTTCTTCAGTGATGTCAGGACTCCTGTCTAGTAACGAGGGACACCTCAGGAATCTCTTCGAGGCTTGGCAGGGCAAAAGGGACGCTTCTCGAGGTGAGGCAGGGCACCCAAGGACCCTTTCCAGTAGCCACAGGGATTTTGGGATTCCTATCAGTATTCAAGAGGAGTCAGGCATCGTCACCTTTTGAAGCAATGAACTCCGCGTGCCTCTCGAGGTGTCAGCGGGATGTGAGGCATTCCGTCAAAATGAGACAGGGACCTAGGGCTTTCTCTAAGGTCTCCACAGGGGACTCAGACATCCCTTCATGTTGTGAGATGAAAGACGAGCCTGTATTCAAGCCACTGCAAGGAAATCCGGCCTCCTTTCAAGTTAGGGCTTCTCGCTGTATATTCCCCTTGAGGCAGCAAACTCGGGGTCCCTCCCACATACCTATTGCTGAGAGAAGCCTCCGCCTGAGGTGCTTCTGGGAAGTTGGCATACGTCTTGAGCCTAAGCCAGGGAATCAGCTCTCATCTCGAGACGATTTGGGGTACACGGAGCATTCCTCGAGTTGCTGTGCTGAAGTTGGTGTTCCTCTAGACTTGGGACAGTGTTCTCGGGGCATCTCTGGAGTTGCCTGAAGGAAGTCGAGCCACCGGTCGTGTTGAATGGGGAAAGGGGAATGGCTCTGGAGTCAATGCAGGGGAATCGGGCCTCATCTCGAGTTGATTTGGGGCACATGGAGCTGCTTTGCGTTGCTGGGGTGACCTCAGGGTCCGTCTAGACTGGTGACAGTGTTCTTGGGGACTGTCTCGAGATCCATTAAGCAAGTCGAAGCTCCTGACTTGTTTTATTGGATCACGGAATAGCGCTGCATGCACTGCAGGGGAATGGGGCCTCATCTCGCCTCTAGGGGGAAGTCTCATGGTTTTTCTCGAGTTGCGGCGGGGACCTGGGGTATGTTCTCGACTTATGGCGGGGATGGCCCTTCAAAACACGAGTTTCTTCAGTGACGTCAGGACTCCTGTCTAGTAATGAGGGACACCTCCGGAATCTCTTCGAGGCTTGGCAGGGCAAAAGGGACGCTTCTCGAGGTGAGGCAGGGCACCTAAGGACCCTTTCCAGTAGCCAAAGGGATTTTGGGATTCCTATCAGTATTCAAGAGGAGTCAGGCATCGTCACCTTTTGAAGCAATGAACTCCGCGTGCCTCTCGAAGTGTCAGCGCGATGTGAGGCATTCCGTCAAAATGAGGCAGGGACCTAGGGATTTCTCTAAGGTCTCCACAGGGGATTCAGACATCCCTTCATGTTGTGAGATGAAAGACGAGCCTGTATTCAAGCCACTGCAAGGAAATCCGGCCTCCTTTCAAATTAGGTTTTCTCACTGTATATTCCCCTTGAGGCAGCAAACTCGGTGTCCCTCCCTCATACCTATTGCTGAGAGAAGCCTCCTCCTGAGGTGCTTCTGGGAAGTTGGCATACGTCTTGAGCCTAAGCCAGGGAATCAGCTCTCATCTCGAGACGATTTGGGGTACACGGAGCATTCCTCGAGTGGCTGTACTGAAGTTGGTGTTCCTCTAGACTTGGGACAGTGTTCTCGGGGCATCTCTGGAGTTGCCTGAAGGAAGTCGAGCCACCGGTCGTGTTGAATGGGGAACGGGGAATGGCTCTGGAGTCAATGCAGGGGAATCGGGCCTCATCTCGAGTTGATTTGGGGCACATGGAGCTGCTTTGCGTTGCTGGGGTGACCTCAGGGTCCGTCTAGACTGGTGACAGTGTTCTTGGGGACTGTCTCGAGATCCATTAAGCAAGTCGAAGCTCCTGACTTGTTTGAATGGGATCATGGAATAGCTCTGCATGCACTGCAGGGGAATGGGGCCTCATCTCGCCTCTAGGGGGAATTCTCATGGTTTTTCTCGAGTTGCGGCGGGGACCTGGGGTATGTTCTCGACTTACGGCGGGGATGGCCCTTCAAAACACGAGTTTCTTCAGTGACGTCAGGACTCCTGTCTAGTAACGAGGGACACCTCAGGAATCTCTTCGAGGCTTGGCAGGGCAAAAGGGACGCTTCTCGAGGTGAGGCAGGGCACCCAAGGACCCTTTCCAGTAGCCACAGGGATTTTGGGATTCCTATCAGTATTCAAGAGGAGTCAGGCATCGTCACCTTTTGAAGCAATGAACTCCGCGTGCCTCTCGAGGTGTCAGCGGGATGTGAGGCATTCCGTCAAAATGAGGCAGGGACCTAGGGCTTTCTCTAAGGTCTCCACAGGGGATTCAGACATCCCTTCATGTTGTGAGATGAAAGACGAGCCTGTATTCAAGCCACTGCAAGGAAATCCGTCCTCCTTTCAAGTTAGGGCTTCTCGCTGTATATTCTCCTTGAGGCAGCAAACTCGGTGTCCCTCCCACATACCTATTGCTGAGAGAAGCCTCCTCCTGAGGTGCTTCTGGGAAGTTGGCATATGTCTTGAGCCTAAGCCAGGGAATCAGCTCTCATCTCGAGACGGTTTGGGGTACACGGAGCATTCCTCGAGTTGCTGTGCTGAAGTTGGTGTTCCTCTAGACTTGGGACAGTGTTCTCGGGGCATCTCTGGAGTTGCCTGAAGGAAGTCGAGCCACCGGTCGTGTTGAATGGGGAACGGGGAATGGCTCTGGAGTCAATGCATGGGAATCGGGCCTCATCTCGAGTTGATTTGGGGCACATGGAGCTGCTTTGCGTTGCTGGGGTGACCTCAGGGTCCGTCTAGACTGGTGACAGTGTTCTTGGGGACTGTCTCGAGATCCATTAAGCAAGTCGAAGCTCCTGACTTGTTTGAATTGGATCACAGAATAGCTCTGCATGCACTGCAGGGGAATGGGGCCTCATCTCGCCTCTAGGGGGAAGTCTCATGGTTTTTCTCGAGTTGCGGTGGGGACCTGGGGTATGTTCTCGACTTACGGCGGGGATGGCCCTTCAAAACACGAGTTTCTTCAGTGACGTCAGGACTCCTGTCTAGTAACGAGGGACACCTCAGGAATCTCTTCGAGGCTTGGCAGGGCAAAAGGGACGCTTCTCGAGGTGAGGCAGGGCACCCAAGGACCCTTTCCAGTAGCCACAGGGATTTTGGGATTCCTATCAGTATTCAAGAGGAGTCAGGCATCGTCACCTTTTGAAGCAATGAACTCCGCGTGCCTCTCGAGGTGTCAGCGGGATGTGAGGCATTCCGTCAAAATGAGACAGGGACCTAGGGCTTTCTCTAAGGTCTCCACAGGGGACTCAGACATCCCTTCATGTTGTGAGATGAAAGACGAGCCTGTATTCAAGCCACTGCAAGGAAATCCGGCCTCCTTTCAAGTTAGGGCTTCTCGCTGTATATTCCCCTTGAGGCAGCAAACTCGGGGTCCCTCCCACATACCTATTGCTGAGAGAAGCCTCCGCCTGAGGTGCTTCTGGGAAGTTGGCATACGTCTTGAGCCTAAGCCAGGGAATCAGCTCTCATCTCGAGACGATTTGGGGTACACGGAGCATTCCTCGAGTTGCTGTGCTGAAGTTGGTGTTCCTCTAGACTTGGGACAGTGTTCTCGGGGCATCTCTGGAGTTGCCTGAAGGAAGTCGAGCCACCGGTCGTGTTGAATGGGGAAAGGGGAATGGCTCTGGAGTCAATGCAGGGGAATCGGGCCTCATCTCGAGTTGATTTGGGGCACATGGAGCTGCTTTGCGTTGCTGGGGTGACCTCAGGGTCCGTCTAGACTGGTGACAGTGTTCTTGGGGACTGTCTCGAGATCCATTAAGCAAGTCGAAGCTCCTGACTTGTTTTATTGGATCACGGAATAGCTCTGCATGCACTGCAGGGGAATGGGGCCTCATCTCGCCTCTAGGGGGAAGTCTCATGGTTTTTCTCGAGTTGCGGCGGGGACCTGGGGTATGTTCTCGACTTATGGCGGGGATGGCCCTTCAAAACACGAGTTTCTTCAGTGACGTCAGGACTCCTGTCTAGTAATGAGGGACACCTCCGGAATCTCTTCGAGGCTTGGCAGGGCAAAAGGGACGCTTCTCGAGGTGAGGCAGGGCACCTAAGGACCCTTTCCAGTAGCCAAAGGGATTTTGGGATTCCTATCAGTATTCAAGAGGAGTCAGGCATCGTCACCTTTTGAAGCAATGAACTCCGCGTGCCTCTCGAAGTGTCAGCGCGATGTGAGGCATTCCGTCAAAATGAGGCAGGGACCTAGGGATTTCTCTAAGGTCTCCACAGGGGATTCAGACATCCCTTCATGTTGTGAGATGAAAGACGAGCCTGTATTCAAGCCACTGCAAGGAAATCCGGCCTCCTTTCAAATTAGGTTTTCTCACTGTATATTCCCCTTGAGGCAGCAAACTCGGTGTCCCTCCCTCATACCTATTGCTGAGAGAAGCCTCCTCCTGAGGTGCTTCTGGGAAGTTGGCATACGTCTTGAGCCTAAGCCAGGGAATCAGCTCTCATCTCGAGACGATTTGGGGTACACGGAGCATTCCTCGAGTGGCTGTACTGAAGTTGGTGTTCCTCTAGACTTGGGACAGTGTTCTCGGGGCATCTCTGGAGTTGCCTGAAGGAAGTCGAGCCACCGGTCGTGTTGAATGGGGAACGGGGAATGGCTCTGGAGTCAATGCAGGGGAATCGGGCCTCATCTCGAGTTGATTTGGGGCACATGGAGCTGGTTTGCGTTGCTGGGGTGACCTCAGGGTCCGTCTAGACTGGTGACAGTGTTCTTGGGGACTGTCTCGAGATCCATTAAGCAAGTCGAAGCTCCTGCCTTGTTTGAATGGGATCACGGAATAGCTCTGCATGCACTGCAGGGGAATGGGGCCTCATCTCGCCTCTAGGGGGAAGTCTCATGGTTTTTCTCGAGTTGCGGCAGGGACCTGGGGTATGTTCTCGACTTACGGCGGGGATGGCCCTTCAAAACACGAGTTTCTTCAGTGACGTCAGGACTCCTGTCTAGTAACGAGGGACACCTCAGGAATCTCTTCGAGGCTTGGCAGGGCAAAAGGGAGGCTTCTCGAGGTGAGGCAGGGCACCCAAGGACCCTTTCCAGTAGCCACAGGGATTTTGGGATTCCTGTCAGTATTCAAGAGTAGTAAGGCATCGTCACCTTTTGAAGCAATGAACTCCGCGTGCCTCTCGAGGTGTCAGCGCGATGTGAGGCATTCCGTCAAAATGAGGCAGGGACCTAGGGCTTTCTCTAAGGTCTCCAAAGGGGATTCAGACATCCCTTCATGTTGTGAGATGAAAGACGAGCCTGTATTCAAGCGACTGCAAGGAAATCCGGCCTCCTTTCAAATTAGGGCTTCTCGCTGTATATTCCCCTTGAGGCAGCAAACTCGGGGTCCCTCCCACATATCTATTGCTGAGAGAAGCCTCCTCCTGAGGTGCTTCTGGGAAGTTGGCATACGTCTTGAGCCTAAGCCAGGGAATCAGCTCGCATCTCGAGACGATTTGGGGTACACGGAGCATTCCTCGAGTTGCTGTGCTGAAGTTGGTGTTCCTCTAGAATTGGGACAGTGTGCTCGGGGCATCTCTGGTGTTGCCTGAAGGAAGTCGAGCCACCGGTCGTGTTGAATGGGGAACGGGGAATGGCTCTGGAGTCAATGCATGGGAATCGGGCCTCATCTCGAGTTGATTTGGGGCACATGGAGCTGCTTTGCGTTGCTGGGGTGACCTCAGGGTCCGTCTAGACTGGTGACAGTGTTCTTGGGGACTGTCTCGAGATCCATTAAGCAAGTCGAAGCTCCTGACTTGTTTGAATGGGATCACGGAATAGCTCTGCATGCACTGCAGGCAAATGGGGCCTCATCTCGCCTCTAGGGGGAAGTCTCATGGTTTTTCTCGAGTTGCGGTGGGGACCTGGGGTATGTTCTCGACTTACGGCGGGGATGGCCCTTCAAAACACGAGTTTCTTCAGTGACGTCAGGACTCCTGTCTAGTAACGAGGGACACCTCAGGAATCTCTTCGAGGCTTGGCAGGGCAAAAGGGAGGCTTCTCGAGGTGAGGCAGGGCACCTAAGGACCATTTCCAGTAGCCACAGGGATTTTGGGATTCCTATCAGTATTCAAGAGGAGTAAGGCATCGTCACCTTTTGAAGCAATGAACTCCGCGTGCCTCTTGAGGTGTCAGCGCGATGTGAGGCATTCCGTCAAAATGAGGCAGGGACCGAGGGCTTTCTCTAAGGTCTCCACAGGGGATTCAGACATCCCTTCATGTTGTGAGATGAAAGACGAGCCTGTATTCAAGCCACTGCAAGGAAATCCGGCCTCCTTTCAAGTTAGGGCTTCTCGCTGTATATTCCCCTTGAGGCAGCAAACTCGGGGTCCCTCCCACATATCTATTGCTGAGAGAAGCCTCCTCCTGAGGTGCTTCTGGGAAGTTGGCATACGTCTTGAGCCTAAGCCAGGGAATCAGCTCGCATCTCGAGACGATTTGGGGTACAGGGAGCATTCCTCGAGTTGCTGTGCTGAAGTTGGTGTTCCTCTAGACTTGGGACAGTGTTCTCGGGGCATCTCTGGTGTTGCCTGAAGGAAGTCGAGCCACCGGTCGTGTTGAATGGGGAACGGGGAATGGCTCTGGAGTCAATGCAGGGGAATCGGGCCTCATCTCGAGTTGATTTGGGGCACATGGAGCTGCTTTGCGTTGCTGGGGTGACCTCAGGGTCCGTCTAGACTGGTGACAGTGTTCTTGGGGACTGTCTCGAGATCCATTAAGCAAGTCGAAGCTCCTGACTTGTTTGAATGGGATCACGGAATAGCTCTGCATGCACTGCAGGCAAATGGGGCCTCATCTCGCCTCTAGGGGGAAGTCTCATGGTTTTTCTAGAGTTGCGGTGGGGACCTGGGGTATGTTCTCGACTTACGGCGGGGATGGCCCTTCAAAACACGAGTTTCTTCAGTGACGTCAGGACTCCTGTCTAGTAACGAGGGACACCTCAGGAATCTCTTCGAGGCTTGGCAGGGCAAAAGGGAGGCTTCTCGAGGTGAGGCAGGGCACCTAAGGACCCTTTCCAGTAGCCACAGGGATTTTGGGATTCCTATCAGTATTCAAGAGGAGTCAGGCATCGTCACCTTTTTAAGCAATGAACTCCACGTGCCTCTCGAGGTGTCAGCGCGATGTGAGGCATTCCGTAAAAATGAGGCAGGGACCTAGGGCTTTCTCTAAGGTCTCCACAGGGGATTCAGACATCCCTTCATGTTGTGAGATGAAAGACGAGCCTGTATTCAAGCGACTGCAAGGAAATCCGGCCTCCTTTCAAGTTAGGGCTTCTCACTGTATATTCCCCTTGAGGCAGCAAACTCGGGGTCCCTCCCACATACCTATTGCTGAGAGAAGCCTCTTCCTGAGGTGCTTCTGGGAAGTTGGCATACGTCTTGAGCCTAAGCCAGGGAATCAGCTCGCATCTCGAGACGGTTTGGGGTAGACGGAGCATTCCTCGAGTTGCTGTGCTGAAGTTGGTGTTCCTCTAGACTTGGGACAGTGTTCTCGGGGCATCTCTGGAGTTGCCTGAAGGAAGTCGAGCCACCGGTCGTGTTGAATGGGGAACGGGGAATGGCTCTGGAGTCAATGCATGGGAATCGGGCCTCATCTCGAGTTGATTTGGGGCACATGGAGCTGCTTTGCGTTGCTGGGGTGACCTCAGGGTCCGTCTAGACTGGTGACAGTGTTCTTGGGGACTGTCTCGAGATCCATTAAGCAAGTCGAAGCTCCTGACTTGTTTGAATGGGATCACGGAATAGCTCTGCATGCACTGCAGGGGAATGGGGCCTCATCTCGCCTCTAGGGGGAAGTCTCATGGTTTTTCTCGAGTTGCGGTGGGGACCTGGGGTATGTTCTCGACTTACGGCGGGGATGGCCCTTCAAAACACGAGTTTCTTCAGTGACGTCAGGACTCCTGTCTAGTAACGAGGGACACCTCAGGAATCTCTTCGAGGCTTGGCAGGGCAAAAGGGAGGCTTCTCGAGGTGAGGCAGGGCACCTAAGGACCCTTTCCAGTAGCCACAGGGATTTTGGGATTCCTATCAGTATTCAAGAGGAGTAAGGCATCGTCACCTTTTGAAGCAATGAACTCCGCGTGCCTCTCGAGGTGTCAGCGCGATGTGAGGCATTCCGTCAAAATGAGGCAGGGACCGAGGGCTTTCTCTAAGGTCTCCACAGGGGATTCAGACATCCCTTCATGTTGTGAGATGAAAGACGAGCCTGTATTCAAGCCACTGCAAGGAAATCCGGCCTCCTTTCAAGTTAGGGCTTCTCGCTGTATATTCCCCTTGAGGCAGCAAACTCGGGGTTCCTCCCACATATCTATTGCTGAGAGAAGCCTCCTCCTGAGGTGCTTCTGGGAAGTTGGCATACGTCTTGAGCCTAAGCCAGGGAATCAGCTCGCATCTCGAGACGATTTGGGGTACACGGAGCATTCCTCGAGTTGCTGTGCTGAAGTTGGTGTTCCTCTAGACTTGGGACAGTGTTCTCGGGGCATCTCTGGTGTTGCCTGAAGGAAGTCGAGCCACCGGTCGTGTTGAATGGGGAACGGGGAATGGCTCTGGAGTCAATGCATGGGAATCGGGCCTCATCTCGAGTTGATTTGGGGCACATGGAGCTGCTTTGCGTTGCTGGGGTGACCTCAGGGTCCGTCTAGACTGGTGACAGTGTTCTTGGGGACTGTCTCGAGATCCATTAAGCAAGTCGAAGCTCCTGACTTGTTTGAATGGGATCACGGAAGAGCTCTGCATGCACTGCAGGCAAATGGGGCCTCATCTCGCCTCTAGGGGGAAGTCTCATGGTTTTTCTCGAGTTGCGGTGGGGACCTGGGGTATGTTCTCGACTTACGGCGGGGATGGCCCTTCAAAACACGAGTTTCTTCAGTGACGTCAGGACTCCTGTCTAGTAACGAGGGACACCTCAGGAATCTCTTCGAGGCTTGGCAGGTCAAAAGGGAGGCTTCTCGAGGTGAGGCAGGGCACCTAAGGACCCTTTCCAGTAGCCACAGGGATTTTGGGATTCCTATCAGTATTCAAGAGGAGTCAGGCATCGTCACCTTTTGAAGCAATGAACTCCGCGTGCCTCTCGAGGTGTCAGCGGGATGTGAGGCATTCCGTAAAAATGAGGCAGGGACCTAGGGCTTTCTCTAAGGTCTCCACAGGGGATTCAGACATCCCTTCATGTTGTGAGATGAAAGACGAGCCTGTATTCAAGCCACTGCAAGGAAATCCGGCCTCCTTTCAAGTTAGGGCTTCTCGCTGTATATTCCCCTTGAGGCAGCAAACTCGGGGTCCCTCGCACATACCTATTGCTGAGAGAAGCCTCCTCCTGAGGTGCTTCTGGGAAGTTGGCATACGTCTTGAGCCTAAGCCAGGGAATCAGCTCGCATCTCGAGACGAATTGGTGTAGACGGAGCATTCCTCGAGTTGCTGTGCTGAAGTTGGTGTTCCTCTAGACTTGGGACAGTGTTCTCGGGGCATCTCGGGAGTTGCCTGAAGGAAGTCGAGCCACCGGTCGTGTTGAATGGGGAACGGGGAATGGCTCTGGAGTCAATGCAGGGGAATCGGGCCTCATCTCTAGTTGATTTGGGGCACATGGAGCTGCTTTGCGTTGCTGGGGTGACCTCAGGGTCCGTCTAGACTGGTGACAGTGTTCTTGGGGACTGTCTCGAGATCCATTAAGCAAGTCGAAGCTCCTGACTTGTTTGAATGGGATCACGGAATAGCTCTGCATGCACTGCAGGGGAATGGGGCCTCATCTCGCCTCTAGGGGGAAGTCTCATGGTTTTTCTCGAGTTGCGGCGGGGACCTGGGGTATGTTCTCGACTTACGGTGGGGATGGCCCTTCAAAACACGAGTTTCTTCAGTGAGGTCAGGACTCCTGTCTAGTAATGAGGGACACCTCAGGAATCTCTTCGAGGCTTGGCAGGGCAAAAGGGACGCGTCTCGAGGTGAGGCAGGGCACCCAAGGACCCTTTCCAGTAGCAACAGGGATTTTGGGATTCCTATCAGTATTCAAGAGGAGTCAGGCATCGTCACCTTTTGAAGCAATGAACTCCGCGTGCCTCTCGAGGTGTCAGCGCGATGTGAGGCATTCCGTCAAAATGAGGCAGGGACCTAGGGCTTTCTCTAAGGTCTCCACAGGGGATTCAGACATCCCTTCATGTTGTGAGATGAAAGACGAGCCTGTATTCAAGCCACTGCAAGGAAATCCGGCCTCCTTTCAAGTTAGGGCTTCTCGCTGTATATTCCCCTTGAGGCAGCAAACTCGGGGTCCCTCCCACATACCTATTGCTGAGAGAAGCCTCCTCCTGAGGTGCTTCTGGGAAGTTGGCATACGTCTTGAGCCTAAGCCAGGGAATCAGCTCGCATCTCGAAACGATTTGGGGTAGACGGAGCATTCCTCGAGTTGCTGTGCTGAAGTTGGTGTTCCTCTAGACTTGGGACAGTGTTCTCGGGCATCTCTGGAGTTGCCTGAAGGAAGTCCAGCCACCGGTCGTGTTGAATGGGGAACGGGGAATGGCTCTGGTGTCAATGCAGGGGAATCGGGCCTCATCTCGAGTTGATTTGGGGCACATGGAGCTGCTTTGCGTTGCTGGGGTGACCTCAGTGTCCGTCTAGACTGGTGACAGTGTTCTTGGGGACTGTCTCGAGATCCATTAAGCAAGTCGAAGCTCCTGACTTGTTTGAATGGGATCACGGAATAGCTCTGCATGCACTGCAGGGGAATGGGGCCTCATCTCGCCTCTAGGGGGAAGTCTCATGGTTTTTCTCGAGTTGCGGCGGGGACCTGGGGTATGTTCTCGACTTACGGCGGGGATGGCCCTTCAAAACACGAGTTTCTTCAGTTACGTCAGGACTTCTGTCTAGTAACGAGGGACACCTCAGGAATCTCTTCGAGGCTTGGCAGGGCAAAACGGACGCTTCTCGAGGTGAGGCAGGGCACCCAAGGACCCTTTCCAGTAGCCACAGGGATTTTGGGATTCCTATCAGTATTCAAGAGGAGTCAGGCATCGTCACCTTTTGAAGCAATGAACTCCGCGTGCCTCTCGAGGTGTCAGCGGGATGTGAGGCATTCCGTCAAAATGAGGCAGGGACCTAGGGCTTTCTCTAAGGTCTCCACAGGGGATTCAGACATCCCTTCATGTTGTGAGATGAAAGACAAGCCTGTATTCAAGCCACTGCAAGGAAATCCGGCCTCCTTTCAAGTTAGGGCTTCTCGCTGTATATTCCCCTTGAGGCAGCAAACTCGGGGTCCCTCCCACTTACCTATTGCTGAGAGAAGCCTCCTCCTGAGGTGCTTCTGGGAAGTTGGCATACGTCTTGAGCCTAAGCCAGGGAATCAGCTCTCATCTCGAGACGATTTGGGGTAGACGGAGCATTCCTCGAGTTGCTGTGCTGTAGTTGGTGTTCCTCTAGACTTGGGACAGTGTTCTCGGGGCATCTCTGGAGTTGCCTGAAGGAAGTCGAGCCACCGGTCTTGTTGAATGGGGAACGGGGAATGGCTCTGGAGTCAATGCAGGGGAATCGGGCCTCATCTCGAGTTGATTTGGGGCACATGGAGCTGCTTTGCGTTGCTGGGGTGACCTCAGGGTCCGTCTAGACTGGTGACAGTGTTCTTGGGGACTGTCTCGAGATCCATTAAGCAAGTCGAAGCTCCTGACTTGTTTGAATGGGATCACGGAATAGCTCTGCATGCACTGCAGGGGAATGGGGCCTCATCTCGCCTCTAGGGGGAAGTCTCATGGTTTTTCTCGAGTTGCGGCGGGGACCTGGGGTATGTTCTCGACTTACGGCGGGGATGGCCCTTCAAAACACGAGTTTCTTCAGTGACGTCAGGACTCCTGTCTAGTAACGAGGGACACCTCAGGAATCTCTTCGAGGCTTGGCAGGGCAAAAGGGACGCTTCTCGAGGTGAGGCAGGGCACCCAAGGACCCTTTCCAGTAGCCACAGGAATTTTGGGATTCCTATCAGTATTCAAGAGGAGTCAGGCATCGTCACCTTTTGAAGCAATGAACTCCGCGTGCCTCTCGAGGTGTCAGCGGGATGTGAGGCATTCCGTCAAAATGAGGCAGGGACCTAGGGCTTTCTCTAAGGTCTCCACAGGGGATTCAGACATCCCTTCATGTTGTGAGATGAAAGACGAGCCTGTATTCAAGCCACTGCAAGGAAATCCGGCCTCCTTTCAAGTTAGGGCTTCTCGCTGTATATTCCCCTTGAGGCAGCAAACTCGGGGTCCCTCCCACATACCTATTGCTGAGAGAAGCCTCCTCCTGAGGTGCTTCTGGGAAGTTGGCATACGTCTTGAGCCTAAGCCAGGGAATCAGCTCTCATCTCGAGACGATATGGGGTACACGGAGCATTCCTCGAGTTGCTGTGCTGTAGTTGGTGTTCCTCTAGACTTGGGACAGTGTTCTCGGGGCATCTCTGGAGTTGCCTGAAGGAAGTCGAGCCACCGGTCTTGTTGAATGGGGAACGGGGAATGGCTCTGGAGTCAATGCAGGGGAATCGGGCCTCATCTCGAGTTGATTTGGGGCACATGGAGCTGCTTTGCGTTGCTGGGGTGACCTCAGGGTCCGTCTAGACTGGTGACAGTGTTCTTGGGGTCTGTCTCGAGATCCATTAAGCAAGTCGAAGCTCCTGACTTGTTTGAATGGGATCACGGAATAGCTCTGCATGCACTGCAGGGGAATGGGGCCTCATCTCGCCTCTAGGGGGAAGTCTCATGGTTTTTCTCGAGTTGCGGCGGGGACCTGGGGTATGTTCTCGACTTACGGCGGGGATAGCCCTTCAAAACACGAGTTTCTTCAGTGACGTCAGGACTCCTGTCTAGTAACGAGGGACACCTCAGGAATCTCTTCGAGGCTTGGCAGGGCAAAAGGGACGCTTCTCGAGGTGAGGCAGGGCACCCAAGGACCCTTTCCAGTAGCCACAGGGATTTTGGGATTCCTATCAGTATTCAAGAGGAGTCAGGCATCGTCACCTTTTGAAGCAATGAACTCCGCGTGCCTCTCGAGGTGTCAGCGCGATGTGAGGCATTCCTTCAAAATGAGGCAGGGACCTAGGGCTTTCTCTAAGTTCTCCACAGGGGATTCAGACATCCCTTCATGTTGTGAGATGAAAGACGAGCCTGTATTCAAGCCACTGCAAGGAAATCCGGCCTCCTTTCAAGTTAGGGCTTCTCGCTGTATATTCCCCTTGAGGCAGCAAACTCGGGGTCCCTCCCACATACCTATTGCTGAGAGAAGCCTCCTCCTGAGGTGCTTCTGGGAAGTTGGCATACGTCTTGAGCCTAAGCCAGGGAATCAGCTCTCATCTCGAGACGATTTGGGGTACACGGAGCATTCCTCGAGTTGCTGTGCTGAAGTTGGTGTTCCGCTAGACTTGGGACAGTGTCCTCGGGGCATCTCTGGAGTTGCCTGAAGGAAGTCGAGCCACCGGTCGTGTTGAATGGGGAACGGGGAATGGCTCTGGAGTCAATGCAGGGGAATCGGGCCTCATCTCGAGTTGATTTGGGGCACATGGAGCTGCTTTGCGTTGCTGGGGTGACCTCAGGGTCCGTCTAGACTGGTGACAGTGTTCTTGGGGACTGTCTCGAGATCCATTAAGCAAGTCGAAGCTCCTGACTTGTTTGAATGGGATCACGGAATAGCTCTGCATGCACTGCAGGGGAATGGGGCCTCATCTCGCCTCTAGGGGGAAGTCTCATGGTTTTTCTCGAGTTGCGGCGGGGACCTGGGGTATGTTCTCGACTTACGGCGGGGATAGCCCTTCAAAACACGAGTTTCTTCAGTGATGTCAGGACTCCTGTCTAGTAACGAGGGACACCTCAGGGATCTCTTCGAGGCTTGGCAGGGCAAAAGGGACGCTTCTCGAGGTGAGGCAGGGCACCCAAGGACCCTTTCCAGTAGCCACAGGGATTTTGGGATTCCTATCAGTATTCAAGAGGAGTCAGGCATCGTCACCTTTTGAAGCAATGAACTCCGCGTGCCTCTCGAGGTGTCAGCGGGATGTGAGGCATTCCGTCAAAATGAGGCAGGGACCTAGGGCTTTCTCTAAGGTCTCCACAGGGGATTCAGACACCCCTTCATGTTGTGAGATGAAAGACGAGCCTGTATTCAAGCCACTGCAAGGAAATGCGGCCTCCTTTCAAGTTAGGGCTTCTTGCTGTATATTCCCCTTGAGGCAGCAAACTCGGGGTCCCTCCCACATACCTATTGCTGAGAGAAGCCTCCTCCTGAGGTGCTTCTGGGAAGTTGGCATACGTCTTGAGCCTAAGCCAGGGAATCAGCTCGCATCTCGAGACGATTTGGGGTACACGGAGCATTCCTCGAGTTGCTGTGCTGAAGTTGGTGTTCCTCTAGACTTGGGACAGTGTTCTCGGGGCATCTCTGGAGTGGCCTGAAGGAAGTCGAGCCACCTGTCGTGTTGAATGGGGAACGGGGAATGGCTCTGGAGTCAATGCAGGGGAATCGGGCCTCATCTCGAGTTGATTTGGGGCACATGGAGCTGCTTTGCGTTGCTGGGGTGACCTCAGGGTCCGTCTAGACTGGTGACAGTGTTCTTGGGGACTGTCTCGAGATCCATTAAGCAAGTCGAAGCTCCTGACTTGTTTGAATGGGATCACGGAATAGCTCTGCATGCACTGCAGGGGAATGGGGCCTCATCTCGCCTCTAGGGGGAAGTCTCATGGTTTTTCTCGAGTTGCGGCGGGGACCTGGGGTATGTTCTCGACTTACGGCGGGGATGGCCCTTCAAAACACGAGTTTCTTCAGTGACGTCAGGACTCCTGTCTAGTAACGGGGGACACCTCAGGGATCTCTTCGAGGCTTGGCAGGGCAAAAAGGACGCTTCTCGAGCTGAGGCAGGGCACCCAAGGACCCTTTCCAGTAGCCACAGGGATTTTGGGATTCCTATCAGTATTCAAGAGGAGTCAGGCATCGTCACCTTTTGAAGCAATGAACTCCGTGTGCCTCTCGAGGTGTCAGCGGGATGTGAGGCATTCCGTCAAAATGAGGCAGGGACCTAGGGCTTTCTCTAAGGTCTCCTCAGGGGATTCAGATATCCCTTCATGTTGTGAGATGAAAGACGAGCCTGTATTCAAGCCACTGCAAGGAAATCCGGCCTCCTTTCAAGTTAGGGCTTCTCGCTGTATATTCCCCTTGAGGCAGCAAACTCGGGGTCCCTCCCACATACCTATTGCTGAGAGAAGCCTCCTCCTGAGGTGCTTCTGGGAAGTTGGCATACGTCTTGAGCCTAAGCCAGGGAATCAGCTCGCATCTCGAGACGATTTGGGGTACACGGAGCATTCCTCGAGTTGCTGTGCTGAAGTTGGTGTTCCTCTAGACTTGGGACAGTGTTCTCGGGGCATCTCTGGAGTTGCCTGAAGGAAGTCGAGCCACCGGTCGTGTTGAATGGGGAACGGGGAATGGCTCTGGAGTCAATGCAGGGGAATCGGGCCTCATCTCGAGTTGATTTGGGGCACATGGAGCTGCTTTGCGTTGCTGGGGTGACCTCAGGGTCCGTCTAGACTGGTGACAGTATTCTTGGGGTCTGTCTCGAGATCCATTAAGCAAGTCGAAGCTCCTGACTTGTTTGAATGGGATCACGGAATAGCTCTGCATGCACTGCAGGGGAATGGGGCCTCATCTCGCCTCTAGGGGGAAGTCTCATGGTTTTTCTCGAGTTGCGGCGGGACCTGGGGTATGTTCTCGACTTACGGCGGGGATGGCCCTTCAAAACACGAGTTTCTTCAGTGACGTCAGGACTCCTGTCTAGTAACGAGGAACACCTCAGGGATCTCTTCGAGGCTTGGCAGGGCAAAAAGGACGCTTCTCGAGCTGAGGCAGGGCACCCAAGGACCCTTTCCAGTAGCCACAGGGATTTTGGGATTCCTATCAGTATTCAAGAGGAGTCAGGCATCGTCACCTTTTGAAGCAATGAACTCCGCGTGCCTCTCGAGGTGTCAGCGGGATGTGAGGCATTCCGTCAAAATGAGGCAGGGACCTAGGGCTTTCTCTAAGGTCTCCTCAGGGGATTCAGATATCCCTTCATGTTGTGAGATGAAAGACGAGCCTGTATTCAAGCCACTGCATGGAAATCCGGCCTCCTTTCAAGTTAGGGCTTCTCGCTGTATATTCCCCTTGAGGCAGCAAACTCGGGGTCCCTCCCACATACCTATTGCTGAGAGAAGCCTCCTCCTGAGGTGCTTCTGGGAAGTTGGCATACGTCTTGAGCCTAAGCCAGGGAATCAGCTCTCATCTCGAGACGATTTGGGGTACACGGAGCATTCCTCGAGTTGCTGTGCTGAAGTTGGTGTTCCTCTAGACTTGGGACAGTGTTCTCGGGGCATCTCTAGAGTTGCCTGAAGGAAGTCGAGCCACCGGTCGTGTTGAATGGGGAACGGGGAATGGCTCTGGAGTCAATGCAGGGGAATCGGGCCTCATCTCGAGTTGATTTGGGGCACATGGAGCTGCTTTGCATTGCTGGGGTGACCTCAGGGTCCGTCTAGACTGGTGACAGTGTTCTTGGGGTCTGTCTCGAGATCCATTAAGCAAGTCGAAGCTCCTGACTTGTTTGAATGGGATCACGGAATAGCTCTGCATGCACTGCAGGGGAATGGGGCCTCATCTCGCCTCTAGGGGGAAGTCTCATGGTTTTTCTCGAGTTGCGGCGGGGACCTGGGGTATGTTCTCGACTTACGGAGGGGATGGCCCTTCAAAACACGAGTTTCTTCAGTGACGTCAGGACTCCTGTCTAGTAACGAGGGACACCTCAGGAATCTCTTCGAGGCTTGGCAGCGCAAAAGGGACGCTTCTCGAGGTGAGGCAGGGCACCCAAGGACCCTTTCCAGTAGCCACAGGGATTTTGGGATTCCTATCAGTATTCAAGAGGAGTCAGGCATCGTCACCTTTTGAAGCAATGAACTCCGCGTGCCTCTCGAGGTGTCAGCGGGATGTGAGGCATTCCGTCAAAATGAGGCAGGGACCTAGGGCTTTCTCTAAGGTCTCCACAGGGGATTCAGACATCCCTTCATGTTGTGAGATGAAAGACGAGCCTGTATTCAAGCCACTGCAAGGAAATGCGGCCTCCTTTCAAGTTAGGGCTTCTCGCTGTATATTCCCCTTGAGGCAGCAAACTCGGGGTCCCTCCCACATACCTATTGCTGAGAGAAGCCTCCTCCTGAGGTGCTTCTGGGAAGTTGGCATACGTCTTGAGCCTAAGCCAGGGAATCAGCTCGCATCTCGAGACGATTTGGGGTACACGGAGCATTCCTCGAGTTGCTGTGCTAAAGTTGGTGTTCCTCTAGACTTGGGACAGTGTTTTCGGGGCATCTCTGGAGTTGCCTGAAGGAAGTCGAGCCACCGGTCGTGTTGAATGGGGAACGGGGAATGGCTCTGGAGTCAATGCAGGGGAATCGGGCCTCATCTCGAGTTGATTTGGGGCACATGGAGCTGCTTTGCGTTGCTGGGGTGACCTCAGGGTCCGTCTATACTGGTGACAGTGTTCTTGGGGACTGTCTCGAGATCCATTAAGCAAGTCGAAGCTCCTGACTTGTTTGAATGGGATCACGGAATAGCTCTGCATGCACTGCAGGGGAATGGGGCCTCATCTCGCCTCTAGGGGGAAGTCTCATGGTTTTTCTCGAGTTGCGGCGGGGACCTGGGGTATGTTCTCGACTTACGGCGGGGATGGCCCTTCAAAACACGACTTTCTTCAGTGACGTCAGGACTCCTGTCTAGTAACGAGGGACACCTCAGGAATCTCTTCGAGGCTTGGCAGGGCAAAACGGACGCTTCTCGAGGTGAGGCAGGGCACCCAAGGACCCTTTCTAGTAGCCACAGGGATTTTGGGATTCCTATCAGTATTCAAGAGGAGTCAGGCATCGTCACCTTTTGAAGCAATGAACTCCGCGTGCCTCTCGAGGTGTCAGCGGGATGTGAGGCATTCCGTCAAAATGAGGCAGGGACCTAGGCCTTTCTCTAAGGTCTCCACAGGGGATTCAGACATCCCTTCATGTTGTGAGATGAAAGACGAGCCTGTATTCAAGCCACTGCAAGGAAATCCGGCCTCCGTTCAAGTTAGGGCTTCTCGCTGTATATTCCTCTTGAGGCAGCAAATTCGGGGTCCCTCCCACATACCTATTGCTGAGAGAAGCCTCCTCCTGAGGTGCTTCTTGGAAGTTAGCATAGGTCTTGAGCCTAAGCCAGGGAATCAGCTCGCATCTCGAGACGATTTGGGGTACACGGAGCATTCCTTGAGTTGCTGTGCTGAAGTTGGTGTTCCTCTAGACTTGGGACAGTGTTCTAGGGGCATCTCTGGAGTTGCCTGAAGGAAGTCGAGCCACCGGTCGTGTTGAATGGGGAACGGGGAATGGCTCTGGAGTCAATGCAGGGGAATCGGGCCTCATCTCGAGTTGATTTGGGGCACATGGAGCTGCTTTGCGTTGCTGGGGTGACCTCAGGGTCCGTCTAGACTGGTGACAGTGTTCGTGGGGTCTGTCTCGAGATCCATTAAGCAAGTCGAAGCTCCTGACTTGTTTGAATGGGATCACGGAATAGCTCTGCATGCACTGCAGGGGAATGGGGCCTCATCTCGCCTCTAGGGGGAAGTCTCATGGTTTTTCTCGAGTTGCGGCGGGGACCTGGGGTATGTTCTCGACTTACGGAGGGGATGGCCCTTCAAAACACGAGTTTCTTCAATGACGTCAGGACTCCTGTCTAGTAACGAGGGACACCTCAGGAATCTCTTCGAGGCTTGGCAGGGCAAAACGGACGCTTCTCGAGGTGAGGCAGGGCACCCAAGGACCCTTTCCAGTAGCCACAGGGATTTTGGGATTCCTATCAGTATTCAAGAGGAGTCAGGCATCGTCACCTTTTGAAGCAATGAACTCCGCATTCCTCTCGAGGTGTCAGCGGGATGTGAGGCATTCCGTCAAAATGAGGCAGGGACCTAGGGCTTTCTCTAAGGTCTCCACAGGGGATTCAGACATCCCTTCATGTTGTGAGATGAAAGACGAGCCTGTATTCAAGCCACTGCAAGGAAATGCGGCCTCCTTTCAAGTTAGGGCTTCTCGCTGTATATTCCCCTTGAGGCAGGAAACTCGGGGTCCCTCCCACATACCTATTGCTGAGAGAAGCCTCCTCCTGAGGTGCTTCTGTGAAGTTGGCATACGTCTTGAGCCTAAGCCAGGGAATCAGCTCGCATCTCGAGACGATTTGGGGTACACGGAGCATTCCTCGAGTTGCTGTGCTAAAGTTGGTGTTCCTCTAGACTTGGGACAGTGTTCTCGGGGCATCTCTGGAGTTGCCTGAAGGAAGTCGAGCCACCGGTCGTGTTGAATGGGGAACGGGGAATGGCTCTGGAGTCAATGCAGGGGAATCGGGCCTCATCTCGAGTTGATTTGGGGCACATGGAGCTGCTTTGCGTTGCTGGGGTGACCTCAGGGTCCGTCTAGACTGGTGACAGTGTTCTTGGGGACTGTCTCGAGATCCATTAAGCAAGTCGAAGCTCCTGACTTGTTTGAATGGGATCACGGAATAGCTCTGCATGCACTGCAGGGGAATGGGGCCTCATCTCGCCTCTAGGGGGAAGTCTCATGGTTTTTCTCGAGTTGCGGCGGGGACCTGGGGTATGTTCTCGACTTACGGCGGGGATAGCCCTTCAAAACACGAGTTTCTTCAGTGATGTCAGGACTCCTGTCTAGTAACGAGGGACACCTCAGGGATCTCTTCGAGGCTTGGCAGGGCAAAAGGGACGCTTCTCGAGGTGAGGCAGGGCACCCAAGGACCCTTTCCAGTAGCCACAGGGATTTTGGGATTCCTATCAGTATTCAAGAGGAGTCAGGCATCGTCACCTTTTGAAGCAATGAACTCCGCGTGCCTCTCGAGGTGTCAGCGGGATGTGAGGCATTCCGTCAAAATGAGGCAGGGACCTAGGGCTTTCTCTAAGGTCTCCACAGGGGATTCAGACACCCCTTCATGTTGTGAGATGAAAGACGAGCCTGTATTCAAGCCACTGCAAGGAAATGCGGCCTCCTTTCAAGTTAGGGCTTCTTGCTGTATATTCCCCTTGAGGCAGCAAACTCGGGGTCCCTCCCACATACCTATTGCTGAGAGAAGCCTCCTCCTGAGGTGCTTCTGGGAAGTTGGCATACGTCTTGAGCCTAAGCCAGGGAATCAGCTCGCATCTCGAGACGATTTGGGGTACACGGAGCATTCCTCGAGTTGCTGTGCTGAAGTTGGTGTTCCTCTAGACTTGGGACAGTGTTCTCGGGGCATCTCTGGAGTGGCCTGAAGGAAGTCGAGCCACCTGTCGTGTTGAATGGGGAACGGGGAATGGCTCTGGAGTCAATGCAGGGGAATCGGGCCTCATCTCGAGTTGATTTGGGGCACATGGAGCTGCTTTGCGTTGCTGGGGTGACCTCAGGGTCCGTCTAGACTGGTGACAGTGTTCTTGGGGACTGTCTCGAGATCCATTAAGCAAGTCGAAGCTCCTGACTTGTTTGAATGGGATCACGGAATAGCTCTGCATGCACTGCAGGGGAATGGGGCCTCATCTCGCCTCTAGGGGGAAGTCTCATGGTTTTTCTCGAGTTGCGGCGGGGGCTGGGGTATGTTCTCGACTTACGGAGGGGATGGCCCTTCAAAACACGAGTTTCTTCAGTGACGTCAGGACTCCTGTCTAGTAACGAGGGACACCTCAGGAATCTCTTCGAGGTTTGGCAGGGCAAAACGGACGCTTCTCGAGGTGAGGCAGGGCACCCAAGGACCCTTTCCAGTAGCCACAGGGATTTTGGGATTCCTATCAGTATTCAAGAGGAGTCAGGCATCGTCAACTTTTGAAGCAATGAACTCCGTGTGCCTCTCGAGGTGTCAGCGGGATGTGAGGCATTCCGTCAAAATGAGGCAGGGACCTAGGGCTTTCTCTAAGGTCTCCTCAGGGGATTCAGATATCCCTTCATGTTGTGAGATGAAAGACGAGCCTGTATTCAAGCCACTGCATGGAAATCCGGCCTCCTTTCAAGTTAGGGCTTCTCGCTGTATATTCCCCTTGAGGCAGCACACTCGGGGTCCCTCCCACATACCTATTGCTGAGAGAAGCCTCCTCCTGAGGTGCTTCTGGGAAGTTGGCATACGTCTTGAGCCTAAGCCAGGGAATCAGCTCTCATCTCGAGACGATTTGGGGTACACGGAGCATTCCTCGAGTTGCTGTGCTGAAGTTGGTGTTCCTCTAGACTTGGGACAGTGTTCTCGGGGCATCTCTGGAGTTGCCTGAAGGAAGTCGAGCCACCGGTCGTGTTGAATGGGGAACGGGGAATGGCTCTGGAGTCAATGCAGGGGAATCGGGCCTCATCTCGAGTTGATTTGGGGCACATGGAGCTGCTTTGCGTTGCTGGGGTGACCTCAGGGTCCGTCTAGACTGGTGACAGTGTTCTTGGGGACTGTCTCGAGATCCATTAAGCAAGTCGAAGCTCCTGACTTGTTTGAATGGGATCACGGAATAGCTCTGCATGCACTGCAGGGGAATGGGGCCTCATCTCGCCTCTAGGGGGAAGTCTCATGGTTTTTCTCGAGTTGCGGCGGGGACCTGGGGTATGTTCTCGACTTACGGCGGGGATGGCCCTTCAAAACACGAGTTTCTTCAGTGACGTCAGGACTCCTGTCTAGTAACGAGGGACACCTCAGGAATCTCTTCGAGGCTTGGCAGGGCAAAAGGGACGCTTCTCGAGGTGAGGCAGGGCACCCAAGGACCCTTTCCAGTAGCCACAGGGATTTTGGGATTCCTATCAGTATTCAAGAGGAGTCAGGCATCGTCACCTTTTGAAGCAATGAACTCCGCGTGCCTCTCGAGGTGTCAGCGCGATGTGAGGCATTCCGTCAAAATGAGGCAGGGACCTAGGGCTTTCTCTAAGGTCTCCACAGGGGATTCAGACATCCCTTCATGTTGTGAGATGAAAGACGAGCCTGTATTCAAGCCACTGCAAGGAAATCCGGCCTCCGTTCAAGTTAGGGCTTCTCGCTGTATATTCCCCTTGAGGCAGCAAACTCGGGGTCCCTCCCACATACCTATTGCTGAGAGAAGCCTCCTCCTGAGGTGCTTCTGGGAAGTTGGTATAGGTCTTGAGCCTAAGCCAGGGAATCAGCTCGCATCTCGAGACGATTTGGGGTACACGGAGCATTCCTCGAGTTGCTGTGCTGAAGTTGGTGTTCCTCTAGACTTGGGACAGTTTTCTCGGGGCATCTCTAGAGTTGCCTGAAGGAAGTCGAGCCACCGGTCGTGTTGAATGGGGAACGGGGAATGGCTCTGGAGTCAATGCAGGGGAATCGGGCCTCATCTCGAGTTGATTTGGGGCACATGGAGCTGCTTTGCGTTGCTGGGGTGACCTCAGGGTCCGTCTAGACTGGTGACAGTGTTCTTGGGGTCTGTCTCGAGATCCATTAAGCAAGTCGAAGCTCCTGACTTGTTTGAATGGGATCACGGAATAGCTCTGCATGCACTGCAGGGGAATGGGGCCTCATCTCGCCTCTAGGGGGAAGTCTCATGGTTTTTCTCGAGTTGCGGCGGGGACCTGGGGTATGTTCTCGACTTACGGCGGGGATGGCCCTTCAAAACACGAGTTTCTTCAGTGACGTCAGGACTCCTGTCTAGTAACGAGGGACACCTCAGGAATCTCTTCGAGGCTTGGCAGGGCAAAAGGGACGCTTCTCGAGGTGAGGCAGGGCACCCAAGGACCCTTTCCAGTAGCCACAGGGATTTTGGGATTCCTATCAGTATTCAAGAGGAGTCAGGCATCGTCACCTTTTGAAGCAATGAACTCCGCGTGCCTCTCGAGGTGTCAGCGGGATGTGAGGCATTCCGTCAAAATGAGGCAGGGACCTAGGGCTTTCTCTAAGGTCTCCACAGGGGATTCAGACATCCCTTCATGTTGTGAGATGAAAGACGAGCCTGTATTCAAGCCACTGCAATGAAATGCGGCCTCCTTTCAAGTTAGGGCTTCTTGCTGTATATTCCCATTGAGGCAGCAAACTCGGGGTCCCTCCCACATACCTATTGCTGAGAGAAGCCTCCTCCTGAGGTGCTTCTGGGAAGGTGGCATAGGTCTTGAGCCTAAGCCAGGGAATCAGCTCGCATCTCGAGACGATTTGGGGTACACGGAGCATTCCTTGAGTTGCTGTGCTGAAGTTGGTGTTCCTCTAGACTTGGGACAGTGTTCTCGGGGCATCTCTGGAGTTGCCTGAAGGAAGTCGAGCCACCGGTCGTGTTGAATGGGGAACGGGGAATGGCTCTGGAGTCAATGCAGGGGAATCGGGCCTCATCTCGAGTTGATTTGGGGCACATGGAGCTGCTTTGCGTTGCTGGGGTGACCTCAGGGTCCGTCTAGACTGGTGACAGTGTTCTTGGGGTCTGTCTCGAGATCCATTAAGCAAGTCGAAGCTCCTGACTTGTTTGAATGGGATCACGGAATAGCACTGCATGCACTGCAGGGGAATGGGGCCTCATCTCGCCTCTAGGGGGAAGTCTCATGGTTTTCCTCGAGTTGCGGCGGGGACCTGGGGTATGTTCTCGACTTACGGAGGGGATGGCCCTTCAAAACACGACTTTCTTCAGTGACGTCAGGACTCCTGTCTAGTAACGAGGGACACCTCAGGAATCTCTTCGAGGCTTGGCAGGGCAAAAGGGACGCTTCTCGAGGTGAGGCAGGGCACCCAAGGACCCTTTCCAGTAGCCACAGGGATTTTGGGATTCCTATCAGTATTCAAGAGGAGTCAGGCATCGTCACCTTTTGAAGCAATGAACTCCGCGTGCCTCTCGAGGTGTCAGCGGGATGTGAGGCATTCTGTCAAAATGAGGCAGGGACCTAGGGCTTTCTCTAAGGTCTCCACAGGGGATTCAGACATCCCTTCATGTTGTGAGATGAAAGACGAGCCTGGATTCAAGCCACTGCAAGGAAATCCGGCCTCCTTTCAAGTTAGGGCTTCTCGCTGTATATTCCCCTTGAGGCAGCAAACTCGGGGTCCCTCCCACATACCTATTGCTGAGAGAAGCCTCCTCCTGAGGTGCTTCTGGGAAGTTGGCATACGTCTTGAGCCTAAGCCAGGGAATCAGCTCGCACCTCGAGACGATTTGGGGTACACGGAGCATTCCTCGAGTTGCTGTGCTGAAGTTGGTGTTCCTCTAGACTTGGGACAGTGTTCTCGGGGCATGTCTGGAGTTGCCTGAAGGAAGTCGAGCCACCAGTCGTGTTGAATGGGGAACGGGGAATGGCTCTGGAGTCAATGCAGGGGAATCGGGCCTCATCTCGAGTTGATTTGGGGCACATGGAGCTGCTTTGCGTTGCTGGGGTGACCTCAGGGTCCGTCTAGACTGGTGACAGTGTTCTTGGGGACTGTCTCGAGATCCATTAAGCAAGTCGAAGCTCCTGACTTGTTTGAATGGGATCACGGAATAGCTCTGCATGCACTGCAGGGGAATGGGGCCTCATCTCGCCTCTAGGGGGAAGTCTCATGGTTTTTCTCGAGTTGCGGCGGGGACCTGGGCTATGTTCTCGACTTACGGCGGGGATGGCCCTTCAAAACACGAGTTTCTTCAGTGACGTCAGGACTCCTGTCTAGTAACGAGGGACACCTCAGGAATCTCTTCGAGGCTTGGCAGGGCAAAAGGGACGCTTCTCGAGGTGAGGCAGGGCACCCAAGGACCCTTTCCAGTAGCCACAGGGATTTTGGGATTCCTATCAGTATTCAAGAGGAGTCAGGCATCGTCACCTTTTGAAGCAATGAACTCCGCGTGCCTCTCGAGGTGTCAGCGGGATGTGAGGCATTCCGTCAAAATGAGGCAGGGACCTAGGGCTTTCTCTAAGGTCTCCACAGGGGATTCAGACATCCCTTCATGTTGTGAGATGAAAGACGAGACTGTATTCAAGCCAATGCAAGGAAATCCGGCCTCCTTTCAAGTTAGGGCTTCTCGCTGTATATTCCCCTTGAGGCAGCAAACTCGGGGTCCCTCCCACATACCTATTGCTGAGAGAAGCCTCCTCCTGAGGTGCTTCTGGGAAGTTGGCATACGTCTTGAGCCTAAGCCAGGGAATCAGCTCTCATCTCGAGACGATTTGCGGTACACGGAGCATTCCTCGAGTTGCTGTGCTGAAGTTGGTGTTCCTCTAGACTTGGGACAGTGTTCTCGGGGCATCTCTGGAGTTGCCTGAAGGAAGTCGAGCCACCGGTCGTGTTGAATGGGGAACGGGGAATGGCTCTGGAGTCAATGCATGGGAATCGGGCCTCATCTCGAGTTGATTTGGGGCACATGGAGCTGCTTTGCTTTGCTGGGGTGACCTCAGGGTCCGTCTAGACTGGTGACAGTGTTCTTGGGGACTGTCTCGAGATCCATTAAGCAAGTCGAAGCTCCTGACTTGTTTGAATGGGATCACGGAATAGCTCTGCATGCACTGCAGGGGAATGGGGCCTCATCTCGCCTCTAGGGGGAAGTCTCATGGTTTTTCTCGAGTTGCGGCGGGGACCTGGGGTATGTTCTTGACTTACGGCGGGGATGGCCCTTCAAGACACGAGTTTCTTCAGTGACGTCCGGACTCCTGTCTAGTAACGAGGGACACCTCAGGAATCTCTTCGAGGCTTGGCAGGGCAAAAGGGACGCTTCTCGAGGTGAGGCAGGGCACCCAAGGACTCTTTCCAGTAGCCACAGGGATTTTGGGATTCCTATCAGTATTCAAGAGGAGTGAGGCATCGTCACCTTTTGAAGCAATGAACTCCGCGTGCCTCTCGAGGTGTCAGCGGGATGTGAGGCATTCCGTCAAAATGAGGCAGGGACCTAGGGCTTTCTCTAAGGTCTCCACAGGGGATTCAGACATCCCTTCATGTTGTGAGATGAAAGACGAGCCTGTATTCAAGCCACTGCAAGGAAATCCGGCCTCCTTTCAAGTTAGGGCTTCTCGCTGTATATTCCCCTTGAGGCAGCAAACTCGGGGTCCCTCCCACATACCTATTGCTGAGAGAAGCCTCCTCCTGAGGTGCTTCTGGGAAGTTGGCATACGTCTTGAGCCTAAGCCAGGGAATCAGCTCTCATCTCGAGACGATTTGGGGTACAGGGAGCATTCCTCGAGTTGCTGTGCTGAAGTTGGTGTTCCTCTATGCTTGGGACAGTGTTCTCGGGGCATCTCTGGAGTTGCCTGAAGGAAGTCGAGCCACCGGTCGTGTTGAATGGGGAACGGGGAATGGCTCTGGAGTCAATGCAGGGGAACCGGGCCTCATCTCGAGTTGATTTGGGGCACATGGAGCTGCTTTGCGTTGCTGGGGTGACCTCAGGGTCCGTCTAGACTGGTGACAGTGTTCTTGGGGACTGTCTCGAGATCCATTAAGCAAGTCGAAGCTCCTGACTTGTTTGAATGGGATCACGGAATAGCTCTGCATGCACTGCAGGGGAATGGGGCCTCATCTCGCCTCTAGGGGGAAGTCTCATGGTTTTTCTCGAGTTGCGGCGGGGACCTGGGGTATGTTCTCGACTTACGGAGGGGATGGCCCTTCAAAACACGAGTTTCTTCAGTGACGTCAGGACTCCTGTCTAGTAACGAGGGACACCTCAGGAATCTCTTCGAGGCTTGGCAGGGCAAAAGGGACGCTTCTCGAGGTGAGGCAGGGCACCCAAGGACCCTTTCCAGTAGCCACAGGGATTTTGGGTTTCCTATCAGTATTCAAGAGGAGTCAGGCATCGTCACCTTTTGAAGCAATGAACTCCGCGTGCCTCTCGAGGTGTCAGCAGGATGTGAGGCATTCCGTCAAAATGAGGCAGGGACCTAGGGCTTTCTCTAAGGTCTCCACAGGGGATATAGACATCCCTTCATGTTGTGAGACGAAAGACGAGCCTGTATTCAAGCCACTGCAAGGAAATCCGGCCTCCTTTCAAGTTAGGGCTTCTTGCTGTATATTCCCCTTGAGGCAGCAAACTCGGGGTCCCTCCCACATACCTATTGCTGAGAGAAGCCTCCTCCTGAGGTGCTTCTGGGAAGTTGGCATACGTCTTGAGCCTAAGCCAGGGAATCAGCTCTCATCTCGAGACGATTTGGGGTACACGGAGCATTCCTCGAGTTGCTGTGCTGAAGTTGGTGTTCCTCTAGACTTGGGACAGTGTTCTCGGGGCATCTCTGGAGTTGCCTGAAGGAAGTCGAGCCACCGGTCGTGTTGAATGGGGAACGTGGAATGGCTCTGGAGTCAATGCAGGGGAATCGGGCCTCATCTCGAGTTTATTTGGGGCACATGGAGCTGCTTTGCATTGCTGGGGTGACCTCAGGGTCCGTCTAGACTGGTGACAGTGTTCTTGGGGACTGTCTCGAGATCCATTAAGCAAGTCGAAGCTCCTGACTTGTTTGAATGGGATCACGGAATAGCTCTGCATGCACTGCAGGGGAATGGGGCCTCATCTCGCCTCTAGGGGGAAGTCTCATGGTTTTTCTCGAGTTGCGGCGGGGACCTGGGGTATGTTCTCGACTTACGGAGGGGATGGCCCTTCAAAACACGAGTTTCTTCAGTGACGTCAGGACTCCTGTCTAGTAACAAGGGACACCTCAGGAATCTCTTCGAGGCTTGGCAGGGCAAAAGGGACGCTTCTCGAGGTGAGGCAGGGCACCGAAGGACCCTTTCCAGTAGCCACAGGGATTTTGGGATTCCTATCAGTATTCAAGAGGAGTCAGGCATCGTCACCTTTTGAAGCAATGAACTCCGCGTGCCTCTCGAGGTGTCAGCGGGATGTGAGGCATTCCGTCAAAATGAGGCAGGGACCTAGGGCTTTCTCTAAGGTCTCCACAGGGGATTCAGACATCCCTTCATGTTGTGAGATGAAAGACGAGCCTGTATTCAAGCCACTGCAAGGAAATCCGGCCTCCTTTCAAGTTAGGGCTTCTCGCTGTATATTCCCCTTGAGGCAGCAAACTCGGGGTCCCTCCCACATACCTATTGCTGAGAGAAGCCTCCTCCTGAGGTGCTTCTGGGAAGTTGGCATACGTCTTGAGCCTAAGCCAGGGAATCAGCTCTCATCTCGAGACGATTTGCGGTACACGGAGCATTCCTCGAGTTGCTGTGCTGAAGTTGGTGTTCCTCTAGACTTGGGACAGTGTTCTCGGGGCATCTCTGGAGTTGCCTGAAGGAAGTCGAGCCACCGGTCGTGTTGAATGGGGAACGGGGAATGGCTCTGGAGTCAATGCAGGGGAATCGGACCTCATCTCGAGTTGATTTGGGGCACATGGAGTTGCTTTGCGTTGCTGGGGTGACCTCAGGGTCCGTCTAGACTGGTGACAGTGTTCTTGGGGACTGTCTCGAGATCCATTAAGCAAGTCGAAGCTCCTGACTTGTTTGAATGGGATCACGGAATAGCTCTGCATGCACTGCAGGGGAATGGGGCCTCATCTCGCCTGAGGGGTAAGTCTCATGGTTTTTCTCGAGTTGCGGCGGGGACCTGGGCTATGTTCTCGACTTACGGCGGGGATGGCCCTTCAAAACACGAGTTTCTTCAGTGTCGTCAGGACTCCTGTCTAGTAACGAGGGACACCTCAGGAATCTCTTCGAGGCTTGGCAGGGCAAAAGGGACGCTTCTCGAGGTGAGGCAGGGCACCCAAGGACCCTTTCCAGTAGCCACAGGGATTTTGGGATTCCTATCAGTATTCAAGAGGAGTCAGGCATCGTCACCTTTTGAAGCAATGAACTCCGCGTGCCTCTCGAGGTGTCAGCGGGATGTGAGGCATTCCGTCAAAATGAGGCAGGGACCTAGGGCTTTCTCTAAGGTCTCCACAGGGGATTCAGACATCCCTTCATGTTGTGAGATGAAAGACGAGCCTGTATTCAAGCCACTGCAAGGAAATGCGGCCTCCTTTCAAGTTAGGGCTTCTCGCTGTATATTCCCCTTGAGGCAGCAAACTCGGGGTCCCTCCCACATACCTATTGCTGAGAGAAGCCTCCTCCTGAGGTGCTTCTGGGAAGTTGGCATACGTCTTGAGCCTAAGCCAGGGAATCAGCTCGCATCTCGAGACGATTTGGGGTACACGGAGCATTCCTCGAGTTGCTGTGCTGAAGTTGGTGTTCCTCTAGACTTGGGACAGTGTTCTCGAGGCATCTCTGGAGTTGCCTGAAGGAAGTCGAGCCACCGGTCGTGTTGAATGGGGAACGGGGAATGGCTCTGGAGTCAATGCAGGGGAATCGGGCCTCATCTCGAGTTGATTTGGGGCACATGGAGCTGCTTTGCGTTGCTGGGGTGACCTCAGGGTCCGTCTAGACTGGTGACAGTGTTCTTGGGGACTGTCTCGAGATCCATTAAGCAAGTCGAAGCTCCTGACTTGTTTGAATGGGATCACGGAATAGCTCTGCATGCACTGCAGGGGAATGGGGCCTCATCTCGCCTCTAGGGGGAAGTCTCATGGTTTTTCTCGAGTTGCGGCGGGGACCTGGGGTATGTTCTCGACTTACGGCGGGGATGGCCCTTCAAAACACGAGTTTCTTCAGTGACGTCAGGACTCCTGTCTAGTAACGAGGGACACCTCAGGAACCTCTTCGAGGCTTGGCAGGGCAAAAGGGACGCTTCTCGAGGTGAGGCAGGGCACCCAAGGACCCTTTCCAGTAGCCACAGGGATTTTGGGATTCCTATCAGTATTCAAGAGGAGTCAGGCATCGTCACCTTTTGAAGCAATGAACTCCGCGTGCCTCTCGAGGTGTCAGCGCGATGTGAGGCATTCCGTCAAAATGAGGCAGGGACCTAGGGCTTTCTCTAAGGTCTCCACAGGGGATTCAGACATCCCTTCATGTTGTGAGATGAAAGACGAGCCTGTATTCAAGCCACTGCAAGGAAATCCGGCCTCCGTTCAAGTTAGGGCTTCTCGCTGTATATTCCCCTTGAGGCAGCAAACTCGGGGTCCCTCCCACATACCTATTGCTGAGAGAAGCCTCCTCCTGAGGTGCTTCTGGGAAGTTGGCATAGGTCTTGAGCCTAAGCCAGGGAATCAGCTCGCATCTCGAGACGATTTGGGGTACACGTAGCATTCCTCGAGTTGCTGTGCTGAAGTTGGTGTTCCTCTAGACTTGGGACAGTTTTCTCGGGGCATCTCTGGAGTTGCCTGAAGGAAGTCGAGCCACCGGTCGTGTTGAATGGGGAACGGGGAATGGCTCTGGAGTCAATGCAGGGGAATCGGGCCTCATCTCGAGTTGATTTGGGGCACATGGAGCTGCTTTGCGTTGCTGGGGTGACCTCAGGGTCCGTCTAGACTGGTGACAGTGTTCTTGGGGTCTGTCTCGAGATCCATTAAGCAAGTCGAAGCTCCTGACTTGTTTGAATGGGATCACGGAATAGCTCTGCATGCACTGCAGGGGAATGGGGCCTCATCTCGCCTCTAGGGGGAAGTCTCATGGTTTTTCTCGAGTTGCGGCGGGGACCTGGGGTATGTTCTCGACTTACGGCGGGGATGGCCCTTCAAAACACGAGTTTCTTCAGTGACGTCAGGACTCCTGTCTAGTAACGAGGGACACCTCAGGAATCTCTTCGAGGCTTGGCAGGGCAAAAGGGACGCTTCTCGAGGTGAGGCAGGGCACCCAAGGACCCTTTCCAGTAGCCACAGGGATTTTGGGATTCCTATCAGTATTCAAGAGGAGTCAGGCATCGTCACCTTTTGAAGCAATGAACTCCGCGTGCCTCTCGAGGTGTCAGCGGGATGTGAGGCATTCCGTCAAAATGAGGCAGGGACCTAGGGCTTTCTCTAAGGTCTCCACAGGGGATTCAGACATCCCTTCATGTTGTGAGATGAAAGACGAGCCTGTATTCAAGCCACTGCAAGGAAATCCGGCCTCCTTTCAAGTTAGGGCTTCTCGCTGTATATTCCCCTTGAGGCAGCAAACTCGGGGTCCCTCCCACATACCTATTGCTGAGAGAAGCCTCCTCCTGAGGTGCTTCTGGGAAGTTGGCATACGTCTTGAGCCTAAGCCAGGGAATCAGCTCTCATCTCGAGACGATTTGCGGTACACGGAGCATTCCTCGAGTTGCTGTGCTGAAGTTGGTGTTCCTCTAGACTTGGGACAGTGTTCTCGGGGCATCTCTGGAGTTGCCTGAAGGAAGTCGAGCCACCGGTCGTGTTGAATGGGGAACGGGGAATGGCTCTGGAGTCAATGCAGGGGAATCGGACCTCATCTCGAGTTGATTTGGGGCACATGGAGTTGCTTTGCGTTGCTGGGGTGACCTCAGGGTCCGTCTAGACTGGTGACAGTGTTCTTGGGGACTGTCTCGAGATCCATTAAGCAAGTCGAAGCTCCTGACTTGTTTGAATGGGATCACGGAATAGCTCTGCATGCACTGCAGGGGAATGGGGCCTCATCTCGCCTGAGGGGTAAGTCTCATGGTTTTTCTCGAGTTGCGGCGGGGACCTGGGCTATGTTCTCGACTTACGGCGGGGATGGCCCTTCAAAACACGAGTTTCTTCAGTGTCGTCAGGACTCCTGTCTAGTAACGAGGGACACCTCAGGAATCTCTTCGAGGCTTGGCAGGGCAAAAGGGACGCTTCTCGAGGTGAGGCAGGGCACCCAAGGACCCTTTCCAGTAGCCACAGGGATTTTGGGATTCCTATCAGTATTCAAGAGGAGTCAGGCATCGTCACCTTTTGAAGCAATGAACTCCGCGTGCCTCTCGAGGTGTCAGCGGGATGTGAGGCATTCCGTCAAAATGAGGCAGGGACCTAGGGCTTTCTCTAAGGTCTCCACAGGGGATTCAGACATCCCTTCATGTTGTGAGATGAAAGACGAGCCTGTATTCAAGCCACTGCAAGGAAATGCGGCCTCCTTTCAAGTTAGGGCTTCTCGCTGTATATTCCCCTTGAGGCAGCAAACTCGGGGTCCCTCCCACATACCTATTGCTGAGAGAAGCCTCCTCCTGAGGTGCTTCTGGGAAGTTGGCATACGTCTTGAGCCTAAGCCAGGGAATCAGCTCGCATCTCGAGACGATTTGGGGTACACGGAGCATTCCTCGAGTTGCTGTGCTGAAGTTGGTGTTCCTCTAGACTTGGGACAGTGTTCTCGAGGCATCTCTGGAGTTGCCTGAAGGAAGTCGAGCCACCGGTCGTGTTGAATGGGGAACGGGGAATGGCTCTGGAGTCAATGCAGGGGAATCGGGCCTCATCTCGAGTTGATTTGGGGCACATGGAGCTGCTTTGCGTTGCTGGGGTGACCTCAGGGTCCGTCTAGACTGGTGACAGTGTTCTTGGGGACTGTCTCGAGATCCATTAAGCAAGTCGAAGCTCCTGACTTGTTTGAATGGGATCACGGAATAGCTCTGCATGCACTGCAGGGGAATGGGGCCTCATCTCGCCTCTAGGGGGAAGTCTCATGGTTTTTCTCGAGTTGCGGCGGGGACCTGGGGTATGTTCTCGACTTACGGCGGGGATGGCCCTTCAAAACACGAGTTTCTTCAGTGACGTCAGGACTCCTGTCTAGTAACGAGGGACACCTCAGGAACCTCTTCGAGGCTTGGCAGGGCAAAAGGGACGCTTCTCGAGGTGAGGCAGGGCACCCAAGGACCCTTTCCAGTAGCCACAGGGATTTTGGGATTCCTATCAGTATTCAAGAGGAGTCAGGCATCGTCACCTTTTGAAGCAATGAACTCCGCGTGCCTCTCGAGGTGTCAGCGCGATGTGAGGCATTCCGTCAAAATGAGGCAGGGACCTAGGGCTTTCTCTAAGGTCTCCACAGGGGATTCAGACATCCCTTCATGTTGTGAGATGAAAGACGAGCCTGTATTCAAGCCACTGCAAGGAAATCCGGCCTCCGTTCAAGTTAGGGCTTCTCGCTGTATATTCCCCTTGAGGCAGCAAACTCGGGGTCCCTCCCACATACCTATTGCTGAGAGAAGCCTCCTCCTGAGGTGCTTCTGGGAAGTTGGCATAGGTCTTGAGCCTAAGCCAGGGAATCAGCTCGCATCTCGAGACGATTTGGGGTACACGTAGCATTCCTCGAGTTGCTGTGCTGAAGTTGGTGTTCCTCTAGACTTGGGACAGTTTTCTCGGGGCATCTCTGGAGTTGCCTGAAGGAAGTCGAGCCACCGGTCGTGTTGAATGGGGAACGGGGAATGGCTCTGGAGTCAATGCAGGGGAATCGGGCCTCATCTCGAGTTGATTTGGGGCACATGGAGCTGCTTTGCGTTGCTGGGGTGACCTCAGGGTCCGTCTAGACTGGTGACAGTGTTCTTGGGGTCTGTCTCGAGATCCATTAAGCAAGTCGAAGCTCCTGACTTGTTTGAATGGGATCACGGAATAGCTCTGCATGCACTGCAGGGGAATGGGGCCTCATCTCGCCTCTAGGGGGAAGTCTCATGGTTTTTCTCGAGTTGCGGCGGGGACCTGGGGTATGTTCTCGACTTACGGCGGGGATGGCCCTTCAAAACACGAGTTTCTTCAGTGACGTCAGGACTCCTGTCTAGTAACGAGGGACACCTCAGGAATCTCTTCGAGGCTTGGCAGGGCAAAAGGGACGCTTCTCGAGGTGAGGCAGGGCACCCAAGGACCCTTTCCAGTAGCCACAGGGATTTTGGGATTCCTATCAGTATTCAAGAGGAGTCAGGCATCGTCACCTTTTGAAGCAATGAACTCCGCGTGCCTCTCGAGGTGTCAGCGGGATGTGAGGCATTCCGTCAAAATGAGGCAGGGACCTAGGGCTTTCTCTAAGGTCTCCACAGGGGATTCAGACATCCCTTCATGTTGTGAGATGAAAGACGAGCCTGTATTCAAGCCACTGCAAGGAAATGCGGCCTCCGTTCAAGTTAGGGCTTCTCGCTGTATATTCCCCTTGAGGCAGCAAACTCGGGGTCCCTCCCACATACCTATTGCTGAGAGAAGCCTCCTCCTGAGGTGCTTCTGGGAAGTTGGCATACGTCTTGAGCCTAAGCCAGGGAATCAGCTCGCACCTCGAGACGATTTGGGGTACACGGAGCATTCCTCGAGTTGCTGTGCTGAAGTTGGTGTTCCTCTAGACTAGGGACAGTGTTCTCGGGGCATCTCTGGAGTTGCCTGAAGGAAGTCGAGCCACCGGTCGTGTTGAATGGGGAACGGGGAATGGCTCTGGAGTCAATGCAGGGGAATCGGGCCTCATCTCGAGTTGATTTGGGGCACATGGAGCTGCTTTGCGTTGCTGGGGTGACCTCAGGGTCCGTCTAGACTGGTGACAGTGTTCTTGGGGACTGTCTCGAGATCCATTAAGCAAGTCGAAGCTCCTGACTTGTTTGAATGGGATCACGGAATAGCTCTGCATGCACTGCAGGGGAATGGGGCCTCATCTCGCCTCTAGGGGGAAGTCTCATGGTTTTTCTCGAGTTGCGGCGGGGACCTGGGCTATGTTCTCGACTTACGGCGGGGATGGCCCTTCAAAACACGAGTTTCTTCAGTGACGTCAGGACTCCTGTCTAGTAACGAGGGACACCTCAGGAATCTCTTCGAGGCTTGGCAGGGCAAAAGGGACGCTTCTCGAGGTGAGGCAGGGCACCCAAGGACCCTTTCCAGTAGCCACAGGGATTTTGGGATTCCTATCAGTATTCAAGAGGAGTCAGGCATCGTCACCTTTTGAAGCAATGAACTCCGCGTGCCTCTCGAGGTGTCAGCGGGATGTGAGGCATTCCGTCAAAATGAGGCAGGGACCTAGGGCTTTCTCTAAGGTCTCCACAGGGGATTCAGACATCCCTTCATGTTGTGAGATGAAAGACGAGCCTGTATTCAAGCCACTGCAAGGAAATCCGGCCTCCTTTCAAGTTAGGGCTTCTCGCTGTATATTCCCCTTGAGGCAGCAAACTCGGGGTCCCTCCCACATACCTATTGCTGAGAGAAGTTTCCTCCTGAGGTGCTTCTGGGAAGTTGGCATACGTCTTGAGCCTAAGCCAGGGAATCAGCTCTCATCTCGAGACGATTTGCGGTACACGGAGCATTCCTCGAGTTGCTGTGCTGAAGTTGGTGTTCCTCTAGACTTGGGACAGTGTTCTCGGGGCATCTCTGGAGTTGCCTGAAGGAAGTCGAGCCACCGGTCGTGTTGAATGGGGAACGGGGAATGGCTCTGAGGTCAATGCAGGGGAATCGTACCTCATCTCGAGTTGATTTGGGGCACATGGAGATGCTTTGCGTTGCTGGGGTGACCTCAGGGTCCGTCTAGACTGGTGACAGTGTTCTTGGGGACTGTCTCGAGATCCATTAAGCAAGTCGAAGCTCCTGACTTGTTTGAATGGGATCACGGAATAGCTCTGCATGCACTGCAGGGGAATGGGGCCTCATCTCGCCTCTAGGGGGAAGTCTCATGGTTTTTCTCGAGTTGCGGCGGGGACCTGGGGTATGTTCTCGACTTACGGCGGGGATGGCCCTTCAAAACACGAGTTTCTTCAGTGACGTCAGGACTCCTGTCTAGTAACGAGGGACACCTCAGGAATCTCTTCGAGGCTTGGCAGGGCAAAAGGGACGCTTCTCGAGGTGAGGCAGGGCACCCAAGGACCCTTTCCAGTAGCCACAGGGATTTTGGGATTCCTATCAGTATTCAAGAGGAGTCAGGCATCGTCACCTTTTCAAGCAATGAACTCCGCGTGCCTCTCGAGGTGTCAGCGGGATGTGAGGCATTCCGTCAAAATGAGGCAGGGACCTAGGGCTTTCTCTAAGGTCTCCACAGGGGATTCAGACATCCCTTCATGTTGTGAGATGAAAGACGAGCCTGTATTCAAGCCACTGCAAGGAAATCCGGCCTCCTTTCAAGTTAGGGCTTCTCGCTGTATATTCCCCTTGAGGCAGCAAACTCGGGGTCCCTCCCACATACCTATTGCTGAGAGAAGCCTCCTCCTGAGGTGCTTCTGGGAAGTTGGCATACGTCTTGAGCCTAAGCCAGGGAATCAGCTCTCATCTCGAGACGATTTGGGGTACACGGAGCATTCCTCGAGTTGCTGTGCTGAAGTTGGTGTTCCTCTAGACTTGGGACAGTGTTCTCGGGGCATCTCTGGAGTTGCCTGAAGGAAGTCGAGCCACCGGTCGTGTTGAATGGGGAACAGGGAATGGCTCTGGAGTCAATGCAGGGGAATCGGGCCTCATCTCGAGTTGATTTGGGGCACATGGAGCTGCTTTGCGTTGCTGGGGTGACCTCAGGGTCCGTCTAGACTGGTGACAGTGTTCTTGGGGACTGTCTCGAGATCCATTAAGCAAGTCGAAGCTCCTGACTTGTTTGAATGGGATCACGGAATAGCTCTGCATGCACTGCAGGGGAATGGGGCCTCATCTCGCCTCTAGGGGGAAGTCTCATGGTTTTTCTCGAGTTGCGGCGGGGACCTGGGGTATGTTCTCGACTTACGGCGGGGATGGCCCTTCAAAACACGAGTTTCTTCAGTGACGTCAGGACTCCTGTCTAGTAACGAGGGACACCTCAGGAATCTCTTCGAGGCTTGGCAGGGCAAAAGGGACGCTTCTCGAGGTGAGGCAGGGCACCCAAGGACCCTTTCCAGTAGCCACAGGGATTTTGGGATTCCTATCAGTATTCAAGAGGAGTCAGGCATCGTCACCTTTTGAAGCAATGAACTCCGCGTGCCTCTCGAGGTGTCAGCGGGATGTGAGGCATTCCGTCAAAATGAGGCAGGGACCTAGGGCTTTCTCTAAGGTCTCCACAGGGGATTCAGACATCCCTTCATGTTGTGAGATGAAAGACGAGCCTGTATTCAAGCCACTGCAAGGAAATCCGGCCTCCTTTCAAGTTAGGGCTTCTCGCTGTATATTCCCCTTGAGGCAGCAAACTCGGGGTCCCTCCCACATACCTATTGCTGAGAGAAGCCTCCTCCTGAGGTGCTTCTGGGAAGTTGGCATACGTCTTGAGCCTAAGCCAGGGAATCAGCTCTCATCTCGAGACGATTTGCGGTACACGGAGCATTCCTCGAGTTGCTGTGCTGAAGTTGGTGTTCCTCTAGACTTGGGACAGTGTTCTCGGGGCATCTCTGGAGTTGCCTGAAGGAAGTCGAGCCACCGGTCGTGTTGAATGGGGAACGGGGAATGGCTCTGGGGTCAATGCAGGGGAATCGTACCTCATCTCGAGTTGATTTGGGGCACATGGAGATGCTTTGCGTTGCTGGGGTGACCTCAGGGTCCGTCTAGACTGGTGACAGTGTTCTTGGGGACTGTCTCGAGATCCATTAAGCAAGTCGAAGCTCCTGACTTGTTTGAATGGGATCACGGAATAGCTCTGCATGCACTGCAGGGGAATGGGGCCTCATCTCGCCTCTAGGGGGAAGTCTCATGGTTTTTCTCGAGTTGCGGCGGGGACCTGGGGTATGTTCTCGACTTACGGCGGGGATGGCCCTTCAAAACACGAGTTTCTTCAGTGACGTCAGGACTCCTGTCTAGTAACGAGGGACACCTCAGGAATCTCTTCGAGGCTTGGCAGGGCAAAAGGGACGCTTCTCGAGGTGAGGCAGGGCACCCAAGGACCCTTTCCAGTAGCCACAGGGATTTTGGGATTCCTATCAGTATTCAAGAGGAGTCAGGCATCGTCACCTTTTCAAGCAATGAACTCCGCGTGCCTCTCGAGGTGTCAGCGGGATGTGAGGCATTCCGTCAAAATGAGGCAGGGACCTAGGGCTTTCTCTAAGGTCTCCACAGGGGATTCAGACATCCCTTCATGTTGTGAGATGAAAGACGAGCCTGTATTCAAGCCACTGCAAGGAAATCCGGCCTCCTTTCAAGTTAGGGCTTCTCGCTGTATATTCCCCTTGAGGCAGCAAACTCGGGGTCCCTCCCACATACCTATTGCTGAGAGAAGCCTCCTCCTGAGGTGCTTCTGGGAAGTTGGCATACGTCTTGAGCCTAAGCCAGGGAATCAGCTCTCATCTCGAGACGATTTGGGGTACACGGAGCATTCCTCGAGTTGCTGTGCTGAAGTTGGTGTTCCTCTAGACTTGGGACAGTGTTCTCGGGGCATCTCTGGAGTTGCCTGAAGGAAGTCGAGCCACCGGTCGTGTTGAATGGGGAACAGGGAATGGCTCTGGAGTCAATGCAGGGGAATCGGGCCTCATCTCGAGTTGATTTGGGGCACATGGAGCTGCTTTGCGTTGCTGGGGTGACCTCAGGGTCCGTCTAGACTGGTGACAGTGTTCTTGGGGACTGTCTCGAGATCCATTAAGCAAGTCGAAGCTCCTGACTTGTTTGAATGGGATCACGGAATAGCTCTGCATGCACTGCAGGGGAATGGGGCCTCATCTCGCCTCTAGGGGGAAGTCTCATGGTTTTTCTCGAGTTGCGGCGGGGACCTGGGGTATGTTCTTGACTTACGGCGGGGATGGCCCTTCAAGACACGAGTTTCTTCAGTGACGTCCGGACTCCTGTCTAGTAACGAGGGACACCTCAGGAATCTCTTCGAGGCTTGGCAGGGCAAAAGGGACGCTTCTCGAGGTGAGGCAGGGCACCCAAGGACCCTTTCCAGTAGCCACAGGGATTTTGGGATTCATATCAGTATTCAAGAGGAGTGAGGCATCGTCACCTTTTGAAGCAATGAACTCCGCGTGCCTCTCGAGGTGTCAGCGGGATGTGAGGCATTCCGTCAAAATGAGGCAGGGACCTAGGGCTTTCTCTAAGGTCTCCACAGGGGATTCAGACATCCCTTCATGTTGTGAGATGAAAGACGAGCCTGTATTCAAGCCACTGCAAGGAAATCCGGCCTCCTTTCAAGTTAGGGCTTCTCGCTGTATATTCCCCTTGAGGCAGCAAACTCGGGGTCCCTCCCACATACCTATTGCTGAGAGAAGCCTCCTCCTGAGGTGCTTCTGGGAAGTTGGCATACGTCTTGAGCCTAAGCCAGGGAATCAGCTCTCATCTCGAGACGATTTGGGGTACACGGAGCATTCCTCGAGTTGCTGTGCTGATGTTGGTGTTCCTCTAGGCTTGGGACAGTGTTCTCGGGGCATCACTGGAGTTGCCTGAAGAAAGTCGAGCCACCGGTCGTGTTGAATGGGGAACGGGGAATGGCTCTGGAGTCAATGCATGGGAATCGGGCCTCATCTCGAGTTGATTTGGCGCACATGGAGCTGCTTTGCGTTGCTGGGGTGACCTCAGGGTCCGTCTAGACTGGTGACAGTGTTCTTGGGGACTGTCTCGAGATCCATTAAGCTAGTCGAAGCTCCTGACTTGTTTGAATGGGATCACGGAATAGCTCTGCATGCACTGCAGGGGAATGGGGCCTCATCTCGCCTCTAGGGGGAAGTCTCATGGTTTTTCTCGAGTTGCGGCGGGGACCTGGGGTATGTTCTCGACTTACGGCGGGGATGGCCCTTCAAAACACGAGTTTCTTCAGTGACGTCAGGACTCCTGTCTAGTAACGAGGGACACCTCAGGAATCTCTTCGAGGCTTGGCAGGGCAAAAGGGACGCTTCTCAAGGTGAGGCAGGGCACCCAAGGACCCTTTCCAGTAGCCACAGGGATTTTGGGATTCCTATCAGTATTCAAGAGGAGTCAGGCATCGTCACCTTTTGAAGCAATGAACTCCGCGTGCCTCTCGAGGTGTCAGCGCGATGTGAGGCATTCCGTCAAAATGAGGCAGGGACCTAAGGCTTTCTCTAAGGTCTCCACAGGGGATTCAGACATCCCTTCATGTTGTGAGATGAAAGACGAGCCTGTATTCAAGCCACTGCAAGGGAATCCGGCCTCCTTTCAAATTAGGGCTTCTCGCTGTATATTCCCCTTGAGGCAGCAAACTCGGGGTCCCTCCCACATACCTATTGCTGAGAGAAGCCTCCTCCTGAGGTGCTTCTGGGAAGTTGGCATACGTCTTGAGCCTAAGCCAGGGAATCAGCTCGCATCTCGAGACGATTTGGGGTACACGGAGCATTCCTCGAGTTGCTGTGCTGAAGTTGGTGTTCCTCTAGACATGGGACAGTGTTCTCGGGGCATCTCTGGAGTTGCCTGAAGGAAGTCGAGCCACAGGTCGTGTTGAATGGGGAACGGGGAATGGCTCTGGAGTCAATGCAGGGGAATCGGGCCTCATCTCGAGTTGATTTGGGGCACATGGAGCTGCTTTGCGTTGCTGGGGTGACCTCAGGGTCCGTCTAGACTGGTGACAGTGTTCTTGGGGACTGTCTCGAGATCCATTAAGCAAGTCGAAGCTCCTGACTTGTTTGAATGGGATCACGGAATAGCTCTGCATGCACTGCAGGGGAATGGGGCCTCATCTCGCCTCTAGGGGGAAGTCTCATGGTTTTTCTCGAGTTGCTGCGGGGACCTGGGGAATGTTCTCGACTTACGGCGGGGATGGCCCTTCAAAACACGAGTTTCTTCAGTGACGTCAGGACTCCTGTCTAGTAACAAGGGACACCTCAGGAATCTCTTCGAGGCTTGGCAGGGCAAAAGGGACGCTTCTCGAGGTGAGGCAGGGCACCCAAGGACCCTTTCCAGTAGCCACAGGGATTTTGGGATTCCTATCAGTATTCAAGAGGAGTCAGGCATCGTCACCTTTTGAAGCAATGAACTCCGCGTGCCTCTCGAGGTGTCAGCGGGATGTGAGGCATTCAGTCAAAATGAGGCAGGGACCTAGGGCTTTCTCTAAGGTCTCCACAGTGGATATAGACATCCCTTCATGTTGTGATATGAAAGACGAGCCTGTATTCAAGCCACTGCAAGGAAATCCGGCCTCCTTTCAAGTTAGGGCTTCTCGCTGTATATTCCCCTTGAGGCAGCAAACTCGGGGTCCCTCCCACATACCTATTGCTGAGAGAAGCCTCCGCCTGAGGTGCTTCTGGGAAGTTGGCATAGGTCTTGAGCCTAAGCCAGGGAATCAGCTCTCATCTCGAGACGATTTGGGGTACACGGAGCATTCCTCGAGTTACTGTGCTGAAGTTGGTGTTCCTCTAGACTTGGGACAGTGTTCTCGGGGCATCTCTGGAGTTGCCTGAAGGAAGTCGAGCCACCGGTCGTGTTGAATGGGGAACGGGGAATGGCTCTGGAGTCAATGCAGGGGAATCGGGCCTCATCTCGAGTTGATTTGGGGCACATGGAGCTGCTTTGCATTGCTGGGGTGACCTCAGGGTCCGTCTAGACTGGTGACAGTGTTCTTGGGGACTGTCTCGAGATCCATTAAGCAAGTCGAAGCTCCTGACTTGTTTGAATGGGATCACGGAATAGCTCTGCATGCACTGCAGGGGAATGGGGCCTCATCTCGCCTCTAGGGGGAAGTCTCATGGTTTTTCTCGAGTTGCGACGGGGACCTGGGGTATGTTCTCGATTTACGGCGGGGATGGCCCTTCAAAACACGAGTTTCTTCAGTGACGTCAGGACTCCTGTCTAGTAACGAGGGACACCTCAGGAATCTCTTCGAGGCTTGGCAGGGCAAAAAGGACGCTTCTCGAGGTGAGGCAGGGCACCCAAGGACCCTTTCCAGTAGCCACAGGGATTTTGGGATTCCTATCAGTATTCAAGAGGAGTCAGGCATCGTCACCTTTTGAAGCAATGAACTCCGCGTGCCTCTCGAGGTGTCAGCGGGATGTGAGGCATTCCGTCAAAATGAGGCAGGGACCTAGGGCTTTCTCTAAGGTCTCCACAGGGGATTCAGACATCCCTTCATGTTGTGAGATGAAAGACGAGCCTGTATTCAAGCCACTGCAAGGAAATCCGGCCTCCTTTCAAGTTAGGGCTTCTCGCTGTATATTCCCCTTGAGGCAGCAAACTCGGGGTCCCTCCCACATACCTATTGCTGAGAGAAGCCTCCTCCTGAGGTGCTTCTGGGAAGTTGGCATACGTCTTGAGCCTAAGCCAGGGAATCAGTTCGCACCTCGAGACGATTTGGGGTACACGGAGCATTCCTCGAGTTGCTGTGCTGAAGTTGGTGTTCCTCTAGACTTGGGACAGTGTTCTTGGGGCATCTCTGGAGTTGCCTGAAGGAAGTCGAGCCACCGGTCGTGTTGAATGGGGAAATGGGAATGGCTCTGGAGTCAATGCAGGGGAATCGGGCCTCATCTCGAGTTGATTTGGGGCACATGGAGCTGCATTGCGTTGCTGGGGTGACCTCAGGGTCCGTCTAGACTGGTGACAGTGTTCTTGGGGACTGTCTCGAGATCCATTAAGCAAGTCGAAGCTCCTGACTTGTTTGAATGGGATCACGGAATAGCTCTGCATGCACTGCAGGGGAATGGGGCCTCATCTCGCCTCTAGGGGGAAGTCTCATGGTTTTTCTCGAGTTGCGGCGGGGACCTGGGGTATGTTCTTGACTTACGGCGGGGATGGCCCTTCAAGACACGAGTTTCTTCAGTGACGTCCGGACTCCTGTCTAATAACGAGGGACACCTCAGGAATCTCTTCGAGGCTTGGCAGGGCAAAAGGGACGCTTCTCGAGGTGAGGCAGGGCACCCAAGGACCCTTTCCAGTAGCCACAGGGATTTTGGGATTCCTATCAGTATTCAAGAGGAGTGAGGCATCGTCACCTTTTGAAGCAATGAACTCCGCGTGCCTCTCGAGGTGTCAGCGGGATGTGAGGCATTCCGTCAAAATGAGGCAGGGACCTAGGGCTTTCTCTAAGGTCTCCACAGGGGATTCAGACATCCCTTCATGTTGTGAGATGAAAGACGAGCCTGTATTCAAGCCACTGCAAGGAAATCCGGCCTCCTTTCAAGTTAGGGCTTCTCGCTGTATATTCCCCTTGAGGCAGCAAACTCGGGGTCCCTCCCACATACCTATTGCTGAGAGAAGCCTCCTCCTGAGGTGCTTCTGGGAAGTTGGCATACGTCTTGAGCCTAAGCCAGGGAATCAGCTCTCATCTCGAGACGATTTGGGGTACACGGAGCATTCCTCGAGTTGCTGTGCTGAAGTTGGTGTTCCTCTAGACTTGGGACAGTGTTCTCGGGGCATCTCTGGAGTTGCCTGAAGGAAGTCGAGCCATCGGTCGTGTTGAATGGGGAACGGGGAATGGCTCTGGAGTCAATGCACGGGAATCGGGCCTCATCTCGAGTTGATTTGGGGCACATGGAGCTGCTTTGCGTTGCTGGGGTGACCTCAGGGTCCGTCTAGACTGGTGACAGTGTTCTTGGGGACTGTCTCGAGATCCATTAAGCAAGTCGAAGCTCCTGACTTGTTTGAATGGGATCACGGAATAGCTCTGCATGCACTGCAGGGGAATGGGGCCTCATCTCGCCTCTAGGGGGAAGTCTCATGGTTTTTCTCGAGTTGCGGCGGGGACCTGGGGTATGTTCTTGACTTACGGCGGGGATGGCCCTTCAAGACACGAGTTTCTTCAGTGACGTCCGGACTCCTGTCTAGTAACGAGGGACACCTCAGGAATCTCTTCGAGGCTTGGCAGGGCAAAAGGGACGCTTCTCGAGGTGAGGCAGGGCACCCAAGGACCCTTTCCAGTAGCCACAGGGATTTTGGGATTCCTATCAGTATTCAAGAGGAGTGAGGCATCGTCACCTTTTGAAGCAATGAACTCCGCGTGCCTCTCGAGGTGTCAGCGGGATGTGAGGCATTCCGTCAAAATGAGGCAGGGACCTAGGGCTTTCTCTAAGGTCTCCACAGGGGATTCAGACATCCCTTCATGTTGTGAGATGAAAGACGAGCCTCTATTCAAGCCACTGCAAGGAAATCCGGCCTCCTTTCAAGTTAGGGCTTCTCGCTGTATATTCCCCTTGAGGCAGCAAACTCGGGGTCCCTCCCACATACCTATTGCTGAGAGAAGCCTCCTCCTGAGGTGCTTCTGGGAAGTTGGCATACGTCTTGAGCCTAAGCCAGGGAATCAGCTCTCATCTCGAGACGATTTGGGGTACACGGAGCATTCCTCGAGTTGCTGTGCTGAAGTTGGTGTTCCTCTAGGCTTGGGACAGTGTTCTCGGGGCATCTCTGGAGTTGCCTGAAGGAAGTCGAGCCACCGGTCGTGTTGAATGGGGAACGGGGAATGGCTCTGGAGTCAATGCATGGGAACCGGGCCTCATCTCGAGTTGATTTGGGGCACATGGAGCTGCTTTGCGTTGCTGGGGTGACCTCAGGGTCCGTCTAGACTGGTGACAGTGTTCTTGGGGACTGTCTCGAGATCCATTAAGCAAGTCGAAGCTCCTGACTTGTTTGAATGGGATCACGGAATAGCTCTGCATGCACTGCAGGGGAATGGGGCCTCATCTCGCCTCTAGGGGGAAGTCTCATGGTTTTTCTCGAGTTGCGGCGGGGACCTGGGGTATGTTCTCGACTTACGGCGGGGATGGCCCTTCAAAACACGAGTTTCTTCAGTGACGTCAGGACTCCTGTCTAGTAACGAGGGACACCTCAGGAATCTCTTCGAGGCTTGGCAGGGCAAAAGGGACGCTTCTCGAGGTGAGGCAGGGCACCCAAGGACCCTTTCCAGTAGCCACAGGGATTTTGGGATTCCTATCAGTATTCAAGAGGAGTCAGGCATCGTCACCTTTTGAAGCAATGAACTCCACGTGCCTCTCGAGGTGTCAGCGCGATGTGAGGCATTCCGTCAAAATGAGGCAGGGACCTAAGGCTTTCTCTAAGGTCTCCACAGGGGATTCAGACATCCCTTCATGTTGTGAGATGAAAGACGAGCCTGTATTCAAGCCACTGCAAGGGAATCCGGCCTCCTTTCAAATTAGGGCTTCTCGCTGTATATTCCCCTTGAGGCAGCAAACTCGGGGTCCCTCCCACATACCTATTGCTGAGAGAATCCTCCTCCTGAGGTGCTTCTGGGAAGTTGGCATACGTCTTGAGCCTAAGCCAGGGAATCAGCTCGCATCTCGAGACGATTTGGGGTACACGGAGCATTCCTCGAGTTGCTGTGCTGAAGTTGGTGTTCCTCTAGACTTGGGACAGTGTTCTCGGGGCATCTCTGGAGTTGCCTGAAGGAAGTCGAGCCACCGGTCGTGTTGAATGGGGAACGGGGAATGGCTCTGGAGTCAATGCAGGGGAATCGGGCCTCATCTCGAGTTGATTTGGGGCACATGGAGCTGCTTTGCGTTGCTGGGGTGACCTCAGGGTCCGTCTAGACTGGTGACAGTGTTCTTGGGGACTGTCTCGAGATCCATTAAGCAAGTCGATGCTCCTGACTTGCTTGAATGGGATCACGGAATAGCTCTGCATGCACTGCAGGGGAATGGGGCCTCATCTCGCCTCTAGGGGGAAGTCTCATGGTTTTTCTCGAGTTGCGGCGGGGACCTGGGGTATGTTCTTGACTTACGGCAGGGATGGCCCTTCAAGACACGAGTTTCTTCAGTGACGTCCGGACTCCTGTCTAGTAACGAGGGACACCTCAGGAATCTCTTCGAGGCTTGGCAGGGCAAAAGGGACGCTTCTCGAGGTGAGGCAGGGCACCCAAGGACCCTTTCCAGTAGCCACAGGGATTTTGGGATTCCTATCAGTATTCAAGAGGAGTGAGGCATCGTCACCTTTTGAAGCAATGAACTCCGCGTGCCTCTCGAGGTGTCAGCGGGATGTGAGGCATTCCGTCAAAATGAGGCAGGGACCTAGGGCTTTCTCTAAGGTCTCCACAGGGGATTCAGACATCCCTTCATGTTGTGAGATGAAAGACGTGCCTGTATTCAAGCCACTGCAAGGAAATCCGGCCTCCTTTCAAGTTAGGGCTTCTCGCTGTATATTCCCCTTGAGGCAGCAAACTCGGGGTCCCTCCCACATACCTATTGCTGAGAGAAGCCTCCTCCTGAGGTGCTTCTGGGAAGTTGGCATACGTCTTGAGCCTAAGCCAGGGAATCAGCTCTCATCTCGAGACGATTTGGGGTACACGGAGCATTCCTCGAGTTACTGTGCTGAAGTTGGTGTTCCTCTAGACTTGGGACAGTGTTCTCGGGGCATCTCTGGAGTTGCCTGAAGGAAGTCGAGCCACCGGTCGTGTTGAATGGGGAACGGGGAATGGCTCTGGAGTCAATGCAGGGGAATCGGGCCTCATCTCGAGTTGATTTGGGGCACATGGAGCTGCTTTGCGTTGCTGGGGTGACCTCAGGGTCCGTCTAGACTGGTGACAGTGTTCTTGGGGACTGTCTCGAGATCCATTAAGCAAGTCGAAGCTCCTGACTTGTTTGAATGGGATCACGGAATAGCTCTGCATGCACTGCAGGGGAATGGGGCCTCATCTCGCCTCTAGGGGGAAGTCTCATGGTTTTTCTCGAGTTGCGACGGGGACCTGGGGTATGTTCTCGATTTACGGCGGGGATGGCCCTTCAAAACACGAGTTTCTTCAGTGACGTCAGGACTCCTGTCTAGTAACGAGGGACACCTCAGGAATCTCTTCGAGGCTTGGCAGGGCAAAAAGGACGCTTCTCGAGGTGAGGCAGGGCACCCAAGGACCCTTTCCAGTAGCCACAGGGATTTTGGGATTCCTATCAGTATTCAAGAGGAGTCAGGCATCGTCACCTTTTGAAGCAATGAACTCCGCGTGCCTCTCGAGGTGTCAGCGGGATGTGAGGCATTCCGTCAAAATGAGGCAGGGACCTAGGGCTTTCTCTAAGGTCTCCACAGGGGATTCAGACATCCCTTCATGTTGTGAGATGAAAGACGAGCCTGTATTCAAGCCACTGCAAGGAAATCCGGCCTCCTTTCAAGTTAGGGCTTCTCGCTGTATATTCCCCTTGAGGCAGCAAACTCGGGGTCCCTCCCACATACCTATTGCTGAGAGAAGCCTCCTCCTGAGGTGCTTCTGGGAAGTTGGCATACGTCTTGAGCCTAAGCCAGGGAATCAGCTCGCACCTCGAGACGATTTGTGGTACACGGAGCATTCCTCGAGTTGCTGTGCTGAAGTTGGTGTTCCTCTAGACTTGGGACAGTGTTCTTGGGGCATCTCTGGAGTTGCCTGAAGGAAGTCGAGCCACCGGTCGTGTTGAATGGGGAAATGGGAATGGCTCTGGAGTCAATGCAGGGGAATCGGGCCTCATCTCGAGTTGATTTGGGGCACATGGAGCTGCATTGCGTTGCTGGGGTGACCTCAGGGTCCGTCTAGACTGGTGACAGTGTTCTTGGGGACTGTCTCGAGATCCATTAAGCAAGTCGAAGCTCCTGACTTGTTTGAATGGGATCACGGAATAGCTCTGCATGCACTGCAGGGGAATGGGGCCTCATCTCGCCTCTAGGGGGAAGTCTCATGGTTTTTCTCGAGTTGCGGCGGGGACCTGGGGTATGTTCTTGACTTACGGCGGGGATGGCCCTTCAAGACACGAGTTTCTTCAGTGACGTCCGGACTCCTGTCTAATAACGAGGGACACCTCAGGAATCTCTTCGAGGCTTGGCAGGGCAAAAGGGACGCTTCTCGAGGTGAGGCAGGGCACCCAAGGACCCTTTCCAGTAGCCACAGGGATTTTGGGATTCCTATCAGTATTCAAGAGGAGTGAGGCATCGTCACCTTTTGAAGCAATGAACTCCGCGTGCCTCTCGAGGTGTCAGCGGGATGTGAGGCATTCCGTCAAAATGAGGCAGGGACCTAGGGCTTTCTCTAAGGTCTCCACAGGGGATTCAGACATCCCTTCATGTTGTGAGATGAAAGACGAGCCTGTATTCAAGCCACTGCAAGGAAATCCGGCCTCCTTTCAAGTTAGGGCTTCTCGCTGTATATTCCCCTTGAGGCAGCAAACTCGGGGTCTCTACCACATACCTATTGCTGAGAGAAGCCTCCTCCTGAGGTGCTTCTGGGAAGTTGGCATACGTCTTGAGCCTAAGCCAGGGAATCAGCTCTCATCTCGAGACGATTTGGGGTACACGGAGCATTCCTCGAGTTGCTGTGCTGAAGTTGGTGTTCCTCTAGACTTGGGACAGTGTTCTCGGGGCATCTCTGGAGTTGCCTGAAGGAAGTCGAGCCACCGGTCGTGTTGAATGGGGAACGGGGAATGGCTCTGGAGTCAATGCACGGGAATCGGGCCTCATCTCGAGTTGATTTGGGGCACATGGAGCTGCTTTGCGTTGCTGGGGTGACCTCAGGGTCCGTCTAGACTGGTGACAGTGTTCTTGGGGACTGTCTCGAGATCCATTAAGCAAGTCGAAGCTCCTGACTTGTTTGAATGGGATCACGGAATAGCTCTGCATGCACTGCAGGGGAATGGGGCCTCATCTCGCCTCTAGGGGGAAGTCTCATGGTTTTTCTCGAGTTGCGGCGGGGACCTGGGGTATGTTCTTGACTTACGGCGGGGATGGCCCTTCAAGACACGAGTTTCTTCAGTGACGTCCGGACTCCTGTCTAGTAACGAGGGACACCTCAGGAATCTCTTCGAGGATTGGCAGGGCAAAAGGGACGCCTCTCGAGGTGAGGCAGGGCACCCAAGGACCCTTTCCAGTAGCCACAGGGATTTTGGGATTCCTATCAGTATTCAAGAGGAGTCAGGCATCGTCACCTTTTGAAGCAATGAACTCCACGTGCCTCTCGAGGTGTCAGCGCGATGTGAGGCATTCCGTCAAAATGAGGCAGGGACCTAAGGCTTTCTCTAAGGTCTCCACAGGGGATTCAGACATCCCTTCATGTTGTGAGATGAAAGACGAGCCTGTATTCAAGCCACTGCAAGGGAATCCGGCGTCCTTTCAAATTAGGGCTTCTCGCTGTATATTCCCCTTGAGGCAGGAAACTCGGGGTCCCTCCCACATACCTATTGCTGAGAGAATCCTCCTCCTGAGGTGCTTCTGGGAAGTTGGCATACGTCTTGAGCCTAAGCCAGGGAATCAGCTCGCATCTCGAGACGATTTGGGGTACACGGAGCATTCCTCGAGTTGCTGTGCTGAAGTTGGTGTTCCTCTAGACTTGGGACAGTGTTCTCGGGGCATCTCTGGAGTTGCCTGAAGGAAGTCGAGCCACCGGTCGTGTTGAATGGGGAACGGGGAATGGCTCTGGAGTCAATGCAGGGGAATCGGGCCTCATCTCGAGTTGATTTGGGGCACATGGAGCTGCTTTGCGTTGCTGGGGTGACCTCAGGGTCCGTCTAGACTGGTGACAGTGTTCTTGGGGACTGTCTCGAGATCCATTAAGCAAGTCGATGCTCCTGACTTGCTTGAATGGGATCACGGAATAGCTCTGCATGCACTGCAGGGGAATGGGGCCTCATCTCGCCTCTAGGGGGAAGTCTCATGGTTTTTCTCGAGTTGCGGCGGGGACCTGGGGTATGTTCTTGACTTACGGCAGGGATGGCCCTTCAAGACACGAGTTTCTTCAGTGACGTCCGGACTCCTGTCTAGTAACGAGGGACACCTCAGGAATCTCTTCGAGGCTTGGCAGGGCAAAAGGGACGCTTCTCGAGGTGAGGCAGGGCACCCAAGGACCCTTTCCAGTAGCCACAGGGATTTTGGGATTCCTATCAGTATTCAAGAGGAGTGAGGCATCGTCACCTTTTGAAGCAATGAACTCCGCGTGCCTCTCGAGGTGTCAGCGGGATGTGAGGCATTCCGTCAAAATGAGGCAGGGACCTAGGGCTTTCTCTAAGGTCTCCACAGGGGATTCAGACATCCCTTCATGTTGTGATATGAAAGACGAGCCTGTATTCAAGCCACTGCAAGGAAATCCGGCCTCCTTTCAAGTTAGGGCTTCTCGCTGTATATTCCCCTTGAGGCAGCAAACTCGGGGTCCCTCCCACATACCTATTGCTGAGAGAAGCCTCCGCCTGAGGTGCTTCTGGGAAGTTGGCATAGGTCTTGAGCCTAAGCCAGGGAATCAGCTCTCATCTCGAGACGATTTGGGGTACACGGAGCATTCCTCGAGTTGCTGTGCTGAAGTTGGTGTTCCTCTAGACTTGGGACAGTGTTCTCGGGGCATCTCTGGAGTTGCCTGAATGAAGTCGAGCCACCGGTCGTGTTGAATGGGGAACGGGGAATGGCTCTGGAGTCAATGCAGGGGAATCGGGCCTCATCTCGAGTTGATTTGGGGCACATGGAGCTGCTTTGCGTTGCTGGGGTGACCTCAGGGTCCGTCTAGACTGGTGACAGTGTTCTTGGGGACTGTCTCGAGATCCATTAAGCAAGTCGAAGCTCCTGACTTGTTTGAATGGGATCACGGAATAGCTCTGCATGCACTGCAGGGGAATGGGGCCTCATCTCGCCTCTAGGGGGAAGTCTCATGGTTTTTCTCGAGTTGCGACGGGGACCTGGGGTATGTTCTCGATTTACGGCGGGGATGGCCCTTCAAAACACGAGTTTCTTCAGTGACGTCAGGACTCCTGTCTAGTAACGAGGGACACCTCAGGAATCTCTTCGAGGCTTGGCAGGGCAAAAAGGACGCTTCTCGAGGTGAGGCAGGGCACCCAAGGACCCTTTCCAGTAGCCACAGGGATTTTGGGATTCCTATCAGTATTCAAGAGGAGTCAGGCATCGTCACCTTTTGAAGCAATGAACTCCGCGTGCCTCTCGAGGTGTCAGCGGGATGTGAGGCATTCCGTCAAAATGAGGCAGGGACCTAGGGCTTTCTCTAAGGTCTCCACAGGGGATTCAGACATCCCTTCATGTTGTGAGATGAAAGACGAGCCTGTATTCAAGCCACTGCAAGGAAATCCGGCCTCCTTTCAAGTTAGGGCTTCTCGCTGTATATTCCCCTTGAGGCAGCAAACTCGGGGTCCCTCCCACATACCTATTGCTGAGAGAAGCCTCCTCCTGAGGTGCTTCTGGGAAGTTGGCATACGTCTTGAGCCTAAGCCAGGGAATCAGCTCGCACCTCGAGACGATTTGGGGTACACGGAGCATTCCTCGAGTTGCTGTGCTGAAGTTGGTGTTCCTCTAGACTTGGGACAGTGTTCTTGGGGCATCTCTGGAGTTGCCTGAAGGAAGTCGAGCCACCGGTCGTGTTGAATGGGGAAATGGGAATGGCTCTGGAGTCAATGCAGGGGAATCGGGCCTCATCTCGAGTTGATTTGGGGCACATGGAGCTGCATTGCGTTGCTGGGGTGACCTCAGGGTCCGTCTAGACTGGTGACAGTGTTCTTGGGGACTGTCTCGAGATCCATTAAGCAAGTCGAAGCTCCTGACTTGTTTGAATGGGATCACGGAATAGCACTGCATGCACTGCAGGGGAATGGGGCCTCATCTCGCCTCTAGGGGGAAGTCTCATGGTTTTTCTCGAGTTGCGGCGGGGACCTGGGGTATGTTCTTGACTTACGGCGGGGATGGCCCTTCAAGACACGAGTTTCTTCACTGACGTCCGGACTCTTGTCTAATAACGAGGGACACCTCAGGAATCTCTTCGAGGCTTGGCAGGGCAAAAGGGACGCTTCTCGAGGTGAGGCAGGGCACCGAAGGACCCTTTCCAGTAGCCACAGGGATTTTGGGATTCCTATCAGTATTCAAGAGGAGTGAGGCATCATCACCTTTTGAAGCAATGAACTCCGCGTGCCTCTGGAGGTGTCAGCGGGATGTGAGGCATTCCGTCAAAATGAGGCAGGGACCTAGGGCTTTCTCTAAGGTCTCCACAGGGGATTCAGACATCCCTTCATGTTGTGAGATGAAAGACGAGCCTGTATTCAAGCCACTGCAAGGAAATCCGGCCTCCTTTCAAATTAGGGCTTCTCGCTGTATATTCCCCTTGAGGCAGCAAACTCGGTGTCCCTCCCACATACCTATTGCTGAGAGAAGCCTCCTCCTGAGGTGCTTCTGGGAAGTTGGCATACGTCTTGAGCCTAAGCCAGGGAATCAGCTCTCATCTCGAGACGATTTGGGGTACACGGAGCATTCCTCGAGTTGCTGTGCTGAAGTTGGTGTTCCTCTAGGCTTGGGACAGTGTTCTCGGGGCATCTCTGGAGTTGCCTGAAGGAAGTCGAGCCACCGGTCGTGTTGAATGGGGAACGGGGAATGGCTCTGGAGTCAATGCAGGGGAATCGGGCCTCATCTCGAGTTGATTTGGGGCACATGGAGCTGCTTTGCGTTGCTGGGGTGACCTCAGGGTCCGTCTAGACTGGTGACAGTGTTCTTGGGGACTGTCTCGAGATCCATTAAGCAAGTCGAAGCTCCTGACTTGTTTGAATGGGATCACAGAATAGCTCTGCATGCACTGCAGGGGAATGGGGCCTCATCTCGCCTCTAGGGGGAAGTCTCATGGTTTTTCTCGAGTTGCGGCAGGGACCTGGGGTATGTTCTCGACTTATGGCGGGGATGGCCCTTCAAAACACGAGTTTCTTCAGTGACGTCAGGACTCCTGTCTAGTAACGAGGGAAACCTCAGGAATCTCTTCGAGGCTTGGCAGGGCAAAAGGGACGCTTCTCGAGGTGAGGCAGGGCACCCAAGGACCCTTTCCAGTAGCCACAGGGATTTTGGGATTCCTATCAGTATTCAAGAGGAGTCAGGCATCGTCACCTTTTGAAGCAATGAACTCCGCGTGCCTCTCGAGGTGTCAGCGCGATGTGAGGCATTCCGTCAAAATGATGCAGGGACCTAGTGCTTTCTCTAAGGTCTCCACAGGGGATTCAGACATCCCTTCATGTTGTGAGATGAAAGACGAGCCTGTATTCAAGCCACTGCAAGGGAATCCGGCCTCCTTTCAATTTAGGGCTTCTCGCTGTATATTCCCCTTGAGGCAGCAAACTCGGGGTCCCTCCCACATACCTATTGCTGAGAGAATCCTCCTCCTGAGGTGCTTCTGGGAAGTTGGCATACGTCTTGAGCCTAAGCCAGGGAATCAGCTCGCATCTCGAGACGATTTGGGGTACACGGAGAATTCCTCGAGTTGCTGTGCTGAAGTTGGTGTTCCTCTAGACTTGGGACAGTGTTCTCGGGGCATCTCTGGAGTTGCCTGAAGGAAGTCGAGCCACCGGTCGTGTTGAATGGGGAACGGGGAATGGCTCTGGAGTCAATGCAGGGGAATCGGGCCTCATCTCGAGTTGATTTGGGGCACATGGAGCTGCTTTGCGTTGCTGAGGTGACCTCAGGGTCCGTCTAGACTGGTGACAGTGTTCTTGGGGACTGTCTCGAGATCCATTAAGCAAGTCGAAGCTCCTGACTTGTTTGAATGGGATCACGGAATAGCTCTGCATGCACTGCAGGGGAATGGGGCCTCATCTCGCCTCTAGGGGGAAGTCTCATGGTTTTTCTCGAGTTGCGGCGGGGACCTGGGGTATGTTCTCGACTTACGGCGGGGATGGCCCTTCAAGACACGAGTTTCTTCAGTGACGTCCGGACTCCTGTCTAGTAACGAGGGACACCTCAGGAATCTCTTCGAGGCTTGGCAGGGCAAAGGGACGCTTCTCGAGGTGAGGCAGGGCACCCAAGGACCCTTTCCAATAGCCACAGGGATTTTGGGATTCCTATCAGTATTCAAGAGGAGTGAGGCATCGTCATCTTTTGAAGCAATGAACTCCGGGTGCCTCTCGAGGTGTCAGCGGGATGTGAGGCATTCCGTCAAAATGAGGCAGGGACCTAGGGCTTTCTCTAAGGTCTCCACAGGGGATTCAGACATCCCTTCATGTTGTGAGATGAAAGACGAGCCTGTATTCAAGCCACTGCAAGGAAATCCGGCCTCCTTTCAAGTTAGGGCTTCTCGCTGTATATTCCCCTTGAGGCAGCAAACTCGGGGTCCCTCCCACATACCTATTGCTGAGAGAAGCCTCCTCCTGAGGTGCTTCTGGGAAGTTGGCATACGTCTTGAGCCTAAGCCAGGGAATCAGCTCTCATCTCGAGACGATTTGGGATACACGGAGCATTCCTCGAGTTGCTGTGCTGAAGTTGGTGTTCCTCAAGGCTTGGGACAGTGTTCTCGGGGCATCTCTGGAGTTGCCTGAAGGAAGTCGAGCCACCGGTCGTGTTGAATGGGGAACGGGGAATGGCTCTGGAGTCAATGCAGGGGAATCGGGCCTCATCTCGAGTTGATTTGGGGCACATGGAGCTGCTTTGCATTGCTGGGGTGACCTCAGGGTCCGTCTAGACTGGTGACAGTGTTCTTGGGGACTGTCTCGAGATCCATTAAGCAAGTCGAAGCTCCTGACTTGTTTGAATGGGATCACGGAATAACTCTGCATGCACTGCTGGGGAATGGGGCCTCATCTCGCCTCTAGGGGGAAGTCTCATGGTTTTTCTCGAGTTGCGGCGGGGACCTGGGGTATGTTCTTGACTTACGGCGGGGATGGCCCTTCAAGACACGAGTTTCTTCAGTGACGTCAGGACTCCTGTCTAATAACGAGGGACACCTCAGGAATCTCTTCGAGGCTTGGCAGGGCAAAAGGGACGCTTCTCGAGGTGAGGCAGGGCACCCAAGTACCCTTTCCAGTAGCCACAGGGATTTTGGGATTCCTATCAGTATTCAAGAGGAGTGAGGCATCGTCACCTTTTGAAGCAATGAACTCCACGTGCCTCTCGAGGTGTCAGCGGGATGTGAGGCATTCCGTCAAAATGAGGCAGGGACCTAGGGCTTTCTCTAAGGTCTCCACAGGGGATTCAGACATCCCTTCATGTTGTGAGATGAAAGACGAGCCTGTATTCAAGCCACTGCAAGGGAATCCGGCCTCCTTTCAATTTAGGGCTTCTCGCTGTATATTCCCCTTGAGGCAGCAAACTCGGGGTCCCTCCCACATACCTATTGCTGAGAGAATCCTCCTCCTGAGGTGCTTCTGGGAAGTTGGCATACGTCTTGAGCCTAAGCCAGGGAATCAGCTCGCATCTCGAGACGATTTGGGGTACACGGAGAATTCCTCGAGTTGCTGTGCTGAAGTTGGTGTTCCTCTAGACTTGGGACAGTGTTCTCGGGGCATCTCTGGAGTTGCCTGAAGGAAGTCGAGCCACCGGTCGTGTTGAATGGGGAACGGGGAAAGGCTCTGGAGTCAATCCAGGGGAATTGGGCCTCATCTCGAGTTGATTGGGGGCACATGGAGCTGCTTTGCGTTGCTGAGGTGACCTCAGGGTCCGTCTAGACTGGTGACAGTGTTCTTGGGGACTGTCTCGAGATCCATTAAGCAAGTCGAAGCTCCTGACTTGTTTGAATGGGATCACGGAATAGCTCTGCATGCACTGCAGGGGAATGGGGCCTCATCTCGCCTCTAGGGGGAAGTCTCATGGTTTTTCTCGTGTTGCGGCGGGGACCTGGAGTATGTTCTTGACTTACGGCTGGGATGGCCCTTCAAGACACGAGTTTCTTCAGTGACGTCCGGACTCCTGTCTAGTAACGAGGGACACCTCAGGAATCTCTTCGAGGCTTGGCAGGGCAAAAGGGACGCTTCTCGAGGTGAGGCAGGGCACCCAAGGACCCTTTTCAATAGCCACAGGGATTTTGGGATTCCTATCAGTATTCAAGAGGAGTGAGGCATCGTCACCTTTTGAAGCAATGAACTCCGCATGCCTCTCGAGGTGTCAGCGGGATGTGAGGCATTCCGTCAAAATGAGGCAGGGACCTAGGGCTTTCTCTAAGGTCTCCACAGGGGATTCAGACATCCCTTCATGTTGAGAGATGAAAGACGAGCCTGTATTCAAGCCACTGCAAGGAAATCCGGCCTCCTTTCAAGTTAGGGCTTCTCGCTGTATATTCCCCTTGAGGCAGCAAACTCGGGGTCCCTCCCACATACCTATTGCTGAGAGAAGCCTCCTCCTGAGGTGCTTCTGGGAAGTTGGCATACGTCTTGAGCCTAAGCCAGGGAATCAGCTCTCATCTCGAGACGATTTGGGGTACACGGAGCATTCCTCGAGTTGCTGTGCTGAAGTTGGTGTTCCTCTAGGCTTGGGACAGTGTTCTCGGGGCATCTCTGGAGTTGCCTGAAGGAAGTCGAGCCACCGGTCGTGTTGAATGGGGAATGGGGAATGGCTCTGGAGTCAATGCAGGGGAATCGGGCCTCATCTCGAGTTGATTTGGGGCACATGGAGCTGCTTTGCATTGCTGGGGTGACCTCAGGGTCCGTCTAGACTGGTGACAGTGTTCTTGGGGACTGTCTCGAGATCCATTAAGCAAGTCGAAGCTCCTGACTTGTTTGAATGGGATCACGGAATACCTCTGCATGCACTGCAGGGGAATGGGGCCTCATCTCGCCTCTAGGGGGAAGTCTCATGGCTTTTCTCGAGTTGCTGCGGGGACCTGGGGTATGTTCTCGACTTACGGCGGGGAAGGCCCTTCAAGACACGAGTTTCTTCAGTGACGTCCGGACTCCTGTCTAGTAACGAGGGACACCTCATGAATCTCTTCGAGGCTTGGCAGGGCAAAAGGGACGCTTCTCGAGGTGAGGCAGGGCACCCAAGGACCCTTTCCAGTAGCCACAGGGATTTTGGGATTCCTATCAGTATTCAAGAGGAGTCAGGCATCGTCACCTTTTGAAGCAATGAACTCCGCATGCCTCTCGAGGTGTCAGCGGGATGTGAGGCATTCCGTCAAAATGAGGCAGGGGCCTAGGGCTTTCTCTAAGGTCTCCACAGGGGATATAGACATCCCTTCATGTTGTGAGATGAAAGACGAGCCTTTATTCAAGCTACTGCAAGGAAATCCGGCCTCCTTTCAAGTTAGGGCTTCTCGCTGTATATTCCCCTTGAGGCAGCAAACTCGGGGTCCCTCCCACATACCTATTGCTGAGAGAAGCCTCCGCCTGAGGTGCTTCTGGGAAGTTGGCATAGGTCTTGAGCCTAAGCCAGGGAATCAGCTCTCATCTCGAGACGATTTGGGGTACACGGAGCATTCCTCGAGTTGCTGTGCTGAAGTTGGTGTTCCTCTAGACTTGGAACAGTGTTCTCGGGGCATCTCTGGAGTTGCCTGAAGGAAGTCGAGCCACCGGTCGTGTTGAATGGGGAACGGGGAATGGCTCTGGAGTCAATGCATGGGAATCGGGCCTCATCTCGAGTTGATTTGGGGCACATGGAGCTGCTTTGCGTTGCTGGGGTGACCTCAGGGTCCCTCTAGACTGGTGACAGTGTTCTTGGGGACTGTCTCGAGATCCATTAAGCAAGTCGAAGCTCCTGACTTGTTTGAATGGGATCACGGAATAGCTCTGCATGCACTGAAGGGGAATGGGGCCTCATCTCGCCTCTAGGGGGAAGTCTCATGGTTTTTCTCGAGTTGCGGCAGGGACCTGGGGTATGTTCTCGACTTACGGCGGGGATGGCCCTTCAAAACACGAGTTTCTTCAGTGACGTCAGGACTCCTGTCTAGTAACGAGGGACACCTCAGGAATCTCTTCGAGGCTTGGCAGGGCAAAAGGGACGCTTCTCGAGGTGAGGCAGGGCACCCAAGGACCCTTTCCAGTAACCACAGGGATTTTGGGATTCCTATCAGTATTCAAGAGGAGTCAGGCATCGTCACCTTTTGAAGCAATGAACTCCGCGTGCCTCTTGAGGTGTCAGCGCGATGTGAGGCATTCCGTCAAAATGAGGCAGGGACCTAGGGCTTTCTCTAAGGTCTCCACAGGGGATTCAGACATCCCTTCATGTTGTGAGATGAAAGACGAGCCTGTATTCAAGCCACTGCAAGGGAATCCGGCCTCCTTTCAAATTAGGGCTTCTCGCTGTATATTCCCCTTGAGGCAGCAAACTCGGGGTCCCTCCCACATACCTATTGCTGAGAGAATCCTCCTCCTGAGGTGCTTCTGGGAAGTTGGCATACGTCTTGAGCCTAAGCCAGGGAATCAGCTCGCATCTCGAGACGATTTGGGGTACACGGAGCATTCCTCGAGTTGCTGTGCTGAAGTTGGTGTTCCTCTAGACTTGGGACAGTGTTCTCGGGGCATCTCTGGAGTTGCCTGAAGGAAGTCGAGCCACCGGTCGTGTTGAATGGGGAACGGGGAATGGCTCTGGAGTCAATGCAGGGGAATCGGGCCTCATCTCGAGTTGATTTGGGGCACATGGAGCTGCTTTGCGTTGCTGGGGTGACCTCAGGGTACGTCTAGACTGGTGACAGTGTTCTTGGGGACTGTCTCGAGATCCATTAAGCAAGTCGAAGCTCCTGACTTGTTTGAATGGGATCACGGAAGAGCTCTGCATGCACTGCAGGGGAATGGGGCCTCATCTCGCCTCTAGGGGAAGTCTCATGGTTTTTCTCGAGTTGCGGCGGGGACCTGGGGTATGTTCTCGACTTACGGCGGGGATGGCCCTTCAAAACACGAGTTTCTTCAGTGACGTCAGGACTCCTGTCTAGTAACAAGGGACACCTCAGGAATCTCTTCGAGGCTTGGCAGGGCAAAAGGGACCCTTCTCGAGGTGAGGCAGGGCACCGAAGGACCCTTTCCAGTAGCCACAGGGATTTTGGGATTCCTATCAGTATTCAAGAGGAGTCAGGCATCGTCACCTTTTGAAGCAATGAACTCCGCGTGCCTCTCGAGGTGTCAGCGGGATGTGAGGCATTCCGTCAAAATGAGGCAGGGACCTAGGGCTTTCTCTAAGGTCTCCACAGGGGATTCAGACATCCCTTCATGTTGTGAGATGAAAGACGAGCCTGTATTCAAGCCACTGCAAGGAAATCCGGCCTCCTTTCAAGTTAGGGCTTCTCGCTGTATATTCCCCTTGAGGCAGCAAACTCGGGGTCCCTCCCACATACCAATTGCTGAGAGAAGCCTCCTCCTGAGGTGCTTCTGGGAAGTTGGCATACTTCTTGAGCCTAAGCCAGGGAATCAGCTCGCACCTCGAGACGATTTGGGGTACACGGAGCATTCCTCGAGTTGCTGTGCTGAAGTTGGTGTTCCTCTAGGCTTGGGACAGTGTTCTCGGGGCATCTCTGGAGTTGCCTGAAGGAAGTCGAGCCACCGGTCGTGTTGAATGGGGAACGGGGAATGGCTCTGGAGTCAATGCAGGGGAATCGGGCCTCATCTCGAGTTGATTTGGGGCACATGGAGCTGCTTTGCGTTGCTGGGGTGACCTCAGGGTCCGTCTAGACTGGTGACAGTGTTCTTGGGGACTGTCTCGAGATCCATTAAGCAAGTCGAAGCTCCTGACTTGTTTGAATGGGATCACGGAATAGCTCTGCATGCACTGCAGGGGAATGGGGCCTCATCTCGCCTCTAGGGGGAAGTCTCATGGTTTTTCTCGAGTTGCGGCGGGGACCTGGGGTATGTTCTCGACTTACGGCGGGGATGGCCCTTCAAAACACGAGTTTCTTCAGTGACGTCAGGACTCCTGTCTAGTAACGAGGGACACCTCAGGAATCTCTTCGAGGCTTGGCAGGGCAAAAGGGACCCTTCTCGAGTTGAGGCAGGGCACCCAAGGACCCTTTCCAGTAGCCACAGGGATTTTGGGATTCCTATCAGTATTCAAGAGGAGTCAGGCATCGTCACCTTTTGAAGCAATGAACTCCGCGTGCCTCTCGAGGTGTCAGCGGGATGTGAGGCATTCCGTCAAAATGAGGCAGGGACCTAGGGCTTTCTCTAAGGTCTCCACAGGGGATATAGACATCCCTTCATGTTGTGAGATGAAAGACGAGCCTGTATTCAAGCCACTGCAAGGAAATCCGGCCTCCTTTCAAGTTAGGGCTTCTCGCTGTATATTCCCCTTGAGGCAGCAAACTCGGGGTCCCTCCCACATACCTATTGCTGAGAGAAGCCTCCTCCTGAGGTGCTTCTGGGAAGTTGGCATACTTCTTGAGCCTAAGCCAGGGAATCAGCTCTCATCTCGAGACGATTTGGGGTACAAGGAGCATTCCTCGAGTTGCTGTGCTGAAGTTGGTGTTCCTCTAGACTTGGGACAGTGTTCTCGGGGCATCTCTGGAGTTGCCTGAAGGAAGTCGAGCCACCGGTCGTGTTGAATGGGGAACGTGGAATGGCTCTGGAGTCAATGCAGGGGAATCGGGCCTCATCTCGAGTTGATTTGGGGCACATGGAGCTGCTTTGCATTGCTGGGGTGACCTCAGGGTCCGTCTAGACTGGTGACAGTGTTCTTGGGGACTGTCTCGAGATCCATTAAGCAAGTCGAAGCTCCTGACTTGTTTGAATGGGATCACGGAATAGCTCTGCATGCACTGCAGGGGAATGGGGCCTCATCTCGCCTCTAGGGGGAAGTCTCATGGTTTTTCTCGAGTTGCGGCGGGGACCTGGGGTATGTTCTCGACTTACGGCGGGGATGGCCCTTCAAAACACGAGTTTCTTCAGTGACGTCAGGACTCCTGTCTAGTAACAAGGGACACCTCAGGAATCTCTTCGAGGCTTGGCAGGGCAAAAGGGACGCTTCTCGAGGTGAGGCAGGGCACCCAAGGACCCTTTCCAGTAGCCACAGGGATTTTGGGATTCCTATCAGTATTCAAGAGGAGTCAAGCATCGTCACCTTTTGAAGCAATGAACTGTGCATGCCTCTCGAGGTGTCAGCGGGATGTGAGGCATTCCGTCAAAATGAGGCAGGGACCTAGGGCTTTCTCTAAGGTCTCCCCAGGGGATTCAGACATCCCTTCATGTTGTGAGATGAAAGACGAGCCTGTATTCAAGCCACTGCAAGGAAATCCGGCCTCCTTTCAAGTTAGGGCTTCTCGCTGTATATTCCCCTTGAGGCAGCAAACTCGGGGTCCCTCCCACATACCTATTGCTGAGAGAAGCCTCCGCCTGAGGTGCTTCTGGGAAGTTGGCATAGGTCTTGAGCCTAAGCCAGGGAATCAGCTCTCATCTCGAGACGATTTGGGGTACACGGAGCATTCCTCGAGTTGCTGTGCTGAAGTTGGTGTTCCTCTAGACTTGGGACAGTGTTCTCGGGGCATCTCTGGAGTTGCCTGAAGGAAGTCGAGCCACCGGTCGTGTTGAATGGGGAACGGGGAATGGCTCTGGAGTCAATGCAGGGGAATCGGGCCTCATCTCGAGTTGATTTGGGGCACATGGAGCTGCTTTGCGTTGCTGGGGTGACCTCAGGGTCCGTCTAGACTGGTGACAGTGTTCTTGGGGACTGTCTCGAGATCCATTAAGCAAGTCGAAGCTCCTGACTTGTTTGAATGGGATCACGGAATAGCTCTGCATGCACTGCAGGGGAATGGGGCCTCATCTCGCCTCTAGAGGGAAGTCTCATGGTTTTTCTCGAGTTGCGACGGGGACCTGGGGTATGTTCTCGATTTACGGCGGGGATGGCCCTTCAAAACACGAGTTTCTTCAGTGACTTCAGGACTCCTGTCTAGTAACTAGGGACACCTCAGGAATCTCTTCGAGGCTTGGCAGGGCAAAAAGGATGCTTCTCGAGGTGAGGCAGGGCACCCAAGGACCCTTTCCAGTAGCCACAGGGATTTTGGGATTCCTATCAGTATTCAAGAGGAGTAAGGCATCGTCACCTTTTGAAGCAATGAACTCCGCGTGCCTCTCGAGGTGTCAGCGGGATGTGAGGCATTCCGTCAAAATGAGGCAGGGACCTAGGGCTTTCTCTAAGGTCTCCACAGGGGATTCAGACATCCCTTCATGTTGTGAGATGAAAGACGAGCCTGTATTCAAGCCACTGCAAGGAAATCCGGCCTCCTTTCAAGTTAGGGCTTCTCGCTGTATATTCCCCTTGAGGCAGCAAACTCGGGGTCCCTCCCACATACCTATTGCTGAGAGAAGCCTCGTCCTGGGGTGCTTCTGGGAAGTTGGCATACGTCTTGAGCCTAAGCCAGGGAATCAGCTCGCACCTCGAGACGATTTGGGGTACACGGAGCATTCCTCGAGTAGCTGTGCTGAAGTTGGTGTTCCTCTAGGCTTGGGAGAGTGTTCTCGGGGCATCTCTGGAGTTGCCTGAAGGAAGTCGAGCCACCGGTCGTGTTGAATGGGGAAAGGGGAATGGCTCTGGAGTCAATGCACGGGAATCGGGCCTCATCTCGAGTTGATTTGGGGCACATGGAGCTGCTTTGCGTTGCTGGGGTGACCTCAGGGTTCGTCTAGACTGGTGACAGTGTTCTTGGGGACTGTCTCGAGATCCATTAAGCAAGTCGAAGCTCCTGACTTGTTTGAATGGGATCACGGAATAGCTCTGCATGCACTGCAGGGGAATGGGGCCTCATCTCGCCTCTAGGGGGAAGTCTCATGGTTTTTCTCGAGTTGCGGCGGGGACCTGGGGTATGTTCTTGACTTACGGCGGGGATGGCCCTTCAAGACACGAGTTTCTTCAGTGACGTCCGGACTCCTGTCTAGTAACGAGGGACACCTCAGGAATCTCTTCGAGGCTTGGCAGGGCAAAAGGGACGCTTCTCGAGGTGAGGCAGGGCACCCAAGGACCCTTTCCAGTAGCCACAGGAATTTTGGGATTCCTATCAGTATTCAAGAGGAGTGAGGCATCGTCACCTTTTGAAGCAATGAACTCCGCGTGCCTCTCGAGGTGTCAGCGGGATGTGAGGCATTCCGTCAAAATGAGGCAGGGACCTAGGGCTTTCTCTAAGGTCTCCACAGGGGATTCAGACATCCCTTCATGTTGTGAGATGAAAGACGAGCCTGTATTCAAGCCACTGCAAGGAAATCCGGCCTCCTTTCAAGTTAGGGCTTCTCGCTGTATATTCCCCTTGAGGCAGCAAACTCGGTGTCCCTCCCACATACCTATTGCTGAGAGAAGCCTCCTCCTGAGGTGCTTCTGGGAAGTTGGCATACGTCTTGAGCCTAAGCCAGGGAATCAGCTCTCATCTCGAGACGATTTGGGGTACACGGAGCATTCCTCGAGTTGCTGTGCTGAAGTTGGTGTTCCTCTAGGCTTGGGACAGTGTTCTCGGGGCATCTCTGGAGTTGCCTGAAGGAAGTCGAGCCACCGGTCGTGTTGAATGGGGAACGGGGAATGGCTCTGGAGTCAATGCACGGGAATCGGGCCTCATCTCGAGTTGATTTGGGGCACATGGACCTGCTTTGCGTTGCTGGGGTGACCTCAGGGTCCGTCTAGACTGGTGACAGTGTTCTTGGGGACTGTCTCGAGATCCATTAAGCAAGTCGAAGCTCCTGACTTGTTTGAATGGGATCACGGAATAGCTCTGCATGCACTGAAGGGGAATGGGGCCTCATCTCGCCTCTAGGGGGAAGTCTCATGGTTTTTCTCGAGTTGCGGCAGGGACCTGGGGTATGTTCTCGACTTACGGCGGGGATGGCCCTTCAAAACACGAGTTTCTTCAGTGACGTCAGGACTCCTGTCTAGTAACGAGGGACACCTCAGGAATCTCTTCGAGGCTTGGCAGGGCAAAAGGGACGCTTCTCGAGGTGAGGCAGGGCACCCAAGGACCCTTTCCAGTAGCCACAGGGATTTTGGGATTCCTATCAGTATTCAAGAGGAGTCAGGCATCGTCACCTTTTGAAGCAATGAACTCCGCGTGCCTCTCGAGGTGTCAGCGCGATGTGAGGCATTCCGTCAAAATGAGGCAGGGACCTAGGGCTTTCTCTAAGGTCTCCACAGGGGATTCAGACATCCCTTCATGTTGTGAGATGAAAGACGAGCCTGTATTCAAGCCACTGCAAGGAAATCCGGCCTCCTTTCAAGTTAGGGCTTCTCGCTGTATATTCCCCTTGAGGCAGCAAACTCGGGGTCCCTCCCACATACGTATTGCTGAGAGAAGCCTCCTCCTGAGGTGCTTCTGGGAAGTTGGCATACGTCTTGAGCCTAAGCCAGGGAATCAGCTCTCATCTCGAGACGATTTGGGGTTCACGGAGCATTCCTCGAGTTGCTGTGCTGAAGTTGGTGTTCCTCTAGGCTTGGGACAGTGTTCTCGGGGCATCTCTGGAGTTGCCTGAAGGAAGTCGAGCCACCGGTCGTGTTGAATGGGGAACGGGGAATGGCTCTGGAGTCAATGCAGGGGAATCGGGCCTCATCTCGAGTTGATTTGGGGCACATGGAGCTGCTTTGCATTGCTGGGGTGACCTCAGGGTCCGTCTAGACTGGTGACAGTGTTCTTGGGGACTGTCTCGAGATCCATTAAGCAAGTCGAAGCTCCTGACTTGTTTGAATGGGATCACGGAATAGCTCTGCATGCACTGCAGGGGAATGGGGCCTCATCTCGCCTCTAGGGGGAAGTCTCATGGTTTTTCTCGAGTTGCGGCGGGGACCTGGGGTATGTTCTCGACTTACGGCGGGGATGGCCCTTCAAAACACGAGTTTCTTCAGTGACGTCAGGACTCCTGTCTAGTAACAAGGGACACCTCAGGAATCTCTTCGAGGCTTGGCAGGGCAAAAGGGACCCTTCTCGAGGTGAGGCAGGGCACCCAAGGACCCTTTCCAGTAGCCACAGGAATTTTGGGATTCCTATCAGTATTCAAGAGGAGTCAGGCATCGTCACCTTTTGAAGCAATGAACTCCGCGTGCCTCTCGAGGTGTCAGCGGGATGTGAGGCATTCCGTCAAAATGAGGCAGGGACCTAGGGCTTTCTCTAAGGTCTCCACAGGGGATATAGACATCCCTTCATGTTGTGAGATGAAAGACGAGCCTGTATTCAAGCCACTGCAAGGAAATCCGGCCTCCTTTCTAGTTAGGGCTTCTCGCTGTATATTCCCCTTGAGGCAGCAAACTCGGGGTCCCTCCCACATACCTATTGCTGAGAGAAGCCTCCTCCTGAGGTGCTTCTGGGAAGTTGGCATACTTCTTGAGCCTAAGCCAGGGAATCAGCTCGCACCTCGAGACGATTTGGGGTACACGGAGCATTCCTCGAGTTGCTGTGCTGAAGTTGGTGTTCCTCTAGGCTTGGGACAGTGTTCTCGGGGCATCTCTGGAGTTGCCTGAAGGAAGTCGAGCCACCGGTCGTGTTGAATGGGGAAGGGGAATGGCTCTGGAGTCAATGCAGGGGAATCGGGCCTCATCTCGAGTTGATTTGGGGCACATGGAGCTGCTTTGCGTTGCTGGGGTGACCTCAGGGTCCGTCTAGACTGGTGACAGTGTTCTTGGTTACTGTCTCGAGATCCATTAAGCAAGTCGAAGCTCCTGACTTGTTTGAATGGGATCACGGAATAGCTCTGCATGCACTGCAGGGGAATGGGGCCTCATCTCGCCTCTAGGGGGAAGTCTCATGGTTTTTCTCGAGTTGCGGCGGGGACCTGGGGTATGTTCTCGACTTACGGCGGGGATGGCCCTTCAAAACACGAGTTTCTTCAGTGACGTCAGGACTCCTGTCTAGTAACGAGGGACACCTCAGGAATATCTTCGAGGCTTGGCAGGGCAAAAGGGACGCTTCTCGAGGTGAGGCAGGGCACCCAAGGACCCTTTCCAGTAGCCACAGGGATTTTGGGATTCCTATCAGTATTCAAGAGGAGTCAGGCATCGTCACCTTTTGAAGCAATGAACTCCGCGTGCCTCTCGAGGTGTCAGCGCGATGTGAGGCATTCCGTCAAAATGAGGCAGGTACCTAGGGCTTTCTCTAAGGTCTCCAGAGGGGATTCAGACATCCCTTCATGTTGTGAGATGAAAGACGAGCCTGTATTCAAGCCACTGCAAGGAAATCCGGCCTCCTTTCAAATTAGGGCTTCTCGCTGTATATTCCCCTTGAGGCAGCAAACTCGGGGTCCCACCCATATACCTATTGCTGAGAGAAGCCTCCTCCTGAGGTGCTTCTGGGAAGTTGGCATACGTCTTGAGCCTAAGCCAGGGAATCAGCTCTCATCTCGAGACGATTTGGGGTACACGGAGCATTCCTCGAGTTGTTGTGCTGAAGTTGGTGTTCCTCTAGACTTGGGACAGTGTTCTCGGGGCATCTCTGGAGTTGCCTGAAGTAAGTCGAGCCACCGGTCGTGTTGAATGGGGAACGGGGAATGGCTCTGGAGTCAATTCAGGGGAACCGGGCCTCATCTCGAGGTGATTTGGGGCACATGGAGCTGCTTTGCGTTGCTGGGGTGACCTCAGGGTCCGTCTAGACTGGTGACAGTGTTCTTGGGTCTGTCTTGAGATCCATTAAGCAAGTCGAAGCTCCTGACTTGTTTGAATGGGATCACGGAATAGCTCTGCATGCACTGCAGGGGAATGGGGCCTCATCTCGCCTCTAGGGGGAAGTCTCCTGGTTTTTCTCGAGTTGCGGGGGGGACCTGGGGTATGTTCTCGACTTACGGCGGGGATGGCCCTTCAAAACACGAGTTTCTTCAGTGACGTCAGGACTCCTGTCTAGTAACGAGGGACACCTCAGGAATCTCTTCGAGGCTTGGCAGGGCAAAAGGGACGCTTCTCGAGGTGAGGCAGGGCACCCAAGGACCCTTTCCAGTAGCCACAGGGATTTTGGGATTCCTATCAGTATTCAAGAGGAGTCAGGCATCGTCACCTTTTGAAGCAATGAACTCCGCGTGCCTCTCGAGGTGTCAGCGGGATGTGAGGCATTCCGGGAAAATGAGGCAGGGACCTAGGGCTTTCTCTAAGGTCTCCACAGGGGATTCAGACATCCCTTCATGTTGTGAGATGAAAGACGAGCCTGTATTCAAGCCACTGCAAGGAAATCCGGCCTCCTTTCAAGTTAGGGCTTCTCGCTGTATATTCCCCTTGAGGCAGCAAACTCGGTGTCCCTCCCACATACCTATTGCTGAGAGAAGCCTCCTCCTGAGGTGCTTCTGGGAAGTTGGCATACGTCTTGAGCCTAAGCCAGGGAATCAGCTCTCATCTCGAGACGATTTGGGGTACACGGAGCATTCCTCGAGTTGCTGTGCTGAAGTTGGTGTTCCTCTAGGCTTGGGACAGTGTTCTCGGGGCATCTCTGGAGTTGCCTGAAGGAAGTCGAGCCACCGGTCGTGTTGAATGGGGAACGGGGAATGGCTCTGGAGTCAATGCACGGGAATCGGGCCTCATCTCGAGTTGATTTGGGGCACATGGACCTGCTTTGCGTTGCTGGGGTGACCTCAGGGTCCGTCTAGACTGGTGACAGTGTTCTTGGGGACTGTCTCGAGATCCATTAAGCAAGTCGAAGCTCCTGACTTGTTTGAATGGGATCACGGAATAGCTCTGCATGCACTGAAGGGGAATGGGGCCTCATCTCGCCTCTAGGGGGAAGTCTCATGGTTTTTCTCGAGTTGCGGCAGGGACCTGGGGTATGTTCTCGACTTACGGCGGGGATGGCCCTTCAAAACACGAGTTTCTTCAGTGACGTCAGGACTCCTGTCTAGTAACGAGGGACACCTCAGGAATCTCTTCGAGGCTTGGCAGGGCAAAAGGGACGCTTCTCGAGGTGAGGCAGGGCACCCAAGGACCCTTTCCAGTAGCCACAGGGATTTTGGGATTCCTATCAGTATTCAAGAGGAGTCAGGCATCGTCACCTTTTGAAGCAATGAACTCCGCGTGCCTCTCGAGGTGTCAGCGCGATGTGAGGCATTCCGTCAAAATGAGGCAGGGACCTAGGGCTTTCTCTAAGGTCTCCACAGGGGATTCAGACATCCCTTCATGTTGTGAGATGAAAGACGAGCCTGTATTCAAGCCACTGCAAGGAAATCCGGCCTCCTTTCAAGTTAGGGCTTCTCGCTGTATATTCCCCTTGAGGCAGCAAACTCGGGGTCCCTCCCACATACGTATTGCTGAGAGAAGCCTCCTCCTGAGGTGCTTCTGGGAAGTTGGCATACGTCTTGAGCCTAAGCCAGGGAATCAGCTCTCATCTCGAGACGATTTGGGGTACACGGAGCATTCCTCGAGTTGCTGTGCTGAAGTTGGTGTTCCTCTAGGCTTGGGACAGTGTTCTCGGGGCATCTCTGGAGTTGCCTAAAGGAAGTCGAGCCACCGGTCGTGTTGAATGGGGAACGGGGAATGGCTCTGGAGTCAATGCAGGGGAATCGGGCCTCATCTCGAGTTGATTTGGGGCACATGGAGCTGCTTTGCATTGCTGGGGTGACCTCAGGGTCCGTCTAGACTGGTGACAGTGTTCTTGGGGACTGTCTCGAGATCCATTAAGCAAGTCGAAGCTCCTGACTTGTTTGAATGGGATCACGGAATAGCTCTGCATGCACTGCAGGGGAATGGGGCCTCATCTCGCCTCTAGGGGGAAGTCTCATGGTTTTTCTCGAGTTGCGGCGGGGACCTGGGGTATGTTCTCGACTTACGGCGGGGATGGCCCTTCAAAACACGAGTTTCTTCAGTGACGTCAGGACTCCTGTCTAGTAACAAGGGACACCTCAGGAATCTCTTCGAGGCTTGGCAGGGCAAAAGGGACCCTTCTCGAGGTGAGGCAGGGCACCCAAGGACCCTTTCCAGTAGCCACAGGAATTTTGGGATTCCTATCAGTATTCAAGAGGAGTCAGGCATCGTCACCTTTTGAAGCAATGAACTCCGCGTGCCTCTCGAGGTGTCAGCGGGATGTGAGGCATTCCGTCAAAATGAGGCAGGGACCTAGGGCTTTCTCTAAGGTCTCCACAGGGGATATAGACATCCCTTCATGTTGTGAGATGAAAGACGAGCCTGTATTCAAGCCACTGCAAGGAAATCCGGCCTCCTTTCTAGTTAGGGCTTCTCGCTGTATATTCCCCTTGAGGCAGCAAACTCGGGGTCCCTCCCACATACCTATTGCTGAGAGAAGCCTCCTCCTGAGGTGCTTCTGGGAAGTTGGCATACTTCTTGAGCCTAAGCCAGGGAATCAGCTCGCACCTCGAGACGATTTGGGGTACACGGAGCATTCCTCGAGTTGCTGTGCTGAAGTTGGTGTTCCTCTAGACTTGGGACAGTGTTCTCGGGGCATCTCTGGAGTTGCCTGAAGGAAGTCGAGCCACCGGTCGTGTTGAATGGGGAAGGGGAATGGCTCTGGAGTCAATGCAGGGGAATCGGGCCTCATCTCGAGTTGATTTGGGGCACATGGAGCTGCTTTGCGTTGCTGGGGTGACCTCAGGGTCCGTCTAGACTGGTGACAGTGTTCTTGGTTACTGTCTCGAGATCCATTAAGCAAGTCGAAGCTCCTGACTTGTTTGAATGGGATCACGGAATAGCTCTGCATGCACTGCAGGGGAATGGGGCCTCATCTCGCCTCTAGGGGGAAGTCTCATGGTTTTTCTCGAGTTGCGGCGGGGACCTGGGGTATGTTCTCGACTTACGGCGGGGATGGCCCTTCAAAACACGAGTTTCTTCAGTGACGTCAGGACTCCTGTCTAGTAACGAGGGACACCTCAGGAATCTCTTCGAGGCTTGGCAGGGCAAAAGGGACGCTTCTCGAGGTGAGGCAGGGCACCCAAGGACCCTTTCCAGTAGCCACAGGGATTTTGGGATTCCTATCAGTATTCAAGAGGAGTCAGGCATCGTCACCTTTTGAAGCAATGAACTCCGCGTGCCTCTCGAGGTGTCAGCGCGATGTGAGGCATTCCGTCAAAATGAGGCAGGTACCTAGGGCTTTCTCTAAGGTCTCCAGAGGGGATTCAGACATCCCTTCATGTTGTGAGATGAAAGACGAGCCTGTATTCAAGCCACTGCAAGGAAATCCGGCCTCCTTTCAAATTAGGGCTTCTCGCTGTATATTCCCCTTGAGGCAGCAAACTCGGGGTCCCACCCATATACCTATTGCTGAGAGAAGCCTCCTCCTGAGGTGCTTCTGGGAAGTTGGCATACGTCTTGAGCCTAAGCCAGGGAATCAGCTCTCATCTCGAGACGATTTGGGGTACACGGAGCATTCCTCGAGTTGTTGTGCTGAAGTTGGTGTTCCTCTAGACTTGGGACAGTGTTCTCGGGGCATCTCTGGAGTTGCCTGAAGTAAGTCGAGCCACCGGTCGTGTTGAATGGGGAACGGGGAATGGCTCTGGAGTCAATTCAGGGGAACCGGGCCTCATCTCGAGGTGATTTGGGGCACATGGAGCTGCTTTGCGTTGCTGGGGTGACCTCAGGGTCCGTCTAGACTGGTGACAGTGTTCTTGGGGACTGTCTTGAGATCCATTAAGCAAGTCGAAGCTCCTGACTTGTTTGAATGGGATCACGGAATAGCTCTGCATGCACTGCAGGGGAATGGGGCCTCATCTCGCCTCTAGGGGGAAGTCTCCTGGTTTTTCTCGAGTTGCGGGGGGGACCTGGGGTATGTTCTCGACTTACGGCGGGGATGGCCCTTCAAAACACGAGTTTCTTCAGTGACGTCAGGACTCCTGTCTAGTAACGAGGGACACCTCAGGAATCTCTTCGAGGCTTGGCAGGGCAAAAGGGACGCTTCTCGAGGTGAGGCAGGGCACCCAAGGACCCTTTCCAGTAGCCACAGGGATTTTGGGATTCCTATCAGTATTCAAGAGGAGTCAGGCATCGTCACCTTTTGAAGCAATGAACTCCGCGTGCCTCTCGAGGTGTCAGCGGGATGTGAGGCATTCCGGGAAAATGAGGCAGGGACCTAGGGCTTTCTCTAAGGTCTCCACAGGGGATTCAGACATCCCTTCATGTTGTGAGATGAAAGACGAGCCTGTATTCAAGCCACTGCAAGGGAATCCGGCCTCCTTTCAAATTAGGGCTTCTCGCTGTATATTCCCCTTGAGGCAGCAAACTCGGGGTCAATCCCACATACCTATTGCTGAGAGAATCCTCCTCCTGAGGTGCTTCTGGGAAGTTGGCATACGTCTTGAGCCTAAGCCAGGGAATCAGCTCGCATCTCGAGACGATTTGGGGTACACGGAGCATTCCTCGAGTTGCTGTGCTGAAGTTGGTGTTCCTCTAGACTTGGGACAGTGTTCTCGGGGCATCTCTGGAGTTGCCTGAAGGAAGTCGAGCCACCGGTCGTGTTGAATGGGGAACGGGGAATGGCTCTGGAGTCAATGCAGGGGAATCGGGCCTCATCTCGAGTTGATTTGGGGCACATGGAGCTGCTTTGCGTTGCTGGGGTGACCTCAGGGTCCGTCTAGACTGGTGACAGTGTTCTTGGGGACTGTCTCGAGATCCATTAAGCAAGTCGAAGCTCCTGACTTGTTTGAATGGGATCACGGAATAGCTCTGCATGCACTGCAGGGGAATGGGGCCTCATCTCGCCTCTAGGGGGAAGTCTCATGGTTTTTCTCGAGTTGCGGCGGGGACCTGGGGTATGTTCTTGACTTACGGCGGGGATGGCCCTTCAAGACACGAGTTTCTTCAGTGACGTCCGGACTCCTGTCTAGTAACGAGGGACACCTCAGGAATCTCTTCGAGGCTTGGCAGGGCAAAAGGGACGCTTCTCGAGGTGAGGCAGGGCACCCAAGGACCCTTTCCAGTAGCCACAGGGATTTTGGGATTCCTATCAGTATTCAAGAGGAGTGAGGCATCGTCACCTTTTGAAGCAATGAACTCCGCGTGCCTCTCGAGGTGTCAGCGGGATGTGAGGCATTCCGTCAAAATGAGGCAGGGACCTAGGGCTTTCTCTAAGGTCTCCACAGGGGATTCAGACATCCCTTCATGTTGTGAGATGAAAGACGAGCCTGTATTCAAGCCACTGCAAGGAAATCCGGCCTCCTTTCAAGTTAGGGCTTCTCGCTGTATATTCCCCTTGAGGCAGCAAACTCGGGGTCCCTCCCACATACCTATTGCTGAGAGAAGCCTCCTCCTGAGGTGCTTCTGGTAAGTTGGCATACGTCTTGAGCCTAAGCCAGGGAATCAGCTCTCATCTCGAGACGATTTGGGGTACACGGAGCATTCCTCGAGTTGCTGTGCTGAAGTTGGTGTTCCTCTAGACTTGGGACAGTGTTCTCGGGGCATCTCTGGAGTTGCCTGAAGGAAGTCGAGCCACCGGTGGTGTTGAATGGGGAAATGGGAATGGCTCTGGAGTCAATGCAGGGGAATCGGGCCTCATCTCGAGTTGATTTGGGGCACATGGAGCTGCTTTGCGTTGCTGGGGTGACCTCAGGGTCCGTCTAGACTGGTGACAGTGTTCTTGGGGACTGTCTCAAGATCCATTAAGCAAGTCGAAGCTCCTGACTTGTTTGAATGGGATCACGGAATAGCTCTGCATGCACTGCAGGGGAATGGGGCCTCATATCGCCTCTAGGGGGAAGTCTCATGGTTTTTCTCGAGTTGCGGCGGGGACCTGGGGTATGTTCTCGACTTACGGCGGGGATGGCCCTTCAAAACACGAGTTTCTTCAGTGACGTCAGGACTCCTGTCTAGTAACAAGGGACACCTCAGGAATCTCTTCGAGGCTTGGCAGGGCAAAAGGGACCATTCTCGAGGTGAGGCAGAGCACCCAAGGACCCTTTCCAGTAGCCACAGGGATTTTGGGATTCCTATCAGTATTCAAGAGGAGTCAGGCATCGTCACCTTTTGAAGCAATGAACTCCGCGTGCCTCTCGAGGTGTCAGCGGGATGTGAGGCATTCCGTCAAAATGAGGCAGGGACCTAGGGCTTTCTCTAAGGTCTCCACAGGGGATATAGACATCCCTTCATGTTGTGAGATGAAAGACGAGCCTGTATTCAAGCCACTGCAAGGAAATCCTGCCTCCTTTCAAGTTAGGGCTTCTCGCTGTATATTCCCCTTGAGGCAGCAAACTCGGGGTCCCTCCCACAAACCTATTGCTGAGAGAAGCCTCCTCCTGAGGTGCTTCTGGGAAGTTGGCATACGTCTTGAGCCTAAGCCAGGGAATCAGCTCTCATCTCGAGACGATTTGGGGTACACGGAGCATTCCTCGAGTTGCTGTGCTGAAGTTGGTGTTCCTCTAGACTTGGGACAGTGTTCTCGGGGCATCTCTGGAGTTGCCTGAAGGAAGTCGAGCCACCGGTCGTGTTGAATGGGGAACGTGGAATGGCTCTGGAGTCAATGCAGGGGAATCGGGCCTCATCTCGAGTTGATTTGGGGCACATGGAGCTGCTTTGCATTGCTGGGGTGACCTCAGGGTCCGTCTAGACTGGTGACAGTGTTCTTGGGGACTGTCTCGAGATCCATTAAGCAAGTCGAAGCTCCTGACTTGTTTGAATGGGATCACGGAATAGCTCTGCATGCACTGCAGGGGAATGGGGCCTCATCTCGCCTCTAGGGGGAAGTCTCATGGTTTTTCTCGAGTTGCGGCGGGGACCTGGGGTATGTTCTCGACTTACGGCGGGGATGGCCCTTCAAAACACGAGTTTCTTCAGTGATGTCAGGACTCCTGTCTAGTAACAAGGGACACCTCAGGAATCTCTTCGAGGCTTGGCAGGGCAAAAGGGACGCTTCTCGAGGTGAGGCAGGGCACCCAAGGACCCTTTCCAGTAGCCACAGGGATTTTGGGATTCCGACCAGTATTCAAGAGGAGTCAGGCATCGTCAGCTTTTGAAGCAATGAACTCCGCGTGCCTCTCGAGGTGTCAGCGGGATGTGAGGCATTCCGTCAAAATGAGGCAGGGACCTAGGGCTTTCTCTAAGGTCTCCACAGGGGATTCAGACATCCCTTCTTGTTGTGAGATGAAAGACGAGCCTGGATTCAAGCCACTGCAAGGAAATCCGGCCTCCTTTCAAGTTAGGGCTTCTCGCTGTATATTCCCCTTGAGGCAGCAAACTCGGGGTCCCTCCCACATACCTATTGCTGAGAGAAGCCTCCTCCTGAGGTGCTTCTGGGAAGTTGGCATATGTCTTGAGCCTAAGCCAGGGAATCAGCTCGCACCTCGAGACGATTTGGGGTACACGGAGCATTCCTCGAGTTGCTGTGCTGAAGTTGGTGTTCCTCTAGGCTTGGGACAGTGTTCTCGGGGCATCTCTGGAGTTGCCTGAATGAAGTCGAGCCACCGGTCGTGTTGAATGGGGAACGGGGAATGGCTCTGGAGTCAATGCACGGGAATCGGGCCTCATCTCGAGTTGATTTGGGGCACATGGAGCTGCTTTGCGTTGCTGGGGTGACCTCAGGGTCCGTCTAGACTGGTGACAGTGTTCTTGGGGACTGTCTCGAGATCCATTAAGCAAGTCGAAGCTCCTGACTTGTTTGAATGGGATCACAGAATAGCTCTGCATGCACTGCAGGGGAATGGGGCCTCATCTCGCCTCTAGGGGGAAGTCTCATGGTTTTTCTCGAGTTGCGGCGGGGACCTGGGGTATGTTCTTGACTTACGGCGGGGATGGCCCTTCAAGACACGAGTTTCTTCAGTGACGTCCGGACTCCTGTCTAGTAACGAGGGACACCTCAGGAATCTCTTCGAGGCTTGGCAGGGCAAAAGGGACGCTTCTCGAGGTGAGGCAGGGCACCCAAGGACCCTTTCCAGTAGCCACAGGGATTTTGGGATTCCTATCAGTATTCAAGAGGAGTGAGGCATCGTCACCTTTTGAAGCAATGAACTCCGCGTGCCTCTCGAGGTGTCAGCGGGATGTGAGGCATTCCGTCAAAATGAGGCAGGGACCTAGGTCTTTCTCTAAGGTCTCCACAGGGGATTCAGACATCCCTTCATGTTGTGAGATGAAAGACGAGCCTGTATTCAAGCCACTGCAAGGAAATCCAGCCTCCTTTCAAGTTAGGGCTTCTCGCTGTATATTCCCCTTGAGGCAGCAAACTCGGTGTCCCTCCCACATACCTATTGCTGAGAGAAGCCTCCTCCTGAGGTGCTTCTGGGAAGTTGGCATACGTCTTGAGCCTAAGCCAGGGAATCAGCTCGCACCTCGAGACGATTTGGGGTACACGGAGCATTCCTCGAGTTGCTGTGCTGAAGTTGGTGTTCCTCTAGGCTTGGGACAGTGTTCTCGGGGCATCTCTGGAGTTGCCTGAAGGAAGTCGAGCCACAGGTCGTGTTGAATGGGGAACGGGGAATGGCTCTGGAGTCAATGCACGGGAATCGGGCCTCATCTCGAGTTGATTTGGGGCACATGGAGCTGCTTTGCGTTGCTGGGGTGACCTCAGGGTCCGTCTAGACTGGTGAAAGTGTTCTTGGGGACTGTCTCGAGATCCATTAAGCAAGTCGAAGCTCCTGACTTGTTTGAATGGGATCACAGAATAGCTCTGCATGCACTGCAGGGGAATGGGGCCTCATCTCGCCTCTAGGGGGAAGTCTCATGGTTTTTCTCGAGTTGCGGCGGGGACCTGGGGTATGTTCTTGACTTACGGCGGGGATGGCCCTTCAAGACACGAGTTTCTTCAGTGACGTCCGGACTCCTGTCTAGTAACGAGGGACACCTCAGGAATCTCTTCGAGGCTTGGCAGGGCAAAAGGGACGCTTCTCGAGGTGAGGCAGGGCACCCAAGGACCCTTTCCAGTAGCCACAGGGATTTTGGGATTCCTATCAGTATTCAAGAGGAGTGAGGCATCGTCACCTTTTGAAGCAATGAACTCCGCGTGCCTCTCGAGGTGTCAGCGGGATGTGAGGCATTCCGTCAAAATGAGGCAGGGACCTAGGGCTTTCTCTAAGGTCTCCACAGGGGATTCAGACATCCCTTCATGTTGTGAGATGAAAGACGAGCCTGTATTCAAGCCACTGCAAGGAAATCCGGCCTCCTTTCAAGTTAGGGCTTCTCGCTGTATATTCCCCTTGAGGCAGCAAACTCGGTGTCCCTCCCACATACCTATTGCTGAGAGAAGCCTCCTCCTGAGGTGCTTCTGGGAAGTTGGCATACGTCTTGAGCCTAAGCCAGGGAATCAGCTCTCATCTCGAGACGATTTGGGGTACACGGAGCATTCCTCGAGTTGCTGTGCTGAAGTTGGTGTTCCTCTAGACTTGGGACAGTGTTCTCGGGGCATCTCTGGAGTTGCCTGAATGAAGTCGAGCCACCGGTCGTGTTGAATGGGGAACGGGGAATGGCTCTGGAGTCAATGCAGGGGAATCGGGCCTCATCTCGAGTTGATTTGGGGCACATGGAGCTGCTTTGCGTTGCTGGGGTGACCTCAGGGTCCGTCTAGACTGGTGACAGTGTTCTTGGGGACTGTCTCGAGATCCATTAAGCAAGTCGAAGCTCCTGACTTGTTTGAATGGGATCACGGAATAGCTCTGCATGCACTGCAGGGGAATGGGGCCTCATCTCGCCTCTAGGGGGAAGTCTCATGGTTTTTCTCGAGTTGCGGCGGGGACCTGGGGTATGTTCTCGACTTACGGCGGGGATGGCCCTTCAAGACACGAGTTTCTTCAGTGACGTCAGGACTCCTGTCTAGTAACGAGGGACACCTCAGGAATCTCTTCGAGGCTTGGCAGGGCAAAAGGGACGCTTCTCGAGGTGAGGCAGGGCACCCAAGGCCCCTTTCCAGTAGCCACAGGGATTTTGGGATTCCTATCAGCATTCAAGAGGAGTCAGGCATCGTCACCTTTTGAAGCAATGAACTCCGCGTGCCTCTCGAGGTGTCAGCGCGATGTGAGGCATTCCGTGAAAATGAGGCAGGGACCTAGGGCTTTCTCTAAGGTCTCCACAGGGGATTCAGACATCCCTTCATGTTGTGAGATGAAAGACGAGCCTGTATTCAAGCCACTGCAAGGAAATCCGGCCTCCTTTCAAGTTAGGGCTTCTCGCTGTATATTCCCCTTGAGGCAGCAAACTCGGGGTCCCTCCCACATACCTATTGCTGAGAGAAGCCTCCTCCTGAGGTGCTTCTGGGAAGTTGGCATACGTCTTGAGCCTAAGCCAGGGAATCAGCTCGCATCTCGAGACGATTTGGGGTACACGGAGCATTCCTCGAGTTGCTGTGCTGAAGTTGGTGTTCCTCTAGACTTGGGACAGTGTTCTCGGGGCATCTCTGGAGTTGCCTGAAGGAAGTCGAGCCACCGGTCGTGTTGAATGGGGAACGGGGAATGGCTCTGGAGTCAATGCAGGGGAATCGGGCCTCATCTCGAGTTGATTTGGGGCACATGGAGCTGCTTTGCGTTGCTGGGGTGACCTCAGGGTCCGTCTAGACTGGTGACAGTGTTCTTGGGCACTGTCTCGAGATCCATTAAGCAAGTCGAAGCTCCTGACTTGTTTGAATGGGATCACGGAATAGCTCTGCATGCACTGCAGGGGAATGGGGCCTCATCTCGCCTCTAGGGGGAAGTCTCATGGTTTTTCTCGAGTTGTGGTGGGGACCTGGGATATGTTCTTGACTTACGGCGGGGATGGCCCTTCAAGACACGAGTTTCTTCAGTGACGTCAGGACTCCTGTCTAGTAACGAGGGACACCTCAGGAATCTCTTCGAGGCTTGGCAGGGCAAAAGGGACGCTTCTCGAGGTGAGGCAGGGCACCCAAGGACCCTTTTCAGTAGCCACAGGGATTTTGGGATTCCTATCAGTATTCAAGAGGAGTCAGGCATCGTCACCTTTTGAAGCACTGAACTCCGCGTGCCTCTCGAGGTGTCAGCGCGATGTGAGGCATTCCGTCAAAATGAGGCAGGGACCTAGGGCTTTCTCTAAGGTCTCCACAGGGGATTCAGACATCCCTTCATGTTGTGAGATGAAAGACGAGCCTGTATTCAATCCACTGCAAGGAAATCCGGCCTCCTTTCAAGTTAGGGCTTCTCGCTGTATATTCCCCTTGAGGCAGCAAACTCGGGGTCCCTCCCACATACCTATTGCTGAGAGAAGCCTCCTCCTGAGGTGCTTCTGGGAAGTTGGCATACGTCTTGAGCCTAAGCCAGGGAATCAGCTCGCATCTCGAGACGATTTGGGGTACACGGAGCATTCCTCGAGTTGCTGTGCTGAAGTTGGTGTTCCTCTAGACTTGGGACAGTGTTCTCGGGGCATCTCTGGAGTTGCCTGAAGGAAGTCGAGCCACCGGTCGTGTTGAATGGGGAACGGGGAATGGCTCTGGAGTCAATGCAGGGGAATCGGGCCTCATCTCGAGTTGATTTGGGGCACATGGAGCTGCTTTGCGTTGCTGGGGTGACCTCAGGGTCCGTCTAGACTGGTGACAGTGTTCTTCGGGACTGTCTCGAGATCCATTAAGCAAGTCGAAGCTCCTGACTTGTTTGAATGGGATCACGGAATAGCTCTGCATGCACTGCAGGGGAATGGGGCCTCATCTCGCCTCTAGGGGGAAGTCTCATGGTTTTTCTCGAGTTGCGGCGGGGACCTGGGGTGTGTTCTCGACTTACGGCGGGGATGGCCCTTCAAGACACGAGTTTCTTCAGTGACGTCAGGACTCCTGTCTAGTAATGAGGGACACCTCAGGAATCTCTTCGAGGCTTGGCAGGGCAAAAGGGACGCTTCTCGAGGTGAGGCAGGGCACCCAAGGACCCTTTCCAGTAGCCACAGGGATCTTGGGATTCCTATCAGCATTCAAGAGGAGTCAGGCATCGTCACCTTTTGAAGCAATGAACTCCGCGTGCCTCTCGAGGTGTCAGCGCGATGTGAGGCATTCCGTCAAAATGAGGCAGGGACCTAGGGCTTTCTCTAAGGTCTCCACAGGGGATTCAGACATCCCTTCATGTTGTGAGATGAAAGACGAGCCTGTATTCAAGCCACTGCAAGGAAATCCGACCTCCTTTCAAGTTAGGGCTTCTCGCTGTATATTCCCCTTGAGGCAGCAAACTCGGGGTCCCTCCCACATACCTATTGCTGAGAGAAGCCTCCTCCTGAGGTGCTTCTGGGAAGTTGGCATACGTCTTGAGCCTAAGCCAGGGAATCAGCTCGCATCTCGAGACGATTTGGGGTACACGGAGCATTCCTCGAGTTGCTGTGCTGAAGTTGGTGTTCCTCTAGACTTGGGACAGTGTTCTCGGGGCATCTCTGGAGTTGCCTGAAGGAAGTCGAGCCACCGGTCGTGTTGAATGGGGAACGGGGAATGGCTCTGGAGTCAATGCAGGGGAATCGGGCCTCATCTCGAGTTGATTTGGGGCACATGGAGCTGCTTTGCGTTGCTGGGGTGACCTCAGGGTCCGTCTAGACTGGTGACAGTGTTCTTGGGGACTGTCTCGAGATCCATTAAGCAAGTCGAAGCTCCTGACTTGTTTGAATGGGATCACGGAATAGCTCTGCATGCACTGCAGGGGAATGGGGCCTCATCTCGCCTCTAGGGGGAAGTCTCATGGTTTTTCTCGAGTTGCGGCGGGGACCTGGGGTATGTTCTCGACTTACGGCGGGGATGGCCCTTCAAGACACGAGTTTCTTCAGTGACGTCAGGACTCCTGTCTAGTAACGAGGGACACCTCAGGAATCTCTTCGAGGCTTGGCAGGGCAAAAGGGACGCTTCTCGAGGTGAGGCAGGGCACCCAATGACCCTTTCCAGTAGCCACAGGGATTTTGGGATTCCTATCAGCATTCAAGAGGAGTCAGGCATCGTCACCTTTTGAAGCAATGAACTCCGCGTGCCTCTCGAGGTGTCAGCGCGATGTGAGGCATTCCGTGAAAATGAGGCAGGGACCTAGGGCTTTCTCTAAGGTCTCCACAGGGGATTCAGACATCCCTTCATGTTGTGAGATGAAAGACGAGCCTGTATTCAAGCCACTGCAAGGAAATCCGGCCTCCTTTCAAGTTAGGGCTTCTCGCTGTATATTCCCCTTGAGGCAGCAAACTCGGGGTCCCTCCCACATACCTATTGCTGAGAGAAGCCTCCTCCTGAGGTGCTTCTGGGAAGTTGGCATACGTCTTGAGCCTAAGCCAGGGAATCAGCTCGCATCTCGAGACGATTTGGGGTACACGGAGCATTCCTCGAGTTGCTGTGCTGAAGTTGGTGTTCCTCTAGACTTGGGACAGTGTTCTCGGGGCATCTCTGGAGTTGCCTGAAGGAAGTCGAGCCACCGGTCGTGTTGAATGGGGAACGGGGAATGGCTCTGGAGTCAATGCAGGGGAATCGGGCCTCATCTCGAGTTGATTTGGGGCACATGGAGCTGCTTTGCGTTGCTGGGGTGACCTCAGGGTCCGTCTAGACTGGTGACAGTGTTCTTGGGCACTGTCTCGTGATCCATTAAGCAAGTCGAAGCTCCTGACTTGTTTGAATGGGATCACGGAATAGCTCTGCATGCACTGCAGGGGAATGGGGCCTCATCTCGCCTCTAGGGGGAAGTCTCATGGTTTTTCTCGAGTTGCGGCGGGACCTGGGGTATGTTCTTGACTTACGGCGGGGATGGCCCTTCAAGACACGAGTTTCTTCAGTGACGTCAGGACTCCTGTCTAGTAACGAGGGACACCTCAGGAATCTCTTCGAGGCTTGGCAGGGCAAAAGGGACGCTTCTCGAGGTGAGGCAGGGCACCCAACGACCCTTTCCAGTAGCCACAGGGATTTTGGGATTCCTATCAGTATTCAAGAGGAGTCAGGCATCGTCACCTTTTGAAGCAATGAACTCCGCGTGCCTCTCGAAGTGTCAGCGGGATGTGAGGCATTCCGTCAAAATGAGGCAGGGACCTAGGGCTTTCTCTAAGGTCTCCACAGGGGATTCAGACATCCCTTCATGTTGTGAGATGAAAGACGAGCCTGTATTCAAGCCACTGCAAGGAAATCCGGCCTCCTTTCAAGTTAGGGCTTCTCGCTGTATATTCCCCTTGAGGCAGCAAACTCGGGGTCCCTCCCACATACCTATTGCTGAGAGAAGCCTCCTCCTGAGGTGCTTCTGGGAAGTTGGCATACGTCTTGAGCCTAAGCCAGGGAATCAGCTCGCACCTCGAGACGATTTGGGGTACACGGAGCATTCCTCGAGTTGCTGTGCTGAAGTTGGTGTTCCTCTAGGCTTGGGACAGTGTTCTCGGGGCATCTCTAGAGTTGCCTGAAGGAAGTCGAGCCACCGGTCGTGTTGAATGGGGAACGGGGAATGGCTCTGGAGTCAATGCAGGGGAATCGGGCCTCATCTCGAGTTGATTTGGGGCACATGGAGCTGCTTTGCGTTGCTGGGGTGACCTCAGGGTCCGTCTAGACTGGTGACAGTGTTCTTGGGGACTGTCTCGAGATCCATTAAGCAAGTCGAAGCTCCTGACTTGTTTGAATGGGATCACGGAAGAGCTCTGCATGCACTGCAGGGGAATGGGGCCTCATCTCGCCTCTAGGGGGAAGTCTCATGGTTTTTCTCGAGTTGCGGCGGGGACCTGGGGTATGTTCTCGACTTACGGCGGGGATGGCCCTTCAAGACACGAGTTTCTTCAGTGACGTCAGGACTCCTGTCTAGTAACGAGGGACACCTCAGGAATCTCTTCGAGGCTTGGCAGGGCAAAAGGGACGCTTCTCGAGGTGAGGCAGGGCACCCAAGGACCCTTTCCAGTAGCCACAGGGATTTTGGGATTCCTATCAGTATTCAAGAGGAGTCAGGCATCGTCACCTTTTGAAGCAATGAACTCCGCGTGCCTCTCGAGGTGTCAGCGCGATGTGAGGCATTCCGTCAAAATGAGGCAGGGACCTAGGGCTTTCTCTAAGGTCTCCACAGGGGATTCAGACATCCCTTCATGTTGTGAGATGAAAGACGAGCCTGTATTCAAGCCACTGCAAGGAAATCCGGCCTCCTTTCAAGTTAGGGCTTCTCGCTGTATGTTCCCCTTGAGGCAGCAAACTCGGGGTCCCTCCCACATACCTATTGCTGAGAGAAGCCTCCTCCTGAGGTGCTTCTGGGAAGTTGGCATACGTCTTGAGCCTAAGCCAGGGAATCAGCTCGCATCTCGAGACGATTTGGGGTACACGGAGCATTCCTCGAGTTGCTGTGCTGAAGTTGGTGTTCCTCTAGACTTGGGACAGTGTTCTCGGGGCATCTCTGGAGTTGCCTGAAGGAAGTCGAGCCACCGGTCGTGTTGAATGGGGAACGGGGAATGGCTCTGGAGTCAATGCAGGGGAATCGGGCCTCATCTCGAGTTGATTTGGGGCACATGGAGCTGCTTTGCGTTGCTGGGGTGACCTCAGGGTCCGTCTAGACTGGTGACAGTGTTCTTCGGGACTGTCTCGAGATCCATTAAGCAAGTCGAAGCTCCTGACTTGTTTGAATGGGATCACGGAATAGCTCTGCATGCACTGCAGGGGAATGGGGCCTCATCTCGCCTCTAGGGGGAAGTCTCATGGTTTTTCTCGAGTTGCGGCGGGGACCTGGGGTGTGTTCTCGACTTACGGCGGGGAGGGCCCTTCAAGACACGAGTTTCTTCAGTGACGTCAGGACTCCTGTCTAGTAACGAGGGACACCTCAGGAATCTCTTCGAGGCTTGGCAGGGCAAAAGGGACGCTTCTCGAGGTGAGGCAGGGCACCCAAGGACCCTTTCCAGTAGCCACAGGGATCTTGGGATTCCTATCAGCATTCAAGAGGAGTCAGGCATCGTCACCTTTTGAAGCAATGAACTCCGCGTGCCTCTCGAGGTGTCAGCGCGATGTGAGGCATTCCGTCAAAATGAGGCAGGGACCTAGGGCTTTCTCTAAGGTCTCCACAGGGGATTCAGACATCCCTTCATGTTGTGAGATGAAAGACGAGCCTGTATTCAAGCCACTGCAAGGAAATCCGACCTCCTTTCAAGTTAGGGCTTCTCGCTGTATATTCCCCTTGAGGCAGCAAACTCGGGGTCCCTCCCACATACCTATTGCTGAGAGAAGCCTCCTCCTGAGGTGCTTCTGGGAAGTTGGCATACGTCTTGAGCCTAAGCCAGGGAATCAGCTCGCATCTCGAGACGATTTGGGGTACACGGAGCATTCCTCGAGTTGCTGTGCTGAAGTTGGTGTTCCTCTAGACTTGGGACAGTGTTCTCGGGGCATCTCTGGAGTTGCCTGAAGGAAGTCGAGCCACCGGTCGTGTTGAATGGGGAACGGGGAATGGCTCTGGAGTCAATGCAGGGGAATCGGGCCTCATCTCGAGTTGATTTGGGGCACATGGAGCTGCTTTGCGTTGCTGGGGTGACCTCAGGGTCCGTCTAGACTGGTGACAGTGTTCTTGGGGACTGTCTCGAGATCCATTAAGCAAGTCGAAGCTCCTGACTTGTTTGAATGGGATCACGGAATAGCTCTGCATGCACTGCAGGGGAATGGGGCCTCATCTCGCCTCTAGGGGGAAGTCTCATGGGTTTTCTCGAGTTGCGGCGGGGACCTGGGCTATGTTCTCGACTTACGGCGGGGATGGCCCTTCAAGACACGAGTTTCTTCAGTGACGTCAGGACTCCTGTCTAGTAACGAGGGACACCTCAGGAATCTCTTCGAGGCTTGGCAGGGCAAAAGGGACGCTTCTCGAGGTGAGGAAGGGCACCCAAGGACCCTTTCCAGTAGCCACAGGGATTTTGGGATTCCTATCAGTATTCAAGAGGAGTCAGGCATCGTCACCTTTTGAAGCAATGAACTCCGCGTGCCTCTCGAGGTGTCAGCGCGATGTGAGGCATTCCGTCAAAATGAGGCAGGGACCTAGGTCTTTCTCTAAGGTCTCCACAGGGGATTCAGACATCCCTTCTTGTTGTGAGATGAAAGACGAGCCTGTATTCAAGCCACTGCAAGGAAATCCGACCTCCTTTCAAGTTAGGGCTTCTCGCTGTATATTCCCCTTGAGGCAGCAAACTCGGGGTCCCTCCCACATACCTATTGCTGAGAGAAGCCTCCTCCTGAGGTGCTTCTGGGAAGTTGGCATACGTCTTGAGCCTAAGCCAGGGAATCAGCTCGCATCTCGAGACGATTTGGGGTACACGGAGCATTCCTCGAGTTGCTGTGCTGAAGTTGGTGTTCCTCTAGACTTGGGACAGTGTTCTCGGGGCATCTCTGGAGTTGCCTGAAGGAAGTCGAGCCACCGGTCGTGTTGAATGGGGAACGGGGAATGGCTCTGGAGTCAATGCAGGGGAATCGGGCCTCATCTCGAGTTGATTTGGGGCACATGGAGCTGCTTTGCGTTGCTGGGGTGACCTCAGGGTCCGTCTAGACTGGTGACAGTGTTCTTCGGGACTGTCTCGAGATCCATTAAGCAAGTCGAAGCTCCTGACTTGTTTGAATGGGATCACGGAATAGCTCTGCATGCACTGCAGGGGAATGGGGCCTCATCTCGCCTCTAGGGGGAAGTCTCATGGATTTTCTCGAGTTGCGGCGGGGACCTGGGGTGTGTTCTCGACTTACGGCGGGGATGGCCCTTCAAGACGCGAGTTTCTTCAGTGACGTCAGGACTCCTGTCTAGTAACGAGGGACACCTCAGGAATCTCTTCGAGGCTTGGCAGGGCAAAAGGGACGCTTCTCGAGGTGAGGCAGGGCACCCAAGGACCCTTTCCAGTAGCCACAGGGATCTTGGGATTCCTATCAGCATTCAAGAGGAGTCAGGCATCGTCACCTTTTGAAGCAATGAACTCCGCGTGCCTCTCGAGGTGTCAGCGCGATGTGAGGCATTCCGTCAAAATGAGGCAGGGACCTAGGGCTTTCTCTAAGGTCTCCACAGGGGATTCAGACATCCCTTCATGTTGTGAGATGAAAGACGAGCCTGTATTCAAGCCACTGCAAGGAAATCCGACCTCCTTTCAAGTTAGGGCTTCTCGCTGTATATTCCCCTTGAGGCAGCAAACTCGGGGTCCCTCCCACATACCTATTGCTGAGAGAAGCCTCCTCCTGAGGTGCTTCTGGGAAGTTGGCATACGTCTTGAGCCTAAGCCAGGGAATCAGCTCGCATCTCGAGACGATTTGGGGTACACGGAGCATTCCTCGAGTTGCTGTGCTGAAGTTGGTGTTCCTCTAGACTTGGGACAGTGTTCTCGGGGCATCTCTGGAGTTGCCTGAAGGAAGTCGAGCCACCGGTCGTGTTGAATGGGGAACGGGGAATGGCTCTGGAGTCAATGCAGGGGAATCGGGCCTCATCTCGAGTTGATTTGGGGCACATGGAGCTGCTTTGCGTTGCTGGGGTGACCTCAGGGTCCGTCTAGACTGGTGACAGTGTTCTTGGGGACTGTCTCGAGATCCATTAAGCAAGTCGAAGCTCCTGACTTGTTTGAATGGGATCACGGAATAGCTCTGCATGCACTGCAGGGGAATGGGGCCTCATCTCGCCTCTAGGGGGAAGTCTCATGGGTTTTCTCGAGTTGCGGCGGGGACCTGGGCTATGTTCTCGACTTACGGCGGGGATGGCCCTTCAAGACACGAGTTTCTTCAGTGACGTCAGGACTCCTGTCTAGTAACGAGGGACACCTCAGGAATCTCTTCGAGGCTTGGCAGGGCAAAAGGGACGCTTCTCGAGGTGAGGAAGGGCACCCAAGGACCCTTTCCAGTAGCCACAGGGATTTTGGGATTCCTATCAGTATTCAAGAGGAGTCAGGCATCGTCACCTTTTGAAGCAATGAACTCCGCGTGCCTCTCGAGGTGTCAGCGCGATGTGAGGCATTCCGTCAAAATGAGGCAGGGACCTAGGTCTTTCTCTAAGGTCTCCACAGGGGATTCAGACATCCCTTCTTGTTGTGAGATGAAAGACGAGCCTGTATTCAAGCCACTGCAAGGAAATCCGACCTCCTTTCAAGTTAGGGCTTCTCGCTGTATATTCCCCTTGAGGCAGCAAACTTGGGGTCCCTCCCACATACCTATTGCTGAGAGAAGCCTCCTCCTGAGGTGCTTCTGGGAAGTTGGCATACGTCTTGAGCCTAAGCCAGGGAATCAGCTCTCATCTCGAGACGATTTGGGGTACACGGAGCATTCCTCGAGTTGCTGTGCTGAAGTTGGTGTTCCTCTAGACTTGGGACAGTGTTCTCGGGGCATCTCTGGAGTTGCCTGAAGGAAGTCGAGCCACCGGTGGTGTTGAATGGGGAAATGGGAATGGCTCTGGAGTCAATGCAGGGGAATCGGGCCTCATCTCGAGTTGATTTGGGGCACATGGAGCTGCTTTGCGTTGCTGGGGTGACCTCAGGGTCCGTCTAGACTGGTGACAGTGTTCTTGGGGACTGTCTCGAGATCCATTAAGCAAGTCGAAGCTCCTGACTTGTTTGAATGGGATCACGGAATAGCTCTGCATGCACTGCAGGGGAATGGGGCCTCATCTCGCCTCTAGGGGGAAGTCTCATGGTTTTTCTCGAGTTGCGGCGGGACCTGGGGTATGTTCTCGACTTACGGCGGGGATGGCCCTTCAAAACACGAGTTTCTTCAGTGACGTCAGGACTCCTGTCTAGTAACGAGGAACACCTCAGGGATCTCTTCGAGGCTTGGCAGGGCAAAAAGGACGCTTCTCGAGCTGAGGCAGGGCACCCAAGGACCCTTTCCAGTAGCCACAGGGATTTTGGGATTCCTATCAGCATTCAAGAGGAGTCAGGCATCGTCACCTTTTGAAGCAATGAACTCCGCATGCCTCTCGAGGTGTCAGCGGGATGTGAGGCATTCCGTCAAAATGAGGCAGGGACCTAGGGCTTTCTCTAAGGTCTCCACAGGGGATTCAGACATCCCTTCATGTTGTGAGATGAAAGACGAGCCTGTATTCAAGCCACTGCAAGGAAATCCGGCCTCCTTTCAAGTTAGGGCTTCTCGCTGAATATTCCCCTTGAGGCAGCAAACTCGGGGTCCCTCCCACATAGCTATTGCTGAGAGAAGCCTCCTCCTGAGGTGCTTCTGGGAAGTTGGCATACGTCTTGAGCCTAAGCCAGGGAATCAGCTCGCACCTCGAGACGATTTGGGGTACACGGAGCATTCCTCGAGTTGCTGTGCTGAAGTTGGTGTTCCTCTAGGCTTGGGACAGTGTTCTCGGGGCATCTCTGGAGTTGCCTGAAGGAAGTCGAGCCACCGGTCGTGTTGAATGGGGAACGGGGAATGGCTCTGGAGTCAATGCAGGGGAATCGGGCCTCATCTCGAGTTGATTTGGGGCACATGGAGCTGCATTGCGTTGCTGGGGTGACCTCAGGGTCCGTCTAGACTGGTGACAGTGTTCTTGGGGACTGTCTCGAGATCCATTAAGCAAGTCGAAGCTCCTGACTTGTTTGAATGGGATCACGGAATAGCTCTGCATGCACTGCAGGGGAATGGGGCCTCATCTCGCCTCTAGGGGGAAGTCTCATGGTTTTTTTCGAGTTGCGACGGGGACCTGGGGTATGTTCTCGATTTACGGCGGGGATGGCCCTTCAAAACACGAGTTTCTTCAGTGACGTCAGGACTCCTGTCTAGTAACGAGGGACACCTCAGGAATCTCTTCGAGGCTTGGCAGGGCAAAAAGGACGCTTCTCGAGGTGAGGCAGGGCACCCAAGGACCCTTTCCAGTAGCCACAGGGATTTTGGGATTCCTATCAGTATTCAAGAGGAGTCAGGCATCGTCACCTTTTGAAGCAATGAACTCCGCGTGCCTCTCGAGGTGTCAGCGGGATGTGAGGCATTCCGTCAAAATGAGGCAGGGACCTAGGGCTTTCTCTAAGGTCTCCACAGGGGATTCAGACATCCCTTCATGTTGTGAGATGAAAGACGAGCCTGTATTCAAGCCACTGCAAGGAAATCCGGCCTCCTTTCAAGTTAGGGCTTCTCGCTGAATATTCCCCTTGAGGCAGCAAACTCGGGGTCCCTCCCACATACGTATTGCTGAGAGAAGCCTCCTCCTGAGGTGCTTCTGGGAAGTTGGCATACGTCTTGAGCCTAAACCAGGGAATCAGCTCGCACCTCGAGACGATTTGGGGTACACGGAGCATTCCTCGAGTTGCTGTGCTGAAGTTGGTGTTCCTCTAGGCTTGGGACAGTGTTCTCGGGGCATCTCTGGAGTTGCCTGAAGGAAGTCGAGCCACCGGTCGTGTTGAATGGGGAACGGGGAATGGCTCTGGAGTCAATGCAGGGGAATCGGGCCTCATCTCGAGTTGATTTGGGGCACATGGAGCTGCTTTGCGTTGCTGGGGTGACCTCAGGGTCCGTCTAGACTGGTGACAGTGTTCTTGGGGACTGTCTCGAGATCCATTAAGCAAGTCGAAGCTCCTGACTTGTTTGAATGGGATCACGGAATAGCTCTGCATGCACTGCAGGGGAATGGGGCCTCATCTCGTCTCTAGGGGTAAGTCTCATGGTTTTTCTTGAGTTGCGGCGGGGACCTGGGGTATGTTCTTGACTTACGGCAGGGATGGCCCTTCAAGACACGAGTTTCTTCAGTGACGTCCGGACTCCTGTCTAGTAACGAGGGACACCTCAGGAATCTCTTCGAGGCTTGGCAGGGCAAAAGGGACGCTTCTCGAGGTGAGGCAGGGCACCCAAGGACCCTTTCCAGTAGCCAAAGGGATTTTGGGATTCCTATCAGTATTCAAGAGGAGTGAGGCATCGTCACCTTTTGAAGCAATGAACTCCGCGTGCCTCTCGAGGTGTCAGCGGGATGTGAGGCATTCCGTCAAAATGAGGCAGGGACCTAGGGCTTTCTCTAAGGTCTCCACAGGGGATTCAGACATCCCTTCATGTTGTGAGATGAAAGACGAGCCTGTATTCAAGCCACTGCAAGGAAATCCGGCCTCCTTTCAAGTTAGGGCTTCTCGCTGTATATTCCCCTTGAGGCAGCAAACTCGGTGTCCCTCCCACATACCTATTGCTGAGAGAAGCCTCCTCCTGAGGTGCTTCTGGGAAGTTGGCATACGTCTTGAGCCTAAGCCAGGGAATCAGCTCTCATCTCGAGACGATTTGGGGTACACGGAGCATTCCTCGAGTTGCTGTGCTGAAGTTGGTGTTCCTCTAGGCTTGGGACAGTGTTCTCGGGGCATCTCTGGAGTTGCCTGAAGGAAGTCGAGCCACCGGTCGTGTTGAATGGGGAACGGGGAATGGCTCTGGAATCAATGCATGGGAATCGGGCCTCATCTCGAGTTGATTTGGGGCACATGGAGCTGCTTTGCGTTGCTGGGGTGACCTCAGGGTCCGTCTAGACTGGTGACAGTGTTCTTGGGGACTGTCTCGAGATCCATTAAGCAAGTCGAAGCTCCTGACTTGTTTGAATGGGATCACGGAATAGCTCTGCATGCACTGAAGGGGAATGGGGCCTCATCTCGCCTCTAGGGGGAAGTCTCATGGTTTTTCTCGAGTTGCGGCAGGGACCTGGGGTATGTTCTCAACTTACGGCGGGGATGGCCCTTCAAAACACGAGTTTCTTCAGTGACGTCAGGACTCCTGTCTAGTAACGAGGGACACCTCAGGAATCTCTTCGCGGCTTGGAAGGGCAAAAGGGACGCTTCTCGAGCTGAGGCAGGGCACCCAAGGACCCTTTCCAGTAGCCACAGGGATTTTGGGATTCCTATCAGTATTCAAGAGGAGTCAGGCATCGTCACTTTTTGAAGCAATGAACTCTGCGTGCCTCTCGAGGTGTCAGCGGGATGTGAGGAATTCCGTCAAAATGAGGCTGGGACCTAGGGCTTTCTCTAAGGCCTCCACAGGGGATTCAGACATCCCTTCATGTTTTGAGATGAAACACGAGCCTGTATTCAAGCCACTGTAAGGAAATCCGGCCTCCTTTCAAGTTAGGGCTTCTCGCTGTATATTCCCCTTGAGGCAGCAAACCCGGGTCCCTCCCACAAACTATTGCTGAGAGAAGCCTCCTCCTGAGGTGCTTCTGGAAAGTTGGCATACGTCTTGAGCCTAAGCCAGGGAATCAGCTCTCATCTCGAGACGATTTGGGGTACACGGAGCATTCCTCGAGTTGCTGTGCTGAAGTTGGTGTTCCTTAGACTGGGACAGTGTTCTCGGGGCATCTCTGGAGTTGCCTGAAGGAAGTCGAGCCACCGGTCGTGTTGAATGGGGAACGGGGAATGGCTCTGGAGTCAATGCAGGGGAATCGGGCCTCATCTCGAGTTGATTTGGGGCACATGGAGCTGCTTTGCGTTGCTGGGGTGACCTCAGGGTCCGTCTAGACTGGTGAAAGTGTTCTTGGGGACTGTCTCGAGATCCATTAAACAAGTCGATCCTCCTGACTTGTTTGAATGGCATCACAGAATAGCTCTGCATGCACTGCAGGGGAATGGGGCCTCATCTCGCCTCTAGGGGGAAGTCTCATGGTTTTTCTCGAGTTGCGGCGGGGACTTGGGGTACGTTCTCGACTTACAGCGGGGATGGCCTTTCAAAACACGAGTTTCTTCAGTGACGTCAGGACTCTTGTCTAGTAACGAGGGACACCTCAGGAATCTCTTCGAAGCTTGGCAGGGCAAAAGGGACGCTTCTCGAGGTGAGGCAGGGCACCCAAGGACCCTTTCCAGTAGCCACAGGGATTTTCGGATTCCTATCAGTATTCAGGAGGAGTCAGGCATCGTCACCTTTTGAAGCAATGAACTCCGCGTGCCTCTCGAGGTGTCAACTGGAGGTGAGGCATTCTGTCAAAATGAGGCAGGGACCTAGGGCTTTCTCTAAGGTCTCCACAGGGGATTCAGTCATCCCTTCAGGTTGTGAGATGAAACACGAGCCTGTATTCAAGCCACTGCAAGGAAATCCGGCCTCCTTTCAAGTTAGGGCTTCTTGCTGTGTATTCCCCTTGAGGCAGCAAACTCGGGGTCCCTCCCACATACCTATTGCTGAGAGAAGCATCCTCCTGAGGTGCTTCTGGAAAGTTGGCATACGTCTTGAGCCTAAGCCAGGGAATCAGCTCTAATCTCGAGACGATTTGGGGTACACAGAGCATTCCTCGAGTTGCTGTGCTGAAGTTGGTGTTCCTCTAGACTTGGGACAGTGTTCTCGGGGCATCTCTGGAGTTGCCTGAAGGAAGTCGAGACACCGGTCGTGTTGAATGGGGAACGGGGAATGGCTCTGGAGTCAATGCAGGGGAATCGGGCCTCATCTCGAGTTGATTTGGGGCACATGGAGCTGCTTTGCGTTGCTGGGGTGACCTCAGGGTCCGTCTAGACTGGTGACAGTGTTCTTGGGGACTGTCTCGAGATCCATTAAGCAAGTCGAAGCTCCTGACTTGTTTGAATGGGATCACGGAATAGCTCTGCATGCACTGCAGGGGAATGGGGCCTCATCTCGCCTCTAGGGGGAAGTCTCATGGTTTTTCTCGAGTTGCGGCGGGGACCTGGGATATGTTCTCGACTTACGGCGGGGATGGCCCTTCAAAAGACGAGTTTCTTCAGTGACGTCAGGACTCCTGTCTAGTAACGAGGGACACCTCAGGAATCTCTTCGCGGCTTGGAAGGGCAAAAGGGACGCTTCTCGAGGTGAGGCAGGGCACCCAAGGACCCTTTCCAGTAGCCACAGGGATTTTGGGATTCCTATCAGTATTCAAGAGGAGTCAGGCATCGTCACCTTTTGAAGCAATGAACTCTGCGTGCCTCTCGAGATGTCAGCGGGATGTGAGGCATTCCGTCAAAATGGGGCAGGGACCTAGGGCTTTCTCTAAGGTCTCCACAGGAGATTCAGACATCCCTTCATGTTGTGAGATGAAACACGAGCCTGTATTCAAGCCACTGCAAGGAAATCCGGCCTCCTTTCAAGTTAGGGCTTCTCGCTGTATATTCCCCTTGAGGCAGCAAACTCGGGGTCCCTCCCACATACCTATTGCTGAGAGAAGCCTCCTCCTGAGGTGCTTCTGGGAAGTTGGCATACGTCTTGAGCCTAAGCCAGGGAATCAGCTCTCATCTCGAGACGATTTGGGGTACACGGAGCATTCCTCGAGTTGCTGTGCTGAAGTTGGTGTTCCTGTAGACTTGGGTCAGTGTTCTCGGGGCATCTCTGGAGTTGCCTGAAGGAAGTCGAGCCACCGATCGTGTTGAATGGGGAACGGGGAATGGCTCTGGAGTCAATGCAGGGGAATCGGGCCTCATCTCGAGTTGATTTGGGGCACATGGAGCTGCTTTGCGTTGCTGGGGTGACCTCAGGGTCCGTCTAGACTGGTGACAGTGTTCTTGGGGACTGTCTCGAGATCCATTAAGCAAGTCGAAGCTCCTAACTTGTTTGAATGGGATCACGGAATAGCTCTGCATGCACTGCAGGGGAATGGGGCCTCATCTCGCCTCTAGGGGGAAGTCTCATGGTTTTTCTCGAGTTGCGGCGGGGACCTGGGGTATGTTCTCGACTTACGGCGGGGATGGCCCTTCAAAACACGAGTTTCTTCAGTGACGTCAGGACTCCTGTCTAGTAACAAGGGACACCTCAGGAATCTCTTCGAGGCTTGGCAGGGCAAAAGGGACGCTTCTCGAGGTGAGGCAGGGCACCCAAGGACCCTTTCCAGTAGCCACAGGGATTTTGGGATTCCTATCAGTATTCAAGAGGAGTCAGGCATCGTCACCTTTTGAAGCAATGAACTCCGCATGCCTCTCGAGGTGTCAGCGGGATGTGAGGCATTCCGTCAAAATGAGGCAGGGACCTAGGGCTTTCTCTAAGGTCTCCACAGGGGATTCAGACATCCCTTCATGTTGTGAGATGAAAGACGAGCCTGTATTCAAGCCACTGCAAGGAAATCCGGCCTCCTTTCAAGTTAGGGCTTCTCGCTGAATATTCCCCTTGAGGCAGCAAACTCGGTGTCCCTCCCACATACCTATTGCTGAGAGAAGCCTCCTCCTGAGGTGCTTCTGGGGAGTTGGCATACGTCTTGAGCCTAAGCCAGGGAATCAGCTCTCATCTCGAGACGATTTGGGGTACACGGAGCATTCCTCGAGTTGCTGTGCTGAAGTTGGTGTTCCTCTAGGCTTGGGACAGTGTTCTCGGGGCATCTCTGGAGTTGCCTGAAGGAAGTCGAGCCACCGGTCGTGTTGAATGTGGAACGGGGAATGGCTCTGGAATCAATGCATGGGAATCGGGCCTCATCTCGAGTTGATTTGGGGCACATGGAGCTGCTTTGCGTTGCTGGGGTGACCTCAGGGTCCGTCTAGACTGGTGACAGTGTTCTTGGGGACTGTCTCGAGATCCATTAAGCAAGTCGAAGCTCCTGACTTGTTTGAATGGGATCACGGAATAGCTCTGCATGCACTGAAGGGGAATGGGGCCTCATCTCGCCTCTAGGGGGAAGTCTCATGGTTTTTCTCGAGTTGCGGCAGGGACCTGGGGTATGTTCTCGACTTACGGCGGGGATGGCCCTTCAAAACACGAGTTTCTTCAGTGACGTCAGGACTCCTGTCTAGTAACGAGGGACACCTCAGGAATCTCTTCGAGGCTTGGCAGGGCAAAAGGGACGCTTCTCGAGGTGAGGCAGGGCACCCAAGGACCCTTTCCAGTAACCACAGGGATTTTGGGATTCCTATCAGTATTCAAGAGGAGTCAGGCATCGTCACCTTTTGAAGCAATGAACTCCGCGTGCCTCTTGAGGTGTCAGCGCGATGTGAGGCATTCCGTCAAAATGAGGCAGGGACCTAGGGCTTTCTCTAAGGTCTCCACAGGGGATTCAGACATCCCTTCATGTTGTGAGATGAAAGACGAGCCTGTATTCAAGCCACTGCAAGGAAATCCGGCCTCCTTTCAAGTTAGGGCTTCTCGCTGTATATTCCCCTTGAGGCAGCAAACTCGGGGTCCCTCCCACATACCTATTGCTCAGAGAAGCCTCCTCCTGAGGTGCTTCTGGGAAGTTGGCATATGTCTTGAGCCTAAGCCAGGGAATCAGCTCTCATCTCTAGACGATTTGGGGTACACGGAGCATTCCTCGAGTTGCTGTGCTGAAGTTGGTGTTCCTCTAGACTTGGGACAGTGTTCTCGGGGCATTTCTGGAGTTGCCTGAAGGAAGTCGAGCCACAGGTCGTGTTGAATGGGGAACGGGGAATGGCTCTGGAGTCAATGCAGGGGAATCGGGCCTCATCTCGAGTTGATTTGGGGCACATGGAGCTGCTTTGCGTTGCTGGGGTGACCTCAGGGTCCGTCTAGACTGGTGACAGTGTTCTTGGGGACTGTCTCGAGATCCATTAAGCAAGTCGAAGCTCCTGACTTGTTTGAATGGGATCACGGAATAGCTCTGCATGCACTGCAGGGGAATGGGGCCTCATCTCGCCTCTGGGGGAAGTCTCATGGTTTTTCTCGAGTTGCGGCGGGGACCTGGGGTATGTTCTCGACTTACGGCGGGGATGGCCCTTCAAAACACGAGTTTCTTCAGTGACGTCAGGACTCCTGTCTAGTAACGAGGGACACCTCAGGAATCTCTTCGAGGCTTGGCAGGGCAAAAGGGACGCTTCTCGAGGTGAGGCAGGGCACCCAAGGACCCTTTCCAGTAGCCACAGGGATTTTGGGATTCCTATCAGTATTCAAGAGGAGTCAGGCATCGTCACCTTTTGAAGAAATGAACTCCGCGTGCCTCTCGAGGTGTCAGCGCGATGTGAGGCATTCCGTCAAAATGTGGCAGGGACCTAGGTCTTTCTCTAAGGTCTCCACAGGGGATTCAGACATCCCTTCCTGTTGTGAGATGAAAGACAATCCTGTATTCAAGCCACTGCAAGGAAATCCGGCCTCCTTTCAAGTTAGGGCTTCTCGCTGTATATTCCCCTTGAGGCAGCAAACTCGGGGTCCCTCCCACATACCTATTGCTGAGAGAAGCCTCCTCCTGAGGTGCTTCTGGGAAGTTGGCATACGTCTTGAGCCTAAGCTAGGGAATCAGCTCTCATCTCGAGACGATTTGGGCTACACGGAGCATTCTTCGAGTTTCTGTGCTGAAGTTGGTGTTCCTCTAGACTTGGGACAGTGTTCTCCGGGCATCTCTGGAGTTGCCTGAAGGAAGTCGAGCCACCGGTCGTGTTGAATGGGGAACGGGGAATGGCTCTGGAGTCAATGCAGGGGAATCGGGCCTCATCTCGAGTTGATTTGGGGCACATGGAGCTGCTTTGCGTTGCTGGGGTGACCTCAGGGTCCGTCTAGACTGGTGACAGTCTTCTTGGGGACTGTCTCGAGATCCATTAAGCAAGTCGAAGCTCCTGACTTGTTTGAATGGGATCACGGAATAGCTCTGCATGCACTGCAGGGGAATGGGGCCTCATCTCGCCTCTAGGGGGAAGTCTCATGGTTTTTCTCGAGTTGCGGCGGGGACCTGGGGTATGTTCTCGACTTACGGCGGGGATGGCCCTTCAAGACACGAGTTTCTTCAGTGACGTCAGGACTCCTGTCTAGTAACGAGGGACACCTCAGGAATCTCTTCGAGGCTTGGCATGGCAAAAGGGACGCTTCTCGAGGTGAGGCAGGTCACCCAAGGACCCTTTCCAGTAGCCACAGGGATTTTGGGATTCCTATCAGTATTCAAGAGGAGTCAGGCATCGTCACCTTTTGAAGCAATGAACTCTGCGTGCCTCGCGAGGTGTCAACGGGAGGTGAGGCATTCCGTCAAAATGAGGCAGGGACCTAGGGCTTTCTCTAAGTTCTCCACAGGGGATTCAGACAACCTTCAGGTTTTGAGATCAAAGACGAGCCTGTGTTCTAGATACTGCAAGGAAATCCGGCCTCCTTTTAAGTTAGGGCTTCTCGCTGTATATTCCACTGGAGGCAGCAAATTCAGAGTCCCTCCCACATACCTATTACTGAGAGAAGCCTCCTCCTGAGGTGCTTCTGGAAAGTTGGCATACAACTTGAGCTTAAGCGAGGGAATCAGCTCTCATCTCGAGATGATTTGGGGTACACGGAGCATTCCTCGAGTTGCTGTGCTGAAGTTGGTGTTCCTCTAGACTTGGGACAGTGTTCTCGGGGCATCTCTGGAGTTGCCTGAAGGAAGTCGAGCCACCGGTCGTGTTGAATGGGGAACGGGGAATGGCTCTGGAGTCAATGCAGGGGAATCGGGCCTCATCTCGAGTTGATTTGGGGCACATGGAGCTGCTTTGCGTTGCTGGGGTGAACTCAGGGTCCGTCTAGACTGGTGACAGTGTTCTTGGGGACTGTCTCGAGATCCATTAAGCAAGTCGAAGCTCCTGACTTGTTTGAATGGGATCACGGAATAGCTCTGCATGCACTGCAGGGGAATGGGGCCTCATCTCGCCTCTAGGGGTAAGTCTCATGGTTTTTCTTGAGTTGCGGCGGGGACCTGGGGTATGTTCTTGACTTACGGCAGGGATGGCCCTTCAAGACACGAGTTTCTTCAGTGACGTCCGGACTCCTGTCTAGTAACGAGGGACACCTCAGGAATCTCTTCGAGGCTTGGCAGGGCAAAAGGGACGCTTCTCGAGGTGAGGCAGGGCACCCAAGGACCCTTTCCAGTAGCCACAGGGATTTTGGGATTCCTATCAGTATTCAAGAGGAGTCAGGCATCGTCACCTTTTGAAGCAATGAACTCCGCGTGCCTCTCGAGGTGTCAGCGGGATGTGAGGCATTCCGTCAAAATGAGGCAGGGACCTAGGGCTTTCTCTAAGGTCTCCACAGGGGATATAGACATCCCTTCATGTTGTGAGATGAAAGACGAGCCTGTATTCAAGCCACTGCAAGGAAATCCGGCCTCCTTTCAAGTTAGGGCTTCTCGCTGTATATTCCCCTTGAGGCAGCAAACTCGGGGTCCCTCCCACATACCTATTGCTGAGAGAAGCCTCCTCCTGAGGTGCTTCTGGGAAGTTGGCATACTTCTTGAGCCTAAGCCAGGGAATCAGCTCTCATCTCGAGACGATTTGGGGTACACGGAGCATTCCTCGAGTTGCTGTGCTGAAGTTGGTGTTCCTCTAGACTTGGGACAGTGTTCTCGGGGCATCTCTGGAGTTGCCTGAAGGAAGTCGAGCCACCGGTCGTGTTGAATGGGGAACGTGGAATGGCTCTGGAGTCAATGCAGGGGAATCGGGCCTCATCTCGAGTTGATTTGGGGCACATGGAGCTGCTTTGCATTGCTGGGGTGACCTCAGGGTCCGTCTAGACTGGTGACAGTGTTCTTGGGGACTGTCTCGAGATCCATTAAGCAAGTCGAAGCTCCTGACTTGTTTGAATGGGATCACGGAATAGCTCTGCATGCACTGCAGGGGAATGGGGCCTCATCTCGCCTCTAGGGGGAAGTCTCATGGTTTTTCTCGAGTTGCGGCGGGGACCTGGGGTATGTTCTCGACTTACGGCGGGGATGGCCCTTCAAAACACGAGTTTCTTCAGTGACGTCAGGACTCCTGTCTAGTAACAAGGGACACCTCAGGAATCTCTTCGAGGCTTGGCAGGGCAAAAGGGACGCTTCTCGAGGTGAGGCAGGGCACCCAAGGACCCTTTCCAGTAGCCACAGGGATTTTGGGATTCCTATCAGTATTCAAGAGGAGTCAGGCATCGTCACCTTTTGAAGCAATGAACTCCGCGTGCCTCTCGAGGTGTCAGCGGGATGTGAGGCATTCCGTCAAAATGAGGCAGGGACCTAGGGCTTTCTCTAAGGTCTCCCCAGGGGATTCAGACATCCCTTCATGTTGTGAGATGAAAGACGAGCCTGTATTCAAGCCACTGCAAGGAAATCCGGCCTCCTTTCAAGTTAGGGCTTCTCGCTGTATATTCCCCTTGAGGCAGCAAACTCGGGGTCCCTCCCACATACCTATTGCTGAGAGAAGCCTCCGCCTGAGGTGCTTCTGGGAAGTTGGCATAGGTCTTGAGCCTAAGCCAGGGAATCAGCTCTCATCTCGAGACGATTTGGGGTACACGGAGCATTCCTCGAGTTGCTGTGCTGAAGTTGGTGTTCCTCTAGACTTGGGACAGTGTTCTCGGGGCATCTCTGGAGTTGCCTGAAGGAAGTCGAGCCACCGGTCGTGTTGAATGGGGAACGGGGAATGGCTCTGGAGTCAATGCAGGGGAATCGGGCCTCATCTCGAGTTGATTTGGGGCACATGGAGCTGCTTTGCGTTGCTGGGGTGACCTCAGGGTCCGTCTAGACTGGTGACAGTGTTCTTGGGGACTGTCTCGAGATCCATTAAGCAAGTCGAAGCTCCTGACTTGTTTGAATGGGATCACGGAATAGCTCTGCATGCACTGCAGGGGAATGGGGCCTCATCTCGCCTCTAGAGGGAAGTCTCATGGTTTTTCTCGAGTTGCGACGGGGACCTGGGGTATGTTCTCGATTTACGGCGGGGATGGCCCTTCAAAACACGAGTTTCTTCAGTGACGTCAGGACTCCTGTCTAGTAACGAGGGACACCTCAGGAATCTCTTCGAGGCTTGGCAGGGCAAAAGGGACGCTTCTCGAGGTGAGGCAGGGCACCCAAGGACCCTTTCCAGTAGCCACAGGGATTTTGGGATTCCTATCAGTATTCAAGAGGAGTCAGGCATCGTCACCTTTTGAAGCAATGAACTCCGCGTGCCTCTCGAGGTGTCAGCGGGATGTGAGGCATTCCGGCAAAATGAGGCAGGGACCTAGGGCTTTCTCTAAGGTCTCCACAGGGGATTCAGACATCCCTTCATGTTGTGAGATGAAAGACGAGCCTGTATTCAAGCCACTGCAAGGGAATCCGGCCTCCTTTCAAATTAGGGCTTCTCGCTGTATATTCCCCTTGAGGCAGCAAACTCGGGGTCAATCCCACATACCTATTGCTGAGAGAATCCTCCTCCTGAGGTGCTTCTGGGAAGTTGGCATACGTCTTGAGCCTAAGCCAGGGAATCAGCTCGCATCTCGAGACGATTTGGGGTACACGGAGCATTCCTCGAGTTGCTGTGCTGAAGTTGGTGTTCCTCTAGACTTGGGACAGTGTTCTCGGGGCATCTCTGGAGTTGCCTGAAGGAAGTCGAGCCACCGGTCGTGTTGAATGGGGAACGGGGAATGGCTCTGGAGTCAATGCAGGGGAATCGGGCCTCATCTCGAGTTGATTTGGGGCACATGGAGCTGCTTTGCGTTGCTGGGGTGACCTCAGGGTCCGTCTAGACTGGTGACAGTGTTCTTGGGGACTGTCTCGAGATCCATTAAGCAAGTCGAAGCTCCTGACTTGTTTGAATGGGATCACGGAATAGCTCTGCATGCACTGCAGGGGAATGGGGCCTCATCTCGCCTCTAGGGGGAAGTCTCATGGTTTTTCTCGAGTTGCGGCGGGGACCTGGGGTATGTTCTTGACTTACGGCGGGGATGGCCCTTCAAGACACGAGTTTCTTCAGTGACGTCCGGACTCCTGTCTAGTAACGAGGGACACCTCAGGAATCTCTTCGAGGCTTGGCAGGGCAAAAGGGACGCTTCTCGAGGTGAGGCAGGGCACCCAAGGACCCTTTCCAGTAGCCACAGGGATTTTGGGATTCCTATCAGTATTCAAGAGGAGTGAGGCATCGTCACCTTTTGAAGCAATGAACTCCGCGTGCCTCTCGAGGTGTCAGCGGGATGTGAGGCATTCCGTCAAAATGAGGCAGGGACCTAGGGCTTTCTCTAAGGTCTCCACAGGGGATTCAGACATCCCTTCATGTTGTGAGATGAAAGACGAGCCTGTATTCAAGCCACTGCAAGGAAATCCGGCCTCCTTTCAAGTTAGGGCTTCTCGCTGTATATTCCCCTTGAGGCAGCAAACTCGGGGTCCCTCCCACATACCTATTGCTGAGAGAAGCCTCCTCCTGAGGTGCTTCTGGGAAGTTGGCATACGTCTTGAGCCTAAGCCAGGGAATCAGCTCTCATCTCGAGACGATTTGGGGTACACGGAGCATTCCTCGAGTTGCTGTGCTGAAGTTGGTGTTCCTCTAGACTTGGGACAGTGTTCTCGGGGCATCTCTGTAGTTGCCTGAAGGAAGTCGAGCCACCGGTCGTGTTGAATGGGGAACGGGGAATGGCTCTGGAGTCAATGCAGGGGAATCGGGCCTCATCTCGAGTTGATTTGGGGCACATGGAGCTGCTTTGCGTTGCTGGGGTGACCTCAGGGTCCGTCTAGACTGGTGACAGTGTTCTTGGGGACTGTCTCAAGATCCATTAAGCAAGTCGAAGCTCCTGACTTGTTTGAATGGGATCACAGAATAGCTCTGCATGCACTGCAGGGGAATGGGGCCTCATATCGCCTCTAGGGGGAAGTCTCATGGTTTTTCTCGAGTTGCGGCGGGGACCTGGGGTATGTTCTCGACTTACGGCGGGGATGGCCCTTCAAAACACGAGTTTCTTCAGTGACGTCAGGACTCCTGTCTAGTAACAAGGGACACCTCAGGAATCTCTTCGAGGCTTGGCAGGGCAAAAGGGACCCTTCTCGAGGTGAGGCAGAGCACCCAAGGACCCTTTCCAGTAGCCACAGGGATTTTGGGATTCCTATCAGTATTCAAGAGGAGTCAGGCATCGTCACCTTTTGAAGCAATGAACTCCGCGTGCCTCTCGAGGTGTCAGCGGGATGTGAGGCATTCCGTCAAAATGAGGCAGGGACCTAGGGCTTTCTCTAAGGTCTCCACAGGGGATATAGGCATCCCTTCATGTTGTGAGATGAAAGACGAGCCTGTATTCAAGCCACTGCAAGGAAATCCTGCCTCCTTTCAAGTTAGGGCTTCTCGCTGTATATTCCCCTTGAGGCAGCAAACTCGGGGTCCCTCCCACAAACCTATTGCTGAGAGAAGCCTCCTCCTGAGGTGCTTCTGGGAAGTTGGCATACGTCTTGAGCCTAAGCCAGGGAATCAGCTCTCATCTCGAGACGATTTGGGGTACACGGAGCATTCCTCGAGTTGCTGTGCTGAAGTTGGTGTTCCTCTAGACTTGGGACAGTGTTCTCGGGGCATCTCTGGAGTTGCCTGAAGGAAGTCGAGCCACCGGTCGTGTTGAATGGGGAACGTGGAATGGCTCTGGAGTCAATGCAGGGGAATCGGGCCTCATCTCGAGTTGATTTGGGGCACATGGAGCTGCTTTGCATTGCTGGGGTGACCTCAGGGTCCGTCTAGACTGGTGACAGTGTTCTTGGGGACTGTCTCGAGATCCATTAAGCAAGTCGAAGCTCCTGACTTGTTTGAATGGGATCACGGAATAGCTCTGCATGCACTGCAGGGGAATGGGGCCTCATCTCGCCTCTAGGGGGAAGTCTCATGGTTTTTCTCGAGTTGCGGCGGGGACCTGGGGTATGTTCTCGACTTACGGCGGGTATGGCCCTTCAAAACACGAGTTTCTTCAGTGATGTCAGGACTCCTGTCTAGTAACAAGGGACACCTCAGGAATCTCTTCGAGGCTTGGCAGGGCAAAAGGGACCCTTCTCGAGGTGAGGCAGGGCACCCAAGGACCCTTTCCAGTAGCCACAGGGATTTTGGGATTCCTATCAGTATTCAAGAGGAGTCAGGCATCGTCACCTTTTGAAGCAATGAACTCCGCGTGCCTCTCGAGGTGTCAGCGGGATGTGAGGCATTCCGTCAAAATGAGGCAGGGACCTAGGGCTTTCTCTAAGGTCTCCACAGGGGATTCAGACATCCCTTCATGTTGTGAGATGAAAGACGAGCCTGTATTCAAGCCACTGCAAGGAAATCCGGCCTCCTTTCAAGTTAGGGCTTCTCGCTGTATATTCCCCTTGAGGCAGCAAACTCGGGGTCCCTCCCACATACCTATTGCTGAGAGAAGCCTCCGCCTGAGGTGCTTCTGGGAAGTTGGCATAGGTCTTGAGCCTAAGCCAGGGAATCAGCTCTCATCTCGAGACGATTTGGGGTACACGGAGCATTCCTCGAGTTGCTGTGCTGAAGTTGGTGTTCCTCTAGACTTGGGACAGTGTTCTCGGGGCATCTCTGGAGTTGCCTGAAGGAAGTCGAGCCACCGGTCGTGTTGAATGGGGAACGGGGAATGGCTCTGGAGTCAATGCAGGGGAATCGGGCCTCATCTCGAGTTGATTTGGGGCACATGGAGCTGCTTTGCGTTGCTGGGGTGACCTCAGGGTCCGTCTAGACTGGTGACAGTGTTCTTGGGGACTGTCTCGAGATCCATTAAGCAAGTCGAAGCTCCTGACTTGTTTGAATGGGATCACGGAATAGCTCTGCATGCACTGCAGGGGAATGGGGCCTCATCTCGCCTCTAGGGGGAAGTCTCATGGTTTTTCTCGAGTTGCGACGGGGACCTGGGGTATGTTCTCGATTTACGGCGGGGATGGCCCTTCAAAACACGAGTTTCTTCAGTGACGGTAGGACTCCTGTCTAGTAACGAGGGACACTTCAGGAATCTCTTCGAGGCTTGGCAGGGCAAAAAGGACGCTTCTCGAGGTGAGGCAGGGCACCCAAGGACCCTTTCCAGTAGCCACAGGGATTTTGGGATTCCTATCAGTATTCAAGAGGAGTCAGGCATCGTCAGCTTTTGAAGCAATGAACTCCGCGTGCCTCTCGAGGTGTCAGCGGGATGTGAGGCATTCCGTCAAAATGAGGCAGGGACCTAGGGCTTTCTCTAAGGTCTCCACAGGGGATTCAGACATCCCTTCATGTTGTGAGATGAAAGACGAGCCTGTATTCAAGCCACTGCAAGGAAATCCGGCCTCCTTTCAAGTTAGGGCTTCTCGCTGTATATTCCCCTTGAGGCAGCAAACTCGGGGTCCCTCCCACATACCTATTGCTGAGAGAAGCCTCCTCCTGAGGTGCTTCTGGGAAGTTGGCATATGTCTTGAGCCTAAGCCAGGGAATCAGCTCGCACCTCGAGACGATTTGGGGTACACGGAGCATACCTCGAGTTGCTGTGCTGAAGTTGGTGTTCCTCTAGGCTTGGGACAGTGTTCTCAGGGCATCTCTGGAGTTGCCTGAAGGAAGTCGAGCCACCGGTCGTGTTGAATGGGGAACGGGGAATGGCTCTGGAGTCAATGCAGGGGAATCGGGCCTCATCTCGAGTTGATTTGGGGCACATGGAGCTGCTTTGCATTGCTGGGGTGACCTCAGGGTCCGTCTAGACTGGTGACAGTGTTCTTGGGGACTGTCTCGAGATCCATTAAGCAAGTCGAAGCTCCTGACTTGTTTGAATGGGATCACGGAATAGCTCTGCATGCACTGCAGGGGAATGGGGCCTCATCTCGCCTCTAGGGGGAAGTCTCATGGTTTTTCTCGAGTTGCGGCGGGGACCTGGGGTATGTTCTCGACTTACGGCGGGGATGGCCCTTCAAAACACGAGTTTCTTCAGTGATGTCAGGACTCCTGTCTAGTAACGAGGGACACCTCAGGAATCTCTTCGAGGCTTGGCAGGGCAAAAGGGACGCTTCTCGAGGTGAGGCAGGGCACCCAAGGACCCTTTCCAGTAGCCACAGGGATTTTGGGATTCCTATCAGTATTGAAGAGGAGTCAGGCATCGTCACCTTTTGAAGCAATGAACTCCGCGTGCCTCTCGAGGTGTCAGCGGGATGTGAGGCATTCCGTCAAAATGAGGCAGGGACCTAGGGCTTTCTCTAAGGTCTCCACAGGGGATTCAGACATCCCTTCATGTTGTGAGATGAAAGACGAGCCTGTATTCAAGCCACTGCAAGGAAATCCGGCCTCCTTTCAAGTTAGGGCTTCTCGCTGTATATTCCCCTTGAGGCAGCAAACTCGGGGTCCCTCCCACATACCTATTGCTGAGAGAAGCCTCCGCCTGAGGTGCTTCTGGGAAGTTGGCATAGGTCTTGAGCCTAAGCCAGGGAATCAGCTCTCATCTCGAGACGATTTGGGGTACACGGAGCATTCCTCGAGTTGCTGTGCTGAAGTTGGTGTTCCTCTAGACTTGGGACAGTGTTCTCGGGGCATCTCTGGAGTTGCCTGAAGGAAGTCGAGCCACCGGTCGTGTTGAATGGGGAACGGGGAATGGCTCTGGAGTCAATGCAGGGGAATCGGGCCTCATCTCGAGTTGATTTGGGGCACATGGAGCTGCTTTGCGTTGCTGGGGTGACCTCAGGGTCCGTCTAGACTGGTGACAGTGTTCTTGGGGACTGTCTCGAGATCCATTAAGCAAGTCGAAGCTCCTGACTTGTTTGAATGGGATCACGGAATAGCTCTGCATGCACTGCAGGGGAATGGGGCCTCATCTCGCCTCTAGGGGGAAGTCTCATGGTTTTTCTCGAGTTGCGACGGGGACCTGGGGTATGTTCTCGATTTACGGCGGGGATGGCCCTTCAAAACACGAGTTTCTTCAGTGACGGTAGGACTCCTGTCTAGTAACGAGGGACACTTCAGGAATCTCTTCGAGGCTTGGCAGGGCAAAAAGGACGCTTCTCGAGGTGAGGCAGGGCACCCAAGTACCCTTTCCAGTAGCCACAGGGATTTTGGGATTCCTATCAGTATTCAAGAGGAGTCAGGCATCGTCAGCTTTTGAAGCAATGAACTCCGCGTGCCTCTCGAGGTGTCAGCGGGATGTGAGGCATTCCGTCAAAATGAGGCAGGGACCTAGGGCTTTCTCTAAGGTCTCCACAGGGGATTCAGACATCCCTTCATGTTGTGAGATGAAAGACGAGCCTGTATTCAAGCCACTGCAAGGAAATCCGGCCTCCTTTCAAGTTAGGGCTTCTCGCTGTATATTCCCCTTGAGGCAGCAAACTCGGGGTCCCTCCCACATACCTATTGCTGAGAGAAGCCTCCTCCTGAGGTGCTTCTGGGAAGTTGGCATATGTCTTGAGCCTAAGCCAGGGAATCAGCTCGCACCTCGAGACGATTTGGGGTACACGGAGCATTCCTCGAGTTGCTGTGCTGAAGTTGGTGTTCCTCTAGGCTTGGGACAGTGTTCTCGGGGCATCTCTGGAGTTGCCTGAAGGAAGTCGAGCCACCGGTCGTGTTGAATGGGGAACGGGGAATGGCTCTGGAGTCAATGCAGGGGAATCGGGCCTCATCTCGAGTTGATTTGGGGCACATGGAGCTGCTTTGCGTTGCTGGGGTGACCTCAGGGTCCGTCTAGACTGGTGAAAGTGTTCTTGGGGACTGTCTCGAGATCCATTAAACAAGTCGATCCTCCTGACTTGTTTGAATGGCATCACAGAATAGCTCTGCATGCACTGCAGGGGAATGGGGCCTCATCTCGCCTCTAGGGGGAAGTCTCATGGTTTTTCTCGAGTTGCGGCGGGGACTTGGGGTACGTTCTCGACTTACAGCGGGGATGGCCTTTCAAAACACGAGTTTCTTCAGTGACGTCAGGACTCTTGTCTAGTAACGAGGGACACCTCAGGAATCTCTTCGAAGCTTGGCAGGGCAAAAGGGACGCTTCTCGAGGTGAGGCAGGGCACCCAAGGACCCTTTCCTGTAGCCACAGGGATTTTCGGATTCCTATCAGTATTCAGGAGGAGTCAGGCATCGTCACCTTTTGAAGCAATGAACTCTGCGTGCCTCTCGAGATGTCAGCGGGATGTGAGGCATTCCGTCAAAATGGGGCAGGGACCTAGGGCTTTCTCTAAGGTCTCCACAGGAGATTCAGACATCCCTTCATGTTGTGAGATGAAACACGAGCCTGTATTCAAGCCACTGCAAGGAAATCCGGCCTCCTTTCAAGTTAGGGCTTCTCGCTGTATATTCCCCTTGAGGCAGCAAACTCGGGGTCCCTCCCACATACCTATTGCTGAGAGAAGCCTCCTCCTGAGGTGCTTCTGGGAAGTTGGCATAGGTCTTGAGCCTAAGCCAGGGAATCAGCTCTCATCTCGAGACGATTTGGGGTACACGGAGCATTCCTCGAGTTGCTGTGCTGAAGTTGGTGTTCCTCTAGACTTGGCTCAGTGTTCTCGGGGCATCTCTGGAGTTGCCTGAAGGAAGTCGAGCCACCGATCGTGTTGAATGGGGAACGGGGAATGGCTCTGGAGTCAATGCAGGGGAATCGGGCCTCATCTCGAGTTGATTTGGGGCACATGGAGCTGCTTTGCGTTGCTGGGGTGACCTCAGGTTCCGTCTAGACTGGTGACAGTGTTCTTGGGGACTGTCTCGAGATCCATTAAGCAAGTCGAAGCTCCTAACTTGTTTGAATGGGATCACGGAATAGCTCTGCATGCACTGCAGGGGAATGGGGCCTCATCTCGCCTCTAGGGGGAAGTCTCATGGTTTTTCTCGAGTTGCGGCGGGGACCTGGGGTATGTTCTCGACTTACGGCGGGGATGGCCCTTCAAAACACGAGTTTCTTCAGTGACGTCAGGACTCCTGTCTAGTAACAAGGGACACCTCAGGAATCTCTTCGAGGCTTGGCAGGGCAAAAGGGACGCTTCTCGAGGTGAGGCAGGGCACCCAAGGACCCTTTCCAGTAGCCACAGGGATTTTGGGATTCCTATCAGTATTCAAGAGGAGTCAGGCATCGTCACCTTTTGAAGCAATGAACTCCGCATGCCTCTCGAGGTGTCAGCGGGATGTGAGGCATTCCGTCAAAATGAGGCAGGGACCTAGGGCTTTCTCTAAGGTCTCCACAGGGGATTCAGACATCCCTTCATGTTGTGAGATGAAAGACGAGCCTGTATTCAAGCCACTGCAAGGAAATCCGGCCTCCTTTCAAGATAGGGCTTCTCGCTGAATATTCCCCTTGAGGCAGCAAACTCGGGGTCCCTCCCACATAGCTATTGCTGAGAGAAGCCTCCTCCTGAGGTGCTTCTGGGAAGTTGGCATACGTCTTGAGCCTAAGCCAGGGAATCAGCTCGCACCTCGAGACGATTTGGGGTACACGGAGCATTCCTCGAGTTGCTGTGCTGAAGTTGGTGTTCCTCTAGGCTTGGGACAGTGTTCTCGGGGCATCTCTGGAGTTGCCTGAAGGAAGTCGAGCCACCGGTCGTGTTGAATGGGGAACGGGGAATGGCTCTGGAGTCAATGCAGGGGAATCGGGCCTCATCTCGAGTTGATTTGGGGCACATGGAGCTGCATTGCGTTGCTGGGGTGACCTCAGGGTCCGTCTAGACTGGTGACAGTGTTCTTGGGGACTGTCTCGAGATCCATTAAGCAAGTCGAAGCTCCTGACTTGTTTGAATGGGATCACGGAATAGCTCTGCATGCACTGCAGGGGAATGGGGCCTCATCTCGCCTCTAGGGGGAAGTCTCATGGTTTTTCTCGAGTTGCGACGGGGACCTGGGGTATGTTCTCGATTTACGGCGGGGATGGCCCTTCAAAACACGAGTTTCTTCAGTGACGTCAGGACTCCTGTCTAGTAACGAGGGACACCTCAGGAATCTCTTCGAGGCTTGGCAGGGCAAAAAGGACGCTTCTCGAGGTGAGGCAGGGCACCCAAGGACCCTTTCCAGTAGCCACAGGGATTTTGGGATTCCTATCAGTATTCAAGAGGAGTCAGGCATCGTCACCTTTTGAAGCAATGAACTCCGCGTGCCTCTCGAGGTGTCAGCGGGATGTGAGGCATTCCGTCAAAATGAGGCAGGGACCTAGGGCTTTCTCTAAGGTCTCCACAGGGGATTCAGACATCCCTTCATGTTGTGAGATGAAAGACGAGCCTGTATTCAAGCCACTGCAAGGAAATCCGGCCTCCTTTCAAGTTAGGGCTTCTCGCTGAATATTCCCCTTGAGGCAGCAAACTCGGGGTCCCTCCCACATACCTATTGCTGAGAGAAGCCTCCTCCTGAGGTGCTTCTGGGAAGTTGGCATACGTCTTGAGCCTAAGCCAGGGAATCAGCTCGCATCTCGAGACGATTTGGGGTACACGGAGCATTCCTCGAGTTGCTGTGCTGAAGTTGGTGTTCCTCTAGGCTTGGGACAGTGTTCTCGGGGCATCTCTGGAGTTGCCTGAAGGAAGTCGAGCCACCGGTCGTGTTGAATGGGGAACGGGGAATGGCTCTGGAGTCAATGCAGGGGAATCGGGCCTCATCTCGAGTTGATTTGGGGCACATGGAGCTGCTTTGCGTTGCTGGGGTGACCTCAGGGTCCGTCTAGACTGGTGACAGTGTTCTTGGGGACTGTCTCGAGATCCATTAAGCAAGTCGAAGCTCCTGACTTGTTTGAATGGGATCACGGAATAGCTCTGCATGCACTGCAGGGGAATGGGGCCTCATCTCGCCTCTAGGGGTAAGTCTCATGGTTTTTCTTGAGTTGCGGCGGGGACCTGGGGTATGTTCTTGACTTACGGCAGGGATGGCCCTTCAAGACACGAGTTTCTTCAGTGACGTCCGGACTCCTGTCTAGTAACGAGGGACACCTCAGGAATCTCTTCGAGGCTTGGCAGGGCAAAAGGGACGCTTCTCGAGGTGAGGCAGGGCACCCAAGGACCCTTTACAGTAGCCACAGGGATTTTGGGATTCCTATCAGTATTCAAGAGGAGTGAGGCATCGTCACCTTTTGAAGCAATGAACTCCGCGTGCCTCTCGAGGTGTCAGCGGGATGTGAGGCATTCCGTCAAAATGAGGCAGGGACCTAGGGCTTTCTCTAAGGTCTCCACAGGGGATTCAGACATCCCTTCATGTTGTGAGATGAAAGACGAGCCTGTATTCAAGCCACTGCAAGGAAATCCGGCCTCCTTTCAAGTTAGGGCTTCTCGCTGTATATTCCCCTTGAGGCAGCAAACTCGGTGTCCCTCCCACATATCTATTGCTGAGAGAAGCCTCCTCCTGAGGTGCTTCTGGGAAGTTGGCATACGTCTTGAGCCTAAGCCAGGGAATCAGCTCTCATCTCGAGACGATTTGGGGTACACGGAGCATTCCTCGAGTTGCTGTGCTGAAGTTGGTGTTCCTCTAGGCTTGGGACAGTGTTCTCGGGGCATCTCTGGAGTTGCCTGAAGGAAGTCGAGCCACCGGTCGTGTTGAATGGGGAACGGGGAATGGCTCTGGAATCAATGCATGGGAATCGGGCCTCATCTCGAGTTGATTTGGGGCACATGGAGCTGCTTTGCGTTGCTGGGGTGACCTCAGGGTCCGTCTAGACTGGTGACAGTGTTCTTGGGGACTGTCTCGAGATCCATTAAGCAAGTCGAAGCTCCTGACTTGTTTGAATGGGATCACGGAAGAGCTCTGCATGCACTGCAGGGGAATGGGGCCTCATCTCGCCTCTAGGGGAAGTCTCATGGTTTTTCTCGAGTTGCGGCGGGGACCTGGGGTATGTTCTCGACTTACGGCGGGGATGGCCCTTCAAAACACGAGTTTCTTCAGTGACGTCAGGACTCCTGTCTAGTAACAAGGGACACCTCAGGAATCTCTTCGAGGCTTGGCAGGGCAAAAGGGACCCTTCTCGAGGTGAGGCAGGGCACCCAAGGACCCTTTCCAGTAGCCACAGGGATTTTGGGATTCCTATCAGTATTCAAGAGGAGTCAGGCATCGTCACCTTTTGAAGCAATGAACTCCGCGTGCCTCTCGAGGTGTCAGCGGGATGTGAGGCATTCCGTCAAAATGAGGCAGGGACCTAGGGCTTTCTCTAAGGTCTCCACAGGGGATTCAGACATCCCTTCATGTTGTGAGATGAAAGACGAGCCTGTATTCAAGCCACTGCAAGGAAATCCGGCCTCCTTTCAAGTTAGGGCTTCTCGCTGTATATTCCCCTTGAGGCAGCAAACTCGGGGTCCCTCCCACATACCTATTGCTGAGAGAAGCCTCCTCCTGAGGTGCTTCTGGGAAGTTGGCATACTTCTTGAGCCTAAGCCAGGGAATCAGCTCGCACCTCGAGACGATTTGGGGTACACGGAGCATTCCTCGAGTTGCTGTGCTGAAGTTGGTGTTCCTCTAGGCTTGGGACAGTGTTCTCGGGGCATCTCTGGAGTTGCCTGAAGGAAGTCGAGCCACCGGTCGTGTTGAATGGGGAACGGGGAATGGCTCTGGAGTCAATGCATGGGAATCGGGCCTCATCTCGAGTTGATTTGGGGCACATGGAGCTGCTTTGCGTTGCTGGGGTGACCTCAGGGTCCGTCTAGACTGGTGACAGTGTTCTTGGGGACTGTCTCAAGATCCATTAAGCAAGTCGAAGCTCCTGACTTGTTTGAATGGGATCACGGAATAGCTCTGCATGCATTGCAGGGGAATGGGGCCTCATCTCGCCTCTAGGGGGAAGTCTCATGGTTTTTCTCGAGTTGCGGCGGGGACCTGGGGTATGTTCTCGACTTACGGCGGGGATGGCCCTTCAAAACACGAGTTTCTTCAGTGACGTCAGGACTCCTGTCTAGTAACAAGGGACACCTCAGGAATCTCTTCGAGGCTTGGCAGGGCAAAAGGGACCCTTCTCGAGTTGAGGCAGGGCACCCAAGGACCCTTTCCAGTAGCCACAGGGATTTTGGGATTCCTATCAGTATTCAAGAGGAGTCAGGCATCGTCACCTTTTGAAGCAATGAACTCCGCGTGCCTCTCGAGGTGTCAGCGGGATGTGAGGCATTCCGTCAAAATGAGGCAGGGACCTAGGGCTTTCTCTAAGGTCTCCACAGGGGATATAGACATCCCTTCATGTTGTGAGATGAAAGACGAGCCTGTATTCAAGCCACTGCAAGGAAATCCGGCCTCCTTTCAAGTTAGGGCTTCTCGCTGTATATTCCCCTTGAGGCAGCAAACTCGGGGTCCCTCCCACATACCTATTGCTGAGAGAAGCCTCCTCCTGAGGTGCTTCTGGGAAGTTGGCATACGTCTTGAGCCTAAGCCAGGGAATCAGCTCTCATCTCGAGACGATTTGGGGTACACGGAGCATTCCTCGAGTTGCTGTGCTGAAGTTGGTGTTCCTCTAGACTTGGGACAGTGTTCTCGGGGCATCTCTGGAGTTGCCTGAAGGAAGTCGAGCCACCGGTCGTGTTGAATGGGGAACGTGGAATGGCTCTGGAGTCAATGCAGGGGAATCGGGCCTCATCTCGAGTTGATTTGGGGCACATGGAGCTGCTTTGCATTGCTGGGGTGACCTCAGGGTCCGTCTAGACTGGTGACAGTGTTCTTGGGGACTGTCTCGAGATCCATTAAGCAAGTCGAAGCTCCTGACTTGTTTGAATGGGATCACGGAATAGCTCTGCATGCACTGCAGGGGAATGGGGCCTCATCTCGCCTCTAGGGGGAAGTCTCATGGTTTTTCTCGAGTTGCGGCGGGGACCTGGGGTATGTTCTCGACTTACGGCGGGGATGGCCCTTCAAAACACGAGTTTCTTCAGTGACGTCAGGACTCCTGTCTAGTAACAAGGGACACCTCAGGAATCTCTTCGAGGCTTGGCAGGGCAAAAGGGACGCTTCTCGAGGTGAGGCAGGGCACCCAAGGACCCTTTCCAGTAGCCACAGGGATTTTGGGATTCCTATCAGTATTCAAGAGGAGTCAGGCATCGTCACCTTTTGAAGCAATGAACTCCGCGTGCCTCTCGAGGTGTCAGCGGGATGTGAGGCATTCCGTCAAAATGAGGCAGGGACCTAGGGCTTTCTCTAAGGTCTCCCCAGGGGATTCAGACATCCCTTCATGTTGTGAGATGAAAGACGAGCCTGTATTCAAGCCACTGCAAGGAAATCCGGCCTCCTTTCAAGTTAGGGCTTCTCGCTGTATATTCCCCTTGAGGCAGCAAACTCGGGGTCCCTCCCACATACCTATTGCTGAGAGAAGCCTCCGCCTGAGGTGCTTCTGGGAAGTTGGCATAGGTCTTGAGCCTAAGCCAGGGAATCAGCTCTCATCTCGAGACGATTTGGGGTACACGGAGCATTCCTCGAGTTGCTGTGCTGAAGTTGGTGTTCCTCTAGACTTGGGACAGTGTTCTCGGGGCATCTCTGGAGTTGCCTGAAGGAAGTCGAGCCACCGGTCGTGTTGAATGGGGAACGGGGAATGGCTCTGGAGTCAATGCAGGGGAATCGGGCCTCATCTCGAGTTGATTTGGGGCACATGGAGCTGCTTTGCGTTGCTGGGGTGACCTCAGGGTCCGTCTAGACTGGTGACAGTGTTCTTGGGGACTGTCTCGAGATCCATTAAGCAAGTCGAAGCTCCTGACTTGTTTGAATGGGATCACGGAATAGCTCTGCATGCACTGCAGGGGAATGGGGCCTCATCTCGCCTCTAGAGGGAAGTCTCATGGTTTTTCTCGAGTTGCGACGGGGACCTGGGGTATGTTCTCGATTTACGGCGGGGATGGCCCTTCAAAACACGAGTTTCTTCAGTGACGTCAGGACTCCTGTCTAGTAACGAGGGACACCTCAGGAATCTCTTCGAGGCTTGGCAGGGCAAAAGGGACGCTTCTCGAGGTGAGGCAGGGCACCCAAGGACCCTTTCCAGTAGCCACAGGGATTTTGGGATTCCTATCAGTATTCAAGAGGAGTCAGGCATCGTCACCTTTTGAAGCAATGAACTCCGCGTGCCTCTCGAGGTGTCAGCGGGATGTGAGGCATTCCGGCAAAATGAGGCAGGGACCTAGGGCTTTCTCTAAGGTCTCCACAGGGGATTCAGACATCCCTTCATGTTGTGAGATGAAAGACGAGCCTGTATTCAAGCCACTGCAAGGGAATCCGGCCTCCTTTCAAATTAGGGCTTCTCGCTGTATATTCCCCTTGAGGCAGCAAACTCGGGGTCAATCCCACATACCTATTGCTGAGAGAATCCTCCTCCTGAGGTGCTTCTGGGAAGTTGGCATACGTCTTGAGCCTAAGCCAGGGAATCAGCTCGCATCTCGAGACGATTTGGGGTACACGGAGCATTCCTCGAGTTGCTGTGCTGAAGTTGGTGTTCCTCTAGACTTGGGACAGTGTTCTCGGGGCATCTCTGGAGTTGCCTGAAGGAAGTCGAGCCACCGGTCGTGTTGAATGGGGAACGGGGAATGGCTCTGGAGTCAATGCAGGGGAATCGGGCCTCATCTCGAGTTGATTTGGGGCACATGGAGCTGCTTTGCGTTGCTGGGGTGACCTCAGGGTCCGTCTAGACTGGTGACAGTGTTCTTGGGGACTGTCTCGAGATCCATTAAGCAAGTCGAAGCTCCTGACTTGTTTGAATGGGATCACGGAATAGCTCTGCATGCACTGCAGGGGAATGGGGCCTCATCTCGCCTCTAGGGGGAAGTCTCATGGTTTTTCTCGAGTTGCGGCGGGGACCTGGGGTATGTTCTTGACTTACGGCGGGGATGGCCCTTCAAGACACGAGTTTCTTCAGTGACGTCCGGACTCCTGTCTAGTAACGAGGGACACCTCAGGAATCTCTTCGAGGCTTGGCAGGGCAAAAGGGACGCTTCTCGAGGTGAGGCAGGGCACCCAAGGACCCTTTCCAGTAGCCACAGGGATTTTGGGATTCCTATCAGTATTCAAGAGGAGTGAGGCATCGTCACCTTTTGAAGCAATGAACTCCGCGTGCCTCTCGAGGTGTCAGCGGGATGTGAGGCATTCCGTCAAAATGAGGCAGGGACCTAGGGCTTTCTCTAAGGTCTCCACAGGGGATTCAGACATCCCTTCATGTTGTGAGATGAAAGACGAGCCTGTATTCAAGCCACTGCAAGGAAATCCGGCCTCCTTTCAAGTTAGGGCTTCTCGCTGTATATTCCCCTTGAGGCAGCAAACTCGGGGTCCCTCCCACATACCTATTGCTGAGAGAAGCCTCCTCCTGAGGTGCTTCTGGGAAGTTGGCATACGTCTTGAGCCTAAGCCAGGGAATCAGCTCTCATCTCGAGACGATTTGGGGTACACGGAGCATTCCTCGAGTTGCTGTGCTGAAGTTGGTGTTCCTCTAGACTTGGGACAGTGTTCTCGGGGCATCTCTGTAGTTGCCTGAAGGAAGTCGAGCCACCGGTCGTGTTGAATGGGGAACGGGGAATGGCTCTGGAGTCAATGCAGGGGAATCGGGCCTCATCTCGAGTTGATTTGGGGCACATGGAGCTGCTTTGCGTTGCTGGGGTGACCTCAGGGTCCGTCTAGACTGGTGACAGTGTTCTTGGGGACTGTCTCAAGATCCATTAAGCAAGTCGAAGCTCCTGACTTGTTTGAATGGGATCACAGAATAGCTCTGCATGCACTGCAGGGGAATGGGGCCTCATATCGCCTCTAGGGGGAAGTCTCATGGTTTTTCTCGAGTTGCGGCGGGGACCTGGGGTATGTTCTCGACTTACGGCGGGGATGGCCCTTCAAAACACGAGTTTCTTCAGTGACGTCAGGACTCCTGTCTAGTAACAAGGGACACCTCAGGAATCTCTTCGAGGCTTGGCAGGGCAAAAGGGACCCTTCTCGAGGTGAGGCAGAGCACCCAAGGACCCTTTCCAGTAGCCACAGGGATTTTGGGATTCCTATCAGTATTCAAGAGGAGTCAGGCATCGTCACCTTTTGAAGCAATGAACTCCGCGTGCCTCTCGAGGTGTCAGCGGGATGTGAGGCATTCCGTCAAAATGAGGCAGGGACCTAGGGCTTTCTCTAAGGTCTCCACAGGGGATTCAGACATCCCTTCATGTTGTGAGATGAAAGACGAGCCTGTATTCAAGCCACTGCAAGGAAATCCGGCCTCCTTTCAAGTTAGGGCTTCTCGCTGTATATTCCCCTTGAGGCAGCAAACTCGGGGTCCCTCCCACATACCTATTGCTGAGAGAAGCCTCCGCCTGAGGTGCTTCTGGGAAGTTGGCATAGGTCTTGAGCCTAAGCCAGGGAATCAGCTCTCATCTCGAGACGATTTGGGGTACACGGAGCATTCCTCGAGTTGCTGTGCTGAAGTTGGTGTTCCTCTAGACTTGGGACAGTGTTCTCGGGGCATCTCTGGAGTTGCCTGAAGGAAGTCGAGCCACCGGTCGTGTTGAATGGGGAACGGGGAATGGCTCTGGAGTCAATGCAGGGGAATCGGGCCTCATCTCGAGTTGATTTGGGGCACATGGAGCTGCTTTGCGTTGCTGGGGTGACCTCAGGGTCCGTCTAGACTGGTGACAGTGTTCTTGGGGACTGTCTCGAGATCCATTAAGCAAGTCGAAGCTCCTGACTTGTTTGAATGGGATCACGGAATAGCTCTGCATGCACTGCAGGGGAATGGGGCCTCATCTCGCCTCTAGGGGGAAGTCTCATGGTTTTTCTCGAGTTGCGACGGGGACCTGGGGTATGTTCTCGATTTACGGCGGGGATGGCCCTTCAAAACACGAGTTTCTTCAGTGACGTTAGGACTCCTGTCTAGTAACGAGGGACACTTCAGGAATCTCTTCGAGGCTTGGCAGGGCAAAAAGGACGCTTCTCGAGGTGAGGCAGGGCACCCAAGGACCCTTTCCAGTAGCCACAGGGATTTTGGGATTCCTATCAGTATTCAAGAGGAGTCAGGCATCGTCAGCTTTTGAAGCAATGAACTCCGCGTGCCTCTCGAGGTGTCAGCGGGATGTGAGGCATTCCGTCAAAATGAGGCAGGGACCTAGGGCTTTCTCTAAGGTCTCCACAGGGGACTCAGACATCCCTTCATGTTGTGAGATGAAAGACGAGCCTGTATTCAAGCCACTGCAAGGAAATCCGGCCTCCTTTCAAATTAGGGCTTCTCGCTGTATATTCCCCTTGAGGCAGCAAACTCGGGGTCCCTCCCACATACCTATTGCTGAGAGAAGCCTCCTCCTGAGGTGCTTCTGGGAAGTTGGCATACGTCTTGAGCCTAAGCCAGGGAATCAGCTCGCATCTCGAGACGATTTGGGGTACACGGAGCATTCCTCGAGTTGCTGTGCTGAAGTTGGTGTTCCTCTAGACTTGGGACAGTGTTCTCGGGGCATCTCTGGAGTTGCCTGAAGGAAGTCGAGCCACCGGTCGTGTTGAATGGGGAACGGGGAATGGCTCTGGAGTCAATGCAGGGGAATCGGGCCTCATCTCGAGTTGATTTGGGGCACGTGGAGCTGCTTTGCGTTGCTGGGGTGACCTCAGGGTCCGTCTAGACTGGTGACAGTGTTCTTGGGGACTGTCTCGAGATCCATTAAGCAAGTCGAAGCTCCTGACTTGTTTGAATGGGATCACGGAAGAGCTCTGCATGCACTGCAGGGGAATGGGGCCTCATCTCGCCTCTAGGGGGAAGTCTCATGGTTTTTCTCGAGTTGCGGCGGGGACCTGGGTTATGTTCTTGACTTACGGCGGGGATGGCCCTTCAAGACACGAGTTTCTTCAGTGACGTCCGGACTCCTGTCTAGTAACGAGGGACACCTCAGGAATCTCTTCGAGGCTTGGCAGGGCAAATGGGACGCTTCTCGAGGTGAGGCAGGGCACCCAAGGACCCTTTCCTGTAGCCACAGGGATTTTGGGATTCCTATCAGCATTCAAGAGGAGTCAGGCATCGTCACCTTTTGAAGCAATGAACTCCGCGTGCCTCTCGAGGTGTCAGCGCGATGTGAGGCATTCCGTGAAAATGAGGCAGGGACCTAGGGCTTTCTCTAAGGTCTCCACAGGGGATTCAGACATCCCTTCATGTTGTGAGATGAAAGACGAGCCAGTATTCAAGCCACTGCAAGGAAATCCGGCCTCCTTTCAAGTTAGGGCTTCTCGCTGTATATTCCCCTTGAGGCAGCAAACTCGGGGTCCCTCCCACATACCTATTGCTGAGAGAAGCCTCCTCCTGAGGTGCTTCTGGGAAGTTGGCATACGTCTTGAGCCTAAGCCAGGGAATCAGCTCTCATCTCGAGACGATTTGGGGTACACGGAGCATTCCTCGAGTTGCTGTGCTGAAGTTGGTGTTCCTCTAGACTTGGGACAGTGTTCTCGGGGCATCTCTGGAGTTGCCTGAAGGAAGTCGAGCCACCGGTCGTGTTGAATGGGGAACGGGGAATGGCTCTGGAGTCAATGCAGGGGAATCGGGCCTCATCTCGAGTTGATTTGGGGCACATGGAGCTGCTTTGCGTTGCTGGGGTGACCTCAGGGTCCGTCTAGACTGGTGACAGTGTTCTTGGGCACTGTCTCGAGATCCATTAAGCAAGTCGAAGCTCCTGACTTGTTTGAATGGGATCACGGAATAGCTCTGCATGCACTGCAGGGGAATGGGGCCTCATCTCGCCTCTAGGGGGAAGTCTCATGGTTTTTCTCGAGTTGCGGCGGGGACCTGGGGTATGTTCTTGACTTACGGCGGGGATGGCCCTTCAAGACACGAGTTTCTTCAGTGACGTAAGGACTCCTGTCTAGTAACGAGGGACACCTCAGGAATCTCTTCGAGGCTTGGCAGGGCAAAAGGGACGCTTCTCGAGGTGAGGCAGGGCACCCAACGACCCTTTCCAGTAGCCACAGGGATTTTGGGATTCCTATCAGTATTCAAGAGGAGTCAGGCATCGTCACCTTTTGAAGCAATTAACTCCGCGTGCCTCTCGAAGTGTCAGCGGGATGTGAGGCATTCCGTCAAAATGAGGCAGGGACCTAGGACTTTCTCTAAGGTCTCCACAGGGGATTCAGACATCCCTTCATGTTGTGAGATGAAAGACGAGCCTGTATTCAAGCCACTGCAAGGAAATCCGGCCTCCTTTCAAGTTAGGGCTTCTCGCTGTATATTCCCCTTTAGGCAGCAAACTCGGGGTCCCTCCCACATACCTATTGCTGAGAGAAGCCTCCTCCTGAGGTGCTTCTGGGAAGTTGGCATACGTCTTGAGCCTAAGCCAGGGAATCAGCTCGCACCTCGAGACGATTTGGGGTACACGGAGCATTCCTCGAGTTGCTGTGCTGAAGTTGGTGTTCCTCTAGGCTTGGGACAGTGTTCTCGGGGCATCTCTAGAGTTGCCTGAAGGAAGTCGAGCCACCGGTCGTGTTGAATGGGGAACGGGGAATGGCTCTGGAGTCAATGCAGGGGAATCGGGCCTCATCTCGAGTTGATTTGGGGCACATGGAGCTGCTTTGCGTTGCTGGGGTGACCTCAGGGTCCGTCTAGACTGGTGACAGTGTTCTTGGGGACTGTCTCGAGATCCATTAAGCAAGTCGAAGCTCCTGACTTGTTTGAATGGGATCACGGAAGAGCTCTGCATGCACTGCAGGGGAATGGGGCCTCATCTCGCCTCTAGGGGGAAGTCTCATGGTTTTTCTCGAGTTGCGGCGGGGACCTGGGGTATGTTCTCGACTTACGGCGGGGATGGCCCTTCAAGACACGAGTTTCTTCAGTGACGTCAGGACTCCTGTCTAGTAACGAGGGACACCTCAGGAATCTCTTTGAGGCTTGGCAGGGCAAAAGGGACGCTTCTCGAGGTGAGGCAGGGCACCCAAGGACCCTTTTCAGTAGCCACAGGGATTTTGGGATTCCTATCAGTATTCAAGAGGAGTCAGGCATCGTCACCTTTTGAAGCAATGAACTCCGCGTGCCTCTCGAGGTGTCAGCGGGATGTGAGGCATTCCGTCAAAATGAGGCAGGGACCTAGGGCTTTCTCTAAGGTCTCCACAGGGGATTCAGACATCCCTTCATGTTGTGAGATGAAAGACGAG